CTCCAACAAACAACACCCCCACCATAATTTTATATATTCACACATCTGAAAATCACACACCCGCCAAAAAATGGTCAAGAAAAACCATAACAACCACTCAAAGGGCAAGGACCGGTACCGCAGCAATCCCCGCGGCGGCAAGAGAGGCGAAGACGGCGAACCGCTGCCGAAACCGCCGTTTAAAGGTCCGCTGCAAAAAACCAATTTCCCGCACTAGAAGGAAAGGAAAAGAAGAAGAAAAAGACTGATGTGTTGATATAACGTGTATGATATAGCCGCCGCATGGGACCTGGGCCACTGCGACCCTGAGAGATGCTCTGGCAAGAAACTGATCCGACAAGGCCTCATGCGCGACCTCCCCATCGGGCGCAAATTCAGTGGCGTAATCATCACGTATGCCCCCATCGCCTCTCCCTCCCCTTCACCGTAAAAAGCAACCATTAACCCCCTCCCCCCAGCCCCAACGGCAAAGGCCCCGTCTCCCAAGCCGACAGACCCCTCCTCGAAGAGTTCGGCGCCGCCGTCGTCGAGTGCTCCTGGGCGCGCCTCGACGAAGTCCCCTTCAGCAAGATTGGCGGCCGCTGCGAGCGCCTCCTCCCCTACCTCGTCGCCGCCAACTCGGTCAACTACGGCAAGCCGTGGCGGCTCAACTGCGCGGAGGCCCTGGCGGCGTGTTTTGCGATCATGGGCCATGCGGAGTGGGCGGTGGAGATTCTGCGGCCGTTTCCGTATGGAGAGGAGTTTATGCGCATGAATGCGGAGCTGCTGGAGAGGTATGCGGCGTGCGCGGATGCGGAGGAGGTGGGGAGGTGTCAGGAGGAGTGGCTGGCGGGGCTGGAGAGGGAGTGGGAGGAGAGTAGGAGGAATAAGGATGCGGATCTGGAGGGGTGGGGGGGCGGGAATCTTAATAAGATGCCTGTGGTGAGGGGGAAGCGCGATAGCGATGAGGAGGAAGATGACGACGAGGAAGAGGAGGAGGAGGAGGAGGAGGAGGAGGACTACCAGAAAGCAAGCGGGCGCAACGTCGACATGCCCCCATCCGACGATGACGACGAGGACGAGTACCAGGAATACCTCCGCCAGAAGGTCCTCGCCTCCAAGACCTTCGCCAACCCCGTCTCCACCAAGTCCCCGACAAAGCAGCAACGCACAGAGGACGCCCATACACACTCCCACTCAGACAGCGACGAAGAGTACGGAAGCGACCAAGACGACCACGGGGGCATCTATGACGCTGCTCCCGTAGTGGTGGAGGAGGAGCTGGGGCCGTCGATAATTAGGCCGTCGAATAGCAGGCCTGATGAGCTGTCGGCGGTGTTTTCAAGGACCGTGATATCGGCGCCGAAGAGGGGGTTGGGGTCGTAGTGGATTGTACATATGGTAGTTAGGTTACTATTGGGGGGTTTTTTTTCTTTCATTTATTTCTTTTTTATTGTGATATGATGCGTGGATGTGCGGAAATGATTGAAAATTGGGGGCCGCTAAACGACCTAGCATGTCAATCACTCCCACCAGTCTGTCACCTGCCTAGACAATTCCTAATAGTAGGGCCAATAGGTATATAGTCGTCTAGATATACATTTCCTAAATTTGCAATTGATGTGGCCTCGCCCCCCACGAACGACAGGTAGAAAAAGAGATAAAGCCTCATATCATAGCCTGCTATATGTCCTTCATAGGATCTCACTCGCCACCACTCTTCACTGCAGTAGTATAGTGCCGAGAATTGCTCTGTGGTGAAGATTTGTGAGGCTTGCAATTGAGGTAAGGGCGCAGGGGTGGAAAAAGTGGATGTAGAGATTGCAGTATAATCGGTGTGATAGTTGTTCTGGATGGGTCTGCTAGTGAAGGTTCATGTTGGATGGGATATGTGTTGGTTGTATCTACATGTAGTGAGTATTATATCCATTCTCGCTGCGGCGCTGTTGGGGTTACGTCAGGCAGAGGATCTTGAAGCCGAGTGAGATTTCATGAAACACGCCCATCACACATCATATCATCTCACTTCACGTATATTAACCACACACGCACAGAAGCCAAGCATGAACGCAGTTAAAAGACCCCACTGGAAAAATTACTAGTATACAACAACAAAAAAAAATCGGCATCTTTATCTATGCACCCCCGTCCATCATCATCAATCATTACCCTTTTTCCATGCTTCCCCCGCACCTCCCTCGCGCCCCATCTCCCAACATCTCCACACCCGCCCAGCACCCACCTATTCCAAAAACGCATCCCCACCCCTCTCCACAATCGCCGCGCTCCTCTTCGCATCAATAAACAGACTCTCACACTCATCCACATCGGCGACCTCAATCCTCGCCCTCCCCGCCACACGACTCAATATCATCGCGGGCGTCAGCAGCTGCAGCGCATACCTGAGACTCGTCCCCACGCCCCTCGTCGCCAGCCGATCGATCGCCGCATCCTCAACATCAATCCCCTCCGTCTTGGCGCGGATGCGCACAATCGTGCGTATGTCCGTCAGGTCGTAGGGGTAGGTCGGCACGATGAGCAGGCGGCCGAGGAGGTCCGTGGGCACGCCATGGGCGGAAGAGATGTCGGTGGTGCCGCGGATGGTGCATATACCGCGGTTCGAGGCGAGGATGACGATTGGCGCGATCTTGGCCTCGAGCGCGCGGTTGAGGTATGTGAAGCACTCGATGTCGAGCATGTGCACCTCGTCGATGAAGAGGACGCCGGGGACGAGCTCGGCGACGCCCTGGTCAATGTACTTTTCGACGACCTTGTTGATCTCGGCGCGCAGCTTGTCGGTGATCTCGGTCTTCTTGGGCTTCATGAGCTGGCCCATCATGGACATGATGTCCTGGCCGCCCTGGGGGCGCGCGTTGGCCACGTCGAGGTCGTGCAGCGTCACGTCCTGCACGATCTCCTTCTTCTTGTGCACCTCGCCCTTGGGGATGGGCACGTATTCTTCGGCCTCGAGGTCGAACTCGGTGGCGTAGGCGTCGCTGCGGCCGACGCGCTTGACGGCGCCGGTGTTGGCTTCGATGTAGATTACGTCGCCGGTGGTGACGCGCTCTTTTTGGATGCTTTCGTAGATGCTCGGGTCGAGGCGGAGCTTTTTGGTGCCCTTGCCGCTCTTGAGGCCGACGATGACGTGGGAGATGGTTTTGCCGTAGCCGCCGAGCGGGTTTTCGGCTTCTTCGGGGGTGAGGTCGGTGACTTCGCCTTCGTAGACTTCTTTGGTTTCTTTGACGCGGAGGCCTGCGGGGTGGGTGGGGTGTTAGAAGGCTGCTTGATTGTTTGGTATATGAGGGGTGGGGATACCAATGGCCCGCCGAAAGTTCTCCATCAGCGCCTCCGTCTTCTTGACTTCAGCCGAGTAGATCTCGCTGCCCACGATCGGGCGGAACGGCACCTTTGTGCCCAGCTCCTGCGAGATTGCGAGTGCGAGCGCGGTCTTTCCTGTCCCGGGCCCGCCGGCGAGGAGCACGGCGCGCCCAGACATCTTTTTGGCCTTGATTAGGTCGACGATGATTCCGCATGCCTGTGTCCGTCACAATGGGTTTGTTAGTAGGTGGGGGAGGGAGGGAGGGTAGAGAGGGGATAGTGGTGGGGACTGACCTCACGGGCAGACTCCTGGCCGACAAAACCGGCAGATGTCTTCTCGGCGGTGCCGTCGGCGCGCAGGCCTAGGCCCTTGATGTGCGTGTGGGCGGCCGTGCGGTTCTCGCGGGGGCTGCCGGTCTTGACTTCGCTGATTGTCACCATTGCTGTGTGTGGTGTTTGTATTAGAGATGGAGATGGAGATGGAGATATCAGAGACTGTGTGAGGGAGTGAGGGAGTGAGGGGGGGAGGGAGGGAGAGTGATGGGATCTGGTGGTGGTGGAGGAGAGGAGTTGGAGTCGTCGTTGATTGTCGTTGTCGCGTTTCTGCAGCTGGCCTGTGCTGTGGGAGGTGAACGGTCACTCAATCAATCAATTGGTGTTTGTTCGCTCTACGCCCGCTCGTTGCCGCCAAGACCCGCCGGGCGCCACACCCCAACACAACAGCACTCGCCAAGCAGCACCGCGCTGGGGCCGAGTAGCGAATGCGGTGCCGGGAATGTGGGGCCGATGCAGTGTTCCCTGCACTGCACGCTGTGGCTTGTGCGTGTCATGGGCCGTCACTCGCGCTTGCTAACGGGTGGGCAATGATCACACGACAGCTATTTGTGCGTTTTGCTGCTATTCTATTGACGTTTGGCCACAACGTGGGGACGGGCGAGGAGGGGCGGGGAGTGTGAATGGCGTGTGTTTGGGAGGTCTATTGGGGTTGGGGGGGGGGGGGGGAGAGAGGGAATTGGGGGGAGGGAGTGTGTGTCTGGCTACAGCAGTGGATGTAAATGTAGCTGGCTAGCTAGAGGGTGAATGAAGGTGCCGAATGGAGATGGACAGGCGTCGGTAGCCAGTGGCCCCGGCTCTCTCTCTCTCTCTCTCTCTCTCTCTCTCAATGTGAAGGAAGGGTTAGGTATCCCCAAGCTGGCTGTCGGGCTTCTCTGGGCGGAAGTGTGACATTGAATTTTAGTATTTGCGTGGTGATGGATACATGTAGAGAACGTAGAGTAGTCCTGCCATCACTCGTCTCTGCTCTCGATCCCGCTACTCTCCAAGCACGATGGTGTAGTGTTGCTGTAGTTGTGTTTCCCTTCGTTGCCTGGCGTCTGCCCCCGTTTGTGCCTTCTTTAAATAAACTGCCGCTACACAGCACAGAAAGCTTCTCGCCCTCTTCGCCCTCTTCTCCATCTTCTTTCCCATTCCCTTCTTCTCTCTCTTATCTTCTCTCTCTCACCTTCTCACACACTCGTTCATCCTCTTCCCGTCTCCCCCCTCAAACTCTCCCTTCATTAGCGAGCCTCCGGGCTTCTGCTTTTTATCCCCCCACACACACACTGCCGTCAAAAAACAAGCCCTCGCTAAGCTCACCAATTCTCTTCCCCTTCCCTCCCGCTTCCAAAACGTCCACTCTTTCCACACACATTCAATCCCCCACCATGTCTCAACCACCCGCACCCAACCCCCACCACCCCTCCCCCACCACAACCTCCACCGCCGCCCAATGGCGCGACGAAATCTCCCGCCGTGAACGAGCCTTCACTCTCTCCGCCCGCCAAACTCCCACCACCCCCACCACCCCTACCTCGCCGCACCTGCCCCCCGCCCGCCGTGCCCAACGCAGCTACGAGCCGCCCCCAAAGCCCGCCTCCACCGCCCCCGACACGCCCCCACCCAAGCCGCAGATCTACCTCGACGAGGGCTGGCGGGAGCGTGCCGCGGCCACGGCCACGGCACCCCCCAAAACCCCCGTGCCGAAAAAGACGGCCGCGGCGAAGAGACGGCCGGTGCAGCGGAGAAAGAGGGCGAGGAAGAATGCGAATGCTGGTGACGATGGAGGGGAGGAGGAGACGGGGAATAGAGATGAGGTGATGATGATGAGGGGGTCGGAGGAGCTGTTTGGAAGCTCCCCGGGGATGGCGTATGCGCCGGAGTTAAATACAAGTGTGAATGGAAGCTCGCCCGTCAAGATGCCGTATGCAACAAATACAAATATTGGTAGCTCCCCCATCAAGCTACCCTACGCATCCACAAATAGCAGCGGCAACACCAACGGCAACGGTAGCTCCCCCGTCAAGCTCCCCTACCGCGCCTCAGTCCGAACACGAGCCCCAGCCAGCACCTCCCCCAGCAAGCTGCCCTACCAAAACCAAAACCAACCCCAAAACGGGCCCGCTGAGAACCCAAACAGCCCCTGGAGCTCCCCGCTCACTGCCAACGCCAACATCCCCAACACGCAGTGGAGCCTCCGCAAGGAGATCGAAGCCTCCCTCACGCAGCTCGCGGCACAGACTAACATAAACGCAAACGCCGAACGCTTCTCGTCGCCGGGGCCAGCACCCAGACCGCCGCAGGCCAGGACCCGCGGGAAGTCGCTGGTCGACCTGTACCATGACCAGCACCCGCTACCTACGCCCCCCCAGCTCGGGGGCAGCAGCAGCAGCCTTCTGCAGCATCATAATGGAAATACACAGATGCAGATGCAGATGCACGGTCACCAGGTGAATGGGCGGATGATGCAGCAAAACGGAAACGGGGTGAGCCAATTGCAAGCTCAAAACCAAAACCCGAATATGAATATGAATATGAATCTCAACAACGGTGGTGGCTTCACCAACTTCTACCCGCCGCAGCCGTCGAACGCGGGCGGTGCGGCAGCTGTTGCGGCGGCCCAGATGTATAATAGCAATAGCAATGTGCAGCAGCAGCAGCCGATGGTGAATGCTTTCGCTATGAACCAGGCGGGCCACCATCCTGCTGCTATGGGGCCCAATGGACAATACCACCACCAGCATCAGCAGCAGCAACAGCAGCAGATCAATAGGAAGCCACCCGTCGTCACTGCCGGCCAGAACAACGGTAGTTATACCAACTTCCAAAACCACAATCAGAACACGGGCCCGTACAGCTACGGCGCCCCCATCCCTGCCGTGGCCGCAGTGGGACAGCTGCAGAACGCGGACCTGAGCAACTTCAAGAAATACAACCCCACCCACCCAAACCACCCCACCACCACCACCACCACCGGTCTGCAGAATCCTCGGCACATCCTCAAGTCCAACACCACCCCCACTGCCACTGACCAAGCTCCCATCCAGCCCGCCGCCGCCGTCCTTCAACAACCACAACAGCAGCAGCAGCAGCAGGTGAATACATACAACAACCCCGCGCTCGCCGAGTACGTAGCGGCGCAGGGGAGCCTGGGCGACTTCCGGAGCTTGGATAAGTACAGCCCGAATATCAATATCAGTATCCCGCAGGCTCAGGCTCAGGCTCAGCAGCAGAAGGAAGAGGAGGAGAGGAATGAGGCGATGGTGAAGCAGCAGTTGTATGAGCAGTGGAAGCAGCAGGTGCAGGTGCAGCAGCAGATACAGATGCAGTTGCAGATTCAGAGGCAGCAGATGCAGCAGCAGCAGGTACAGCAGCAGCAGGTACAGCAGCAGCAGAAGCAGATGCAGATGCAGGTACAGCAGCAGCAGATGCAGATGCAGCAGCAGGTACAGCAGCAGGGTCAGGTACAGCAGCAGCAGGTACAGCAGCAGCAACTTCAAGTACAGCAGCATCAAGTACAGCAGCCACAACTTCAAGTCCAGCAGCACCACCAAGTCCAGCAGCAGGCCCAGCAGCCACAGCAGCGTCAGGTCCAGCAACCGCAGCAGCGCCAGCAACCGCAGCCGGTCAACTTACAAGCTGCCCATGACCGCGGCATGTTCGGGTTCGACTCGGCCATGTCCCAACAAGATAAACAGGCCGCCATCAATAGCAAGCTACTAGAGGTGCATGCTGCCTCCAAGAAAAGGAAGATGCTGAACGCTGCTGCGGGCAGCCCGCAGACTAAGAAGGGAAGAGTCAACAAGCAAAATATCAACCAGCCAATAACGCAGAACCAGCAGGCGGTGCAGAATTACCAGCGGCAGTTGAAGCAGAAGCTTGGTTCTGTGGCCAACAGTAATGGTGTTGGCTTGGGAGATGGTAAGACTGGTGCGCCTGGAGCTGTACAGCAGGGGGTGGTCAGTCCTAATGGTTTTGTCAACGCTGCTCCTGGGACTCCAACTGCTGGTTTACAGGAAGCAGTGGCTCAGAGCACGCTTCCTGAACAAGTTGGCGGGAATGGGACTGCTCAGAATATGGAGACGGCGATGGCACCTGTAGCTTCCAGGTCTCGTTCTGAATCTGGTTCTAGCGTTGACATGGTCCCCGTGGCTTCTGGGTCCCGTCCTGGATCTAGTTCTGGTGCGAACATGGACTCTGTGTCTCTGTCTCCTGGGTCTCAGGTTGGATCTGTGAATATTGGGACCGCTCCTCCACAGACTCCCGCGGGAAATGGTGCGGCAGATTCTTTGGACTACAATATTGAATATCAAGATCTGATCGTCACAGATACTACTGTCACAGTCACCCCACCCACCACCGCCAGCCTGCAGCAAAACAGCGTATCCACAACCCCCGCTGCCACACCATCACTGACATCCGCCTCCACCGCCAGCGAAACAACAATCTCCCCCTCCGCCCCGCCGCCAACTCCCGTATCCTTCCAAAGCAATCTCCTAAATACCCCGATTGACTTTGCCTCGCAGTCACTGCCCGATCTGATGCAGTACCTCGGCGGCAACATCACCACCGAGGAGCTGCTCAACATCCCCGAGGAGGAGTGGAACTGCGATGCGGCGTTCCTGGAAGCGGCGGGACTGGCGGACCTGGACTTTTCAATGTTTGAGATTAAGCCGCCGGATGTGCCGCAGCTGACGCCGCCGGAGGTGGTGGATCGCGGGAGCGAGCTGGTGCTGGAGAGCGGCTATTTGTCGTGGGATGCGCCGGCGATCACGTTTAGGCCGGGCGATGATTTTATAGCAAATGGCGGGATGGTGGGTGATTTGGAGGATTGGTGGGCGGCGAAGTAGAGGATGGAGTTGAGGAGGAGGAGGGGAGGGGAGAGGGGAAGGTGAGGTTGGTTGGTTGATTGGTAAGGTCAAGACGAGGCTGTGAGAAGTATATAAATGAGGATGCATATATATACTTTTTTACAGAGGTCTTTTTTCTTTTCTTCTTTCTTAAATTGGATTGGGTTGGATTGGATTGGGTCGGCGCTTTTTCTTTTGGGCGTGGGTGTTACCTGTTCTTGTGTACTATATATATCCAGCTGCTCGCCGCGCCGACTACTACTATGTTTCTCTTCCTATCTTTTTTCTTATCTTATCTCTTTTGATTGGATGGACGGGTTGACGAATATCTGGTGTATCTGGCACTCTCACTCGTACCTAGATACGAGGTGATGGCTTTTTAATTCTTTCTTTCTCTCTTAATGGGTTTTGCATATTTTTTCTTTTCTTTTCATAAGCTGGGACGGGCACTATCTTTATAGGCCTATGTTTGCAAATGGAGTATATGGATTTGGGGGCGGGATTTGGGAACGAGATTTGCATGGGAAAGGGATTTTATACCTGGAGCTATAGTATAATAGCTAGACTTGCGCTATCAAGGATTACAAATTATTAGATATCGATGCAGCTACTTATTTACATACTTGACTAGCCAGCTGAATATGATTGAATTTGACCTGTGACCTGTGTGTATGGGGATTAGTTGTGGGGTGATTTTGGTGGTTTGTTCGTTTGCTGATCATGAGGTTGTGACTGAACTCGGACTAAGGGTGGTAGTTGGTGTTGCCAAGACCCGAGTGAGAGGCTGTGACCTACGCTTAAACTAGACTCAGTGAGCTACCGCGCCGCCCACATGTGACTGCAGCGACACCAACTGACCCAAGGAGCAACGGACATGGAAAGAAAAAAAACTTCTACATTTCGGTAAGCTAGATCGATAACCACTGTTAAATCGCCTATATAGCACTGGTATGGGGGCGGTATGGCGTAATAAATTGCAATCGGTAGAGTAATATCACGTATATAAGGGGATCCGAAGTTGCACACTTGGAGAAAAAGTTATAAAAATTTATCATTGGAGACTTTTTTCGCGCAGCTTCTGGCAGTGTAGACAGGAACTTCTGGGCGTGGCTGAAGGACTGCCCATGTCCTCTCGCGCTGGGGTTATTTGGTGCAGCGATCCGTTGATTGCGTCGGTAATATCTGAACATGTAATTAGAAACGACCTCGTATCAATACCCCAGCCGCTTCCGACCCGCTCCTACGTAGGGCTAGCTCGTGGTTAGAATTGGATAGCTAATCAACCGTCGAATCATTTATTGCGGTTGAGAAAAGCTATGCACAGGATGTGGTACAGAACACAAGTTACTGTGAGCCGTCGGGACGAGCGAAAGGCGGTTGTCATCGGGGCGCTGTACTGACATATGCGTGGGAATTCCTGGTAGGAGTCGCTCGTTGAGACTGGTGGGCGGTGCGCTAGAAGAGGAGATTGTACCGCCGGAAGACGAAGAACCTTGGCATCGTGGCTTGATGAAGGAAAGGGTTTATAAGAGCCCGAAGTATCTGAAGGTCCTTAGTTAGCTTCGCCTGATCATGAATTAAGGGATAATCTCCCAGGCCTCGAGACCGGTTAAGACGAAAGGTAGACAAAGTTATCCTCATAGCTTATCTCGAGCGGCTTGACGGTGCGCATTGCACGCACCCCGCAAGTCTCCGCTCCTCTCGCTCAAGCACATAGGGCACACGTAAAGATCGCATGGAGAGGGTGACTCTTACGAGTGATATTTCGTGATCGAATAGGTTTCATGTAAATCAGCCTAAAGATCCCAGCGAAATTTAGTGAGTGAAGGAATATGTTACTCACGCTGCACATGTATCAGGTTTATATAGATGGAGGACATGGTTTCCTGTTAGGAAGCCAAGGCCCCCAAACCCCAAGCTGGGGACAGAATGTGGGAATGCTTTGTAGTGCAAGCCCGCAGACATATATACCCACGTATACACGTGTAAAGATATGTCGGCTTTTAAATTTTGCTACTTTGAAACCTACCGTCCCTCGCACCAACTACTGATGCTTATATAGATCACGATGATTGACGGTAATCGCACTTTGAATTCGCCAACCATGAATGGCTTTTATTACATTCAGCAATTTTTAGTCAACTAATGAATAGAATCCACGCATCACCGGTCAGAGAAGAGTACAGGCCAAGTCAAACCGTTGCGCAGTCATGATTATCTTTGGCAAAGTAAGGGAGGTGGCCGGCCCTGACCAGGTTAAGTGATGAGACAGAGTCAACGATCGGTTTCTTGTTATTTCCTATTGTTAATAATTAAACTAAGATAAGACCCACGCAGATGGAGACTCACGTGTAAAATCTACTTGCTATAGGACAAATTTCATTTTTTTTCCTCTATAGGCTGACGTACGACCAGGCCTCTCTGCTTAGAGCGTCCCATGTCCTTATTCCTTGATCGAGCCTGCCAACAATTCCCAGGAATTTCCTCGAAACTCTAAAATAAAGCCCTCGCCTGCTAGACCCGCCGGAATACCGGTATTTGACATGTTGTTACCTGGATCTGCTCGTTCTGTAACTGAAGTGCGATCGCCATGATGCAGGAAAAAGGGGGACAAGTGTAGCAGTCTGCTTACACAACCAGCCACATGTTACGGAGGCAAACAATTCTCCTGGGGATTTTCACGAGCGGTTCTGGCATGGGGCGTCTATCTAGTGTTGGTTGATGCCTCAAACCGTTTCGGCGCGTGGTACGGGCTGCCCCTGACAACCAATGATATCGCGTACCATCCTGTTTGGGCTGTTTGGCGCGCTGCAGGTGTCAACTTAGATCCTGGTTACGAAACGTCAATCATAGGGATTCCGGTTCTCGATTGGTAAAAAAGATTTGGCACCTCCCGCATCTAATATCCACCCCGCATAACGAGATGGAGATGGAGGTGGGTATGCAAGGGCAGATATCGAAACCGCCATTCGTTACGCCCGTTGTATCAGAAGATCAGTGCTGAAAAGCTTGGATTTTTTTTCTTGATTCCCCTTAGTTCTGGAACATCTTGGTGTATTTATACCTTCGTTGTCCCGGTGTTTGTTTTTCTCTTTTCTTCTCCACCCACCACAGTGCCATTCACTTAATTGCATCGTCTTCTTTTTCCACTTGTAATCATCCAGCTCGTCGACCGGTTCGACCAAACCCTCTTTTCTGTTTATTGCTTGCCAATTAATCGTCACCTCTCCATCAATCCGTCATCTACACAACTATATACACTCTTCAAGATCGGAAGACACTATCAAATTAAGATCAAAATGCAGTACCTTACCCTAATTGCCCTCCTCTTCACGGCCTCAGCTATCGCTGCACCTATCGCACAGATCACTGCCGTTGGAAGTAAGTCGCGAATCCATAGATGGAACGCAAATCCCGAGTAATTGTTCTAACATCATATCTTCTAGCCAACAACTACGGTGACGACGGTGTTCCTTCAAAGACCGATGGAGCTGGCGGTATCGTCCGTCTCGACGGCGCCAAAACTGCTAATGGGAAGTTGTAGTTTGTTCGTTCTCGAGGGCTAGGGTGATCAACTACCCCAGCTTAAGAGCGCGAATAGTGCTATAGCTTTCTTTACTCTTTGTTATTCTTCTTCCTTTGCATTTCCGTCATTTTCTAATAGACGGATCTGTTTTTTGATCTTCTTCTTCTTTCTTCTTAAGCCCCTCTCGGTAGGACCAACCCCCGATGGGCCTCGGATACTTTTTAGTGTATTGGTTATGTTTTTTGTGCGCCTTCATTTTCTACAGTTTCTTTCTTAGATCTATGCGCATGAGTACTCGTTCTTTAGAGGAAGGGCCCTGATCGGATTGACTGGAGAGGTTTTTTATTTTTTATTTTTATTTTTAAGATACCCAGGGTGTAACGCCCCCCGCTCGTTTTCTTTTCTTTTGTATCCTGGTGATGAGGGGGAGCTGAAGTGGATGGTGTTTAACTGAGGTCGATGAGCTTGTGATTGGGTCATGTAGTGCTTTGAAAGTGCTAAGCTTTTTCTTCTATTTTTAAGTTTGTTGGTACGCTAGTGAAGGGGAGCTTTCGTTTGTTGTGTTGAGGGATTACCCAAGTCAGTGGGGAGCCTGCAGCCAGGTTTATTTGGATTCATGATACATTCCAAAGTTTTGGTAGCGAAAATAAAAGTGTCCAAGCACTGCAGATTCAAGTTGTGTTTCAGCCCCGTGACAAGACTAGGGAATTGCTTGCCGCCAGGGGTACACTGACCAGCCCCAAACAAGACCACATGTCAAAAGTTATTATATATATTCCTAGGTAGGCAGGTATCGTTGGATAAAGATTTTGCATAGGTAGAATTAAGGGAAGGTGTCCCTGTTTACACGAGGGCGCTCGGCGCAGTATGTTTGAGGTACGAACAAATCGAGTGATATTTCATGATTAACTTGTGAAATAACGAGTGAAAGGAAATAACAAGCAGAGTGTTTTACTTATATATACAAATTTTCCGCAGCAGAGTGCCACCATTATAATACAGCCTTTTACTTTGAATTTTCACTAAACTGCCGAATAAACCGCCGAGTTGCCTCTTCCACAGGCCACTCTTTGCTCCACCTCGACATTTTTCCCATTTATGTTGACCTTCTTTTTCGGTGTCGCTTGGAACCTGTGAACTTGATCCTTCCTTGTAAACCTTGCACTTCCAACCTCATCTCCCTTCCCACCAATAATACCACTCTTGCGGGTCAGATCACCCGTGCTGCTACTACCAGTCATGGATGATTCGTCAATCATCATCTCGGCAACCATGGGCTCGAGAGGGGGGATATAGACAGGAACGCTGGTGTTGTTCCGTTTCCCAGTGCCTAGTTGGTAGAACTCGTTGTTGCCCCACCAGAGAACGTCAAAACCAAAGTTGACGTCATGGGCGGGAGATGTAGTAGAGGTTGAGGCTTCGACATTGGTGAGATTTTGCATAGTTGCCGAGATGTGAGTTGCACCCACAGAGAGGGAAGACAGACGGATAGGAACTATGCTATTGGCCTTGTCGTCGTCTATATTCTTGTTAATAACGACTCCATATGGCTAATTGCGTCCGGCAGAACGTACATTCAAACAATCCACTCAGCGCCTTCACTTTTGTTGGTGTCCCTTGAACGTGGGTCCACCTCCCATTGCCCAGATTTCCAAAGATACCGGTTCCACAACTAAACAAGTCCGCACTCACTTTCCCATTCGCAATGTTCTCTGCATCAACGCAGAAATAGCTGTTCGCACCTCCTGCTTCGATCTTCTTTACTTTTGGCACAATCTGCTTGGTATCGTACATTCCCTGAAACGTGAGCAGTGTTGGTACTTCGATGTGATTCGTCTCAGAGTTATACGGGAACCCAAGTTGGCCGCTGGTGTTGTCGCCAAATGAAAATACCCGCCCGGCGTCATCGAGGACTAGTGAGTGGTGGTCTCCAGCGGCGATCTGGGTAATTTTGTAGTCCGAGAGGTGTGTGATCTCATGGCAGGTATCGTAGGGCTTATCCTTGGGTCGAGTAACAAAAGTGAGACCGGGGATTCCAAGTTCACCTTTTGAGGGGTAATGATAGGATGCGGCAGCAGAGAATACACGGCCGGAAGAGGTGAGAATGAGAATGTGGTCTCGCCCTGAAGCGATTTTAGAGATACTGGAATATTGTTAATTCAATTAGACCTCAGTTAAAAGAATTGTTTGAGAGAACCTTTCGAAATAGCCTAGCTCGGGCTTGAGCAGCCGGTATGAGATCTTAGATTCAGAAGATACTCCAGGGATCCATGACGACTCGGAGAGTTTCGTAGATTCAGTTTGATCTTTCTTTGACATGGGTAAACTGTAGATTTTTCCATCTTTGGAAAGCGCAAAAACTCTATCTCCGGAGATCTCAACAGTGGTAATGTCCTTTCCCGTAAGTGTTTTCTCTGGCTCTTTGATATCTAGCGCATATCCAGTTCCCCATTGAAGGATGTCTCCCTTTTCATTTACGGCGACTAGAGAGTAGTGTTAGTTGTGCGGAGGAGGAAATACGGGTGGCATTTGATGAAGGAAATACGGATGATATTCAGCGGCGGAAAGGGTTTACCTTACCCCCGATGTTGCGGTCGAGCTTAAGGTCACGGAGGAGGACATTGTCGAATGCGGAAATACGGCGAGGAGACTTGATGAGATCTTCATTCGAGTCTGGAGCTACTACTCGTCCACTTTTGAAAATGAGAAATGATCTTAGATGGCTGGATAGGGAAAACATACACATTGTTTCCCCAAGCATACACCCCTGGGTGCTCCCAACTATTTTTCACCTTTAAACAAAAATTATCTTAACAACGTTGTTACGATAATCATTTTGGTGATATTTCATACCTGGACATGCTGGGCGCTCAGCTTTGATTTCAGGTCGACTGCAGCTGGCGAAACAACAGCTATTTCCTCTGCCCTAATCACCGGCTCGGTCGCCAGCTGGTAGATCACAAAGCCGCCGACAATTGCCGTAGCAATAAGAGCACTAGGACCCTTTCCAATGACAGGCTTCGCAGTCCGCGCTGTAGAGATACTCCTACAGAGTGTGGTCCTAGTGCTCAAGACACGCCCCGGAATAGCGCGTGAAAACCAGCAGAGACTTGAAGTCGTTTGTTTGAACATTGTTTACTAGATGGACAGTCAGGATATTATTGTCCAGTTGCTGGCTAGAGAGTTTAAAGGGGATACCTGAGTTAATTTATTTCCCGTATATATACGAATGAGTTTCTTTGTGCTGCACTCGATTGGGAGATTTTGATTTTTCCCGTGAATCGCGGATGACATCAGTATTCGGTTACACAAATACTAACCCTAACCCTACATGTATCACTTACTACTACCAGCGAACGAAGCGGAGCCTCATATCGTCTCCAAGGAAGAAGAAATTCGATACGGCTCGAGAATTACGCAGTATGAAGCTCTTTCATCCTAATGGACAGCACGTTCTTGTTTTTATCACAGCATATCACTCGCGCTTTCTGCAAGTGGCTTGGATGCCGTCTTGAGGCTGATTCTTGGCATCTACCTTAGCTCAGGACTGATCTGGTTACACTGCAAGTTAACTCAGTCACATGATCTGAGCACTTGTCGGCACCGCGAGTAGTTCAAACCACATCGCGTGAACTCCACAAAAAGTACCCCGCCAAAGAACTGCTCAAAAACTGCTCCACTCATAGCTGACCGAACTCAAATATATTTCAAACTAACATCCGTGAAAGCTTTAGAACAATTCTCCATTACAAATACAGTCATGTTCGAGGATCATTGGTACCAACACTCAGCTCCGGCAGTCCCTGAGGCTCCAAAAATGCGCCGGCAGGAATCAATAAAGAATCAATCTCCTGCTCGACCATCTTTGGTATGTGAATTATAGAAATTAAAGTTCTTTGGGCTGATTGGCGTATTCTGTAGGAAAGAACTTCTTCGAATCTCCTAAAGAAGTCTACCGAGCAGCAACAAAAAAATCCAGCCCCGGAAATCCCAATAGCCACTGTTCCGCGGAGACCCAAATCCTATGGAGATCTTAGGGTGCTAGTGCAAGATAAATTTGTATTGCCAGGTATCAAGGGGGATGTAAATCATGATGTTCGGGAGCTTCCTCCAAGACCAAAGTCACGGAATGATCTCGAGGGTGCTAGGATCGCAAGATATGGACATAAGGCTTCAAATGGGACATACAAAGGCGCAATTATAACACGAGAAATCAGGGATGAATTGGACTTTGCAGATTGGTATAAACAATTTGAAGATGACCTTCAAGGCTCCAATAGTGAATACCAGTAACTACCCCTACTAGCCCCCAATTCCACAAGACGACCCGTTAATAGCCTGTAGACTATTCCACTCTACCCTCCAGTCGCACCTCACAACCTGCAACTCGCTCATATCTACAACAGATACAACTCTCTCTCTCTTGAATACCCTCCAATCCTCTTTCCGCACCGTTCACGCCCAAACCTCCACCTTCCAAGAAACATGTTCCAGCCTGCTTTCCCATCAATTGCATTTAGAAAAGCTCCTTTCTTCTATATCAACCGCATTACATCCCTTCACGGAGCTAGAACCTATTACTCGTCTCCTTGCCCGGCCAGGAAGCGATTTTGTGAAGACCCCAGCGTTTAGGGAGATGCTGGTTCGATTGGATGACTGCATTTCATGGATGGACGATCCTGCTCATAAAGGTTTTCACGATGTCGAGACTTATGCGCCAAAATTTAGACAATGTATGACTCGTGCACTCACATTAATACGAAACTGTTTTGTGAGTAGTATACGGGAGGTTTCAAATGAGGTGACAGGAAGAATCAAGGAAAGACAGATGAACGATACAACCCAAAGTGCGCTGTTATATGCAAAGTTCAGGGTCAATGCACCTCTTCTACGGGAGTTGGTGGGTGAGATTGAGAAGAGATGTGATCATGAGGAGTATGTATTTTCTTCTCTAAAGGTTTATCCTGGTGACAATTAAAATCTAAGAAAAATTTAGGTATTTGTCGTTACTAAACGAGTGCTATCATTCCTTTGCTTCGGTTCGACAGAAGCTTATTGGACCGATCATTTACAAGCGTATGTCTGAGCTGTCAGCACCAACTAATACAAAGAATAAGGAGCTGGTACCATTCGCAAGGAGTGGAATCAGTTTCGTAAGGAGTATCTGTATGGATGAATTTGAGCTATTCTACGCATATTTCTCCGGAGAGCAAGGAGACAACGAGGTCTAGTAAGTTTATATATATACCCCATTCAAACCTGGCTGGTGCTAATATGCCTAATAATAGTACTTTCTTGGAATCTTTGTGCGAACCCCTCTATGATCATCTTCGACCCCGTATAATCCACGAAACGCAGCTAGTAAAGCTCTGCGAACTTTGTACATTAATCCAAACTCGCTATATGCGGGACGTCGATGATATAGATCCAGAGCCTTACGATCACACGCAGCTTGACTTCGGCCAAATAATTCAGCCTACTCTCCACGATACCCAATCTCGCATTGTCTTCCGTGCACAGACAATAATACGCGATGAAATTGAAGGATTCACACCTAAACCTGAAGACCTAGACTATCCCGCTAAGTTTCAATCACCCCCTAGAGCGGGAACCGCGAGTCCGAACGCACAAAAGATAATAGACCGTCATGATGACCCTGCTGGTACGAACGGTAATGGGGGGTTTGATACAGAAGCAGCGTATAAAGGCTGGTACCCTACACTACGCAAGTGCATTTGGCTACTCTCTCGGATCTATCGACTCGTCAATTCAACCGTATTCGATGATCTAGCGCATACAATAGTCCACCTCACAACCATCTCGCTCCTCCGAGCTTCACAACAACTAACACAGAAGAAGACCCCTGCAGATGGGCACTTATTTCTGATACGCCATTTTCTACTCTTGAAAGAACAGATTGTCACTTTTGACATAGAATTTGTAAAACCAGATACTCAAATTGATTTCTCTGGACTCGCGGGCTCCTTCTGGGAACTGCGTGAGAAGGGCATATTCTCACGCACTGGTATCCTGAACTTGGTCAAGGGTGCTGCGATGCCGAAGGTGGTCGAAAACATGTTGGATGCCAAAGTTGAGCTCGACGCGAGGCTGCGGACAGTTATTGGAGAGTTTACTAAATATTTCGCGGACCGCATGACAAATGAGATTGACGGTCCATCTAACAGGATCCGTGCAGCAGCGGGGGCTGATCCGGCGGCTGAAGTTAGAGCCACCGTGGAAAGAGAGATAGTGGTGTTGAGAGCAAAGTTGGTTGAGTATGTAGAAGACGGGAGGACTCGGGAGACATTGGTTGGCGCTGTACAGGTATTGATCTCACTCTTAGTATTTTTAAAAGACGTGACTAACTGGGTATAGGAACTGGTCATACAAGCATACGAGAGCTATTACGAGAGCACTTTCTTAAGCGGCAATCGAAGACCTTCAAGCGGTGGAGTTATCTGGGATGTGGAGACCTTTGTAGGGTGGAGTAACGATGTATTCGGTGTTGGACTAGGACTGTTAGGATTTGACGGACAGGGGGACAGCGAGGATGGGAGCCCGGATAGATCGAGAACAGGAAGCTTATAAGTCCGTGGGTTAAACCTGGTGAAATTAGGACAATAGTTATATACCCAGGGCGAGATGTATGTGTGGAAATGGCTGAGTTGAAACACATTATTCGCTCTTTCTTATCTATCTCATATCACCGGCTTGTTTCTTATTGTCGTAATATTCTTCCACTAGTAAGTGATGCCCTGGGATTTGTTATACTTTATGGGGCTTGCGAAGGTAACTAGATGACATCGACACTGATCGATTCTCCATAATAATTAATAACCCAAAATCCGAATGATGGGACCTAAATCCTCTTCCTGAAAAGAATGTAATTGATTCCTTATACACCTTGGATTTTGACTCCAAAAGCCTGATATCAAGCCCGCACTAATTCGGCTATCTAAGAGTTGAGGTCGAGCCGGTGATCAATGATCAAGAAAACAACATATTCATCCGCCAAGGTTATGAATGAGAGGGCATAAATACACCGTACGTCATGAGAATAGTTAAATTAAGTAAAACACCTCTGAATATTTCCCACACACATCATAATTATATAACTCATTACATGTATACATACTTCACTCAAAAGTTAATAACTTCAGCGTTAGCTGGACCATATTTGTAGTTAAACTCCAACTACATCCCCAGCTCCTCAAATGATAATAAGACTAGTTTCGAAGGCCAATTGCACCATACGAAAATGCCAAAGCAATATTTATATAACCTTCTACATCCTGCTCAAAAGAGGTTCTGATTTAAGCCATTGTGCTGGCAGGCTCCGACTCAGTCCCTGTGGCCGTACATGTAGCATCATTCCGCTCCTTTATAAATTAAAGGTTTGGTAGACCTTTTTTTTTTTTATTTTCTTGTGTCAAGAATGGAACATAGTAGGTGGAAGTTCGTTGATAGGAGATAGCTAACTTCCTGGAAGAGCTGAAGTTATGAAGCACTCAGGCCGATCATTTCTCTCCAGTTGCTAAAGGATTTATCGGCCGTTTCTTTTTCTTACTGTATACGCTTTGAGACCAGCGAAGACCTCTGATATTGGTAACAAAACAAAGATCATTTAGAAAGAGGAAAGAAAAAAATAAAAAAGCAGAATCCCACCGGCCACCAGAACGAAGGAAAAAAAGTCTACAGGGAGAAATTCCCGGCCAATTACGGCTCGATTCCTATTAGTTATAATGTTTTCCTCCGCCCCAGGTGACTCCACGAACTCCCACAGATCCCAGACCCATTTTTTATTTATGTTCATGCAGAATTTCATAGAACTTTTTGAAAGATAGAAAAGTCGTCGAATCTACTTCAGCAAGGCTGCTCATACGCGCGTTTAAAGACTCTGCTAAACTCTGGATGATCAAAAGTAACAACGTCAGCAGTCATACAGAAAGCGTAGGAATATTTTGACTCATTAACATACGTTCTATCTTGACCACCTCCCTTGTTACTGTGGTAATGGCCTCGTTCTCCTTGTTTAACGGAATCTTGACCTTGTCACCATCCAGTGTCCACTGACAAATGTTCTTAACGAAACCATCAAAAAACTCGCCTGTCGCGTTGAGATAGCTTTCCAAGGTATCCCTGCTGATCTCTCTGAAGGCCTGTGCAACTGCCATAGCAATGCGTAACCTCACAAGCTCTTCGAAACCAGAGCAGTCAGCGACCAGATCGGCATAGAGATCATCGCTGTCAAGGGTTGCCCAGAAGTGAGGGTAATCAGCCTCCTCAAGTGCGTTTGACAAGGTGTGCAACTTCTGTACGGCCTCCGCAAATGAATCGATTGGGGGCTCGATGAGACTGTTGGGCGGGAGAAGATGTAGGCAGAGCGAGAAATCGGGGGAGGGGAAGACGGTGAGGGCCTTGACGAGGATGTTGGTTATGGTCTCGTCACGAGTGAGATGAGGATTGAACTGGTAGCTGCAATACGGGAGGATCGGGGGATTTTAGTTAGCGCAGTGATTCTTAAAGGTGCAGATAGAAAATTTATCTTGAGGAAATAGAGTTTTTGGTGAAAGTTCAGAGAAAATCAAATTCGCTTCAATATGGGAGGGGTTCATTCCGCCCTTCAGGTAATAGGAAACGTTTACATAATGTTCATCATAGTAATCCCACCAGAAACGCGCGAGAGGCGCAAAAATGAAGTATCAGTTTAGAAATGAAATATTCACACTCACAGCTTCAACAAGGCCAAGTTGGCCATGTTGTCGTATGTCCTGTTCTCGCATTGGCTTTGAACATAGTCCTGGAACGTACTCACGGTCTCTGGATTGTAGCGGTCGAGACCAGAGAGGATCTCCTCAATGTGCTGAGGGCGGGATGTGGCATCAGTGGTCATGATGGGCAATGCTTCGGGGGTTGATGTTTTCTGAGGTTCGGCAGTCGTGGTGGTGGAGATGCATGGAGGGGCAGAATTCCCTAGCGCTAAGCTTTAGGGCTAGCCCTAAAACCACAGATCTTCGAGAGCATAATTTTTTATCCTCATAAGAGGCTTAAAAATAATTTTTCTTTTACCCTTAGTAAATTAAATCTCTATGCTTCATAACGTTTATAGTTCATTTAATGTATTTCAAGAGTTGAACTACAACCACTGGCTGAGCTTTGCGTCGTTGCATCACCGTTTATCACTCATAAACATCACATTGTACCCACTAAGCTTAAGGACTTCTTCCCCATATTATTATGCATCTTGGTTATTTGCTTTCGTATATTATATACATGTATTTAGTCAAGATTCTACATGTACGTGTACATGTAGTTACCACTACATCATAGCATTGTGACTTGAAATGTTTATTCGATCACAGTACTGTACCCCGTTAAGAGCTTATATAGCTTTGAGTGCATGTATTTCTTGGCTGCGTGCGGTACCGAGCATGAACGTACGGGGCTTCAGGAATCATCAGCACCAAAGAAATATTACCAAAACCTCGCCGGTCGCACCTATAACTCAAATAGGTATTTGGCATGTAAGTATGTAGCTGTGTCCCCTGTATTAGTGTGCATCCTTAACGGACGAGGTGTTATCTAGAGACATGGGTAATACCGCAGGGCTTGATATACCAAAATTTGCATACCGGATCCCTTATTTACTCGGAATTTGACCATTCAGTACATGTAGGTACTTTTTTTTTATTTTTTTTATATCATATGAATTGATTCTAAGTACATGTAGGTACTACATGTGCGCTAATTATAATGGAGCGAGTGAAAGACGGTGATCCAATCACTAATGACGTATCACAGACAAGGATTATGGTGCATCCAGACCTTCACAACAACTGGAGCTTCACACCAACTACAAGCTCAATAAAATAGCACAGTTCGGACTGAGCGGTGACCTCCTTATCGATACCCCTCTCCCCAGATCTGTAGGTATTCACATGATAGCTATTGGCAGAACTTCAGCCGTGAATAGCGGGGTTGTCTCTCCTGGTCACTGTGATTTCAGATGCATGCAGATCCAGATTCTCCTGCGCAGGCACAAGGCGGTTTGATTGAATACCTGGCCTGGTCCTGCCGACCTATGCCGACACCTATGTAAGCTTCCACAAGTCATTAATAACCGATAAACCCCACTTATCCCAGTCTCCCATCCTCATTCCTTTGCAAACCCTCATAACCATGGCCGCCGTTCCCCAATGTCACTTCTGCTTCGAAACGCTCGCGTCCCACCTCGAGAACCGCAAGTCGCTCACTCTTGCTCAAATCGAGGCTCTATATAAACAGCGGAGTTCCAGCACCAACGGCGTGAGTTCTAATGGGACAACAAATGGCACATACACAAACGGAGTGGCGGCTACATCACATCCCGACAGGCCACTGTTCGTGACTTGGAACAAGATCTCTAGATCTGGGAGCAAGAATCTCCGGGGTTGTATTGGCACATTTGAGGCTCAACCTCTTGAATACGGACTCAAAAGCTATGCTCTTACTGCGTAGGTGATATAGATTCTTTGGATTATCCGGTAATCATAGATTATTACTGACGCCACCGACCTATAGAGCACTTGATGACACACGTTTCTCTCCAATCTCGCTCAAAGAGCTTCCGTCGCTCGAGTGTGGCGTGACACTACTCACAGATTTCGAGGCTGCCTCCTCAAGTATGGACTGGACACTCGGGACACACGGGTTAAGGATAAGTTTTGTTTATCATGGGAGAAAGATGGGGGCTACTTATTTACCCGATGTGCCTGTTGAACAAGGGTGGACTAAGGAAGAGACTGTAGCGAGCTTGATGAGAAAAGCAGGGTGGACTGGTAGAAAGGAGGAGTGGGAGAAAGTCAAGTTGAACGTAGTTAGGTATAAAGGGACTAAGGCGACAGTGAGCTATGAGGAATATCACGAATTGATCGGTGGGGCAAGTGAGCTAAAGAGGACTGGAGGCTTGGACGATGACGATAACGAAGAGGAAGAGGAGGATGAGGAGAGCGAAGAGGAGGATTAAGATGCTTAAGCGTGGGAAAGCTGGGGTGCATGTGTAGGTGGGCGAGGCATCCTGGATAGGAATCCAGTTGCCTTTCGCACCGCCCACCCTTAATTCTCTTCTCCATTTTTCTGTTGCGCTACGGTCTTTCTTGCGTCCTATCATTCCCTTCTTGACTTTTCTCTATATGTTCTCGAACGTAGACCGAAGTGTTAGACTTCCTTGGTACGGTTCAGATCATAGACAAGCACTCTTGTAAATATCATGTTTGTTTCCTTTCTCTCTAGATCTGACTCAAAATTGTTTATACATAGGGTAAGCTCGGTACTATTGAACCCAAATGTTTGTCAGTGTATGTAGTTGAAGATACAACTTGATTATCTTGATTCTGAAAGTTTAAGCATGTTTAACCCCTAATACTATGTTTCGATCGAACTTTCTAGAATTCTACGAGTCCCTTTATCGCATCTGTATCCGCCTCTCGCCCAACGCTTGAGGATCATCATAACCTTGATTGGCCAGCTAGCTTCTATGCTTCTTGACCTCGCTTTAATCACAACAGTTGTATATATACATGAGCGTGAGCGTACATGGGGTCAGGCGTACAGTCACTACCCGGAGCGTTCTTAGTCCGGAGTATGCTCCGCTGATAGTTTTCCGAAGCTGCGTGCGTCGTGCCTCGGTTCTTGTCCTCTCTGCAAGAGTGGTAGGAATACAAATCTCTAGTGACACGGTCGACTGTGCAGTACTTGGCCATCCCATAAGCATCTTAGCTGCTAAACTCTGACGTGATTTAGGGGTGAGAGCCGGTGGCCAGAGCAGCTAGCAGCTAACAACCTACATGTAAGGTTGGTATGAGAATCATGCGATATCACTCGGACGTCTTAGGGTTTGAGGATCCAGTCTGGTGGCTCCCAAACCCAGACTCCCTCTTTTTTTTTTTTGGGGGGGGGGGGGGGTGGAGAAAAAAATGAAAGAACTGGAATATAGCAGCCGGTGACAATAAACGCCACTTTTTTTTATCGGGGGTTTTGAAAGCTACATGTATGCTATGGTCAACGGGTTTTAGTTAATTAGGTGCTCTGCACAATCACTCCGTCGGGGTTTTCTGGCTCTTGTGATTCCTTAATGGTCAAAGCGCCGTTTGCGGGTTAAAACCACAAGGATGATTGAAATACATTAAATAGGTCACAGTGCGTAGAGGGTTATAGTACATACTTTGGTATGACACATCCAAAATACAAACAGTAAAAGTATTTAAGATATCAAGGAGAACGGTATTTGTATTTGTATCAGTTAACGCCGTGATCGCATCTGTATAAACTACATGCAGCTAAAGGGGCCTGGACCCAGCACACGCGCGGGAGACACAGGCAAGCAAACTCAGAAAATTCATTTCGAGTTGCCGACGAAAAGTGAACAAAAACAGCAACCAAAGAAGACAGAAAAAGGCTATTTTCTTCGGCCAGACGAAGAAGCCTTTGCCTCTGCCGCTGCCTTCCTCTCTTCGAGTTCTGCACCACGCCAGTCCGTTAGCGTCCCATCACTAAAAATAGTAGAATAGAGAAAGAGATATATGGTATTATAACATACCGGCTTTCCTCTGCCTCGCTTTCTCCTCTCTTTCCTGTCTAATAATGGCCAACCTAGCCATATCCGCCCTGGCCTGATCCGTCTTTCCCTGCTCCTGCAACTTCCAATACCTCTCCTTTGCGGCGGCGGCCTCAACCGCCTCCCTCTCCTTCCTATTTAACGCCGAGTCGACAACGCCCGCAGCGTTAGGGTTTGCTACCGCGATAGTCGCCTTCTTCTTGACGACTGGTGTAGGCTCATCGTCCTCATCCTCGGAGCCGGACGGGAGATCGCCTGGCTCGGGCACGGAAGCAGCTTTACGGGCAAGGGCGGCGGCTTTGCGAGCCTTGTCGGCGGCTTTACGTTCTTCGCGGGTCATCTCAGCTTTGTTGACGGGCTCATCGTCGTCGTCGTCGTCAGACTCTTCCTCTTCGGAAGAGGACTCGACGGCGGGTTTGGGGTCGCGGGGGTCCTGTTTGAGTGTCAGAATTGGGAAAGGGGCACAGAATAGACGGGTAGAAGTACAGCCCACATGCCCTCGATTTCGCCGGAGCCTTCTTCGCGGTCGAGAGGTTGGAGGTTTCTCGAGAAGTCACGGCCGCCTGGGGGGAGGGGTGGTTAAACATCATTGTATTGTAGTTAAGCTATGCGTGCTGTGGTGAATGGGAACTTACGACCACGGACTACCTTTCTCTTTCCACGGGGTGCTCCTGGGGCCATTTGAAAGTTTCTGTATGTAGCGTTTGGTTGGTTTTGAAAGCAAAATATCCGATTTGCTGGTGGCTGTTCGTGGAGCGCGTGAGAAGTTTAGAGGGGTACCCTGAAGGAGATGGCTTGTAGTTAGTGGGGCAGTGTTGGAGGGGCTCAAATATCCACAGATTGTATGGCTACCTCAGACCTGGCTGGCATTGCAAACGTTGAGATAGATAGAATTCCTTTCAGACATTTTTGCATACAATTTCCCGCTCAATAACTACATGTATTTCCTCAAGTATTTGAACCCGTTTAGTTGCGTCTATGCTCATACAATCCTTTCCTCATACTTTCTGCCCTCCTCGGCGGCCAATCTCGGAGAAAACCGCACTGCACCCCCCAGCCCTTCCAAGCGCCAAGCCTCGACTAGCCACTGCGAGTATAAAATCGCGTCTTCTCTCGTGCTCTTCTTCCTCTCCCTGTTACAAAAAAAACCACCCCTCATATTCACTCTGTTGTCCTCGAATCTTACGGAACTTCGGAGGGGAAAATGGGGGGAAGATTGACCAACTGCCTCGTTGGATTTCGCGATCCAGCGAGGCAGCGGTGATCTCATGTCTGGTCGAAGCTCATCAATGCTGTGCCTGGACAACAATCATCGCTACATACCATACCTCCTTAAGAGCGATGTGCTTATGCCCATACTTCAATGCGATAACAACATAGTGACTACTATGTAGTCTTCTATGCGGTGGTCTTATCTGTACTATTCGCTCAACGTTTGTGAGGGAAAAACAGACTCTACGTCGTTTTTTTCTTTCGTAGAATTTTGTAACTTGTAGGAGCAATTACTCTAATTAGAGGGTTCAGACCTCTGCAGCAACGGTAGTCAAACACTCCAATCCAGTCTATATTTTCGAAGAATGTCTATTGTTACTACATGCATTACTTCCCACAACCTCTATACACAATTGCAGCCTGTTGAAGGGCCTAAATCGCAATAGACAATATATGATTGATGCAACCCAAAAGACAAATACGGAGAAAGGACTGGGAAATGATATAAGGGATCTCGACCTTAAAGTTAGAAAGACAAGGGAAAGGAAGGAGAAAAGTAGACAATATAAAGTAATGAAAGACCCCGGGCCCAAAGAGGCTAGTGGTCTGAAGCAATATGTAAGAGGAAAACATCTAACCTTGACTAAATAGATAGGGAAATCAAACCATTGGACACCATGAGGCCCATCGCAGGAAACAAAACCAACTAAGCAGAAATCAAAAACAAAAAAACAGATAACAAAAAGCCACCATCCGTGCAATCGTCAATCAATACTCTCCCTGGTCCTGTCGCTATTATAAAATTACTTGCGTAGTGTTCTATCGCTCGATTTCCATCCCTGCCTGTAGCTGCCTCTCTACTTCGCGCTCAACGTCAGTTTCCTGGTAGGCCACAACTGCGGCTTCAGTGACAGGTTCTCTTTTCATTTCTGCCATCAGAGTCTCCATAAGATGACGATCCCGCATGGTTCTATCTTCCTCCGTTAGTGCATCTCCTTCGCTAAGTGCCGCCCGGGCTGCTGCGACCGCTGCAGCGTGCTGCGAGGTCTGTCCAGCAACAGCGGGGTCTTCAGAGGCAGGATTCATGTTCGCAACGGGAGCAAACTGATGCGTATGTTGCACATCTTCCATCATGGCTGGGTCAACAGGTATATCCATCTGCGCAGCCTGTGCGATGTTCGCAGCCCGGGTGGCCTCCTGGTTCTGTATCTGCTGCTGCTGTGGTGACGGCTGGCTGCGCTCACTGCTGAAACGTTCTCCTCGAACCACGGGGGCCTTGGCATGTTCTTTACATTCGGCGCAATTCCTGATAACCTGAGATACAGTTTCCTTGATGCGGACCCAATGGTACTTTTCGGCAATGCTTGCAGTGGTCTTATTGATACCACCGTGTGCTTGGCAATGCACTGACCTGGCAATTTCGTATTGCATTTGGCCGTCAGAAATTACTTCTTTATCCTTCAACATTAACCTGCCATTATCAAGCTTGTAATGAGTTGCAGCAGAGCGGAGTCGGCTTTTTTCGGAGCGATCCGCTGTGGGCGGGTATTTGCCCTTTTCCAGGTAGAAACGGATCTTGTCGAAACGTTCGTCCGAGACATAGTCATCATCGTCATTAAGGTCCCGACCATAAATGATGGCGTCGATAGGTTGAGAGTGCCCACGGAGTCGGCCAGCACCTTTAACCTTTCCTATGCGCTTGAAACCCAACCCATCCCAAATCTTTAGAGAAGCTGTATTTGTTTCGTAAACTAAGTTGAATATTGAGTAGGTGAACCCCTGATAAGAAGGAAGCAGTTAGTGTGGAGGAACACGGAACCCGATTGAGTAAATAAGCCAAGCAACACATACAAGCTTTGGTGCGTACTCAAGATATGCCTCTCCCATATGCTTTCCACAGCCTTTCCCTCGGGAAGCATGCGTAGTCAAAAACCCGCCACTACATACATGCGAACTGCGGCCTTGTAGGAAAGAAAATCAGTATTTTAAACAGATTCCCATGTTAACCTGTCTTACCTGGATAGTTAGGTTTGACGTAAAAGGTACCAAGGCACTGAGTTGCCCAATCCCGTTCCTCAAGGAGGTTATTGGTCTCTTCTTTCCCACCCATCAACATTACCGCAGCAAATGTACCAAACCAGAACTGTTGGAATTGCTCGATGTCCATAGGCTGGTCAAACGGGCATGTATCACCCCGCTCGAGCTCCTCATTGAACTGATTGAGCAGAAACTCAATCAGTGAAGCGGGGATCATGCTAGGATGAGTGACTGGGTGAATAGTCGCTATTGAAACGTGATCTCGCAAATACACAGCCCGGGGATTAAGGTGTACATTCGGGTTAGGTGCGGGAATCGACGGAGCATTTGGGTCGTCGAGAATTGAAGACTTGCGCTGGAACCCCTGGTGGTGTTGTACTTGCTGCTGCTGCTGTTGCTGCTGCTGTTGTTGTTGCTGATTTTGCTGATGCTGATCATCACGCAACTGAAGCTCTGTCTGCTGAACCTGGAGATCGGGCATGATGGATTGTACTCCCAGCTGCCGGTAGATGTGGGCTTTGGATCAGGCGGCGTAGATTGTAGACCGGATAGTTCTTCTGGGAACGACGTTCGACGGAATAACTGGGAACGTGCGGCAGTGTGCAAGATTTCCCTCTAACAACGAAAACGCAGGGCTCCACAGACAGGGAATTCTCGGGGTAGCAGCGGGTGAGTTTGAGGAATTTGGGGATAACGGGATGTGGAAAAACGCTTGGACTTAGTAAGGCGATGGAGTTGAAGCAGTGCGCTTCAGAAGCCGAACAAAGGCATTATGTAGCCAAAGAAGACAGTGGTTTACAGGTTCGGCCTAGTTCCACTTATACACATGACTCATCCTTGGAGACACAGTGACGAACCACATGGTATCTCGATAAGATTCTAAGATAAGATGCGCTGTCACAAATTTGGGTTTAACGGCTGTTTGTTTCAACCTCAGGATATCCCACGGCCTTTCTCTGCTGATAATGCTCAAAAACTCAAGGACTTCATTGGTATTTCACCAATTTTACCTCAATTGACTAGAGAAATCTAGAGTTTTGAGGCTTTAGTTTTGCTAATGGTGTGATTTAGACGCCTTCCGGACTACCGCTATGCGTTTTCTGTGCAGTACGAAATTCCTCAGCCCATAACCAACGGTTGCTATTCCGACAACTTCACACCACCGGCCCGAGATTGGAAGGAGAACAAGCTGGATCCACTGGAGAACGTTATAAAGGATATGCAGGATTTACGAAAAAACTTCCGACGGCTATAAGGGAGAACAAATGGGATCCAGCTAATTCGGTTACATCGGGGAGTTCTGGGATAGACAAAGCAATCCTCTCATCGTTTGCGCCCCGGAATAGCGGTAGTAGTTGGCCCAGGAATGAAGGCGCTCCCGCACCTCCCAGAATCAACCGCGTTAGTATTGCTGGACAGGAGGGGCGTAGGGATGCTGGATCCAATAGGTGGTCAACTGAGGGATATGGACGAGGAGGGGTGGCGCAAAACCAGGAAGGAGGTAGCATAGTTCGGGGTGGCTACCAAGGTTTTAATCGACAAGCACGCCCTCCAATGCCAGGGAGGACTACTCCTTCTCAACAAGATGGATACGCTCCAAGAGAGGGCTACAGTCGGGGCGGGTACAATCAAGGAGATGGATATAATCCGAGGGGTACATCTATTGCGAGAGGATATGCCCCGAGAGAATATACATCAAAAGATAGATACGCACAAAGAGATCTATTTGCCTCGGGAGGTGGATATGCCCCAAGGGATGGGTATAATCCGGGAACTCCATCATTCAGCGAGACCTATGTTCCAAAGGAACAAACATGGAAGGCTGGCGATAGAGATGAATCAGGAGCCAAAAAATCGGAGTCCCTCGCTCAAGAAGAAACCATCACTCGACCTTTAGAAGCTACTCTCAATGATTATCAGAAACGGCGAGCGGGGAGATCTCGAGATAAGTCGCAAAACAGGCTTCTTTACGACGATTTTGAATCTGCAATATTAGAGGAAGGAGAGGTACTATCGCGTAAAGACAAGAAGGCCACTAAGAAGGCCAAGAAACGAGAGAAAAAGGAATATGCTCCAAAGATGATACCCCTGTATCTCCCGGAATATATCAGTATACCAAATCTAGCAAAAGCGTTGAAGGTCAGGCTGGAAGATTTCACACAACAGATGGAGCAGATGGGCTTCACTGAAGTGAGCCATGATCACATTTTGAACGCGGAAACAGCGGGTCTTATTGCTCAGGAGTTTAATTATGAGCCGATCATTGATAATAGCAAAGAGCGTGACTTACTTCCACGGTAAGGCCTTCATAATAGTCATCAATGGAAAGGCAGGTTTTTAACAGTATACAGCCCCCCGCCAGAAGACCGTTCCATACTCCCACAACGTCCCCCGGTCGTCACTATAATGGGTCATGTCGACCACGGCAAAACATCACTCTTGGACTGGCTCCGAAAAGCATCTGTTGCTGCTACTGAGCACGGAGGCATCACGCAACACATTGGTGCATTCTCAGTGAATATGTCTACTGGGGAAAACATCACTTTCCTTGATACTCCCGGCCATGCAGCTTTTTTGACTATGCGAGAGCGGGGAGCAAATGTTACTGATATTGTCATTCTCGTAGTTGCTGCTGATGACTCTGTGATGCCACAGACGATAGAGGCGATCAAACATGCGAGGGCTGCAAACGTTCCCATAATTGTAGCGGCAAATAAAATTGACAAGGAGGACGCGAATGTCGAAAAGGTAAAACAGGATCTTGCTAGATACGGTGTTGATGTGGAAGACTATGGTGGCGATACACAGGTCGTATGTGTATCTGCGAAGACTGGGCAGGGCATGGACGATTTAGCGGAGGCGGCAGTTACCCTTAGCGAAGTTCTGGATATGCGGGCAGAGGTGGATGGCCCTTGCGAAGGTTGGGTTCTTGAAGCTGGTACTCAGCGAGGCGGGCATATTGCAACTGTATTGGTCCGGAGAGGAACCCTTCGATTAGGCGATTGTATTGTCGCGGGCACTACTTGGGCCAAGGTCCGTCAACTTATCAACGAACGTGGCGTCGAAGTAGAATTCGCTACACCTGGAACCCCTATACAAGTTTTAGGTTGGAAAGATCAGCCTGAGGCAGGAAAGCTCGCAATACAGGCTGATAGCGAAGCAAAGGCCAAAGATGTGATCGAATTTCGTATTGAAAGGGCTGAACGGCTTCGCCAAGCGGCTGATATGGAAGCAATCAATGAAAAAAGGCGTTTGCACAGAGAGATGGAAGAGACGGAAGCTACGATTAGAGAGGAAGCTATTGAGAAAAAAGAGGACCCTGATGCCGCAGTGCTTGCGTGGGAGAAGACTTCCAAGAAAGAGGTTGCCGCTCAGTCAAAATGCCAAGAGGTTGGGTTTGTCGTCAAGGGTGATGTTGGTGGATCGGTTGAGGCAGTAGTTGCTTCAGTTGAAGAACTTGGGAATGATGAAGTCAGGGCGAAGGTCTTCCGAAGCAACTTTGGAAATGTGAGCGAGTTTGATGTTGACTATGCAGCAGCTATCGATGGTATGATTTTATTCACCGTTCCACGTGCATCGAGTGAGTTCTCATGACTGAATCAATTGTTCATAGGATACGTTCTTTGCTTCAACCTCACGCCTGATCCCGAGATTATCGTTTACGCACGTAACAAAGGTGTGACGATACTCGTACATAATGTCATTTACCATCTTATTGAAGATGCCAAACGGGTACTCTCGGATCGCCTATCACCAACAGTAATTACCAAGATTACTGGAGAGGCGGATATCGGAGTAGTGTTTAGTATTAACATTAAAGCGAAGGTATACAAACCTGTTGCGGGTTGTAAGGTAAAAACAGGCGTAGTCACGAAGAACAGCAAGGTTAGAGTTCTCAGGGATGGGGAGACTATTTTCGAGGGGATGTTGGAAAGTTTAAAAAATGTCAAGAAAGATGTGACAGAGATGAGGAAGGGAACGGAATGCGGGATTGGGTTCGAAGGTTGGGGTGAATTTCAAGTGGGCGATGTGGTACAATGCTACGAGGAAACCTTCGAGCCGAGGAGCTTGTAAGAAGGTTTTGGTGTTTCTAGAAGACAAACCTTAGAGAATTTCTGTACAGGGCATCTGTTTCATAACCTTGCATAAAACCTAGACGGGTGTTTTGAGCTATTTCTTAGGGAATCTTATCACTGGTGGAGTTTGTGTATTCATGGGTCTGATATTATATCTCTTCTCTCAATTTGTATCATAATACTCTACTGCAACAATGCTCGTTCTGGGTAGCTAGAATAATCTCTGGTAAATACATTATGTACGTACATATTAATACCAAAGTCACCGAATATGAGGGTACGCGCGGTTCTTGGTGTTTGCGTCCGGGTTTTCGTATATTTGTCATGCTCATGTGTGTATACATGTATACACATACATGTATGCTTAAAGTGATTCAACCACAAACCACTGTTAATGCATATAATCATAACATGTCTATTGTCCAGATACAGTGTAAGTATCGCTCTATCAGCATGTAACTGCCATATGTAAATGTTTGTAGGTCTATCAGATTTATTCATCAAACAATTTGAGTAGGTCTCTATAGGGACACCTTTGTGAGGGATAAATCAAATATTACAATTAAACCACCCTCTGTGTCTGAGCTAAACGAGGCAGTCTAGATGAAACTTGATGGCCTTTATCAAAACCTGGAATATGAATGACTTCCCTCAGTTCTCTCCAGCTGAATATCATTTCCTCTGTAAATTCGAATATTTCCGTGGACTGAGCCTTGATACTATTCGGAGTATCATCTCCCATCCTTCCCAATTCAGATCTAAGTGTCCCCCAGTCATTCAGCCTGGCGTGCAATTCGGCAGTCAATTTGGGAAATCTTTTGCCCTGGGCTTGAAGACCTCCTTGGGCAAACCCAACAGCAAAACGAAAGCGAATCGAATCGTCCTGGTCGAAGGTCGAGTACTCATTGATTTTGTTAAACGCCTTGATCATAGTATGGGAATCCCATTCGGCATATACAGCTGGGTCTGTGCCAGGGGGTGCCAGAACTTCGTTGATGTACTGGTATAGCCGGATAACATTTTTTCTTACATCCAATATCTTATCGTCGGTAACCCGAAGGGCTTGCTGGAGCTCCCTCGCGTTCGTTTTGTATGTGGATTTCTCCATTGGCAGTTAACAAGGTGCTATAAGGGTTACAGACACTTATATACTTAATAAAATAGAACAAAGGATCTTCACAAAGACTTGCCTTGGGTTGGGATTCTTATCTTACAATTAGCTCTAGGCAATAGTAATTGTATCGATCTAGATGAATACAACACAAGTGAACAAAGAAAAAAATACCTGATTGATACAAAGACCTTAAGCAAGCTTGACTATAAATCTAGATTTCAATACCTATAGCTATAAGTAGACATTTCAAATACTCGAGAAAGAACACTCTTCTGGTTAAAGTAAACCTTGGCTTTCATCGAGTAAATTTTAATTAAAAGGAAAGCATGCTTTTGATATTCCACCCGAAAACGTTTATCTACATCTCAAACCTGTCTAGTGGCCTGCCGGGAAATCTCTACCAACTGTCCTTACAACAAATTGCCTCTCTAGCCTTCGGGTCTGGGCTTTAAACTCGTCTACCTCTCGGTGACAGTCCAGAGGTGTCCGGTCACTAGTGCCGAGGTTAGTTCATATTTAGAGAAACTCCCCAGATAATTTCGAGAAAGACAGATGCAGGGATTCATACTGTGATCGCAAACATTTAATAACATCGTCCCTGGCTTTCTCCACATCCTTGTCCAGCTCATGCACCTTCGGGATACCATTCAGTCTTTGCCTCAGCGCATCTAGCTCTGCCTGGACCTTTTTCCTCCCAGGGTTTTTTTCTGCGCTGCCGTGCTTCTTGTCTTCGGCCGTAAGCTTCTCTTCAAGGTCGTTGAGAATCTGCGATTCGCGCTGCTGGAGGCGTTGGAGCTCAGACTCGACACGGGACTGGATGTGTAGCTCGAGGGTTTTCTCGCGAGTGGAGTCGGTCTATCGGTGATCCTTAAGTTAGACTTTTATGATCACTTTTCCCGCGGGAGAGGGCGGGGGTCAACCTCGGAAGAGGACTGCAACGACTCGACGAGATCGTTTGAAAATCGCACAGGCGTCTCGCTACTCTCCTGTCAGCGGTACTTCATTATTTTAAGTAATTAGAAATGCAGACATACCCGTAAAAGACGTGCTCTGTTGGTTTACTGTTTCCGGAACCCATTGCTGCTGGAGAAATTGTACTTGCGGCGGATGGATCCGGGTTCACGAGGGAAAAATAAAGTGACGTTGAAACTGTTATCCAGGGTGGAGTTCTATATAATACAGCTAGTATGCGTAAAATGAAGAACGCATTGCAGTTGCACAAAGTATCACTCAGTAGGATCTTTTGATGATTAAGCATGGCGCCAGTTTCCCCTCGAAACCTTCTTTATATACCAGTGAACAGGCCTCACAGACATCATGAACTTTTGCGTTAGCATCTCGATATTTAATTTTATGCCGGCCAGCACTCTCACTAGTAACTATTATTTGTCCATTGTTCAGTATTTCATTACTAGTATGTTTCTGGATTACCCAGATCAGATACTCATGCATGTGTGCCTCATTTAAAAGTCTATATACATCAAGTAACGTACATACATGTAGGTACGTGGGGGTAGTATAACAACATACATGTATACGTATACGTGTATGCTTAAAGCAACCTATACTGACTTTCCCCATAGCTACATCGCCCAAGTAAGCTACATGTATATATATGCATGATGTACATGTACATGTGTACTTTATATATGTTTTTGGATACTTGTACCCTCTATATATATCTCTTGAATGAGGTCTTTTCACAATTATTACTCTATTCGCTGCCTGATTGCTTACGGAAGCGGTTGATATAAATGTCGATACACGTTGCCGTAGTTGTAATTACATGTACATGTACTTGATATTTCCTGTTCCTTAATCACAAATTAAAACAAGACCTACCACAGTAAATAGACCAACGTGCATTCTATGCATTGGGCTTGCGCCGATTCATATATACATGTAAGTATGTGACTTGAACAAATGAATAATTCGTACATCATGAAATATTTTTCAAACCCCCCAGCACAGGAGCCGGAGCACGGGGATGGTTCAATTATTACACCTAGCGTGAGTATGCTTTAGCGGAATTCAACCCTGAAGTTTACTTTAAAGGAGCAAATGGCTTCTAAGAATCGGTTATGCAACTCAAGGCATAATAAAAAGTCCTATGCGTGATGCATGACTGGTTAACTGCCAAGCCTTAGGTCTGTTGTGCCGTTGGTCAACCCCACCATCATTCCCCTCTCTTGATGCAACTCCCTCCATCCCACCCATCCACACATCTCATCCACACATCACCCCTTACATCGTTGTGTTTACTACCTTCGCCAGTGTTAAGGTCAAACACTACATCTATTTTTCCCAAAATATTTCTTCCTGGAAGCTAGACGAACCCTCTCTATTACTGCTACCATGACTGACACTATCGAAACTACCCCTGCGGCCCAGGAGGAGAAAGCCGTCGAGACCCCCGTTGCCGCCACTGAAGTGAAAACAGAAGAGCCCAAGAAGTCTGTTACCTCTGATAATGTCTTCGCCATGTTTGGCGGTGGAGGACCAAAGCCAAAGAGAGAGGAAAAAGATGACGAAGAGCCCAAGGCTTCAAAAGAAGCTTCTGGTGCTGCTGGCGAGGTTCGTTCTTATTGTGATATTTTTGGTGGTTGTTGTACCTGACTAGTCAACAACACCCACTAGTAGTCAGGGCCTAGTCAAAATCCACTGTGCTGACATAGTGAATGTGCTGCTTTTTAGGAAGAGGCGCCTGAATCACCAGATGTCCACTTCGAGCCTCTAGTCAGCCTCGAGAAGATCGATGTCAAGACCAACGAAGAGTCCGAGGAGCAGGCATTCAAGATGTAAGTCTTTGCCGCTGCGATTAAACGATCGCTACTTCCATCCCTCTTGTGGATCCTTTAGCAGTAAATCATGTTATAGGCTAACAAGGCTTTGTTCAGGCGCGCCAAGTTGTTCAAGTTCGACAAGGAATCTCGTGAGTGGAAGGAGCGTGGTACTGGTGACGTGAGACTCCTCAAGCACAAGGAGAACGGTAAGACCAGGCTCGTTATGCGAAGAGATAAGACTCTTAAGGTTTGCGCCAACCACTATAGTAAGTTTGCACTGTCCTCATTCCTACCCCCAAATGAGCTGGGAAATCAGTTCTAAAATAGAGACTAATATAACTCTTCACAGTCGTTCCCGACATGAAGCTCTCCCCAAATGTTGGTAGCGACAGAAGTTGGGTATGGAACACCTCCGCCGATGTTAGCGAGGGTGAACCAGAGGCACAGACCCTAGCCATCCGTTTTGCCAACATTGAAAGCAAGTCCTACCTCTCACTAGATCTATTACCATTACTCAAAGAAACCCTATACTAACTTCTTTCCTCTTGCCAGACGCAAATCTGTTCAAGGAGGCCTTCATCAAGGCTCAACAGGAGAACGAGGCCCTCATTGCTAAGGAGTAATGGAAGATTTATCTTGTGTTGTGCAAACCTAACAAACTACATAATGAATGAATGGCTGTCTTGTCCTTTTTTTTCCTTGCTCAATACTTTACTGCTAGCGCAATAGGCATAGTACAAATGCTTTTACTTTAGCATGTTGTAGTAGTCATTTTCGTAAACTACGTGTAGTTTTCAACGATATCATAATGCTGTTCCTGTAAAGGAAAAGTGCGCATATACATGCATGCAAAGAAAATCATGCACATCCAAAATGAGAATAGAGTAGAATGCAGTCATCGATACATGAATGCAGCTACATGTATGTAAACGTATTCCTGGGCACTCTCACAACGTCGAAAACGACTTTGGCCACTCCTGAAAATTAAGAACGGCTCTCCATATTCCTATAAGAACAGTGCCTGTTCTCAAGAGTTTACTTTTATTGCTTTTTGAATTTAGGTGGAATTAGGCATATTGTCGGGATTGCGTCTACAACGTATTTGTGTTGTTGGATTAAAGCCGCCCAGACAAAAAAAGGCGGTTGGTATTGGTCTAAAGTTTTATCACCCCCCACAGTTCTACTCTACATACATGTACATATCTGATAGAATATCTATTATAGGTATTGTATTTTTTTCTTGTTGCATAAAACAATTTCATACGTACGATGTATTTATGATCATCCCTTCAGAATTCCGAGGTTCGATTTACGTATGGTACGTTCTTCTAACCAAACATGGTATTGAGAGACGCCGGAGACGAGGAATAGGTCAAACACGATGTATTTTCATATATTTCCTATGTCAGCCAAACGTGAGAGGAGGTGGAGGAGAGCGGGTAGTTCAGGGGCTGTTTCCATGACTGTAAGGTTGCATGCAATTAATGAATTAAACAAAAAAAAAAAAAAAAAACCAAACATGGTATAGCTAAAATAAACAAAAGATGACTCCCTTCGACCAGAGTCGAACTGGTGACCAACCGGTGAGCAAGCAATTACAGCCGGGTGTGATACCAACTACACCACAAAGGGATATATGTATCTAACAAATCAAGACAATATCAATCAATTAAGATAGTACAGCATCTTCGTCACGAAAGCTCACTCGGTTAATGTAACGGTCAAACTGTTTTTTTGTTTTTTGTTTAATTCAGTGATTGCATGCATAACGGTCAAACTGTAAATAAGTGCTGTTTTTTTTTTTTTGTTTAATTCATTAATTGCATGCAGCTTTACAGTTATGGCAATGTCACCTAAACTACCCGTTCACCTCCACCGCCACTCACATAGAACCAGACAAATGAAAAGAAAATAGGAGAAGATATGACATCCCGAACTACTCCTCGTCCCTCGCATGTTTTAGTGCTGGGAGTACGTTCATACAAGTATATACAGCTTCCGGTAGAATTATTGTGGAAAACAGGGACAACGATCACGCTGAGAACAGGGCGATTCTCCAGCGCCACATTTCCGCAATAATTCTACCGGAAGTTGTAGTAAAATAATTTATAATTTTGCGCAGAAGACTGCAACTAATTAATTAATTAATTAATTAATTAGTAGATTCATGCACTGAATAAAACCTTCCAGATGTTATGAGCTAATTTATTAGCACCGTTTGATATATTATACTTGTGTTGTTCTACGAAAATGAAGTACTTGATGATCTTCATAGTAGATACATGCAGTACACGTATTGATATTAGAAGTATTTTTGTATGTACTAGCTTTCTTTTATTATATTAGGTTTTGAATGGGTTTAGTAGTACTGTAGCGAGCACTGTAATTGGTATCTCAGCTGTCAGCAGGCAACTCTCCCCCCCCCAACTAATACATGTATAATACGATGTCACGTCAGCAAAACCTCTGTATCAGAATTTGGGATGTCAGTAATAGTAAGAAACGAAAAGGCTTGATATTCCATAGATAGGGATATGTCTATACTAGAGGTTCTTATGGAGGAGGGCAAGTAATACGTACAGGTACTACTACACCGAACACTGTGGTTGGCACGTATACGTCTTGGCCAAATGTCAGTTTACATTTACGGTGACCGATTTGGTGCTGATAAGCAATTCTTACGGTTTGCTGGTGGTGTCGGAGTTCTTCTGAAAATGCAGGTGCCTACTTACGACAGAGACTTTTAGCAAAACAAGACGAGACCCGGGGGCTGACAAGACAAGACAAGACAGGGCAAGACAAGACGAGACAAGCCCATGCATGTCTGGAAGTCTCGAGATAAGTCCCGAGACTTTTTTGATCGCAATGCTCTCCCATCCCCGTGGTCACATGACGAAAAGTCCCGAGACTTTGACGAGACTAGACCATTGTCTCGAGACTTTCAAGACTCAGTCTAAAGAAAACAAGACAAGACGAGATTTAGGGAAGTCTCGTCTCATCTCGTGCCCATAACTACACGTTAATTCTCAATAAAAATTATCACTGTCTCCGGCACCTGTATTTTCATGTTCTTATATATGGAGGAGAGCGAGTAACACCAAGTACATACGTACTTAAGTCTCTTAAAAGCATTGTTCCCAAGAGCTCTCCGCGCATAATAGATCGAATTTTCAGGAAATATACTGCTGTTAGAAGCACTTTCAGTTTTAATAATGAGCTGAAAAAAGCAAAAATAAGCATAGTTTTAATAACTGAACGAGTGATTGTTTGTGACTAATAATTTCTGTAATAATCGTGGGAGCTGAAACCCTAACCCTACATGGCAACGGCTCACTCAAACAAAACATAGGGGACCCTGACACATTGATGAGAGGGGTGCAGCTGGGCGATAAGTGAGGGATTCTCTTGCTATCTGGGGAGATGGAGCAGGGTCATTGAGGAGGTTGAGCAAAAGTTCTCGTAGTAACTCACGAACCCAACCACATAAGCTACATGTGGTATGGCCGCGGGCGATAACTATATGTACTTTATAAAACTAACTTCGCAAGTTACTGGCTCTAAATACAGGTAAATAGAAAGACTAGTAGTGATAGCTTTTACCTGACAAGTACAGACATAAATACATGTACGCAAGGTGAACATGCCAAACTGAATTAATGGGATAGACGACTCAAGGCTACGTATTTCGAATGCACTCACGTACACGTTCGTTTGGGGAGCTTCATATATCTATTCTTAATAAATAGAGCTCTTACTGCAGCGCTGGCCTGGTCCGTTGGGAAAAATTCCTCAACTGACCGTATTTCTGGGTGACCAGAGCATTGACTCCACCAAGAGCCAAGTCGATTTTGGGCATTTATTTTATTTTAGACCTGGAGTAAAGAAAATACACACAATAAGTATATCAAATAGTTGAGCTTTTGATCAAGCTTACTGAAAGAAGAGAAAGAGAAAGAAAAAAAAAGAAAAAAAAACGGAAATAATTCTCGCGCCTATACTCCACCCACCACCGTTTCGCCTCCCGTAAGCCATTTCCCAAGATCCCATTCATACAACTTTCCTTACAGCGGAGTGGCCAACATTCAAACCCGTCAAGACAAAGCAACACCAACGAGGGTGGAAAGAGTACAAAAAGGAAAGAGAAAGAGTGACAGGAAAAAAGAAAAGAAACCATGCATCCCCTCACGGTAACATTTAAATAGGATTTCCTTCGGTCTTTTGTGAGGGTGAAATGCATCCTCTATTCTATACACAGGAACGTATTTTTTTTTAAATGTCCCAGAGCTATAAAGGCATAAGTAACATGACAAGAAAAGCTAGCTCCCAAATCCATAAAACGACAAGAACGATAAGATAGATTTGAGAGAGAAGCGATTAAAGAAAAGAATGATATAGATATATATATCCTATTCACCCAATGCTTTGAAGTCACTTGGCCGGATTCTTTTCGGCCTTTGGTGTCGGTGCGGGTTTACTGGTTTCCTCATGTATGGGCTGTCCTCCTCGCTTGGAAACGGCTCGCTGAATACAGTTTTCTGCTGGTTTGGAAAGTATCCAAACTTGGCTACCCGTGCCGCCTCCTGTTGTTGCTGTTGGTACTGCTGAATCATATATGGGTTCATGATCTGGTTGTTTCCGTTCGGGCCCATCGGTCTTGGACCTCCGCTCAACGCCCTGCCCATCCCGTTCATGCCCATACCAGGACCCATACCCATACCCATACCTCCTTGATTCATGCCGGGATTCATGTATCCTCCTCCCATGCCATTCATTCCGTTCATGCCCATCCTCATGTTCCCAACGCCCATACCGTCAATCCCGCCGTTCATACCGTTCATACCGTTCATTCCATTCATGCCCATCATGCCATTCGGGCCATTCGGCAAATATTGATTACTGTTATTAGCATGGTAATAGGTACCGTCCATACCATGCATCCCGCCGTTCATATTATCCATGCCGTTCATACCGGGCTGGTACTGGTTATACCCATTGTGGTATTGCTGCTGCTGTTGCTGCTGCGGTGCTTGCTGTTGGTGCTGGATCTGTTGGTGTTGGTGTTGATGATGTTGATGTTGCTGCTGTTGCTGCGGGGGTGGTGTATTCTGATGTTGGTTCTGTTGAGGAAATTGTTGGTGAAACGGCTGTTGTTGCGCCTGCGGCCCTTGCTGTGGCACATTAAACATCTGACCATTGCCACCATATATACTACTAGGGATAGGCTGGTGTTGAATAGGAGGCTGTTGATATTGGGGAGGGTTTCTCATAGCGGCAGGCCCGCGAGGGACCTGGGGTCCAAGGTCATCCTCGGCAGGTCTTTTCCTAGAAGTAGATGACGAACTGACAGATGAAACAGTGGAAGACAACGGACTTTTCCCATTCGTAGCCAAATTCGGACCATCTCTGGCCTTTACAGCAAGCCCGGGGGTTACAGAAGGACTCATTGATTTCTCCCTATCCTTGATCTCCTTTCCCTTCAAATACTCCTCGACCTTACTCCTTGTTTCGTTATCCACCACCAAGGAGTCCAAGAGAATCTCCTTGGCCTCACAATTCGGACAAATAAAATCCGATTCCAACAAAGCAGTCTGAATACATTCCTCGCAATACACTTTTCCACAGCAAGGAGTCTTGGAAGCACCACGAATAAGTTTATGGCACATTAGACATTCAATCCCTCTGTCCTGTAGTTCCTTATTTCCAACAGGTGTGGAAGACTTTGCAGTCGTTGCAGCTTTCTTCTGATAGGATTCCCAAGACGCTTGATCCGGCTGAGCAACGACATACTCTCCATCAGCATTCACCATGACAGAGGTAGTGTTAGCATGAGGCGTAGTGCTTTCATCATCGGCGGATGGTGGAAGGGGCTTCTCAACAGCTTTGAGAAAGCTGCGAGGGATGCCGGTCGTACGCTTGATTCGGGTACGACCATCAAAAGTTGGATCAGCGTTTGTAGGACATTGCTGAATCCAGTGCCCTGTATTCATTAGTTCCATGATATGTGAATATATAAATACATATATGTTTGTTTTTGGTATTCCTTACCTTTCTCGCCACAACGATAACAAATGTATCCATTGGGTGGCGGGTGAGCAGGAGCTGGTGCATTGTTTTTCTTGAAGCCGCCCTGGCCTCCACCTCCACGATGGATTGGGGTAGCACTATAAAGCGCAATTACGCAGCATGTCAGTATTCATGGCAATGACGAAGAAATCGTAAAAAATCCATCATATTCAAAACTATATACGCACTTGGCCATCTGCTCCTGGGTTTTATTCCATTGCTCACTCGAAGCCTGAAACATTGCAGCGATTTTATCTTCCTCAGAATCACCTGTCCCCCACCACTACTCAGCCCAGGGAAATTACTACCATTATTTGAGACTGGCTCCGCTTTTTTCACGGCAGTAGGCCCATTCCCAAAGTTCTTTTCCCGACGACCTGCATTAGGAAGTGCATTCATGGGCATCTTTCCACTAACATATCGCTGCGCAGTTCCGCGTCCGGGTTTAGACGGAGGCAGACGACGGGCAATGATAGGTGTAGAACGTGGTATGATAGTAGTATCGTCGTCATATTCTAAGTGTCAAAGATAATTAGCCAGGTTACATGAGAAAAGCATAAGCTGGAAATAATCAGTCCACCAGCGCAAAATATACATACCTTCCCCTGTTTCTTGGTGATTAATCGCTAAATCAAAGTCTGTTCCATCACCTAGTCGATGAATGGTTATGATTTGCCGCTTAAGCTCAAAAACCGATATTCCGGTCCCGTCGAAAGTAACTCTCGACATCTCCTGTTGAGATTTAAATTTGAAAAATACCGATGAAGACATAATGGCGATTCCCGTTCCTAACACTTAAACAAACAAACAAAAAAAGGCACAAATTCCGCCTGCTGTTGTTGATGGTGACAATCGGTCGTGACGTTCGTCACAATGGACGATTTGCAAGGAATGGAGCTATGCGACTTTTTTTCTTTTCTTTTTGATGAGGATGGAAAAAGAGGTTGATTATACCACTTTCGTGTGAGTGACTCGAGGAAAATAGGAGGGGGAGAAGAACTAAATGATGGAAAATCGGTCTGGAAAAAGACAAACCGAAACTACACAGGATAGGACTCTTTTCTTTCTCGCCAATCTTCTTTTTTTCTTTTTTCTTGCCTTATCTTGTTGAGATGATGTTTTCGATTCAGGACACCAATGAAACACAGTAATCCGAAACCTTTAATGCCAAACAAATAATAACCCAGCCGATGAAAAAAACAGAAGAAAAAGAGCTGTAGATAGAGGAAACAGGAGGGGAATAAACAGAGTAATGATCTGACAAGAAGGGTATGCTCTCTTTCTTCTGGGTAAAGCCAAAGTTCTGGCAACAAAGATGGAAAAAAGGAGAACCCCTCAACACGGAGGTGACGCGGTTGGATGTGAGAGAAACTTAAGCAAATAGATGACAAGAGCCCAAAGTATATATCCCACGTAACTCCAAATCTAAAAGATGGGAGACTCTGAAATTTCCCAAGATTCCCGCGTGATTGGGGGGGAGGATGGGGATAATTGTACCAACTTTGCGCGTGGCGATAGAGTGAACCAACGTGATGTGAAAACCGGAAAGCTGCTTCTGTCAGGATGAATTTGATGGAAGTGTCCTTGAAAAGTATCGTTACGATGATTATATTAGTGGAGCCGACGGAACCATAGGCCGTCAAGACAATGTCGTGAGAATGGGTTGGTGTAATGATGGCGGCGACAAGGCGGCTTGAAGAAGAAGGATGAAAAGGCCCCTTGGTGTTAGAAAGTCTTCCGATTGGGCAGTGAGGTCATTTGTCAGCGGGGTCACCAGTGGTATCTAGCCACAATACCCAGCTCTACTCACCCAAGCGGAACTTTAAGTCACAAACAGTGGTAGAGGCGGTGCAGCTGCAATAATTCAACGACTCGGTCCTTCGTCTAGCCTGGTCTGTATGAGGCGAAAAAGTTCCTAATCCCGGCCCTGGTCCATCAAACCCACCGTTACTCCCCTCTCAGACTTTCTCACTCCCTCCCATCTTTCTACATCTAAATATCTCCCATCATTCTCCATCGTCTTTAACTCTCTCAATTTTTCTTCTCCGTACCTGGAAGTTCCATCCAAAATGCTTTTCAATCCTGCAAAGTCTTTTGTGTCGCGCATCGCCGGCCATGCTGTCCGGAAACCTATCTCCAGTGTACCCCGAGTAACGGCTTTTCCAGCAGCTCTTAGAATACAGCAGCAGCAGAGAGGAATGGCTAGCGCTGGTACCAAAGACTACACTGTTAGAGATGCTCTGAACGAAGCCCTTGGTATGTTTCTGTTTTTAACAATTCACAAATCATTGAAAGATAGAAATCGCTAATAAAATCATTGTAGCTGAGGAGTTGGAGAGAGATGAGAAGGTTTTCATCATGGGCGAGGAAGTTGCGCAGTACAACGGAGCATACAAAGTTACCAAAGGCTTGTTGGATAGATTTGGCGATAAGCGGGTTATTGACACTCCGTAAGTCCGCTTTCCGTACTAATATCATTACCTATATACTAACTGCTGAGCACAGAATTACCGAGCATGGTTTCGCCGGTCTTGGTGTAGGAGCTGCACTTGCTGGTCTTAACCCTGTAGTTGAATTCATGACTTGGAATTTTGCTGTTAGTTAGGCTCATTATCTATAAAGCATAGATACTAATATTTCTGATAGATGCAAGCAATTGATCAAATTATCAACTCTGGAGCTAAAACCCATTACATGAGTGGTGGTATTCAGCCCTGCAGCATCACCTTCCGTGGCCCCAACGGGTTTGCCTCTGGTGTCGCCGCCCAGCACTCGCAGGTATGTCCCACAGGTGTATTACAATTCGGGAGACAAGCTAACCCCCAGCTAGGATTACTCTGCGTGGTACGGAAGCATTCCTGGCTTGAAAGTAGTCACTCCATGGAGCGCCGAAGATGCGAAGGGTCTGTTGAAGGCTGCCATCAGAGACCCCAATCCAGTTATGGTTCTTGAGAACGAGTACAGCCCCAGGAAGCTTAATTGTGGCCAAATTATACATTATTAACCATTTTCGACCTTTAGACTATTATATGGGCAGACTTTCCCCATGTCCGAGGAAGCTCAGAAGAGCGACTTTGTTCTCCCTGTAGGTATCCAGAATTCTGGGTTTGGCTGGGCGCATGACTAAAACTATAATCCTTCTAGATTGGAAAAGCAAAAGTTGAGCGTGTTGGGAAAGATCTTACCATTGTGACACTGTCCCGCTGCGTCGGCCAGGCACTCACGGCTGCGGAGAACATCAAAAAAAAGTATGGCGTTGAGGTTGAGGTCATCAACCTACGTTCAGTAAAGCCTCTTGATGTTGAGACCATCATCAAGTCCGTTAAGAAGACCAATCACCTCATTGCTCTTGAGAGCGGTTTCCCTAGCTTCGGTGTCTCCAGTGAGATTTTGGCGCTGAGCATGGAATACATGTTTGACTTTTTGGATGCCCCTGCTCAGGTAGGTCTAATCCTAACTCGTTTCTGAAACCAATTTTTACTAAATCTTTAATAGAGAATCACTGGTGCTGAGGTTCCAACACCATATGCCATCGGACTTGGTAAACTACTCCCAATTATATGGTTTCTTGATTTTCGTTTATGTCTAGATACTAACGCATTTTACAGAGGCTCTTTCTTTCCCCGACGAGGCACTCATCGAAAAGAAGATCGTCCAGCTCTTGAGACTGTAGATAAGTTGTTGGTATCAGGAGGGAATTAAATATTAGGGTTAGAGTTGGACTGCGGCTGACGGTGGCGGAGACGAAACTCATGGAGGTGTAATTCTCACTTTCTAATGGAAGTTCTACTTTTTTTCATGACACGCTTGATTTCTGCATCGTGAGATATCCAATTCATTCCGATTCGTTGGTCACCGTGCGTTTTAAGTCTTCATTTCTTTCTTTTTAGGTGTAGGGATAGAGCGATATCACGGTTGAAATAGTTTATGAATTAGGGTAAAGAGTAAAATAAACTCTCAAAATATCCAAAAAAAATTATACATAGTTTATTTCTTATTGCTTTCCTAAACAATGCGTGCTGTGGGTACTGCTCTAATAACTGTGAGGAGCTTTGTTGGGAAGTGGCAGCCCAACAGAGGCTGATGAAGCTTGGCGGGCTAGGTGCTCGATTTTATTCTCCCTGATCCGGGTAAGTCTTGGTTGGAACCCCCACGCGGCTTATTAACCTTAACAAACGCACAACGCAGGTTAGTAGTAATCCGAGTTCGAAAAGAGCTACCTGGAGTAAATAACAATATGGGTAATGTTTCACTTCTCATTCGGGGCCAGATGGGAATGCCCCCAACGCGGTCTACAAAACGCAAGATTTAGTGCATGTAGTGGGTATTCTTCAAACCAGACGTGTTGTTAATAATATCAGCCTTATGGCCATTCTAGCTTCTTGCAGGCGTAGAGATCGTCAGGAATATTCCAGAACAAACTATACCTAAACTATCGGAGATTGTTTACAGTTTCAGCGGACAGCCGGAGCAAAGGATAGAGTAGAGTATTATTACTAGTGAAAGAAGATGCAGGCACAAGGTAGACCCTGCCAAGGCCACTAGTACATAACCGAATGAAAATTTATGTATGTACATGTATGTTTAGGGTTGTGTACCCCGAACTGACTACAATCGCAACCGTACCTTCAACCAGACATACATGTATCTACAAATAGACCGCATATATATCCAGTTGACTATCATTGGTCTTCCGTTTTATTATCCTAATTATTATATCAGAATAAAGCTAAGGGTTTGGCCGGCTCTTTAGATCCGTATACATTGCCGAAAAGTCGATATAACGAGGGTCTTTCCCGGGGAAATTTTCCTTTATCACCACGCAAAGCGCTACTAATCATGAAAGCATGCGATTTCTCATAAAGTTTCCGGAAACGAATCACTGTCTAAAATGTAGAGTCTCCAATCTCGGCCGCCAGCGAAAAATAAACCTCATAAGGCATACAAAGGGGCTATAATGCTAATATGCATATCTGGAGGGATTGCGTTGATCGTTCAATAAACCCAACTTCTGCCAAAAAGGGATATTATTAATCCTCACTGGTTACACAGTCTCGTCTATAGCTTGATCGTGGATTGGAGGTTGCTAGGTGAACATGTCAAATGAGCGTCTATCCGTGTAGAAATTACAAGACATGGGTGTTCTATTACCCATAGCCAATGTCTTGAAATACGACTAGATACCCGTGTCTACCGCCACCATCACTCGCTGCGTCCGACAGTGCGAAGAAGCTCGTACATTGCACACAAGTATATGTATGGCTTCTATCAAACTGAGCTATTCTGTTCTCGACTATTCGGTGAAGGAATGGCAATATATATTAAATATATATAACTTTCACAAGGCATATCCTCCATTTACCGCCTAGTCAGCAAAAAGTGACAAGTTTTAACGAGTGGATACAATTACAATTAACAATAGATATGTGGGTAAAACTGATACCCCATCAGTACTAGAATACCGCCTTATCTCTCTAGACCCGGTGTTACCGGAGTTCTATGGCATTGCCAAAGATTTTAGCATTGTAAAGAGATTCCAACGTTCTGCCCAGAGTGCCTGCATGATATTTACTCCAGGACCAAGTACCTACTTGTGCTTAGTATAGTAGCATACATAGTAAATATTCGGTAATAATTAAGTCATCATCATACCACGACTTGAAGATTTGGAGAGTAAAGAAAGTCCTCCCTTTATCCGGCTAAATAGTTCTACAAGTGGTATTGGTTATTTAGACGTTTGTAATGTGGAGACAGAGGATGCATGTATACGTACTCGCTTGCACCTCAAGTTAGACATCCTCCCTCACTCGAACACATGGCTACTGGCTCCTGTTTGAGTAGATGATTATAATTATCAGCGGAAAAAGACTAACCTACAACGCTATTGGTTCGTGAAGAGCATTAATGTAAATCAAACTTTTGGTTGCTGCCGAGCTGCCGAATTATAAGGTCCTGACATTCAAGCTGTGTAGCAAATACTAGCAATTAAACGTCTAAGCGCAGCTAGCGCAATTCCGGTGAGCAGTAAGCACGCGATGGCGGGGTTGACCCGATTACCTCATCCTGGGCCCTGGGGTGAAACCATGTGTGCTAGAGGTTGTGCGCTCCGACACCACCAACAAGCTCTGTGCGTGTTGCATTCCCTCGTTCCCTACCGCTTTTGGCCTCTTCCTTTCTTTCTACGGTACGGTAAACCATGGAGGTTCAAGAAAAAGACGAAGGAAGCCTTGTGAGGTCTTTGAAGGATCTTTTTGCCGGCGCTGTTGGTGGTATCGCGCAGGTGTTGATCGGTATGTACATACATTTATAGGTTTTGGTGGAAGCTAAGCTCAATCGATTGCTAATTTGCGAATTTACAGGCCAGCCGTTCGGTGCGGACTTTTCCCCCAGATATCAGTTAGTAAAGAGTTACTGACTCACATTCCCTGTAGATATTGTCAAAGTGCGCCTTCAAACCACCAGTCAATACTCTAATGCACTTGATGCTGCTGCCCAAATTTACAAAAACGAAGGCGCCCTCGCTTTTTACAAGGGAACATTGACTCCACTCGTCGGTATTGGTGCTTGCGTGTCAATCCAATTCGGTGCATTTCACGAAGCTCGTCGCCGCATTGCCGAGTATAATGCCGTGAAGCACCCACAACGCAAGGAACTCACATACGGCCAGTACTACCTTGCCGGTGCAGCTGCAGGTCTTGCCAATTCTGTCATCTCGGGTCCCATTGAACATGTGAGGATCCGTCTTCAGACTCAGCCACATGGTGATGCAAGGCTTTATAATGGCCCACTGGACTGTATCAAGAAGCTTGTTGCTACTGGGGGCATCAGGCACGGGCTTTACAGAGGGGAGATGGTCACAATCCTTAGGGAGGCCCAGGCATACGGTGTTTGGTTTTTGACGTTCGAGTACTTGATGAATATGGAATCAAGGAAGGTCAGCCGTGAGGACATCCCGGCGTGGAAGATTGCACTGTATGGTGGGCTTGCTGGAGAGGCGCTTTGGCTGGTGAGCTATCCCCTCGATGTGGTTAAGAGCAAAATGCAGACAGATAAGTTGGGCGACGACAAAATCTATAAGAGCATGACAGATTGCTTCAGGAAGGTGTGGCAGAAGGAGGGAATGAGGGGTTTTTGGAAAGGATTGGGACCGACTTGCCTAAGAGCTATGCCGGTGTCTGCAGGGACTTTCTTTGTGTACGTTGTTTTTCTCACCCCGTCCTCTTTACTTTCCACCTGACTGGTATCACCAACTAATCTGGATTTATAGGGTTGAAATGACAATGAGAGCCATCAAATAGACATGAAAACTCAATTCTTGGCGTGAAGGGAGAACAGCCTGAGCTAACATATTGATACCCACTAGCTGGTAACAATGCTTTCCACGGAACCGTAAGGTTCAATCTCTATAGACACAGTTGTACATAAGGTCAAAACAAATATTTACATTTATCATTCTATCTTTTCTGTCTGTAGCCTTATTACATGTAAAGATTTAATTTGAAGTCTGCATTTCCGCATCCCTGATCCTTGCGTTTCGTCCGGTTTCTCCTGCTCTACCGAGAATTCCAGCAACGAGTTGTACAGCTCTCAAGCTTTAAGGAGAATTAGTAAAAAAAATAAGACCAACATGGATGGTAAAGAAACAAACCTGTCATCATTACACGGAATAGGGTAAGTAACCCTCGTAGGATCAACATCGGTGTCAATGATCGCAATGGTGGGCACTCCAGCCAGCGCACACTCATGTAAGGCTACCTTATTTTCTAGGGGCGAAAAGCAAACAACCAGATCTGGAGTAATAGGGTTTGCTCCCTCAATTGGCTTCTCTGACACTACACGATCTCTCATGTCCTTCTCTACGACGGTTCCCCATTCGAGAATTTTCTGGGAATTCGTGATTGTTCCTGGAACCCACCAGTCGAAAACATGGTATCCGCCGGCCAATTTTGCAGCCTGGACGACACAGCGGGCTTGACCTTCACGGGTACCAAGAAAGAGAATAACACCACCTTTACGGGCTACACCCTCGACAACCTTGGCCGCACGACGAAGGTGTGCAGCGATAACCTCAAGCGAGATAATGTGAATTCCATCACGAACACCGTAGATGTAGCGTGCGTTACCGGGGTTCCAAAGAGAGGTGAGATGGCCGAGATGAGCACCAGATGCGAGAAGGAGCTCGAGGGTTATATCTTTGGGACTGGGCGGGTGGTTGACAAGCACATGGGGTTGGTAATGAGGAGACACTTTAGTTCCCAATCTTCCGGTAGTGTTTTCTATACCGAGATTAGTGATCTCCCTCAAAAAAAAGTTTTAAGAAGCTTCAACGCGCAAAGCCGAGGTAACGAGGAGCGGAAAGATCATACTGAAATTCCTAGAATTGATATATGCTTCGGCAGTAGTAAAAGCCTGCTCTGGGCCCTTCTGAACTGCCTGGGCTCCATGAGATTGATCGTTCTGTCCCAGAGTGGCCAGGCTCCTGCCCCACACTATCCTCGAAGTATTCGAAACCGATTGAAATGCCAGTCGGCCTGTATCCGCTCATCGTCAGCGACCTGGTCAGGTACCTACTTCTCCTACATCTCCCAAATGAGGTGAATACTGACTTTCCCGTAATAGCGAACTCCTGACAATCATGGCTAGATTTCTCGTGATGGGACGAGGTGTAGTTTTTGCGGGGAGGGACGTTGGACGTCGCGATTCTAGCGACAAGGGTCGCGGCCGCTAAGCAAATTATTTGTGTTGCACTAGTGGCACCATCAATTAGGCTCTTTCCGTATGTGCAAGAACACGGCCCTTGGTTCCTGAATAATTATCTCCTTCGTACATTAGATGACATAAGACCGATATTTTTACTCTGAGGACTCATGCCATAGCTACATGTACCTGCATGTACCTACTAGAGTACATGTACTTACATAGCCATTGTACATGTATAGGCTTTAGCCGCCACCATCTGAGCTAATAGGCTACTGTTAGTACTAGTAGTGGATGAGGCCGGGGCATAGCGTATGATACACTCGCAGGATATCTCGAACTCCCATACAGAATAAAAGATTTGATGTTAAATTTCAGCAAAGCCTGGCCAGCCACCAGATAAAAAAAAAACCTATCATTCCATTTCACGACACACCAAATGATCTCCTCCCTAAGAAATAATTCCAACTACACCACCGGGGCTTAAAATAAGGGGAACTGGCCTACTCTACTTATGATACAAGTACTTAGCAACTTTCAGAAGGAATGGAGAAAAGTAAGGAGAGGTTGGACGAAATAATGCCCACAGTTCCTTCCTCCCACGCCGCGGCTAGTTTCATCTACGAATCTCAAAAGAAGACCTGCTTGCTTGCTCGCGTAGTTCACGCAAATCAATAGAACTTCTGCTGCTCTGATCAAAGGATGCCCTCATAGAGCTTGATGAACTTCTACGTCTCTGTCTTCTTGCCTCGTTTGGATCAACCGGGGTTAATCCTGAGCTTCTTGCAAATAGGTTGAGAATATCCGTGAGTGATACCACACCAATAAGACGCCCGCTGAGATGTGCTCCAGGGATCGAGCCAGCGTTGATCGTCGATGGTCCAGATAATGGGAACGATGAAGATGGAAGATTAGGGCTCATCAAAGACGGCGGAGGGACGGCGACAGCATGAGAGATTGTAGGGGTTGGCGGAGCCGTTGATGCAGGGCTAGGAGAATCGACCACCCACATCCTGTGAAGATACATATCGTAAGTGATGAACAAAAAAAGAAGGATAAGCATCTAATAAAATCATATACCTATGTGCCTGTGTAGCCACGAGTTTTGCGACAGTATGGGCAAGGGATGACTGTGAATTCACGTGGAAAACTGGATATGAATCTTTGCCATCGTTCAAACCCCTGTCTGTCAAGATGACCGAAAGGAAATGAAGGCATGAAGATTTTAGCAAGGGCATGGAACTGGACCTAGTTAAATACTATATCATATAATGAAATGTCAGTGCTTTGCTTTGAGATAGGGAATGCCTATCATGAGTGTTGTTTAACGTACCTTAACATCCAAGGTGGAAATATTCCCAATGACATTGTGCTGGTTGTCGATAACAGCCAATGATGAGACTCCCTCAGAGTTCATTAGCTCCAGTGCATCAAGGACTCTTTTGTCACCACTATAATACGTCAGTAATCATCGCCTAAATGTGGCCCGCAGGACGCATAGACCGGTATAGCCGCAGTAACTCCAAATATGTGCTTCTAATTCTCCATTTATCAAGCAAACACAAAATGGCCCTTGCTTAACGGATGTCTAAGTACGTATCTTCCAACGCACCGAATACTCTACTGGGCAACCCGGTCTACTACATCAATGCATCATGTGAAAGCCCAGCAAGGAGCCTTTTGTGCTTTCAGGGAGATATCTTACTTTATGGAGATGACATCGGCAGAACCCATATTTAACTCACGAAGATTCCGGGGATAGAGTTGATCAATTTCTGGAAAACTCCGTCCATTCTCCCAAAAGAATGAGACAAGGCGCAACTGGCTAAGCATTCCGATGACCTGGTCAGTCCCCTCGCGAACCACAGCTATTCGATGAACCCCACTTCCAAATATTTCCACCACTTTAGAAAGTCCTTCGGTCTCGGATACTGTGATAAACGGGTCTTTTTTCCCAAGATCTTTGACGAGCTTGACCGGGATAGCTGATCCCGCGCGAGCTTTTTTTGCTAGTTCTTCGAATGAGGACATGTCCTCGTCTTCTTCGGGTTGGTAGAGACCCATAATTAGGAGAAGAAAGGCGCATAGATCGCTGTAATCAAAGGTTCCGCAGACAGACTGCTCAGTAGGAGATGAGCGTATTGGGATAGATGAAAGCTCATAGTCGATAAGCATCTTAAAGTAGCCTCATGCCAGCAGTTAGATAATGGAGTTCATGCATAGAAGAAGCATAATTTCTTCTCGAAGGCTACCCAACCGGAAATAACCCGTTGGTGAAGGTTTATATATGGGCCGTCCCGACCTCCCCCCGGATACGAGTAGCACCAAAAGGGATTGAGGAAATTAGGACATACCTGACATGCAGATTCAACGGGAGTCTCAAGATCAACAAAACGGAGCTCCTTCTGGCTGAGTAATTCTCCGACTTTTACACTCCTCCAATCTCGCAAGACCGCCCCACCTTCTTGTTTCGGTTGGGGAGGACTAGATAGGATGTCGGCCATCGAGTGCTGTGAGACTGAAGGATGACGAGACGGAGATCTCGGGGACGGTGGGTGAGGAGCACCGCGAAGACTTCCGATACTTGCTCGTGTGTTGAGACTGCCCGTGGGCGGTGAATACGGTGGTAGATCAGACATTACTTTCAAATTATTTGAATCGGCCGTTGAAGAATAGCTTATTGTTGGAGATATGCTTGGAAGAGTGGAATTATGGGTTGCAGAGGCGAAGATACTGGTCCCTTCTTTGGTGGGGGAGAAGCTCGGAGGTCAACGGCGATGTGAGCTTTGAGACCGATACGTGGGCAATTAATGTAACTTCCCCTCTTTTGGAGTTTTTTATGCTCTGTTCAAAGCTATACCTCTCTGCTCGTCTCAATCGGTATCTTGCAGGCCTTCTCTCAGTTTTGTCTATGTTTCTTCTGTGTACCCTTTCGCCCTTCTCTAGACACTTTTTTTCTTTCCAAGTATTAGATGGGACGAAGAGATGATCGAGCGGGAGAGGTGTAACTTGAAAGTGGGCGGGGAAGGGAAGGGAAAGAGCGAGATGGTCTAGCGTTGGTGTGGGGTGACAAGCAACAGTGGCAACCGGTGCAGTACCCTTACTGAGCTACGGTACCTCGAAACTCTACGCCTCTCCCAACTATACCCCCGGCACCTCATAAGGGCTGTAAAGTAAAATACCGTGTACCTACATTTACACGGATGTTAATTATAAGGAAGGGATAAAAGACATGTATGTCTCGGCTTGTATAGAGCTCCCAATGCCAATAGTGAGTATGTAAGGACAACTCTATGACATTGTGTTCTAACTGCATGCTTACATGTAGTCGGCCACTCGTAGTCTTAGTTTACTAATTATGTGCGGCGGGTTTTCCTCCTTCACTGGCAGTGCGTGTGTCATCATCAACGAGTAGATATATTTGTTTGAGGGGCTTAGCATCGATTGCGAAATTAGGCTGGCCCTCCCCCACGAGCGGGTACTATTCTTGTGCAGTAAGTAGCAGCATCATATGTTACACCCGATTGGTTATATGAATTCCGAGAAACCTTTTGCTCGATCCTCCCTCCCATGTTTCAACCTACTGCTGTGCGTGCAGTACTCCTTCTTGCATTGGATGCTAGTGGTGGGGTCTGCGCTTACAGCAGGGGGTTTTGAAGCAAGTAAGCACACACAATCTATGGTGTATGCACCGCGTAAGCCGGATTGCTTCTTGGTAAGTCGTTTAGGATTGGTCGATGTTGCGAGCTGTACCACATGGGAATAAGACAGCCTCAACACCTCTTTGATGAAAATCCCGCGGTTCTCTCGATGGAGCCATAACAGACGGAATTTGAGTTAAGATCTGTCTTCTGGAATACGCCGAGCGCTGTTCAAAATCACGGAATGCATTGCCTCAGTACTCAGGCTAACCCATTTTGGGCATGCATGGCTGAAGTCTGAGATGGGGAACACTCAACTAGCTCAGAGGGTCACTTTATTTTCGGCCTGTTGGGACAAGCTTTGAATTGATCCTATTAGGAAGGTCAATAATGCAATGTTGGCGTTAGTTTTATCTCCACAAGCAATGCTCTTCGTGATAAATTACCAATAACCAGCCCCAATCAAGAGAAATGAGGGGATCAAAGGATGTCATGATCATATTTAGAATACAATTTGAGAGATTGGGTTTGAGCAGGGGTTTGTTCTTCTAGGTGCTTTCTGAGGTCCATCTTCGAGCATATTTCTTTTGCTATAGTGATTACTTTGCAATCCGAGCCGTTTCCTACTGCGTGCTAAAGTCCGAATGACAATGCTAATCCACTAGAAAAGAACTAAACAGCCAGTTGCTTGTGCCACAGGATGACGTCCCTTGGGAGTGAATAGGCTTTATGGTCGAACATGTATATAATATAAACCCAAGCCTCAGCTCACCCGAGGCTCTGTACAGCTAGCTATAGAGCAAGATCAACATAATATATAGAGCAGAGCCTCCTCTCTCTTGATTTCTTTTGCCTCACATCCCTCCCTTCCTTTGTAAATCTGTCTTCACCCCTAGCTACTCACACATATCTTTACATCGTCTCACTAGATAGTAAGATCCCAAAAACGATGAGTTCTTTAGGGAGTCCCAGTTACTACTCTCCACATTCTCCTGACCAACTTGACGGTACATCCCCCCGCAACGGCAATAGCCATCGGAAAAGGGTTGGCAAAGCTTGTGACCGATGCCGCTTGAAGAAAAGCAAGGTATGAATCCCGTATGTCTGTTAATATTGCTCAATGAAACATTGAAGTGCCATATCTCCTTGGAATTTTTGTGTTCGTGATCTAATTTGAGATTATTCCAGTGCGACGGTAGCAATCCATGCCGCCGATGCAACCAGGCGGATCAGGTTTGCACTTTCACGGAACGTAAACGGCCGAAGGGCAGAGTTTATCCCGACGGGTATGCCTACACCCCTCCTTCCCCCGAGAACAAAAAGCACAGAATTGGCTCGAAGTTGACACAACAACATTATTAGTTACGTCGAGATATTGGAGAGCAAATGTCAAGTTCTTATAGGAGGATTGATTGAATTGAATCGTCTCAGAAAGAATCTTCCTCTTCCAAAAACCCAAGCTATAACTGGTCTGGCCAGTGGCAAGCTCGCCAATCAGATATTGAAGGAGATAGGAATCAATACAACCCTTACGGACAGTGATCTTGAGGATGGAGATGATGGACTGGAACACGGATATTGCCATGACGACGAGGAATTGACGACTTCTGCTACTGGTTCACCTGAACCCACGAGCGACTGCTGGGATATGTTTTCTCAACATCAGGGACATTCAAGATCTCAGCAACCACAATGGAACCAAAATCATATACGACCACGGGGACCGGAAGGTTATTACCACCAAGTTATGAGTTCTACTATAACACCTCCTTTAACAGTACCAGGAACTTCCGATTACAACTTGACAAGTCGACCCAATGCCGCTGATGACCCCCCATACTATCAACATCTCAGTCAGGAATTACAAATACCAAATGAAACAATCGGCACCAGTATACTTCCGCCGTCACCTTCAACACTTGGTGAATACAACTCAGCACGTTCCACTGCCGGTACTACATACACTCCGGGTCAACTAATACCCCACTACTACAACAGTGATATGGAAGTATTTATTGATTTAAACGGTCTTACGTCAACCTCCGAAGGACAGAATTATTGGTGAGTAATTCACGACCTCCATCCAATTTTCCTTAGCTTATAATTTAAAAAAAAAGTATGGGACGTTACAGGTTTTAGAAATATTAGATATTATCGAGAGAAAATAATCTTCATCACTCTAGATTTATGGGTTTTGCGCTATAGGTGTATATATATTTCACCCTTTTGCTGTAGGTTATAAAAGGGCTGAGAATGGATTGGGCTGGCGTTCTTATTTTTTCTCTTTCTTTTCATCATGGTTGTTTCTTTGAATTTTTCTAAAATGTGCTTTATATATTTAAGACAAGTATTAAATGAGTCTATCCGCGTCATAGAATACAGCTATAACTGATTCAACTTGTTGTAGAATGCAGTAGGATTCGAACTCACTTTCACCGATAGTACACTTGTCACTTGTTGCTAAAGTTTATGCTAATATACATGTAGCTATAGTGGATACATTTCATTAATTGATCGTCACCTAAGAGAATCGATCAATTGAAGAGGCCCAAGCCGGCCGTCCCAAAAATGTACATACATATACATGTAGTCCTCAGCCTCATAATTTCATATAAGACAGCTGGGCCTTGCTACGTGCAATCCATGCATCCGGCCGCGGATAGACGGGATATATTTTCCTTCCCATTCGCACCCATGATCACCAGATCATGATCTAGGTACTACATGTATGTATTGGTCAACAAACAAATCTACTAACGAATAGGCTGTCTAACTACCTCTGAAAATTGGAGACTGCAATGTAGACGCCTTCTATCACGGGTTTATAGTCAATAATACAGATCTATGGTTAATTCCAAGACCCTCAATGGAACCCCCCCCCCAAAAAAAAAAAAAAAAAAAAAAAAAAAAAAAACAGCCGATCGGCGGCCCTTAGCTCTGCGTATCATTTACCAGTACCTCGGCGTAGAGTATATTTGAGATTGCGTGAGCATACCCCCGTGCTTACCATACCCCTAGTGAAAGAGTCCAGATGTATATAATTGAGCTCCTCAATTGGGAAAAGACTTCAACCCAAAATCCTAACTACCTGATTGGCCGATTGGGGAATCTGCACCAATCAGGTTACCAGAAAAATGAGCCGGAGTCTTTTCGCAAAGGCTCAAATCTCTTACACTCCGTAATTTGGCAACACCTCTGTGTGATATTGAGAAAATATGCAATGTTTTTTCTAGTGGTAGTGTTCTGGAAACCACAAAATGTCAATTTTCTCAATCTGCTGCCCAATATCGCGATAAAAATATCCTGCTCCAACCTAAATATTTGAATTAATAGCACCACTAGAATTAGCGGCTCAGCCCACCAAGTACACCCCAACGTCCCAACTTGTGAATAGATCATAAAAATCACATATTTGGTTACAATCTTTTCAAGTTTCAATTTTACCGAACGGAGTGTAAGGTTTCTTGAGTTTTTTAGGCCCGTTTCGGTTAGTACACTGCGGTGCGAAACTCAAAAGCTTGGGTTGTTTACTCGGGTTGCTTACAATATAATATATAATCAATACCAACGCCACATTGAAATTTAAAGTGATTCCAAAATCAGGTTCCTACGCAAGCTTTCAGACTAGCAGCTCATAGTCATGAAACGAGACGAATCGAGCCTATTTCTTAAGCCTGTCGTGAATAGGTTCATGTTAAACATTATAGATAGACTTTAATTACCTGTACTATATATTACTTTAGACCCAATTTGTTGATATTATACTATAAAATCAGAGATTTACTAAAAACACATATTACGTACCTGGTTCATGATTGGCTTAGTATTCAATTACCAAGTACTAACGTCTAGTTCTCTACATCACTTTTTAAAGTTAAACTAGTACTCTAATCTTCACAACTATAGTATAGACTACAATATGGTATTGGGACCCCTATGGCACCCTCGAAATCTCTAAAACCCATATATATCAGCCCCGGTGTCTTGCAAATACATAACTGTGCGGGTTTTAACAGAATTGTTTGCGGTTAGAATCGACTAGCTCTTGTGAACAGTCAGGTATGGTATATATTAACAACGTAAATATCAATGATGACCGTAAATGATGATAATATATATATAATGATGATACTCTTAATTAAGCTCACCACCTTTATTAGAATTTATAATTATAATGATCACAGATTCAACCAAAACCCCAAGCAGGCGTTATCATGTCAGTACTGTGAAGTGATCTATATGTGTTATGACTACATGTATATATATATATATATATATATAAACATGCGTCATATACGTATATATACGGATATAGTATTCTCAGTGCCGCGCGCCCTAAAGCTGCTACAATTCAAAAAAGCTGCTACTCATAGGCAGCGGCCATACAAGTATGAGAAACATATTGACGCTCGCGATCGGATACTTAGATTGTCGCCAGTACTACATACCGCTATATAATGCTTCTCACAGGATCATGTAAGCGTGATATTTCCGGCTGAGGATAATATCAAAGGAGTGGCATACGATGAATGATAATTCCAACAATAATCTATTATCCCTAGGTGGTCAGTCTAATGTACTCTGATGAACTTTGATACTAGCTGCTCATTTTATCATTGCGGCGATAGAGCTCTCTATCTAATCAATGAGAGAGTGGACATAGTTTTCATCAGAGCACATTAGCCACATGGGCTCTGTAACACATTGGGATTAATTGGACTGACGGTCTAATTATAAGAGATATATGTAGATGTAGTTATATAATATGACAAAGTGAAAAGTCTATTCATTGATACATGATAAATGAAATAACTAGGGAGCCAATAGAAAGAGGCGTGTGAAATAACACATGTATATATATACGAGCTACCGTATCTAAGTACTTAAGTTTGATTAAAAGTCAAAGTCATGACTTGCTGATCTGCTACTCGACATCATGGACGAACGTTACGACAGCGCTCGACCAACAAAGCAAAGATTTAAAACTACATACATCCTTATCTACGGTATATGGTTGGTGGCCTACCGGCTCTTTGAGCCATACAACCTTTATATATTCGGTACGCATGATTGCGATCACAATATCTCACTCGTGTCTTGGCATTTAGTACCGCATTAATTCGAATAGACGGCCGGTCACACAAGACGTTGAAATTCCCGTATTTGGTTATTTGTCTTGAATACACCCCCTAATCTTCCCTCATACTAGCTTGAAAAGGCAACTTTGACCTCTTGTGTGACCGGTCGTTCATTCGAATTAATACGGTATCATATCTCTTCGTGTGTTTTCACGACCAGTCGCTAATGGGCAGCTTTTACTCGGTAATAAACCTAATCCTCATTATGTGAGCCTTTTGCTGTAAAAGTCACCTTTTGTGACCCCTCCTGTACCTTTCTCAGGTGTCTCCACAGTCTGTAGGTAGCTAGAGTTTTTGAATATCACCACGCCGTCGCGGGCCTAATATGTCTCCGATTTTGCTCTGGCGAACGAAGGGATAGAATCAGGCAGCCAAGTGCTACCACACTGATCATGATGAAGGGAGAAAGATTCTAGCTGGATATATATCATGACGGAATCCTGTTTGGCAAAACGGTCAATTGGGATCAACGTCCAAACATGATCAGCTGAATTACTGTGAAGGTTACAGCTAGTGCAGTATCTACCATGATCATGAAATCAGGCCGGCCGCCTAAGCGACCACGACCGCGAATTCCATTTTTTTTTTTTGGTGAACAAACCTGCACTGATCATACAAACAAGGAACGACTTGAATAAGGTGTTAAATCACACACGCCCTATCCCTTAATCTGGCGGTGCTGCCCACCCTATAATAGAGGAATTAAATTTGTATGGGAGATCTATTATTTAACAAAGGAGAAACAGGATCTGTTTTTTTTTTTTGGGTGAGCAGAATTTTCACCAGACTCGCCCCCCGTATGTATATTAGGGGCCCGTGACGAACTCGGGAGTTTCAAACTGAGTTACCAACAGACGGTTTTAAATTGGTTAAAGACTGGGTTGAGGAAAGCTGGGTGTTATGGTTATGAACTACAGGTTAGGGTAATTCGAGGTGTAAAATCGGATTAGAAAATGAAATTTGGGGTGGATTAGGGTAATCTTGGGGTAAATTTGGAGTGGAAATCAAGGTTAGTTCATGACATCCGACAGTTAAAAACTGCTGTTTATGACAGGCTGAGCTCGTGACGCTGTTTTTGACTCGAGTGCTGAGTTCGTTACGGGGCACTAATGTATATACATACTTGCACCATACTCGTATTTTCCTGACGTTTGTGGACGCGACCAATATTGCATACCATACAAAGATACGCCAAGCTCATGATTTTTGGTGTATGCAATAGTGGCCCAGTTCAAAAACGTCAGGAAGATACGAGTAGTACTACCGACATACGTGTAGATAGTATATCGTGCCTGCGTGCATGAAGGTAAATATACATATGGATAAACAACTTGAACAAGGAATTGCCATTTGGCTCTACCCGTTGGTTGCCTGACTAAATAAAGTTACACTAGCAATAAAGTATTACCGCGTCGCGTGATGAGCACGTGCGAGAGCGTTGATCCAATTGTCTTGGCTGGATGCCTGAAGCAGCACCGGGAACAGCGGGGTTATCCGCCCCTGATCTAACAGTTGCTGCACTTGATGTCACTTTTAACGTGGATGAGCCCCGCATTGTTGCGATCAACGCGTCTCCCCACCCCGCGGCTGCTAATCTTTAAGAGTAAAGCTGCAGATTCGCGACACAAGCGAGACATCAACCGACCAAGCCTTCGGGCCCGTGCTTCAGGCCTCCCTTCTGGTCTATCAAGTGAATTGTAGTACACATATGTTGTAGCGGGCAATTGTAGTACTTTCTATGTCCGCTTCCTCTGCCCGCTACTTCCATTCACTTTTACTATAAATACCCAATCCTCTTCCCTATCTCCACCGTCATTCCCGTTCTCAACCACCACTCTTCGAAACTTTTCCAGTAGCGTCAAACTTCCTGGAAATAGTTTCTTAACAAATCCCCTAGCAAACACTTCACTGCCATCTTTACAAAATCCAATCTACCCCTCCCCCCCTCTTATTTTCTCCGCCCCTCTCCCTCTCCCTCTCTCTCTCTCTCTGTAGACTCTCCCTCCCCTATTTTCCTCCTCTCATCCCTCCAATCCCCCCATCAATATCCATCCATCTCCATACATCCTCACCACCACCAACAACCACAACTACCACATCCATTCGATCTGTTTCTTAAACAGATAAAACGAAACTATGGCGGAAGGTCTAGTAAGTTTTACACTTCCCCGTTACCTAGAGATAGAAATTCTTTTAGGGCCTCATCATACTCCCTACATTCTAGTCATCACCACGATGTGTTTTGTGCTAACAATACTATCATAGATTCTCCCAAAGAGACCATCTTTCGGTACGAGAGGTAGACAGATCAACGTTTCCGTCAATTCTTACGAGGTCACAAAGTTTCCTACGAAGGCTATTCAACAATATGATGTAAGAGATCTCCCCTTGTTCCTTCCCTTCATGGGCTCTCTAATCACCTTTTTGTCCCCATCTAGGTTACTATTGGCAAAGGGGATGAAAGGCGAGCCCTGATCAAAAAGGTCTGGTATTCCGAAGCCGTTCAATCAACTTTTGGTCCGGCAAGAGCAACTGTCTTATTTGATGGTATGTTCTTCCTCATAGTTCTTCATCCTCTAACTTTTTCTCGCTCCCAATTCTGCTTCCTTCCGATTTGCCCATTTTACTATTTTTGAGGGTCATTCTACAATCTTTTCGTTTGAGTTTACTAACGATTTCTTTCAGGCAATAAACTTGCTTGGTCAATTATTCCTTTGCCATTTGGAAAAAGGATAACTTTGACCGTTGACTTGGATGCGGACGATACCAGGCCCCGCAGAGGCCAGCGTGAAAACAAGCATAAAGTCGTCATTACATTAGCTAAAGCAGTTCCACTCCAAATGCTTGATGCTTTTGTAAGTGGCACATACGCGATGGATAATGATGTCCTAGCGGGAATAAATTTTTTCGATCATCTCCTTCGCGAGACGCCTGCAAAAAACTTTATCGCTATTAGACGCTCCTTTTTTCAACAGTCTGGGGCGCGCGAGTTGGAGCGTGGGGTTGAGGCTTGGAAGGGGATTTTTCAGTCCGTCCGTGCTACTCAGGGTGGTCGTTTGACTGTCAACGTTGATGTAGCAACGACTGTCTTCTGGTCCCAAGGATGCGTCTTAGATGTAGCTCTCCGTTTTTTGCGTATACGTAAGTTTATTACATACTAGTTCCTTGTGAGATTTTTTGTCTGACATGAATATTGCAGCGAGCGCGGATGATTTTGCAAACAAGATTAATCAGCAAGGTCCTAGGGGGGCTATTTTTCGTGACCTCAAGCGCCTGAGACGTATTGCCTTTTTCTGCAAGCATCGTTCCCGAGATCAGGAGACCAGAAGGACCTATATAATCGATGGTTTCGAAGACAGTGCCATCAATTATAAATTCGAACTCAGACGTCCAAACAATGAGGGTGGATTTTCAACTACTGAAATCAGTATAAAGGATTACTTTGAGAAACAGTACAACATTCGCTTGAGGTATCCCAGACTCCCTCTTATAAAAACTAGGAAGAAGGGCGAGGTATTTCCGATGGAGTTGTGTTTCATTGTCGAAGTATGCCTTTCCTCCCTACCGAATTCAGAAAGTTGGTACTGACAAAGGCAAAGGGGCAACGTTATCCATTCAAACTCGACGATCGACAAACGTCGGACATGATTAAGTTCACTGTTCAGCGGCCTTCAGTTCGGGCTGGAGAAATTAGTCAAAATGTAGCGAAGCTGGATTGGAAAAAGGATCCTATCCTTATACAATATGGGATGGAGATTTCTACTAGAATGATCCAGGTACGTTTGTTCTGCATCTCGTAGGTGCCTTTATTTATACTAACCGATAATAATAGACGAAAGCCCGTATCCTGCCTACGCCTAAACTCTCCTTTGGTATTGGGTCAGAGGGCTCTCAACAAATCCAGCCACCTGATGGGAAATGGAATTTTCAGGGCAAAAAGTTTGCCAAGATCTCAAACCCTGTCAAGAGTTGGGGTATCATGGTCTTTGGTCCTCCTACGGGTAATTATGGTATTGATGAGAATACTGTCAAGATGTTTTTCCGTCAGTTTATCTCAACCTACAACACTCATGGTGGTGTTATCGAAACCAAAGACCCTCCCATTATGTACGCGGACCCCAAGAAGGCTCCAGGTACAAATATTTTTGAGCTTTATAAAAAGGCCGGTAATAAGGTCAACGCCAAGCCGCAAATATTGTTTTTTGTCCTGATGGGCAAGGCGCCACAGCCATACAATGATATAAAGGCGTATTGCGATCTCAATATTGGAGTTGTATCTCAATGTAAGGTTTCAAAAAAAAATACTTCTTAGCTCACAGCTGACATTGGTTTGAACAGGTCTGCAAAGAAATCACGTACAGGCCATGAAACCCCAATATTGTTCCAATGTGGCAATGAAAATCAATGCCAAGATGGGTGGTAGTACCATCTATATCCAGAAGGAAGATCATCCTTTGTTCGGCCAAGATGCATCTATCATGATTGGAGCCGATGTTTCTCATGCTGCCCCGGGAACGGGCAAACCTTCCTTTGCTTCAATGGTCGGCTCAATTGATCGTGAGTCCCTATTGACTCCAGTTAAATGACCTTTAAAAATGAATTATTACTAAGCTCAAGTCTTGCAGTCCAAGCCACGCGTTATGCCGCTATAGCTAACAGCCAGGGGACTGGGGTCGAGGTGATTACCCCAAAGAATATGATAAAATTCGTATGCACTCTACTTCGGGCTTTCAAGGCGGCCACAAATAAAATTCCTGGACGTATTTTTTATTTCCGGGATGGAGTTAGTGAGGGTCAATACGCCCACGTAATCGAGCAGGAATTGGAAAATATGCGAGAAGCATGCCATGTACTGCAGAATAATTACAACCCCAAGATCACTGTAACCATCTGCAGCAAGCGCCACCACTCACGGTTTTTCCCGGTCGATAGGGCCAACCAGGATAGGAACGGCAATTGCTTTCCTGGGACTATTGTGGAAAGGGATATCACTCATCCTACTGAGTATGATTTTTGTAAGTTTCTCCGCTTGTCTGAGGCTCCTCAAAAGTATACTAATAAAATTTTAGATCTGGCTTCCCATAACGCGATCCAAGGCACTGCACGTCCTGTACATTACCATGTTATTCATGATGAGAACAAGATGCCTGTGGATAGGTTTCAAGCATTAATATACAATACCTGTTATACTTGGTGTCGTGCTACAAACGCTGTCTCTCTAGGTAAGTTTTTGTCGAGTCTATCTCAATATATATACTAAACTTCATAACTACAGTTCCGGCCGCTTACTACGCCCATTTGGCATCTACTCGTGCCCGCGCGCATGAGCAGGGTACCGACGATACCCACACTGTAACTACATCGACCTCTGGATCCAGGGATCTACCCCCGACTGAGGTGCCAGATATCAGAAACCTTCACGATAGTTTGAAACACGCCATGTGGTTCGTGTAAGGAAAATCTTGAATTGTTATATGATAGCTGTGTAGGTCTTTTTTTTTTCTTAGTTAAATTTTAGTGGGGTCTTTTTTCTTCATGGGGATATTTGTTCTCTTTTCTTTTCTGTACTCACATGATGGATTTTCCTGGGGTTTGGGATATCTCAGCATAGCATACAGTAAAAGGTCAAAAATTCAACTATTCCTTAGTTCCATGTGAAATTGTCACTGCGTAACGTTATGATGTGAGGCTATTAATAAAAGCGCCGATCGCCGTAGCCGAAGCGGGTTGGTTGCCCCACCCTTACTCGTTCTCTGCCCTGCGCCCTGCCAGTGAGCGTACTACTACAAGTTACAACATACCTATTATTACCCCAGCCCTGCGTGCTGACATCGTCTTTGTCCTCCTCAAGAATAACAAGCAATATCCCCTCCCTCCCCTCCCCCTTTCCCACTTCCTCTGCGCTCCAGAAATCTGGAATCACCTTTCGTGCTGTTTACACTATCTCAATCTCAACGCTCCCCCCCACCAAACGAGTTCATAACTCTCAGTTACACGGATCTCCTCTCGACAACTCTCGTACAACCGAGCTTATCGCGATAATGACTACCATCTCAGAAGCACCTCAGCCACCACCACACAGCACAACGAAACCTCAGATTCTACCGTGCAGGTATAAGACGGGCAAGACACTAGGCGCTGGCAGCTACAGTGTTGTCAAGGAGTGTGTACATATCGACACGGGCCGATATTATGCATCCAAGGTCATCAATAAGAGACTCATGGCAGGGAGGGAACACATGGTAAGTTTTACCTGTACATGGAATATTTTAGCAGGTACACAATAGGTTACATCCCGTAAAAAAAAGAAGAGAAAAACAAGAAAAAAGGAAGAAAGGAAGAAGGAAGGAAGGAAGGAAGGAAGGAATCCAAATGGAGAGAGGTAGAATCAAGAAATGCTCAGCAGCTGATTTTGAATCATGAGCCTAGGTGCGAAATGAAATTGCAGTTTTAAAGAAGGTCTCAATGGGCCACCAGAATATTCTTACTCTGGTGGACTACTTCGAAACTATGAATAACTGTACGTGAACGTTAACTCTATTTTTCCCAATAGAGAATCAAAGAGGGTACCCTATGCGTCGTCACCATGCCCAACGCTCTAATCCATTTCGTGTCCGAACCTCAAGATCAAAGTTCAAGTTTGGTAAATACTGATATCTTATCTGTTCTCAACAATAACAGTATATCTCGTGACCGATCTTGCACTAGGAGGAGAGCTCTTCGACAGAATTTGTCGAAAGGGATTTTATTATGAATCCGATGCTTCTGACATCATCCGTGCAACACTATCGGCTGTTGCCTACCTCCATGACCATGGGATTGTACATAGGGACTTGAAGCCAGAAAACCTTCTTTTCAGGACTGCAGAAGACAACTCTGATCTATTGATTGCGGATTTTGGTCTTTCGAGGATCATGGATGAGGAGCAATTCCACGTGCTCACGACCACTTGTGGGACACCAGGATATATGGCACCCGAAATTTTCAAAAAGACGGGTCACGGGAAGCCAGTGTACGTTCTTTTTAATAGCTCCGTCCTGAAATGCGCCCCCCCCCCCCCCCCCCAAATCAATGGCGTATTTTTCTTTCTTTTTCTTCCCTTTTTGCGCGTGAGTATGGATCTACGCATACTGATCATACACAACCCTCTTGTTTAGTGACGTATGGGCAATCGGGGTTATCACATACTTTTTGCTCTGTGGGTATACTCCATTTGATCGTGATTCTCACGTGGAAGAAATGCAAGCAATTCTTGCTGCAGATTACAAGTTTGAACCAAAAGACTATTGGGAAAACGTCTCAGAAACAGGTATATACCATACATACACACCAACTACCACCCCTCCCTTTTTTTTCCCCCCCATAATTAATAAATGGCAATAGCCCGTGATTTTATTCGCAAATGCCTCACTGTTGATCCAACGGACCGGATGACCGCACATAAGGCGCTAGAGCACCCGTTCCTAAGTGAGGACCACCTGGGAAAATCGGCAGATTTGCTCCCGGTTGTGAGGAAGAACTTTAATGCCAGAAGAACCCTCCACGCAGCGATCGATACAATAAGGGCCATCAACAAGCTGAGGGAAGGCGGCGTTATGGATGGTGCCCTTAGTATCAGTCCCGAAAACCAGAAGGAGAGGGAGAGTGGGGAGAAGACTATAGGACTCTGGAGGAAACCAGCTGGGGGCTTGATGAAGAATTAGGGAAGATTGGTTTTTTGTTGGAGGGACTTTTATTTTTATTTGATTTTTTTGATTTTTGACTTTGTTATAACTCGTTTGGCAAAGGGGGGCGGGCGAGCGGGCGGGTAGGTGGGGTGGTTATGAAGAGGGCGGGCGTGAGGAGGCATTCGTTTTTCTTTTTTCTTTTTTTCTTTCTTTCTTCCCGTCACGTTCTTTTAGTTGGGTTCTTCTTGTGTCCGGGTTATTTTCAGGATAAAATTTCTCAAGCGGAAAATATGAGTGCTAGCGTTATTTGAGTTGCAATTGTCAGTAATGAAATGTAGGCAAAGGGTAAGTAGTTAAAAATCCATCCTTCATGATAAGAGCCAGCCCCAATATACTTTTCCTAGTTACTAAATAAATAGAACAAACTAAGTAGCTAGCAAACATATTCGTACGAACAGGCCCCCCTCCCCCCTCTCCCTTTTGAATGGTCCAGTGTTTGGAATAAACTCACAGAATATCACTCGCACTTGTTGTCTTGCGCATTGAAGAAATTTTTTTTGTTTATTATAATAGGATATGGAAAAAACAATACAGATCTGCATGTAATATAACCCCCCAAAAAAGGTGCCAAGAAAATATTATAGCAATGGCCATGGGATCGACTGCGTGTAATATAATAACACCGGCCCGCTCAATTCTAAAACACCGGCCGGGTATCATACAACGTGGGGTAGGATTATTGTATTCTAGAATTAAACAGGGGGTCCAAAAACAGGGGCTTAGGTGGCTGACTTGGCCAATAGGATTCTTCCCATACTTGTAGGTACAATAACCTTACCATACACTGCGCGCATGTAGTCATCCGCAAAATCTGTTATGACTACATGTCCTAGACAAAGCTGACATCTACCCTCCGTAGTACGGGTAGTTTGGGCCAGCGTCCAAAAGTGTTGGACAAAAGCTTTTTTTTTCTTCTTTTTTTTCTTTTTGGTGACATAAGGAAGAGTAGTACGTACGCACGCACGCAGAAAAACGGTTTATGCAGAGTGATTTAATTACATGTACTCGATCTCAGACTAGGAGGAGTCACTTTAGATCTTCCCTGTTGTATATACTTACCCCTGGCTAGAGATAGACATCAATCTTTACGTTCATATGCAGTCTTTCGATTTATGCTACATCATGACTTGGGATGATTCGAGGTTGGCGGCCCCGGATTTAGGGTATTTCCTGTGGATCTGGGGGCTATTGGTGGGGGATATGGTGCTTAGTCTCCAGATTACGTACACTACATGTGGGTATAACATTATTGGCATGGAAGTAACGGCGGGCCTGCAGAGTCAAGTAAGGGTCTATACATGTAGTCATCTCACTTGAGCACGTGGTTGTTTTATGGAGGGGAGAGCCAGCAGTGAGATGACGGGTTGATACATGTATGTAGCAGATTAGCGGGGGGATGACGGGTAGCTAGGCTCGTACCCTGAACTGTAGCTTGCGCATGCTGCTCGTATACCAGGGGATAGGTGCGAGACTAAGCTTTGCGGAGAGAACTTAATCGGGAGATAGCCAATAGCGTGTCACGGCGATGCTGCCCGCTACGTACAGCGTTGGGAGATCTATTCTGCTGTTATTAACTTTTGCAAGTTGAGAAATTTATTATTGTGCTAAATGGAGTTACGGGTGGTGGTGAGTTTTACACGATGGCGAATATCGTGGCTTGGGCCCTTGCATCCACTTCCCCGATCCTGTTTCCATCCGGGAAGCACATACGTACTAGAGCGGAGAATATCCTCTAAGAGAGCGAGATCGATGTATCAAGCCGTTCACCACCTCCAGCACCCTAACCCCCAGATGTCTTTACTCACGGATATAAACAACTGGTTTGTCTGCCACTACCTGCAGAGCGGCGATACATTATGCAGATAAAGAACCCCTCCCGAGCCCGGAAGGGAGGGAGGAATCCAGCAGGTCCGGACGAACTGGTTTGGTTTCACCCAATGTTTGACGTTGTAACCAACGTGTATCCGTGTGATTGTCCATGTTTGAGATTACTGTGCCGGGAGGCCACACCGCGCTTGTAGACATGTATCTCCTGCACTGTCCCATGCGGGCCCCGCAATTCGCCAACTAAGCTCTCTCTTCTGCTGCCGTTGTTGCGCCCAATGGCATCGGACAGCACCGTTTCGCGCCGGTGAGTACGGCGAGTGAGAATCTGTGACTGGAATACACACACCGCCAAAACAGCTTCACAGCGGTGGACCGTTTCCCTTCGATGTCTTGCAATACCACCGGCCTCTGCACCGCCTGAACCCATGACAAAGACGCTGCTTCTCTTGCGCCCGCGCGTAATAACAATAGACGCGCAGCTCCCACGTGATGCCAAGAAGCCCGTGCATGAGGCTCTAATAAACTTTTCCTCTCGTGATTCCTGCACGCAGTAACGAAAAAAAAAAAAGGATTCCCCACGCAAAACACACCAAAATGCCAAAAGAGATCAAGAAGCGCGGTCGCCGAGCGGAGAAGAAGCGCAAGGAGGAGCGCGGAGCAGCAGACGAGCTCGAGCAGAACGCAAACTATGTCCCAATCACAGGGCAGACTGCGGCGGCGGAGGAGGAGGAAGCTGAGGCTGCATATTACGGCGACGGAGGTTAGTTATGCACCCCCCCCCCCCCAATTACCATTGACCAATGGCGCAGTAAATAGTACTGACTTCTAGGAACAAAACCACAGCCCAGCACCCCAACGACGACTCACAATTCTACGGCCTCCTCACCGACGAAGAAGCCGAGTACTTCCGCGGCGCCGACGAAGTTCTCGAGAGCAACAGCTTCGCCGACGCCGCCGAGCGCGGCCTCTTCATCGCCAACGTCTACCGCGAGGCCGACGGCAAGGAGCTCAAGATTGCGAGCAGCCAGGGCTGCTCGCGGCTGCTCGAGAAGCTGGTGCTGCTGTCGACGCCGGCGCAGCTCAAGAAGCTGTGGCGCGTCTTCACGGGCCACTTCCTGAACCTTGTGCAGCACCGCTTTGCGTCGCACTGCTGCGAGGTGCTGTTTGAGCGCTCGGTGGTGGTGGCGTCGAGAGAGATGGATCCGGCGTATGTGCCGGACGGCGGTTTGACGGAGAAGGAGGCGGAGACGGCGGGCGACGAGGTCTTTGCGAGTATGGAGAGCTTGTTCCTCTATATGCTTAATGTACCACCCCCCAAACCACCACTACCTACTTATATGCGCACCAGGACTAACAAGGCCAACCTCCAGGAACTCGAACCCTCAATCATCCCCCTCCTCTCCCACACCTTCGCCTCGCACCCCCTCCGCGCCCTCCTGCTGATCCTCTCGGGCCAGCCCGTCTCCTCCTCCACCTCGCAGTCGCTCGTCCAGAGCCGCAAAAAGAAGAACATCTCCATCACCACCGACTTTGCGCCGCCCGAGGCGCGCGAAGCCGGCGCTGCCATCGCGGTGCCGGACTCCTTCACCGAGGCCGTGGAGCGTATCGTGGCGGCCGTGGGCGCGGGCCTGGACGTCGAGGAGATCCGCGCGATGGCCTTGCACCCGATTGGCAGCCCGACGCTGCAGGTGCTGCTGCAGCTCGAGATGCGAAAGTCACGGAATGAGCGGAAGAGGAGTGGCGGTGGGGAGGAGGTGACGCTGTTGGGGAAGTTGGCGGGGATTAGTGCTGGTGGGGAGGAGGAGGGGGAGGAGGAAGGGGAGGAGGGGAAGAGGCCGTCGAGTTTCTTTTCAAACTTGTTGTATGATCCCGTGGGAAGCCATCTGGCGGAGAAGATTATGAGCTATGCGCCAAAGAGGGAGTTTAAGAAGCTGTATAAGGCGCATTTCAGGACGCGCATGGGCAGTCTGGCGAGGAATGAGACGGCGGGGTTTGTGGTGGTGAGGGTGCTGGAGAAGCTGGGGAAGGATGTGATGAAGGAGGCAATTGGCGAGATCTTGAAGGAGGTCGGGGGAATGATTGGTGAGTTTGAAATTCTTTTCTTGATTCTTGTTCACAGATGGGGCGAGTGATGGCTCATGATTGGAATTCTAGAGAGGGGCCAAGTCGCGGTTATCAAGACTTTGATAGACGTCTGCGGGAAGCAGGAAGTCGACACGACTGAGATCGCAAAGGTATATCCAAGTTTCCAGCATTAACATTATTCTCTATTTCATAATCTAAAACTAACGCACTCCCTCCAAACACCAGGCAATCTCCGACGCCTACAACTGCACCCCCGAGCAGCTCATCCCCAAAATGCTCTCCCTCACCCCCGCCGACCTCACCCCCCCGCCCCCGCCCAACCCCGACGACACCAAAGAGCCCCCCAAACCCAAACGCGACCCCAAGCAGCGCCACGGCTCCCTCCTCGCACAATCCATGCTGCAGCACCCCGGCCCCCTCCACACCCTCATCACCACCTCCCTCACCTCCCAGAGCAGCAGCACCCTCACCGCCCTCTCGCAGCACCCGCAGGCCTCGCACATCATCCAGGCCTTCCTCCTCTCGCCGCACTCCTCCGCGCCCGACCGCCGCAGGCTGCTCAACCAGCTGCGCGGCGCATGGGGGTCGCTCGCCACGCACCCGGCGGGCTCGCATATTGTGGATGCGGCGTGGACGGCGACCGCACCGCCGCTGGCGAATTATAAGCAGGCCGTGGCGGAGGAGCTGGTGAAGGCGGAGAGGGAGATACGGGAGAGCTTCTTTGGAAGGAATGTTTGGCGCAATTGGGCGCTGGATAGGTATAAGACGCGGAGGAGTGAGTGGTTTGGGTTGGCGAGGGAGGCGGCGGCGGCGGCGGCGGCGCCGTCATCGTCGTCGCTGGCGAGCGGGGTGGGCGCGATGAGGATTGGCGGGGGTGGTGGGCCGGGGGCTGCGGCAGCTCAGGGTGGTGGTCAAAAGCAGCAGCAGGGTGAGCGGAAGAAGACTGCAATTGAGGTAAGTCGGCAAAAGGTTCTGTTCTGTTTTTTTTTTTGGCCCCGTCGGGATAGATGTGGGATGGCGGGAATGAGGGAAATGGCCCGGGGTTGTTTTTTTTTTCCCCTCACGGGTCTTTGGCTCTACTCTACAAGTTTCTCGGCAGTGCGCTAACTACGGGTATTTTTTTATTTATTTCTACTAGCTTGCGCGGGAACGGCATGCAGCGAAGAGGGCAGCGTCCGGGCAGCCGAAGACAGGCTCTGGCTCTAATGCAGTGGTGGCCACGGCGCCTAAGAGGCAGCGTGTTGCGTGATAGTGGTGGTGGTGGTGGGAGATATGGCATGTGAGATTAGATAGAGAGTACTCTAGGTACAGTAGGGGGAGGAGTGTCCGGGACCAACAGCCAGCCATGGGCCAGGGCCGACCGGGTTAATCAAAAAGGGCTGCCTGCCAATGCGGCTAAACTGTGTACAATAACAAAAAAAGGCGTAGTATCTTTTTCTACTTTACCTTAGGAGAGGGGTGGTGGAAGGGGGAGGGAGGGCCAGGGAGGGAGGGGGCTTTTCCAGAGAGGTTAGATGTGCCAAAAGGGTGAAAAGGGCGTACGGAATAAAGAAAAACCGATATTATGCTGTCCTGTCCGGCAGTGGACGTTTTCCCTTCCCTAGGTACTTTACTCTACCTATTTGGGGGGTGCATGGGGGGGGTCGTCGGTATTTTGTTGATTGCCATGCCAGCCATGGATGGGGGTTGGGGTTGATTATGATTATTGATTAGATATATTTGGGGTTACTCCAGAGGTGAGGTTGACATGGGCGAGAGAGTAGACCCTGACCAATGATGTCAGTCGCTGTCCCAGGCAAGGAGGGCCAACCAGGGGTGCCGGTGCCGCAAGGAGGGCACGGGCCAATCACAAGCCAAGCATGAAAATTTTTAGGGAAGAAAAAAAAAGAAAGAAAAAAAGAAGGAAAAATTCCAAAAAAAATGGAAATAAAAAAAAAAAGTTGGGACGAAAAATTAATATGACGCCATTTTGCTGTAAAGGCTTTTTTTTTTTTTTTTTTTTTTTTTTTTGCTTTGTTTATTTGCTCTCGACTCCGAACTCGCACCACGGCCAAAAGGAAAAAAAAGGTTGGCTGGAGGCTGGACACAGCATGATATTCATTACTATTACTCTACCACCGACCCGCGGTAGTTGATTTCCGCTGATATGTGCTGTGCTGTAGTTTACTTGTTGCTGCTATTGCTTGTTACCTGATGGTTAATATAATCGTAATCCTCCGTGAAGCGAAACAAACAGCCCAGAATGCGTGTTTCCCCCTGCCAGCCCTTTCATATGGATCTTTCACAAGCTTCCAACCTCTCCTCGGCCAGATTCCAGCGACCGGGATATCATACTTTATGCCTGTTAGACTAAAGCAAAAGCGAACATGACATCCACCGGGACTTTCCTGAGCCAGAGTGAGTGAGTAAGTGACTCCACTCTTCTCACCCCAACCCAAGGTTTATCACTGGACAGCTGTTACCTATTTGGTTAAGCACAAGTCAATAATCATGAATCATCAGCCGCACTTGCCAGGCAGCAGGCCCTTTCTTTGAGACTCTTCTCTTCTTCTCCTGTCCTGTCCCCTTCACACCCCCCCCCCCCCCTTCCCTCCCCCTTCCCTTCTGCTGTCCTATCCTGTGCCGCAACGTGCACACCTTTTGCCCTTTCCTGACCTTGTCCTGTCTGTCTGTCTGGTCTGTCCCTATTCTTCCGCATATCAACTGCATATCAAAGAGAAATTAAACTCAAAATAAAAGAACTCAAATAAAAATAAAAAAAAAGTCTTCACCTGCAATATCCAATATGCCGTCCACAACAACCACCAGCAGCACCAGCTACGGCGCACCCCTCTCAGCGGTAGCAGGACGCGCCCAAGAAGTCCAGCAAGTACGCATCCCCCCCTCCCCTTCCCTTCCCCAGCCCCCCCCCCCCCCGGTTCTACCACTTCGCGCTAACCCATGCACCCCCGTGCAGCTCCTCGCGCTCATTCAGCCCTATCTGTACGGCTTCATCTCAACGGGCGACTCCGGCGCCGGGCCGGGCAAGCTCATCACGGAGCCACTGCCCCCGCACGAGCTCACGGCGGTGTTTGACCTCGACCTGCCGGCGGCGGAGGGCCGCGGCGAGGAGGGCCTGCTGGCGGTCGTGAAGAAGGTGCTGAGGTACTCGGTTAATACGTGGAGCCCCGGGTTTATGGATAAGCTGTATGCGAGCACGGATCCGGTGGGCGTGGTGAGTGAGTTGGTGCTGGCGGTGCTGAATACGAATGTAGGCTTTCCCCGAGCTCTTTTTTTTCTGTTCCGGTTTGCTTTTCCCGTCTCCGGAGAGGCATTTTTTTGTGCGAGGCATTTGGGGGAGAAATCATTACCCGTGATATGGGGATAGCTTGGAGCTCCAAATTAGTGGGATGCAGAACTGACGAGATATGGGATTCCTATTGTGCAGGTCCATGTATACCAAGGTCCAATTCCTTCCTAGCCCGTTTTTGCCAAGCTAACACCAAACAGTCTCCCCCGCTCTAACAATTATTGAGAAAGCGACCACGGTACGGCTCGCCAATCTCATGGGCTTCAACTCCCCTAATGCCGGCGGCATGACGCTACCCGGCGGGTCCGCATCCAACAGCACCTCAATGGTGATTGCGCGCAACTCTCTCTTCCCCGATACTCAGACTAAGGGTAACGGAGCTTACCGCTTTGTCGTCTTCACCAGCGCGCACGGGCATTACAGCATTGAGAAGGCGGCAATCCTTTGTGGTTTCGGGAGTGAGGCGGTATGGACGGTGCCCGTGGATAAGCAGGGGCGCATGATTGTCTCTGGTAAGCTCCCTCTTGCTATGTATCATCGTGGAAGTCAATCGCAAAAAACATGCTCGCTGATCATTGACCCTCATAGACCTCGAAGCCCTAGTGATAAAGGCCAAGGAGGAGGGTTTCACACCATTCTATGTGAATGCGGGAGCAGGTACAACGGTGCTGGGGTCGTTCGACCCTTTTGAAGAGATTGGTGACGTGTGTAGACGACACGGGCTGTGGTTCCATGTTGATGGAAGCTGGGGCGGTAGCGTTGCGTTTAGTGAGAACCAGAAGTGGAGGTTGAAGGGTGTAGAGAGGGCGGACAGCATGACGATGAACCCGCACAAGATGCTGGGTGTGCCGATGACTTGTAGTTTTTTGCTCACGAATGACCGGCGAAAATTTTGGGGCGCCACGATGGCGCGTGCTGGGTAGTGAGTACTCCATTTTTTCCTTTATCGGTGTTCTTTGATAAGGACTTTCGCGCCGTTTTGGTGCGATCGTGTTTGTTGTTGCGATGATCATTGACGGGGTATGGGATGGATGAGGTTGGATGGCTTGGCGAGATTGATAAGTGCAGTACCGAAAATGCGGATGAGGAGTTGCAGTATCGCGGCAGCGTATATTCGGTAGAATGCTGGTTCAAATCCAGGCATTTCTAATTACACAATATCTACCGCCTGGATAGCAAACTCATCTCGCATTTTCGGTACTGTGACTCTTCATTTTTTTTTAATGATAATTATCCATGCCAGCCAGCTAGCCAGCAATCTGGAACGGAGAGATTTCCCGTTTTCCATCCTGTACCCCAGCATCTCGTAAAGGTTGCCTGACTGCTGGTAAATGTTTCTTTTTTTCTCTTCCTTTCAATTTTGCCTAACTTTGTGGGGAAATTCTTTTCTGTGGGGTGGGGTGTGTGTAGTTTATTTCACGAAACTGAAGAAGACGGAGAAGATGAGATCTACGACCTGGCCCAGATGACTATGGGCTGCGGCCGGCGCGGGGACTCCCTCAAGATGGCGTTCGGCTGGATTTATTATGGTAAAGACGGTTATCAAGGTACGACTCTCTCTTTTTTCCCTTTCACCCTGTAAGACATCCTCTTCTCTCTCTTCTTTCCTCTTCTGCTGCCTTCTGCCTCTTGTATGGAGGTACTGGTTGTTCAGCGTATCTTTCTTGGAGGATGCGCATGATCCCTGCACACAAGTGTCTCTGTGCGTGACTTCCGATTGGTCGGGAAGTTGGAACTAGTCTTGCTAGGGGGGTAATGATTAACGCATGTTATATTCATTCTAGAGCGCATCGACCATGCCTTTGAAATGGCAGCATACTTTGCAAATGTGTTGAAGAGGAAAACGTATTTCCATCTCGTCTCGGAAAATCCTCCGCCCTGTTTGCAGGTGTGAGTTTGTCCCATTCATCCCCATACGTCATGAAACGAAAGATATTCCCTCTGTGTCCCTGCAGATAAGTCATGAATATCAATCAACACCCCCTGTCGCACATCTAGCCGTGGCTTGAATCCTCGCCACTGAGAGGCGGTGAAGTGGAAGAAAGATAAACGATGTTCGAGACCAGACAAGAACTTGAGCTAAGGATAGATAAAAAAATGCAGGTGTTTCTACTACACCCCCGAAGGAGTATTGTTCGACAATGCAAAGAAGTAAGTCATTCACCGCCCCCCCCCCCCCCCCCGACTACCCCAGCTGAAGCGGCTACCGCGGTGCAAGTAACAAGAAATAAAAATAAAAAAAAGAATAAACTTGGTTAATCCTTTTTTTTCTTTCTTTCTTTGGGTAGGAACACGACAACGACAAGAGCAATTGCGGCCAAGTTAGTGGCTAAAGGGTTTATGATTGGTGGGTGTTCCTTCTTTTTATCAATTTTTTTCATTTCCGCTTGCTTGCTCCACTTTCCCCCGGAGAGAGAGAAAGGAGGGGGGGGGGGGTGAAAAGTCCCGAAAGGTAAAGAAAACAGTAATATTGATTGCTTTCGGTGGTTTGCGTTGCCGTGGTGTGTGCGGGATAGACTATTCGCCAGACCCAACATACGGCGAATTCTTCCGTGCGGTGGTGAACAGTCGAACCACGAAGGAAACAATTGATGCGCTCGTATGTGCAATTGAAGAACACTTGGTGATTCTGAATTAAGAAGGGCCATCATGAGCCGGGCCGGGGGCGGCGGGCGGGAGAGGAGGGGGGTTGGGATTGGGGGGGTTGGGTAGTATGATAGTCAAGAAATTAAGGGAAGAAAGCCCTACGGTACATCCTTTGGTAGAGTAGCTGGCAAACCAACAACATCAACAACAGCAGCCAGTATTATTAGAGCGCGCGAAATTTAGATATTAGAAGCAAAACTCAACTCAGTCGTCGGTCAGTTTAGAGAATTAAAAAATAAATAATAAAAAAATATAGATCAATTGAAGCGCGCGCGGGACAGCCGGATAAATGACCGATTAATGTTGGGGTTGGGTTATGTATGCAATCGAGACGAGTGAGTGGTGGTGGTGGTGAATGAGTGAGAGATGGTGGGGTGGAGTTCGGCCGTTTGTAAAAGTAGTATGCAGTCATGATCATTGCATCCAGCCAGCTACCTAAGCGGTTCGTTACCTTACTCTTCCTCTCCGGATCTTCAACGTCTGTGTGAAATCCGAGTTTCTCGCTTTTACACACCCCTATGTAGGTACTAGTATGTACCCGTACATAACTCACCGGAATGTTTTCTGGGGAGATCAGAAAAAAATAATGCTCCGCCCACCCATCCATGCCCGCCGACCTCCGAAACGCGGAGTGGGATTGTCATGTGTGTGTGAGTGTGCGTGATATGATACCGGGCGGAGAATATTCTATGAAGGTTTAAGTTCCTTTTTTTTGCATGTATTTGTTTTTTCTTCCCCTTCGTTCTTCTTTCCTTCCTTCTTCCTTCACCCCACGGGTGTGAATAATTCCTTTGGGGAAGGGGAGCGAGATAGGTTACTCTACGTCAGAGTACGTATGTACGTACTCTAGTAGAGGCAGGCACCGAAAAAATTTAAAAAAAAAAAGCAGAATGGGGAAATTAAATGGGAAAACTCTACTGTGGTGTAGAATAGGTACGTAGGTAGTATAGGTGAGGCTCACTAATAACATCCCTATCCTTGGCTGCTAATAGGCTGAGTGTGTGAGCTGCCGGCGAAGAGGAAGAAGCACCATGGACCAACGAAGCGAATCAAATGAGGAGGTTGTGGTAGCTATGTATGTAGCTAATATGGCCAGCTATCGACTTCCTTCCTTCCTTCTAGGCAGCTCTTCCCCTTGGATGGAAGAACCGTTGGTACTAGTACTAGCTAGCTAGATTGGATTGCCGTATCTAAAGTAGAGCAATGTAACTCTTTTTTTTACCTAGTGAGGGATATATCGGGAAGCACCCGGGTGTTGCGAAAAACAATTTATCCTCTGAGCTCCTCTAACGTACGGAGAGGGATTACTGTTGCTGTTTGTGATGAGGGTAGTTTGAATTATATCTCTATGGATCTTGGACGGTCAACATGCATTTTGGAAATGACTTCCCCCCTCTCTCTTTTCCCCTGCGCATGGCATTGGCTGCCGGGAGCTGTCACGCTTCCGTGTGGGTTGGGGGTAGGTTGAGTTGTATGTAGTAAAAGTTTGATGAAGTGAGAGAAGAGAGTAATGATGATAATAATAATGTCATGTCGTGGGGACCGCTGAGCGGGTGGGACAAGATATTGCAATGAGTGGGGATTACTCTAGACACATATTATGTGTAGCTTTGCTCAACGAAACACGAAGCCCGTTTAGACGTCTGGTTCGACGGATGAAGAAACGGATTGAGATGTGCCCACTCTCTTTCTGTCCGTCTGTCATTTTCTTGTGTCTTCCTTTGGGATGCACGAGGAGATTGTGAGGGGGGTTGTTGTCGGTGGGAAGAGTATGTACCACTAATGGCTAATTGGTCACTTCACTTCACTTACTTGCAGAAGATGAAGACGTCGTGAGTTACTGAGCATGATGTCCGTAGTTGTCGTCTCCGTACTTAGCTGTCTGTACGTCTTCCCAAGGCGCGGTAAGTGGTGAGTGGGTAGCGTAGCCTAGGGTATCATGTAGGCATGGGTACTGTAGGTACTTCTTCATCTTCTTACCCAAGCAGAGCAGGCGATATTATTTTATCCACTGAGTTCCTTTTTCTGAGATTATATCTCTCCCCCCTCCCAAGAGCAGCGCGGAATACCACGCGCTTCTTCTCAACAACAAAACAGTGTCACCATCCCCGCAATCACAGATTCACTCCACGATCACGATTCGCACCGACATCATCGCACTCGACAGGACACGAAGTGATTCCGTGCCTCCATAGGGTGCTGCTCGCTCTGGCTTGAAGAGAGCGAACAGCAGCTCAGCTCAGACCACGCTTGTGGGTTGCTGCTGTGTTGTTGCGGCAGACTTGCAGCAAGCACAAAAGAAAAAGTGAGCAGGACCGTAGTAGGAGTACAATCCTCGAGGCTGTCGACGAGTCGATCTAGCTACATTACTGAACCAGCAGGGCATCTGGGTATCTTTTTTTTATTTCATTTTTTCTCCCTCCACCCAGCTAGGCCTACCTATCCATCCGGATATCTTTCCACACATTTATTTTTCTTCCCTTTCCCCTTTTCTCACATCACGTTGCCTGGTTGTCTACATATGTACGAGTACATGCTCTTTTTGCCTGCCGCTTGCCCCGGTTCGTAACTATCGGTCCGCAAGGTTCACCAGTCAACGTTGAAGATATGGGAAACTTGTCAGCAGAGAGACAAAGACATACCTGGCGCCTACATACAGTGGGTAACTTGTAGTCTAGAGTACATCCAGATTGATACAGTACCTACATGATCTCTGAGTGGGGAGAAGAGAAGGCGGGGGTCATAGACAGCATAGAGATACATGTCTCCTGCTCAGAATTGAAATAATAATTATAAACCCTTACCCTGTGTCCTGTTTCGCCCGATCGATCTGCGTCACCCAACAATTGCTCTGGCTGCTGTGCTATTGCTTGTCCTGCTGTATGTACCGTACGTACCGTACATAACGCTGTTTTCTACGGATTTGCTACCTGCAACGCCCGAGCCGCTCACTGCTCGCTGCTTTTCCAAACAGCATATACCCAGTTAACTACGAGCTAAGGCCTAACTGTAGAGTACCGTACCACATAATACCCTTTTCCGAGTGACCGCCAGAGAGTTGTCCACACCACGTCTTCTCTGCTGCTCCTCGTCTCAGAGGGTAGTAGAGCGACAGTTCAAACCCCCGTTTACCCCCCTCCCCCTCCCTCTGGGGACTCACTCCCTGCCGGTGATACCCACCACCCAGAAGAGTTACGGACTAACTGACTGTACATCTCGTCTACAACAATCCCAGTCAGTAATCCACCGACCAGCAGCAGACAGCCACCAAATACCACCTCCACATGCACCCTCCACATAGATACCCACCACTACCTGGAGGTCCACAACCACCCACACCTACATACCCACATATCCCCATCCCTACCCCCCCCCCCCCCCAAATCCACACACCCAGTCTCATACCCCCCCAAATAACCCCCCTCCAAGATAGCCGGTGTCTATTCATCACAAAGTGTTTGCCACCAGGAGTGTTCTGTTCTCATACACAGCTCACCTCGCTCTCAAATCTCGCTTGCTTGTTAGTCCCGAGATTTTTTCCCCAGATCAGACTTCCTTAGAACAGCCTGCTGCTGCCCTTCTTTAGGAATTGCCTATCCCATACTAAAACTAAAAAAAAACTCCCGCTTTCTGTATTATTTTTTTCCAGAGAAGAAAGAAAAAGAAAAGGTTGTTGCAATTGCAATTATTTTTTTTATACATACCACCATTGCCTGCTGGCCCGAGACACAACACTCCAAAACCCAGCCCTCTTCCTCCCAATAACAGTAATAGCAACTCCCTCAACGGCTTCCCTCTTGTACTCACCCATACCTACATAGTACCTTACCCAAACCCCATCAATCCTCCACCCCAAAAAATCCTTCCGAACCATACCCACCCCCAAGACACACAAAAACCTGGGAACCCCATTCTGAAAGGCAGCCACCCCCCTCCCCCTCACACCCCCAGACTTATTGTCAGCAGCCCCCTCTGAAGGTGTGACGGCACCCTTTATCAGTCCCGCTCCCTTCACATTTCCGATCTGAGTACGAGATCGGGCTTGATCAAGGGTTCGCGATGATGATGATGGAATTGGATCCAAACGAACTGGACCGCTATATCGGCGGCGACAACACTCACCAGTACACGATGCCCCATACTATGGCTGTTAGAACTACAGGTCCCCGAGGAATGAACGGGGCTAGTCCTGCTGAACAGCAGCATCAGCAACAGCAGCAGCAGCAACAGCAGCAGCAGCGACCTGGGCCTGGCCTCAGGCGGGCATCAACCCCCGGCATGGTAGGAGTCGGTATGGACGAGATTGTAGCAGAGAACGCTCGCGAGCTGCGACGGAGATCTCTGGCTAATGGATATAATATGGATTTTATGAGTGATCACGACTCGTTTTCACGCATGGTCAGTCCATCGGCGTATAGCAACACGGAACTCAGCCAGATGGGAGGCGACATGGGCCGGTTACCAACGACCATGGAGTCGTACTCGGAGATGGACTCGTCGACACCCGAACTCAGCGCTGTGGGCATGATGGGGGTTGGCAGCATTTCGGGCCCCGAGATGCAGGCCTCGATGACCGCGATGTTCGCCGATCCGCAGCAGATTTTGACGGGGACTTCGCATTCTAGCCCCGTGACCAGCGCCCTCACAGTGTCCGTTCCTCCCAGTCCAGTAGGTCCGCAGATGCCAGGCAGTCCTCTTGGGCCAAATGGCCATCGAATGTCTGTCGATTCCTTAACCTCCTCTCCTATGACTCAAATGCACATGTCCCAAATGTCGGGTGCAACAATGGATCAAGTCTTGGTTGATCCAATGGGAGGTGGGTCATTTAAATACCTATCTGTTGCCTACTACGAGGGAACCATGGGATCTGACCTTCGATCACCGGCAGGGATGAGTCCATCCTCACCATATACTCCGATGGGGATGAAGGCACATCAAGCGATGTTCTCGGATAACGTATACTCAGCGACTGGCTTTGATATGCTAGGTGTCCTGGTTAGAACATTTAATTTATTGTTACTCCTGTTTTGGGGGGCATCTATTTATTATGGGTGCCCCCACCCAATTCTCCCAATGAGTAGACAGCTGATATTTGTTTGATTGCGCCATGAAACAGTACCGAGTAGCCAATAGACCTAACCCACAAATCAATATCGGAGCGGTCGATTTCTCGTGCTCTTTTGTCGTGACGGATGCCCGAAAATTCGATAACCCGATCGTTTATTGCAGTGCCACCTTCGAACGCTTGACCGGATACACAAAGCATGAGATCCTTGGACGAAATTGTCGTTTCCTACAATCACCCGATGGCAAGTGTCCCCAGGGAGTCAAGAGAAAGTATGTAGACGACGATGCAGTATTCTACCTAAAGAACCAGATTGATGCCAAGAAGGAAGGCCAGACATCTCTCATTAATTACCGCAAGGGTGGACAGCCCTTCACAAATCTCCTGACAATGATCCCAATTACATGGGATGGGCCCGAGATTGTGTACTTTGTTGGTTTCCAGGTTGATCTTGTGGAGCAGCCTGGGGCCATGATGAACCGAAATAAAGGTAAAGCCCCGGTACTTTATTCCTTACAAAGTGTGGCGATTTACGGAGCTGACTGGACAGGATCAGACGGATCGTTTGCGATCAACTATCAATACAACCAACTCCCCTCCTACATCCCGGCATCGACAGCCATGGTTATGGATCAGAGATCTGGATTGACCGTGGCCAGGGACGACGTTTCACAAGTTCTAACCTCTTTCGGAACGGGCGAATCGGAATTCCATTCAAAAAGGATCTTAGACAAGGTCCTATTGGAGAACACGGACGACGTTGTTCATGTTCTTTCCTTAAAAGGACTCTTCCTCTACTGTTCACCCAGCATCAGAAAGGTTTTGGAGTATGAGCCACAGGAACTTGTCGGAACAAGCTTGTCAGCAGTTTGTCACCCGAGCGACATTGTACCGGTTACAAGGGATCTCAAAGATACATCTACCAGCACTTCCGTTAATGTGGTTTTCAGGATTCGCCGAAAGTACAGTGGGTATACATGGTTTGAGAGTCATGGGACTTTGCACACAGAACAAGGGAAAGGAAGAAAATGCATTATCTTGGTTGGGCGGGAGAGGCCGGTTTACAAGTTGGGATGGAGAGATATTCAGTTAAGTGGGGGAATTGGGGAGAATGAGCTATGGACCAAGATGTCAACAAGTGGAATGTTTCTCTTTGTTTCGTCCAACGTCAAGATTCTACTCGACAGAGAGTCCGACGAAATGACTGGAACCAGTATTCAAGCACTCATGCGACCAGATTCGAAGCATGAACTTGGAAGAGCTTTGGAACAGGCAAGATCAGGGGTCAAGGCTACGGTGAAGCATGAGATCCAGAACAAGAGAGGCCAATTTTTGCAGGCTCTGACAACTCTCTTCCCCGGGGATGCCGCTGAGAACCGAAAGCCCACCTTCTTGATTGCCCAGACGAGGCTCTTGAAACACACTAGAGCTTCTGCAGGAAGCCCAAGTGCCAAGGATATGGCTTCAGCAGCATCCACGCCATCTCACTGGAGCAACCGATCGCCACTCCAGACACAACACAGCAGGAATCTTGGTGACACAACACCCGCCCACGACTCACGAGAAAATAGTGCGGAAAATGGCGGTGATGAAAATTTGTTTGAAGAACTCAAGACCACCAGATCAACGAGTTGGCAATTTGAGCTGCGACAAATGCAAAGGACAAATAAAAGACTCGTAGAAGAGCTCGCCAGCCTACTCGCACTCAGGAAGAAGAGAAAGCGGAGAAAGGGCGTAGATCAGCTTGAGAAAGATTGTGCCAATTGCCATACAAGGGTTACCCCCGAATGGCGAAGAGGCCCTAGTGGCAAGAGAGATCTGTGCAACTCTTGCGGATTGCGTTACGCCAAACTCGTAAGCAATCCCCCCAAACCTCCTCCCCCCTCCTCCTCCTCCCACTCAGCAACCGCTGCCGTAAAGGCCGAGTTTGTCGTGGTATACGGAGTCCGTGCTGATCGTTACAAAAGATTGGTCGAGTATCGCCGCGGACTGCCACCTCCACCTCCGACAAAGGAAATACCAGCCCCACTCAAAGTTCACCGATCACAACGCACTCCATTGGAGACTCTCCCCATCCTGGATTGTCATCACCGCACAAACCGACGGGCATGAACCCAATCCCGCTATCGCCAATCCAACAGCAATTGAGACGAGGGAGCACTGCGAGCAGTAGCAACAATACTATGACACCTATTCAACCACATCCTATTTTACCACCTAATAGCAAATTGAACGGAAGCATGACCCCAAATAGTAACATGAACGGGGGTATGAGTGGCAGTATGACACCAAACGGGAACATGAACGGGAACATGAATGGAAACGTGGACATTGACATGACAACGAATGGTACTTGAGAGACTTGAGCGGTTTCGGCTTTTTTTTTTTTTTTTTTCCTCTTCATTTCGGTTTTTTTTTAGCCCTTTTTTATATTCCTTTTTTTTATATTGTAACGCTCTCCTTGATCCATTGTGCTATATTTTCCCTTTCTACTTCATCTCATCCACCTCATTCGCCCTCACCTCCACCACAACCATTAAACCATCCTCAACCAACGCCACCTCCTCTCACCATTCGTCTGCTTTCTCTACTTTTCCCCGCACCCTCACCGTATCCGAACTCTCCATACACCGGCTGTGCAAGATTATCCTTAGCTCTCTGGGGAGGGGGGTTAGGTGCGACGCGGGGCGTCGACGTGTCAAATGTTTTAAATGTGTTTATGCATTTCAGGGGGAAAAAGCTTTTCTATCAAAAGTGTGTACGCTTTTATCGTTTTGCTTTGAGTATTTTCTTCTTTATTTGAATCCGGGGTTTTTCTTTTTTTCCTCTTTCCTTCTCATTTTGGTTTGATTTTTTATTTTCTTGTATGTTGTTTTTATTTGAAAGAAAACGGGCGCGCGGGAAAGAAAGATCATGCTGGCGTTCCAGGAGCTTTTTTTCATAAGCTTGGGGAGAATTTGATTTTTGGTTTTTATTTTCCTTTCTTTTTTATATTTTGGAGCTGAGGAAGCGGGGAGATTGGCAGGATTGGATTGGGGGTTGGGGGTTGGGTTTTTTCTTCTCTCCTCATTTTCGATTCTATTGTCTTTTTATATTTCCAATTATCTATTATTTACATAACGTCATTTTTGCCCATTTTTGCGTGTTTGCTTTCATCGTTTGAATTTTTGGCCATGGTGTTTTGTGGGGGTTGGATTCTAAGGTTAGGAAAAATCTATACAGCTAGTAGGTAGTGATAGTATGGCATATCAGAGGTGTTGTTTTCCAAAACTCAAGATTCCCCATAAAACTTGTGACCATTATTATGCTAGTATCCTTAGTTCGTTCATACAAGGGGGTGGTACACGTAGGGTGCAAAAAGTGAAAACTACCAGTCACCTATCAGGGATTAAAGTATTATTACTTACTACATACTCAAGCAGTTGTCGCAGCTAGCTAGCTGTCCGTATCTTTCACATCGTCATACCACAGAACTAAAATATGACTCCTTTTGTCAATATTGCTATTTTTTTAGTATCATGACGAAAACCGACCCCAGGGGGTTAATGATAGTGGTGTTTCGATAACCAGAAATTGCTGTCAGTCGGTTCAGTTGTTTCCTAAGTCGGGTTTCACGGTAGTTTTTTTTTCTTTCTTTTCCTTTGACCCCTCTCTACCCTCTCTAGACTCTGTCTCCCCCAATTCCCCCTGGGACAAATCTCTAGCTAGTCCCAGCAGAGTTTCTTTTTTCTTTTCTTTTCCCTTTCCCCTTCTTATTTAGAGATCTTCGTCTCAGTCGTTGTCATCAAACAAATAATTTTTTTGGTGCGACGGTGACGGCGACCTCCTGTATTGGTATTGGGTTGCCATGTATGCATTTCCTCTCTGGTCGCTCGTCTCCCTGGGATTTCTCTGTTGCTCTCCCCAACTGAATCTCCTGGTATTGAATGCGGGGTGCGCACCATGTGATGATATGTGATGTGGTGAGGTGATGTGATGTGATGTGACGTTTAGGTAGGACTCGTCCTCTCTCTCGCCTGTCACAGAGGCAGCGAGTGCAACGAGCCGCACGTGGCATGTCATTCGTCATTCGGCAGTTTTTTTCTTTCCTTATTTTCTTTTCCCTTTGGAAAAGCAGAAGAAAAAAGCAAAGATACCGTGCACGTAAAACACAGCAAATACCGATAGATTATGGCCATCATCTACTTTTTTTTTACTTCTTCTTGTGCCGACGATCAGTGCAGAACCAATGACCGAGCTGGGTCGGATTCTTGCGGGGAGGTAGGAATTGAGGGAGGGGGGGAAGGGACTTGGGGGGAAGGACTTACAGGTATGTAATTACCCCGCGTTTTGGTTATTGAAGGGTTGCCTGAGGAGGTGGAGGAACTTGGAGACTTTCATGCAACAAAAGAGGAATTGGGAGAGGAAGGGAGACCGGGAAAACGTTTTAACAGGTCGGAGGTCGGGGGTAGAGTATAATTTTCCAAAGTTTCGTCCGGAGGTGGACGGTCGTTCGAGGGTATCGTTCCGCCCAGCTACATAGAGTAGTTAGAATCCCTCGGAGGTGGACTGCAGGTAACTTGCTTACAGATAGGGTACATAGGTTGGTTGGGCTCTCTTTTTTTTCTTTTTTTCTTTCGCTGCGCGTGGGTTTGTGAGATGCATCATCAGCAGCAGCGCAGCCAGATTCCTCGACGTTGCAATGTTTTTGTTTTCCTTTTTCCTTCGAGAAGAGAGGGGCAGAGGAGGGGTAAGGGAAGGTTGAGAAGCCTTCTGGTCTTGTCTGAGATCTAGACACGCTTTTCATACGACGTCGTCATCGAGCTTTTGGGTGGGAGAGAGCTTGATGTGTATGTAGCTACAATAATACACTACTTCGTTTTAGTTGCACACTAGCTAACTACTGACATATACCTACACTAGAATTGACGATGATGCTGTTGATGCTGTTGTTGTTTTGCTTACCTGCAGGTTTGAGTATACTCTATATTCTACATTAGTTAGAGTTCCACGACATTTGAGTGAGAAGGGGGGCCGGGGGGAGAGTGGTGAAATCTGATTTCTCGGTCCTCCGTTTTTGATTTGACGACTTGGATTCAGACCCGTGGTCTCAACTTTCTCCAACTGCTCTCTAAAGCAGCCAGTAGCTAGCCAGCGGGCATCGTGACTATTCCCATGAAGTCAATTCTACGCCCCCCCCCCCCCCCCCACCCCCCCCCTCTTCCTCTAGCCCCGCAAGGTTGAGGTTGACTTCGGAGACTTTTGAAGAAAAATTCTTTCTTCTTTGGTGTCGGAATATGTTTGGAGGGAGTGTAGGGGGTGTGCGTGAGTGTTGGTTGGGTCGGGCTAGGTTGGGTGGGTGGTGTTACCACGGAAAAGGATTGTGTTTTGTCTCGGGATAACCTTTTTGCCAGTGTGCGGCCGTTCTACGCACCAACCAACCGAGGAAAGTGTGTGATTGCGAAGCTAATGCTGTGGGCTATCTGGCTGGCTGATAGAAGGGAGGTGCAGTTTTGCCCTTTTGTGACACGGGATGGGCTTTGAGACGATGACGGAGTGAGGAGGAAGAGGCTGACTTGACTGACTGCCTGCCTACCTGCCTACCTGCCTGACGAGAGTTTATTGCTACCTGTGAACTATCATATCCGCCAATAAGCTGCTGTAGTAGTGGACCCAGTACCGTATTTCCCCGGCGCCCCAAAAGGGACGAGGGATCTTCTCGGGAATCCTTTTTGTTGTCCTATCTACAGATTCTATCTCGCGGCCGGGATACGCCTATATCACTTACCTAATTGAACATTATATCAACCTCAAAATCACACGATATCACTCGCCGTTACCCACCTTTTTCGCTCCAGCTAGTAACGTTAGCTAAAGCCATGTATCCAGCTAACAAAAAGAACCGAATCTCACAACGGGACCATCGGATTCCTTCACTTCCGCCGTCGCACATATGCAGGTCCTCGCTAACTAACGAACGCCGCTCGCGCTCCAGCCAACCTAACCTCCTTTCCCCTCTCTCCTCTCTACCCAGCGTCATAGGCCTGACCAGTTGGGAACTGGACCAAAAGGTCGTCATGGTGAACACACCAGCGTTTCAAATTCGACCACGACCACAACCACCGCGATGTTTCCCGCCTGAACGAAGTGCGCTTCTGGAAGGGAGGGAGAGAGAGCGTTATGCAGATGCTTGCCTGGTTACGTTATGAGGCTACTCTAGTTAGCTAGCATAGCATAAGATGTAGGGTGAGATTTTGTGATGCTGCCAGCGCACTTGTGGTAGAGGAGGGTTTAGGGTCGCGTTACACGCTACTACATAGTATTATCTATCAGGAGGAGGAAAAATTGAAGTCACCAACCTAGAGGGTTAATTGTGAAAGAGAAAAAAAAATTCCTTCCTTTCGTGAGACTAAAGGAGAGAAAAAAATTTCACTTTTGTAACGTACGGACCGTACCTACTGCACTAGCGCTAGTTGACAGGCTCATCACAAAAATTCCTGATGAGGAGCTGCGATTACAATTAGGCTATGCCTACCAATGCATCTCGTTCTTCTTCTCCCTTCACGCTCCTCTTCGCCTTCACCCAGTGAGCGTATTCCATGCGATGGACGAGAGTGCTAACTAGCTATCTGGGCGGATCGGCCCAGTTGTTGCTGACTCATGAAGGTTGTGGTGCGCCGCCAACGCACCGCCCAACATTGGACGGAAACGAGTGATCAACCATGCGCCATTAAATACCAAACAGGGCCAGATTTCGGGCCGGTGTGAGAGGCATCTGACAGGCTGATCATGATGGAGGGCGATAGTTAGTGAGGTAGGGATGGTGGTGGTGGGTTGTTGAGAAATCTTGCCATGGGATTTCAAACAGAGCCAGATTTAGCCTCTAGGATGGGGTGTGGATAAAATACACCGGCAGGCTGCTGTGGTGTATAAATATCACAATTGAGCGATCGTGAGCCGTATGTAGTCTGTCAATCTGTCAGTATCTCTCTATCTCAGAGTACTGCACTAAGAATAATTGAATGCTCTAAATGGAGTGGTGTATTCAGAGATGGATGATTGGGCGGACGAATGGATGGATTGATGGTAATTGGAATGTTTGGACCGGGGGGTTCTCGGGGAATACTCCAAGTGAAAATCTTTCTTGGTGCATATATGCAGCGCATCACAAAAATGATCATCGCGTGGTGAGCTGTGTTGGTAAGGTCCTTCCTGGTAGATGTGATTGGGGAAGGGATACTGATCTGATGGATATGTTTGGCCCCGGGGAGGATGTTTCAAACGAATTACCCTTGGAAAATGCCCGCATCACCGGTCGCTCACCTTACCTTATTCTGACCCGCCGCAGTAAGAAGTCTTGGTTCCCCAGAAGAGCAGTAGGATATTGTACGGTTCGGTGGTTCTGCGGCGGCCTAGTATACTAGTATGGTACTTGTGTATGGGCACGGGTAATAAGTCAGCGCTCCCCACTCAGTTATTTTGGTGTTTATGCATGCATGCCGGAATCTTCAAATCTCCATCCATTACTTTGCCTATGGCAAGTCGCTCATAAACCTCACGTTATTAATCAATTGGGCAAAGTACCGTGATGTAGTCCGACGCAGTTCGGGTGTTGAAGCAAGCCTCTCGGTAGCTTCACAACTCGGCCGCAATATGGCCAATAGCCACAATCAATATAGCCAGAGCATAAGGGAGATTGTGAGGTCAGTGTGTGAAGCCACTCTGGCCAGCATCAGCAACCGCTGCCGAACAGCCCCGTGACCGAGTGAGAACACGAGGACGAGTGATGGACGATGATGCATTGTTATGAGTGGGGGTTGACCATGGTGAAAACTGAGCATTCTGGCTGCGGATAATCAAGGTGAAATAGCAGCTTGGCCACTCTGTTTTTCTTTGTAGAATCTGAGTAAACTGCTCGAGCCAAGAGGAGCTTGTGTACGTGTGGGGTTGGAATAGGCCCGCTTGCCACTAGCTGCCCTACTAAACTCTAATCCCACGTCTTAGCGCGAGACAATCCCTTCGTTTATTCCCGAATTCACAACCTTCGTCATCGAAAGATTTACAACCATTTAACTGCGGTAGGCAGTGGAGCTGTATAGCTAAATCGAGCTAAATAGACCCCGAATGGGTGCGGAGGTAAGATAAATAGTGGGCATCCTAACTGTGCACGGATATCACTCCCTCAATCTGACTCCTACCACAAATGCCACAGAATTCGAAAGCCACGGGTGCTAATTGCAGACGAGGGGATACCCTTGAATTTGGAGATGTTGTGGCCATGTTCTATGCAGCTTCATGGAAGTTGATAGATATGTACTATGTACGTTTCTGAGCATTGCAAAGCCAGGACTACGCTATTGAAGGTGCCCTCCCTATTTTCGCAATCTCCTCGTTGGGATCTACTTTACTCTATTCAATTTGCTATGAATTGGGTCGTCCTGGACAAAGAAATACAATACCACGGTGGTTGAATCGTAGCTTTTTCAATAAAGCTCTGGCCACTGCAGGGAAATATGTCAATACTATCAAGGTCCTGGAACCACTGGCAGCATATAAGAACAGCTACCAATGCACCTCCATGTCATTAACGTAATCAATCTACATCCACATCTCCAAACTATCACCAGTCAACTAAAACATCATCCAATCAGCCATGTCTAGCTCCAGTGCAGCCGCAGCCCCAGCGCCAAACACCTCCCTGGGGCTGAATACACCTCCCCACCAACTCCCATCTGGAACATCGGTAAACCCAACCCCGACAATACCCCTACCCCATCACCACCCCGAGTCTCAAGCTCTTCTACACCGACATCGTCGACCTCTCAAATACTCTCCAACTCCTCGCAGCTGCCCAAACCGCCCCACTCCCCACCGGCGAACGTGATACACCTGAATACCATTACCTCGAGAAGCGCCGCATCCTCCTCAACGCTAAAATCACCAAATTTCCCCCTAGTAGTGAACTTGTAGTCACCGAGAAAGGTCAACTAGAGGGTTATATGCAGGCAATCGACACCTTCCAAGCAAATACTCTCCCACGTAACCTAGTCGCACTACCACACACTACGGTTCTAGGCTTCCTGGAGGCCGAAATCCGGAGCTTATCACTTGCACAGGGCGTGCTAAAGGGTGATTATAGGATTATGCATCAGAAAGGGACCGACAGACTCTCCGGTATTGCGTTTGACTTTTTGTATCTCAAGACGCGCATTGAGAGTATCCATGATGCGCTGAAGGCGTTGAAAAAGCGGGCGTTGGCCAATGCTGATTTGGTGGCGTTGGAGGGGTGTGCTAGGGTCAGAACGTCGTTTGAGATCGACGTGGAGGCATTTAAGACGCATATTGATCATTGGGTGTCGATGGGCATATTGAAGAGGACCTTTACCGGAAAGCCGAGTCTGAAGTAGAGCGGAAGTGTGTGTTTATCTGAGAGAGCATGGAAATGTCGCTGGCATCTATCGAGGAAACCGGTATAGCGTGCACCTGATGAGAAGAAATGAGTAGGTGCATTAATTAGTGCTATTATTCTATTATGAGATGCGTGTTACTATTTACTTGATTTAGGCCGTGATCTTATTTATTTATTATTACTTTTAGACTAGTCGGCTTATTTAATTAATTTACACACTATCGATCATTGACATTTGGGTGTGCTGCGTGAAATTGTGGACCGTTGGTCATTGACACTTGTGCATGGGTTGAGTAATAGCTTGAGGTTTAGTCGAGCGCCCAGCCAGCCACAAAGGCTGAAGATGGCGTTTCACTGCGTAAGAAAAAGGGATCGTTGTAGATTATGGCTTTCAATTTACAGTTATTACATAGGTAGTAAGTACTACTGCAGGTACTCTGCGGATAATTGTGTCACAATTCGGGGTGGTTTGAGGGGTGGCCGAGGTAGATTTACATGTAGTTGACTAACCACTTAAGTAATTCCCAATTTATCTCCAGAAGAGGAATTGATTAACTCAAATTAAACACTCACGCTCAAACTTCACGATAGGCGCTGTGCCGCCGTCAATAGTCACGATTACATATTGTGGTGCAAAACGTGCAGTTATCAAAACATCAGCAGCATCCCGCTCAATGCACAACACCAAACACCAAGAAAGAAAGAAAAAAGAAAAACCTCACGAGGCTGGCACGGCAACCTGAAACTAAGTTACTAGTGGCGTGAGAGTAAAGAACAAGCTTTTTCTTCTCTCTCGCTCTTGTGCGCCGTTCCCCCCCCCCCCCCTTCCCTCCCGCCTGTCAGAACAGACCATACTTACTGTTTTGTGTCTCGAGAGCTGCAGGCAAGCGAGGTTAGTTAGAGCAGTTCGGTGCTAACGACATGAGCTAGTCGGAAACGCCAAAGTTTCATTTCGGGTCGTTTGATTGCCAGCGCTTAAATCCAATCTGTTGCTGTCTCTGTTATCTGCTGTACTAGTATCGTCCGCTATCTATGAATTGGTTATGATAGCTGTAACTCATCATGTCCGTCCAGAGTAGCATCAAGCAAGCAAGCATTACTAGCAGAACAAGTCGCGACAAGAAAAGAAAAGAAAGATGCAGCAGACTCGTCGCGAAAACCGGGCTAGCGTGGCGGCTCTGCAGAGCCTCAAAACCTTACTTGCACGAGGCTCCAAGTGGCCATTCGCCTATCACCCACAGCAGCAGGATGACGACGTCCAGGGGGGGGGGGGGAAGAGAGCTCCGGTAAAATGCTAAACTTGCGTTTCAGACCGCTGTATTTTATTTTTCTTAAACCCAACTCGTTTATCGAGCGAGCCCTTTTCTCCACCGGGGAACAGCAACGTCAGAGCCTCGATCTTGTGCAGGTACGGATTCTATTCTGGCCTGGAACAACATAGCCGTGACGTCGGTTCGTTTCGCGGCCAGTGGGGACACGACGAATTTTCGTTTTTTTCTTCGGAGGAGAGATAGATAGAGAGCTTGTTGATGTTAAGCATTTAAGAGGAGAAAGGGGGTAGTAGTTTAGAATGGGGCTACTTGTGCATGTAAGTACAGTTAGTTTTGGTGGCCGTTGAAGTGGTGAGTTGGGTGGCCGGTGGTATGTAGTGTATCTGTAAGACCTCCGGTGAATAGGGACGGCATTGACAACGGAGAAACTTCGGATGGTTTTTGCGGGACCGTGAGTGCCTGGGTATTTGTTTTTCCCACAATTGCCCTTTCTTCCATTTGACTGCTTGGATACAGGGACAAGTTGCGACATGTCGTTACCGATCAATCGGAGCAGCACCCGCGCGCGTGGTAGAGCAGCAGCAGTGGTATCTGTCTGTTCACTGTTCCCTCGCTGCTCGGGGTTCGCCATGGATTCAGAACACGCGTTCACCCAAGCGGCAGGCAGCCATCCAATACGAGAGGCAAGAGCGCTCTTTGTCTGTGCGTGGTGTAAGTTATAGTATAGAACAGGTACACACATGTGCCCATCTAGGCACATGGAGTACATAGAACGACTTTCCTGTCGGGATCTTCCGAGGGGAATTGATATTACAACAGAGACAAACAGGCAAATGATGCCAAAGAGAGACCATCAAATCAAAAGGCTCGTATATAGGTACATACTAGTACAATGGAGAGGGGTATCTCTGCTTCCCCGTCGTCCCCCAATTGGCGAAGACTTTCTGAAAGTGGTAGAGGAAATATAATTCGACGTTGCAGATATAGAGCCCAGCAGCAGTGTAGATAGCTTTTCGAGGGGAAAGAAGAGCCCTTGTTCCCTGTAGCCTGTCGCTCGTGGTGGTGGTGTGCTGCGTGCGTGTGTAGTCTGTGTGTGGACCCTGTCCTGTTCCTGTCCCCCGGTGCGTGTTATCTCGGCTGAGCTGCAAGATGCAATCTAAGCGAAAAGCAAACAGGGGTTGGGTTGGGTTGGGTTTGGTTGGGGGGAAAGCGCGGAGGAGGAGAGTCGAGGAAATATGCAGGCCATTTTGAATGTGCAGTCCATCATGGCGCGATACTATACATACATTTATCTACGAGTACTTTCGACTCTCTTTTTTTTCTATACATATACACACGCTGATACGCACAAGGGACAGGACGTGAGCGAGTGAGAGTGCGAGAGCGCGAGAGTAAGCACGTCAATTGACGAGTCAGTCTTCACCATCTTGCTTCGTTCATTCACTCACCCTTTCCTTGCCTACATTACATACGCATACACCGACCCATTGAGCAACAAGAGAAAGGGAGAGCAAGCATTGGCCAGATTGCGACTTTGCGATTCAATTGGGGAAAAGGCTTCTGCATAGATCGGTCCCATTGAGATACTTACCCAGGATTTCCAAGCAAATCCTCCTCAGGCACGGGATAGCTAGCAGCAGCTCACGGGCCACGATAACTTGGAATTCGCTCCTTTACATAACCCATTAGCCATTAACAACGACATACACCATCACCCCCCGCCCCCTTCTTCGAATCACGTCCAAGATAATACCACTCAATATGCTGGAAACGATCTCGATCACTGTCTGTGGTGATGGCGGTACTGGTATGAAATACCCTACCTCCTCCCTCCCATCCCCTCCCCTTCATTCGGCCGCTGCACTTCTTCCCCACTGCGCATTTTGGAGCTGTTACCCAGCATATATCACCAGCTATCACATATATCCCCTTTAGCCATTATTACCATCACTGGGCCAATCATTCCAAGGGAAAAGAAGAAGAAAAAAACTCGGACTGACATTCCAATCCACTGGGTTTGTGGCATCCATTCATTGCAGGAAAGAGCTCTATATCACTTCGTCTTGTCCGCAGCAAGTGGACCCACGAATATGATCCCACCGTACAAGACAGCTACAGTGTGACCCGGGCCGTCGATGGCCGCGAGTACCAATTATCGCTGACGGGTATGTCGATTCCTGCACCCAAGCCACTCACCATCCACACATATCAAAAAAAAAAAAAAAAAAAAACGCTCATGCTAACACATCTCCCAATCCGTAGACACGGCCGGACAAGAGGAGTAAGCCTCAACCCCACCTCCGCTTATACCACCGCACATGATGCCAAATCTGCAATTAGATATCCCAACTGACGTGGGTGCGGGCGAGTCAGGTACCGCGGACTATGGGCACAGCAGAACCTTGCGGCGGACGCGTACCTACTTGTATACGACATCACGAACCATGACTCGTTGTTGCAGCTCGACTACTTCAACGACATCATCGAGATGGAATCGGAGGAGCGGATGCTGCAGCCGGGCGCCGTTCCGCACGTGAAGATTGTTGCGGGCAATAAATGCGACCTTGCAAACTCGAGGCAGGTTTCATCGCAGGAAGGACTCGCGTGGGCCAGGAGTCATGATTGCGGGTACGTTTCAGATTTCCTGACTGCGGATTGGAGGAAGAGGGCGGTGTTTGTAGTTGGTCAGCTACAGGGGGTTCTGGAATGTTCCCTCTGGGAGAGCCCTTTATCCCGTGAGGAGTGAGGTGGAACGAATCACGAGGGGACACTGTGAATGCTATTGTTGTCATGATGGTATGCGTTGGACGAACGTATTTGGCTGATTCTGGGATGGGTATAGGTTTATGGAGACATCTGCGCGCAACGTTGTTAATGTTGAGGAGACCTTTGCTCGTAAGTAATGCCCCAATCAGGCTCAAGCACACTCAAGCACTCGATCTTGTTTCAGATCTTATATCTCCATCTGTTTCACATATCAACGACATCACAGGCCGTTTCAAAACCATCCCATGTTATACGGTTTCCTTTCTGACAAGCAATAACAGTGCTAGTACGCCGCGTCGTGGCCGCACGAGAGGCTGCCAGGAACGGCACCGCTGCGGTCAATTCTGGGCGGGGGCAGCAATCAATGGCCGCCAATGGCGAGAATCCCAACAATAACATGAACGAGAAGGAACGCGGCACGAACACTCCGAAACCTGGGGAAGCTGGATCTGCTTCTGGTGCCTCGAAAAAGAAGTTTGGATGTTGTGTCATCTGTTGATGCCCCCTCTCGACATTAGCGCTGAAAATAGTAATTGCAATCGACCGTTATAGCGGCGGAATGTGGAGTACGCAATACTGTATTCTTTTTTTGACTTTCTTGACTTTTTTCCCTGTGACGGGAAAAGGTACCTACTCTTTTTTTTCTCTTTTCTTTTTCTTTTCTTTGATTAGTTATTCATATCTATTTCCTATACCGATATTCTAGCGGGACATGGGCTGGGCTTTATTGTAACGACGGCACGGGTTTCTTAGTAATGTTGGGGGGGGGGGGGGGGGGTTTGGGAGGGAAAGGGTTTGATCTAGAACAAGGCATGCATGGGTGGGGAATGGGTTCTAAAAAACGGTGGTGGTTTACCTTTGTTGGGTTTTGGTTCTTTTCCAGCTTTTTCTTCCTTTTTTTTTTTTTTTTTTTAAAGAAAAACCCTTTTGCAACGAATTTTCTTTTCAAACTTGTCGATATTTTAGGGGGATTTTTTTGTTCACGTTACTTGTATTTTTTCTTCATGACAGCTTGTAACTTGTATTTTGCTTCATGTTAAGCTCTTTCTTTTTTTTTTTTTTTTTTTTTGTTCATTTCTTTCCTGTGTTTTCTTTGTGGCCTGTATTTATATATTGCTTTGAATAATTTATAAATAATTTCTAACTTCGTGTCCATTAACCGTGCGTGCGCTCTATTTGGGATTCCGCAATCTAATGATCAATCTTGAGCGAGAAATCGACATGTTGTGTGCTCTGCGACAATTTTATAAACATTAGTCCACGCCCGCCGCAATTACCACTCTAAGAAAGAGAAAGCAGTCCATACCTGATGAATCGAGCTCGTCGACATGATATCAATATCTACGCCCAGACACACCAAACTAATCAGCATCACAACTATCACTCGCCCCCATCACACACAATCACTCACCATTACAACAATACGCCGCCACATTCTCCTCCGTCAGCCCGCCGGAGCACTCCAACAGCACCTGCCTCCTCCCCTGCCACCTCGTCTTGATACTCCTCGCCGCAACCTTCAACCCCTCACCACTAAAATTATCCAACATGACAATATCCGCGCCCGCCGCAATCGCCTCATCGGCCTCCTCCTCGCTCTGCACCTCCACCTCAATCTTGACTGCGAAGCCGCCGACCGAGCGCGCGGCGGCAACAGCCTGCGTGATGGACCCCTTGGACCACACGTGGTTGTCCTTGAGCATGATCATTGACGAGAGGTCATAGCGGTGCTGGTCCACGCCGCCGACCAGCATGCCGTACTTCTCGACGAGGCGGAAGCCCGGGGTTGTTTTCCGGGTGCCCGCGAGGATGCCGGTGTAGCCGGCGGAGCGCACGAGCTGCAGCATGTGGCGGGATTTGGTGGCGATGCCGGAGCAGCGGGCGAGCGTGTTGAGGGCGACGCGCTCGCCGAGGAGGAGCTTGCGTGCGGGGCCGCGCACGGTGGCGACGGATTTGATGGGTGTGAAGGAGGCGCCTTCGGGGATGTGCCATTCGACGCTGCGCGGGGGGGGGGGGGGGTTGTTAGCTTTTGCAAGTATAGTATTCATATACCCGCACGTGTATGATAATGAGGGGAGGGGAGAAGCCATACGTGCACCCCAATTGCGCAAAGACCTCGTCGAAGAAGGGGACGCCCGCTAGAACACCCTGTGTCATTGAGCATTGCTAGTTAGCTTATAGCTCTTGCACTAGACCGCAGAACTGCAGATATGAAGCTGGAGAGGAAGAGGAAGGAGGAAGAAGGAAGAGAGAGGGACGTACAGCGGACTTCCCATAGAGCGTGGCCGTCTTCTCGTCCTCGCCGACGACGAAGCCGCCGTAGTCGAAGGACGGCGTGTCCTCGGTGAGCCAGTCGGCGACGGTCTTTTTGTATGTTGTGGGCAGCAGGTGCGCGGCGTTTCCGTAGTCGAGGGCCATTGCGGGAGTGAGTGGGGGGATTAGAGGGTGAGAGAGTGAGATGGAGAGACTGTGATGTCGAGATACTTTCCTCTGCCGGTTTTGTATCGTAGCTGAGAGCTGTGTTTCTCCGCGTTCAACCGAGCTGCTGTGTGCACGTGCCTCCCCGCACCGGTCGATCCCTGTCCGCACGTCATCCATCACCAACCTCAACACCTGCAGACACCCACAACCACAACAACTACACACCCACAACCACAACAACTACACACTCACACACAATGAGCGCCCCAAAGTACCAGCCCTACGCCCCCTCGCCCTACTCCTACACGCCCTCGCCGCACGCCCTCTCCACCAGCATCTCCCTCGACGAGGAGGTCAAGCTGTCGACCACCTCGCAGCAGCGCGAGCTCAACGAGAGCCTGGCCGAGATCTACAGCATCATCGTCACGCTGGACTTTCTGGAGAAGGCGTACATCAAGGACAGCATCAACCAGGAGGTGTATGTTCTTCTCTCTTTCTGGTTCTAGAGGAATGAAGCAAGTGGTGGTGGTGGTGGTGGTGGTGTGCTGATACACTGAGAGAACATACAGCTACACACCCACCTGCCTCCGCCTCCTCGGCCAGTACAAAACACTCCTCAAGTCCCCCGGCGTCGCCAGCGCATTCGTCGACCTCGAGACCTTCAAGCGCGAATACGACGTCTCTCCTCCCCTCCCCTCCCCTCCCTCCGCAACCCCACTAACACCCCCCGCGCACCCACAGATCGAATACCCCTCCGCCACCGAGCGCCTCAAGATCGGCGTGCCCGCAACCTTCGAGCAACCTACGCACACCTCCACCACCCCCGGCACCGCCTCCGCCCCGGCCATCTCCGCCAAGGCCGCGGCCGAGGCCACGCAGAACTTCATCACGTTCATGGACGCGCTGCGGCTGTCGTACACGGCCAAGGACCAGCTGCACCCGCTGCTCAGCGACGTCATCACCGCCGTCAACAATGTCACCGGCGCCAAGGAGTTTGAGGGCAGGCAGAATATCGTAAAGTGGCTCATTGTGCTCAACCAGATGGGTGCGGGCGATGAGATTGATGAGAGTCAGGGGAGACAGGTGAGTTTTCGTTCTTTCTTTGGGGGAGGCGGAGGGGCGGAGTGGGGGGAGGTGGGATGTGGGCTGATGCGGCAGTGGTAGATGTTGTTTGATATCGAGAATGCGTATAATGAGTTTTACAAGAACCTGCATTAATACACCACTCCTACTAACCGGGGAGGGGGGAGGGGGGAGGGTACATTTGATACCAGACAAAAAAGCTTGAATCCCTAATTATAATTACATATAATGTCCCATAATCCAGCATAGTTACATCATACAGTTAATGACTTTTCCAACCTCCCACTCCAAGCACTCTAAAACAAAAACCCCATACGCTCAGTAAAAAAAAAAAAAAGTAAATTGGCAATAAAAACCCGTAGCAAAAGTACATATAGCGAAGGGAGGAGAAAAAAAAAGAAAGAAAAAAATGAAACGCACCCCAAAACCCCCTATTGTGAAAATTACATCACAAGAAATCACTCGGCTTCCCGATCGGGTTAGGGGTTTTTGATGTTTTTTCTTGCTGTGTGCATCATTTACGGTCTTCTTGCTGGGTTTCGGGCTTAATGCTAGAAGTATGTATATATATAATCCCATATACTGTTGATGCAGATATGTTTTGTTTTGTGGGGCGTGGTAAGAGGTTAAGAAATTCAAAAGCTGGTACTCAACTACGCACATATAACCACTCCATCAAGCACTACATGTATTTCCTCTATACCCCCCACACACGCACACCTGCACATATGTATATTAGATGAACCATCCATCCATCCATCCGTCCATCCATCCGTCTGTCTGTCTGCGTGGGGCCGCACCCCCGCAAACCAGTCTGGACAAAGGAATGGATGGTAACCCTCCCGCCCCCCCCGAGGTTCAAGGTCCCCCCCCCAGCTATATATATACATGTATGGAAGATTACCACCACCCAACCGGCCAGCTAGCGATCAATCTACACCAAGGCGGGGTATACTAGTGGCTCCTGTTGCATTTCGGCCGCCCGGAGGTAGAAGCTTAGGCGTATGTATAAGCCTTTCGTTCATTGCATTGTGCAATACGAGCTACCTGGGATAACTAGGGTTAGGTGTACTACGGATGGTGTTTGGGGGCCGGATATATGGGTTGAATAGAGGCCCGGGGCCGGGTAGCTGTAGGCTTGGGCCCAGGTATGAGGTTAAGCTATGATCTGTCTACATGTTGTGGTCACTATTACATTACTGTCGGTCGAGTTGCTTTCTCGAATTTTATTGCGGCCAGGAAAATACATCTTCAATAATCTCTAATCTATAACGTAGCTTGCACTACACGCCTACGGGACAAAAAATCCATCATACAAAGACGACACAAGCACACAATTAGAGTAAAAAGGCCAATCCCCAAATGACAAAATTACAAATTAAAATTACACGCTCCCCCAAAAAAGACAACCTTACACACAAAAATCTTACAAAAAAAACCAAAATCTTACACGCCAAAATATGCAACCACCATCTCACACTATGACAGCTCTTCTAGATAGCTAACAATCATATTTAAAGCACATGGTCCCGCTCTCCGGGTTCACAACCTCGCTCAATGGCACTGACTTGCCCAGCTTCCCAAGGTTGATTGTAAAGTCGAGCGTGACATTGCCTCCGGAGAGGTTAGTGTAGTCGAATGGCACGATGGGGCCCGAGACGTCTTTGTACCGTCTCTTTGGGTCCTTCTGCTGCCACTGCCACCAGATGCGGTCCAGGTTTGCGTGGTGGAGGTAGAACAATGGGTCTATATTCACACAAAACCGTCAATAAAAAAGCTCCACTATCAAGATATATATAGCCAGATATAAGGGCAACTCACCACCAGGGCTGTTATAAGCATCACCAATCGCACCCAACACACCACCCACGCCAAAGTGGCCCCCACCATGCACATTCTTCACATCGAAACTCGGCTCTCCTTCCGTGCGGCGGGCAAACGCTCCATACGTTGTCTTTGACATCATCTCCTCAATGACCTCGGGAACAAGGTTCGTCAGCGCGATGGGCTCGGCAAAGTCGCGTGTGAGGCAGTGCGGGTTGGAGACGTTGACGTCGTGCGACGGGCCGAGACTGAGCTTGAACTTGTCGAACGTGAAGGGGCCGTCCTGGACACAGCCGCCGCCGGTACGGCCGTCGATGCCGAGAAAGTTCAGGGACTCGTCGATCTCGACGAAGGGGCCGTTGCCGCCGAAACCTATGGGGGTGGAGGTTAGCCACTGATATCTGCTTACAGCGAGGGGATAGTATACGTACCGGTCTTGGGGTCAAAGATGGACCACGAGGTCATGTTGATGCCCGACTGTGAGTCAATTAGCCAGTCCCAGTAAGGCTGGCCGCCAGTCCACCCGCACTCCTCCCGCAGAGCCTTCTCGTAGGCGGAGACGAAGTAGCGGTGCCAGGGGAGGAAGTGCCCGACAAAGTGGATATTTGGGGTTTGGGAGCTGTGGACGCCTTGGAAGTCGTCATAGATGCTGTCGGCACCGGGGACGGCGTTGATGGACTTCTTTTTTGCCAGGCATTGGACCGCGGCGAGGTATTTTTTCTTTTCGTTCTTGGTGAGGGAACGCCTGAAGGGGAGGGGAATTATTAGTTATATTGAAATGAGGACTGGGCCGAGCTGTGCATGTATAATTGTAATCAGATGGGGGACATACCATTCTTTTCGTACTATGGGCTCGCGACATCTGTTTGAATCCCTTGAGGCCGAAGAGATATCTGATGACTCAGGCGAAGCAATCGGAGAGGCAATGGAGAGTGTTGATAGACACAATACTGCCGCACTGGTGAACCCAATAAACTTCATATTGAAAAAAATTATAAGGTGGGAAGTATATAAATTAATGTGACTAGAGTCTGGAGGAGATATCACTATCGAGGAATCGAATGAGGATTTCTTGAAAGCAACAAAAACAAGATGATAGGCAAAACTCCCACGGAAAGGCGGCTCTCCCTCGTATTTATCTACGACTAGAGTGTAACGTCTTCAATAAGAAGCAAGATCTATCAATATTAATTAGGTACTGGCGAATTGAGCTCCATCGTGCCCTTACGCGCGTGTCGGCCGGCACAGGCGTTCCGAGTTGAACATGTGTACCTGCTAACCCTATGTAACATTGCCAGTGAGACGTTTTTTCTTCTTCCTTGCTTAATTGCACTTTTCGAGAGACTTGAAAACGTAGAGTAAGGTGTTGTACGTACCTCTCCGCAGTCCACCACCCGCAACGCCACAAGAGCGCTTGAGGCGACAGCTAGTACAATTTGCCGGACGGGAGGATATATGTAGTACATAATTTTGCAGATATGACAGCGCTAGTGTGGAGCCACCATGCAAGCCTCAATGGGTAGGAGCGGAGGTCTTTATCCGTGGTTATGATCTTATGCAACTAGTACTACTAATTAACTATGTAGATGTACTTGTAGACAGTTAAATTGTTAGAGAGCTAGTGCCAACCATTATCATCAACATATTACATTACCAGTAGAGTACGGAGTTGCAACTGTATCCAGCAACCCTAGCGTTAGGACTCTCGTGTGTAGATTCAATTCTACCCAAGATCATAAGAGGCCACGGAAACAAAAGAAGGAAAGCCGATACCTAGACCAAACAACAGTAGAGCAAGATTAGCTGGAGCGTAGGTACAGGAAAGCTGTACACATCTCTCCCTAGCTAGAAGGGTTGATGAATACCAGCTCGGCCTCGGATAGAGGGCTCTCGGTAATATACTCACTGATGGCTATTTAGAAACCGCTATCATTAAAAGCCCGACGTTAACATTGGCCAGGAAAGGAATGAACAGCTCGTTGTATCAAGCTTAATACGGATATTTATTAATATGTATTTGGTTCATTTGGAATACGGCCACGGCCACGGCATCTTGGCTAAAAAGCCTACTAAATCCCGTGGGAGAGAGTGTTCCTTTAATTTTGGATCTGTGCGGCGGCACAGCCGTCCATAAAGTCAACAAACAGCCCTAGACGGAGAAATTAAGGAAGGTAGAGTACGATAGGTAGTAGTAGCAATCTACGCCTACTTTCTAGAGTAGACTGACCAGTGACCACCCAACCGACATCCCAGGGTGACTGTCTTGTGCCCACGTTTGTAGGTAGCACCAATGAGATTATGAGATCTAGGTAACGTCATTACAAAAACACTTCAGACATGTCTCTGCCAAAGAACATCAGGGGGAAATAGAAAAAAACACATGGAATATGGGGTACTTATGGTTTGCAATTTTTCGCTCCTGCTGTATGAAGGAAAGGGACTTGAGGCATTAAAGTTTGAGGAATATTAATAATCGTAAGGATCGATACCATGGGTAAGCTTAAATCCTTCAGGGGAATGCCTGCGGAAGAGTATCGATCCTTTCAGTGAAGCGATGTGTATCTCAGCAAGGAACATCTACTGGTCGAAGGATTATGCATATGTACTTTAGGAAGATATTGGAGCATGGTTATGTCGTTACCAATCAGTTCCTTGTAAGGGCATCATTATAGTGCGGAAGTTTTCTTTGCCCCTCAGGGAGAAAAAAAGCGCAAAACCGGGGGCTCGGGATCATAGGGGAGGTTGACTTCCAATTTTTATCAAGATCGATCCTAACCAAGAACCATAGAGTTGAAAGTTAGTCAAAGTCGCGATAAAGTGCCTACGCCGTAAGGCACGTATATTCTCTGATAATATAGAGTATTATCAGGAGCATAGTACGCGTGCTCCTCCACGTACGACTTCCCGACGCGCCATAAACGCTCATACGCTGCACGCCGCACGCCGGTGTCGAAGCCGCTACTCGGGGAGTAGCTCGGATCGCTCAGCCGCGATACAATCCCGGGAATGAACTTACCGCTAAATAAACAGGTAAAGTCGTAATTTTGGCGACTAAATAAGTATATTTAGTCGAGTTCTAAACGCTATGCCATTCTGGGCTCCTTTTTGTACTCATATAGTACTGTGCCTTGAGAAGTCTAGAAATAAAGTAGTTACATGTAGTTAAATATGATTGAGTGCCTACGTATTCAACGTGTTCCGTATGGACCTGCTACTCCTTTCTTTAATGAATTTGAATAATGCCTTTCCTTTCCTTTTGTCCATCCCACTCCCCACGTTCTTGTCATGGAGAAATACCAAGTCCATGACCAATTTTAAAAACTAGATGCTCTTTCCAAGGCACTTACCTGCATGGTCTCACTGCAGCAAAGACCAGCTGAAGACCCTTACCTACAAATTCCTTGTACCCACACCCCTCCATTTGTGCCGCATCTGGACCCGCTTGACAGTTAAGCTCCCCCGAGAATCCCATCGAGACCAGCAGTAGTTTCATAACTTGTCTCGGCAAATTCATTAACTTTCCTGAATCTACCCCCTAATGGCTAAGTACTGCTTTAACACCACCCCCTTTGTAGACTGAACTTTGGACTAGAGGAGGATTCTAGGTTCTTTACCCCGATCTCTACATGCGTAGTTGATCCAATCGCGATGATAGGTTTTCATGCAGGCAATTCACGAGACTTCAGTATTGATCGGGAAGGTGAGCTAGATCATAGATATTTGGATGCTATCTTGAGCATTGACTATGCTCTAAGGGTATGTCCATAACCCGTGCCAAATACCTAGGCTAGAGAGACCTATGATAGCAAATTTTTTCAGGCCAAGTGTGTAGAGTGTGGTTGATTTTATTTGGTATCGGGACTGTAATGTAGGTATAAGTAATCGAGTTATATGTATGTACGGCACGAATTCGGCTGTAACTAGAAGGCATCTTATCTGTTCAGCCCGGGAGGAGGGGCTGATATTGCGGCCAAATTGCTTGTGTTTCGGCTTTCTTTCTTTTGAAAGAGGGCGTCCTCCTTAGTAGCGAGCCTAGGTATTCTTTTTCTTGTATAAACAAGAATTTCAGGCACGTGTGTATATGTGCAAGTTTTGCAGCAGATGTCTCAGCCAACCAATCCGCTGATAATTGGCTATCCCAAACGCGGGGATTCCAGTCGATTGCAGGCGTACTGGGCAAAGTAAAATCCGTCCATTCTTCAATACAAACCAGTACAGCTGCGGGTCGAAGGCCGTACCGGTACATAGTTATATGCTACTGCAAAATACTTTCAGGAGTAGGGTATCAGAATAGTTCCTGCATCATCATCTCATATCCCGGATCCTAGGCATTGGTACACCACATGCATGGCCGTATAAGATCCTGAATAGGCCCTCGATCACAGATTATAGGATCCGAAAGCTTAAAATTTCTTGAGTCAAGCCTATTATTCTCGACAGCTCGAACCCCCGCCCCCCCCCCCCCCCCCCCGGCCGGTGGAGGAGTTAGTTCGTTAGCCATGTCTGGTGGATCTTTGGGACCGCTGATGCTGGCGGTGATGTTCACATTGCTGTCACTTTCAACGGTGTTCATGGTGCTGAGGTATGTACAACTGGGTGAAACAAAATTGGACCTGAATGAATCATTGGGTTGACCTTTCCGCCCTAGGTTTTACTGCCGCAGTGTTATTATTAAGAATATCGGAAGCGATGATTGGATCATGCTGGTAGCTTTTGTAAGAACGCTGCCGGTGTATTTGACACTGCCAGTATGAGCTGCTAATACGATGAACAGATCATGGCATGGGGAATGGGAGTGACGAACTATTTCCACGTATACTACGGCACTGGGTATGCGTCCTTCCAAGATTTAAACTTTACAGATCAGTAAATGCTGACGTACATAACCCCCCCCCCCCCCCCAGAAAGCACACGGTTGACTTGGTAAATTATCCAAGTGTCAATGAATTATATCACATACAACTGACCACAAGTACTCCCAGGACTATGCCAACATAATCATCCCAACGCTGAAGCTATGGTATGTCTACCAGATACAGTATCTTCTAGTACTGTTCTTCCTCAAAGCCAGTATCCTCTCGTTCTACCGCCGATTATCACCCGCGAGAGGTTACCAAATGGCCATCTATATCGTTAGCGGTGTCATCGTCGCCTATACATTTGCCATGTTTTTTGTCAACGTTCGTTTTGCCTTGCTTCTATGTTCCACGTTTGGTTTCTGTACTAAAATCTGTTTATCAGGTCTTTGAGTGTCCGAAGGATCCAAGTCGTGCTTGGGCGCCGACCTTCCCACAAGGTTGCAATGATCTTGTAGTCGTTTATTATGCAATGGCGTCTTTCAATATCTTGTCGGATATCGTGATATTGTTGCTGCCGCTGCCTTCGTTAATGAAGTTGCAGGTTAATAAAAGGAAACGAGGTGAGTTGATTGTCAGGGATCATGCTACTGGAATATGAATGGGTGGACTAACAATAGTATTTTACTGACTAGTTGCACTCTTGTTGATCTTCTCGTGTGGGAGTGTGGCGGTTGTGGCCTCGATTGTGAGGATTAATGCTCTTTACAAGTATCAAACTGCGGTATTGACAGGCGGAGATATCCCATGTAAGATCACCCACAAACTACGAATTGATTGACCCATAATCTGATAAGAAACCTATTTAGATATTGCTATTTATATCCTCCTCTGGTCACAGATCGAAGTCAACGTTGGCATTATTAGTGCTTCTGCGCCGGCTTTAAAGCCACTTGTCAGATCAATCCTCGGGGGCACCACCTTCGCAAAATCCAGCTATGCACAAGGCGGTGAATTGGGCTATTCTGGAAATCCTAGTAGCAGGCACGGAATACCACTGCACTCGTTGAATGGAAGTGTAGCACAAGGGGTCACTACTGAGATCCAAGGGCGTGAAAGGAACGAGAGTGAGGAGAATATTGTCATGAAGAATGACGAGATGATCCGGACAGTCGAGGTAAAGGTGGACCTGGAGCGCGAGGGCTCAACTGATAGTATTAGGCAGTTGGAGTTTGGAAGGTAATAGTGTGATATATAGAGGAATTATTGGATGTTTTCTTTGTAAGATTATGTATATACAAATGGAATGCGGCCTGCGGCCGCAAATTTATATATAGTGGGCGAATAGAAGCTTTCAGCGTCGTCATCTAGTCTGAGTACTTACTAAGAGCGACTGGGTGAGAAATTGTGTTTGCCTTTAGGTCTTTAGGACATGCAGCGGCTCGCCCAGTCCATGATTCCTAGGTGAATAACAGAATCGGTCGGGTCCAGTCTGATCGTGTAAGCATTGTATTATGTGAGTAATTCTATAGTTATATCAATTCTTCCTTCTCAATGAGCTGGCTCGCGAACCCTCCTCGTTCGCACGAGTTCTTAATATTAACATATATCAAGGACCGGTTGATATAAGACTATACCCACAATTTATTCTACCTGCCAGTATTTGCCCTTTCGATGCCAGCTCCCTTCCCAGTATTCCCGGACCCTATTTTGGGAACAGTTCTTTGTCTGTACATATATACAAGTATGTGCTTCTATATGTGGTATGCAGACCATATATCCTAACCAATAGAAATGCTTCGTGATTCAGAGTTGAAAAAAAGATTTTTACGATGGTAAGTGAATTGAATAGCGTTTAGCACATAAATACGATGGATCTTTGGAAGGTTAGCTGTGGTTATGGGCCTGGCCGCGCCAGGACAGTGGCACGTAAGCCCACGAGCTTTCCGGGGTGAAAGCCTGACAACCGTACCATACTTGTACCATTCTTTCTAAGGTCATTTCCTAGTAGAAAGCGCACGCATCAAATACATCCCTGCGTACCCAGCTACCTGTGAAGTAGACAGAATACATTCAATCGCCGATCGTTGGTCGGTGACCACGTGGGTGGGGGCGTTCCTGTAATGTATTTTACTTATAAAATCCTAGCAAATTTTGGAGAAAATGCATTTTTTTTTTTGCCCACGTCTCAAAGAGCATAGCATTGTGTAAGCGGGTATAGTCTACAGCTGTATTGTTTCTCAAAACCTCAAATAATGGTTGGGTGGAGTGTGGCAATCATGGAACATCACTCGAATCCCGAAATCGTGGACCAGTTTTATATTTTTCTCGCCTGATCTATTTATTTATTTATTCACTAGGAGTAGCTCGGTGCTACCACCACAAATCTAGCACCGTGTGAAACTAGTAAATAGGTCATCGGCATAGAGATTTGGCTGTGGATCGTAGCTGGTTGACACTAATTTAACTAGAAAAGAAGGATCCGTTGTTCGGTTATAGTAGGGAGAGGGGGGGGGGGGAGTTTCTCGCAAGAGAATTTCTTTTCTAGATAGAACGAAGGGATACTGGCGCATGTAATCAATCTCAAAGTAGCTTGGTGAAATACATGTAGGGTTACGGCTATAATACTCCTGACCCTACGGACAGAGCGATCATAGGATATCACTAGTAACATAAAGTGGCTGACCACATGCACTGATATATACAGCCTAAAAGCCGTCGATATAACGATAGTTTTCCGTGCGGTTTCTCATCTGTAGGATGCATATGTTGAATCATAGATGTATGAGCAGTTACTGATATCCTTCCTATGGTGATGCGATGCAGTGTAAATACATGTAGTGTAATAATCGACGAGTCGAATCTGCTCGAGTTTGCAGCTCGAGCTTATTCTCGAGTAGGGCCGAGTAGGAGGAGCTACGAGCCGAGTTGCTCGGTCGAGCTTTCTAGTCGTATGAGATCTCAGCATATATCGTTAGATAAAAGACCATTTGACTCAATTGGAACCAAAGATTTATTTTTCATAAATAATCTTTTCAATGCTTTGTCTTATTAGGGTATTAAATATATATTGGAAAGCTCGAATTCCGCCACGAGTAGAGGTGATGTCACAAGTCGAATAGAGCAAGCACTCGAGCTATTCGTAAAGCCCTCAATTCTAGATTAGTCGACAGAGGTCGACTACCCACGATGACCGCTTAAGATGAGTAGCTAGTCCGTGGTCTCGCACAAGTAGCTTTTGTGCGCACCCAGGCTAGATCGGTATAATCATAGATTATCACTCGATATTGACGAATTCTTATGAATAATGGAATAATGAGAGACTTTGTCGCATGGTGGAAAGCTCTTGTTATATCTAGGTAATCATGACGAGCTTCTGACACAGTAGCTACCAGACTTTCTCCTAGGCTCGGAAACACTAATTTTCAATTCTGGTAGCAGATCTCCACGGGTTCATTTTGCATCAATCCACGGGTTCATCGGAGCTAGTCACCAGATCGAGTGATATTATATGAAGACATTTAATTCGTCCACCGGAAAAAATTCTAGATCCATCCATTCGCCTCTAGTTCTCTACAAAAAGTTCCTGGGTGATCTCTCGTAATAATCAAAGAAGGTAACTGTTCTGGGTTTCAAGAAAAAACACTCGCAAGATAGCCAAGATACATAGCCCATTGCCAAAATGCAACAAACCTCCTAAATCAGCGCTTAATGAGTGTATACCTGTCCCCCATTTACTCCTGGCTTTCCACCTCGATGGTAGTGACGGGAGCACCGGAATTCTCGTGCTTGGTCCACATATCCTTCAAGCTCGGAAGATCCTTCTGCATCTGCTCGCGGGAAAACGACTTTTCATCATTATCTTCCTCAGGGACGTCGGCAGCACCGGGCAGGTCATCGCCATAAACCGACTTCTGTGCGAAATTGGCAGGCATGGGCTGGCCGTTCATTAAGACGACGTTGCGGCCCTTCTGGACATTAACAACCTCTTCTCCGAATGAAGCCGGGAACGCGTTTGCGAGCCCGCCGACTTCAGAGACGGAGCGGGTGTCGCCTGGCGCGCTCTGAAGCTTGGTTACCTTTTCGCAGTCTTTGTCACCGCGGCGGAGACCACCCTTCTTGATGCCGAGGCCGGGGCCGCGCGCACCTTTTTGTGCGGGGATTACGGAGCGCTTCTGGGCCGGTGCAGGTGCAGGTGCAGGTGCGGGTGCGGGTGTGGGGTGTACCTCCTTTTCTTTGGGCTCAAAAAGGACTGGGTGGCCGTCGACTTCGAGGGGGCGTCCATTAAGGAGTAGGACGGACCCGCCCTTGTGGAAGTAGTCTTCATCCGGGTCGATGTTCTCTCCGGATTCGCTGTCGGTCCTGCCGCCAGCCAGAGCGCGCTGTTGGGCGTTGTAGGCAGCGCTCTCCTGATTTGCAGCGAGCTGGGCCCCAAGGACGTCCTTGGGGGCATTGAAGAAGCGGAGAGCGCGGTCGAAGCCGCGCTTCTCGATGGCGGCTTCGGTGATGTTCACAGGCTCGCCTATTATAGCGCTGTGAGTGCTATGGGTGCTGTGACGTTTCTCGAGGGTGGTCTGCTGCATGTTTCTATGGTCGAGGTCGATGTTCTTGAGCATGGTCCCCTGGCTCATTCCAGTCCAGCCTTGCAAGATTGTCACAGGGCTGATAGATATAATATCTCTCTTCTCAATCTCTTTTGACTCAGGGAGCATCTGGTCCTCAAAGAACTCATCAGAGATCTTCTGCTTACTCGCAACACCCTGTGGCTTCTTAATCCACATCTTCTGGGCCTTATCAAAACCATCCATAGTATCGTAGATCTCCTTATCCTCATACTCAGTCGGGACCGGTGCAGGCTTATCCAACATCTCAATAGCGTTCTTGAGCGCAGGGGACTCAAACTCCGCATTGTCATCAGAGAGTTTACTGCGCTTATTCTTCTCCGCTGCTGCGTGCTCTGGGGTAGGTTGGGGCTTGATCCACATTGACTGGGCCTTTGAGAAACCTGTCATGGCAGAGTAAATCTCCTTGTCCTCGTACTCGGGGACATAGACGGGCTCCCTTTCGCTCTCGGGAACAGGCTTTGGCTTCTCGACCATTGCAAAGGTCTTTTTGAACTTTGAGTCGGCGACAACGGTCTCGGTGTCGGCATCCGGGGTCGCCTTATCGTCGCCAGACCCGGTAATCTTGCGTTTGCTGAGGCGGTGGCCGGCCCCAAACCCCGGTAGCTCAACGAAGATGCCCTGCTCGGCCCCAACTCCTGGTAAATCAACGAAGTTTTCGTGGTCGGCGACAGGTCCTGGTAGATCAACGAAGATGTCCTGGTTAGGGTTGAGACCGGTATCAAGGATGGATCTTTTGTCCTTGAACAGCAGGTCGCTGATGAGCCCAAAGTCGAGGATATCGATTGTGAACAAAGAAAACAGGGAGGTTAGTTCGCCGGCTACACAGGTGTCCGAGTGATGGAAGTAGTCTGCGGGGACCAGGGCCGTGGTGGGAGCGAGAGGGAGGGGAACGACACATTGGGGATCTGAGATGTTGGTGCACGGAAGGATGTCGGAGGGTACATAAGGAGCAAAAGGCTTCGAGATGAAGAAGGATGGCTATGTTGTGTGATGTGTCAGTACCATAGTAGGGCTATATCAGATGAATAACTGAGATCTTAGGATAGAGGCAGATATGCTAGTTCCCTTGATCCTTTATATATAACATACCTCGTAATGAGAGAAGCCAACCTTATCCTCAGTAAGAGGGTAGTTGGGAGTTGGGTCTGAAATATGGGTCACCCGTCGATAAGTCGAAGGGGTAAATTTCTAAAGGTGGGCTTGGTGTTAGGATATATACTCCATGCTTCCTTGATGTAGTTAAAGCTCATTCGAAAAATATATACTGCATAGATACATGTATTCAGAACGGAGACGAGGAGGGAGACAAGTTACCCCGGCAAGAAATTGCGCATATCGATCATTCCCAACCATTGGCTGCCCAAACGTAGTAAGTTCGGTGTTCCATCCCATGGAAACGAAGTCTGCAGCAGCCAGAGTCGCTACAGCACCTCCCCCCTGGCTTCCAACAATAACAACCGTCTGGAAAAGATCTCTAGCTATATGTAGTAGGCACGGATAGGTACATGAGTATTGTCTTTTCTCCTTTCCCCCCGTTTTTCTTCGCGGGATCGATATCAATGTTCATCTGATTCATACCTTCAAAATACTGTTTCACCACCTGCTTGATGGGTCCCTTCAGAGCCTCCCATCCTTTATGGAAGCCTTCATGGACCTTGCACCCAGGACAGGCATGGTCATAATCCACGGTCTCCGTGGTCAAGCTGGTGCTGCGGCTACCCGCCATCGTAACAAAGATCTTCTTTCCATCGTGATCAGCTGCAATGTACCCGTGTGTATCCTCACCAAGCTCGGCGAGGCCGTCGTCGTTGGTGTTCCACTGCATCACCAATTCGAGTCCCTGAAACTCCTTGCAGAATGAGTTACACTTGAAAGGATACTCGATCCCCTCGGGGGACTCGACACAGTTGGCTATATCAGAAATCTTGGCAAGGTCATTGAACTCATCGAAGAGAGACTTGGAGATTCCTGGAATGCGGGTTGGAAAACGGCCGGTAGACTGATAGCTGAGCGGGCCAGCTTTCTCGAGTTTACTTTGAGCATCCAATGGGATTTGCTGAGAGCTCGGGAGCGGGGATGCTAGGGCCACAAGTGGAAGGCATAGAAGCGCCGCCGAACGTAAATTTGTAGATAACATGAGGAGGGTTTTTTCTTCTTCTTTCTTTTCAGTAATTTCGGTGGGCTCCCGTATTAGGGGTTTGCTCACTGATCAAGTAGTCTCCACCTGGCCTTTTGTACGTTCGTACGTATGCTTGACGAACCATTTATTCCTCGGACTATTCCTTAAAAATATTGCTTAATTTGAAAGTTCATGACTTCACGGACCCACGATTATTTATGAGGAGGTAGAAGCAAAGTCTAAGCCTTGTAAATCATCAGGAGGGGTTCTCCGCTGAGGAATAGGTAATTTTGTTCTTCCTACTCCGATTCAACATGAGATATGTAGGTTTTTTTTTCCCTTCAGAATTCTACCGAAGGGCTCTTTGTACATGCCCCTAGGGTCCCCATATATAGGGCAATAGTCGCACCTCTTAACAATGGTAAAAAAAAAGATTCTGAATATATCAATACTACCTTGGACTTGGTCTGTTGATCTCAATTTTGGCAAGAAAGGTTACAGGTGCTTACAGTTGTTTTATTACCATTTTTTTGCAGGTTAATCTAGGGTTATTGTTCTAGAAAAGGGATAGGTATTGCGGTATCATGGTGTTGTCATCACTTTTGGGCGACCTTGGGTACATCCCTATTAATCGTACTATGGTAAGAAAGCTTGGTAAGTTCCGTCCTGCGCGCAGATATCATCGTCTAATAAAACTAGTTTAAAGACCGACTACTGGAGTGCACCAAGTAAACAAAAAAAAAAAAAAAACGAGCGGGTGACTGCGTTTAATTCATGTTCATGAGATCACAATCGAGCAGTCGACGAAAGGCGCATTCCTGTCGTACCGCATTCAATATTGCAATTATATTGCATCCGCCTTCGGCTAACCCACCCCTCTTTTTGATACTATTCTAATATTCTTTGAGGGGTAAATGGGCCCTGATAGCGATGATATGTAATTTTTTGTAGTATTCTTCCTCATTGGGGAATCTGAGAACTCCGGATTGTAGTCATCACGCCGTTGAGTGGTTGAGATATAAGTAGGAACCCCGATTACTGTTAGGCACCACCGGTACTACCATCATCAGATATCGCTCGGCCTCCCTACTAAACCTAGTGTGGCTAGCTCTCCAGTGTCACTTGCGACAACTTTGTTGACCTCGACACTGCGCGCGGGGGAGATATTTCCGTCACAAAATCCCGCTCGAAAAATTTGTCATCAACGCCGCAAACCGAACCTCGCTTCGAGTGATAGTCTGTGATACGCCCCGGGATCCACCCAGGAAAAGGTTGCGCTATCACAAGCGGGGTTCGATCCGAAATGCCAGAACTCCAAAAAGACGACCGGGATTCGTTCTTCACAGTGAAACTGCGGGCCCCTTAAAGGTCTTTATGTGAAGACGCACAGCCCAAGTGAGACTGCTTTGTAACAAATGGTGCAAGCAGTCCTATGATATGTGCGAAGCTGTGAATTCTGATATGGACCGAAATGTTTCAAACACGGCAGGATCATCACAACGCTATCCAAACAAATCAGACGCCTTTCGAATCGTTTCGATATGACTGCTTTTAACATCAGGTGCGATCGATTGAAAATGCACTCACCAACACCAGATAGGTGGATGTAGTAACGGTGACAAGAATGGTCACCTAATAAATACCGGTATACGAACTTGATCTCCTTGACATGTTGCATCCTATGTTACAGCCTAAAATTTTCCAACCGCTCCTTGCATAGCGATGAAGATCGCGCATAGGAGCGCCCTGGAATGTTGCTGGTCACTCTTAGATGGATTGTCTTGGTAGACATCAAGATATTCTGATGTTTGGCCAGTCTATTGAATAGGTATATCGAGAGGCCACCGTAGTGAATCAACCAGGCGAAAAATGAGAGGCGAATTTTTCCGTGGCGTCCGCAAAAGAGATCGGAAATTTTTATTGTTTCGCATAGTCACATATTGCAAATATGTCGTCAACCGAAAGGCCATGGATCTTCTAACAAGCTCCTACTGGAACACACAGACAAGGGGTCGGGCCCTAACTTTTTCGTGAGACATTTGTGTAACCTGCAGATTTCATTTCCTATTTGTAAGAAGCGATTTAGTAGAGTGTGTAGATTGTGATAACACAGACTCAAAATCTCTGCTGGTTACCGAGTCGCTGGCTTTGGGAGATGCATCCGCAGTACTCACTGTAGGTACTCGTATTGTAGGTATGTAAGATGTATGTACCTAGGTACATAGAGTATATGTACGATGTACATACATAGAGTAGTACTGCTGTATGTCGTCAATTGAGTTGAACAGGACGAGCCCATTGTATATATGTATATCAGCTTCTGGCTCATACATGAATTTTAATTCCAATTGCCTTTTGATGTATGTGAACATTGGGCATGCCTAAACACCAGTTACTCATGGTAATTTCCGGATTCGGCGGTCTCACAACGGGATTTCGGGTTCCGTTCGACGAATTGGTGGCTCAGTGACTATGCCACGCATATTATAAAACCTCCATATGAGGAAGTGGCTTTGTCACTGCATATATGAGGCCCGAACACCCAGAAACCACATGAAGACTCGCACGATAGGTGTCCTATGATCTGTGTCCCAAGGCCAAAGGGTTTCAGCCGAAGGCAATTCGATGCGGTTTCTATAACATGAGATATAGGTAGTAGGTACATACCATGTAATTCTTATCAGGTTAGAGCTGGACCTTGGGGAAAAGCATCTTCAATCCTACGACCTTTGCGTATTTAGGTATCCGGTGGCTATTCGCACAGCCATTTGTCTCAAGACTCGGACCATAGGCTGTTGAAAGTCCGATGTTTGATCAACGATAACTAGCTTCTCCGGGTTCATTGCCTGTAGGAATATCTAACGGCCATGGCATGGCATGCCATGCCTGGCACCCACGACCAATACCTGGCACCATTTGATTATCTACACTCTACACACAACGCTTTCTGAATTTATGTAAAAGAAAACAAAAAGATAGGATAGTCTGACTCGACACCGTAATGTCTTGATATTCATATAAATTTACCAACTCTACAAGGTTGAACCTGTATTCGGAAATTGTCCATTCAGAAACATCGAGCAGTGAGAAAGCTGTTGGCTCCTGTCACTCGGCCCCGCATTTTCAATTGCTAACGAATCAAGTTTGCCCTTTACTTGTGTCTACTGATATGTAAGACTCGTAGTCACGAGGCGAGTTTCCCTCCAGTCGGGTCGGGCCCGTGGGGTTTTAATATTTAATGTTCTATTTAAGGAGTATATAATCTGGTTTTTAGCACTGAGATTGGAGAAGGAGCGTTAGCAGAGCTCATCAAGGCTAGTACTCGTGTTTTCACAGCGTTTGTGAACACAACCGGCATTACATACACACAAAAAATAGCCAAGACAACCTTTTTGTATGGCATGCAATAGCGGTGGTGTTCACAAACGCTATGAATAGACGAGTAGATTTATGTGAACTTTGTGGAGTTTGGGGACCAAGCTTGCAAGCCATCGTTCCCCGTTCACGCTGCGCTGCCGGGGTAAGCAGGTATCGCAATGACATCTGGTCAAGCCGTGTCGGCGCACTTTTCAAACCGCCACTCCCGTAATCGGTGCACTATGCAAATCAGGCCAAGATTTCGCTTGAAGGTCAGTTTTTTCTTTCCTTTTTTTTTTTGGTGTGTAGTTGCTTTTTACAACTGAGGCATCATCTCAATCCTGGATTCTCACGCAGCCTTGAAGACTCCCGGCTATAAGCTCCCGGTTCGCCAAACCTGCCGAAAAAAGAGGACTTCCGGTAACTCATACCGGTAGAGTTTGAAGGGTCTCACTCTTGTAAGTGTTTTATCTAGATAATTGTGCCAGCATTAGTAACGTAACGAACTTTTGACAGGTTCCCTTACCTTCTAGTGTCAAACGGATAACTATTTTTTACGGTACTAACAATCCATATTGTAAATTTCTGGGTTGCATAGGAGTTGTCTTGGAGTGGTCCGAAACCCTTACTTTTCCTTCCGTTTCAATTTGCCAGGATGGCTTCGGGGAAAGTAGCGAGAAGATGTTGCACTCAAAACGCGGATTTGATTGGGTGGTTGCTCTCGTGATCGAGTGTGCATAAGGTATTGGCACTTCTGCAGGCCCAGGGAAACCCTGCCAGCCCTGTCGGCGAGATGATGAGTCGATCAGTTTCGACAAACGTAGGAGCACGCGAGGGTGCATGTAGAGTGGGATTAAGACGTTGTACTAGTATTGACAACCCCGCTGCGGACGTAAGATTTGTAGACAAAGAGGCACTGAGTGATAAGTTATGTAGCCATGTTTTCACTCTACATAGGAGTCGTTTTATAATAAAGATATTAATATACATGTGGTGGAGGAACGAGGGGCGAGATGAATAAGAAGCTGCAATCCTACTGACATTCAACAATTGAATGGACTGATTGGTGAAGAGAAGAAATACTCAGTAGGTAAGTATGTAGAGGCATAGAATAAGAGCTCTGGAGAAAAGCAAGGGCCCCGTATCGATTGTGCCCACAAAACAATTTCTACATAGCTCGCGTGGCTCCCCTGAACCTCCCCCTGGTTCTTAAAGGTCCTTTCTCCCGCACCTCTCTCAAAAGCCCTAGCTTGCACGCAACTTCTCGCAGTCAACCAGTCCCATCATCAGAATCACCAACAAGGTCATCGATTTTGCACCTATCCGAGTACTGCCCTATCGAAATATCCCACCTTGTTGACCCCCGCTTGCCTAACCATACCCCCCGCACCTCGGAGATCCAATTCGCCAAAAACTTGTCACCCGTAGATCGTGTATGGAGATCTGCGAGCTGTCTTGGATTCCAATCCTCGTTTAATTCCAACACCAAGCCGCCTCACGGTCCTTTTAGTTCTTTCCCTTAAGGCTCGTGTCCGGATCTTTCATTTCGCTCCCCACGTCCGGACTTTATCCCACGTCGGTCACCTCGCCCAACGGTCGTAGGATTGGTTCATTTATAGAACAGGGCCAGCAAGCATTTTGCTTTCTTTGGACGCCCAGTACCTACAAAAGAGTTCATGGTTCCGTCAGCCCTCACTTAAAACCCGCTATTATCATCCCTACACCACCACTTCGACCATCAAGAAAAGAAAAAGAAAAAACATGACAACCATTTCGACTGAGTCGAATATCGACAGAGCCAAAAAGGCTATCAGATCAAAATTTCAACATATAATAGAGTCACGTCAACAGAAAAAAACAATGGCGATGGGAAAATCAAAGCCGTCAAATCGACAAGACTCTCCTCAGAGGAAGGTATTCGAAACTTTATTTAACGGACGTGCTCGCCGAACCTTATGCTTCGTGCATTCTAAACAGGAGAAAGTAGCTGGGGTTCAGGATGAGGCAGTCAAAGGGTTAGCTTTTACGTCAATATCGTTACTCCTTATCACATTCAATCTGCTGACATATTTCCTGATATAGTCCTACATTGGGGAATAGATTTTTCTCGCTTCCCGTTGAACTGCAGTTGAGCATAGTGAACATGCTGTTTTTCTTCGATTTACTCCACCTTCGCCAAACATCAAAAAAATTCAGAAACCTTACCATCCAGCACGAAAGCCACATTGTTAGGCATCACATCAACATGTGGGTGCCTAAACATATAATCGAACTCTATCCTCCTCCGGTAAATAATACGCCTACTCTAAGCTATCTTACCGACTTGGCATATAAACAGAGGGTATCGACTCAGTTGGCGCTGGTGCTAGCAAATCAGATTGTTAAGGAGATGATGGGAGGCAGACATCAAAGGGCTATGACGAAAGAAGCCAACGATTATGTCATTAGTCAATTACGGATTGGCACTTCGCCTCTGATATTTGCGCTTTTTCATTTTTTGGAAACTTATAGGGAGCGCAAACTGGAGCATCTATTGGAGGGTGATTTGAATGCCGCTGAAAGGCCGTCAACAATTCTCAGCCCTCTCTCGCATGAGAAGAATATGGCCCTTCAGTCGGAAATCTTAAAAATCTACCCTGATGATCGTCTCCTTCAAGTTCATCAGATGTATCATCTACTCCTACATATGCTTATTCGTCGACTCAGCCCATCTAGGATGCCCTTTGGTCTTCGTACAATTAGTCGTTGGAGTTCTCAACGACCCACTAACGAGGCTTTTGCTAAAGTTCTTGTTCTTGGCGGTATCCGTGAGGTGTGGGAACTCTATAGGATTAAGGGTTACAGTAATAGACGTAAGGCTCTTGAGAAATACCTCAAGAAGCTGGATTCGGATAAAATGCAACATAGTACACCCATTAATGACCATACCGAGAGCAGCTCAGCAACTGGCGCTAGCAAACCAGTCCCCCGCAGTTTGCCTGGACGGGGCCCGAGTCTAGATATCCCTTCAAAGGTGGCTAGGTTGGATGTGGATGAATTGATGGATGTTTGGACTCCTGCTGCAGAGGAACGCTTATTGTCCAGAGAAATTGTCACATCCTTGGATGAAGTTGGTTGTTGTGGGCATTTTGTGGCTCAATTGTTGGGAAGTAATGCAGAGACAGATAATGAAGAGGATGGAGAAGATTCCGAGGATGAAGATGACTCTGGAGATGACGCCCCGGGCCCGGGTGCAGCAGATGGGATTCATTACACTGGCGGCTCGACGTCTGTCCAGGATAACAATTGGGATGGAGGGGATTTGCATGAGGAACAAGAACAAGATGATGATGACGATGATGACGATGGTTCATTCGCGGATGATGAAGGAGCAGGAGGTTCCAACTCAGTTTGAGCATCATCGAATTTGTCGCGGTCTTTTTTTTTCTTTCAGTATCTGGGGGATTTTTTCCCCGAGACAATATCGCTTTCTTTGGGCTATTTAAACCTATGTTCTATTATACTTTAGGGTTGGTTTTCGGTTGTTTTGTTGCACTCTTTTTTTCTTCCCCTGATATGCTGCATGATGTTTATATGGGTTTTATATGCGCAATACTTGAGGGTCTTTCTCTTTTTCTTATGTCTCTTAGGTTTCTGTATCTCTATCGGATTGGGCTGGGAGTTTGTCTTTTGCTGTGTTCATTAAATCTAGGTTGGGGCACATGGGTTGGGGGTACTACGGATGATATTATACTAGCAACTTATAAAATACACGCTCAAAGCAACATACATTCGACACATGATTGGCTGGGATTGTGCGGGACTACAGGGTATGATAAACGGTGTAAATATCTACATAGGGAATTGGACATCGTGGTTTTTAAAGATTGGCTCGATAGACGAGGCGTGTTTTTATTGGGCCCTCGAGACGGTGCTCTACCGTACGTGTATTGCCAGTACTCTAGGTGCAAATGCAAGGATGAGAATGACTAGAGTATGTAGAGTAGATATACGTACTCACGACTTCACTCCTCCTCCTCCTCCTGAAAAAAACAATAATAATCACCAGCTACCCCCCCCCCCGCGCGGGTTATCGCCGTCATACACTCTCTGTACTCGTAGCTTTATAGCGTTTCCGAACACGACCAATATTGCATGACATACAAAAAGGTGGATTTGGCGCTTTTTCGTGTGTCATGCAATATTGGTCGTGTTCGGAAACGCTATAAAGCTACGAGTAGACGCCTTCCCGGGCCACTCGAACACCCCACTCGAACAGTTAACTTAAAAAAGAAAATATCTGCGCTGTAACCGGTCTCTGCACCTCTTGAATTGGGCTTCTCCACCAATAAGCATCAACTGTTCGAGTGAGGGGGGTGTTCGAATGGCCCGGGAAGGCGTCTATTCAGATGGACAGATGCAACTCACTCTCGGAGCAAATACAGAGACAGTGCACGCGCCAAGAACATATCCGGTATTTGGGGAGGAGGGCCAAGAGGTGATGATATCACGGTTGATTGATCACCGTGGGGTGCCAGAAAGAAGGCGGACGGATTAATGCTCGGGAAACAGATCAAGATAGAGACAGAGACAGAGAGAGGGCCTAATTAAATGACTGGGTCGGTAATTCACTCCGGTGGTTCCGTGTCTTGCAAAGATCTTTTTTGCAAACAGGTAGAAATGAACTGTCGCATGTTCGGGATATTGATACATACTTTACATATAGGTAGATACTCGTGTTTTGTTTTCACAGCGTTTGTGAACACAACCAGCATTACATACACACAAAAAATAGCCAAGACAACCTTTTTGTATGGCATGCAATAGCGGTGGTGTTCACAAACGCTATGAATAGACGAGTACATGTACTCTACCTGTGGATAGGTGCTCTGCTTTGAGTAGACTTATTGATGTATGTACTACAAGTATGTATGTACTCTAGATACAGTAATTCCATCACCCCCGGATCTGAAATCCTATCTATGTAGCTTTCTGTCCATAGGTATGTATAGTTATCGGTAGAATTATTGCGGAGACAGGGGCCGACGATCACGCCGAGAGCAGGGCAATTTTTCAACGCCACACCTCCGCAATAATTCTACCGATAGCTGTACTTGTTTACCACGAAAAGAACCAGAAAATGCAGTTGCTCAGGGCAAGGATTATTTGTATGGAGTGGCGGTGATCTCTCATACAAACTATCCCTGTTTCCGTCACTTGCATTTTCTGGTTCTTTCCGTGGTAAACGAGTACTTTCCTACCTCCCTGGAAAGAAAAAAAAAGGGACTAGGTTCAATTTTGCACCTCTACTCTAATAATCGCGACAACAGCGGTTCTGCACGTAAAGCACCCCATGGCCAGGCGGCCCCCATCATTATATTATGTATGCAAAGCCAGCAATAGTCCCGAGATAGTGGTTACATTACGGGGTCGGTCGGCACTATAGGTGTAAGCAAAGAAGAAGAAAAAGAAGAAGAAGAACCTCGGTTATATTGTATCCATAGGCCCTGGATGGTATCACTGAAATAACGGTCGAGGTCTTAAAGCTTCGGGATGGAAGGAATAGCCGGGGAAGGGGGGGGTCTTTTCTGGTCCCGGTAGTCTCGGGGTAATTATTTGTTATGTATGGGGCCGGGGGAGGAGTGGGGAAGATTGTAGGTCGTTTGATCATTGCAAACTAGAGAATAGTAGGAAGTTACACAAGGTCGGCAAAAGGTGTTAATCGAGCTTGACGGCCCGAAAGGGAGAAAATTAATGACAGGATGATCATATTAAAGATACCTTGATTTGGATTGTGATATGGCGAAGGGTTCAGTTCATTAGAAACTATAGCAACGGTTGTCAATATCATCCTGTGGCGGCTACGAAAGTGTCTGTCTCACATGGCACTATTATACGCGTAAGCAAATTTCAAGGGACAAAGGCATTCAAAAGCGTCGAAGTGTATTGGGATAAGCCATACTGAAATCTCTATTACATACTGAAAGTAGAGAAATAACACATGTGTCAGTGATTTATAGTGCAAAAGCGTAAAAAAAAAACAATCGTCATACCAGAAACGTGAGTGATGAGAGGTGAGGACAAAGAAGAAAGAAATAAGGAAATAACAAATGAAAAATTCACAAATGAAATGGTAAAATTGGGTTTGAGAATAGGGCAAATTCGGTTCTCCTTTGTATTATATGCATTTACGCCTTAGCGTTCAGTGCTGCTGTGGCTTGACCAATCTTAAGCAGCGCTCTTGGTGCATCTTGCCAGGGCATGAAAACCTCGACGAGCTAAGGTAAGGTTGTTAGTGAAATCTATCTATACAAATGACATAAAGTATTCAGAGAGTTAATTTACCTGGATATGCGGCGCACTACAGAACTTCTCGTTCCTGAATAGGTTCTCAAGTTCGGTCTTGGTCTTGACTTGGTATGAATCTGAATGTTCAGGGTCGGCACTGAACAAGTGCAGAATCTCTTGATGGTTCCATGGCTGGATATCATTGTAGATTGCCTTCATTCCGTGAATAATACGTTCAATGGTATATCTATTGCTTTGGTTAGCTTTTTTGTCCCTGTTAGGTTGAGGAGGATCCCTCTTACCCTTTGTTATTCAGGACAAAAATGATGGGCTTGAGTCCGTGCCTGATCATTGTACTGATCTCTTGCACCGTCAATTGTAGAGATCCATCTCCTACAAATAAGATCACTCTCCTTTCCGGGGACATCTCCTTGCATGCCAACGCCGCTCCTTGTAGGGCACCAACAGAGAATCCAATTGATCCCCAAAGAACCTGTGAAATTGCCGTGACATCCTTTGGAAACCTAGTCTCAAGAATACCAAAGTTGGAGGTACCGGTTTCAGTAATCACAACATCCCCAGGGTTCAACCACTGTCCAACTCTGGGCCAGAAGTAGGCGTGGTTAATCTCGCTGGAAATTGACTCGCGCTCTCTTCTGGGGATTGTGTTTGAAATCTCGGCAGTGGGGTGTTTCTGGATCTTGGAGTAGTCGAGTATGTCAAGGAGTTTTCGGAAGACCGATTTCATTTGGATTCCTGGGAACTCGGAGTAGCGGATCTACCAGATATCACTCGGTCAGATTTCCTAGTTTCAATGAAAAGAAAAAAATAGCAAAAACATACCTTCATGTGATCACTGTGGAACTCGACTGTGTTCTTCTTCGCAACATGGTAAGTGAATCCTCCGGAATTGAAATCACTCTGTAAGCCACCAACGTAAAGGATGAGCTCTGCATCATCCACCCGCTGTCTCACGTCGTCCCTACTAGCATCGCCAACATAAACACCACCGAAAGAGCTGCTCTCTTCGTTGATTGCACCCTTACCCATGGGTGACACGAAGGCCGGCAATTCCGTTCTCTCAATAAGCTCATGGAGCTCGTCAAGAACACGATGACGGATGGCACAAGCATCGGCCAAGATGATTGTGTTCTTTGACTTGTAAATGAGCTCGCAAATCTCGGAAACTACCGCATCTTCTGTCTCTTCGTTGTTCGGTGGAATTGAAAGGTCCAGTGGGGTCTCAAGGCGTGACGCATCGACGGTCTTGAAGACCATATTTGTGGGGAGACCAATGTAGACGGGGCGGGCTTTCACCCAGCAGGCACTCAATACACGGTCGATTTCATCGGCGGCCTTGGAGTGGTCATCGAGCAGTGTCTGTGTTACTGAGATGTTCTCGGACATCTTTTCAAATACACGGAAATCTCCATTCCCGAGGGTGTGGTGAAGAAGAAGACCTCTCTTCTGGGAAGCAGTGTGGGGGACACCGACGAGATGCACGATGGGGACGTGTTCACTATAAGCTCCGGCAACCTATAAATCGAATATGTTAGACTAAGGTGGCTGTGCTAATTATAAATTGAGCTATATGCTTACACCCGCAAGGGCAGACAATTCGCCTATTGCAGAAATTAGCACAATCCTCTTTTCGGTTATTAGTGGGAGTTTCAACTACGTACCAACACCGAATGTAGTGACCAAAGCAGAGATACCCTTAATTCTAGCGTAACCATCGGCGGCGTATGCTAGAGAAAGTGTGAGTACCAACAATTGTTTATCGGTTGAGTATGAACGAAAGCTTACCGGCATTGAGTTCGTTACAGTTTCCAACCCAGTACAGGCCGGCATCTGGGAGAAGATCCAACGCAGCAAGATTGAAATCACCCTAGACATTCCCAATTAGAATTCCAATTGCGAAGAGAAATTCTACATTAATGATCAGAGAATAGCCTACGGGAACACCGTGGACACCGCGAACACCTAGTTCGTGAAGCCTCTTGAAGAGGTAGAGTCCGATACTGATTTGTTCAGACATATTTATCTGATGATTTGTTTGATGATATTGGGTAAAGAGTTTGATGAGAAGGAACAAAATTGAAGTCTCAATTGAATGGATGAGATACTGATTCTGAGAAAGCAAACATTGGAGGAAAACCGAAAGTTCAAATAGATTTCAATCACACGGGTTTCATAACCCATTTCGTCCACTCTGCGCGTGGAGGTATCGATAACATCCCACCACCGCCGGCAGAGCGTAATGACGCAATGACGTCGACAGGTAACGGTTGCACTACATAACGCCGCATGTCAAACGGTTTACTAAACATGGAAAACAATTGTTAGAGATGGCCATGTTTGCCTACCCGGATACCCGATAATGTTGTTCTCCGTGGATGCCCGAGAGGCTGGGTTGAGCCAAGATGGGCGTTTTCCGCACATAGAACTGGAATCTTCACTTGGGGCCTTAGTAACTGATCGTTGAAAAACAGCTGATTTCTCTACTTTTCTTTTACCCTGAATTCGGCATAGTTCACTTCTCTAGCACATAAAAGGAAAGCTCTAGGGTGTTCCAGGGTCAGATCAAGCTTTTGAAGCTGTGAGGTATTCATCCACTTGCGGTTGAGTGGACGCCCCTTCAGAGTCTGTGTAGGAGCAGGACGCAGCTCCAAAAGGTATCAACATCAACGTACGTTTTGTGCATGAACGCTGTAAGTTGCTACTCAGAAGCGTCTCTTTGGTGGGTGATCGAGATCTCGAACTTTCACTAAATAGAGTACATTAAACATTGCGTAGTACAAGTGCCGTGTACATTCCTACCTTAACGATCATCCGTCTGTCCGCTGCAATTGCGCGGTTTAACATTTGGCAACGGAAAATCAATAGGGACTAACCAAGCCTCTACTCAATCTACGGCGTCGTCGCCTGTAAAGAAAAAAAAGAGAGAAAAAGATTTCTCCAAGAGCTAGAGGCAGATGCTCACGGCATGATAATCATCGTCCCATAAAGAAAAACAGCTGATCTTTCGTCTCAAAGTGCTTGAATAAAAACTAGTAGTCAACTATAACACGAGCACAACCCACGAGTCTGGTTCCGTGATGTTCTAAAATTGGAATCATGCAAGCAAGAATAACTGGTAGCCAATCAAATTGAGCAAAGGAACCCTTTGCAATCCACCATAAGGACCGGGACCATCCGAAGAAAAGTGGTGCCATATCCACAGCTTCACCCAGAAGCACAGTTTTCAAGAGGCTACACATAGCCCCTCTATTGAGCCATGCACTAGGTACTTCTGAAATTTCCAGGTCGACTTTGAAATTTAGAGCAGGCACGTACTCTAGATCTGCTATCGGAAATAAAACCTCCCGAGGCAATCCCTGCAACTCGTGCCGGCCGCAAGCATTTGCCCGAGAACGGCCCGAATGATGACTACTCCACATGTGAGAGGTCTAGAGACTTTCGGCAACGCCGGGAATCTCTCCTGCTATCTTCTACATGAAACTTATTCACAGAGTCACCAGATATCGCGGTGTACCAAACACTCTTCATCCAATCTATTCCGATATCTACTCAGCAGGGATCCCATCCCCGACTGCAAAGAAAAGCCTCAAGATATCAGATCCTCACACCATTGCCACAACATGAGCTCAAGGCTTAACGAAAGCCACAACACAAGGTGCATCCAGGGCGATGGGAGAAATTGGCCTGTCGTACGTTCGAGATAATCCGACACGGAAAAACTCTCACGAGACGTGAGCAGACATATAACGGGAAGAAGGTGATGTGTGACCAGATCTGATGGGCAGTTTCAGATCCATCCGTGTTCCTGGAAACAAAGGCATCAACATGCTTTAGCCGGAAGACGTTTCCTTTTATCGACATTCCTCGCTTCAGTTGGCCGGATCTAAAAGAGCTCATCCTGCGCGCTGAGCCCTACGGAGATGATGGCGATGGGTGCATGGATCAGTGAGATGATCCGTGTTTGTGGACTGATCTTTTTTAACAGCTATCATCAGCTCTCTTCGGAGCTTTACACTCTTCCACTCTCGCTATTGTCGTCGCTCTTGAATTCTCCTCCTCTGAGAGAATGGTCGTCAATATCACTCTGGATTTTTGTTTGTCGAGCTTGAAAGATAGCCAGCCGCTCCGAGCTATTGACTATTGGAGATTGAGAACTATGGATTTGTGAGGATCCGTTCCCGGCAGGCGAGAGAACAGAGCTCTGAACTACACGCAGGAAAACTCCTACTTCGTACTAACAGAAGAAGGGCTCAAAACATAAAGAACACTAGGAGAGTTCACACTCATACCCGACCGATCCAGGCACCCATATTGAGAGTTACGAGTTTATCTGCCGTTTCCTGCGCTTTATACACAAGGCTAAGCTTCGCTAAACGCACGGGACAACTGCTGGCCCCAGGGGCTTGATCCATAGAGAGTATGACGCATGATGTAAGGCTCATGCCAACCCCGTCTGCAGGCCATAGAGCCTGCGGATCATGGTCCCTTCCCTTCGGCTTTAACGGATCATGAGTAATCACTCGAATACAGACCTGGCTAGTGAACCTACCATATTTGCCGGTTTAGATGGTTGGGCCTCGAGCAGCGGGGCCCATGATGGGCCTCTTAGGGGTGTTCTCAAAGAGCCTCATCCCTATTCACTCCTAGCTTGGCCCGGCCTCGATGTAGCGTGGTTGATCTCGAAGCCGAGCATGTCTCTCTCAAAGAAATATTTTTACCGCCACATAAACGTGACCTGACCGTTGGGGCGTGGGGTTAGTCCGGTGGGCCGTTATGATGGTAGTGGATTTGTACCAGATGCCTGCTCCCCTGTAGAGAAAATGAACGCAGCGCAGTGGTCAAGTACAAATCACAACGCCCATCTACGCATCCACGCACCCAGCCCAGCTCATGAGGTTGAGCGACTTTGTAGCTTTACTCCGAAGCCATAATCCCTTGATCTCGCCTAGCCTTGAGTTCATGATGCTCGTAGAGCTGCCATGTAAGGGATGAAAGAAAAAAGAGAGGTAAATGAAAAAAAATTGCCCAATGAACTGAGTCGCTGTGTTGGATTAGATCAAGTTGGGGCCTGGCGTTTGCTTTGTATAATCATAGGAAATCACTCGTTGCCAAGAAAAGTTCTCGAGTGGTCGCCGGCGACCTATTCCAGGTTGTTAGAATACGACGTATCTACAACCTCTGTTCCTGATCGCGGCTCATATAACGACCAACTGACATTTCAGCTATATAAGCGATAGGAGAGGTGGCAACAGAGACTAGAGGAAATGTATCAGGAACGCACGCTTAGATTAAATTCTTTCTCTGTAATTTATGTTCGGTCCAGTCTTGACTCTAGTGAATACAAGAAACAGCTAGCAACGTGTCATGTTCCGTGCTGTGGATGCGCATTATCTCAATCGCGGTTGTGTATGAGGACTGTGCCATAACCCAGACACACGATTCTATCCTCATGTAGGCCAGCTACTCTACTTATGTCTGGGAACAATTGCGTCAACTCTTTGGTAGGGTGGGAGGTAAACATAGCTGCTGGTAATGATGAGAAAAGACGCATGAGGTGCTTGGCGCTGGTTTGTCGATTATGGCATGCAACAGTAATAGGAGTTGATATTTTACAAATGCAAAACTCCGAATACATGTACTGCGGTATTTTTGTTGGGGGTGTATTAACTGCCTGTGGTCTTGGCGTTCCGGAATAATAATTATGTACCGGGGGTTAAGGGTAAGTACTGAGAACCCCGTTTTGGGTGGTTTTTGGGGGTGAGAGTTTGGAAAGGGCTCTGATTGGGCTGATATAAATATTTTTGACAGTTGGCAGCCAAGCAGGTATTTGGGTAGTGTGTCCCCACTTCCGATTGGTCGAGAGCGTCGAACCCTAACCTTGCATAGCAACAGACTCACCAAGTTCGCAAACCAAGGGGTATAACTGGGCGACGAATGAAAAGCTCTCTTATTACCTGGGGAGAATAGAAGAATTAATGATCGAACAAAGGTACGTGCAACTTGCGGTCTCACAGAAGATAAACCAGTACGAGATGTACAGACAGACAGATAAAGCTCTGTAAGTAAACCCTCATCCCGCTCCACCCTCTCCGTCTTCAAAGTATTTAAGATCATATATGTATTTAGATGGGGCCATATAACAACGGTGATATAAATTTACATAAGGAGCCCCCAATTAGGAAATTGAGTGTTTCCCACTGGATAGGTATACTCTATAATTACAATATGGAAACCGATCTATTTTACAAATGGTGAGTCATATCGCCCCCCGAATATCCCGTTCAATAAATATCGCGAGAAAAGGCCAAGTAAAAAAACAAGAACACAAAGCAGACAAACATGATATTCATTCACGCTCTTCCACACCTCCCTTCCGCTATCGTAAGTAAACTGTTACTCAAACCCTTCAACGCCATGTGAGAGACAAAGGACAAATGAAACGAATGAACGAGCGTGAAAAATTGAAATGACGATATTCGAAAAAGGTAGGAAAGAAATAAAATAAAAAAGTGTATAAGACTAAAAGTTGTCCTGGTTTGACTGGCATAGAACTTTGTGTGTCTTCTTGCCAGCGATCAACGATAATTTCCAGCATATTAAAAAAAAAAAAAAAAAACGGGGGAAGGAAAGGGATCTAGACTTAGATCAATAGTCAATAGTAATGTAAAGTGAAAATAAAATAAACGAACGAATAAATTATGAAAACAGTAGAAGTAAGAATCTGCCGAAGCCGGTAATTTGGAAAGGAGATTGAAGACATAAACCCGATGAATTTCACTCTGTAGTAAATGTTCCTTTGATCTTCAAGTAAAGGCTTGTTTCCTCGAAGTTAAAGTTCGGGTCCAACGAGCAGAACTCATGCTCATTCAACAACGTTGCAGCAGTCGGTCTCTCGGATGGTTCACTAATTCATTGTTAGGATTCTCCTCGACAATTCAGTGAGTAAAAAGACTTACATAGTATGGCAATCTGCCAAAAATCCGATAGCACTTGGAGAAACAACTTCAGAGACATCCTCGGGAATCGGCGGCGGCTGTCTTTCGCTACCAAGCTTGTAGATGGCACCAATAACTTCCTCCTTACTCCATGGTCTGCGGCCAGCAAACATCTCGAGTACCACACACCCGAGCGACCAGATATCAATCTTGGCACTGTAGCCTTGTTTCTCGGGTCTGATGACCTCAGGTGCCATCCAAAAGACTGATCCTTGCATAGAGTTACCGGGATCATCACCATAAATGTTATCTAACACACAGGTATTAGCGGGAATACTAAGAGCTAACAAATGATCTACAACTCACCACTCTTCTTCGAAATACCAAAATCTGAAATCTTGCAAGTGCCGTCAACGTCAAGCAAAATATTATCAGCCTTCAAATCTCTGTGCAAGATCCCCTCACGATGTAAGTACTCCAAGCCGCTCAGTGTCTGCCTTGTCAAGCTTCGAACCACCGGTTCTTCGAAGCGTCCATGTTTCCTCAAGCAACTTCCTACACTGCCACCAGAGATATACTCCAGGAAAATGCTCATGTTCAGCTCCCTTCTCTCGCACCCAAGATACTGGACGATATTGACATGGTCGAGGTGCTGCATGGTGTCGATTTCCTGGTTGAGCGCAGCGATCATTTCCTTCTGGCGTTCGGATTCACCTGGTGATACATGTCTCGACACCTCAACTTGTTTCACTGCTAAGAACTCTCCCGTAGTTGCGTTCATTCCGAGGTACACTCTCCCGTAAGTTCCCTTTCCGATTAGCTGTCCCTTGAACCACCTAAAGGTAGCTTGACGCTTAATTCCACCAAGCGGCTGCTGCATCTGTTGTTGAGGTTGTTGGACCTGTAATTGTTGCTGCATAGCTCCCCGCTTCCCTTCACCGGGCTTAACCTCAATAAGTTTTGCACCAAACAATTTTGTGCTCTTGCGACGCAGAATGTCACCGTTTTTAATTCCTTGAATATTTGGGTTCGTGTATCGCTTCCGCTGCTCGTGTGCCCCCTTAGCAACTTCACGAATTGACTTCATTCTGCCAAGTTGTGAGCGACCAAGACTCCGTTGTGCCACTGATGGTACTGCCCGCTTGATTCCCGGAGCATCTGACGCAACGGGTACAGAATCAGACGATGTGCCTTCAATCAATGCAGATGAGGATGCAGGTGTATCTGTTAATTGGTACGTCTTCGGTTCGTTCTCTGTAACTACAACCGGGGACGCAGGGGGTGAAGTAGTGGCAGCCTCGTCGATAATTGGCTGATCAAGATCAAGATTTGGGAAAAATTCGTCAAGATGGTTAATAAGCGCTTCTGGAGGGGGACGCGACGCCCAATTGTCTTTTGAGTTGAAAGAATCTTGACGACCGATACGCATAAGGTCTGCTGGTGATTGCGCAACAGCCGACTGAGGCGCCGACCATGGGTTTTGGAATCCAGCTGGCGAATTGAGCCCCTGCTTATCATCGCCTTCTTCAAACTCGGGTGTAGGGGGTGATTGCGCGGTTGTTGCACTACCGCTTGCTGTCGCCGAGGTATTCGGTGTTGGCTTGAATGTCACATTCTTGGTCGAGAGTGTCAAAGTAGGTTTTGGAGAATCCAATTGCCTCTCGGGAATCGGTTCAGCCTCCGGAACTTCCACTTTAGGTTGCTTTGTCTGCCTCAAAGGTTTCGCAAACAACCCGTCGTCACTGTCATCCTTATCGTCATCTAGTTCACCCGTAGCCTCAAACCCATCACCATCAAAGTGAACCTCGTTTTCTCTGAAAGGAATTTCCCCATCAGTCCCAAATGCTGATTTTCGAATACCTGGGGGAGCGTCCCCGCCAATGCCGAAGCTGATCTCAGGCGATGCTTGCCGTGCAACATCCGGAATGTGTAATGTGAGCTTCCCAGGGCCAGCTCCTACTTCTGGTTCGTGGTCAGGTTGATTGAACAATTGGTTTCCTTTACCCCATGTAAAGCCAGGGCTATTTGGGGTCCCACCTGAGCGAGGGCTGCTTGAGCTTGACTCTCCAAAATTGACTGTGGCAATTGCACGCTGTGGTCCTGAAGGCTCGTTAACTCCTGCTTGATGATATTGTTGGTTTGGTTGATTAGAATATGTGGGTAGTGAAACTGTAGATGCAGATGGCGCAGGATCCCTTGTCAGTTCCCTAGGAACGCCGGGAATCGGTGTTTTGGTAATGCCAGCCCCCATCAAACCCCCTGAAAGTAGCGAAGCCAGAGCACCTCCAGGACTACCAGTAATTGCTGGGAACCCACTCTGCACTCCAAGGTCAGGGTGTCGCATCTGCGGGACAGCCTTCCTCTTTGTTCCGACTTCTGACATTTCCTGCCCCTTCCGTCGTCGCACGCTCACCCTCCTTGGCACGGGCGGGTACTCGATGTGAGTGCGCTCATCCTGATTCCAACTAGCGTTACTCTTCGTTGAGTCGCGTCTAGTTAGAGAAACCACTGAATTACGAGCGGAAGCACCTGCCGGTGGCGGCGGCGGTCTCCTCTGTGGGATCAATGGCTCAAACTGCTTATCTTCGTACGGCGATGATCTTGGGTTATCAAAATCAACCACTCCCCTGCCTGCATAAGGTGCAGTCTGAACCTTAACAAAACCAGGATTCTTTTCCCGTTCAAATCCTTTATGCTGTACCGGCTCACGATGTTGATGTTGTTTACCCAGCTCACCCCTGCGACTTTGGGCTGCGGCCTCCAATTGTGAAGTACCCGCAGAACCCTTATGAGGGCCGTTAAGGAAAGAATTGAAAGATCCACCCTGTGCTGAGCCCTGGGGAAAGAAGAGTTCGTCCTGACGTGCCGCTAAGGGACCACCATCTATGGGAGAATTAGTACTTCCATTTCTCTGATCCGCTGTCTTCAAAGCGAAACCGCCTTGCCAATCGCCTCCTGGATATGCGGATGCAGGACCAGGAAGGGGATCGCAAGGTGAAGGGTGAATAGATGGATGGGGTGCCCGTGGAGCATGCGGTGAACTAGGGGTATTAATGACATTGATTTGCGGGCTCCCAGAAATCCCCTGCTCTTGGTATTTTTTCAGAAGTGCCAATCTCTCCCGCAGTTCATCAAGCCCGTCCACTGGCGGGGAAGTCTTTATGCCTTCATGAAATTCTTCAAGAGATCTAAGTGGAGAATTAAAGTCACCTTGTTTCAATGTTGAGGCTTCTGAATTTAACAGGCTCTTTGAGCGCTCAACTTGCAATGGGTGCGGCTTCAAGCCTCGCTGTTGCTCGCTGTTGAAGAAACCCAACTGAGCTGGAGAATTCAGTTGACTAGAGGCGTTCGCTGCAGCTGTGGCATCGTAAGACTGCACTGCAGGGCAAACGAAAAATCTCAAACTCGCAATACTATCTGCCTTTGTCCTGTAAGATTGTATCAACTGGTCGTCCGTAAGAGCTGGTTCTTCTATAGGTCATAAGTTAGCTATATCCTGGAAAGAGGCGAATAAAGCGTACCATTTAAATTCGCTCCTTGACCAACTTCCGTCTGATGAATTGATGCAATATCCCACTCGCCAATCCCCAACTCCGCGCAAACCATTTTCCGTAGAGATTCCACTGTATCCAGCTTCGTAACTTCAACCAAAACCCAGATTCTTCCATCTTTCGTTGCAAATACAAACTTTCTTTGATTTGCAGCCCCAGTAACGCCATTCGCTGCAGTTGCTGCCCTAGAAACCTTTTGCCTCCCTCTTAGATTGACATCAACCGATGAAATTGAATGACGATCGAGCGAAGAATCACTGGCATTATGTTCCGCGATTGAAAAAGGAACACCTGCCGATCTCCAACCAGGTGAAGTTGGCGAATCAACATCGTCCATACTCTCATCATCCTTCGATTCCTTCCTCGCCCCCAGTCTTCGGATCTTATCCACAATCTTTGTACCCCTGGACTTCTCATGCGTATCTTGCCTCTCGACCGGCTTGGGGTGTACTCCTAAAACTTGAAGTGCTTTGGTTGTTCCCTTTCCATCGCCTGCTCTATTCATCATACTATTATTTATACTTGATGCAATCGACTCCGTCGAGTTGCTCTTCTCGTGTCTATGGGTAGGAATAGTCTGGTAACCTAAACTAGGTGAGTTACGAGGTGAATTTGAGATTGGCTGTTTTCCAGTGAAATTGCTATATCCCCAACTTTCCTGGGGTTCACGAATACTTGTCTCCGAATTAGACGGACTATGTCGACCCACCTGGTCGACAACATTATTGAGAGCTCTACTCTTCGGGCCAGAGTCTGACCCATTTGGACGGTGTAGCTGCTCTATCCTGCTGTCGCTACTGCCTCTAGTGTACGGCGGTTGCTCTGTCGAGGACGAGTAGCTCCCATCCGGATGCATAACGGGTAAGGTTGTCGATCTGTTATTGGGATTGAATCGCGTCTGGACTGGAGATTTCAGATGTGGTTGCTTACTTGGCGATTCGCCCCTCTCGGCTGAGGAGAAGGAGTCGTTCCGATTCTGTGGACTGATCTGTCCTGAGGAGGACGGCGGGGTGTTTGGGACAACTTTGGTCAATTTCAACATCTCGCGGACCATCTTTTTGATGTTCTTTGCCGCCTGCCTTTCTTTTGCCGGTTCGGCGTGTTGGCCACAAATTCTCAGCACTTCTGGTTGCACGCGTTCGAGAAGGCTTGTGGAACTATGATGGCCCATATCCAGAAACTCTTGGCCGTGGATATTTAGATTACGGAAAGCCTGTTGCCATTCCTTTGAAAATTCGTGACGGTCGAGATAGTTGATGACCCTATCCAGTGTCCAGATTGCAGCTTCTGATTCTGACGAGAGGGGACCAGACGAGTTTGATGCTACAAGAGGAGACTGTTGAGAATGGGATACATGAGATGACCGGGTAATACCCCCCACGGGAATCTGACTAGCACTAACACTACGATTGCCCGACTGTTGTTGCACAAGAGATACAGATGAGCCGTTGGGGTGGTGAGGTGCAGACATATAATCCGCCTCGGACGATTCAAGACGCACAAAAGAAGTGAGGCTCTCTGAGGACTGGGCTGATGGCTGGCGGTACATAGGAGGCACTTCAGGGGGAGGGCGTTGGGGATGATGGGGAGGGTGATGGAGATGTGAATGTGGGGTGTACTGCTGTTGCACAGTGATACCGTTGCCGTTGACGGCGGATGTGGTACCAGCACTGACCCCGTTATGGAGAGGCACAGACATAGGGGTTAACTGAGCTTTGGGGACCGAAGAGGACAGTGGTGGGTGTTGATGAGGATTGTAAGCCCCGTATTGGGGTTGAAGTCTCTGTTGCTGCTGCTGTTGCTGCTGCTGTTGTTGGTGCAGCAGATTTTGCTGCTGTTGTTGCTGCAAATGCTGTTGTTGCGCATAAAAGTTCATCATGCTGTCCCTTCCTCTCCCCACGGTAGCATAATGAGGGTGGTACCCAGGATCCTTTTGAGGTGGTGGGGGGGGCGGGGGCGGAGGAGGGGGTGGAGGAGGAGGTGGAATTCCGTTTTGCATTGGGGAATTCCCAATTGGAAACCCGCCATTATTATTTCCAACTCCCCCTATGCTTCCAGGTCCTGGCCCTGCTCCTACCATTCCACCTGGCCCATTACGATTATCCAACACTGATGTCGAAACATGTCGCAATCCCATACCGGGCTGGCCCGGTAACATTGAATTTCGAGAAGGCTGTCTGGGCTGCATTCCGGCAAACATTCCACCACCAATATCCGCAGGCGATGAGGCAGCACTTGTATGAGCTCTCGGGCGGGTCATCATCGTATTGTATCCCGCACCTGAACCTGACGTCGGGATAGGTAAGAAGTTACCCGTAAAATTTGGGATCTCGCTCAGTTGCTCGGGGTCGTGCAGATAGTGTACTGTCCCTGGGGTGTTCATGCCACTACCAGGAGTTGCACTGCTCATGTTCATTCCCCCGGGTGAGGGCGTGCTTGCGATCGAAGGGTTGTTCTGGGAAAGCACGCTCGCAGAGCGTTGACGCGAGACCATTACGCTTCCTTCCCTTCTTCAGCTCTTCTTCTAACGCCCTAACACCCCCTGCTGTTACTCCCTCCTCGGATAATATTCTATATGTCTTGGCAGTTCTCAAAGCTACCATCAGCCAGTGTGATAGTCGCCTCGATCGCCCGCCACTAAGAGCTGTGTGTGCGCGGTCGTTTCGTAGCCTCCGGAGACTTCAGGCTCTTCAAGTCAGTCAGTCTGAACTAATTCTTGTCCGGATTCACCGAGGCCTGAATGACTAGCCGATGAACTGAGAGTTACCCCCTCACTTAGCAGAAACAAAGAAAAAAAGAAAATAGTATATCCCGTGGGTTGTAAAGCGAGCGGCTCTGTATTTCGTATTTCGGGGGCTCGTGCGTAATCGAGTTCTCGATATGTAGATATGTAATCCTGGTGTAGTTTTTTTTTAATTATTATTATCTCCCTCTCCCTCTTTTTTTCTTTCTCGCCTTCTTCTTCCCCTTTCTTCGCGAAATGATGTTAGGATAGTTAGGACAGGGCAGGATGTATGGAGGTCAAGGTTAAAGAGCAAGAAAAGCAGTTGTGTTCTGTCGGTCGGTGGTCGTCGTTCTTTCGAGGGGTGTTCGCGGCACAGCACATCAGCCCCTGCTCCACACTCGTCTGACTGACACTCATTTCGTATTTTATGCCAGTGCTTCACACCCTCAATTGCAACCCAATCAGACCCTGGTGCTTGCTCCCTGCGAATCTACCCTCTTATTAGGGCTGAACCTGAGATTTCGATAGTCAGTGGCGGCAAGCGCAAGGCACCAGGAACAGCCGCTTTAGCTGGGTTGAATTGAATGGATAACTGAAAGTAGAGTAATTTAGATACTTACTCTCGAGACTAGCAATATTCTAGAGTCTCCTCTATATCATCGGTCTTTGAGCCGAAAAATCGCCGTTTCGTTTCCCCACTGCAATTTCTTCTTGTGTAACCAGAGAATGCCCATGTACTAGGTAGCACTTTCAGTGTGACATCTCTAAAAACTGCTGAAGCTTCTTTCAACACCGAAAAAGAAACAATCCCTATATATATCTCTACCACTGACGTGCCAATCAAGCTTTTTTCTTTTGATCCCATGCACGTACTCTATGCCAACTGCTCTACATACATATGTAGGTATCATATTTTCTGTTCGTTCCATCGGATATCATCCCATATTGTGCTCAAGGAAAGGTTGAGTTCTCATCTCATCCCGTGGCTATGATGCCGAGCAGAGCACAGTCCAGATACTAACGCTATTTATACTACGGCGTACATATCTAGGCATGTACCATGATGCTTCCCTTCTCTAGATTCTAGAAATACTTTTCTGCCTTCAAACTGTTGAGATTGGAGGGGTCAGTTGCTATTTTTATATCGAACTGTCTACTGTGGGCCCGAGACATGATAATAGCCTGCACGTATGGCGATGACCCTTGTCCCGATGTCCGTCAGTCCAAAGTACCGCCAAAACTCGAAAAATTGGCTATCTCCGGCCAGGGATTATCGCTCGAGTGATTGGTTGAATGGCATCGATCTGCATCAGAAGTTTCCCACACAAGTAATTTTGATCTCTGGAAGCTAGCCAATTTTTCGAGTTATGGCGGTAGCGGGATGTATCATATCGGATCCAGAAGGAGAAGAGGGAGGAGAGAGTGAAAGAAGTAAGACGGCGGAGATTTCCATCGGATCAATAGCCCCGAGAAAGGCTTGCTTGCCACTTGTGCACCCCGAGGCAGCTGATATCCCGATCCCGGGTAGTTGCTAGGAACACCGAACAGAACCACCACCATCACCACTTCTCTACATACTATAGCGCGAGAAGGCCTAGAGGGCGGGTGTGTCAACTTCAGAGGAATTTCGTTTGTATGGGAATCTGAGGAAATGTCAGGGTTAGCCTAGGCGCTAGTACCATTATGGCCAATTTCTATAAGTTTGATTGGCCGATTCTTTAAAAAAACGCCGAAGTTTACACACCTACCCCCCATAGCTTCTCGAGCCATATACTTAGAGACCGTTTGATATTGCCTGTCCAACAGGTGCTGTAAGTACTCTACAGAGTCTGGTAGAATTAATGCGAAAGTCAGCGCTAAAGGAGTGGATTTCTTGGTCCGTGCTCACAGCAAAGGTCGTTTCAAGAGCCAATGGGACTATCGGGTCACGGAGAACCCACTTTCGCAATAATTTTACCAGATACTGTACAGAGTCTGGTAGAATTATTGCGAAAGTGGGTTTCCGTGACCCGATAGTCCTATTGGCCCTTAAAAGGTTTTTTGCTGCGAGCACAGACCAACAAATCCACTCCTTTAGCTCTGACTTTTGCAATAATTCTACCGGATACTGTACATGTATGCACCCCATAATGCAAACCTGGGGCGTTGCGAGACCTCTCGCCAGGCTAATATTCCTAGGCACCCGCACCGTGTACTTTAGACCGTACGTTAACCTAGCGCGTATAGTTAAACCGAGCTTAAGAACCCACTCCATGCAGCTAAACGGCACGTGCAGAGGTGTGAACGTATTTCCATCTGCATACATATCTTGAGTAATCTGCGTCGCAACCACACACAAATTGGCTAGAATAACCAAATTTTGAAACCACTTTAATTGAGCTTATATTGAACCTTAAAGTAATAGAGGCAAATCACTTGTACTCCCTCCTTATGGTTGTGGAAAAAGGCGACGTTGAAGTTAAAAATTTGATTGCAACAATGTTCGGATAATTTTGATAACTCGCAATATTATATCACATCCAACTTGCATCCAACTTGCATGTCTTGGAAGTCTTGGGAATAAATATTTTTTTGTTCGTTGCTTTAAGGTGCTGGCTAAAAGTCTCTAATGCAACCCCATAGAACATGAATTTATTCCGCCATCAATACCATCGTTAAATATCTGAGTGTTTTACGGAAGGTCAATTTTCGTCTGAATTTTATAACAAAGCAGTCCGTATAAAAAACGGCTCTCATTTGAATATAGTAAATATAGTAAACATCTCTGGGCGTATCATACATCCCCATTTTAGAAAATTGGTCAAAATTGACGGTTTAGGTCAACCGCCTTTTAATGTGGCGAAGTATAAATTATCGGTTTTGACACTTGGTAAATACATACTCTCTATTGTTGCTTGTTGTCATGTTGTTTGGTGTTAACAATTTTATTGTTAAAAGTATCATTGTATGCTATGTGTACTGTTGTACTAGAGGCGGCTTGGCATCTGGAGTTGTAACTATAAAGAGAGAGCTTTCGCTCTCTCTCCTTTGTTTTTTCTTCAACCTCACCACTCGATCTACACATACGGAGCAAAATCTATTTTGGAAGAAAGGACTTCTTCGATACTCAGCTCGTTTACAATACTACACTTCAAACGGATACGATGGCTCAAACAGATTTCCAACGCCTTGCCGTTGGTCTACAAATCCTTCGAGATGAAATTCCCTTGATTTCGAATATGCCAATTCGAGATGCTTTGCAACAGCAGATCAACGCAATCCAAGAAGAGAGCAACGCCAACCGCCAGCAGATGGCCGATCTTTTTGAGCAAGGACTAGCACAACTTCGAGACCAGATTGCACAACTCGGAGGCCAGAATGCACAACTTCGAGACCAGATTGCAGAAGTACAAGCACAACTTCGAGACCAGATTGCAGAAGTACAAGCACAACTCGGAGGCCAGATTGCAGAACTTAGAGGTGATACTCTACAACTACAAGGCCAGGTTGGGCTGGTTCAAAACGAGTAAGTCTTTGCCTGTCCTCGTTTGGCCAGACAGCATGACTCACAGTTCAACTAGGCAGCAACTTCTGCCAATGAGGCTGTATAATGCCTCTGCTAGTGAGCTCGCACCGCTCCGATACCCAGCTGCAATACCCGGGCCGAATGACCATATATTGCCGGCAACCCGCCGTCACCTTTCAACGTTTAGTGGCAAGTGTTCCCTATTAGCAATTAGTGAATGTGGTCCTTGCTAATATTTCATGATTCTCAGCAAATCAACTTCAAGCTGCTTCTCAAGCACTCGGACTTCCAGCCTTGCCCGCGAATACCCTGGTTGAGGATCGTAGACGGCAGATTGCAGACTACATCGGTGTTTCCTATTGAAGAGACGCTATTCCTCTGCTCTGTTACAGTCACAGAGAGGGCGGTTGGTGAACGTGGTTGGTTCCGTTTTTTATTCTTTTTAATTGTATAAGAGCATGCTTGGTGTTTTGCTGGGCTTTTTAGATCGATGGTTGCATCGGAATGGTTTTCTTTTTTCTACCACAGTCGGGGCTTGATCTGTAGGTTTTATGGTTAATAGAAACTTTAGGCAAGCATCAATTTTGGTCAAAATTGATGGTTGCAGGGATTATTTGGCTGGGTGGCGAATAGCATTTTTCAAAATTGATCGTTGGCCTAAAGTTTCTAATGTCGTGAATTGTTAATTGATTTGCTGTGGCGTTATTTTAAAGAACCAGAAAATGGGGTCTCGGTGCATAGGCTCTCGGCGCTGTCGGGCAGATTATTCGTCAGGCATTAGTAATACAGATACGCGCGGGTTAGCCTGGATAAGCGCCCTAAGGAGGAAACGTAGTTCTAGCGCTGGCGCTATTTTGTTTAGGTGGCAACCTCTAGCTAGTTTTGCTTGCTCTTGTTCTCGCTCTCTCTCCTAGTCTACATCATCATCAATATAAATTCGTATTGTCGTCGAAAAGAGACTGATCACAATAAACCGGCCAACAGCGCCGAGGGCTAGGCGCCGAGTTTGACTCCTATTGGTTGTTGGCCACTTTGAGTGACTCGGAGAGCAAACGAGGAAAGCAAACGGCGATAGAACTTTGAGGAAGATAGTGGGGCGTGAGGCTGAGGCCCTGTAGAGTAGTGTTTATAAAAGTGGCCGCGCCCATTTCGGCTCTGGGGGCATATACTTGTTTACCAGCATAAGAACCAGAAAACGCAGTTGCTCAGGGCAAGGATTATTTGTATGGAGTGGCGGTGATCTCTCATACAAATCATTACTGTTTCCGTCACTTGCATTTTTTGGTTCTTACCCTGGTATACGAGTACACACCAAAAACAGGAACATGACACTGGCATGCCCGGTATGAGGGGATTAATTATACTACGGGAGGTGGAGCTGTAAATTGAGAGGGAGGAAGTACTGGGTGGAAAATAGAATATAACGATGGCTTGAATTGACTAAGAGCATCAATCACTATTAGCTGGGAGCTGGTGCTGGCCATATGGTTAACTGCGGAACTGGTAATGAGCACTACGAGAGCTGGCTATGGCCAACGGCGGGAGCTGGCCACGGAATGGCTAAAGGCAACATTAACTACTGGAGGTGGCCAATTACTATGGGTGCACTGGATATGGGAAATACTACAGAGGTGGCAGAGATTCCTGAGCAGGAGCAAGGCCTCGCGGTCGCGAGGTGGGCCACTACAGTATCTGGTAAAATTATTGCGAAAGTGGGTTCTCCGTGACCCGATAGTCCTATTGGCCCTTAAAAGGTTTTTTGCTGCGAGCACAGACCAACAAATCCACTCCTTTAGCTCTGACTTTTGCAATAATTCTACCGGATACTGTACTAGTACACAAGTATTTGATATCCTTCTAGCGTATTTCACAGCCTGGAGAGTGGCGAAGTGGCGCTTTAACAGTAGATATCGTCAAATTGAACCACAAGTGCCACAGAAGCCACAAGTCCACAGAAGTGCTGGATACAGACGAAGGGATGCACATCTCTTCTTGTGTATCGCCGGCCGTCGCTGTTCTCTCCAAGAAGGCAGCTTTATAGTAAAACCTAGCCCTCACTCTCCGAACATCTTTTTGCCTCTGTTTTTGCGAATGGATTATTACCATGGGTCTGATGATACATCGATACAAACGTATTCCTTCGTTCGTCAGAGCAAAATTAGAGACATATGATGCCCGCAACGGCGTGGTGATAGGTATTCAGAAAATCTAGCTACCTACAGACTATGGAGACACCTGAAAAAGGTATAGGAGGGGTCACAGAAGGTGACTTTACTTGCCGGGTTTTAAAGAGTAGGACGGAAGTACAGCGCGAGGTCGTAAATTATGGGAAGACACCCATTTTACACCAAAAATGACACTTTTCAACTTGGTCTTAGACCACCAATTAGTATGAATAATTTCTGAAAATTGAAGAAGTATATATTTTGGATGTCAAGAATTTGTAGGCAACGACTAGGAAGAGTGAAGACATTTGCCGAGGAACTTTTCGGGGATGGCGGTAAGACTTGTCGGTCTATTCGTGAAAGATTCCTTGGTGAAAAGGAGGGGACTTGTTGGTGATGATGAGGGGACTTGTTGGTGATGAGAAAGGACTTGTCGGTGGAAGGGGGTCTTGGTCAAAATCAACCACCACAGCACCTCTTCAACCTCGATAATGTCAAAATACAAGGATTACCAAAATGGGGCCCTTTCACCACTTTTGGGACCCGTTTCTCTCGATGTACTATTACTAGAGTACTCTCGGTACCTACGTAGGGAAACTGTGTCTCTTTCTTTGACCTGGGATGTCGATAACTTTACCACGTATGTAGAGCATACTACTGGTTACAGGGAGAAATTCACCACAAAGGCTAGGTGTACCTACTGTCGTTCACGGGGTATTGGCGGATACTGGGTGTTGGCGGCTTGGCTGTCGCTTTTTAGGCTTATCCGCCAACACCCAGTACCCGCAAATACCCGTGAACGACAGTACGTATAACGTGCATGTGCCCGACGTTTAGTTAGAGCTGAGAACCAGGGTGTCCACCTTAGTTGACCCTTCAATGCGGATAGCTAGCCTCGTAAGGCGAGTAAAAAAAAAAAAACGCTACATGTACCCTAGAGTACATGTTGGTACAATGCCTTCTAACCTACTAGTGCTCTAGAGTATAGTACCTGCTTCACCAGAGGGATCGGTAACGACTAGGCTTAGTTTTCACCGCACAAGTCTACATACATGTAGTTCTACATGTGTTAGTATACGTAGGGAGGTATCTACTGTACAGTATCTGGTAAAATTATTGCGAAAGTGGGTTCTCCGTGACCCGATAGTCCTATTGGCCCTTAAAAGGTTTTTTGCTGCGAGCACAGACTAACAAATCTACTCTTTTAGCTCTGACTTTTGCAATAATTCTACCGGATACTGTACATGTACAGTACTATAGGTATACTAACGCGCCGGAGCGGCCCAGTTGTTTCCCAGCTATTATTTAACCTTCCTGCAGGTCCACGGCACCGTATATCAGAGTAATATCTCGCGTGCCCGATTTCTGAGCTGAGCCATCGACGTACATAGAAGCGATCTTGGGAGGATATTTGCACTTTTCTTGACGAGTCGTTCGTTGTTTTTGCTTCGTAGTAGATATACAGCACATTACTGTTTCTCTATGAATGTGCAGTTTGGCTGTAAATAGCCTGGACTGTATGCGTCTAGTGATACTAAATTTGAATCACCGTGCTCAATCGACTTGCATAACCCTGTCAGACGTGCCTAAATGTACTTCAGAGGCTCTGGGCATGGGTCCCCCAACCAGATCGATCACATTATTATTTGACCTTAACTTGATTATTAGTTATTCAAGCTAAGGCCGTATACGAAAAAGGAATACTTTTTTCTTTCCGTCTTCCTTTCCCTCAAGTGGCAACGCGTGCAGCGGACGTGAAGCTAGTAGTCGGGGCAGGAAAGAAGAACCTGAAAGTGACTTTTGATGGAAACGGCCTCTGATTCGTGCCTGTTCAGTACATACACCAAATTGAGCCCCTGCTTGTAGCTAGCATTTCAGGTTCTTCTTTCCTGCCCCGAGAAATCGTTCTGTCTGTATGTAACAAGAACAGGGACAAATCGTAGATTGTGTCGTAAATAATAGTTCTCTACGCTATTCCGATTGGATAGCATATCTACCGGCCCCGGTTATTTGAACTCTTCAAAACATCCTATTGGCCACCAGTCAGTGTTGCCGAACTTAAATTTGTTTGATCATGCTGTCAATTAGAAAACCCTTGATACCGACCTCGAGAATTTGAGTTATTTTCATTTAGTAGCTGAGAGGTAGGTTCTGTAGTATTATACCAGCCTAGTCTATCGCCAGTAGTTATTGTCGTTAGATTATTAAGTGGGAGTAACTCTAGGCTGATCAAATCTCGATGTCGTATTCCTGTCAAGGTTTATGAAAAGATACGTAATATCAGTTAAGCTAGATAAGTCTCGATCTCATAGTTATTAGTATGCAATTTAATTGACCTCCCATCCCGTCCCAAAGGATAGGAGATCGGTGCCATCTGACAACTCAACGAGATACACCAATGTGATTATATCCGAGTCTCCTAGCCCCAAATAACCTGCATCTCGGGTTTTGACCCAATATCGATCAGTGAGGTTTGAATACGGTAATCCGTATCTGAGGAGGAAGCCATACTCAAATCGCCCTTGGGCGTAAACCCCCCCCCCCCCCCCTTTTACAGAAGAGATTTCCGCTGCTGAATATGAAGCATCAGATGTGCTAAACCTTGTTTTAATTAAAAGAAATGTTGCATGGATATGTGCGTTGAGCACAATCTGAGCTAGGAAGAGCTGGAAAACTCAGCTGAACACATAAATTGTGTTGGTGCACCGCATATCCTCCTTCTCCCGAGATATAGGCCAACCTTCACGGCCAAGCCTCTCATCCCCTATATCTATTACCCACTTAGTCCTCGCGGCATTTTAGACTGATGATCATCCCCGACAGTATATCAATTCTCCCGGGGGTGTTTATATAGGTCACACTGCTTCATGGCCTGAGACCTAGGATAACAAATTGTAAGGCCTGGAATCCTGATGTGGTAAAATTACCACTCAGCATGATACTTTGAAAAGAGCGAGGAAATTAGCAGTTTTACTGCTCGTTTGTGCGCCTTGACATGCAGGATCGAGTGATTCCCCATTTCCTAAATTTGAAGTTTCAATGACTTCTGGCATCTCAGCGAAAGTAATCCTAAGTCTAAATATTTTTACTAGAGACTTTCTTGCGCTCGTGGAGTGATCTACCCCTTTTCACCAATATTTTGGCAAGATTAAATGCTAGATTGCGTGGTTCACAAAGTATCACTCGCAGTCCACAGCCTAATCCAGATTTGCGAGTCTCGTATTGATTGATTGATTGATTGATTGATAATTCATCAATTGTATGCAGCTGCGAGTCACGTATTCCCAATAAGGCGGATCTGTACTATATCCACAAAATATTGCGTACTGTCAGAGCTTTCAAAACCACGGACCAGCAGTAATATAGGTACATGTATGGTGCGCCCACGCTTAAAGGTAGCGGATCGCGACGAAATGTCAATCGCTTAAGGCTTTGCCACGAAAAATGGTAAAAAAAAAAGCGGAAAGATAGAACTCTAGTTCAAGAGATGAAGTTTAGTTCTATCTTTGCAGATTTTTGATATCTGTCTAGGTTGAAAAGCCTTAGCAAGTTGAAATTGTGTATTTTTGTATGTAAAATGCGCCAAGACTGAACAAAGTGGAACAGTATTATACCCATTTATACCCACAGAAAAGCAAACCTGACTGATCCGTGGCAGTAATGCAGCAAAATGGCTAGAAATCCCTCTTATTGGCCCATGAGGCCCTATTCAGCCACAATTGTTCCAGTTCCGTATGCCACCATATCACCTTTAAGAGTGTGCGCACCATAGTTCAGTTTGAATTTCGAGGCTTTGTTGACAAGGGTCGAAAAGTATGTCCTAGAGCTTAAAAGACTGAGAACACCCTTCTTGAAAATGAGAAAAATGAAGGATTATCGACCATGATGGGAAGCATTCCAAGGGGATGATAAACCAAGGCTTGGCGGTGATGACGTTTCTAAAATTCAATATTAACACCATTTCTTTAAATTATATTGGAACTTCGAAACTCTTCATCATTCGTTATTGAGCGGAAAAGATACCACGTATCGTATGATCATATGAAGCTTGGATGGCGACTGCGACAACACGCAACGTAGGAGGGTGATTCTTGTTATGCGAGTGATAATCTGTGACCATAAGGGCTATACTACATGTACCTATGATCGATATATGCTGCATAATAATGAGGAGTGATTGAGCCTACTCTAGCCATCACCGTAAGGAAATTGTCTTATAACTGAGGGACATACAAGTGAAGCGCGTGTTGAACACATACCTCATCCCACCTCCACCTCCATCCCATCCCCATCCATTTCCCTCTAAAGTTTCATTTGCCCTTCTTTCATGGGAGACGACTCCCCTCCTTAAGCATGAGACTTGGTTCACTTCTATTCTTTGTTCTCATATTGGTCCTTGGATGTCCCCTCGGGTCTAACAGGAGTGGGGCAAGTCTCTTGTGGTATGATCACTAATATAAAGTATGTGTCATGAGTATCAGGAGTGCAGAGTGGGAACAATGTGAAGAGAGCTAGAGTACATCCTGAGAACTGGATTTATGCCACAAATTACAGTCCACTGCGGTCCACAAAGCTGGGCGGGGTTCCTCGTGTCCTATATACCACGGGTGCATGTGTAGGCCTAGATACATCGATCATACCCTTCCTACTTCTAGCTAGGCGCCTCGACTTTTAATGGTATGTAGTTGTGACCGATCCCAATTTTTCCATGGCGAATTTGAGGTCATACTTCCGAGTCCCTTTCTACGCAAAAACCGTGGCATCTTAAACTTTGAGAAGTACTCTATCTCCGGGGATAATAAAGAATTCAAACACTTTGTCTCGTGATCCCCTTGCCCGCATTCCCCGAGAGATAGATCGTTTCCGGAGTTGGGCCACGTATTACCAATTGCCCAGCTCTATACATGCATCACCATACATGGCTGCATGAAAGATGTATCACCCCGGCGAATTTCATTGTTTTTCACCAGAAATATGGCTGGATTTATAAACAAATTACTACCGTTACCTGTATTTCACCCGGAGACGACTATGTAGTACGTCCTTGAAACAAATTAAACAACTACATGTAGCCGTAACCCTAGTCCTCACGCCGTCAACGGGAAATCGCAGGCGATGGATCTACATGTAGTTCTCGATAAGCACATTAATCAGGAGCAACCTCCCAGCTACATAGCAACTCCATCATATACATACCACAACGACATCATTTGCGAAAACCCATCATCCACCTCTAAAATATCCCATCTTATTACCGATTAATCCGCCCTACACCACAAGTGTCTCCAAAACAAGCTCACCAAATTCAACCTTTTCGGCCCCGCTCAATGCATTCTTAAGCCAACCATAGACTACATGTACATACATGTATATACATTAGTAGCTTGGTCGAAAGTAGCACAAGCTCTTGTATAACAGTGCCTGTTCATCGGAAGATCGGAAGAATCAGAGCACCATCTAGTTTAATCATTTATCCTCACAACCCCCCAATAAACTTATTCTTCTCAAGCTAACAGCCTCAAAGCGACTCCCAAAAGATTACTAATTCTTCTACCTTTGATCCGCTTTTCTGTTAAAGTCCGAGGTCCGCCTCACCTGCGACCTATAGAAGATCCCAACGTTGACCAAGTTCCTAGCTGGCCAATCGCCGTGATGGCGCCACATACCCACTAGTAGATATGGCATACCAGACCCTGTAGTTCCTCTTAAACTCTAGTTAGATGGCACTATAAATGTCGAGAAATATGATATTTATCCAGCTGCTCCTGTCTTGCAGAAGTGCTGTTAGCAATAACCTTACGTACGTTACGCCGGTCCGAGATATTATCGATATTCATCAAATTCCTGACGCACATGAAGAAAGGACGTGACACATGCGGGGCGCCATAAACCGAAGCCAATCCTAGCCCTCGATCTCGGATAGCTTCAGAGCCCTAAATCCATGAGGCACCAAAGCAACCTTGTAGAACCGAAAATACAACACTCATCATGGCATATGTATACGAAACTAAATCATCAAATCATTACTTGATAAAAAGCAAAAAGGGAACATAGGAACACCTCCCATGCTATCGAATCAGGCTCGACCCCGGGTTTGAACCGGGGACCTCTCGCATATTAACTTAGGGTGTGACCCTAAGCGAGAATCATACCACTAGACCAGCCGAGCTTGTGATGAGACACAGATTATCACTCATAATCAATTTTTTTTCTTTCTTTGCTCATAGGATACTAAGTACTCTTATAGACAGTGATGGTCAAGCAGCACTTTTATTCCCTTTGTAAGTATTTATTTGCATTGCTGCGAAGTGAGAGCTAAAATCGTTGAGAGACTCTGAGATCGTACGTCCGGTTGGAATTCATCAGGGGAGGATGAGACTGCTTCACGAAGGGTCACTCGGTTCACACATTATATGAGACCTCTTAGTCGTGGCGCATGCCCGCACACACATTACGATTAATGGGCCCTCACTTCAGTAAATTCTACTTGGCTTATAACGTTTATACTAACGGGAGGGTGTATTATAAGGACCATATGTTTTACGCATTACGTAAGCTCTAATAAGTTGGCTATAAGCATACATGTATTTTAAGGCCTCTATAAGGCTTTCATAAACATTTAAAGGATTTTAAGAGTCCCTCCCGGATAAGGCTCTCCTAGTAAAAAGCACACGCAAAACCCGAACTCCTCTCACCGATACGATCATAAAGCATCCAATTGAGCACCTGATTGGGTAATGCAAGCAAACAGAACTGCTCTACATGATCAGGCGAACCCATGCTTCAAGTTCCAACTATGTACCGCACGGGGCTTTACGCCTCGAAGGCACACCGAAGAAGACCGCGCTGAAACCACCCAGTGCCAATTTGCGATAATCTCAGTTACTAAGCAGAACAGGAACAAGGGCCCAATCACGCCCTGCATTCGGAAGCCTCAACTCCCTCGAACCACAACTATTTGTGATTCATAAGATCAACGATTACCTGATAATACAAGCTCGGCTGGTCTAGTGGTATGATTCTCGCTTAGGGTCGCACTCTAAGTTAATATGCGAGAGGTCCCCGGTTCAAACCCGGGGTCGAGCCAATACAAACCTAAGTGTGAAGGATTCAAATCCTTCAAATGGTGGTCCCTTTTATTATCCTTTTCTTGGTCACAATGACAACTTGTAATTGTATGAAGTAGATAATAAAGTAGTTTGCGCATTTTTAAGTCTTCTTAGAGCCTAATGCCGCTTTCCATGTTGAATACTTGTTAGTGTCAAATAAAAAAACCTGCAAGCTTAGCTAATAAATAAATGATCGTGAATTTTTAAACTTACCCCCGGCTTCTTCACATATGCAATCAATTTGAGGACCTTGTAATAAGAACCCCTTCCAAACATATTACGTAGCTGCCGTCACAAAAGTTGCTTGACTACTATGTACATCTTAGTACATGTGCAGCGACTGGTAATAAGTGATGGAATGCCCTGAGAGTATAAACACTAAATGTTGGTGGCGTTTTACTAAAATAGGTATCGCTGTGTTCCATCACTTATTACCTACTGATGTACATATAAGTTCAATGAATGTTGCAACTAGAAACCTTTAGACTCGAATAGCATAGACACATATTCAGTGTTAGAGATGGTACGTTTCGAGTGATTATTTGTGAAGAACATGTACATAGACGTTCAGATTGAGTGGAGTAAAGGTTCAGAAAAAAGCAGCAGGAAAAACTATCTCGAATTCCATTTCCTCAAAGTAATTTTCTTGGTATCAATGCTATACTAAAACTAGAAAAGATAAAATGCTAAATTCCAATATTCATTATCCAATCCGTATAACCCCTGAAATGATCCTGCACACGGTGAACACAAGTAAGAAAATACTTCTAACCCGATCCATTACAGCCCGTTCTCGTTATGATACTTCATCTTCAACTCTGCCTCCTTCTCCCACTCGTTTGCAATCAACTTCGCAACATTCATACCCATCAAACTGCTAGTCTCCATAGTGCTGATGAAGCTCTCGATGCCGCTGGTATACCACAGTCCTGTATCCATAATTGGGTCTTCAAATGTGACTCTGGGGTACAAGTACGGGTATGCTTGCCATATCTTTCTATACGACCAGCTGATCTTCGCCTCCTCCGCAGTCTTTGCGCCTAGTATCTCGTATAGCTGAGCATCTGTGAATTCCTTGGGCGAGAAAACTTTGTAGAGGTACTCGTATCGACCTTTTCGGGTGTTCTCGTCGGTGGAAGGGCTGCCAGGATCAAGGTTGAAGTTGACAGTACTACGGAGGGTAGAGATGGAAAAGAAGCCCACTGAGCCCACTGCATCAGAACTTGTGCCGCGAGTGAATCGTTCAGAGGCTTGCTCGGTTTCGTTGAGTGTGGTGAGGATAGCTTCAGGGACTCGGTCTCCAACAGGCAAACCAAAAAATTCGGGGTCCAGCTTGTTTGGTGAGGTAAAGAGTGTCACGTGAAGAGTTACATAAGGAATTTCGTCGGGTGTCTTTTTGAGTTCGGGACTGATTGTTAATTCTGAGAACTGATATGGCGATGCGAGGATAACATCGTCATATTCCTCTTCCACGACCTCTCCGGATGGGCCATGGGAGCTGAGAACCCAAGTCTTGGGGTTTGGGCCGTTGGGATCGCGGGTGACTGAGGAAACCCTGGTTCCCAATCTCACTTCAGCTTTGGAGGCGTCGACCATGCCCGAGAAGATCCTCCAGTTTCCACCCCGAACACTCACAGCACCGTCGGTGGCCATGCAGACCATCGTCTCCAATCCGTGGATAAGACCCAGATTTTGACCATAGTTCACGCGAGTTGATGCTTGGATGAGGTCTGTCGGGAATTTCCCATTAATGCCATTTTTAACCAGATATTGCTCCCCGGTGTCAGACGTAGCTTCCAACAGACCAGCTTCCTCAACCACAGTAGAGAGGGAAGAGAACGGGAATAGTGGCGCCTCGTACATGTTGAGAAACTTGCCCACAGTACTGGACATCAGCTTTTTAGTGCGCATCGGTGCAGTAGGACCATATTTCCAGAGAAGCTTAGCAAGGCTCCACCAGTCCTGGAGCTTTCCTTCTGTATATGCTTGACGGAACGCAAATTTTGAGCCATCCCAGACTGCAAGTGGATCTACATTTTCTTCACCGGGGCGGTCCTCAGTAAAACCAGAAATATCAAGACCGAATTCCTCGACTGCGTTCATAAGGTTGTAATTTACTGAGACGAAGATTGATGCACCGAGTTCTACAGGCTCTGTTGGGTCGTTATAGACATTTACCGTAGTACTGCGACCGCCAATGTAATTCTTGGTGTCAAAGATAGTTATGTTTACTGGTTGCGTTCCGGCATATTTGCGAAGGTAATAAGCGGCTGAGGAACCCCCCGAACCAGCACCTGTAGTCAATTGATTAGCTACCTATCGGAGCTAGCGAAGATGGTAGTGTTGTAGTTACCAATGATGGCCACTCGCTTTGTATGTTGCCAACTTAGCTCCTCGTTTCCCAGCGGCTGCTGCTCATGATAGTTGTGAGCCTCCGGAGAGCTGGAGGCAAAGGCGTAGAAGAAGAGTGTAAGGGAAGCGAGAGTGAACGTGGCGAGCACAACGCCCGCTCGTGATTGCACCATGATAGCTTTACTTAAACTCCAAAGAAGAATAAGCTCTTGCGGAGTAGAAATTTCAGAGCTGAACAGAGGGTTTGGTTAAATACTGAAACCTCAGGTGAGTTGGAGTTGAGGGAGGTTGGGAGGCTAGAGGGCATATATGTAGTCGTAAGATATGGTGTATCCGCGTACTCCCGCTGTCTTGCAGCCTCCCGAGTTACTTAGTCAACAGAGGTTACAGGATGATTCACCAAATGGAAGACCAGTGCACCTAATCTTATAATCATTCTACGCCTTACACGTATATCCCCGTAACAGCACCTACAAATCCCCGCTTAGGAAAGGTAAGCGCTAATACAACTGGCGCCTGTGCCAAAGACGCGAAGAGCTTTGCCAAGATAATCCCGCTCTCTCGCGGTCACGTGCTGATGCTAAGCGCACACTTGGACCCCGCCTGCAAACTCTAAAAGCTAAGCTCTCTGGTCAAAGTTGGCCTTAGGAGTAGCCTCATTTGTCCAGGTTATTAATTTGTATATATTATTGTTTGATGATCTACAACACTATATGCTCTGGTGGCCAAGTTGGTAAGGCGCAGCACTAGTAATGCTGAGATCCTCGGTTCAACTCCGAGTCAGAGCATTTTTCACAACCCTTTTACTCATCTTCCCATCGAAACCAAGAACTACAAGTAGATTCTTATCACGCGCATGCTTCTTTTAAAGTAAGATTAGACATATGTTTAATTCAGGTCAAGTCTATTTCACGTCTCCAGTGGATTGCCGCGCGAGGTCGTTTCTCTCGGCAATGATCAATAAGACTACTTTCTACAATACTTTAACGCCCGAACGGGTATTTTTATAAGACGCGATTTTAAAATAGGCTGGCATAAGGCTTGGGTCTCGAGTAGGCCCAAATTTGGCCTGTTTTTGATATAATCGTGACCTTTGCTCAGGACTACACATATATAAGGCTCTAATAAGGCTTTCTCTGGGGGTAAGGCTCTCGAATAGAGAATAATTAGGAAAATCCGTAAGATGAGAGCTCAAAAGAACAGCTTTCTCGAGGTTCTATGGGTTAGGGCTACGAACTTAGCAGATATCAAGCCGTGTCCTCGTATTACTCCTATATATGGCCTCTATCCCTCTACCTCTCTGTCACCTCCGCTCCCTCCATCACCTCCGCTCCCTCTATCACCTCCACTCCCTCTATCACCTCCGTCCCCTCTACTATCCTACACCTCCATCTCGCAATTGTCAGGTTCGATAATAAAACATGGGCTAATCAGCAAATACAGCAGCAACAGCGAATCCAGTAGCACCAAATCGAGCACCAAATTAGCACCAAATTAGCACTAAATCGATGCCCGAATTGACACCAAATCGTCTACTAATTGCACCAAATTAGCACCAAATTGACGTCAAATCAGCACCTAGTTGGCATGTAGGCGTGGAGGTAGGCAGATAGGTAGGCAGGCAGGCAGGCAGGCGCGCAGGTAGGAAACTGACGATAAACATGTACATATTTAATTTAAAATTACGCTTGATTTTCACATGAGATATCACCAATATCAAATCAGTATGAAAATAGGCCTGCAGAGACATCCTGCTTTTCCAATGAATAAACCTAAGTACTTCATAGTAATTCACCGCCCGGATCAAGAACTACGAGTAGAAACAACCAGTAAGTGGTCGCGGCAACTGGCCAGCCTCGCGCAGTATTTTTACGAATGGATACAACATCAAAATACATTCGCCTTGATCGACGGCACGGGAGTTTCACAGCACTTGCCAGAGACAATATGTAACTCAGCAGAACACCCACATTCATGAGCCCAGTAAGCTGCAGGCTCGGGGCAGTGAGTTATCACACGCATTGACCCGGCCGTTGATGGACATCCACACCCTCGGAAGTGAGTTCAATGATCAGCCCTCCGCATATGGGACTGCCGCAAGTCCGCACCCCAGGCTGGTATTCGTTCAGTCAACGCCTCTGACTGATCGATCGCAAATACTATCCTGGCTATGACACAGGCGCGATATTGAGTATCCAGTCTGTGCTAGAGTCTATCAGGGCTTCAGAGATTCCAGGTGATTAATTGGGCCTATACTAAATTTAGCCTTAAAACTACATAGTACTATGTAGGTTACATACTTGTATCTCCTCACGGGACATCTCGGGCAAGGACACCTATGTCAAGTTTGTGCTCTCCATTTGAAACACGCATTAGTACAAGTAGTGAACTAACATTTAATCAGGGGAACTGTAAATTTCCTTATTTATGGTCGTATCAATAATAAAATCCTGTAGTACTGTAATCCGGAAGGGGGTATTAGAGCGTTTTGGCAACGGCTCTATTATAGGAATAAAAATAATTAAGGCTCTGTTCGGACGGACGTCAATACTTACCATGGTATTCACCCCAAGTAGAAAGATGTGTAAGTCAGTGTAGTATTCGAGTATTCGGATGGCCCAAACTATTGGTTTTGATACCATGAATACACCACAAAAATGTACCATGGTTTTAAAAAATACTAACCTCTATAGGTACATTTTATTTCCCGTTGCATGTCTCGTATCTTCATGCCTCTACCCAACAATACCTCAACTCCATCCGAACACTTTTGTATTTGGCGAATACTTGGTTTTATCTCAAAGCATACAAGTATTGTGGGGTGACAAAAGTTCTCGTGATTTTTTACGTGGATGTATCATGGAACAACTATAACTCCACGACTACAAAATATATTCAGGAGACAGCTACGCGACTCGAGAGCTTAAGATTGATAGGAACATACCTCTTAGGTATAATTCCAATTACCGACTTTGTGGATTGGTCTTTTGGAAATTCCCTTGCTGGTTGCTATGCGAAAATCACGAGAACTTTTGTCACCCCACAATACATGTAATGCTACCATGCAACCGGATTTACCACAGTACAGTACGAAAAAAGGGGATGTAATAAGAAGTACTATACCAATACGGAATCGTGCAAAACTTCCAAATTAAATCGGAATCCTAACTATTATACCGTATTAATACTGTAACAATACCGTTAGTAACAATACGGTATTTTTCCAAAGATAGTACTGGATCCACCCGCTTTTTTGGTATTGTATTGAAATGTATAGTTCTTGGACGTAAATCATCGTTGCGAAGCAAAACTACACCAAAAAAAGCCATTTTCAAATCGGCGCAGAACCCACCATTTTAAGATATAGATTATACCAATCAGTAAAGGATAACTTAATAGTTATGAGAATCATCTAGCAGTATTAAATTCCAAAAATAATCATTGTAGTGTGGATAGTAGAGTATTTTGTTCTGTTGTTCTCAGAAAACGTGCCAAGACCTCGAATCTGTATGGGTCTTGGCCAAATCCCAAGATTTGTGAATTCAAAGCCATATAACTCCCCAAATATTTGATGAAAAGAATTATAGCTTAGAATATATGTTCTTCTAAAGTGTATCTTGCTATCCTGAAAGTTTCGTGGTGTTTAGATAACAATTGAACCTTAGGGAGGTGGCCAGTTTTAGCCAGTTTTGGTGTGTTTTGGCGCGAAAACGATGATTTACGTCCACGCGCTGTACATACCACGTCTGTCCGAACAGAGCCTAAAGTATGCGTACGTTAGCCAACTTATTAAAACACAACACGAAGAAAAAAATCCTCTTCCAAATTCAGGTTATATAAACCCTCTATGAGGCTTATATCTGCACGCATTTTCACAGCAATGTACTCTGGTGAAAGGATTAAGCCTAGAGATTTCTCTAGTCAGTATACCACCAGTTAGCCATTAAAATAAGGATATTTAAATTTTTGGTGGGCTCAACACAAGCTCGGCTGGTCTAGTGGTATGATTCTCGCTTAGGGTCGCACCCTAAGTTAATATGCGAGAGGTCCCCGGTTCAAACCCGGGGTCGAGCCTGATTTAGTACAGGACATTGTTCTGTCTTTTTTATTTTTTATTTTATCTAATTTTGGTTACTGAGTTCAAGGGCAGGAAACTCTGTTGGGAAGAGCTTGTGGAGAGGACGAGGAAAAGAAAATATAAACCGTCAATGATGAGGATTGGCTCAACAAGCCAGCGGAGTAAAGAGAAAGAGTAAGTATTGATCGCACCAGGGGTCGAACCTGGAATCTCTTGATATCGGATGTGAATCGTAGTCAAGCGCCTTGCCATTGGGCCATGCGACCTTGTTCCAATGCCTGTGGAATGCAAACAAATCCCTTTTAAAGTGTGTTGTGGTGGAGCAAAACGGGCTTATGACCTAGTCTAGAATCTGTTTTAGCGGGAAGTGCGGGAGTGGCGGATAGCGGAGAAGTCTGTGGAAACCGCCGACTATCGTGTCTCGGTGGCTTAGCCGGCCTCCAGACTCGGTATCGAGGGATCAATAATGGTGTGGAACTGCTAGTGCATAGGATGGTTGGAAGAAAGAGCTTGTGGGGGGAAGTCATCGGACCACAAAAAAAACGAGAATAGCCACTAGCTCCATGTGTCGTGTTACAAACTTACCAACGTCTTGAACCCAAGGCCTCGACCAAAGACCCAGACCGGAAATAGTAACTGTTTATCAACGGAAACAAACCCTCAATCTTTTGGCGCCCTTGTGTTGAAGGCCAATACTGAGTTTTGCGTTTGTCGAGGAGTCATAAGCTCTCACTCGATATTGATAACCTTCCGCTTTCTTCTTTCATGGCGGGCCTAGGATTCTAGAGGAAATCGGATTCGCCAAAGAATATATCCGGAGTGAAGGACTGAAAGCATTGAGAGTTACTAACGGAGTAGTGGCCTCCAACTCTGATACGCGCATAAGTGGGGGCATGCCTTTCGCGGTAGACCCTGAGGCTTATCGATAAGGGTCTATGTGATATCTCCAATCTTATCTTATCGCCATGCAGTCTAACTACATGCATCAAAAAAGTATCTAAGGATCTATGGCCAGATACGGCATTTCATAAATCCATCGGAGAGGTGTGCTTCGCGTAGAGATTAAAGAAACCAGGGGACTGAAATACTCATCTGATTCCATCTGAACAGACGAAGGGATGAGTACTCTGGTTGGGCTATAACCTTATCGGGGAATGATCGGACGTGATGGTGGGGGTTTTTGGGTGTAATTTTTTTCCGTTAGTTTTTTCTTTTTCTAACTCTGCCCCTCCCCCGCGCAATTTTTTTCTTTCGGTTTTTTTTTTAGCTCATCAATACACAACAAAACCCCGACGAATTCCCTCATCAACTCGAAATCCATCCATCATCACTACGATTTTTTGTATTCTTTCGTCGACACAGAAAATCCATCTCAAAATGACTGAAATTAACTCTGCCTATGCCCTCTCTCAGGCTCACAAGGAGGTACGCAATCAATTGTAATGGTTTATCAAGTCGGTGCATAATGACTCACGTCATCTACAGCTCATTGAGACTTCTCTCCGCGACAGTGACCCTGAGGTCCAGAAGATCATGGTTTGTTATCTCATCTCATCTCATCTCATCTCACCTCAATTGCTAAAAACCCTATAGGACCTCGAGATTCAGCGTCAGCGCGAGTCTATCCTCTTGATTGCCTCAGAGAACGTCACCTCCCGCGCTGTCTACGATGCTCTCGGCTCCCCCATGTCCAACAAGTACTCTGAGGGATACCCCGGTGCCCGTTACTATGGTGGTAACGAGCACATCGACTCGATCGAGACTCTCTGCCAGCAGCGTGCTCTCCAGGCGTTCCACCTCGACACTGAGAAGTGGGGTGTCAACGTTCAGTGTTTGTCTGGATCTCCTGCAAACTTGCAGGTGTACCAGGCTATCATGAAACCCCATGACCGTCTTATGGGTCTTGACCTTCCCCACGGTGGTCATTTGTCTCACGGATACCAGACCGCTACCAAGAAGATTTCAGCTGTCTCAACTTACTTCGAGACCATGCCCTACCGTGTTGACCCTGCAACCGGTATCATTGACTATGACATGCTCGAGAAGACTGCCGTTCTCTACCGCCCCAAGACTCTCGTTGCCGGTACCTCCGCATACTGCCGCAACATTGACTACGCTCGCATGCGCAAGATCGCTGACCTCGTCGGCGCCTACCTTGTGGTTGATATGGCTCATATCTCTGGTCTCGTTGCCTCGGAGGTTATTCCTTCTCCTTTCCTCCACGCTGATATTGTCACCACCACTACCCACAAGTCTCTCCGTGGTCCCCGTGGTGCTATGATCTTCTTTAGGAAGGGATTGAGAAGCGTCGACAAGAAGGGCAAGGAGACCTACTATGACTTGGAGAACCCGATTAACTTCTCGTATGTCGCCTCCCATTCATTTACACTTTGAATTTCGCTAACCTTTTATAGCGTCTTCCCTGGTCACCAAGGTGGTCCCCACAACCACACCATCACTGCTCTTGCTGTTGCTCTCAAGCAGACCTTCTCCCCCGAGTACAAGTTCTACCAGCAGCAGGTCATTGCCAACGCAAAGACACTTGAGGAGGAGTTCTGCCGCATGGGGTACAACCTCGTCTCTGGTGGAACTGACTGCCACATGGTTCTGCTCGACCTTAAGTCCGTTTCTCTTGACGGTGCCCGTCTCGAGGCTATCCTCGAGGCTGTGAACATTGCCTGCAACAAGAACGCTACCCCCGGTGATGTTTCAGCTCTTTCACCCTCTGGTATCCGTGTCGGTACTCCCGCCATGACCACCCGTGGTTTCGGTACCGAGGAGTTCAAGCGTGTTGCTCAGTACTTCGACACCCTCATCAAGCTCGCCAAGAAGATCCAGTCAGAGCTTCCAAAGGAGGCCAACAAGCAGAAGGACTTCCGCAAGTATGTTCTCTCTGGACAGGTTCCAGAGCTCAACGAGATGAAGAAGGAGATCGCCGCGTGGGCATCTACCTTTCCTCTTCCCGTTGGTCCTGCCTCATAGATCACCTGTGCCTAAGGCTTAATTTCCTTTGTAATTCTATTTTCTTTTTGTTTGGGTCTTGGGGGGAAAAAGTGCTTCAACTCACAAGTGGTCTTTATTTTGTGCTGTCTTGAAATTTTATCTTGTAGCTCAACGCTAGGAGTTTGTCATTGGTTTGGTTTATGTATAAGAATCAAAAAATTGTTTTAAGACACCAGATTCTGAGCTTATTGTTTTCAAACTCGCATGTATTGTGACTCATAATCATGATGGGGTCCTTATTTTGGCAACCGCCAACTTTGGAAACTGCGCCTAAGCCATAAATCTGTTGATTCTTCCTCCATGAATGAAATTATTGGTAGAGATAAGAGCTTTAAACACACCTAAAAAGATGGTCGGAGTAAAAAAAACTTCATAGATAGGGCATTCTAGCTCCGGTCTTGACAATATTGGATGGTTATGACCCTAAGCTTCAGAAGATTCAGAATCAGATATCAGATACTGTAAATGATCGCACCAGGGGTCGAACCTGGAATCTCTTGATATCGATGGTGATCGTAGTCAAGCGCCTTGCCATTGGGCCATGCGACCGCTGATAGAAGGTTGTGGGTATGGTTAATCAAGGGAATATGTCGAGGCTTAATTCGTCGAGTAACATCTGCATGCGTCTGCTTATGTATAGATCAAAGACGAAAGAAGCGGTAGTGGGAGGAGAATGTTTCTGAGAACGTTGTAGAGAAGTTTATAAAAGCTGTGGGTGGTGAGGCCACGGGGGAGGAGGAGGAGGAGGAGGAGGAGGAGGGTGCAGGTGTACAACACAAAAGGTTGTTGCTGAGTTGAGAATGTATCGATGTCTGATCAGCATGGCTTTCAAACAAACAAAAATCGAAAATAAACGACGTCCAAATAGCGTACCCACTCTCCTCCTCCTCCTCCCTCCCCCTCCCCCTCCTCCCTCCCCCTCCTCCTCCTCCCTCCCCCTCCTCCTCCTTTCTACTCATCTATCCTCAACAGGCCCGAATGTATGATATCATGTAGGTGTTGGTTCAATCTGTACTTGTTACATTGTATGATGTACTTGTAGTTCTGGCATGTGGTAGACGACAACGCGCCAAAACGAGCAAAGGAAAACATATAAACGAAGAGGAAGAGAAGGAAGAATGTGAAAGAGAGTGAAAGAGAGTGAAAGTATATGTAATTTGTGGATTCTGGTTCATGTATAAATAAGGTTCCATTTAGTACGTACACCATGAGAGTCCCATTTCCTCCCCACACCCGAACACTTAATTTTGGCACTCTAGTTTATATTGGCAACACGATCCAGGACCCGCAGTACTAATGGCTCGGGTCAGTAGGTCAATGATCGGAATGCAAGATATTTTTCTGCCAAGGCAATGAAAAGAAAATACAGGGGCAATAACCACAATACCAGCGGAAAAATAGTTCAAAAAGTACTATTTATTACCTCATTAAATATATCTTTCCATTTTCTAACTTTAACCTCTGAAAGTCTTTGCCCCCTAAACTCTAAATCTAACGAACTAAAGGCCAATAGCATCTTTCCGGAAGTATTCCCGATAGCCTTAATCAAAACTGATTAAATAGACAGTCTTATACATTGCATAGGTTAAGATCCATGAACAGCCATACAATAGTCGGTACTATCTTAAGGTCTGGCACAGGAATTTTAGCATCACGGGCGATCACTCGTTATTCAGTAATCCGAAATCTGGTTAGCTCAATTGTTTTATAGTGAGATAATATCCATTCACGTTTCCGGTTGCTTATGAGCCTAGTACTACTTGTTCTGGGCTATGTTAATCATACGTATCTAGTCACGTGTAGCCATTCTCTAAAAGCGGTAGTGATTCGCAACCTGAAAATTTGATCATCTGTCTCAGCCGTGTATTCTTAAAGAACGCCTGTAGCTACCTATTTTCTCAGCGTACTGTAAATCAGGCCCCTTAAAGCAGTACTAACCGTAAGGCGCACCCAGGTTGCCCCCAGCCTCTCTCCCAGCTGTCAAGTGATATCCCCCTCAAGCTCGCACTGGAGTAACCTCCCGCGGCTATGCACGTGGGTGGTCATATGCTGTTGTAGAACTATCATCCAAAAACCACTCCCGACCACATCAAAGAACACAACATCTGACGCAGTCATCGTCATGAGACAAAAATCTTCCTAGAAATCCCATAGCTCTACATCTAGGTCTCTTAAGACTAAAATATCTTATAATTATCTCTTAAGACTAGTAATAACCACAAAATATATTTATCACGATAGGCAATTAAGGCGAGTGATATCGTATGATTGAGATTTGATATGTATCTACACGCACGCCTCCCTCCCGCGACTAGAACCTCTAACGCATAGATATTTATATAATAAGATGATTGATATGCATATATGAACTAAGAACGATTCACAAAATGATTGTCTAAGGACTGCCCATGAACCCGTATTTATATTAACACACACACACACACACATGCAAACCCCAGGAGATCCCAGGCAGGTGAAAAGAAGCTTAGTATATTAAAAGCGTATAACTACCTTCTTATACAACACTATGACCTTCACTGCACATTCCCGTATATTCTCCATGATAATATAACCCCCTTATAGCCCTGAAAAAGAAAAACACACTATTTTCTCCTATGGCGATTGGCTTTCGGACTTATGCCTTTGTATAGCTATAGTAGATTAGTGATCGTGAACTAAGCATGAGATGGAGGTGCAGTAAAGAATTTGACACTCATTACTGGCTAGGATTTATGGTGGCAAATCCAGATAACCCTAGCCCTGTTACTATTGCATAAATGCTTTTTTTAAGGGTGTGTGCTCAGACACAAGTTTATGGGTTACCGGGTATAAGCAAATTAGACGTTATTCTTTGTTATTCTAATATACCACAACCCCCGACCACCTTTATCTTTACTAGTAGTACTCTCTGTGTAATACATATATCACATGCCACGGAACAAATTTCATGAGTTAATAATATGAGAGGCCCTGTGAGGTTCGGTCCCAAAGTCATGTTCTGTCATGATCTAAGTAAAACCGCTTATGGTTCGCATCTTAATGAAGGTCACTATATATTTGGTATTATACTACTATGGACGTCGTAAAGGTTAAACTAGCACTGTGTATCACACGAGAGAATGATGGGTTAAGATACTTTGTAAACAATCATCGTAGGGCTTCCTAATCACGCCAAGTTTCGATTCCCGTATCGTTATCTAATACACGAAAACCTTGAAAATATCTTTACACTGAAAGAAGTTGCCACTCAAAATACTTACGCTGTGAATGTCCTAGTCTACCCTTTGCCACGGTATCCCTGATTGACAGGTACTAGGTCTACAATTCACCTAGTGGTAGGCCCTGAGGACGTTAAGATAAAATGTGGCTTAACAACACTACTGTCAACAGGGTCACTTTTGCTTTTCTTTGCTCGGTTGAGGTTAGAAGGCGTTTTCGTAGGGAAGACCCTTCGCCACTTCTTATTGAGGTCATTTTCATTATTCCCAGTTTGGTTGCAAGGCAGACGCTGGCGACCCCCATTGTGGGTACGTCGAGTGATGGCTCATGATTAACTACATCAAAAGGAATCACGCCATTCTAAATCGGGAACATAGTGCTCGATCGAGATCAAGACTAATTATCGACTAGTCTACAAAAGTCACAGCCACGGCCCGTCCGCCGGTCAGCCACAAGCTGCGGCTACTACTCGGGTAGTGACACATGCCAATCAGATAAGATCCTGCAAGTTGATGATAAACCAGGTTTCCTACTCGTTTCTAGAAACATTTGTCTCCCTTCTCTCATGCATGATTACTCTGCGCGGATCATCATCAGCAGGAGCATCGGCATACCATGATCTTCTCCCTGCCGGTCGGTCCCAAGAAAACATACGAGCGAAAAAGAAAAAAATCGTTATTGTCTTACAAATGGAAGCCTCCATCGGAAAGCTGTTGATGATTACAGTATTCCGCATCCATCGGGTTAAACGGTAAATCTATACAAAGAGTCGAGCGCTCCGATCAGTCACTCTACTCTACTGGAAATCATGCTTGAATTGCTCCCGGCGGACATCCTCCCGTAACGTTTCCCAACAATAATCGTGAGAGCATAGGAGGGGGTGAAAAGAGGAATTGCTTTTTTTCTTTTTTCTTTTTTTTTCTTCGTTTTTACCGGGGATACGTTACTTGCTCGTGAAGCGAGGGAGAGGGAAAAAAAAACGAACGGATAAAAAAAAAAAAAAAAAGAGATCATTGTCAACTAGTGGATACGTATGTACCTACCGGCAAGTACCTACTAATTATCCAAGTGTCGCTTGCTCCAGTGGGACATGCCGGTAGGGCGAAAACACCAAAGATTAGTTACATACCAAATTTCAAAACCTCGATAAATCCTCAAACCTCCGATCGAGAATCACAACCGGAAACGTACCCCTAACCCCCCAACCCCCAGCACCCCCTCCCAGACGCTTTCAACAACCCTGAGCAACACCCCTTACCCACATAACCCCGGAATTTCGCTCTGAGCGTTTCCCCTACTAGGCATGTCCCCATATTCCAATTCAGGGTCCCCCATTTTATCCCCGCGCTCCAATGGGATCAACGAGATGATATGACGTCCAACTCTACTCTAACCACGTGGGTGCAGGTCTCATCGATCGATCTCAGATCTTGAGCCCCATCGATGGACACATTTTCCAGCCTGGGAAAAAGAGCGGAGCAAACAGGATAAGCCAGGTGGCGACAACACCGAGTAGGTACTCTACCATACCGAACCAAGCGCGTTAAAAGTCACTGGACATGATAAGGAAACATGACAAACAAGAAAGATGCGCGGCTAAACACAAGGAGGAGAGAAAGAGAGCGACATCACTGGCAGAGATCCAGGTAGATGAATTGAGGACCAATGAATCGGAATCCGAGGTGCGATATCAGGTACATTCAAACGATGGCTGGTGACTCGCTCATAAGCATCAAGCAGTGCCAGGGAAGGAAAGAGGAATAAACGAAGGCAGGAACAACAAGCAGTAGCAGTAGCAGCAGCGCAGAGCAGCAGCATCAACTACGCAATCAATCTCGAGAACTGTCGATGTTTGCTTTTTTTTGGTGATGTGAGTGAGCGTGGGTGAGTGTATTCCTGCTTATTTGCGTTGACCGACATATCTACCTACTCTAGACCAGTGAGTATACGCGCACCGTGCCAATGTGATTATAGGCGCTAGTTCTGTGCGTACATATATGTACCTAAACACACGTATCGAAACGGAGTAATTGTTCGATACAGTAGAGTCGAGAGATCCGCTGTGACTGTTGTTAGATTAAACCTGAGTGAGCCTACATGGCAGTAGGCGTGTCCACGGTACTTATTGCACTGACTCCCCTCACACTACTAGGACTGGGCTGGGCTGGGGTTAAGGAAGGCTACTCCTAGCCTTCCCGACCCTAGACCTCACCCCAGACCTAATTGAAATCCTTAAGAAGGGGCTTAAGTTGCTATGCTACTAGCGAACTAGGTGAGTGAGTAGCTGAACGAACGTGTGCCAACGATCGAATCGAACGTGATCGGATCGAATCGAACAATTTCAAAGCTAAAACAAGACTGTGCTCAACCAAATCTCCCATTCCTATTCTTGTTTCCCCTCAGATAAATAAATATCTATATATATCCAAGCATCCCCCCCCCCCTCGCCTTCTCCTCCCTGGGGGGAGAGGAAATGGGGGGAGAGGAAATTAGAGTAGAACAGAAGTGTGGAAAATCGATTTCCTTCTCGAGATTACTATGTACTACATATCGTGATGACCCTCGAAGTGAGCAAGAAAAAAACATGGTTAACTCCAACACCCCCTGGCACCCAACCCCCGACATGATATGCGAAAGAGATAATGAAAAGAGACCCATGAAGCTCCAGGCATAAAAGAAAAACTCCCCCATCAAATTCCATCATGTATGCGGGCTACTTACTAATAATAGAGCCCTTAAACAACAAAAATGCGCCTTCATGAGCCTCTTTTATATAAATTTATCCAAGAGAAATAGAAATAAAATAGAAATAGATAAATAGAGAAAACCCAGAAACCGTGAAACCAACCCAGACAGGACAAATTCATAAAGCTAATAGCTAATGGGTATGAAATAAAACAAAAACATGCAATGCAAGATATATAAAGAATAGGAAAAGAAAAAAAAAAGGAAAAAAAACTCCTAAAACGCTCCGAAGACACCCCATGATATCAAATCAAAGCATGAAAATAAAAATAAACAGGACAGAACAAGAAATCCTTCGCTAAAACCCCCCAACAAACAATTCCAAAATCCAGACACGCTAAAATAGGCAGCCAAAAACTTTGTACTCAAAAACCAAAATCAACAAGAAACAAATTCTTTCAGTAATCGTCATCCAACGTGATGCCCTTCTCACTCTTCCTAGCCTTGCGGACAAGCCCGGTAGCGCTTTCCGATGACGAGGTTCCAGAGCAACGTCCCCTCTTCAGTGTTGGCCTATCATCCAACATCCCAAAACCATCCTCTTCGTCATCCCCAGCCGAGGATGAGAATTGATCTCCACTTGTTCCACTGTCCGGACTATCAGCCCAGTCATCTCCACCCAAATCCATGATGCCCATTGTCGGTGGTTGGATCATATTGGCCTCGTTAACGGGAACTACTGCAGGGCTTGAGTAACCACTAGCGTCACCAGCGGTAGCGGCAGATGAACCAGCCTCGCCAGATTCGGTCCTGGGTACTGCAGGTCGGTAGATTTTCATTCCGTTGGCGGCAAGGATGTCATGGCTCAGGTCATCTTCATCGTCACCTGAGTTGCTATAACAGTTGGTATTGCTTGCACGCCCCAACATTGCGCGAAGATAAGAACCTTCTGAGCTCGAAGAGAGAGGATCGGCACCGGAATCTGTATCAACGGAAGAGGTTTCATCTGAAGGTGCCCAACACCCGTAGCTGGCAGGAGGAAGTTGCGAAGGTTCAAGCCTTAGTATGTGTGCCGACACAAGCTCGGGGTTCATGAGCTTATGACGATGGAGTTTTCGGCGGGTGTTTTTGGTAACGGCTGGTTCCGAAGATTCCGAATCCGAGTCTGCTGAATCATCGGCATCTGATTCGGCAGAGCGCTCGTCTCCAGAATCTACAATCGAGTTGCTCTCGTCCTCGGATCCCTCATCGGATGACTCCTCACCCGATTCGGTCAAGTTCTCGTTCTGTTGGAAAACATCGATCGACGATTTCGGGATTGAATGCGAGATCTTCCTCAGAATTCTCGATTTGGACAACTTCTTCCTTGAACAAGGCAGTGCACCGTTGGCATTTTGCGGGAGCAAAAAATGCCTCTTTTGCACGTTAATTGCAAAGTTGTCATCCGGAAGCACTCCACCGATTCCAGAGACCTCCAACTCTATTGGCGGAGGGGGGGTATGGGTGATACACGAAGAAAATTGCGGTGAAAATTGAAGTCCCACATCAATGTCAGAATCGATATTCATAGAATCATTGTCCGAGGGCATTGACGGTGGCGTGTCCTTTGAGAATAGCGGGCTTTCCCTTTTGGTGTTTGGGCTTGATGGCACGTGTGTCGGCCTTTCTCCAATTGGGTTGTTTGTGAATCTCTCGTATGGGAATCCCGTGAGATATTTGCCATCTCTCACAACTTGAGTAGTCAGGTCCGTGCAGAATTTTCCGCCCTCGTAGTAGATGATTGGCCCGTCCAGGGGAGTTGTCTTTTTTGTCACACTAGTCATACCCCCCTCATCTGAACTTCCACGTGGGTAAGATCCCATTGAGGTACTGAGTGTGCTGGAAGTGTCGTCGTCAAAGGATTGAGATTGGGCAAACATGGGTTTGTAGTGAAATTTGTCGCTCATGCTTTGCGGAGAAAGTGCTGGGAGTCTTCGGCTTGATGAGCTCGCTCTTCCTCGTGATCCGGATTTTGACTTTGGGTCAATTGACATGGGGTTTCCATCCGAATCATTTGGTGATCTTTTCCTCATACCATCCCAGTCTTCAGGACTTCCATCACTAGTGATACTCGCACTGTCAACACCACTCCCCGATGAACTCTCACTGCTCAACCTTGTACCCTCCAGACCGCCTCTCCACCGTACCATCTTCCCATCCATAGACAATTCCAACTTATCACTAGTAGCCATGATAGCCTTCTTGACGAACGGAACAGTGACGCTGATGGTGTGCAATTGTGCCATGTTGATTATCAAATTCAAGTAAAACCATCCATCTCCCAATCCCTCGGCTCTGGTTCCTACCACCGCGCTGTGTGTCAGATTGGAAAGATACTCAATGTTGTCTTCAGCCTTTGTCAGACGCTTGGGATCGAGGTCTTTAGGCCTGGTGGGACGTTGGTCCGTAACCGCGTCCGATCCGATAGCGTGTGGTTCTGACTGCGAGACAACTATAGGTTCAACGAATTCAGCTGCCTGTCTATCTTGAAGGGGATTCATCATCGAGGCTGTTCGCGCACCCTCCTCGGGTATGACGTTCCCAACGTTTGAACCAGAACGATCAGAATTGGTGCTTTCTGGAGTGGATCCAGAGTTCTTTGACTTATAGCCGGTGAATAGTTGCTCGAGCTTCCGTACGACCTCCTTCATCTTTGCCCTTTCTGAAGTAGGTGGTGCTAGTGGAGAGGAAGACATTACGCTACCACCAGACATCTTGTCACTTGCCGATGAGGAGCGAGCGACATGAGACTTTGTCTTGACATGGGATGATGGTGCAACCGATGTGGTCCCAGACCGTGAGTTGGAAGCATATGCAGAGTCGGCAATGTTAAGTGATGAAGTGGAAGGGTTTATTGAGGGTAAGCTAGGGCTCAAAGAAGTCTCCGGAGATTTCTTTGATGATGAGACGGGTGATTGATCGCTGTCAAGAGTTGAAGCGAATCCCTGTAGTAAACGTTCAAGCTCCTGCTTCTTGTGTCTAATAAAGGTATTAGTAACCGTAAATGGTAGACGTGGGGGTGAAGCGAAGGGTCGTACAATGGCAGTCCATGCATTCGGACCTCGAACAACTTCTCTTCGGCCAAACCACCGCCATGGAGACCTTCGAGTTTCTTTAGACGCTTCTTGAGTTTTTGGTCTAAGTAAACAAACAAACATGTTAGCACTTGTGTCATGTTAGGTGTGGTTAGTATCGTTACATACTCTTGATGGTGAGGTCATCAATGACGCTTCGGAAGCTATCGCTGTTGCTTTCCTCTGTACTGTCGATGAGTCCTATCGAACCGGCAGGATGAAGACGCTTCATACCAGCTCTTGAACTTCTATTTGGATACATTCTGTTAAGACGGGAGTATCGAGAAATACTGCCGACGGCGCTCTTCTTGTAGGCATTATTTGGGAGGTAGTAAGGAGGATCGTCTATTACACAAAAAAAAATATAACCGTCAGCATCAAATCGTCGTTTGAATCGAGAAAACCCCTGCCAAGACGCTATTCCGAAATGAAGGATCGTATCGTACCATCTAGTTGAGCATAATTATTTCCTCCAACATCACGATTAAAAGTGTTGAACCAATCTTCCGAACCACTATTGTGAGCCCCGCTATCTGCGATGCTTTCCAGGTCGATCTCACCTGAGGCCGATTCGGCTCCGTCACCGGCTCCCGAGGCCGCACTCCCTCCAGAGGACCCAAATTTCCACCCGAGCATGGCCTCGTCTCTCGGGTCTTCAGGTGGAGGACTTGGAAACATCGAAGCGTCGCCACTTGTGAAACCACTGTCTCCGTGATGTGTAGGTTGAGGCCTTCCGTCTCTTGTGAACTGTTGCTGTTGCTGCTCTTGATCAAACATTCCCGCCATATTGTTGTTTCCTCTCTCTCTTTTCCTTGAAGGTATTGATTCTATGCCAGGTAGGTGTGGTGGTATGTGTGTTGTGGTAGTTGTGTATTCCATAGGGCCTTGATGTTGATGCCTTAGGGAATTTGAATCTTCAAGTGCCGTTCGGCGTTGATGTCGATGATGATTGTCTTGCATAGAAGAAGGAGGAGAAGCAAGAGCAGAATTAGAGGACGGTCTGACGGGCAATTGCTGATGGGAGGAGGAGTCGAGGTCGTGTCTCAGGTGTGTGCGGCCAGGATCGGGTTGGGAGGGTTGTTGCTGTTGAGTGGACATAATTGGTAACATGCTTTCTTGGTGATGGGATCTTGAATTGGTATGGTGATCGAAGTTTATGTGAAGTTCCGGCTGACCGGTGTTGATCGAGTAGTCATCGTCGGCTTCGTATTGAGCCAGAGTTAACGCTTTGTACTGAGAGGAAGAATGTTCCTCCAGATTTATGCCCGGGGCAGCCGTTTTTATTTCTTTGTGGAGAAATACCGCTGGGCGCCTTTTGCTTTAATTTATTTTCACGTGGTTACTGAAGGAAGAATATGGAACAGCAAAAGACAGGTGTTTTTGAAGTATGGTGATGATAAACGGTCAGCGTGATGAGGGGCTCAGGATCTTTTTTTTCTCTCTTAGCTAAGAAAGACTTTCGGGGTTTACTGTTCACTGTTGTGTTGGGGGGGGAAATATTTGTAGATTGATCGCGGTGGCGGGCGATCGAGGGGGAGAAGTAGGCAAGGAGCCACGCCGTTGATAGATATCTTGAAGTAGGTAGGGTCTGCTGCGTCTGCTGCGTCTGCGTGTGTGTCTCAAGATCTGGTCGGGCCAGAGGCAGAACCAAGCGAGTCCTTTTTTTATTTGACTAGCCTAGAAGATAATGGTATGTAGGTAGGGATAGCGGAGGGTGTGTTGGTAGAGCGTATGGGTAAATTTGGTGTGGAGTGAGTGATAGTAGGTAAGGTTGTTAGGGATTATTTGGGGGGGTGGCAGATTTGCTGCAAGGTGCTTTGCGTGGGGAGCGGGCGGATTCAAAACTGGTAGAACGGGGAACAGGGACAGAAAGACGGTGAATGGGTACTGGGAACACAAGAAGGGGGAAACCTCGGGGTGAGGGAGGGGGGTGGCTGTAGCAGAGAAACAAATGAGGTGAAATAATAAGCTATGTAGAGAGGGTCGTGTTCTGTATCTATGCGGTGTTCGTGTTCGATATAAATCCGAGTGGTTTTTTCTCTTTGGACGGATGAGGCTTCTAGCCAGTGGGATCTTTGAATTGGGGTTTTCTTTATTTTATTTTTCCCTCCTTGCCTGACTTCTTTTGGTGAAATATGTTTTATTTTCTTATTTTTCTTTGATGACAGCTGTAGTTCCTGATGGTCACGTACTTATTATTTTGCTCTTGCAGCAGTGCCTGAGTTGTTTGTGCTTGTGCTTAAGATGCAGTTTGGGGCTTATGAAGATCAAGGGGAGGGGCAAGGCTTTGAAATGAGTACGGTGAGTGAGTATACGTGAATGAATGGGCAAGGGGAGGGGTTAGATGAAATTTTGTTTCTGCAGAGTTTCTGTTGTTCAGTTGTTTTCTGCTGGTTCTATTTGATTTAGCGTGCAGCGCGTTTTGCAGCATTCCAGTCAGTGAGGAGTATAATGCTTCCTGCTCTTCTGGCGGTGTTTGTTGTTATTGTTTCTGCTGACGACCTATGATGCCGATGTCAATCTCGTGGGTACGTACAGACCGCAGTATGCTAGTAGGTATGTCCGTGTGTACGTACATACGCAGTCAGTCGAAAGTGCTGTTTCTAGAGCAGGTATGGTATTATGTAGCTAGCTGCTAACTAGGCTCCAGGCGCTGCTGCTCCTCCGGAGGTCTAGGCTGTATGCGATAAAATTAATAGTGCTCTAGAGAGCACAAGCAAGCGGACGCTGATTTGATCGAATCGGCAACTCGATGAATCAACAGTTAGAACGAACTAATCGAGGGAGATCTATTGATGAGACGACACGGACGAGTGCTTTGCTGTAATATTGTGTTTCCGGGGGCTGATCGCCTTGGGTCCTGGGAGGCAGGCACGCTGCTGTGGCTGCTGGCTGATGTCGTTCTGCTGCTCGGGGCCGGGGCCAGTGGTGGTACTGGTCTCCTGTTCTGACGAGTCCATGGATCCAACAAGCAAGTCCACCTCTCTCCTCTGATCCCATCTGAGTGACTCTGCCCTGATCCACCGAACCGTTGCAGTGTTGTGCGCTGCTGCTGCTGGTGCTGCTGGTGGTGGTACCTCCTGCCTGCCATTCCGCCCATCTATCTGCCCTTGTTGCTGCCATCTCGTTCGCAAGACTCTCCCGGGTCCTTGCCAGAGTATTGTGCGATCTCGATGTTCCGCGACATTGCCTGCCCCCCCCCCTTCCGTTAGATTACCACCATAGAATCGATGCCAAGTCGCCAAGTCGCCAAGTCGCCAAGAATGTAGCGTAAATCGAGCATACTAAGACATCTGAGAACCGGGAGCGTTACGGTCAACAGGGTCTCACATCATCCTTCCACCTGCAAAGCATTCACCTCCTCCGCATCCAACCTCCCCTTGTCGACTTCATTAACCCCACCATGTGAATCCATCGAATCCACCCCACTAAAACAGCCTTGGTGACCCCCATTCTCAAATACCAAAACCCCCAAAGTGATCCCCTGGGCCTGCATGTAGAGTACATACCTCCTATTCTATTCTTGGACACGCGTTATCGCTCTTGTCTGTCTCTTTCTTGCCCGTAAAGTAACCCTGAAGAGCCCCACGGACCACACACCCACTCACTCCTCTTTCCCCGATAAACTCAAAATTGTGAACCACGCAGCAAGGCGTGGGAACTTGTGGACCCTGAGGTGCGCAAGCATGCTCGATAGGGAAATGGGAGCGAAGCTCTCCCCCTTCTCCGGAGGTATGTAAGATGCCGGCTGTCAAAAGCAATCCTCAAACTCTACAAATTGCGTTCCTGGTAGAACCAGACCCCCAAATCTTATTTGTCAATGATCGATTGACCAGCCTAGGCATGTCAGGGTCCAAATGTTTACAGGACCCTTGGGGCTAGGGGTGGATCACTAGACTTGCTTTTGTTCATTAGCTTCCATGTGGAGGGTTGGTAGGCATCCACTTTTGGCCCACGCTAACTACTAAAGAAAAGCAACTCTAGCAATTCACCCCTAGCCCCAAGGTCCCGTCTGGACTCCCATTTGGATCTTGACGGGCTTGGGTTGGCTGACAGGTTAATCATTGACAAACAAGAGTTGGAGTTTGGACTGTTTTACTAGGAATATACCGGTAGGTAAACCACAACTCCCAGAGCATGAGTATTCAGGCACCGTTCTTTGGCCTACACAAATGAAAACGCCGCAAACATCTACCGCGCGTGCCGGTACCTATGATGAAAGCAATAATCTCATCAACTCAAAATCATGAGGTAAGTACTCTACCCTACTATGCACCGCGAAGGGCATTAGAGAAGAGAAGAGAAGAGAAAATAGAAACGAAACGCGCAAATTAAAAAAGCGCTCATCCAAAGAGGATAAGCGTGCGCTCTCTCCGAGATCTCGTTCTCATCGGTGCCAGATAGATAAAGTAAAACAAGTCCCCCCAGCCAGGCTCCAAAGAAAGGCAGAGAAAACACTCTACGAGTCGGTCGGCTCAAGCCGTCGGAACCCAAGCCAACCTTGCTAGGGAGGAGAGGGGGAGGGGAGGGTCACGGTCCGACAGACAGCAACATAAAAAAACGATCGAGATTCAGCAGTGAGTCGAAAGTGGGAAAATAGAGTGGCCCGCAACGTTACTAGCCTGCCAGCCCTTGTCCCTGCTCTCGCGTATCCTCAACAGTGGGAACGGCGACCGATTGATTTGCACGCAGCGCACGAGTTGTGGCCGTGGCCCTCGTGTGGCAGTACATCGGACACATGCTATGCGGATTAGGCAGAGGGATTCAAATAATCAATTGTTTCCTGATTCTGATCGAGATCCCCATCTCTGACAGCGAAATCGACCCAAATCGGTTTTCAACCCCAGCAAAGGAAGCGTGGCCAACTGTAAAATGATTATGACCCATACGGTAGAAGACCCATAGAGGATTATTACCCTCTGTGGTAAGAATATCATCTACGCGTACGGCAAAAAAAGGAAGTGGAGGGAGCGGAAGGGCAAAACCACGCACAAGTTTCCGCCCGTCGGTCTGTATGTCGACGGGGTCGGTTGCTCGGGGTGGTCGCTTCCTTTTCCTCGCGAAGCTCATACGTCGCCTGTGCAACCGAAATCAGGATAGACGGATTTGAAGCCATAGATTCGACGGGCGTGCAAATCGTCGATGTCTCGCCGACCATGCCTGCCCGGGTCACCAGAGCGCAGCTGGCAAGCAGACTAGCAGGCTGGTAGCCAGCGAGCGAGCGAACCTGTTGGAGATTAAGAAACCGTTAGAGCGGACAAACGTGGGGTGGTCAGCCAGCCAGCCAGCCTGTTGAAATAGAACTTCTCGATGCTCACCTTAAGCTGCGATCCCCACAACCCCAAGCTGCTGCTGGGAGCGCCAAAAGAAACCTCCGATGCGTTGATTGACCTCCCTTAGGAAACGGGGTACGATCAGCGCTGTCATTTGAGATGAGAGACTTTGGGTCCTACTTTTTTTCTTCTGTCCCTTTCCTGCTTCGTCTTTGCTCGTTCGCGCTCCGGGCGGGGTTGATGGTTTTTTTTTTTTTTTTTCTCTTCTGCGCGGTCCTTTGGCAATTTCTTGCTTTGAGGGGAAGTTGACGATGAGGACAACAAAGACGTCGTGAGCTGCGAACAAGCGGGGGCCGGGTCGGGTGAGGAGTTGGAAGCTCTCTGGCTGGCTGGCTGGCGGCGACGCCCTTTCGTAGTAGAAAAAGCAGGAATTCACCCTGACAGTCAGCAATGAGGGTCAATGATCAGAAATGTCGGAAAAGTAACGTTGCGACCGTGGGTACAAGGCTGGAGGAGCGTCCCCATGTCTCCATGTATCCGGTGTGGTGGATGGACCAAGGCGATAAGAGGTCAGAGACTTATCGGTTCGTGGCCCATGCAAGTAACGTGTTTCTGAGGGAAATGTACTATTTTTACACTATATGTTACCACCGGCCACCGTTTACAGAACTCTGGGACATTGGGATTCTGCGAGTTCCTGAGCCTATTCGCGAGGACTGGGATAAGGTGTACTGTAAAACAAAGTAATCTACGTTATGCATGTTGTATCTAAGCTGTCTCCCCGGTTCGAGATGGTTGGCTTTACAATTGAGCCCGATGCATGGGAGCATGGGGGCAGATTAAGATAAAGGGGGGTGGGTGGTGGGCAAGCGTGAGGGTGTGGAGGAAACAATTCACACACACACACACATACCACACACTCATTCATTCTGCACACTCTGCACACTCTGCTGCACACTCTTCGCGGTTTGCGGTGAGGAATTGATCATGAGGAATTGAATCAAAAGAGCCACAACGCGCGCGACTGCTGGATATCCCATGCAGAGGATACGTGTCTATATGTGCATCTGTTTTTAAGGAGAGGGAGGGAGGGCAAATCTAAATCTACAGAATATCTGTAAGTGCTGCGGACGAAGCGCCGTTGCACTCAATCAATTCAATCAATTCAATTCAATTCAATTCAATCAAATCAAATCAATTCAACTCAATTAATTGAGCCGGACGATCCCTCTAATAATACCACCATTGAGTGGTACAGCAATGAATATACAATGTCACGTAGTACCAGCTACTATGTAATACGATGGGGTATTACCATATCGCTCAGGCACGATAGGGACTTGACGATTTGGGCCTGACACATCCCGACTGTCGATCCCCCTCGGTGTTGGCGGGCTATGTAACATCCCGACACCATCCCGACTCCGCGAGCTGCGGAAGGCTCAGTAAGGACTTCGGCCTCCTTCCTCGCCTGGACCTTGGTCTAGAATTAGATGGTGGTGGTAGAGAGAGTAATATGCAGTTTAATACATGTATGGTCAGGGAGCTAGGAGGGGCAAGGGTTCCAGCTTCTGGAACCTCCAATTCACACATCTCAAATTGACGCTCAGACTTCAAGTACTCTCACTCACACTCACATTTCTTATCTTAATTCCCTACCTGTTCAACGTTGTGTTCCCGCTTCTCGGTTGTTCTACCGGGAGGCTTTTTTTTTTAAATTATTTCCTTTTTCCTTTACTTGACCTTCCTGTAGCTTCATGCCCTCTAACTCAAGAAGTAAACTTTTTTCCTATTTTTTGCTCTTTTAGGAATTGATTTTTCCGTTTTTTTTACTTTTTTTTAACATTTTTTTTTTCTTCCGCTGCATCCCACCCCTTCTTTAGGCCCTGGCAGCACACCCTCCTCCATCGGACTACCATCGCACCGGTATATCGTGTCTGTCGCTTCCACTGTTTTGCTTGCTTTGCCCTTCCCTCACCATGTCTTCCCCCTTCGGTTTGATTGATACTTAGCCGCAGCCAGCCCTATCTCTATCAATTGGCCTTCCTTCTACCCTGGGGTCGGGGGAATTCTTTTTTTCTATATATATATCCATATACATAAATTATTTCCCGGGAATCGAATTGGCAGCAGCAGCGCAGCAGAAATCACTTGCATGAGCGATACAGGTGCACGGGACAATTTTGCTTTTTCGTGGAAGGATCAACTCGCGTTTCGTTGTTTGCATCCGGAGCGCCGGAGACGATCGATTGGGTGAAGCCGAGAAATCACCTCTGCGGCGAAGGAAGGGAAGGGAGAAAACGGAGGAGGGGGGGGAAGGAAAATCAATCAATCAGAACCAGGTGCAGACGAATCGAGGGGAGGCAGAGATAGTCGATAGGGCAGTAGAAATAAGAATAAGAGTGATAGTGAGTGAGTGAGAGACAGAGCGACAGCGAGGGGAGTTTTAAGGTGAGGCATAGGAGGTACATGCTACATACACATACATACGCAGGCACACACTTTTTGCATGTACCGATACCGAGAGTTCATCAAGATCAAGACCAAAGCAATCAAGCAATCAAGCAATCAAGCAATCAAGCAATCAAGCAATCAAGCAATCAAGCAATCAATCACTGGTTCAATCTAGTCAGGCAACGTTTCGCAGCAGCACCACGTTCCGATTCTTACCAATCGACTCGACCGCAGCAGAAGGTTCTCTTTAGGATCTGTACCTCTTATCTGATTAGGCAAAGAAAAGGGATTGAGCCGCCGCTTCCAGTCCTTCCCTATCCCCCCGGTCTGACAGTCTGTACGTCTGCCTGTAAACTGTCTGTCGACTCACCCTGTCTGGCGCACTAGTCACTGGTAGTCTAGACGTGCTGCTGTTAGGTCTTCTCCTACCCTACCCACCGTAGAGTTCGTACCTACCGCTACCTGCCCACCACCACCTCCTACCACCTACCGACAGAACGTTTTCTTGACCCAAACCCACCCACTTGCCTACATACACTGTAACTACTCGCCCACCCCCCCCCCCCCCCCAAATACCACTACGCGGGTGTGTTTACCATCTCCCATCACCATCGCGCCACGCGACATCCTTCCGTGAGAAAGTCTACTCGCGGAAGGCGGCAGTCCCCAAGGAAATAATCGGACGAAGAAGGGAAAAGAAGCAGGCACTACCACCGCCAGAAAACCCACCCCAAAAGCAATAATAGTGATATTCGTCCAACAGCGGCGGAAACGCAGCTTCAAGGCACCTACCCCGCCATCACAACTACCGCGCACCTCTGGAAACAGAGTTGCTGCTATTCCGAGAGAGCTCTTAGTTCTCCCGTCTTGGGATTCTAGCCCATCATGAACTTCATTGTATGCTGATCCCTTCTGCATTTTCATCGGACTCGAACCCCCTCCCCCCTTCTCCCACTCTAACCCCTCTCGTTCATTGATACCCCAGTCCCGGGCCTGCATGAATTATGCATAGCTAATGGGATCTCCCGTCACCAGGTGTCCCTCGCGCATTTCTGCGAGATCCATGGTCCTACGTCAATCATCTGCACTCAAGTGACCCCCCCGACATGCACGACATGCTGTCCCTCTGCTGCAAGCTCAGGCACGATTGTCCCTTCTACGCCACAGCAGCAGCAGCAGCAACAATTTGGCTCAGCACCCTCCCAATTCTCCCATAACAGCTCGATCCATCTCAATAAGAGCAACCCTGCCCTAAATACCCTGGCCTCCCAGAGCGCCTCGGGCCTCCGTCCAAACACATCTCTCCTTAGCCATGGTGGGACTGCTACCTCCTCAGCCTCATCATCTAATGTCTCCACCCCAATGGAGACACCACCTCCATCACCGAGGAGCCCTGTATTGTCTAGTGCCTCCCTTGCTACTGCAGGTCCAGGATATACAGGTCCATCAGCGGCTTCCACGACAGGGGTCTCCGCCGGTGGTGATACCTGCAAGAACTGTAGTATGACCCTTCCAAAGGGCCTTCAGGAAAAAGCATCCTCCAATGGCACTGTCACGCGGCCTACGCTACGTACAAAGGAATCAATTCTTGCCTGCACCCCATCCGGCAGCGAAGACGAGGAAGAGCCGGCAGAAAGTCAATTCTCAAATCTTCGAGCTGTTCAACGTCAGAATGACGATGCTCGTCATCTTTCTTCGTCCCCTGGCGCGCATACCTACTTTCACTCTGCCCCTGCGTCTGATGACGGAGCACCGCAAGGGAGTTCCACAAACGGGCTGGCTACACACACCCATCAATTGACATATATCTCTACTCGAGCTCCAACTGTGCCTGCACATTACACTACCCTGCGGCAGGCATGCGTTCGCACGCTCTCTTGCGAGCTGATACCCGCCCAGACAGGTCCCATGATGTTCGGGGACCCTCTTGCAGGCTATACAATTGCCTATGTGTTTCGGCTTCCTGATCCCAAAGCTCGGGGAGGAAGACGCTCGTATGCACTAGTTTGCATATGCCCTGACCAGAAGATAGTCGTCAGCTCATGGAAGTACGTGGTTTCGGCTTTTGAAACCCTAGTGCACCGCATCAAGCAATTGGCAGCCAAGAAGCAACAGGAAGATGCACAGGTATCCCCGCTACTGAACAATTCGTTCTCTTCCGTCGCTTCTCGCGGGCCCGAAGGGTTCCTCCGTAGAAGACCGCCCGGTGAGAACGGATTCGGCGTCAACCAGAAGGGGCTAGCGGAGTTGGTCGGCAGAGAAGAGCTCTTTGTCGAGGTGCATATGTTCTTTGTCAAGATGATAGGAGGTCTCGTGAGAAGGTTTGGGTGCTGGGCCGGGAGTGAATTGGCTCTCGGTGGCAGCGGTGCGGGGTTGGGGAGTGGATTTGTGAGCCCAGCTCTAGCGAGAAGCAGAGCCGGAAGCGTGAGCAGCTCCGTGGGGGCAGACGAAAGGCTGGAAAGAAAAACGGGGCTCGGTGTGTCCACACCCGGTACTGCTACACCTAATGCTGCCACACTCAGCGTTCCGACAGTGTCGGAGGAAATGGAAGCCACCGATATTGGCACCCTGAGTAACGAGAATGGAGTTAAATACCCGGTTCCTCCTGCGCCTCCCGCTGGAGCTAGTCTGGCGAAACCATCGGGAGTGCCTACCCTGGTGCCCGGAATGGCGGGGTTGAGCGTCAGTGACTCTGTTACTCCTGGAGCTTCAAACAGCTCGCCTCGTGGCGGGAAAGAGTGAGGGAAAAACCACTCAGAGTAACCATAACGCGATATTCAGTCACTAATAACGTGGGGTAATCCTGGCGCATCATCACTCCTTTTTTATTATTGTGGGGTACTCTAGAAAAAAGAAGGTTGGGGCGAGCTAATGGATATGCTTGATGGGGTTTCATTACTGTTTCGTTTGAAGTTGCTTTTTTCTTATATTTCCTTTCTGTATTCGTTCGCGCGCCGTACACTCCATTCGTTGCAGCGGTTATTTCTAATAGTTGTAGTTTTAATACTTTCATTTTTGGTTACGGTTGTTAGGTTGTTGGTGTAACGCGAGAGAGAAAGGGAGACTCGCAACGTCCCCCACTTTCCCCCGGTTTCTTTCTATAAACGCGTTTTACCACCGAGACCTTGGTTTTACATGTACCCTTTTTCTCACGTTCTTTGAAAATTTGGATATTTTTCTTATTTCTTTTCGTTTATTTTTATAAATTTTTATAGAGAGGAATTACTACTGGGGCGCTCTTTGATTTTGATTTTTTTTTACTATTTCTTTTTTTGCGCTGCTTTTTCTTCTTTTCTTTTTAATGATGTGCAAACCTCATGTCATGATCTTACGAACCCATGGGTCCCGAGTCCTTCATGTAACCAGGATCATTGTTTTTTTTCTTTCCCTGCATTGATTTTTGCTTTCTACTACTCTAAATCTGCGTTTCCCTTCTTTGTTTTTTTTTAATCATGTCAGCTTCACTTGTACTTTTTTTTCTACCTTCTACTTCTCGTTTTTGGCTTAGGGATTGGCTGGCTGGCGGGAGCGGGAGCGGGCGGGCGGGTAAAGAAAAAAAATTTGGGTATATTTATTATCAAAAAAGGAATTTCTACTTTTTTTTTCTCTATCATGTGCTCTGCCATACTTGGACTAGTGGTACATAATTCTCAGAGTAAACTACATGTACTTTACGTATGTAAGGCTTCTTTCTGGTGTTCGAGAAGCGGGAAGGATACCTACCTACCTAATCCTACATCCTACATACTACCTACATCCTACATACTACCTACATCCTACATACTCGACTCTGCCTACATACACATACTGTAGCTTGAGATAGAGTATGTAGTCTCGTGATGTGATGTGTGATGCTCTCGCGCGGTGTGGGTGTGTGTGTGTGGTTGGGAAATATTGTGGGGGAATATTTTTTTTCTCTCTCTGTTAAAAAAAAAATCTATCACTCTTCGTTCTCTCCCGCCCCTCGGCCCCAGTTTCAGAAGAGTTGCAGAATGGTGGATGTTTGACGTCATTTGGAACACGGATATATCTCTGCCCAGGAAGAAGAAAAAAGATCTCAAATTTCAAATCTGTAGATAGCCAATATGTATTGTGACGTTCCCCCCCTCCTTGTGCCACCGCCGCCTCATTGCAATGTGCAGGAGCACGATTGGGGAAGCTAGCTAAAAGGGAGGAGGGGAGAAGGAGGAGGGGAGGGGGTTTGAAGCTGAAAAGAGAGAGACAGAAGCCAGCACAGAGCTCTCTAAGACAGAATAGAACTAGGTAGGTAGGTAGAGAGCAATGGGTGTAGAGCAGCCCAGGTTGGCAGGGAGGAAGGAGGGGGTAAGGGGGGGGGGGGGTGAATTGAAAACTGGTGCGCGCACCACCACCCCAGAATCCGGGGTTGTGCTAGCAGTAGCCTGTGCCCCCTTATCGCGAATTGCGATAGACGAGTGCTTATCCATGACCAGGAACCACCCCACTCGACACACGGGCCACCCACCACCACACCACATGTCTCGCTCCCCCAGAACCCCCCGCGACCCCACACAAAAAGAAGGAGAAGAAGCCTTGCGCGCCGAACTAGAACTGGTGCCCTTGAAAGTCCATGGCCATGGTAACAGACTGGGACATACATATTTGCATCCGCTCTGGGAGGGCATTAACGCCGATAGAGTTTCGGGGGTGCGGGACCGAGTGTGTGGACGGGGGGTAAAGATGAAAGGTTAGAGAGAATGGGTACAACCTTTGATATTGGATACGAGTACGTAAGAAGTATGTAGGAATCTGGAACATACAGTACTTTTTGTGGGGGGTTAGTACCACTATGGAGAGTGTACCGTACCGTAGGTACTCCAACTAACTGATGAGGGGCTGTTGCCTACTGCTGCTGCAGCAGGAGAAGAAGGAGGGGATCTAGTTAGCTGGAGTGCGGGGACTTTCCTTCCTTCTTTTTTTTTTTACTTTTGGTCGGCTTCGATGGGATGATGGGATGATGGGTTCTGGGTTTGTTGTTCTTTCACCGTGTTGGGATGTGGAGTGGGAGGGGGAAGAATGATAATAACTCACTTTATTGAGTGGGCTATGCTGGTGTTGAATCGTGCAAAGGTCGGATGATCCTACTACGAGTCTGTCTGCACTCCTCACACTCCTTTGAAGTTTTTCGGCAATTAACTTTTTAAGGATTATGCCCTGGTGTTCAGATGAATCGGCATTAGCCTAGGGAGTAAAGGATAAAAAGGACAAGAAAGAAGGAAAAAAAACTTGATTTCACGAAGAGCGAGATGAGTCGGTCCGTCTCTCGGTGTGGTGCGGTGATGATGATGATTTGGCTAAGAAAATAAGCTGCCTGCCCGCGGTGATGTGGCCGTGCGCAACGACGTGTGTAACGTTCTACTGCGGGCCTTAGAGGGAGAGGGTTATTCCGGATTATTCCCTCGAGTGAGTCCCAAGACCCATAGAGTAGAGATTCATGTAATATGTGGTGTAGTAAGGTATTTGCACGGTATTGATCTTTGATTTGATACCCCGCCTTTTCTGCTCCGTGGAGCAAAACCTAGGTGCAGCGCGGGGTACATCACACAGCTCACGATATACTCTAGTTGTTCTAACTGCTGCGCTGAGGATACGTACTCTACGTCTTAGTCTACTGATTCCCCAATGGGTGTAGTTAAGGAAAAGTCGGATAGTCGACTTCTTCTCCTTCCTCGTGCTTCTGCTTCTGCTTCTGCTTCTCTTCCCAAATCGGGGCCTAGAAGCCTTTCTTCTCTTCTTCGGTTGCTCTTCGGCTTTTTTTTAAATCCATGGTTGTTGTTGATGTTGATGGATGGAAGAGGAAGAGTGGATGGGTGGATGGAGCCGGTTCATCGTTCCCCGCCTGCCTACTGCAGACAGACAGACACACCCATATCTGTGCTGGCCGTCGGTGGTCAGTCACGTTTCGATAGCAACGGCCCTGCCTGCGTCTCGCGTCTGGCTGGTCAGGTTGCCAAGCATCGAGGACTGGTTCCTGCACATGATCTCCAATCAGATGGTCAGCATTTAAATGTCCGTGCAGACCATGCTTCTTTTTTTTGTTCCTTTCTTGTTTTTGGCTGCTGATGGCTGATGTTGATGATGGGTAGAATACATGCGAGTACTCCACACACAAGTACCTACCTCGCTGAAGCAGCTGACAGCGCGTACTTTTTACACGTAGTTTTTGGTGTGGTCTGGCGCCTAACCCCCATGGGCCGTAACCCATCATCACTGCCTGCCACTAATAAGCCATCGGGTCAGCAAGCCTCACCTCACCTCGAATCATTCTCACAGGGAGGGTAATAAGATGCGAAATGTACGTGATCGAGTGATCGTTGATGAACAAAATCGGACGACAACTGTACAGTGATAGGTATTTTCATATGTACCTGAGTAGTTCAACAACAGCAACAACCCAGTACGTACGTCCTATCTGGCCCAACAAACAGCCCACGCCTACCTAAAAACTACAACAATAGCAACACCCTGAGGACAACGGTTTATGTATCCGCCAGTACAGTGCATTAGTCATGTTTGAAAGTTTGACCCTTGAGCCGGTATGTATATCTCATCGTGGTTGCGTAAACAAGCAGCAGAAAATACAACATAGCTGATCGATCCAAACACCCCCCCAATTCACCTTATCTTCGCATTTAAACACTCTACCATCGATCCCTTTTCGTAGCCTCGGTGTTTATGCGGCCGGGGTTAATTATGAAAGACACAGCGTTGTCGCCACGGGAAAAAAAAACCGAAACAAGCAACGATGCGGCTATCCCGAATATCAATTTGGACGGGCCCTCTTCAGATCGGTCGATGAGGAAAAAAAAAAGTCTCGGCACCACTCCTTCTTCTCGCTCCTTCCATATTTGCCCTATACAGGGTTTTTTGACAAATCCGAGTGGTAATTGAAGCGATTGGGGGAAAAAACAGTCCAGGTAGGAGGCTATCGAGTGAGATCGTGTGATTTAGTTGGTTTTTGATATTGCGAGTTTCCCGCAGTGCAGTGCAGATAAGGCTTACTCTACAAGCTTAGAAGTACCAAGGTGGCGGCAGCGCCAATTTACCCCTTTCTCTATTTCCATCCCTCTGCCTCTCTTCTCCATCTTTTGACATGGATTCTCTAAATCGAAAATGAACGTTTGCCACTAGCTACCAGCCCGTGGATACTCTTGATAGGGGTACCAAATAAAGGAGAAATTGAAATCCAAGGAGGCGTTCGCCGGTCAGCCATATTTTAAAAACAACATACGCAACGATCGTGGCTTTCATTCCCACCGCCTTGCTGTGTGCTGTTTGTTGTTTCTCAACCCAACCAGCTAGCTAGCTCGCCAGCCGCTTCTCCGCACTCTCATGATGCCAAATAGTCGACCACTGTGAAAAGAAAATTCACTCCTTTTTGATCGCCTCAATACAAAACACCTCAGAGGAATCCAGACCGGTGGCGGACAGGAATAAGCAGGGGGCCAGGATCGAGACCGGGGTTTCGCTTAAGAAAAGTGTTGAAAGATAGAAAATAAGGGTTTTGGTTAAGACAGTTGCTCGAGCAGTGCTTGTTAGCAATTGTATATTGAGATGGATTGAGATAGGGCATTGAGATATGGGCGTTGTTGGCTGATTGGTTGAATGCCGACGTTTAAGTGTCGTCATTACTAGTAGTTCTCCAAACGGGGATGCAAGGAGCGAACAAGAGGGAGAATAGATCCTGATTGGATGCGTAATATAAACTTCTGTGGAAGATATTTTGGGATATATGTCCTACTCCACGTGTTCTCCACAGTGTTCGTGGCTTTCTCAGTAGGCCAATTGCTTGTAAACGGAAGCTGGGTCTCTCTCCGAACTGATTATCTTTAGTTAGTGATCAATGATAACTTCAGCTTTTGCTATAAGGCCTAGACTTTAATGGTAAGTCTAGATATCAACAGTGTGCAGTTTTCAATGTTAATTTGTGCATGATAAAAAGTATTTGGTAAATCAACGTCATGGCACCAATTTCTCGTAGTAAGTAAGGTGGTAGTAGTTCTACTACGCCGGACAGTCATTCAATCCCGAGTGATGGATTGAGGAAAGCCTAAAATATATAACTATCTCGGAGGGGGATGGCGAATAGCCTCTTATTTCGCTTTAATGACCAAGAGGAAAGTATTTTGTGAACTTTTCTTATACGGAGACGAATTAATTTTGATTCCGATAGAAGTTTAGCGTCTCTTTTAGTTCGGTATATATGTTTTGTTGTAGTCGTTGACAGTTAATCATGTAAAATCACTCGAGCCGGTTTATAGGCTCGAATTCCCGGATATTTCATTTTTTGTTTTTGTTTAATTCATTAATTGCATGCAACTTTACAGTTATGGCAATACCCCTGAACTGCCCCTTCTCTTCCGCCTCCTCTCACGTATTTCTGACATAGGGAATGAAAACACTAGGGCCCTCTTTGTTCTATTCATCGCTTCCAGCGTCTTTCAGCGTCCCCCACCCATACCCGGATATTTCATAGTGAATAGGGTCCAGTTACAATTCTGAAGATATTCGAACTGACCTAGCTATATAGAAACGGACCTTCCAAGTAATACTGTTCCGTTTCATTAAACTTTACAGGAGTGAACCATTCTCTCGAACCAGATAAGTGTTGGGTCTCAATATTAGACCCGGCGTTCTAAATCCATCCAAAACTGGGTTTCTTTGAGAAAAATGGCTTGGAGCCACCAGAAATCTTAGAGAAAAAGGTGAAATTACTGATTAATTTTATGGAATGTATTTTTTGTGGAGGGCCTTGGTCTGTTGTAGCGTGCCCACACATAAGGCAGAGGCGGGGAGCTCTGCTTGGTAAGATGAATCCGTGCATGAGCGAGCCTTAATAGATAAGTAGGACGTCCAGTGGTCTTGAACCATGGGTCGATTTGGTCGTTCGACCAGAATAGTGGCAATTTTTCCGTGTACTAATAATTAAGAAACTGGCCATTAAATCTGGAGCTCTTCTGACACATATAACTGCCTGTCACTGTGGTGACTCTTTCAGCATAATCTGAAGCTGAGGGGTAATAATGTCCCCAGTACGACTAGAGGCGCCAGAGTGAAGGAATATTTGTAACTAAGAGCCCGCAGTACATGTGGGGCTAGGGCCTACTATGTAGCCATTGTTCAACAGGAAGCCTTGTAAAAAGCTTGGAGATCGATTTTTCCTTTGATTCCGGAAAGGTAAAAATGATAGTTTAACTGCTTGTGAATTGGATAACCCTTTGTTGAGTATTAAACTATGTCTTGGATAGCTTCAGCATTGGGATGGCGTTAATTACTATTTTATTGGCGGTTCCATTGGAACATTGCCAGTTGAACCGCCTCAATGGGTTGAGATAATGTGATCTACTATGGCCCATGCGCATAGCAGGCTCGAAGCCTAGACTTTTAAACTCTGATATCTGTAAATCCTGGATGTAGATTTTCTTTATGTGTTCTGGTGTAATTTAGGGCGACTAGAAAGTCGACGTGTTGGGGCGAGCCGCGACAGCCGGATTTCCATGGGGATAGCTGCTTTAGTTAGATGTTTTCGCAGGCTTACAGCTATTTTCCCGCTGTGTTTGACTTTATTTGTATTATAGGTCCTAAGTGAATTTATAGAATCCCTTGTGGTGATAGCATTTGATATCAACAATTAACGGAGGGCATCGTTTCCAGACCCCAATAATCTAGCCATGCACTCTCTGCGGCCAAGATGCAGTGGGCCCCTAACAAGGAATAGGAGCCTCAAGGTAGACTACCTTATTGAGTTAACTGAGGTACAACCATCTGGGTCTTCCCAGGTTGGAGGGTGGACAAAAGTTAAGTAGTGCAAGCCACCGTTGGTGAGGAACACACCAGCGACATATATTCATGAAGGGCCGATGGTACGCTCTGGCTCCAACCTTTAAGTGAGGATTCCTTCCGTTTGGACGGTGCCAGCCGCTGCTCAAGCCATGAGTAGCACCCTCCATGCATGACATCACACCATATACCGCCGTTCATATAGCGACACCCCGCGCAAGTGTGTGTGGGCAATCCGCAAGTGGCTAATAAACGTCCGATGCGAGACTGATAGTCGTATAGGTATATGGTCTGTGACGAAGGGCACGACATCAGCTACAGCCAAGGCAAAGATAAAGATCTGGTCAGCTAGTCCGCTGTGAATGGCTTCTCATCCAGTCACTCTGCGCGTCTGTATATGTAGGCGTTGTCCACCACACTTGTGGTCCTCCCACGTATAGCCCACGCTGAAGTGGGGTGACGATCACCGGATATCACTCGCTTTTGTCACACCGCAAGATCTGACACATCTCGGGGCGTTTAGATCACAAACGGACCTAGAGACCCTAGGGGAATCTATTATAATGGCGGGGGAAAGCTAAGAATTGGTTGTGCCGGGTTTTTTTTAAATAGCTGGGCACTCTGGCTACATTTTGAGCGGCGCTCAATAGACTATGATACATGTATCTTTAGGCTTTAGGTTTTAGCCCAAACCAGCCGCGAAATAAAATCTACTGAGTATCAAACTACTTGGGTTGTATCAAACGTTGGGTTTGGATGGTATCCGCTGTCTCGGAGATTGAGTTTTTGAAGCGCATGGGCTTTCGAATTGTGGCGGTTCGAGTGATAGTTTGTGATGATAACCTTATTTCTCTACAATACCAATAGACTGTAGTATTTTTTTTAATTCATTAATTGCATGCAACCTTACAGTTATGGCAATATAACACTTCCCCAGACTACCCTACTGCCTCCGCCACCTCTTATCGTGATAAAAGAAAATAGAAAATAGAAAGTAGAAACTCGTTACTCTTCGTCCCTTGCGTCTTTCAGCGTGCCATCCATAGCCTAATTCCCTCCTCTCTTCTTCTGCTTCCTCGCTGCGACCTTCCCTTTCATGTCTCAATTTCGCAAACTGTTTCCATATCTTTGTCGTTGCTTCGATCCCGTTGGCCGTCTAGAGGAGTTTGACAATCGTGTTATATTCCTTACAGCTTGCCCGAGATTCCGCTGTTGCGTCGCATTCCGTAAGTACATGTATATGTGCGACGCTTTGTTCACCTTTACCGCACTCGCACTGCGCCGTATCCTTTTTTCAATAGACTGTAGTAAATATATACATGAAGGAGTGAAAAGATGATTGAATACTAGAAGTAGAGAATCTCTCTATTGCGCCACACTATTAAACTTTTCTTTCGAACTCGCAGAACGCTGGGGCCGAGTTTCGTGCGGTGTTAGCTAACAGGATTTTTTTTGCAGAAGGATCCCAATCAGGTCGAGAATGTTACAATCATGTGGATTTAGACCCTTCGCATAGAATCCGCTATCAAATCAAAATGTCGGATCCTAAAGGTTGGAGTGTAAGGTGTGAAACACAGGTTTCAACATGTATAGTTCTAGGCCATAAATCATGGGAAGGCGCGGCGTAGCAACCTCCCGGGCCACCACGACTACCCACCCAGCAACCACAATTGATCCTTTGGAGAGCTGGTTTTTTGTATAGTTGTTAAATAGTAGCTAAATAAAAATAATTTGACATTTAATATCTTGTGTACCAACCCCTTGCCTTTATAACAGCTCTATTCTCCTAGGAATGCTCTTAACTAGCTACCAAATAAATCATCAGGTAACAGTTCCCAGCAATGAATTAGACCTTCCTCCACGAGGGGCTTTAATACTTAAGGTGATCTAGTACCATATTCCAAATGGGGGTACTGTTGATGGTAAAGCTTCTTGAGGTGTACCCAAACATGTTCAATGGGATGGAATAGGCAAGCCAGTCCTCCAGAACATCTACCCTATTCTCCTCCAACCAGAGTTGTAAGACTCCGGTTTTTGCCACAGCAGGGAGGCTGGCCATTCCCTCCTAGCTGTCTGGCGGGGTACATGGTCTCTGGGCGCCATCGGTGGTGGTGAAAGATTTTGTGTTTAGGCGTTGCGACCTCGCGCCTTCCCATGACTTATGGCAGGCGCTGTACAAATCAAACATCGCAATCCCCACAACTCCACACCACACATACAGCGCCCATCCTTACAAACACCCCTTAAACGCATCCCAACATGTCTCTTCCCCATCGCAGAGACCCAACACCCCATTTCCGTCCGGAACACTTTTCCGGTTCGGCTAATCATTGACCTAAGCAATGGACTTTCCCGAAACAACCTAGACCCACGAACCTAGTACGCCCGCCAAGAAGCGGTGAAACAAATTTTCGTCCTGCTCAATGAGTTCACAAGGGGATGTGGTTTAGTGGTATAATGCCTCTTTAGCATTGGAGTGTCTCATTCATCGTGAGATGGTCTACTAGCTAAGGTAGAGGCGGTCCGGGGTTCGATTCCCCGCGTCTCCAGTCCTTTTGCTCGTTGGGAGGTTTTTGGTGGTGATGGTGGTGATTCTGTGTGGAGTTTTCGGTATGGTATCCTTATTGCCGTTTTGAGTTCTTGGGTTCAGAGGGTAGAGTCGATTTCGGCTGTGTGGTGGGTGGTTCTCGTTTTGATGTCTCGTTCGCTAAGAACTTGATGTATCAAAAGTTGTGAACCTTGAGATCTTTCGCTTCGTCGGTTGCCCCAGACGACACGGAATACCTTGTCTAGCGGTTCTTATCTGTATCGTGAAACTGCTACAGCACGCTCTGGTGGCCAAGTTGGTAAGGCGCAGCACTAGTAATGCTGAGATCCTCAGTTCAACTCCGAGCCAGAGCAGTGATCAGTTGGGTTGGGTTGGTTGATGCCTCTTCCATTGTTTTTTTGGACGTTAGGACTGGGTAATGCTTGGTGGCGTTGTTCGTGGAGTTGTGAAATAAGATGATGCTTTGGCTGTTAGCGTTGGTGCTTTATTTAGATGGTGGAGGTTGAGAGATGTGTCTCATGGCGCAGTACTCGGTACATACATGTAGTAGGCTTGTTGGTAGCGTGGGACAGTGAGTGGTATTTGCTATCTGTTATTTGTGATGTGTAAAACAACGAGACATTTAGTTGTCTTGATAATATGTGTTTAATTAGCACGTCTCTGTTCACTAAAAAAGGGGCCTGTTCCTTCTGTTCTCGTTGATAAATTGATTCACTCATACGATATAGTCTTTTGTAAAACCGCATTCTTAACAGTACTTCTTGTAACTTGAACCGAGCAGAGAGCTCACAGCCTTAAGATGTACATGTAGTTCGACCTAAGCCATTAGCACTGCAAGAATCGCGGGCGGAGCAAGAACCCCAAGCCAATTGAGTCTCTTAATTTAGTCTCTTTTATACTAAATTTCCATCCCCTCCATCCTCCCCCCCCAAAAAAAAAAAAAAAAAAAACAGGGTGGAGAAGTAACAACTCGATGGTTCATACCAACAAACCCTGCTGCAGCACACGCTCTCACTCGCCGCTCCAAATCCGCACTAGTCCCATCCACGGCACCTCCCGTGCTATTTTTCTCTTGGCGGCACAACCTAAATATTTTCACTTTTTTCATACCTCCGAGCAGGCCAATCTCCAACTCCAATTCGATCCAACCAAAACCCGATCCAATCTAACCCCGACCCCAAAAAACTGAAGGAAAAAAAAAATGGCGAAAACAGAAGTCAGTAAGAAAAAGACCTCAGCTGCTCCGGCTGCGAAGATAAAGAAGGAGCCGGTCAAGAAGGCAGCGCCGAGGGTAAAGAAGCCTAGCAGGTCGCAGGAGAGGGTGGTCGACAGCGAGAGCGAGGGCGAGGGCGAGGGCGAGGGCGAGGGCGAGGGCGAGTCTGAGAGCGAGTCCGAGTGCGAGGAGGAGGCAACCCAGCGGAGTACGGCGACGACTACAACTGCTCCGACCGAGACTGAGGAGGAGTCTGAGTCTGGCAGCGGCGAGACCGCGTCCGAATCCGAGTCCGGCTCCGAAGAAGAAGAAGACGAAGAAGAGCTCGCCTCCTCCGCGTACATCTCCCCGCCCCGCACCCCCCCCCCCTGCTGCAGCATGCATACTAACAGCCGCTTAGAAAGCTTCCCAAGGGTAGCTACAAGTACGCGCCCCCGCCCGAGTTTAAGCTCGTCCCGCCCGGTGGTGGTTCGAACCCGTTTTCCGCGGCGAATCTGAACGGCAAGGAGCTGTGGTTCATTACGGCGCCGTTGGCGGCGCCGCTGAGTAAGGTTGACAGGATCAATCCTGCGGACATTGCGGAGGGGTTGCCGGTGCTGATGACGAGTTCGGGGAGGAGCTATTGTCTGAAGACGAAGGAGGAGGAGGAGGAGGAGGAGGGTGGAGGAGGGGTGGGGCTGTTTGTGGCTGATGGGAAGGGGAGGTATAAATTAGGTTAGTTTTTACCTGGAGGAAGAGTGGGGTGTGGAATGCGGAGTGTGGAGTGTGAGGAGAGAGGCTAATGTGAGTGGTGGTGTGAACAGCGGGGAAGCAGATTTCAAAGAGCTTTCAGATGGTGGAGGCGCTGCCGACGGGGAGAGAGGTCACAGAGGAGATGATTAAGAGTAAGCCGGTGAAGCAGCAGCCGGAGGGATTGAAGATGAGGTTTAAGCCGATTGGCTTTGAGGGGGAGATTGAGGGCGATGGAAACGTTGAGATGAGGGACGTGTCGCTTGAGGTGCGGCCCGCGAGAGAGGTTGCTCGTGAGGAGGGAGAGCACAAGAAGAAGAAGAGGAGGACGCACGACGACAAGGAGGGGAGGAAGGAGAAGAAACATAGGAGGAGGAGTAAGGAGTAAGGGGTAGGTAGGTAGCAATAGCATTTAATGGATTGAGCGACGAACGGGATTGGGGTTGCTAAAAAGTATTGTTTTTCTTTCTTTTCTTTCTTTTCTGGTTTTTTCTGGTTTTTGTATAATATTACATTTTGGTTGGTGTAAAAATCTACTTTTTGCGTAATGGAAACTAGTGAAGATATCATTGATCCCAAGCGGGCAACCCCCCCCCCCCCTTTCCTCCACAAACTCCCAATTCCAATGCTATCTATCACGCGGCTACCTGGGCTTGCTGCTGCTGCTGCTGCACCACCATGTTCTGCAGCTGCATGATCTCGATCTTCTTCTTCTCCTGCTTCTCCTGGATGTTTTTGATCTTCTCCTCGGTCCTCGTTCTGCCCCGCCAAACACTCATGTCAGTCCACAGCCAGCTAGCTTACCGGCAGCAGCACGGAGAGGGGAGGGGGGGGGGGGGTCGCACATCTCCGCCTCGATAAACTCCAACCGTCCTCCCACCGCCATGATCGCTTCCGACTTGTCCTGCTTCACGAGCACGGGCCCGATAAGCTTGAAGATGTTTGCGTCGTCGTCCAGGCCCGAGAATTCCTAGTCGCACATCCATCCATCAGCTTAATTTAAATTCCCCAGCAACCACCACCGCCATCATCATCGCATCTCAACCGGCGCAGTGAGTGACAGTACCTTCTGCACCGACTGGTTCTCCTGCAGCTGGCTCTCCAGCGTCTGCCGGGCCTCCACAACAGAGCTCAATTCTGCGCCATCCACCAAAAAAAAATCAATCAGCCGATGATGCCCCTAGTTGGGTTCTCTGGGTTTTGTGGTTTTCGCGCAGAGTGAGCTTGCCTTTCTGGAGGGTGGTGAACTCCTCGGTCATTCTCTGTAGGGCTTGTTGGGGGTTCGCCATTGCTGGTTTATTATGGGCGGGTGAGTGGTCGAGAGGGAGGGAGGGAGGGAGGTATGTAGTGAGTGAGTAGTGGTGAGTGGATATGGATGGCAGTAGTGGGGTCTCCAGAAAACGTGGGGTTGTGTGGGTTGAAACGACAGAAACACGCCCGCCAAGCCACGATAAACGAGGGTCACGGTAACAACGACCCCGTAACGCAACGCAACGTAACGCAACGCAACGCAACCCCAGCCCGCTCACACTCACTTCTACAGCTTGCGTTGCCCTGATCATCGCTCTTGATCCCTACACACAACTGCCCTCTGCATACTACGACACTCCCCCACAGGGCATCTGGAGAGAGGCATCACAGATTGAAGATACAGACATATACATACAGAAGACACACAGAAGACATCCTCTGCAGTACACACTCCCATTCATTCACTCCTTCACTCCCCTCATTGACGGGCTAAACTACTCTGCTCTGCTTACGCTGCTGCACTGCACATGGACCCAGGCTAACGTGGCAGCAGGGTCTGCATCTGACCGGAGGCTAAACTGCTCGCCAGACGCATTACGAGGCCTGCTAGCCCCACCCCCGCATCTCGCATCTCGCCGCACCCACCGTTCCAACGATCGATAAAGCTCCAGCTTCTTCTCCTCCCCCCCCCCCCAAATCACCACCACCACAGTCGCTCCAAAGTTTAGTTAGATCTACAGAAACAGCCCGCAATCATGTCGAACACCGACTTTGTTGGCGTAAGCATTCCCTCCTTCCCCCTTCCCCCTTCCCCCTTCCCCCTTCCCCCTTCCCCCTTCCCCCTTCCCCCTTCCCCCACCCTCCCGCCCCCAGCTGACGACGCACACAAGAGCTAACCAACGCGCGCCCCCCCCGCAGAAAGCCATCGCGATCGTCAAGAAGGCCATCGAGGAAGACACGGCGGGCAACTACGAGGTCGCCTACCAGCAGTACTACCAGGCCCTCGAGTGCTTCATGCTGGCCCTCAAGTGGGAGAAGAACCCCAAGATGAAGGAGTCGATCCGCACCAAAGCCGCCGAGTACATGGAGCGCGCCGAGAAGCTCAAGACGCACCTCAGCGAGAACACAAACAAGAAGAAGCCCAGCAAGCTCGGCGCCAACGGCAGCACCAGCAACAGCGGCGGCAAGAACGACCAGGACGAGGACACCATGGATCCCGAGAGCAAGAAGCTGCGCGGCGCGCTGGCTGGCGCGATACTGACGGAGAAGCCGAATGTGAGGTGGGAGGATGTGGCCGGGCTGGAGGGCGCGAAGGAGGCACTGAAGGAGGCGGTGATTCTGCCGATTAAGTTCCCGCATCTGTTTACGGGGAAGAGGAAACCGTGGAAGGGGATATTGCTGTATGGCCCGCCCGGGACCGGAAAGAGTTACTTGGCGAAGGCGGTGGCGACGGAGGCGAATTCGACGTTTTTCTCGGTCTCGAGTAGTGACCTGGTTAGCAAGTGGATGGGAGAGAGTGAAAGGTTAGTTTCCCCCCGCGTCGGGGACCCATTGGGTGGCGGGCGGGGAGGGCGGTGCTGATGTAGTGGTGTAGGCTCGTGAAACAGCTCTTCACAATGGCACGCGAGAACAAGCCGTCAATCATCTTCATTGACGAGGTCGACGCCCTCTGCGGCACACGAGGCGAAGGCGAGAGCGAGGCCAGCAGGAGAATAAAAACCGAAATGCTGGTCCAGATGGACGGTGTAGGGAATGACACATCCGGCGTCCTCGTCCTCGGCGCCACAAACATCCCATGGCAACTCGACTCTGCCATCCGGCGACGGTAACTAACCCCCCTTGCATATAGCCCAGGTGAGTAACTAACTAACCAACCCCCCGCAGATTCCAACGCCGCATCCACATCGCCGTCCCCGACATGCCCGGCCGCATGCGCATGTTCGAGCTCTCCGTCGGCTCCACGCCCTGCGACCTCACACCACAAGACTTCAAAACCCTCGCCGAGATGTCCGAGGGCTACACCGGCTCCGACATCAACATCGCCGTGCAGGACGCGCTCATGCAGCCCGTGCGCAAGATCCAGACGGCAACGCACTACAAGCGCGTCGGCGCCAAGCTCACGCCGTGCAGTCCCGGCGATGCAGGCGCGATGGAAATGACGTGGATGGACGTCGACCCGAATGAGCTGCAGGAGCCGGCCCTCGTGCTGAAGGACTTTATGAAGGCGATTAAGAATAGTAGGCCCACGGTCAGTAAAGAGGATGTGAAGAAGAGTGATGAGTGGACGCAGGAGTTTGGGAGTGAGGCGTAGTGGGAGAGTGGGGAAGAGGGGATGGGGGTGTTTAATGAGGGGATGGGGGTGGAGATAAAAAGATATTGGTTTTTTTTTTTTTTTTTTTTTTTTTGTTGCGCTGTTTTTCGTTTTTTCTTTTATAGGCCAAGCGCCTGAGGCCGCCGTAGCCATGGATGAATGGATATGTTTTTTTTGTAGGGTATGGTGGGTATGGTGGGTATGGTGGGTATACGTTTGTTTGGGTGGGTTAGGTATGGCGGGGGGTCTGTGATCGAGATATAAATCTAGATCCTACTTGAAATTCTGTTATTTCATTTTCATTTTTTTTTTGCGAGACTGTGGGGGAGGGGACTCGTAGATATTATATTCATGTTGTTCTTGTTATGTCGTTATGCATGTGGGGTGAAATCAATGGTGAACCAAATACAGTTCTTTTTCTCTATCTACTAGGACTATTGATCGAATGGTGATGACGAAATTAAAAGTAAAAAATAAAGGTAAAAAAATAAAAAGAAGAGAGTGTATTTATTGCCTTAACTGGTTAGGTGTCAACTTTATGGGCTGGCCGGGAAGCATTCGTCATCGTGCCGCGTCACGTCAGGTCCGTCGTCAACACAGAGGTTGAAGAAAAAAAAACTTTGTGATGCATGTTTCTGTGGAATCCTGCAACGATGCCAGAGCATACATGTTACGAGACACGTTGTCACTCGTTCCGTATCACCAGAGTACAGCTAATAGATACTGAAAACCCTCTCATTATGGATGGGCCAGGGCCAGCCGGAGGATTCGAACCCAGCCAGAATTTCGATTCACGCGTTGTGGATCATGAGGTATCACTCGGTCCAGGGCATCTCTCGTGGCCGTCGGGGGGATCAAACCTGAGGGAGGCAGAAGAAAGGTGATGTGGCGGAGGACTTGGATATCTTTGGGGGAGTTGGTTCCCTGCTAGTTGGGTGTTAATTGCGGTTGTAGCTCTTGTAGAGAGTGTGGTGGTTATAAGCTTTCCGTGCATGTGGCTGATCCTGGGCGTTGTTGAGGGATCTAGCGGGGGCGAGGGCTTGCAATTGAGTGAGTGTGTAATGAGTTGCGACTGGTAAGCTGCGTGGGGTATGTTACAACGTTCCGTAGGTTGTGATTGGTCCAATGTTGTCCGTAGCTCGAGGTAATGAAGGTCGAGGAAGAGCGTAGTGTAAAACGTACAGTGGCTCCCTCTACATTGTGAGATGCATACTCACGCAATTGAGTGCGGACAATTGTGCAAGCTACATCAGAGTGCAAGAGTAGTTCTGGTTGCCTTAACTGTAGCTCCGGTTTAATTATAAATAGCCACTTTCTGATCATCCTGAACCACCATCCTCAACAAACTAAGCTGTAGCATTTAATTTCATAACAATCCCACGAATTTTAATTCACCACCACTAACAACAACAGACAAAATGTCCTCCCTCATCACGACCACCACCTATGTTACCCTCAACGACCTCCCCTGTGAGATCATCCTCTCAATCCTATGCCTCTGCACCAGTTATGCCGAGCTCTTCAACCTCTCCATGGTTTCAGAGACTTGGAGGATGACCTACAACTCTATGAGGCCCACCATCCTCGCTGCCGTCACCAAAAACATTGTCGGTCCTGACGCATTCGACAATCTTGTCATCGTCCTCCGCTACCAAAGCCACACAACCATCAACGAGCACGGCGCACCGGTCGTCGATTATCCGAGTGTCAAAGCCGCCATGTCAGAGCGCTTCGTGTTCAATCATGAGTATTGTGAACTCGTCATGGAGAGCCAGAGACACTATAAACAAGCTTCAAGTGTCTTCAAGAGTTCGGTCGCTTGGGAACACCAGTTTGACGTTAGGCTGGCCAAGTGCCGCCCCGACGAGGAGTTGCCGATGGCCTTGTTCTTTGAGATGTGGGTTGCTGCATTGAGGTATGGCCTCGAGAGTCTCGCCGACTGGAGTAAGCATGAGGAAAACAAGGAACCGATGGATAACGACAAGTTCCTCAAGTACCGGGTCGCAGCTCCGTGTATGCTTGCTGGCGGGTTCGTTGCTGCTCCGCATTGGGGTAAGGGAGTCCATTCGATCTATCAAGAGTGCGGATCCGAGAACTGCTTCTTCGACGTTCTGTTGAGGGCCTATGGGGCCGAGGGACATGTTCTGCGGCTGTCGAAGTGCTCATCTCATTATACTCGCCTGCTTTCGGTCGATGCGAATGGGCGCCTCTATAGTTATAATTTTACGGAGTTCTATGATTTTCTTCATAACAATCCTTTGGAAAAGGCTATTGAGAAGTATAATTTGGATAGCGGCTGGCTCTGAAATCGGCAAGTCTTCGGTGCGTGGTCGAGATGATGGAGTGTGAGATACGTATACTTGTTGGATGATGGAAAGTTGTAAGTTTAGCTATACTCTCCTGTTCTTACTTATACATGGCTCTTCAATGACTAACTGCGGGACGTGTGTAGACTTACTTGATTTCTCAACTTCGATCTTGGCTGTTTATGCCCCGCAATCTTCTCGGGTTCGATCAGAATAGTTCATTAGGGGGTTTCAAAATATTAGAGTGCCACACATACACCTGTGAGATTGTGGAGAGTAAGTTTAGCTACGTCTTCTTGTTTATACGTGGCTCTTCAATGACTAACTGCTGGCAACGAACATGTGTAGACTTGCTTGATTTCTCAACTTCGATTTCAGCTGTTTATGTTCGCCATCTTCTCGGGTTGGATCAAAATAGTTCATTAAGGGTTATAAAAATAGGAGAGTGCTACTTCTTGTCAACGTAGATACATGTGTGAGTCCTGTATCAGAGTAGACGAATTTACAGTTTTACTTTCGGATGACTTTTTCTTTCTTTTTTTCGCATTAGAGTATTTCGCTGTAATATCTTTGAGGAGACTATGAAATTGTGTTTTTACAATTATTTACACGTAGTCTGTCATTACACGAAGGTGGTCTCGTTCCCAGCCTGTTGTCGCACTTCGTGGTCTAGTGCAGATAGATTGCGCACGTGACAACGACCACATCCCTTAAGTCCCGAGTGATGATCCATGATCACAGAAAACCAGCCCCACCAATCCAGCGCAACTAGGCACAAGCCTCTGAGAATCGAGTCAGAAGGACTTTCCATTACGAGTATCTGCACCCTCCCCAAGATTGAACCCTAGAGAATGGTTCGAATCTCAGCTAAAAGTGTCTTTGGATAGATCTATTCCCCCACCTTACAGTCGAGTTACAGGCCCCATTTTGCCCTTTTCCTAGACCAATCCACCAGTGAACAGCTCGCCGAAACTCTCATAGGTGATGAGCATAAATCTATCGTATACTCTAACCGCCCTGCAATTCGTGGTAAACCGATCGTATCCCGGCTCAAATGAGCCCGGAAAACCTATCATGACCCGCCAAAACCAGGAAAAGTTGGAAATTTGCACAGAGAATCTGTAGTCACCAGGAATATGGGTTGTCTATGGTTCTTTCTGCTTTCTTTTCCAAGGCTGCGTGGTTGGCAGGTCTGTAGGTAGGGGCATTGTAGGCAAGATGGGTGCGGAAAATTCTACAGAAATCTCAGAGTAAGTGTCTGGCATATACGTGTGGGGTCGATATGGTAGGGTTAGGTGGGATAAATGCTATGGCTTGCACAACTGCAGCAAGAGGATAGCTGGATGCGTACATGTAGGTTTCTGTGGGCAATTGCAACATAGCTTGCTGTACATGGCTAACCATATAGCTCAGGGCTAGGTGACATAGAGACTGTGGCCTGTGGGCGTGGACTTCGCAGCTTCTGTGGGTGGCTAAGAATTGGGATCACACACCCCAGGGTTAGGTGGGGTAGACACTTAGCTGTGTCTGCGAAATTTTTTGCAAGAACACAGCTACACACGTTTGTGTTGAGCAACTTTGAGGGTTAGGTGGAAAACACCAAGGTGAAAAAGTTGATGTGAGGTGGTCTTGGCGTTTTCTTCCCACTCAATAAAAGGCCAGCTCCTCCCCCTCCCTTTTTGTTTCCCTAAGGCCTAACAGTACGAAGTAAATGTTCGGGAGAACACGTTGACAATTTCTTTTGTTCTGCCCCCTCCTTAGTCCGCCGGATGACGACCGAAGTCTGGTGGGACTTGCCTATCACCAGGCCAGACATTTTTTTGGAATTCGGGCCCCTGGACTCATTCTGGGGGACCATAGTATCGCCAGCGTTACACTGCTGCCGGCTGATACGAAAAAAAAATCTTTTTTCGTTGCTTCTTGGCTGCTTGCGAGGAAGTAATGAAAGAACGTTTTTTTTCATTAATTTTTTGTATTTCAATCTTTTCATATAGTTTTCTAATCCAAGATTTTTATTCCTTTTTTTCTTCTTTTTTTTTTCTCTTTCTTCTTTTTTTGTTTAATTGTTTAGTTTTGCCTGCTTTTTCCTATGTGAATTCCGTGGACTGCCTGCTGTATATGTTACACGTAGATACATCTAGAGACTGGAGCTGGACACGAACAGAAGTGAAGCCAAACTTCGCATTTGAAGTGCAAAAAGAACTCAAAATGCGTTCACCGTTACAATGCCAAACGTGCCCCGAGAAGCACCAGCAGCAGAAGAAGAAGCAGCGGAAGAAGAAGCAGCAGAAAAAGACACAATCTCTAACTTGCTCGCGAAATTTCTTCCCAGCTTGAGTACGAGTCCTACTCCATTTGGCACCTTGTCTAAAGAAAAAAAAGAAAAAAAAGCACGGCCTTGGCATTCTATTGGCTAAACACTCAGAAAAAAAGAAAGGCCGGGTCACACTCTGTTGACAAATATCTTTAGAGTCACGGAATATCACTCGCGTGTGGCTGCATGTGTAACCCTTGCAAGAGAGACATATCTCCATTCAACTAGAAGACTCAAACTATCTCGCCATGGCAGAAAGTTAGTGTCGGTGCGGTTATCGATTGAGCTTTAATTTGTAGCATGAAGATCATGACTCGCGCAAGGCCAATGGTTCATGGGCTGTGCGTGGCTGGCCGTGGCCAGGGGCCGGGTTGATTCTCGACTCGAGGGCCAATTGATCGACTGCTAACATCGAGCGCGAGGTTGGCTAGATAAAGCTACATGCAGCTGTCAAACACTGTGGTGGGTGACATGCCTCTTCTTTAATCCCCTATACCTTTTTTATTTCTTCAACAAACAAGTACGTTTTACAAAAGCAGCCTAGCGCCACTTAATTCCTGCTAATGATACATCCGACAATTGCAAGTTTACTCCAACATGCCACCTCCAACATCACCCACAGCCAGCTAGCCACCTACGACCCCAGCGCAAAATCGATAACCTGCAGCTTCCTATCCGGATACGACCCGGACTGCCTGAAGAACACAGAGAGTATATTCTGGTCCTTCAACCTCGCCTTGTCGAACAGCGGCTCCGTACTAAATCCTGTTCCTGTCCACAGGAGCTTCCAGTCCTTGAACGACCCCGCGACCGTCGATGCGTAGATGTACACCTCTGTGTTTGTGTTGGATGGGATCAGCGCAATGAGCTCGCCGCTGTTGGCGATTGCCAGCTTGCCGCGGAGGCCGGTGGCGGTGGGAGCACCGAGGCCGCTGATGGAGAGGGCATTGCGGGTCCAGATGCCTAGGGGTGTGTTAGTAGGGTGACCAACGGTGTGGGGGGGAAAGTGTGTGTGTATGGGGGGGGGGGGGAGGCATGGCTTACCAGTAGCGCTCCGCCAATAATGGTACCACAAATAGGTGCCGCTCGTCGTCTCCCTATTCAACACATGGAACCTCCCGGCTGCATCCGCAATCTGCCCCTCCTGGTTCAAGATCCCACTCCCTTGCGGGATCGTGTACACAATGCTTCCGCTCGTCGTGGGTCCAATGGCCGTGCCGGCGCTCATGCTCGCAATTGTGGTCCCGGCGTTGTTCTTCCACGTAAGCCCCTTATCGTCGGAGTAGGCATAGCCAAGGTCGTGGTTTGTCACAACGTCGGGTGTCTCGCGCCAGGTCCAGGAGGCTTGGAGGCGGCCCGAAAGGTAGTCGATGCCGTTGATGTAGGCGTTGTTATCGCTGCCTTGGAGGTAGCGACCGACTTGGGACCAGCTGTGCGTGCTGGAGCTGTAGAGGTAGATGTAGGAGTCGCCGGAGCCGGAGCTGTGGGTGGTTAGTGTTTTGTGGATTGAGAGGGGATGGGGGCAAACTTACGCGCCAATTCGGAGCTCGAAGAAGAGGTCGTTGTCGACTCGCTCGAAGCGCGGGTATGTGACGGGTGTCCAGATGCCGGTTGCGCCGGGGAGGGCGTTGAGGGTGCTGCCGAAGAGCGCGGTGGACCATGTGTAGGAGGCTGGGTTTGTTGCGACGCCCTGCTGCGAGACGCGGTAGTGGAGAGGGACGTCGTGATGGTCTATCCATGCCAGGGGGAGTCAGTATCTGAAGAATTGACATGAGGGAGAGAGGGAGGAATATACCATAGCTGAGATGGATGGTACCATCGCCGGTAGAGATGCCCAGCGAGATCGTATTATGCCCATCAATAGTGGTCTGCACATAGTCCTTAAAGACAATGAACTCCCACGCCGCAACAGGATTAATCTTGCGTCGGCCAAGCGTCACCAGGTTCTGTGCATATGTGCCTGATGTATTATAGAACGCTGCGTACTGCCTGTGTGTGTTCATTTCAAACATCAGCTTTTTTTCCAGTCCCAGCGATCATTGACAATGCACGGACCATCCATTATACGACGTGATCGCACTCGTCTGAAAGCTCCCGCCATTGAGGCGCGCACTGCCCTCGACATCAACCCCCAGCGTCGTTGTTGTCGCGCTTGTGATTGACAGCCCAAAGACCACTGAGGCTGCTGCGGTCAGCAGCCAGAGGAGTGTATGGAAATTAGCCTGCATAGCTTGCTTGTGCCGTCGTCTTTTGCAAAAACTATTCGAGCAAGCTGCTTGATCTTCGCTTTTCAATGGGGTGTGGGCTGCTTCTTATATACGGAGCTTAACTAGCAAGCAATATATCCCACCCAGCAGGCATCGGCGGGCAAACCGGCAGATAGCACTCGGCGTACGGACTAATAATGTCCGCCAACATCTCGTGTTGTGTTTTTTTGTTGTTTATAACCCGGTATTTAGTCGTAATCATCTCCTGGGTTCGTGAGTTCGTGGGTTCCTGGAATGGACGGACGAGCAGCGGAAAAATCCCCGGAGCAAGGCGCGGCGTGGCAGTAGGCTAATGTTTGGTCTGTGTGGGGAAGGATAATGCGGGGTGGGTGTGAGGAGGGTGGAGTTTAATCTAGACTTTTGTATGTGCATGCAGAGGGCAGATATATACCCCTGCATGGAGGGATGTGATGTGCGTGGGTGTGCCGATCACTACGGCAACTCTTGGAGAGATTGATCACGGCAGCGGCTGCTCGGATTCCGCACGCTGCCTGCCTTTCCCCCGGCTTTCGGTGCCAGGGCCCGAAGCAGTGTGCTTGTGGAACCCAACATGTGCAGTGGGCGGTGACTGTAGGGAACAGGGCAGAGTGCTCTACTGACTCGTGCTCGCCAGATGCAGTCTAACTGAGAATGCTTCGATTTCCTGGAGGCTCTACCCTATTGCCCTAAATATAAAATGAGGGGTGGATGATGGATAGACGGATCCAGTGGGTGCCACAACTCGGGTGGGATCCTTCACCGATCCCAACCATATAGCCGTTGCAAGTTATAACGTGCTTAGCAAAGTGCCGAGTGAGCATTTGTGATGGTAGGTAAATATTAATTATAGTTCCCAAAAATACAGCCCGCGCGCTCTAACTACATGAATGGCCTAAAACATAACAATAGTAATAATAATGATAATGAAAAGACCATAAGATTGCAAAAGACAGCCGATTTCGGGAACATGAGTCTGGGGAGGAGTAGTGTAGATACTGCAATATCACTCGACAAAATAACAGTGCCCCGCAAACCATTTCACCTCCCAAAGTTTCCATTTCTATTCTCGTTACACTTGAATATTCCCCCCTGCTTCCTTTAAAATAATCCCGTTTACACTCAAACATACTCCATCAGTACTCGCCCAATGCTGCCAGTTCTTGCTTAACCTGGTCCTCCGTCTTGATCTTCTTTAGTTGTGTATCCTCGAGCTTCTCTCCGCTGGCCAGTCTCGCTTTCAGGTCCTCGATAGCTCTCAACTTCTTATTCAGGCCTCTGAGTTTTTTCTCATTACTTGAGGGAGTATCCGGCGCTTCTGGTTTAGGAGACTCACTCTTAGGTGGAATCTCCACTACTTGCGGCGGAGCCAATGTCTCGGCTCCGGATCTCGACGGGTGCTGCGAGTGCGTGTTGCGATCGCTCTTGCTCTTAGTCCTCTTGAGCCCGTCTTGATCCCGGTCCCTGTTGTTGCGACTCTTGCTCCGGGGGTGGGGGCTGCGGTTGTCCCTGCGGGTCTGGTGCTCGCGCCCATCACGACCTTGGCGCTCGTTGTTGTTACCGTTCGCGGGGCCAGAAGGGGCTCCGGGAACCCCAGGGGCGCCTTGCTGCTGTTGTTGCTCGAGCTTCGCCTTTTTAGCAGCCTCCCGCTTCTTCTTGTTTTTCAGTGCAGTCTTGCTAAGGTTATCCTCATCAGCGCCAGTGCCAGTTCCGGCCAATGACACGCCACCACCTGGAGCTGCTCCAGGAACAAACTTCTCAGCTGGCGCAGCGCCCGGGACTTCCCGCCTCTTCCCTCTTCCAAAACCGTTAGCGGGTCCGGAGCCGCCGCCATTGGCATAGATATGCGCCGCGCCGCCCTCATCTTCACGTTTGAAGTGGAGTGGGGTTGCCGTATTACGGGCATGCGGTGGGCGATAAGCACCAGTTGGCTTCTTTGGAGCGGTAGTAGCAACGTGCGCGGCTGCTGATGGGTGCGGAGCCGGAGCAGCTGGGAGTGGGTTAGGCAGCGGGTGAGCAGAAGCGGCCTGGGGACGCCAAAAGACGTTGTAAAGCTCATCGATTTCACTGGAGTACATCAGTTCTCCAGTATAATGCCAAATCTTGACACCATTATCAACCCTCAACCTCGGGCTAGTAGTGGCAGTTAGGATGTGCCTTCCATCCGGACTCCATTCGCAAACACTAGCGTTAGAGGCCTCGATCGTGCAGATCTTCCTCATTCCAGCTTGCCTGTCGTAGATATCCATCGATCCGTTCAAATTCCCGAAACCGGCAACAAGAACAAACCTGGCGTGGGGGGAAAAGAGGATAGTGTTTCTTGGTCCCGGGGCAAGCTGATGGACGGCCTTGGCGCGAAGATCGAAAATAGTCGTCTTAGCAGGCATGAATCCATAAACCACACCAAATTCCTTGGAATCAGCCGACCAAGCGACATCATGGATAGGCCCTTCTTTATCTATAATGAAGTCCTGTATTAGTAGCGAACCCTATCACGGAGTTGAGGAGTTTATGCATACCAAGAGAAACGCGGCAGTCGTAATTACCAGCCACGGTAATCAGGTAAAGGTTAGTCTCCCCATAGTAACTTTTCCCAGTCTTATCTGCGTCAGTCTGCGCAAAAATAAGAACGCTGGTTCCCGTCGCATTCCACTTCAGTTGAATCCTGTCCGCCTTGAAAAAGCTCTTTTGGCACAAAATAGCATTCCATTGAGGAACCTCATAAACTCTAACCTGAGCTGGGTTTCCCTTTTATAATAACAAAGTCAGCGCTTCTAGTCCGCCTCAAGGAATTAGAAACCAATCACCTTTCGTTCCGGGATAAAAACAGCGACAGAATAGTTCTTCCCAGGACTCAGCGCAAAGTCCATGACCCCCTCGACGCGAAGATGGCCCCAAACAGTGGCCATGTTATTGGCCTCGAAAAATTGGACCTCATTGGTGACGACCCTTGCGCAGTACTTCTCATCATGAGTGTACTGAAGGTTCCATCCTGACTGAGACTTCTGGACGAAAGCTATAACATGCTCTGCAGTTGCTGTTTTCCAGACTTTAAGGTTCTTTGTTGCGTTACCATCTTCCTGTTTGGCTTCGGGGGTGTTAGTAGCCGGACAAACGGAGACTTTAAATCAACTGAAGCAACATACTAGGCCTTTCCCATGTAATAATATAACTTCCGTGAGGAGAGAACCCAATTTCATGTACATTCTGAGCTGGAAGAGTGCTGATCACCTCCCCGGTATCCGGGTTGGATATTTTAACACTGTTAGGTATGAGTCAGCATGAAGCCTGAAACGAGATATCCGCAAGATTCGCGTAGGAGGACTCGGTTTGGAACAGGGAATTCGTACTCTTCATTGCATGCCCAGGCGAAATATTTGCCATTTGGACTGTATACACAGCATCTGTTGTTGGTCTCTGGTCTGTAGTGGCACGCGAAGAGTCAGTTTAGGGCGTTGACGACAAATTTTAGGTAGAGTAGTTCTCTACGCAAGATTGGGGGAAATATCACTTATTAAATCCAGGCTGCGGCGAATATTCGGGATATGCTTCAGTCAAGCCGATAGTCTTCTGTGACCGGACTGGAGGGGTAAAGTCAGCTCGAAGATTCCATCAATCATGATTCCATCCCATCATCGCCACGAATACCCGGAATCCGACCATGATGTTAAATCGCTGTAGGTCTTATCTTCAGAAGTTATAGATTCCGGTTGATTCGCTTTTCATTGATATTTAAAGTGAGGGCCTCGGATTAGTTGACTTACAAGCAAACTGGGTCTGTACTGTGGTGGCTGCCATGGTGACCCTCGCAAGTGAATGGGAGAGTTAAATTTCGGAATCTAGCGGATAGAACTTTTTGTATATTCTATTCACTTTTCCTTCGTTTCGATTCTTTAAAATTGTATAGATTTTGTGGTTAAGTTATGTCGATTTTTTGCTTTTTTTTCTTACTCGGAAGTTCGATCTGTTTCAAGGGTGGGTACCCGGGAACTCGTCTAGAACAACGGGCGAATTATGAGAAAATTAACCAGACTTGGGTATTGAAAAGAGTGAGCAACCTTGCAAGAAACCGAAAAGGCAAAAAACTGGCAAAATGTGCAAAGCTTGAACACCGGAAGTCTCGAGGAGTAGTTAAACCACCGAGAACAGGGGCGGGACAAGAAGAACCGAAACGAAGAGGCCGAGGGGAGGATCGCGAGGCGATGGTGGGAAGGTTGAGGAAACTGAGACTCGGGGGAGGGAGGAGAAGAGAAGGAGAAAGAAGGTTAAGAAAGGAACACGACGACAAGCTAAAACAGAGGACGCCCCCCCAGACTGAGAAAAAGCATGCTTGTGTGCGTCGCTGCAACGAACGAAGGGGTCGCAAGCAGCAGCACCACCAAAATCAGCCGGTAAAACTTCCTTGTTGGGGAAGGCGGGACAGCTTGAACCACGAAGGACCACACCCAAGTAGAATTTCTGCAACCGCTGGCACAGCTTATGGACAAGTGGGGCGAAGTGAAAAAGTAAAAAAAGACAAAGCCTCTCTCTCTCTTACAAAAGTTACATACAATCTTACCTTTAATTTCCAACATCAAGTCAGCACGTATTGATTCTACAAGGACCTGACTTCATCTTAGCAGGGGGGCGATTGCAGTCGTTAGTGGGGGAGAGCTCGAATCCTCAGAAGAGTTTGGATTCACCTGTCAACGGGCTCTCAGCGGGGCTCCACGCTTGAATTCGGGATTTATCAGGGTTCTTCCGTCGATCAATGCAGTCTCAAATTAACGATCTTGACCTCGCAACACAAGACAATCCATGCATTCTCTCGCACGGAACATGCAGCTTTTAAAAATCCGATCTGATTACGATAATCGTTTGACATGTTTACGTGGTGTTTGTTTCAAACATCAGCCTGAAAGAGAAAGACCATTTCCTTGATTGTTTTTTCCCTTCAACGGCGACTAGAAATAATCCGATAGAAATTCGAGGTAGCTACAATACCTAGCTCATACGTGTCCAAAATCAGATGTATGTAGCTGGCAATTTCTGCTCCCTGTCTTTGCAACTCCAACCAGCACAGCCATCCTGCTTTCTATTCGAACCCCAATTGAATTGCCTTTTTCTTCGCACTGCGGGCCTCGAGCTATCTATTTCTACTAAACAAGCACTCGGCACGCAGCCGTTTTAGTTGAAAGAAATACCGAGCCGTGCCAATCTCCCGCACGCCATTGTGTTAAATAGCACGTGAAAATTACACATATATGTATCTGCATTAATTACTACCTGTGAGGAAGTAAAGGATCCAGGGGACAGAATATACCAAAGTATCTTCTGTAGCTGGCGAGGCTGCAATTTCGAATTGGCTGCTCAAGCTCCACCGGTCCTGAATCTTATCTTGCATCAAGATCCGAAATCAAGATAAATATTTCATACCGGACCAAGAAGTCTTGGAAGAGCACAAGATCTAAGATCGAAGAGCCAAGAGTTGTTTATGAAGGTACACAACGTCGGCCACGTTTGGTGGGCCTGACTAGGAACATTGGACCGTGCACTGGCATGGCAATCCTGGTCATTTCTAATCAACGCGGTATATATTCTACACTCATGGTAGACTCGCACATACATGGAATACCTTGATGCATGCGCACCCTCATCAAGAAAGGGGTTCGATATTACACCCGAGTGATAAAGAGGAAGCGCAGGCCTACATGGGATCATTTCTATAATCAACCGAGGAATAATTAACACAAATCCCAAATATGCAAAAGTCTGATCAAGCATGCAATTACTAGCAAAACGTTGGATAAGTTTGGAAATATTAATATGCGTGCCGCAGGTGTCCTAGTACTGATTTATTTTTTTATTTATTTTTTATAGATGGAGATATCGTCTCATATCTTACACTGACATCAAAAGCGCCCTGTAATGTACTCTTTCCTCATAACATTCTTCCTGAATCGCCATACTCCAGCGCCCATCCCGCCTGCACCCTCCACTGCGCCAGTATTAATCCATGGTGCATCCTCGTGGAACGCACCAACCATGTCCCATACCGGCAGCTCACCTCTTCCTCTCACAAGGACTACTTTCAAGCCGTCCTCCTCCCACCTCGCAATATCCCTTTCTCTAATACTCGTCAAGAGTTGCAAACATCCATTTTCCACGTCAACAGCACGGATCAATGCCAGTCCAGCCGCAAAACTACTTTCCGGCACCGGTGTCTCTGCAATCCATGGTAGCCCCGACCCTGGCGCGGTGACAGTTTGTGGGAATGCATACTCCTCTATGAGCACCACGCCCACCAGTGTGCCATCGACCGCAGTGATGAGTTCCTTAGGCGCCACATTCTCAGTCAACACCGCAATCCCATCAATGCCCGCCTCAGGGCCTGTGTATGGAACAACCCACGGCGCCATGCCCGTTAGCGGGGTGACAAAATCCCAATTTCCCTTCTCGGGACGATGATGCATATAGCACATGGTCTGTAGTAGTCTTAGATCTGCCGCCGTATACCTATTAGACGAAACCCCCGCAACACTCATCAACTCATGGATCGCCACATTCGGCGGGATTACCCCCAGGACAGGGTTGAAACGCTCTGAGGGGGTGGCGATATGCACTAGGTCTGATGCCTGTGAATTGTAGATGATTTCACTGAGTAACTCCAGGCCGAGGCCCTTTGTCCACCCAGCAGTATTGATGAGGAGAGGGGTTCGGGCGTCATCCCCGCTTGTGGCCGACTCTAGGTTCTCGCGGTAGGCGGCGATTAGATTTATAATACATGATATATAATGTGCTGGGTCATCCTTTGGCGAATTGTAACCTGTATAATGGGCCCGGACTACAGTATCTGGATTCGAATGCGTGAACTGTGGTCCGAAGACCGGTTCTGTAATACGGTGAAGAGAGACGAAGCCTTCGGCGGTGAATTCAGGTTGGCCGGGATCTACATCGAGGAAGGCGACTGAGGCACAAGTCGATGTGAGAAGCTTATTGATAAGGGCGCGGCAAAAGGTGGATTTCCCCGCGCCTTTGGAGCCGGTTATTATTATTGAAGGGGGAGAGGGTGTAGAGTGTGTTTCCGGGGCGTTTTTCTGGATGAGGGTATCATAGACGGAATTAAAACTAGGCGAGGTGTTTATTGTAGGGACGGGGTAGGTGGTGGAGAATAACTATTCTCGTTGTTAGTAGCTGCCAATGATTAAAAGCCGATAACCTTACTGGGAAAAATGATACTGTCTCCTCGGTCCCCTTGGGCTTGGTTCCTGCCGGGGTCCATATGCTCTTAAACAACGGAAATATTTTCCCGATATCTCTTAGTCCCGAGTTGAGGTCTGTAACTATAATCTCTGTATCAAATCGCTGATCCTTTCCCTCCGCCTTACCCTTTAAACTGTTACATTCGATAACTGGCAATGGTCCGGTTGAAGGCGCATATATGGTTTGGCGGCCTGATTCTTTTGTCAAGGTAGCTCCGTAGAGTGTTATGCTTCCTGTAACGACCTCGAGGACATATTCGCCGAGTACAACGAGCGTTTCGCCGGAGGTGAGGCGGAAGGTACCAGTAAGATTATCTTCAGACTGGATATAATTGTCGACGTTGGGAACAAAGGTTGAAATCTGAATCGGTTCTTTCTCTACGGGCCTATATCCCATCAATTGGTGAGTATTCATCCCCGCTATTATACCAAAGAGCTACTGACCCTTCATTCACCTCCACCATAACCTCAACATCATCCTCAAATCCTCTTGCAACCTCTGCAAGCTCGCCTACATCGACCATTTCCTCGTCTGCTACGTCGGTGCTCTTCCGCCCGCTTATTATGCGCGCAAGCGCCGAATCATCTAGGCTCGTGTTCCCATACTCCTGCGCCGTAGCCGGAGTGGCTGTCTGTGCTTGTAGCTTAAGCTTCTCCTCGATCTCGCGCCGCTTCGCTGCAATTTCCCCGTCCACACCTGCGCTCTGGGTCTCTGCTACTGCGGCTGTGGCCGTCTCTGCTGCGGGGCTTTTTGTTGTTGTTGCTGCTGTCGTCTTCTTCTTCTTGGGCTTCTCGGGGGTCTCTGCTGCTACTGCTACTGGCGCTGGGGCAGGTGGTTCTGGTGCAGCGGGCACAATTACGTCGCGTGACCGCAGCCTGCGCGCCGCAAGTGCGCTGATGGGCGCTGCTAATGTGGGGGTTTAATACATTGCTCCATGTCATGTTCGGGAACGATTGGACTGTTAGAGGTACCTTTTACTTCGTCTCTGCTGCGTTTCGGCATTTTTGGGGAGGTGGTGGTGGTGTTGGTGGAGGCTCTGGGGAACTTTTTTTCGGTAGGGATGCAGGAACATCGAGGATCTGATAAGATTATGCAGCTCCTGGGATCAACTCACGATGGATACATGTATCGACTGCCGGGAATAAACTAATGAAGATACATACAGCAGGCTTGAATCAACGCCCCAAAACCAGCGCAGTTCGAGCGTGAAGTTAAAGTTACTGCTAATAAAATGTCGGTGGCTTGCCAGTCAGTGTATCTCTTGGCATGACTTTATTTTGGGGAGATTGTTCCTGATATGGGAATTGGGGGAAGCTAGCCTTAGTACTAGCGAGAAACGAATACTACTAGCGAGAAACGAATACTACTAGCGCGGTATGTGAAAGATTAGATCTAGGCCAAGATCTAATCAATAGAGAAAATCCGCATTTGAACCTACATACTAAAGATGTCTCACATATCGTACCTCACCACTTTCTTATTTTTCATCAACCGTTTCTTTACTAAGTATCAGGGATAGGAGCGTTTCACAAAAGATAGGGACTTGAACTTTCTTTCTTTTCTTTCTTTTTCTTTTTCGATACATTACTATCTAAAACATGATCCTTCCCATCGTGCACACGGCAAACAAAAGACCTAGTAGTCTCCCTACCCTCCGTGCAAAGCACCCAACTTTCCGGCACCAATTTGAGTTGAGGTATAATCTCTTCCCAACCTACAAATCCCATATCTTGTGAAGGATTGTATGTTGGGGCTGTCGTCCCCGAATAAAGCACCGACTATACCCGGCAAAATTTCACGTCAGTAAAAGCTGCTCCTTAGACATAAAAGGAATTAAGGCTGTGTTTACATACTTGGTTCCTCCCGCTCCTCCTGACAACAAAACCTAGTGGCCTCTGCGGGCCCCGCACCCGGCAATCTTTTGGGGCTTTTGGGGAAGCTCAAATATCTTGCACTGTCTATGAGTTGCAATGTTAGCCATAATCTTATTATATGAAATCATCATTTAGGAGAATAGGGTTACCAATCACTGGCTTACCTACAAAGAAGCTATGAGTGGAGCGTGGGGTGGGCGGAGTATCCTATCGCGACCCAGAAAACAAGAACCACCCCGAGTCGCTAGATGATTCCGAAGGTGGTGTTGGCGTTCTAGCCTGAGGAGGGGTAGCGTACCCGGAGGAATCAAGCAGTGTTGCTTACAAGACTAGGAGGTGGAGGAGGTTGAAGCGGAGGAGGCGGAGGTTGAGGAGGTTGAGGTGAAGGAGGCAGAGGCAGAGATGCCACTGCGAGTTTCTCGCGAGAGGTCCATATCCCGTAGGGATGATGGCGAGGAGAGAGAATCAAGCATCGCTGCTTGCAAGACAACCGGGCCTCTCCTATGGTAGGGAGGAAAAGCGAGAACCATTCGGATGCCTTCTGGCGCCCCTCAACCCCCCGGAAAAGCTACGCCGTGCGATGATGGCTTAAAGACAACCAGGTCTCCCTTACAGGTATTTTGGGGTAGGCCTCCCCGATGGGGAGGTCCTGCCCATATCACGCCTTCCTCGGAACCCGAGAAACAAACACCTATGAGATAATTAGCATGAACGGTTTTGCAGTAATATTTAGATTCAAAACCAAGGGTGGCATACTTAGTAATACCTCCATTGCTACACCAGCCAAAGAAGATTTGGTTTTTCTGGAGCGGAGGCTAGGAGGAGAGGTGTGGTTGGGCGAGACCCAGAAGGAGAAAGGGGGAGGAGGAAAAGAAATCGCAGGAGGTCGAAGAGGAGGGGAGGAGGAGGAGGAGGAGGAGGAGGAGGAGGAGAAATGAGTCGAAGAGAGAGATGAAAAGGGAGCTGAAAGCCCTCCCGATTCAATCTCTCTAGTCTTCTTGATTTTGTTCCCGCTCTATTGACTCGCTCGATGCTGTCAATGAGAGCTCTTCAGACCACCGAGGATTGTAAGCCCCTCAATATCGTTCTTAAGAGGCATTAGAAATGTTTCAAAAAAAAAAAAGAGAGAAAGGATATTGATGCTCTCAAACTTACCTCAAAAGGCAGCACCAGACACCGAGATCGTGCGGCATGCCGGCAGGCAGCCCACCGGCACCGAGAATCGTCCAAGTTAGGACGCGGACCCCCTATGCTGCTGCAAATTCTTTCCAACAGCAGCAATAGGTCGAGGGCGCCGAGCCCCCCCCGATACCTTTCCTAAGAGATGTTAAAAATAGAAAAATGTTGATGCTCTTAAACTTACTTCTTAAAGCCCCACAGGACACCAAGGCTCATGGCAGTCCACCCCATCCGCCTTACGGAAAACCGTATGAAGCGTTCGAACGCCCCTCGATTATTGCTGCTGCATATTTTGCAGCAGTATTGTAGATCCAGGGAGTTGAGCTGATGCTCTTCTCCCTTTCTCTTGGGGATGAGGGGTGGTTTTTTTTTAAAAAAAAAAAGAAAAGAAAAAATAGGGGAGGGGTTAAGAAAGAAGAAGGATCGGTGGCGACCGGAGAGGAGAGAAGAGGCCTGATGAGACGGAGCTCGGGGAGGGAGGGAGGGAGGGAGGGAGGGAGGGAGGGAGGATCAGAGGCATAGGATCGAGAGGATCCCCCTCCCAGTCTTCCGATGACGCTGAGGTCAGTGGAGGACTTGATGTCATCCAAAGCTCTAGATCTTGATGTTCATCTCAAGCTTTTGATGTTATCTCAAGCTCTTGATGCCACTCAAAGCTCTTGAAGACTTTGGAGGCTATTTTGCGAGTATGGAGAGGGAAGAGGGGAAAGGAGGGGTCGGGGGCTCTATTTATGGCTCAGAGAAGGATGATGGAGTATTCAGTACACGGGCGTAGCTATAGAAAATGGGACAAGCTGGCGGAGGGGGGCAGAGACAGGGAGGGGAGGGGGACGTAATGGTTCATGCTCCTTTAGCTTCAGCTCGATGCGAGACCGCCGTGGGGATGGAATACATAAATATATATCCGGTATGTCTAGTCCTTCATCAATTCCAGCACTCGATACAGAAAAGACAATAGGAATTTTAATCTACTGAACAATGCATGTAGCTAGAAGTTAATAGATCTATTGTTTTCCACTCTTACCATTCCCATTATGAGTATCCCCTAATACGCCATGATAAAAAATCATGAGTACAATAAGCGACAAACACCCTTCCGTTCCGCACACCCCTACCAGCCCCTACTAGACAATACTAGAAGACAACAGGCCCACAGACGAGCCACCCCCTCGCCCATGCCAAAAGCTAGACCCCAACGGCAACCTTTACCCCACGCGGAAACCTATCATTCATGAAGCCATAGCCGTAGCCCCTCCTCTGCCACTCGTGAGCCATATAATCGCCGCATAGTCCGCCGAACCCCCCGCCATCGTGCCCACCACCTCCCCCCAAGCTGACCCACCGACAAATAATAAAAAAAATACTCAAGAACTCACCAAGTAAGTACTATCTACGTCTAATTATCTACCACCATCTTCCCCTCTCATTCCTCGTCCCCGCCAAAACCGCCGAGAGACGATCCACAAATTTACCGGTTACACAATCATTGACTTGTCGTCTGACGGCCTTGCTGGTGCGGTCGATCATTGACCTCAGGTACAGGTAGTGTGTGTGTGTGGTACCGCGGATGCAGGGGAAAGAGGTTCGACGCTAGTGCGGGAGTTGTGTGCACGGGTGAATTTGCGACGGCTGGGGTGGGTGGTACTGGGTGGGCTGCCTCACTGCTTTTGGACGGCGGGTTGTGTGGTTGGTTATCGAGAGTTATTAGTGGGCGAGTGATCGGGGGTGATGAGGAAGGAATGTCTGTCGCTGGTGATGATGGCATGATGGGTTTGGCGTAGATGCTTGGGTGCTTTGTTTTGTTTGGTGCTTCATCTATAATTCGGGTGGATAGTTCTGTAAATTGATTGACACGAGATCTTTTATTTAAAAGCTGCGTGCGCTCTATCACCGCAGACCCAACCAACTACACCGTTCTCACCCCCCCCCCCCCCCCAGGCACAGACAGACAGCTATATCTATCCGCACACCCAGACCCTAATCCTAATAGAACCGAAAGAAAAAAAAGCCAAAGACAAGAGAGCGAGAAAAAAAAAGAAATGGAAGGAAAGAAACCAACTAAACAAGCCACACCGCTCTATACACACACCACAAATCTACCCAATGACCTTCTTCACCTCCTCAATCTGCGCCAACACACACTTCCTCGCCGTACCGCCAATGGCCGCCCTCCTCTCCACGCTCGTCTCGAAATCAAACACCATGGCGACATCCTCCTCGAACTCGCCCCTGAGGCCCTTGAGCCTCTCAAGGCCCAGCTCGTCAATACCGTTCAGGTGAAGATCCTCCGCCATCCTGACAGCCGCACCAGAGACATGGTGGGTCTCGCGGAAGGGGACACCCTTGCGGACGAGGTAGTCGGCCAGATCGGTGGCGAGCATGTCCATGGTGAGGGCACCACGCATCTTCTCCGGGTTGATGGCGAGGGTCGAGAGCACGCCCGTGGCGATCTGGATGGAGTCGAGCAGCGTGCGGGTGCAGTCAAACAGTGGCTCCTTGTCCTCCTGGAGGTCCTTGTTGTATGTGCTGGGCAGCCCCTTGAGCGTGTACATGAAGCCGGCCATCTGCCCAAACACACGGCCGCTCTTTCCGCGCAGCAGCTCGAGCGAGTCGGGGTTCTTCTTCTGCGGCATCAGCGAGCTGCCGGTCGAGTACGCGTCGGCGAGCTTGACGAAGCCAAACTCCTGCGTCGAGTAGATGATGAGGTCCTCGGCCCACCTGCTGATGTGCCCCATGAGCAGCCCGCCCCACATCATGGTCTCAACCACAAAGTCGCGGTCCGCAACACCAACCATGCTGTTCCCAATCACGCCCTCGAACCCAAGCTCCTTCGCCAGAAACTCGCGGTCAACCTCAAACGGGTTACCCGCCAGCGCGCCGCACCCAAGCGGACACTGGTTGACCCGCTTCCGCACCTGCCTGAGCCTCTCCAGGTCGCTGGCAAAGTAGCTCGCCTGGCCCATCACCCAGTGACTCCACCGGATGGGCTGCGCCCGCTGCAGATGCGTATACCCGGGCATCAACACATCCATCTCCATCTCGGCGCGGCCCACATGCGCCTTCACAAGCTCGACCAGCGCGCCCTCAATCTCGTCGAGCGCCGCGCGCAGCCAGATGCGCATGTCGGTGGCTACCTGGTCGTTCCTGCTGCGCCCCGTGTGCAGCTTGCCGGCGATCTCGCGCCCAATGAGCTCGCCGAGGCGGCGCTCGTTGGCCGTGTGGATGTCCTCGTCCGTGCCGTCGGACGCGATCACGAACGTCCCGGAGAGCCATTCTTGCTCGACGAGTGCGAGACCGCGGATGATTTCGGCGCACTCGTGCGCGTTGATGATGCCGCGGTGGTGCAGGGCTTTGGCGTAGGCGGTGGAGCCGAGGGTGTCGGCGGTGTGCATGCGCTTGTCGTAGTGGATGGATTCGTTGTAGACGGTCATGAGGGGGTCGACCTTGCCTGTGCGGGTGTTAGTGGGGGCATTGAGGGGGCATTGAGGGGAATTGAGGGGCATTGAGGAGAATTGAGGGGGACTGGGGGATCATGAGGGAGCGTACCGGTAAAACGGCCACCCCAGAGTTTTGTAGACGCCATTGAGTGTGGTGGTTTGGTGGTTTGGGTGGTTTTTTTTTCTCTGTGTTGGTGAGCAGTGGCGATGCGGTGACTCAAATGATGTGGAGATGGAGCGATGGATGGATTGATTGATGGAGGGGACGCTAGCCTGCGAGTGCCCCGCCTTTTGCCAAGCGTCACGGAATGTCACTCGGGGTAATGATCGTTTTTTTTGCTTTTTGTGCTAGTTATTCGGAGTGCGGTCTATGAGACAGGTGAGAATCGCATTTATGGTTCTTCCCCGAGAGCGGAGAGAGGATGGATTCCTTTTATAATGGACAAATTGAAGAAGTCATAGCTAGCACGCAACTACATACATATGTATCGGTCAACTAAACTCGCTGTCTTGACACGGTGGTAATAACAAGTCCTTAGCAAAGACCGCAGAAAACACCATTTACTGACGCCCCTATGTAAGCTACATGTAACTACATTTAGCGGGGGCCGTAAGCCCTTTTCCATTCATACATGTGGCCCTCTTGCCAATTAACCTCGCTCGCGATATGTACCCACAAACACAACCACAGCCACAGCCACAAATGCAGCTTCCCTGAGAACCACACCACCAATGTCCACAAATCCAAGTTCAAGGCCCCTGTCTTTTCAGAGATGGGTGATGTTCTTAATTCTTCCCTATGTTACATTGGTAATCAAAGATATAACTCCAGATCTATGTAGCCCAGTATATATAACAACAACAAGCCACCGAGTATCTCCAGCTCCAGTGTACATGGCTGGCCACCTCAATGATACCCAGCACGGTGGTGGCGTTCAGTGAACGCGCGTCCTGATGCTTCATGCCTATCTACTCAGCTCATCCCCCCCACACTACCTCCCAAAATTCAGCGTCTTCACTCTAAACGCATGACTCGCATTACTCATGACCTCGGCCTCCTTCCCGCCGCCCGTATACTCCTCGAGATGCAGCAGCTCGTTGCGGAACGGCCACGTCTCCCACGCCCGCGTGATCTCGACCAGCTCGTCGGCCGTCAGCGTGCGCGTGCGCTGCTCCGGGTCGATGTGCACGCCCGGTGCGAGGTTGTCGAGGATGTGCTCGCCGCCGGGGGCCAGCGTGGCCAGCGCGGAGCTGATGGTGTGGGCGCGAAGGAGGAAGAGCGTGCGGAGCAGCCAGTTGAAGGTTTCCCAGGTCTTGTCGCGGAGGTTGTGGTCGGGGTTGCGCAGGTGGGGGTGTAGGAGCTTGGGGGTGAAGTCGAGGAGGGCGAGGGGCGCCTAGAGAGGGAGGGGGTTAGTGGGGTGTGTGTGTGTGTGTGGGGGAGTGGGGGGGGGGGGGGTGCATACTTCGGGGTAGAAATCGCTAGGCTGCACCGTGATGGGCTCGTACTCTCTGCGGTGGAACTCGAGCAGCTTATTCTCATAGCTAAAGATCTCATCGTCCCTAATATCGCACGCGGGATCCTTCCCCTGCGCATCCCAGTTCCGATTATAGTCCGCAATCATCTTGACCACCTCGCCGCCCTGCGCCTTCGCCGGCGGCGCCGTCTCCTCGCTGCGCTCCAGCGCCGCAAACAGGCTGTCGTCGAACTGCGCGGCGCGCACCGCGTGGCGCCCCATGCGCGAGTGCGGGTCCGCCTGGCTGCCGCGCCGCTTGCGGATCAGCGCCTCGGCGAGACCGCGCACGTCGTCCTCGCCCCCGTGGTAGTACCACGCGGGGTGCTCCATGCCCTCGAGCCACGTGTCGCGCGTCGCGGGGTCCGTGAGGTACTCCGTCAGACGCTGTGTCAGCTTGCGGAGGGACTCTTTGTAGTTCTTGTCGCAGTCCTTGAGCCGCGCGGTGAGGATGGAGAGTGCGTGTGTGTGCTGCTTGGTGAGTTTCTGGGCGTGCAGGTCGCGCGCGAGCGCGCGCAGGGAGGGGAGTTCGGCGTCGGAGCTGATGCGTGGGGCGGTGGGGGTGTAGTGTGCTTGCAGTGCGTTGAGCGTTGCGGTGATGAGTGGGAAGGGGAGTTTGAGGGTGCTGTTGGGGTCGGCGCCGCGTTCGACGCGGGCGATGAGTTTTTTGAGGGGTTGCGGGACGCTAAAGTCCATATCCTCCTCCTTCTCCTTCTTCTTCTTCTCCTCCGCCTCCTTCTCCTGCTCCTCCTGCCCCTCCTTGGGGGGCTTCTTCCTTTTGCGCGGGGGCGCGGGGGGTTTTTCGATTTCTTGTTCTGGTTCCCCGTTTGCCGTGAGTTTCGGCGGCTTCTTCCCCGACCCTTTTGGGCGGCCGCACTTCCTTGGCGGCGGCGGCGCATCCGCGTCTACGGGCGGCGCCTCCTCCAACGGCTCAACCACCAGGTTCCCGTCCGCGTCCGTCTTGAACACCGACGCCTTTGGATGGCCCCGCCCCGTGGTGATGGTGTTTGAGCTCGCCACCTCTGTCACGTCGCACACGGCCTCGGCCATCACTGTGGCCCTGATCCTGCTCGCGATCGTGCGCGGGAGGTACCGCACCTTTGTCTCGTCCAGGATCCACGTGAGGAAGCGCACCCGGCCAAACGTCATGAGCCAGCGCTCGCGCGGGATCGTGGCGATCAGCTGCGCGAGGAGGCGGCTGTTGAGCTTCTCGCTCTCGGACAGGTTGCCGGTGAAGATGATGTCGGGGTTGACGCCGTCCTCGGGCGGGACGGTGCGCGGCGTGAGGTTGGGGTAGTCGGCGGGCCACTTGGCTGGCGGCGTGGAGAGACCGAACATGCTCATGTAGAGGCTCCAGCGGTCGCCTTGCTCGGGGAGCCAGTAGATGTTGGGCCGTGTGGATTGGAAGTCGTCGATCCAGGGCTTGTATTCCTTTTCGGGCTCGAGGAGGATGTGTGCGCGGGGTTGGAGGGCGTCGTGCAGGGCGGCGGACCAGGTGCAGATGCCGGGGGACATGTCGATGAGGATGGGGTTCTTGTAGGCGCTGAGGTCGAGACGGGAGATTGCCTGTTCTGTAGAAGGGGTGGAAGGAGGGAGGAGTCCGTCAGTGCCGGTGGTGGAAGGGAGAGAGGAGGAGGAGGATTGCTAGATACCGCAGAGTGTGGGGGAGACGATGTTGACGGCATGCTTCTGGGGGGACTTGAACAGGCCCGTGAGCTGCTTTGTGAGTGTGCGCGAGGCAGCCTCTGTGATTTTCCGCATTGTAGATGTAGACTATGTTTGGGGGGGGGGGGGGGGGGGAGGTTATAGAGCGAGAGAAGAGAATGAGGGGATGTATTACATGTAGAGAGGGCGGTGAGCGTGGGGGGGCGAGGGGGTGAGGGGTGAATGTGTAGTGAGTGTGTAGTGGGAGTAGTTCGACTCGGCGGCGGGGTGCTCTTCCCGATAAACTTTTTTCGAGATTCTTCTTATCCTCACGTGACGTGATGACAAAGCGGGTGTGCCCAGAGATGCTCAGAGGTGTTAACGCGTGGTTGCACATGTAGGTACAGCTAGTATGTATTCAGCTATTGATGTTGGTGGGCATTGGGAATACATGGAGGGGGGAGAGAGGGAAGAGAGGGGAGAGAGGGGAGAGAGGGAAGAGAGAAGAGAGAAGAGAGACAGAAGAGAGACTGCAGTTCTGGTGCTGTGGGGAGTGCAATCATTGGCATCGATCAGCTACATACACGAACATACACTTACTCGTGTCGGATTACGCAGCTGTGCTTGGCGGTGTGGGGTGATTTGCGAGGGGAGAGGAGAGAGAGTAAGCAGAGAGGAGGGAGGGGAGAGAGAGGGGAGAGGGGAGAGGGGAGAGGGGAGAGGGGAGAGGGGAGAGAGAGGAGAGAGGGGAGAGGAGAGGAGAGAGGAGAGAGGAGAGAGTCTACAGAGTACTGCGGGAGAGGGCATGTCACTGAGAGAGAGAGAGAGTGGTACGGGTAGAACATGTGTAGTAGTCAGTGCTAGCTGTACGAGGATAACGACGACGACTTCCCTCTTCTCTCTTCTGTCATCTGTCTCTCATCTCTCATCTCCTCTCTTCCCTCTTCCCTCTTCCCTCTTCTCTCTTTCCCTTCTCCCTGCTGCTGCTGTCTTGCTGTCTTGCTGGCCTGCTGCATCTTCCCTTCCTCCCTTCTTCCCTTCCTTGCTGGCAAAGATCGACCTCTGTGCATCCATCAACCCAACACCTGGCTGGGCAGCGAGCACACTGAGAGCAGCAAGCACACATCCTACATTCTTCTCTTCCTCCTCCTCGTTCCCCTCTTGTTCCTGTTCTTCCATTCCCCTCTCTCGCCTGCAGCAGAGACATCCAGACCGAAGGAGTGACGGAGGATTGTCGTCGTCGTCAGCCCTGCACTACACCCCCACTACAACTACACCTGCAACTGCAACTACAACAGCTACTACCACCATCACCGGTACAAACACCACCACAACCACAACAACACCACCACAGAAACAATGGACTACCTCATGGACACCAGCACGCACTACATCGACTCCCCGCCGCTCTCGGTCCAGGAGATCGCCCGCAAGGCCGAGGACTTTGACTACAACCCCCTCGTCCCGCTGCGGCACTGGCTCCGCACCGCCGACACCCTGCTCAAAGAGGTTCGTCCCCCTGCTGTACTGGTGGTGGTAGTGAAAAGAAAAAGAAGGGGAAGAAGGGGAAGAAGAGAGAGAAAGGCATGGACTTACACAGAGAGAGAGCAGGCAATCATCTACCAAGAGGAAGGAAATGAGCAACGAGCCTACCTCCTCCTCGTACGAATGGCCGAGTCCGTACCCCCCCCCCCAACACACACACACCACTTCCACCCCGTAATACTAACACATGTACCAGACTCCTCGTCAACTACCTCCCCAAGCACCCCCAGTACCGCCGCCCCGAGAATGCCCGCCACGTCGCCCACAGCAAACCCAGTCTCCGCGAGGCCATCGCCCGCCTCGAATACCTCCGCCCACGGGTCGAAGCCCGCCATGCCGCCTACCAGCGCGCCCTCGCCCGTCGCGCCTCCTCCACCTCCTCCTCACGGCACCCCAGCGTCGACATCGACCTCGGCATCAACTTCACCCGCCGCCAGCAGGGCAGCGGCGCCACCGCGCTTGAGGAGTTTGAGCGGCGCGAGCACGAGAAGCGGGCGCGCCGCGCCGAGCAGCAGGGGCGCAGCGTCCCCGTCGACTCGCGCGGGAGGGAGATCCGCAGAGTTCCGACGCCGGTGGAGGATGGGTGGAGAAGGCGCTTTGTCCCAGAGGGCCTCGAGAGGTATGATGGCGACATAGGCACCGGATATGCGCTCGGCGATATGAGTGGCCGCGTGCCGCCGTTGTCGTCGGAGAGGAGACAGACGGATGAGGAGATTGCGAGGCGCGAGCAGCAGATGGAGGTTGAGGCGTACGGGCTGGCGCAGAGCATCGAGAGGCTGGACATGGGCAGCGGGCTGTCGGAGCGGCAGATGCGGCCGCAGGGATACGGTGGCGGCGGCATATGGGGCGAGAGGGAGCGAAACCGTGAGCGAGACCGTGAGCGGGAAAGAGAGCAGCGAGTCGGCAACTGGCAAGGAAACTACCCCACCGTTCCCAAGCGCCGGACATCCCCCATCCACCCCATCGACCTCCCCCCCTCCCTCATCCCCGGCATCGACATCCGCAGCGTCACGCCGACGCCCACGCCCCCACCCCCCCAAAACCCAGCTACTATGCCATGCCCACCCTCCCCCCACCACCACAACCCTCCCCCCACCCAACCAGGCCCCCTACCCCAACCCGGCGCCCCCCTTCCGCCCCCCTCCGCCCCCGCCCTCCCCACCAAAGTCCCCGCGCCACCCGCCAAAAAACACGCCACCACCGACTTCAAATTCACCACCCCCGCCACACTCGAGAACGGCACACCCCTGCGCACCATCTTCCTCCCCTCCGCACTGCGCTCCGAGTTCCTTGCCGTCGCGGCACCCAACACACGCAAGAACCTCGAGACGTGCGGCATCCTGTGCGGCACACTCATCCAGAACGCACTCTTCATCAGCCGCCTCGTGATCCCGGAGCAGGAGGCCACGAGCGATACGTGCGGCACCACGGACGAGGAGGGCCTGTTCCAGTATTGCGATAGTGAGGAGCTGATGGTGCTGGGGTGGATACATACGCATCCGAGTCAGACGTGCTTCATGAGTAGTGTGGATCTGCATACACATTGCTCGTATCAGCTGATGCTGAGGGAGAGTATTGCGATTGTGTGTGCGCCGAGACATGAGCCTTCGTGAGTCCCCCCCCCCCCCCCTTCTTATCTTTCTTTTGTGTGTAGAGGCGGAGGTGGAGGGACTAATGAGGGTGTGGGGGCATATAGGTGGGGGGTGTTTAGGCTTACGGATCCGCCGGGGGTGAAGACGATTATGAATTGTAGACAGAAGGGGCTGTTTCATCCGCATGAGGAGAGGAGTGTGTATACGGATGCGATGAGGCCCGGGCATGTGTGTGAGGTTAGGGAGATGGGCTTTGATGTGGTGGATCTGAGGAAGAGCCTGTACTAGGTGGTGGGGGGAGAAAAGGTTGGGGACGCCTTTTGTGTGTGTCTGTATTTTGTGTTGTGTGTTTTGTGTGTGCTTGTTTGTGGGTGTGTGCTTGTGGGTGTGGGCTTTGTGTGTTTGTTGAGTGTGCTTGTGATAGGACCTTTTTTGCATATATATTTTTTACGCTTCTCTCTCTCTCTATGTGTGTTGTGTGTGTCTGTGTGTGTCTGTGTGTCGGTGCGTGAGGGCGTTTTTTTTTGGGGGGGGGGTTTGTTTTTGCTTTATTCATTTGATTTGATTTTTCATTTTTATTGGTTGGTTTGCTTGCTTTGCGTTGCTTGATTTGCTGGGGGAGAATGCAGTGCCATTTTTTATGTCTTATCTCTTGTGTTTTTCCGTAGCATATCTTTTCTATCTCTTCCCCATTTTTTTTTTTTCTTTGATGATACTACTGCTTGCTACATGCTACTTACTACTTACATGTACTGCATTACCACGGTGCATGTTGTGGACCCCCCCCCCCCCCTTTATGCTACATACAGCTCGCACTCGTGGCCTTGATCACTCCCCTCCTCCCATCGAAGATATCGAAGACATAAAAGAAGAAAAAAAGACGGCGAGTGTACGATTGTGTTTGCTTGTGTTTGTGCTTGTGCTTGTGCTTGGGGGGCTTTGTTACTGTATCTATCTTGCGTATCGATCTGGCTAGATAGATCTAGATAGATAATCGATATATCGCATCTTGTATCTTGGATCTCGGATTTTTATGGTGTAGTGTGATGGGGTGGTGGGGGGTGGAGTCATGGGGTGTCACTCGGTGCGGTGTAGCACCACGACAACCTCCCGCGGGGGGGGGGGGGGGGGCTTAATGGTATTATAGTAAGGACTTGCATGGAGATATGTGCGGTGTGGTGTGTAGAGACGCCTAGCTGTGCTTACATGTAATCTATCCCTTCGTCTATCAACAAAATACTTGCCCCCCCCCCCCCCATGAAAAAGCAGCTTTATAATTTAGGTACTAATAAATCTCATTATCTGCCCGATATAATTATCAAATAACAGATCTCTCCATACAGACTTAAATTCTCTACTCAACTATTACTCTTCTCCATCCCGGTTGTTGTGGATCGGTGCCTGCGGGGCAAGGCGGCGTAAGCATACTTCTTCCAGCCCGCCACGTTTTGGGTGGCTTTTGGGTCGGATCGAAGGCTGGGCCGTAGTGGGGCGGGGGTTGTACTGTATTGGCTGTTTTGTGGCCTTTTTTTTTTCTCTCTGGCGTACAATACGGTCTATAATATCGAGATATATCACCCCAAAGACAGCAGCCTATGCGGACATCTGGAAAGGGCAGGTCTCGTTACATCATAAACCTGGTTTTTTTTTCTTTTTCTTATCATTGGACTTGTCGGGGGCAGATCAAGTACGTGTAGGCGAGAGTGGTTCTCCGCGCGCTGGAGCTGCTTGCTGGTTTCAACACTGGACGTGGACTCCCGTTTTTTTGTGCGTGTGGGTCTTGTTGTGGGAAGTGTTAGGAGGCTGTTGCTTGACGTTGGATCTTGGGTCCCACGGATCTAGGCTTCTGTATTACTGCCTTTGTAGCTTGGGGTACCTATTTGGGCCCCCCCCCCCCCCCCCCCCCCCCCTTCCTTCTGCGCCCCGTCCTCCTCCATCTTCTGTTTGCAATTTGTATGGCTTCTTTCTTTCTTTCATAAGCTGACTCAACGTAAAGGTACAGTCCCTCCGGTTAGTGTAGCCCATGTAGACACTGAAATGCCACGGGAGAGGTTTGGGAGCTTGTTGCTTCCTCGCCGTTGGCTCCTGGGTCTTTCGGGCTGAAGACGGGGAGGTAACATTGCTCGCTTTTCTGTTTTGGCTTGTTTCTTGGGGTTTCGTACCTCGTCAAATATTTAATCATTTAGCGTGCCGCTTCGATTTGATTTGACGGTTTTTATGGGTTGAGTAGTTCCATACTTTTATAATTAGGGACGTTCTGGGTATACGTAACTACATGTGCTGCACTTCTGTTAAGTTATTCAATCAAGCTTTGCAATTTGCAAGCAGAAATGATAGTAAAGCCAAGGGGTATTGTAATAGAAGGCCAAAAGGCAGAAATCGTCATCAATTTACCTCTATCATCTCCTGGTTGTTCTTGGCGTGCATGCAATCAATTCTGCACCATATTAAATCTGAAGGCACGTCTTAATTTCAAGTTGTGGGAAATGATTGAAAACCCAAGAATTTGCATTCCCTGCAAGCTTGGCCGTTGCTGCCAAACTAACCCTGTCGAGTGAGCCAGTTACCTGAACCCCCACTAACCTTCAACACCTCAACACGTCTCCCATCTATCATCTACACACCTCCACCATCCCACCTTTATCCATCAATCCAGCCAAACCTCCATCCACATCCAGCCCATCACAATACTCACCATGGCCGACAAAGAGCTCAAGACCCTCCACCAAGCGCTGATCGGCAGCGTCTCCAAGGGCGACTACACCAGCGCCTCCCGCACCCTCTCCTCCCTCAAGCTCGCCCTCCTCACGCGCAACGCCCTCCTCCCCACGCCCAGCACCCCGGCCCCGATCCTCCTCCTCGCCCGCGAGGTGCTCGAGATCGGCGCCCTGACCAGCATCCACCAGACTGACGACGCCGCCTTCTCGCGCTACTACTCGCAGCTGCAGCCGTTCTACGAGGACCACCGGCTCACCACGGCGTCGCCCAGCCCGCACCGCAGCAAGATTGTGGGCCTGCATCTGCTGCTCCTGCTGAGCAAGAATGACATTGCGGACTTCCACACCACGCTCGAGAACCTCGAGGCGGATATGGAGAAGGATCCGTTTGTGAGGCATCCGATCATGCTTGAGAGGTGGTTGATGGAGGGGAGCTACGATAAGGTGTGGAATGCGACGAAGAGCTCGCAGATGCCGAGTGAGGAGTATGCGTTGTTCTCGCAGGTGAGTTGCCTTGTTTGTTTGGGATTGATGGAGATGGATGGATGGATGGATGGATGGATGGATGGATTGAGCTAATGTGATGTGTCGGGATAGGTCCTCGTCGGAACTATAAGGAACGAGATCGCTACATGCTCCGAAAAGGCATATGCAAGCTTGCCCGTGTCCAATGCGAAGAACCTGTTGTTCTTGGACTCTGACGGCGCAGTCATCAAGTTTGCGCAGGAGGTAGAGTCCATCCATTATGTTGATTTACTATGAACAGAATGGAATGCTAACGGCTATCTATTACAGAAAGGATGGGAGGTCAGAGATGGCCGTGTCTACTTCCCGGTCGAGGAGTCCGAGAAGGAAGCTCTGGCTTCTGGCACAATCATCGAGAACACAATCGGCTATGCTCACGAGCTGGAGATCATTGTGTAGATGGCCTTTTTTTTTCCTTTTACTTAGCGGTTGGATTGTCATGAAGGGAATGCAGTAATTAGATTGACTTCCGAATATACTTTATTTTTCCTTTTTTTTGCTTTCACTCTATCTATCTCTAAATAGTGCAGTAGTAGTCGATCATACTCTAGCCAATGGTTAAACAGACCACAAACTCAACCTCTTATCATAAAAGCTGCAGCTCACAACCCTCCCATCCGCCGTCACATCACTCCCATAATTCATGCTCTCGCCCTCCACCCACCCCGCCACCACCTCCAACTCCTCCACCTCCACCACTCTCGTCCCCGCATGCATACAACTCGCCAACACCCTCTTCTGCCCCTCCCCCATCCACCCCAACCTCCACACCCCGCCCCCCTCAACCCTCACCTCCCCCACCACTCCCCTCCTCCCGCCCCGCACCTCAAACGCCCTCAACCCCTCATCATAGCTCCCCGTCAACACCGCCCCCTCACCCCCCACCGGCAGCACCGCCGTCACCCCCGCACCATGGCTCCTCCGGTCCCGCCACGCCTCGCTCCCCCCCGCAACGTCCCACAGACACACAACGCTGTCGTCGGCACCCGAATACACGCCCCGCCCGTCAGGCGTAAACACGCACGTCCACGCCTCAAGCGTGTGCGGCGCCCAGCTCTCCACCACCTCCCCGCTCTCTAACGACACTGTTGCAACCTCCCCCGTCGACAGCGTCGCCGCCAGCGTGTCGCGGCGGGCCGGCGAGAACGTGAGTGACAGGACTAGAACGTCCTCTGGGAACGGCGTGAACAGCGCCTTCAGGTGGAGCGTGCGCTCGGAGAGCGTCCACACGCTGACCTGGCCGAGGGAGTGTGCGAGCGCGAGGGTGTCGGGAGAGTGTGGTGAGAACTTTAGGTCCAGGATCGCCTGTGTGGGGTGCGACTGGAGGAGCGTGAAGCCGCCATCGGGGGTGACGGAGTAGAGGCAGAGGTGCCCGGTTTTCTTGGAGGGGAGGTCGGCGGCGGTGGCGTTGAGGTGGTAGGTGCCGACGGTGACGAGTGTGGGGTCTTGGGGTGAGAATTGGACGCAGGAGGGGGGTTCGGGGGGCGCGTGGTGTGTGTGGAGGGGGTGGGATGCATGGTGGGTTCTTTTGTGATAGTGGGGTTGTGGGGGGTTTTATTTTTGAGGATAACGAATGTCTAACTACTAAGGGTAGTGATGTTACTTGATTGGGGCCTTGGCGGTGAGATCAACAGCTTGTAATAATAGCTCCAGGTCTAGATGGCTGCAGCTCTAGAAGTCCTTGATTGTTTTGTTTATCAGAGCTTTTGCACAAAGCGCAAAGGCTCTAGCTCTAGTTTTCGTCTATGAGTAGTTTATAACTGCTAATTAACAATCAACAGCAAAGATTATCAGTTCGGAGTCGACAAATATCTGGAATACCACAGGGGAAAAAAAAAAGAGAATATTCAAACAGCCTAGAGCGAACCTACAAAGCATTCCATAACTAGGCGACATAACTCGGGGTTTCAATATTCGGCTTTCAACGCTCGGCTATGGTGATGATAGTAGCACAAATTTACCCCGGATCTAAAAGCTTAGAAAATCTCTATTCCCAGCCTAGCTTTTAGCGCTGGTATGGATCAATTAGATTCGACGAGAGCCGACTTGAAAACATCAGTCTCAGACTACCTTTATGGTTATAACGTCCTATATAATACCGTCGCTACAGTATATATCTTCATATTCTTGGACGATTTTCAATCTATGTCAAAGATATTCTCCAGACAATGACTTTATATCAGGCATCCATACTTTAGAGTAACCCTATCACTATAATTTATATCTGCCGCGCCCGTTTGTGCTAGACCCCGGCATCGAATGTTCAAACCACAGGAGGACCGCTCCAGAACCGCGACCTCTAGAAAAACACGCAGAATGTTGCGCAGATGGGTGCCTGTACCCTTGTGGCGGACATAAAATTGCCCCGAAGTTACGACACTCTTTTATGAAGCAGGCCCGGTACGGCAGTAGCTATCCCCCCCAAACAACACCTAGGTATTGGCCTGACAGAGCCACTCTTTCTAGCTCAACTAGGGCAGGCTCCCTGTAATTCCATCATCAACGGGTCAAATTGCACAACTCTTTTCCTCACATGGAACAGGAGCCACAGGTTTCTGGGACGAGAGAATAACCATATCGTTATGAAAGCCCCATAAATCGTCAAGAGACACTAATTTTCGTGGCCTTAAAGACAAAGATACAGTCGCAGTCTAGCTTGACATACTGAGCTATATACACATGGGAAGTATCCTGCAGGTGTTGATCTAATCAGCCCATGAAATGCATGCTAGGTAATAGCCCCATCTACCACTTTGATGATTCTTAGGTTCTTACTCACCTTTTCACGACTCCAAGATTACTTAAGAAAATCCCCTAGCAGTAATCTATCTGATGATAACAGCTACTAAGCCGACCTATATACCTACTAGGCTACGAAACCTATCCTAAACACCATTCTCGTTAGCTCCCATTCATCGATGTATAAATGTACAATACCATTCTAACACCTTTCACCGCAACTAGTAGGGAAGAGTATGGCGGGCGGGGAAGAGGGGAGAAGAGGATAACAAGGAAGGAAGAGAGAAATGAGCACTAAGTTTGTGGCTCAAAGAGCAAAGATATAGAATACCCCGTGCATTGTTCAATCACGGAGAGCCATCCTCTAGCTCCAATATTACCAATCTACATATAGCTTTGAAACTAAAGCCATCTGTACCACCACTGTAAAGCCACGTAGCCAAGTTGAATGTACTAGAGTTACAACTACTGGCTCTATTCCTGCCTCAGTCGTTACCGTTTATAAACGCAGGTGTTAGTGTAGGTTTATAATCATAACCTATCACTCGCACGCCAAGAAACCACACCATCACCCCATTTTCCTTAATCCCCCTACTAAAAACCCACACCAATTGAGAATCACAATGTAGTAGAATCAGAATGTATTCAATATCAATGATTCACATATAACCACGCCTCTACGCACAACAAAACAAGCCACAAGTCCCACCCACCCACCCACCACCTAAAGCTCATCCTTCTCCTCCACCTCCTTTTTCGTTTTATCCCATTTCGTGCCCTTCCATCTGCCCTCCTCGGCCTCCACATCCTCCTCCACCTTCTCCTCCACCTCCCCAGCCTTCTCTTTCTCCTCCATCATCCTCCGCATCCTAGTATCCCTCTCCACCCCCGCAATCTCATCATCGTATGCCGTCCACTCGGGCACCTGCCTCCTCGCTCTATCCAGCTTCGGCTCCTTCGTCATCGGGTTATTACACAGATCGATCGTCTTCGCCGTCTTGAGGCTCTCATCGCTGCACCACGTCTCGCACCACAGCCAGTCCTGTGGCAGCGAGTGGATCGGGAGGATGCTCTGCATGTGGTTGGGCAGGTCCTGGTCCAGGTTTGCTAAGCTTGCTGGGTCGGCGGAGAGCTGGTGGTATTGCTGGCGGAGACGGTCACCTGCGGCGATCTGGCGGAAGCGTTTTAGATCTACGACGTAGAGAGCGCTGTTGAGGCGGCATGGTTAGCTGGGTTTGAGGGTTTCGGGGAGGATGGGGCAAACCTGATGTGGTAGGGGAGCCCCTTGAGGAACTTGGCCCAGTAGCCTTGCTTCCAGAAGCGGAAGCCCTCAATCTCTTCGCGGGAGTCACACATGGGGGTGAACCCGTATGGTGCGCCGTGGAGGTCGAGGTCTACAAGTTCCTTCATGTCCGTTCTTACGATCTGGTCTGCGTCTACGAAGATGACCTTATCAAGGTCCAGCGGGAAGAGAACATCAAGGAAGAGGATCTTGTATCCCCAGATCTCTCTCTGCTTCTCCTTCTGTGCACGGAGCCAGTGCGGCCATTTATACGTGACGAGCTCATACTCGAAGCCATATTTTTTCGCCATGACCGGGATGAAATCCTACTCCTCTGTCAAAAACACCGCACATACACTCACCAAACAGCGCCCACGAGAGGGGAGGAGGGAGGATCCATACCTTAAACGACGGCGACAAGAAGTTCTCAATGAACCAAAACTTGACCGTGCTATCCGTGTGCTTCATGACACTAAGCATCATGATATTCAAAAAGCGCTCATAAAGATGCCCACTTGCCACCGAAAAGATATTAATCTCCGCCTGCCCCTTCTGCACCGCCCTCTTTGGCGCCGCCATCAAGCCAGCATCCACCATGATGCCCTCCGCCTTCTTTATCCACTTCTTCGCAAAGCTGCCGCTACTGATCGACTCCTGGTCCAGCACATCCTCCTCCAGCATCCCCGGCTTCCGCGACAGCCTTGGGAACAGCGTTGCGCCCTGGAAGCTCATGAGCGTGATGTCACTGTCCTCCTGCTCCTGTTCGCCGGCGCGCGGTAGCATGGACGAGTAGCCGCCGGTGGTGCCGGCAGAGTCGATGTGGAAGATCTCGGACGTGCGCCCTTCCTTGAGCCCCATGTTCCAGTGTCCTGGGTTTGCCTTGAACTGGAAGTATCCCAAGTTGGCCATAATGATAGTATCAGCGAACAACGGTTCTTTCTCTGTACCGAGGACAAGCTGTGCTCCCTTCGGTGGGCCACCGCCAGTGCTGACATCGCGGGAGTGACCCTCGATGAGGATGCTGCGGAGCTGGTAAAGAGCTTCGACATCACTGCCTTGTAGACGGTCCTTCAAGGAGTCAAGCATGAGGTTGTCAAGATCATAGATACACTCCTCTGGGTTTACGAGCCATGACGGAGGCACATCCATACTCAGCGAGAGTAGAATAGCACCAGGGATATTCTCAAAGCGCGCCTTAGGGTCAATGATACTACCCGCTTCATCAAACACCGGTTTCGACTCAAGGACATGGCGGTAGAACCTTTTTACTGGGACTTCGGAGATCATGCGCTGCGGGGTCAGGTAGATCTTAAGGTACACACCGTCCATCTCGCCCAGGACCTTAAGGATCGGGACCAGCTTCTGTGCGCTCTCGCTCGCGGGGTCTACATTGGCGATTACCTGGAACATAGCACTATCCTTATCGCCACTCTCGATAGCGGTGTGCTCGCCCTTCCACAGTCTCAAGAACGCATCCGTCCTCCCCGTCACCGGCGCCTCAAACAGGCCCGCCGGAACATCAGATGCCATGGTCAGTGCAACCAGGTTCGTAAGAGCAGCTGGAGACTTGACCTTCTCCATCACACCCAGATCCTGCGCTGCGTTAAGAACAGGCGCAATACGGCGAGACAGCTCATATTCAAGCAGCTGCTTGAAGTCATCGCCTACAAAGTCTTCAGTCCTAGGGATGGGGCCAATAACACGGCCATTGACCACCAGTCCGCGTTCGCCAGGCTTGAACCCGCTCTTGTCTGCCAGGACGCGAGCGCCCTCCCAGAACTTGCTGGACTCCATGTGCGTGGGGTAGGTCCATCCAGAGGCTTTGGCATCTGCTTGAGATCCCACTAAGGCTTCAACCTTGGGCAGGTCAACGAAGTCTTGTACTGGTTTTACTTCTTCGAGTAGCTGTTCAAGTCTCTCTGGGGAAGTGAAGAAATCGACCTGCTGCAGCTGATGCAACAATGTAGACAGCGAAGGTGTGCTCGCAGACAGTTGAGGGTTATTGATAAGCACCAAATCCACGCCCGAGGCCTCCTTCTGTAGCTCCACAGCACCCTGAAGAAGCTGATACCCATCCTTCTCGTCAAAATCGCCCACTACCCAAATCGTAGCCGCCTCTAATGGCGCCAGCTTATCCGTAGAAATCCGGGGTAGTTTCGCCATGATATCCGCATGAGCAGACTCCAACTCGACAAGATTGACAAGTTTGACTGACGCATCGTCTTCCGGGACGATATGTGTATTGCGCCTGATCACAGCACCAGTCATGAGGAGGCCCGTGATGTCACTGTTATCGTCGATAAGCTCTTCATAGACCGCGCGCTGCGTAACCTGTACATCTGCCTGTAACTTCGATGCCATATTCTGCATCCACGCCTCATCACGCGGTAATGATTGACCGTTGATAAACACCGGTGGGGCACTCGGGTTCACACCCAGACGGCTACCCCAGCTTTTCGCCTTCACATGCCATGCCTCGACGTCCTCATTCGTCAGGATCTCCTCGAGCGTGAGAACAGGCTTCTCCTTCCTCGGCTCTGCATCTTTCAGAACGTTCTTAAACACCTTGGCGCTGGGCTTGCTGAAGTCGGTATTCGCGAGTGACTCGTGTGTGTATCGGAGGGCTGCAGCAAGACCGTAAGTATTCTTGAGATGGTAGAAAACCTTGGCCTGTGCGATGGCAGAGTCAGTCTTGCCGAGTGGGACGACGCCAAAGCGGATTGCGATCTTGCGGTCCACGAACATGCGCAGCTGCTCTGAGAGGAGGATGAGGTCATCGCGGGAGGTGAGGTCAACGGGGAGGACGAGGTGGTGGACATTTTTACGGAGGGGGTGGAGCTGGCCGGGGTAGATGCGGCGCATGAGCTGTGCATGTCAGTATATGGAACTTAAGCTTGTGAATATGATAGGGAAGGGTGTGTTATACATACCACAGATACGGACGAGGACCAGTCTTTGTACCGCTTGTCTTTCTCCAGATCGTTGAGCCAGACGATGACATTTCCGCCATCGATATCGTCCCTGAAATCGAACCTCTGCGGCAGCTCCGACAGCTTCGAATCGGCAATGATGTGGTGGCTAACGAGCTGTACGGCCTCACTGTTATTCAATCCCAGCGCTGTCAAGCTTCCAACATGCTTCCTCTCACGGCGCAGATGCTCCAAGAGCGCAAACGCATTGATCTGGCTCTCGGCCAGCTGGACACCATTGATCCACAAGCTATTCGTCCCCACCGCCGAGAACGCCTCCCGGTTCTCCCTAAGCTCGTTCAGCATCTCAAGGTTCTCCTCAATCTGCCCGATACGGCCCGAGTGCTTTGGAAAGTCCTGGAGGAACTTCTGCAGCGTGCTGAGCGGGTCCTCGGAGTTCATGATGAACGATGCGGCATGGAGGCCGAGGTCCGGTAGACTCTTGGGGTGGATGGGTGTGATGTGTTGGATCTCCTCGTCGTCGAGTGCGGGTGTTTCGGAGTCAGACTTGCGCTCTTCGGCGGAGCTGTCCATGTCGCGGTCGTCCATGACGATATAGTCCGTTTTCTTGAGAGCTAGCTCCACGCCATAGCCGCTGAGCATTACGGGGCGGTTCTCGCGTGTGGTCGAGGGACGGTGACGGACACGGTATGATATCTTTCCGACATTGGCGAACTCCTTCAGGATCCTGTGGTGCTCTTTGAACGAAGGTGACAAGATATCCGCATACAAAATTGCCGCCGGCACATCATCTTTCGACTCCAACACGCGATCGAACTGTAGCTTCCGTCTCTCACTAAACACCCCACAGTTAGCTCCATCGCCCTTATTCCTCCCTTTCTCCTCCTAGCTAGCTAGCCAATTGCAAACAAAGGGAAAACCTACTTCGGATACCTCTCCCACGACCCCAGCATCTCCTTATAATCCCCCGTCGTGCTACAAATCTGCTTATGGCTCCACTGCAGCCATGTCTCGCACCCTGGCTTATACAGCTTCCCCATCTGCGGCTCCAGCTGGTTCTCGTAGTAGTGGTAATGCGCCTCGATCCGCGGCGCCGCCGCATGGATGCTCAGTGCAAGATTGAAGCTCGCGAGCTCAACCGCATCCTTCAAGAACCCCTCCTCCTGCACAGCGCGGAGGAACGACTCGTAGAGCGCCTTGTCGGAAGAAACATTTGAGAACTCCCCTGTTGCTATTCGGTCCAGGAGCGGGTAGTAGGAAGCTTCGTTTTCGTCGGCGGCGGTTTCACTGGCTGTGGGTTAGCTAAGGTACAAACCTACGGTTGGGGAAGTGGGGGGCTATTTGGGGGATGAGGGGTGCTTACAGTAGTTCGATAAGGAACGGCGCGCCGTTCCAGGAGGCTTTGAGACCAACATTGACGGTGGGGCTACAGAGGGCCAGGCGGAGGTACGGCGTTAGGAGGAGCAATCCCGTGGGGAGGCTTCTCCGGAAGTCTGTCAATCGCATCCTGCCGAGTTTATAAACTTCAAACAGGAAGCTGCTTGCTTTGATAGAGATTTAGGTGCCTTCGAATGGAGCTTTTTCGTTGATTTGGTGCAATATGTTTCTTCAATTCATGGGCCCCTCTCTGGTTTGTAGGTATATCTGTCCAAGTGTGAGGGCTTCCAATCCAAATGTTACACGGGCAGGCAAGAGGCGGAAGGAGGCTGAAAGGGCGCCAAGACCTTTGAGGCCACGCTTGCATTATTACGGCGTTAGTTGGCTGGAGCTTACAGCAACAACAGATTGAAACAGAGGTGTGTCTGATGGGGGGAGTCTGGAGCTGGCTGGAGGGGTGAAGATGCTTTGTACATCATGACTTGGAGAAACATTGCTCTACACCTACAGCATGTGTAGCTGTTTTAGTAGCGGTGGTGCTCCTCTAGCAACGGCGACACGACAATCAACAGACGAAAGGGTTTAAAATACCATAAGTCATAAGGTTTTAGAAGGTCCATGTATTAATTTTGTTTGCTGGCTCGATAAGTACATGTACCATGTACCATCGATTGAGAATCCGTTTCCCAGGTGGGGGTTTGGTGACCGAGTGATATCCTGTGACTATTACACCAACAAGTCAACAACCCCTGCCCAGATTCTACGAGACCTCTCATATACAATACCAAGAACCAAGCTTGTCTTCTCTATTCAAGTAAGCCACTCAAAGTACCGCAGCACTGCGGATACTCAAGAACATACCTCTCAAAAACATAACACGAGTCAAGCGTATAGCACAGGAGAACACACGTATTAGGACACGTTGGAGGACACGCTTTCTGAAGCGAAGAGGAAAATGCATGCTTAGAGAATTCGAAGGATATAAACAATCGAGAAAAGGCAGGCGTTTCCACTCAACAAACTCGACTCATCCAATCAGGACCTGTCTTATACTTTTTCTAGTATAACTATAGGAAAACTTCTCCGTCACAGGGCATCACTTGGCTGCATAAAACACTCCCGCGCGGCCCGAGAAGCCATCTCTACTGCCATGAGTCCCGCCAAGTTTAACTTTATGCCAGAATGACCAAAAGAGCTGGTCTTAGCAGATCATAACCCACTCCACAATACCTCCCCTGATCCTCTACTACAGCCCTCAAACAAGTTCTCACTACCGGCGGAGGCGGCCTAAAGTAGATACTTTACTCTACTCTACTCTCTTGGACAAACCACCTAGGCAACAGTCCCCAATGAAAAACCCTGACTGTCACGCCGCATGGCAACCCAGTCAAAATAACGTAGTCTTGATGTAAGGGGACATCTGTGGAATGCCATCCTTCCAAGCAGAAGTACTGTTACATGTACGTACAGGGCAGGGTTCACACGCCATCACTCGTCGCCCGCACCAATCACCACCCCCCAGGAACCCGCTCCTCACTCCCACAAATGAACGAGACAAGGCTTATCTCCTCTAGGCGTTTGCCCGAAGAAAAAAAAAGTCAATCGATCTACACCACTAAATAACTCAATCAAGAAACTCCAGATCTCCTTCTCCGGCGATCACCGCCGATCATTACCGCAAGCCCTCCCCCATCGTCATATTCAGCGGTGTGCCTTGGCCCATGTCACATGGCTAGCAGCGCTTGGCAGGGTCTCCTGAAAAAGATTGCCTTCTTTATGGGTTGAGTGCCCTCCCATCCCTCGCTTCTCTTTGTCACCGCTACTCACCCACACTCTGAACCCTTTGTCACTCTACAACCCTACACAAGACACCCCACGATACTTACCTCTACATATACACATCCAGACACGATGAGCGCAACATTCCTCAACATGCCCTCCCCGCAGCTTGCCACCCCCTACTCCGAGAGCCCCTCCGCCCCAGGCACACCCATGTCGGGCATCTCCACCATTGCCATCAAAGACGGTCACGAGGGCCACCGCCCCAGCGGCGACACCATCTCCGCCGCCGACCGCATCTCCCGCCTCGGCGGGTACTTTGATCAAACCCGCAACCTTACTTCCTACACGCCCACCTCCACATCATCCCCCGCCACGCCCTCACCCGCACCAGGGACAACTCCCGGCGAGCGGAGGAGCCCAGCGAGTAATGCGACGGGCAGCACCATCACGACAGAGGAGGCGCTGAGGGCGACGAGGGAGGCGAAGATGATTGATGGGATGACTTATGATGAGGGCGTGGTGGACACGACGGATCGCACGCCGGTGCTGGTGCTGAATAGAGAGAAGGAGAGGAGGAGGCCGGTGATGAAGGAGGGGCTGGTGCCGGCGCGCGGGGAGCCGGAGCCGCAGGAGAAATTATAGTGGTGTGCACTCTTTTTTGCTATATGTACCAGACGAATTTTCTTGGATGTAGTTGGCAATTGGATTCGGGGGTTGGTTCGTTGGTTGAGTTGGGGAGCTTATCGCGCCGGTGACGTCATGCCGCGGACATAGCTTTTCTGTCTTATTATTTTTATTTTACTGATGTGGGTATATCTGATGTTTTGTATTATGATACGAGTTTTTTGTCTAAAATCTGTATGATACTTTTCTTTCTTTCTCTTTGAGTAATTTTATCCGAGGAGTTGATTTTTATCTACATGCCAGACCCCAGTGCTGTCCAAGTAAATTCTGGCGTGGTGTGTGGTGTGTGGTGTGTACTGGTGGAGTGAAAAGTGGAGCCTGGGGAACGCCGTAAACCCCACACCGCACGGAAATCCGGGGTGCAAGCGGCTAATGTATGTACTCTACCGCGATGCATGGCGTTGGCTCCAGACGTCATGCGCGCGGTGATAAGTGCGACTGCGGGGAACGAGCTGAAGGAGGGTGTAATTGAGAGAGGGTTTTCAGCAATGCATACATACCAATCGATCTACCTGTGTGGTCAGCGGAGCGCTGTACCGTTCTGCTATCGCTAGGTGTCAATGACCACAGCAGCATCACTCGAGCTCTCCCAGCTAGCATTGCTCACAGTCAATCGGTCAGTCGGTCACCGAAGAAGGAAGGCTTCTGTCGCTCCCTGTCACCCTCACCCCCGCGTATAACCGATGCTTACCGGGAGGCTCTGCGGTGGCCGGGACGTACCGAGTGAGTGACATTAACTCCTCCCCGAGATCTCGTGAGAGCTCAGTTACAGTGAATACATACACAGATATTCAGTCACAATGTCGTTAGCAAACACCGCAATGGCCCGCAGCTTCCCCCGCTCGCAGAAGGTCAGTAGTAGGAGTACTCTATCCAATATCAAGCTCTGATACTGACACTCCACAGCACCTGCTCCTCCTCCGAAGCTTCAGCTCCACCCCCCACCGTCGAGAAATCAACAAAAGTACTTCCCTCTCCCTTCCCCCTCCCTTCTCGCCCCTCTTCACTCACACATCCCAGTCTACCCCTCCGCCTCCGCCGCCATCCACGACCTCAAACCCCACAGCACGCTCCTCGCCGGCGGCTTCGGCCTCAGCGGCGTCCCCACAACGCTCATCTCCGCGCTCGAGTCCAGCCCACACATCACGCACCTCACAGCCGTCTCCAACAACGCAGGCACCGACACGCACGGCCTCGGCCGCCTCCTCGCCTCTGGCCAAATCACAAAGATGATCGCCTCCTACGTCGGCGAGAACAAGACCTTCGAGCGCCTCTACCTCAGTGGCCGCATCGCACTCGAGCTCACCCCGCAGGGCACCCTCGCCGAGCGGTGCCGGGCCGGCGGCGCCGGCATCCCCGCCTTCTACACGCCCGCCGCGCTCGGCACCGTGGTGCAGAGCGGCGAGCTCCCCGTGCGCTACAACGCAGACGGGTCTGTGGCCGAGTATGGCGCCGCGAGAGAGGTGCGCGAGTGGGGCGGCCGCGGGTATGTGCTCGAGGAGGCGATCCGCGGGGACTGGGCGTTTGTGAAGGCGTGGCGGGCGGACCGGCTGGGGAACTGCCAGTTCCGGCTGGCGGCTAACAACTTTAACGGCGTGATGGGGAGGAATGCGCGTGTGACGGTGGTGGAGGCAGAGGAAGTGGTGGAGGTGGGGGCGATTGAGCCGGCGGCGGTGCATCTGCCGGGGATCTATGTGCAGAGGGTGGTGCAGTGTGAGGAGCGCGTCAAGGGGATTGAGAAGTATACGTTTGCCAGGGAGCCCGGGGAGGAGGTGCAAGCGACATTAGGGACGGGCGAGGCTGCAGGGAGGAGGGAGAGGATTGTAAGGAGGGCTGCGAAGGAGTTTAAGAACGGCATGTATGCGAACCTGGGCATCGGGATGCCGATGCTGGCGCCGTCGTTCGTGGACCCGGAGATCTCGGTGCAGCTGCAGTCTGAGAACGGTATACTCGGGTTGGGCCCGTATCCAAAGCGTGGACAGGAGGATGCCGACCTGATCAACGCCGGGAAGGAAACCGTTACGCTCGCCCCTGGAGCCTCGGTATTTGGATCCGAAGAGAGCTTTGGCATGATCCGCAGTGGGCAAATTGATCTCACGATCCTCGGTGCAATGCAGGTCGGCATGTATGGCGACATTGCGAGCTGGGCGCTCCCGGGCCGCATCAAGGGCATGGGCGGCGCTATGGATCTGGTATCGAATCCTGCAGAGACGAAAGTCGTGGTGACGATGGAGCATTGTGACAAGAACGGGGGTCCGAAGATCTTAGAGAGTATGTTTTTCTTTCTTTTGTTTACAATGGTCTAATAGGGTATGATAGCTAACCTAGTGCAGGTTGTACTTTCCCATTGACAGGGCGTAATTGCGTGTCGCGGATCATCACGGAGCTGGGCGTCTTTGACGTTGATTTCTCGGAGGGGCTGACACTGGTGGAGATTGCACAGGAGGTGACTGTCGACGAGGTGAAAGCAAAGACGCAGGCGCCGTTTAAAGTTGCAGATGATCTGAAGCCGATGCTGTAAATAGTAGATGCTGCTAATTGGCGAGTGATATCCCGTGATGAAGATTGTTTTTTTGTTTAATTCATTAATTGCATGCAACCTTACAGTTATGGAAATAGCCCCTGAACTACCCGCTCTCTTCCGCCTCCTCTCACGTTTATTGACATAGGAAAAATATATAGCGATGCATCATCTTTTAACCTATTCTTCGTCTCTAGCGTCTTTCAGCGTCCCCCATCCGTACCCCAGTTCTCTCCTTTCTTCCTCCGCGTTCTCGTCTTGCCCACTTCTCTCATGTCTCCATCTCGTAAACTGTTTCCATATCTTTGTTGCTGCTTCGATTCCGCTAGTCTTCCAGAGGAGTTTGCTGACGATGAAGATTGGGTATTTATGAGTGTAGACAGCGATCATTATAAATAGCTCGATTGATTTCTAATACTTGAGAATATTGTCCTGGAATGAAATGGGAGCGAGACTAACAATGTTCATAACGCTCTTTTCGGTCCCAATTCCCGTCCATATCGTTCTCATCCCACGAGTAATGGAACGATGTTAATAGATGCTGGTGCATTGTGCAGTTTTGGTATTAAATACCCTAGGTGAATTTTTTAATTCCGGCTACTGATAAACCGGTAAGACGTGATTTGTTGCAAAGGATGTACGGAGGATTGATGTAGTTGAATTTAATTTATCTACAATAAAGACAGGTATCGCTTGAATGGACCACGTACTCGCTCCCTCAACTGACCAAGTATCCACTTTCCAACTGACCAACTGTCATTTCTGTCCTTTATCGGCAACTCCAGGTCAAATAAACCAGCACGATCCAATATCGCCAGGTAAGAACGGTGCTTAGGCAGAGCCACCACTGTCATAAAGCGACTGTAGCTTTCTGATGCCTCCTGGCTATGCATTACATCAGCAATATGAATAAAACACTCCTTGGCTACTGTGACCTAGGCGGCATGCTGCTGACCACAATCAACCGAGACACCGAGCTACCGCGGCAGAAATATAATCATGAGATATCACTCACTACCATTTAAGCGTGACCGTGACCAACATCCGCTCTTGCTACTGATGCTTAAATAGCCAATTGAGACGCAAGGAAGCAAAATTTCCCGTCCAGCTTGTCTCTCAATCATGCTGTGGAAACTATCTTCCTGTGTTTTGAAACGGCAGGCATAATACGGTTGATCCTTCATGCAACTACATGTAAGGACCTAGCTGGTGGCATGACGACCTGGACACAGTCAATATGACGAAAAGTGACAGTCTATATCGTTCAAGTCGGACACGAGATAATGGATTTTCTGATACGTGGTATGACTGTCCTCGATGGAAGGGGCACCTGTAGAAAGCACTGAAACAGATCAATTTTAGATCCGAACGGCGAGCAGAAAATGTTTCGCGCAAGGCGTCCCCGGGGGCTGAATCCAAGAAAGAAAGGTTCGCCGAATGGTACCTCTAAGCTGTATGCACGGCATTGCATCCCATACAAGCCGTATTACTCCGCCCGGCGCGCGGGGGATCGAAGAAGTAAATGATGCAGGGACCAAGCTGAGTTTCGAGAGAGCAATCGTACTCGGGTACCCGCCGTACATCGGGTGGTTGGTTCCCCGATTTTGCCCCGTGCTTACATATATTTATTGCATGTGTTGAAGTACATATATGCATACACGTATATGTGGCTTCATGATATAAGTATATGTTCCTCGGCGATAATGTATGCGATATAGCAGTACAACTTTTGTACAAGCTGACTGACGTGACAGTTCTGCGAGAAACAGGCCATTGTTTTTCTCAAACGTCGTTTGTTTGGATTAAGCCTTCCAGAGTGTCTTATGCCACCTCTGCACAGGCGAGGCAGGGCACCTCACCTCGCGCTCGTGGAACTTGCACTATGGGCGTAATTGGATCATGAGACATCACTCATATTCAGTCATGTGTAACGCTATCCGAGTCTCCCCTACCGAGATCAAGCGATAATAGTTGATACTCCATTTCACTCCCTAGATTGGTATAGTGCACTGGTGGGTCCGACAGGATCTACAGATGAGTGGATATCATTGATCAAGCTACTGATAGTGAAAGCTTAGGGCAAACATTCTTATCCACCATGCATCGGTCTTGGCTTAGTCTTCCGTACCACCGGAGGAGTAGGCTGGCTGCAAATGGAATAAATGTACACTTTGACGTTGTGCACATGTGCTGGACGACTATCAGCGAAGACTTTGAGAACACGGTGGAACTATGATGTGCCTACTCTACTCCGCCTCAGTGAGGGAACTATTCCATCAACAGTATCATCATCATCATCCTTCTTCAGATCACATCACCAGTCCTTAATTCACGCCGGCCAAAAAACTTCCCCACGTGTGCGTTGACGGCGGATGCTACTAAACAAAACTAGCAAAATGGCGTTCTGCGGGGTTAAATCATGCATAAAATTGCCACAGACAATTAAGTCGATTCGAGTTCACCATATCGATTCGAATCTCCAGGATTCTTCCCAAGCTCCGGAACCATGGAGCAGTATCTTACTAAAATTGCACATATTCTGTATAATTGAGCTACTGAGTCTGACTCTACTAATCTACTAATTGAACGGGGTCCAGCTTAAATCACTCGATTCGAGAGATTTTACACCGTTGGCCGTTGAACCCGTCACTAGCTAACTTTTTGATTAAAGTGGCCTAGGCAGGTCGAGCCCGCTCCCCGTACTCCCCGCGAGCGCTATGCCAAGAGCTTCGCATCCGGATCAGGGGACGCAACGCCAACTGCTCCCTGCGTTCCCCGGATTAACTAGCAGATCGTTAGGGTCGGAGGATCCAGCGATGACCCCCGGCTAGCTCTTGGAGATCAAATAATTGCGCGGTGCAAACCAGCGAGGTAACCTAATCCTCATGCTCGACATCTGAAATCCTGTGGGTGCGGAGATATTTCTCTTCTTCGACCCAAGGAGGGAGTGGGTGGGTAGTTAGGTAGAACAGAGATCTAGAGTGCCTATTGCTGATGCAAGGAGATTGCCCTTGCATAGATATCCGTATTCCAGACCGTCATCGCTTTCGTGTCACGACAGCACCCCAAATATGGGGGGATTTGCAAAAGAGAAGTCGTGTAGGTCGAGTACAAGCTATCGGGTACGACTAGATTCTCAAAGTTTAATTGTTACATGGGGTGTATGTAGGTTCTGTTCTGGCCTGGACCTCCACTCAGTATTGAACGAACCCAGCTCCCAGGTTAGGGCCAAACCGCTATGCATATCTTTTGACGACATCGGATCTTGACGACACCTCATAAATTACACAATCCAGACGCAATACCGTGCAGAACTATCTGATACTCTCTGAAGACTTTACAGCCCACCCTGTCTCCGTCACGTTACTCAGGGACAACCCCCAGTGGTTGCCGTGTAGAGAGTATTGCTTTTCCTACATTCCAGGCTTTGCGGCCTCGGCCTGGTTTAGAATCAGGCAGAAATCTCCTTGAGAGAGTCGCAAGGGTTTTTGGCTGCAAGGCATTTCAAACCTGCCCTCGTGGTTGGCTCGGTTCGGTTCAGCATCCACCTAGACCTGATCCCCCACGCATTCTCACAAGCAGAGAAATTCAAGGGGAAAAAGAAAGAAAAAAAATGAGCATTTCGAGTTATCGACCATGACTGAACCTGACTGATCACCTAGCAACAACAAAGTGTAGTAAGTAGCCCCTGATTTTCGCTCGCCTAGCCCTAGTGTGAATGACAGGCGCCAATCGGCACTGCAGGTTCAAGCAACAACGGACTCTGATTGGTCGATACGGTCAATCAACCTGCTGTTGACCTCTACGCCCCGGTCTAAGATCATGAAATTTCACTCGACGAGCCAATCAGAGCCCTCACCCCGCCTGGTCCAGAACTCGTAACTTTAAACGATTCACCGCCCACCACGGTCTCGAGTAGGGCTGAGCGGGGTTCTTTGTTGGTATGGTCGTCTGATCGGCAGCTGCGCAGAGGCATTGCGTTGCTAGAGTGAGGGGGAAAGAGAGCTCTAGATCAATATGAAGGGGAGGGCTCTACCCTCCTCTCAACCCCTTGCTTCGGTCTATGCTTTTCAAAACTCAATATCTCGGCGATCGACTATGATACTTGGATACTGTGGGGTCCAGTTTCGTAATCGGCGATCGAGTAGGAGAAAAAAAAGCCCACAAGTCGGATCCTTGATTTGTACCTACAGCTGTAGGAGAGCCCGAGTTCCGATCAGAAACCGCATATTGAGGAAGTCCTGCTTTTTGAAAAGTAAAATAAGGTAGTGAATTCGGAAGCCTGCAGCCACAGCATGTCGGCTCTTTGGTATCAAGTCACCGCATGGAATATACCATATGCAATTGATAGGACACGATAATTGCCCCCTATTGACAGCTACTTCGTGTATGGCCCAAAATCCAGCCTGGGTGCATCAGGCAGGGAGAAAAATAAAAATAAAAATAAAAATAAATGAGGCACAGCAGCATCTAGAGTTGTCCTGACTGTATATTCGTTTCAAGGCCAATCGTTCTCGAACGCTATGTCCACCCCCCACACAGCAACAGAGACCTTGGCTGACAGGTTTGACAGCATCGATTGGCAACTAGTTAGCTGGGCGTGTATGTCGCGCATGGACTGAAAGTCCCGTGATTTAGTGAATAGATCTTCTAGATCGCTGGAAGGGGCATGAAAGGGGGAGTAGGACCTTACCTATATCCAACGATCATATATGTGCTCCTTGGTTGGTTACCGTCTAGACCTTAACTGCGCATATATGGGGATCGTCCAAATGTTGTACACAACTATTTACTCAAAAAAGGTAGCAATGTCTTGTGACGTTGAAATACACCTAACCCTTTGCTCTCGGGTCTGAACATCCCATCGGGGAGTTACCTCTGGTCGGGCCGATATGCTGTAAGAAAACATTTCCCCACTCGGAGGAGAATATATTCTAGCTTAAGCTGCTTAGGCGATGTCGGGCGTTCGGTGTATATATGCCTATGCCTTCAGTCCAGACGCTGAATCAAGAAGTGAGACCTGATATAACCAACTGGCGCACCTCGGCTCGCTGGCAGCAATTTCGGTTTGCAATCCGATCTCCCTTTAACTATTGATAGTTTACTGGTGTGTGTGAGAGAAGTGTAGATTATGTATACTGACGTGCGTCAAAGCTCCCGCAAATTACTTACCTTGCTGTACAAAGGGAAAATAAGCTCGGGCTTTTGGTTTCTCAGAGGGCAAGAAACGAAAAGAGAATAAAAAAGTCAAAGGCCTGGATCAATCAATTACTCCATCCGTTCAAGCCCCGTTTTCTCCCCGCGCGAGCTGCTAGCCCGATCAGTGTTATTTTCTCCTAGAAGAGGGTCAAGATCCGTTATACCTGCTTAAATCACGTTATAGAAAGCCCTATAGCCAGCCAAATTTCCCCCGCAGTGGTGAGACTATGACATGTATAAGGGAAAGGAATATAATATTTTTTAACGGGCTGTGGGCGTGTGTGGTCGATGGAGGGAGAAATCCAACCAACGCAATCTGACGGTTTGCCGCGCAGCGGATGAGATGTGTGTTGTTGTTGGAGGACCAGACCGTCTCCGTATCAGTTCGGGCATTTCGGAATCGATAGATAAAGTACCTACATGTATGAAAAAGAAACCATGGTAAAGGTCCAGTCCATCCACACCCTCACAACCTACAAAAGCACTATTTCGCATGTATGTATGTATACGTAGGGCTAGGTTTGTAGGTAAGCAAGCCGGCATGCACACATACAGTCCCTACCCAGATGTCTTCGTGATTCGGGTGGTACAGGGCGTAACGGCAACAGCAACGCTCGTGAACAAAGAACGAACGCTCGTCGACACTCAGCATTCAATGATCAACGATCAATAAATACTCAATAAATGAATTAAATATATACATGTATCTTAATATTTAGTTTGCCACCCACCCGCTGCAATTACTGCAGCCACTCTATCAGGCATTGATTTCCACAATCTCTCAAAGAAATCTTCGGGAATAGTGTCCCAAACCAAAGGCAAGACTTCAGCCAACCGTTCTTTCACCCTTTTAGGACCCCCAGGAGTGTTTTTTATATTAGGATACTGACTTTGGAGGCGCTTTTTGAGCTCCACCCATACATGTTCAATAGGATTTAAATCAGGAGAATAAGGTGGATGATTTTCAACAACAATATCAACCCCGGGCTCTTCAAACCATTCAGTAACAATATGAGCCTTATGGATTGGCGCATTGTCTTGCATAAATCGAGGATTATCTACAGTATCCTTGACCCGGTTGAGGACAGGTACAAGGAGATACTGCAGCATCTGTAGATAAACGTGTTTGTTGACAGACTTGACAATTAAAGGTGTGAATGTGCCGCGATTCCTCCCCCAAAAGCATCCCCATACCATCAGTGATACCCCTCCACCATTCTTTTTAGGATCTATACACTCGTGCACCCATTTTTCTGGAAGAGTACGAAACACCCATAATTGATTGGGGTTACGCGACTTCTCCACACTGCACTCATCACTCCAGACAACACCTTCAAAATCATCAGCCGTCCAGTGTTGCCTTTCCAATGCCCAAGCTAGTCTCCTCCTTGCGTCTGATGCTGTCAATGCTGGCCGCTTCTTTGCTCTCCATTTTTTGATTCCTCTCTTTCTCAATACTCTATCGACGGTGTGTAAGGAGACCTCAGGGGCATTGCCATCGCGTAATTCCCTTCTAGACATGGTTCGGGTATTACATGCAGCCTGAATCAATTGTTGTTGCTGCTCCTGATCCAATTTCTCAGGTCGTCCAGGACGCGTCAGGTTCTGTATAGTGCCTCGTTCGTTTGCACGGTCGAGAAAGCTTTTAATTGTTGACCATGGTCGCTGCATAATTTCTGCCACCTCGGCAACCTTCCCAGTTGTGTGGTAAAGAGCAATAATCATGCCTTTTTCTAGTCGGCCTAGCTGCCTTCTAGCTGTTTTAGGTCTCTTGCTAGGCGGTAGTGGTTTCCTTGGAGTCGCGTCGGCTGGATTAAACAAGGGGGGCATGGTCACGGTTGCTGGGCTGGGGATAGTGTATCGATCGTGAATTCGTGGGGTTTTGAGGTTGCCGCCGAGCCACCGGAATCACGAACACATCTGGGTAGGGACTGTACGCAGGTACACAACACGTAACGGGTGTTTCCGCACACCCGCGGGGTTTTTTTCTGTAAACTCTACTTTCTTAGTTCTAGTAGCACCGCCCGGCGCAACCGTCCCAAAAGGGGGGGAACGGGGGCATCGCCAAAGTAACTAACTCTCTCCTCGGCAAGAGCGAATTTGTTTGGGGAGGCGAAAAAGTGGTGGTGGTAGTGGAGAAGGGTAGGCATCATGGAAAACCCGTTTCTTCGGGTGGAACCCCGGTTGCTGATCTACGGTTTTTCTTGCCCTGATTTATTTTTGTAGATTTTGTTTTGTAGATCTGGGTGGAAGAAGAGGGAGAAGAAGGGGTGGGTAGGGAGGGGTGGTGCGGATGTGCTAGCTACAATCGATTTGGTAGGACTGGGTGGGCCACACGAGATGTAACGTTAACGGCTGTTAATTGCTGGATGGGGATGTGGATGTGCAACTACATGTATGTATTTCTTTTCTTTTGTCATACTTTGCTGCTGCTGCTGCATCCATGTGGTAAACGTTTTGGTTTGGTTTGGTTTGGTTACAGAATATCATGTCCATGTAGACGATAACCACGTTTATTTGTAGAAGTACCGTGTGAGTACATCCTCATGTATCGAAGGTGCTCTCCATACGTTACGGGTTGGAATTGTGAAGGATTGGCCAGAGTCATGGTCATCAGTCACAATTCACGCTCTACAACATGAATATGATAGACCAGGCAGACCATCGTAGGCATCAGCAGGTCAACAATTATTATCAATTACTCACGGCTGGGCTCGCTTGGACTTGTAGAAGTTTTCTTATAATGTTATTTGATTTGATGATGCGCCAATTGCAATAATTGATAAAACTACATACAGACTAAGTGCGGCCAGAAGAGACCAAAAAATGCTAAAAGTACAGAAAAATACCAAACCAATGCAAAAAACCCAAGACAAAGACAAAAACTCCGCTTTCTCCTTTCCGTTCCGGTATCTGTATAAGAAAAAATAAAGAAAAAAGGAAAAAAGATGGTAAGCTAAATAACTACAGTACGAATTTTTTTTGCGATCGTTCAAGCATGAATAAGGAAATATGAAATGCAGCCCAAAAACAGGAGGACTATGAACAAGATGCAATGCAATGATATAAAAAAAACAAAAAACACTAGAGGCAAAGATCTCAAAAAAAAAGTCCAATTGTACATACGCAAGTCCCTATGAAAGGTACTTGAGCGGACTAAGAAAAGAAATATAAAAAAAAACACCTCATCACAACACAGGCAATCCTCTGCTTGTCGGGTTACCCAACAGCATATAAATCAGTATACATGTTATGCCAATATGATTTATTGTACGATGCACCACAATAGGAGGTATCAGTACGCAGATGGTGTGGCCGTTTGCAGTGGCGCTGTGTCTTGTTTGGGTCGCCCCGTTCCGTTTATTGCCCAATGCTGATGTGTAGGGTCATGTCTCGTGATATACGTTTGTATCTGCCTGCGCCGATCCGAGAAAAAAGAATGTAATGCGCCAGCCCGAAACCAAAAGAGTGTAATGCGCCAACGAAACCAAAATTTACCGCCCCCGACCCCCCACCACCCGTCTCGTACCCCCCATTTCCCGTTGTTTGTGTCCAGCCCATTTACCGCCACCATTCAGTATCGATCATGTCGCGACTTGATATCCTCATCGCTTGGACCTGAATCGCTGTCGTACAACGTCTTTGGTGATCGCAACTGCTGTGATGATCCGAGTCTTGCCAAGCCTCTCACTATCCTCTCTAACGTACTAGCCTTCCCACTACCCTCTTCCATATCTGAGTCCTCAATGGTGTTTCTCCTGAGAAAGCCCGACTTCTTCCTGCTCTTCTTGCTCAACTTGTTGACTGGTACAACGTCTACATCCACAGAGCTCGCCTCGGAGCGAAAGCTTCCGATGCTTGTGGGCCTGCCTAGTTCCTCTGCACCTTGAATCATGTCCAATGATAACCTGAGATAAGCATGCACTGACTCGCTGACGGCTGGCCAGCCACCGGCGTTTGAGCGAACAGTCTCCAAGATTTCAGGACCATTCTTCTCAACACCGATGATGTATCTCCATAGCGTAGAACGTTGGTTGGCAAGGATAGGCGCAGTAAGGAATGCATTAATATCAGGTTCTTCAAACGGGTACAGTGTGTTGAGGATAGCGATAGAGTTGAACTTGTTGAAAGGTTCCAATGAAAGCTCATGGATTAATGTCTGTCCACATGTTAGTTTATTGCACTCGATGATTGTAAATGTATAACTCACCCAACGCCTAATTCCTGCGATCGCTCTTGCATAGAACTGCTCAATCTTAATAGACTTTGTTCTCAAACCCTGAATCTTCCTGTCATTCTCGCCTCGTGCCCTTACGGCCTTCTCCAATTCCTTCTTCCTTCGGTTCTCCAAATCGCGAATGTAATCCAACGCTGTCAATGCTTGATCAAACTCGACATTCTTCAATTCAGCAGCGAAAGTTTTTCGGACAAATGTTGCGAGGAAGTTAGGTGGGAGTGTGCATGGCTGTGCTGGGATGTTTGAGATGTGTTCCAACAAGAGCATCTTGAAGTCGGCAGGTGAAGTGTGGGGTGTTGCTGAGTTGAGTGTGTAAATTGTGCGTAGAGGAAGAGTGAATTCATAGGTTGATGGGTAAGTAAGCACGTGGTCAAGTACCCTGCAGAATGACAGGTTAGCTACATGTTTGCAGTTATTTTGAAGCTCGACGGAAGGACTGAAAGTTACCAATTCATTGCTAAACCGTCTCTGCTAGGGCTGCTAGGGCTGATAGGACTGGAAGCCCCAGATGATACTGATCCAAAAGACATTTTGAGTATTTATGTAGTCTTAAAGACTATGTGTCTAAGAAGCACAATTATATTCTTTACTTGAATGCCAGAGTAAATAAATCTAGCAGGTGGTGGAAGATGGTTGTGAATCTTGGGGGTGGGAGTGGAGGATATATATGTATGGGACGAATGGGTTATGGATGTCAAGTAGGGCCAGGTTGTTACTAGTGCAGTAATAATCAACGTCGAGAGATGTGCAGTAGTGACAAAGAGGGGAAGCGACGGATTTACTTATGGGGAATGGGAGGAGCGAGGGGGAAGACGGAGTTTTTGAACGAGTGACTGAAGGAAGGATGGCGAGTTGATCGGACGTCAGTGCGTAGCAAAGCAAATAATTCCCAAAGTGGTTGGGCCGGAGGCGGGGCTAGGCTAACTTCGAGGTTCAATAGTTTGCGAAGGGGCCAAAGGAAGGAAGGGCACTCTGAGACGAAACAACACCACCAGCGAAATACTCAAGGACAAAAAACGAGAGGAGGGGATTCAGAAAATCAGGAGAAAGGGGACGAGAAGAAAAGAGAAAAGAGAGGAGGCCAAAACAATAAGTAAAGTATTTGTCCTTATTAACTGCAGGCGATATTGATGCATTACTAGAGAGTACCGTACATCTATCTGCACGCCTAATGCTACTTCTGCAACTACATAAACCGCCCGAACACCTTTTCTTCCTACCTCCCACCCACGGCAGACGTGATACCCCCCAGTCCAACCCAACCCAAGTACAAACGGCTGTTGGAATTTTTCTTTCTTTTCTTTTGTGATAGAAAACCTGACTAAAGACCGAGTCTTGCCGGTCTCGATTCCCACCAGAGTGTGGGATGTGTGTCTGTTACTGATCCATCTTACAGGCATCGTGTTAATACTACATTCTAGCCTCAAGCAACAGTTCTATGCAGTCCAGAGTTCTAATTACCCACAAAAACTCCTCTCTGCTGCTGTCGTTCTACATTTAGAGGGAGCCAATCTGCACAGTCCCAGAAAGACGGCACAAGTTGGCGACAGGGTACCCCCCTCTCTCCAACCCCCATGCAAAAACGCGGTCGAGAGAAACAAACGCTTGCAGTAGTGTAAAGCCGTACCCCCTCAATGTCCCTGACCTCCTGTCCCGAATACCTGACTACCACACGGGGCCGGGCGGCGAGGAGGGAAACTGGTTTCTGAGCGGGACATTCGGCAGTCTTACACCGTCACAGCTCTATCTACTAAAGTGACCATCTCGCGCCTTCATGTACCGACGATGATGGGGGCTGCCCTCGCACGCAGTCACGCAGTCACGGACCCCTCAACCCGGATAGCGACATGTATGTCCGTCGTCTCAGAGTGGACTATCTACCATCCTACCATAGATCATGATCCCCATCTACGGGTGTCTCTATCCATAGGTTGGTTTTGCGAAGAGACATCGCAGCTCGGTACCGCTAGTTGGAGCTGCTGCTATGCTGCTGCGCTGTAAGCTGCGGCCTGCCTGGGGAAAGTTGGGTAAGTAGAGTATGTACTCTAGGTGTAATATAGCAGTTCTCTTAAGATAGAGTACATACATAGAGTAGAGTAGATTGGGGTATTCCTACATAGAGTACTCCCTACTCTACCTGTAGGTGCATACATAAGACTCGTACCTACATCCAGGTAATCGAAATCCGGTTAACCTGCACCATACATACAGGTATTCTAGAGTAGGTACATACATATTTTAAGCGATGCTGCTGCTCTACATCATGTAGGATATTCCCACATACAATGTTCCTCACGTCTGCACTGCTGACTGACCAGTTTGGGAAGTCAGGGGAGGGGGCTTTATGTTATCGTCATGTAGGTACTCGCGACCAGCAACAAGAACCCGAAAATGCACGTCCTAATCTGCAATTTCCATTGGAGTAGAAGTCAAAAATACACCAAAGACTTGCAGCTGCATATTCGGGTTCTTGTTGCTGGTCGCGAGTACATGTACTCTACAGAGTACAAACGGGGGTTGCCTGCAGTGCTGCGACCGCCTGCTTCTCTACCCTACCGTACGTTGTCGTTTACGACGGTGATTCTCGTTATGGTCATCGAAGCTGAAAAGCTTGGTGCACGGTCCAGCTGCGGGAGAATTTTTTTCCCTCCGAGTTCTCAATCTGGAAGGCTAGTCTATAAGTAGAGAAGGGCTTTGTGAGAGTCTTCGGGAAAGCTCTTCCCGGCAGACCTTTCCCCCAACAACCCTTGTCCCGGGATAAACAGCAGGGTCAGGGCTTGCTAGTCGTCACTTGGTTTTCTCTGGTTTCAACATTAACTCGTTAACGATTCACTTCCGCTTTGGCCTTTGGTGGATGGACCCTTACAATGGTCAACCGTGGCACTGACTGCGCTTCCATCGCCGACGAATTTCTCGTGGCAAATCGATCTGATGGAGGCGAAGGTTTTGCATACGTGGGCTTGCGAAGGGAAGAGATTGTGGAGGAGAGTAATGTCTGTGGAGTTCGTTGATACCAATCGTTCTTCAACAGGGCTGTCTAAGGGATCTGTGGGAGGGAAGATAATATTATGTGGAGATTCCTGCTAGCCACATGAGTTTACCTAGAGCCATTTCTTACATGTGAAATTCACAATGTGAATACGTACAAAGGGCATTGTATACAATTGAAACCCAAATGGATCAAGGCGAGTGATGGTACATGAATATACGTAAGTACATGTACATGTACATATACTGCTACATGTATCTCTGAGTGATGATGTAGGCATTCAATGGACTGCCGCGCGGATAGTCCCTTCAGCCTGCAAGACATACATGTAGTTTTTTGACGGCAACTAGCGGTGGACCCTTTATGTGAATTTCAATACCACCCCGTCATACATACTTCGTTCTGAATCATTCAGTTCCTTCTCGATTGTTTCATATTCCTGCAGCCAAGAAGTCAAAAGTCAATATTTCAATGTCAGTGCGGTACGCCCCAACAAACACGCTGGTTAAGCACATCGGTGAAAAAACTTTTGAACGGATAAAGTTTATCGTTATTGATGATGATTTAAGTGCTTCGTTCACCTCCAAAGACCTTGCTGGGGTCAACCCCCAGAGTGATAAATTTAGGCGCTACAGATTACCACAATCACAGGACGAAGAATGTCGTGGAAATCCCAGCGCGAACAATACTGAGCAAAATGTTTCCTACAGGGACAATTTAACTGAAAAAAACAAGCTATTTAACAATTTGTTTAATTGTTACCATCCTACTCAGGTCTCACGGATCAGCAAATTCGTTTGCTGGTCCCAAGGACCACTAGTTCCCTACAGACCGAAGATAGCATTGATATTTGAAGTTGGGGGCCCAACTAAAAAGGTCCAAGAATTTAACTGGAACGATACTCCCAGGGCTAGTGTTTTTATGTGCAACAACAATGGAGAAATAAAAAAACTGGCGTTCGGTGATGCTCGCGTATCAGGTGTTGAATTCATATTACTAGGGAGACCAGCACCTATTTCAGGTTGTGGTGATACAGCTTCGTTCTTATCTTTAATTCCAGGCAACGAGAGAGCAGAAGAAATCTTTGAGACAATCATGGATAAAACAGCGTTGGAAATTCAAAGGGCTAGATGGGGTATCTCGTCTTCAATGGTGTTCTCGTCATCGGAGAGTAACTCTGATGACGATAGTAATTCACTGCGTTTGAAACCCAGAACTTCTAAAAAAGTTACATGGGACGATGAACCATCTCAACCAACCAATTCCAGGTATTTATCTCGCTCGATAACTTATTGTCAGGTGCATCGAACTAATTAAAATTCTATAGTCGAACTGGTAAGAAAGGATCGATGGAAAGGAAGCTAGTTGCTCAACTTGGGAACCTATGTCATGCTCCGAGGGGGTTAGAGACCGGACAGGACAACCTCACATCATCAAAGCCTCTTCATCCCGAAACTTTCCATCACAGTTATCATCATCCATCATCTTCAGCACAGTTTTTCGGAGCAGGCGCAGCCAATATTCCTCCAAGGTCACCAATGAGCATTAATAACATTGCGGAGAAAGGATTTACAGCCACAGAACCGGCGAATATCGATAATATCAATCAGGATCTAAATATTGACTTATCATTTCGTAAACGTCGTATGGATGCGTTTAGAAGGAACACGAAGTCGGATATCCCTAAACTAGGAGTTATCGAAGCAAAGCAGCCAGGGTCAGTGCTTCAAAAAACGCATTTGAGCTCGGATCAATCCGTTGGTGATAGATTCAAAGAATACCAGGAACGGGCTTTAGGAAATCACCGTGCCCCCCCGATCCATCATTCATTCCCTCCCTTAAGTGCACCAGCAGACACCGCACAGATCGATGAACAACGCCCAAAAAGTCTCGATAGAGACATTTGCACATGTGGGAAACGTCATACTAAAAGCTCCGAGAATGCAGCTCCCCAGAAGCTTGATAGTGACACTTCTGGTATGGCGCCAGAGGATCCTGATATCACACGCGATGTTCCATGCACACAATTGGCAGACCGGGTCACTAGCGGAAGACCTATTAGTATCAATACTGAGGTGAAATTGTCCGATTGTTCAAAACCACATATTGGTTCCGATTTCGACAATTGCAGCATTTGTACCTCTGCATCTAGAACCTGCGCTGTCGAATCACCTATAGGCCCTATGGATACTGCCTTTGGCACTAGCCTCCAAATTTCTGGAAATGAGAATACCATTATATCTCCACATCCTTCTCACTTTGACCGCAATGGACTCCCCCGTACGTGTGAACAGTCAGCGTCACCCCAGGACGATATCCAACCAGAAAATATCCAACCATACGAGATCTGCCGCAGTGATTATCCAGTTTTCGATGGCTGTATTATCCAACGCGGCTTTTTTCCCTTATATCCGAGCAAGGAGGCACCTGCGGTTGAATATAGGAAACGTATTGGTGGAGTTGGGAACTGGTACCAGTGGCCACCTATTCAGGTCTCCAGAGAGTACCTTCCGGAGGGGTTGAAAGAGTCCGATTGGAGCTCGACTGACAGTAGCAAACGCGGAGAGTTCGTTCCCTCTGGTATTTCGTGGTAAATTTTACATGGTCTAATACTGCTCACAGAAAAAAACCCCAATGATTTTTCCCTCCTTTATATTCGTCCCCATATACGTTCATTGTTACTATTCCTATTATCGGCCCCATATCAAAACGGAGTCATCGGGATTTCGGGGTTTCGGGTACTAGAGGGGCGTTCGATTGATATTTTCATTTTTCACAACTAGCTACATAGCTGTTGTTTGCTATGGCCAGGGTTGGCACTATATGGGGGGGAGTTTTAGTTGTTTGGCGTTTGTTTTGGCTGGTAGGACTTTTAACTGATGGAGCTTTTAGCAGATGAGACTTTTAGCAGATTGTATACTGGGGTTTTACTAGTATCGATAAAGATCTGTGTTGATCATTTCTATATTTCCTTTTTTCTCCATAGGGATACTCCTTTGCATGATTATTGCATACGTCGTTGCATGATTAGGGATACTTGACTGTATAATTAGGACACTTTGTTGCGTGGTTAGGGGTACTTTATGTTATCTCATAGATTCTCACTCGGCTATTGTTAATAATGATAGTTTTACAGGTTGCTAGCTACTCTGATTTTCGCATGGGCCTTCAGATTTTAGCTAGGTTGCGAGAGCTCTCGGAGCAGATTGGTGTGGAGTAGTCTGTGCAGAGTCTATGCGAACCCAGTCAGCGGCGGAGAAGGGCGGGGATAGATTGTATTTATCTGGCAAGCAATTTAAACAGTAGACAAATACTGCTAGATATGCTGTGTGTCTTGCTGTGTCGGTAGGCTGAGATGAAGAGTCAGGGGGTTCGTAGAGTAAATGATCAACAGAGAAACAAGGACGGTTTCTCCAACAGTAACGGCTCGCTTCAAGTCGCTTAACTGGTTATATTGGAAATAGAATCTACCGCAAAGGCCTTTTGTTTAGCCGGACCCCAGTTGTGCGAAATAATAGAGTAGGGGTGAGACAATCCTTGTTGCAAGGGGGTTATATGTACATTCCCGGTGCGTACATATAGCTTTCATACCGGGCCAACTCTCGGTCGCTGCACTGCACAAATTTTTAACATCGGTACCTGGCATATGTATGCACATACATGTATATTGTGTGCCATTAGGTAGGTATGAGTCCTGAGAATTTTTATCTCATATTACTCTCCCTGCCTACCGTGTGTCCCTCTCGCTCTAGGTATCTCCTTGGACTTTCAAAACGATAAGGTCACGCACGCATTCTCCCCTAAGGTCCCAAATACCCTTGTTTTCTCAACAAACGGGGACATAAAAGCTTTATCATATCATCTTGCATAGACTACAAATCACATGGATATTCGTATGTAATCATGTACTTAATAGTGTAGTAGTTAGTAGTAAACTATCAATTTTACATCCATGTCAATGCGCCAATTGCCTTTAAAAATAAAGAAGATACGGCTTCATCCTCCACATTTCCACCTCCTTCAATTCAACCAGCGGCGGTGGCAGCATTAGCAGAGTTAATATCAGCCACCATCCCCCTCCACCCGTCCGCCTTCCAGGGTGCCACCATGATAGCCTTCTGGTCGTAGCTTAGTACTCCAATCTGACTAAATGCGTGACACAATTCTTCTGCATCAACCTTCCCTTGAACTGCGACCTTGAGGGCCATATCTGCCGCGTGATAGGAGGGTTCGGGAGAGGCTGTCAACAATTTGCTCCATGTTGAGGAAGAAAAAGGGCGCAGGAACACCGAAGTTCCAGCAATGCTAATGTTTTGGTCCGGTTTCTGTGCAGATTTGTGGCGTTAATAGCTGGTTTCGGAGTTTTTATATACATCCTCGGAACCGGCAGGGTGAACGGGCGAGGAGACGAGAATTAAAAGGAAAGGAGGAAATATCGGGGGAAAGGAAAGATTAAACAGACCATGAGTTGACCGATAAGGCTTAAAAGCTTATCTACTTTCTCCCGAGATGCCTGGTCGACTTTGTCATCTCCACAGACCGCCTGTAGATCATCCATAACCGCATCCACCACATCTTCATTATTATCCAGAACCCCAATGGCCCCCAACAATAGCGTAGATTGCAAGTGATCCGGATGTTTCTCAATACATGCAAACAATTGATCTCGCGCTACGTCCCGCTCCTCATCTCCTCCTTTGGCCCACAACACTTGGGAAAGTAGGCAAACTACATCCGGATTTTCATTACTTTCAGTTAGTGCCGCCTTGAACATCTCTAGACTGTCGTCCATGGCGCCTAGGTAGTAGTGTGCCAACCCTGCTGTAAGATGTGCCGATAAACGGCAGTTCTTTAGTGCTTCTGTGTCGCCAGATAGGTCAAGCGCTAGGCTGGCATTTTCGGCCGCTGCTTCGTATTCTTTGAGCCCGAGCCTTACGCGGGCAAGATCTGCTTTGGCTTGCGCGTATCTGATTAGATCCTCCTCGGATTCTGTTTCCTCATACCGTTGTTCTACCGTATTGCAGACGATCTCGAGTCTGGCAGCTGCTGGAGTAAACTCTTGAACGCGCTCGTTGAAAAGTGCGTTAAGTCTCAACGACACAGGTTCAGAAGAGATCTGCTCCTGTAATTTCTGTAGCGCAAATATAGGCCCAAGAAGCGATGAAAACGCTGTCGAAGAGTCTAGCTTCGTAATACTATCAAAAGTCGCCGTCGAAAATTGCCGTTTAACTAAGATCTAGATATCCAACTAGTTAGCGTTAGGCCAAATCATAACTAATCACTCGACCTACCGAAGAGCTCTCCGAAATCTCAAAAGCATGACCATAAAGCTCCAATGCCTCTTGTGTTTCCCCAGCATCTGCGCAATGATCGCTTGCCCCACCCATGCAAGTGCATACTCAGGGTCTGCGCTCTGGGCCTTTGAAAAGGCCTGGTTCGCAATCTCCATGTCACCCATTAGAATATAGAGCGCGCCCAGGTTCACCCAGACCCGTGCGTTCTTCTCGTTAATATAGAGTGCTCGTACGAGCGCGTGTTGGGCTACCTTAGCATTGAGCTCACCTGTTGCAACTCCGAGCGCGTTCCAGAACTCGTGGTTTCCAGGCTCGAGCTTGATGGTGCGCTTGAAACAGCGGATGGCTGCGTGTCGATATTTCATCGGCCGTGCGGGGAGTGAGGCATAGGCCCGGTATTCGGCACAGCCGAGATTGAACCAGGCAACGGCGTGTGCGTGCCGATCGTCGGCGGAGGCGTAAATTCCCCGCTTGTAGGCTAGAATTCCCATGTGTAGGCAGATCGTCAGATCATCTAGTTGCTCGGCTTCTTCTAGAGTATTAGGGCCGACGCCGTCGATGTCGGCGATAATGTCGAACTCGGAAATGTCAAAATCCTCAGATAAGATGCGAGAGACTAGCTCTTTGGGGAATTTCTCTATCAAGCTCTGCACCCATGAGAAAATAAGGCAACAGTCCCCTACAGTCTTCCAAAGATTAAAAGCATCTGGCCGCTCCTTCACGATTTTTTCCGCAACCTGTAGAGATTCTACCGATGCATTAACGGCTCTTCCAAAGTATCCCTTCTCTACATCATGCCATGCACTAGCACTTAGTGTCTCACCCAAGGCTACAAGAACCCCATACTCTCCAGGTTGTAGGTCAAGAACAGCTCTGTATCCTGCGCAAGCAGCTTCGTATTCGCCCAACTCGCGGTTCACATTCGCAAGCATGTATTTCGGGAACCAACTCGATGAGTCAATTTTTTCGGCTTGTACAAATACCTTTGTAGCGGCAACCCATTTTCCAGAGGAAGCGTATGCTTCACCAAGGCCAACCCAGGCGTTATAATCATTTGGTGCGACTCGTAATGCAGCTTGGAAAGATTGAATGGCAAGTGCATAGTTTTGAGCGTTCTGTTATTCATGAGGTAGCACTCGTCAATACCCTACTACACCAAAAATCACTCGGAGCGAGTGTAACATACCAACTCAACCACTCCAATTGCGCTGTGTGGCCAACTCATGCCCTTTCCGGGTACCGATCTCTTCTGATCAGCCTCTGCAACCCTTCTCGCAATGATCTCAACCAATTCCCATTCTTTGCTATCGGCGAAACTCCTTGCGAGACGTTCAGCGGCCTCTACTTCACCAGCCGAAAGCTCGAATGCTTTTTGAAAACATTTATTCGCCCTGGCAGTGTCGTTGGCAATATCTTCATAGTATATACCAAGTGAAGTGTACGCCGGCGCGAAATTTTGGTTATTATGTAGTGCAGAGATGAAGAATGAATATGGGCCGTTCTTTCTATCGGCTCTCAAATCCTCTATTTCAATGAATCAGCCATGCCGCCAAAAAGCGATAAACAAAAATATACTTACCATGGCCATTCCATACTGCCATTCCAATTCTCCAAGTTATCTGTGCCTTCAAATCCCTACTCCTAGGGTCAAGCCCCCCAACCAAAGCTGCACATCTCTCTAACTCCTCTTTTCCTTCGTCATGTTTCCCCATTAACACATCGCACCACGCTGCCTCCGCTCTAATCTTGGCATTTTCTGGATCTAGCACAAACGCCTTCCTTAAAAGGTCTCCAGCCATCTCGTACTTCTGCTGCTCCTCCAAAATAAGACCCAGACCCACCAAGGCCGCACCATAGGTTGATTTTCTTGTGAGAACGTCTTCAAAAGCCGCACGGGCTTCAGGGTGGTACTTGGGCGATTGATAGTGAATCTGTGCAGTCGCTAAAATGACGGTTATCGCGTCAGTATTCTTGGGGAAGGGAAGGTTGATGCGCGCAGATTCAGCGGTGATGAGTTTTTGCGCATTGCGGGAGACATTGATGGCCTGTTCATATTCGTCGAGAGGGAGATAGTATTCAGCCACGATTCGATGGCAAAGGATTGAGTTGGGAGATTTTTCGAGTCCTTCCTACAAACAAAGTCAGAATACTAGGTGATTGTAGGAAATCTCCTGGGAGTTTTACAATCATGGCATCTATCAATTCATCTGGAGAGCCTTCTTCTGCTGCAGGTTCCTTTGCGACTGGATTACCATCTTCATCGATTTCTACAGGTATGGGAAATGGTGATAATTCGGATTCTAGGTATGCACTGAGAGCTTTTGAAAGACCAGATTCTGGGAAGAATTGAATATATTCCCGTAAGATATTTACGTCATGTTCGCCTAGACTCGTTGTTAGAACGTTGTTTAATTCTCCACGGCGGAGAAAATGTTACAGGAGCACTTGCCTATACTCTCACAATCCCTCCACTCAATGACAATCTTCCACGCAAGCTCGAATGGATACTTCAATATAACGAGACCCTCCGCCCATTTGTAAACTTTAGCTCTTTCCGCATCCTTCTTCTCCTTTTCGACAACTAGCAGTTTGTCGTATCCGTGCTGAAGTAGCTTCGTATCAATTGTCCTCCTCAGCTCTTCATCGTCTGACCAATTTAGGATCTGGTGGTATAAATTTTCTAATGGGGAAGCTCCCAAAACCTCTCTTTTAACCTCCCTTTTAACCTGACCTGGCTTAACACCAAGACGTGAGCGCCGTGAAGCGATCTCTTTATTTATTTTCTCCTTCTCTTCCGCTTCAATTATGTCTATGAGCTTCTGTAGCGTGAACGAGGGGTGAGGAATACGGCCTTCTAGGAAATCAAATATGGGAGATTCTGGGAGTAGAAGGTGGAGCGCGCGTTTATACTATTCCTATTTAGTTTTACTATATGACTCATCATAAAGTAAGTATGGACAAACCTGCTCTTTGCTCCCATTCTCTTTCACAAAGGGCGTGATTTTATCCACAGCAGTCTGGCACCTCGTACGGTCGTCCCTAACATCACCTTAATTAGCACCCGCATCCAACTCAATAATCCAACAACACCACTTACAGATCCCTATATATCACGGCCAGCTTCATTGCTGCTTCCATGTACTCGTCCACTTTTTTCTGTGCCTCAAGCACATTGACGAGCCCACTCCACGCATTTGGATTATCGCCCTTTCTATCCTTCTTCTGGGCCTCGGCCGCGATCGCCTCCTTATAGCAAACCTCGGCCTCGTCGAACTGCCCCTGCCGGAAAAGTGCCAGCCCAAGAAACGTATTCCTAAATTCTCCCTCAATCAGCTTCTCTCGCACACTGTATCATCTATCCGAGCGCACATACACATTATAATCCGTTGGGTTGAACTGTAAAACGCTGCGACATTTATCCTCAGCGCCCTTCCAGTCCTCGGCTTTGAGGGCAACGGTAATCGCTTTGACTATAGCTTTGGATGCCATTGTTTGTCCTGATACTCTCGCGTTACGTTGCGTTAGTGGGGTGGTGGGAGGCCTGGCCTTATCGATTGCGGCAGGTCGTCATGCTGCTTGTGGGGGTTACACAAAACGTTGCCAAAACCTAACCCTGTAGATTCCTCGGCAGGGTTAATGATCACCTAAACCGTTTCTGCTAGCGAAGAACATTTATTGCAATTATCAACATTGTGCAATGTTTAGCATGCAACTTTTGTTTCTATGTCAAACATCCGCTTGCTCATGGATCAGTAATCGCTTATAAGAAGACATGGGGGGCGGGAGTCGCTTTTAGGAACATGCCATTGTCATATTGTCCTTTTGAAATAGGCAAATTCGCGGAGAGACGGCTCTATGACTTCTCGGCTCACGTATTAGTCTCAGACTCAGACACGGCTAATGAAGTCAAAATTTCACGGCCCGAGCAAATGTCTATGGGGGGCTCGGACATCGGCCTCGGACTTCATATACACGGACCTCTTATACTATATACTCATGCATGCAAGCCGATCATTGACTGTGGGTAGTTACAAATAAAGTAGGTGTATCTGAAACATAAAACTCCCATGTTCCCTTCCCTCGGGTGCCAACCGTCAGACCTATTACCTTAAGGGAACCTCCTGAGGGCTTCGCTCCGTCCCCCTCGGAGACTAACCCTGGGTCAGCAGTACCCAACAACCTGGAAAGCTCCCGGACACTCACACATTCTACCTACTCAACCGATGAAGCCCTAGCAGGTATTTACGTATGTATCCTACCTACATATGAATACACTCCCTAGAGTATTTTCATATGCGCCGAACTCCCGCACATACCTCGCGATACCAAAAACACCTCCCCTGAGCCCTCCCTCCTTGGCGAGAGGTCTCAACTGCAGATCTTAAGCTGTGTAGCATGCGCCGCAAAATATCAGTGGTTCCTCGATCCACGTAGCGTTTTCAGATACATACGTATGTTAACTCGTACCACGCATCGTACTCTACTCGTATTTCACTGACGTTTTTGAACTGGGCCATTATTGCATACACCCAAAATCATGAGCTTGGTGTATTTTTGTATGGCATGCAATATCAGTCGCGTCCACAAACGTCAGTGAAATACGAGTACAGTACCTGTGTGATTCCCAGCAGGAGGACACCTCCTGAAGTCTGCACACTAAAGGCTTCTATGCATCTACTCTACTACCCAATCTACTCTGAGCTGAGACTATCTCGGAGGCGTACTTTCCGAAACCTATAGCCATGCACCCCACAAGCCCCCCAAAACCCATATGCATGCAGACCGTACCTGCCAGACACCCCCTCTTCCCATGCAGTACTAGGGCACCATCACCGGCCCTTAGCGTTCCCCAAAGTTTCCCAAGCGGCAAGTTCCATGATCCCATGAGAAATTTTTCTCGGGGTTGCAGTCTGAGAGCGCCTCTTAATTGACCGCGTGTTTTACAGATCCTGGGATACTCATCACCATGCCCTCGGGAGCCACCACTGATAGAGACATGACTCTGCGATGCATGGCTTTGCGTATTTAGGTACCTACTCTACAGCATAACCCCCAGTCTCAAAAGCTTCGTGTTCGCGAATTTCGTACCAGAAAGCTCTGTGTAGCCATGCGTACGGTCAGATGTACGGGCACTAGCAGCTGGCAAGCGAAGGCAAACCCCCGCAGCTGAGAATACATTGGAGCTATGTACATACATAGCATGAGACAGGGACCACAGAGCTAAGTTGTCTTTGGGATTCGCCAAAGATGGGGGCTGAAGTACATACAGCGTTTAATTAGTCCCCCCCAACTGTACCGAAGATAACGTGGCCGGCTTCTCGGAGCGGCACCAAGGGGTTCTAGCGCACTATAAGCTTCTACGGGGGAGGGGCATCTGAGGGGTATGTACGTACCTAAAAAGAGAGTTGGGGAGAACCAATTGAGGGGTAACGACGTACTGAGCCAGAGTCGGGGGCTAATTAGACAACATCTATGATGGGGCTTGGAAAAAATAATTATTTGGCCAGCGAGGGAAATTTTCGGCAAGACCATTCTTTAATTTACAGTTGGTTACACTCCATGGTACTGGTACTTTTATGACGTGACACGACGAAGGTAAATAGCCAAAGACGGATCAAAAGAAGCACATAAATGGTACAATTCTTGGGATTATATGTAAAAGAGAAGACTGAAACCATGTTTGAGAAGTTCACATTTGACTATTTCCTTTTTAAGACCGGCGAGTGACATAACCAGAAAGTCACACATGAACGAGCCGATTAATGATACATGTTGCAGATTCGGCTTTTCAAATAATGCCGAACCTATCACGTCCACCACACTTGTCACTGTGATTCCGACACTTGTCCCATGCGTGATCATATAGCTACATGTAGTTAGACGCTTTGTCGAGATTAGAATCAAGTAACTTGACTATCTCGTCCTGATTTTTCAACATTACACAATCTAATACTCGCGAGTGATACTCTATGACGCCAAGTATATTGTGTGTTGACAAAAAGTTGTAAGAGGATCGGTCATGAAACGACCACAACACCACAACCACAAAAGACAGTTGAGGGATTAGGAATCTGACGATTAATAGCACATAGATTCTATCTAGTTATGGATCCTGATTACCGACTTTTGCAAGTTAGTATTTTGGGCAATTTCTGCTGGAAATCACGAGAACTGTAATTCTGTCAACCCATAATTAATATGTACACACGTGAGTTTTAGTACATCCCCAGCACCATAGATGGCAGAGACCGGCTATAAGCGTGCAAAACACCCACAACCGGTGCAGTCTGGCCAGTCGAGTCCCCATAAGCAAATGTACATAGCTTAAAATAGATGACATTCACAAACACCTACCCAACAATCGAATCTTCATATCGAAAACCAAAAAACTCAACAACAATAATCTATATCTCTGTAGTATTATTTTAAGAATTGTCTTAATCTCCATCCAACATTGGGGTTGATTACTCTACCTATATGTAGCCATATGCAATTAATGAGAGTGACATTCCCCTTATACCGATATCATAGTAACTTAGACAACAGCGGTCCTCACCAAACGAAGGTCCAGGGATAGAACAAGTGAGCTTTATTACAGCTAATAATGGTACTTCGGGGTATCTAGTAAGTGGTAAGGGCCTATGGAATAAAACACCCCGCCTCGAGTGATGCTCCAACCGAGTGATATCTCATGACCGCAAAAGGATGAGCACCCGCACCACCCATCTGCCTGCCCATACCCATACTTGGCAGAGGCCCCACTACTACAACGTACTTGCAGAGATACCATGCCATAGCCAGTATGCTATTCCCAGCGGGTATCACGCCCAAGCACAAGTCCTCAAAACCAACACTGCACTCTACCTCCGCACACCAAACCACCCCGCCAGCACCCCCACCGCCCTCTCCACAACCCCCACACCCTCACGCCCTATCCTCACGCCCCTCACCCGCGGCGCCATGCCACCACCACTCATAAAGAACCGCGCCCAACCCGGCGATGATGATGCTATTGGTACACGACTAAAATACAACGCTTTTATCCACCCTTTATCTTTATCCCCGCAGCCGCCCACCCAGGCAAAGCCAAGGCGAAAGAGAAAAAAAAAATTAGCTATGTATCCCCATCCTCAACACTAGACTCCTTCTCGCCATCATTGTCATCCGCACCTTCTTTCGCCGTAGCGGGCTTCACGACGGGCTGCTTCCGCGGCGGGATGACGGCGATGAAGGCCTGCTTCCAGTCGCGGCACTCGAGGTACTTGAGCATGATCTCGACGACCTGGTTGGTGGTGAGCACGAAGCGCGACGACATCTTGATGTAGTCGCCGATGGGGAGCTTTGCGGTGCGGATGTTTTGCGCGGTGGCTTTGTTGTAGCAGAGGCTCTATTTTCACGTCCACTCACAAATCAGTCAACCAGTCTATCAATAACTGGAGCGGAGGGGGAGGGGGAGCAGTAGTGCAGGAGGGGGAGGGGCTACTTTATAACGATTCCGATCCACAATCCCACCAATGATATAGCTCGTCCCCGGCACCAGGTCCTCCACCGTATCCTCCGAGTCGGCCGTCAGATACACCAGCTTCCCGCGGTTCTCGTCCGTCACCTCGTACTCGCTGTCGGAAAAGGTGATGCCCTTCCAGTGTAGATGGTGGTTGCTGAGCCCGTTCTGGAAGCGCGCGAGCAGCCGCCCGTTGAGTGAGGTGACGGCGAGCTTAAACTGGCGCGGCGCGGCGCGGTTGAAGGCGTAGCAGCGCGTCAGCTGTGAGGACATGGACACGATCTCCTGTGGGGCCTGTTAGCACGATGTGGTACGCGGGGAAGGAGGAAGGGGACGGGGGGGGGAGGTGCCTTGTCGTGCATCTTGTCGTCAAACCCGCAGTCCAGTATCAGCGTTATATCCTCCACGACCCTCTTCACCCCCGCCGTCGCAGTCGGCAGTGCCGCCCCCGCCCCCGCCCCCGCCCCCGCCGCCGGCTGCTTCTGCTTCAACTTCTTCCCCGCCGGCTGCCCATCCTCCCCCTCCTGCTCCTCCTCGTCGTCCTGTGTCCCGTCCTCCTCATCCTCGCCGTCGTCCTTCTTGCGCTTGTTGGTGCCGGTAGAGGCGGCGGCAGCGGCCTCCCGCTCCTCCCGGTCCCGCTGCTTCTTCTCTTTCAGCTTCCGCTTCTTGTCGGCCTTCCACTGCTCGCGTGTCTCGGCGAGGCGCTGCAGCTTCAGCAGCTTCTTGTGGGCGGACTTTGAGATTGGTTTACCGTCAGGGCCGAGGGGGCGCTCTGCGGTGGTGGTGGTGGGGGGCCCTGCAATTGGGGTGTCAGAAGTCTCAGCAGTGGCCGGGGCGGGGGCGGGTGTGGGGTCAGCGGGGTCAATGTCCATTTGCGCGGGGCTGAGCGGTTCTTCCGTGCTGGCCTCCATGGTTGCGGGTCGAGCTGAGTCGAGTCGGGGGAGGAATTGTTGCAGCCCCAGAATCTCGAATCCGGGTAACACACTCACGCTGCAGCGAGCAATTGAGCAATTGAGCTACAACGTCAACCCCCGCCAACACTCTCCACTCCACTCCACACATCAATCCATCCACACCGCACTCACTCACCACCAGCACCATGGTACAAGGTACATACACCTCCCTCTCCGCATAGCAGCACAATGGGATTCAGCACTAACAAACACAACCCACCCCGCAGACCTCCCCCCAACCGGCGGCTACGGGCCCATCCAATACAAGCGCAACGTCCCCGCGCGCGGCTTCAAGCCATCCTACTACCTGCTCGCCATGGGCGCCATCTGCGCCTACGGCTTCTACGAGGTGACCCGGGGGAACCGTAAACAAGTGTACGCCTCCCTCCTTTCCCTCTCCCCCAAATCAATTCGACGGACAAATGGATGGACGAGAGACAGATACTGATGGGAGAGAGGGGGAGAGAGCAGTGAGTACTCCCGCGAAAAGGCCTGGGCACGCATCCACCTGATCCCGCTGCTGGAGGCCGAGTCGGACCGCGACCACGTGCGCCGCATGATGGCGGCCGACGCCCGCGAGAGGGAGCTGATGAAGGATGTCAAGGGGTGGAAGTACGGGAGTGTGTATAACTCTGACCGGTTTGTCTCCCCCCCCCCCCCTCTCTATTCTGTGAATTGGAGTTTTTTTATATATGTTTGTCGGGGGAGTGAGGAGTGAGGATGGCGGGCTAATTGGATTGGATTGGATTTGCGGCGTGAAACAGATTCGTGAGGCCGACGTACACACCGATGGAGACCACGGGCGTGCACCAGCCTAGGTAAACGGAACGGGTCGCCCGTAGTGGTTTCTTTTTTATAAATAGCACGTACGCCCCCTACATGTAAGGAGCTCTTCTTCTTTCTTCCCGGATTCGACATCATCGCAGTATCTATCTATAGCTGGAAAGAAAAAAAAATACACAAATTTCGGGGAAAAAAACTGGAATATTTATCATTACCGCACAGCTACTAGAGAACCAATCCAATTGACTTGAGTAAGAAGAGGAAAAAGTTCATGGATTTTTTTGTTTCTTGACATGAATCATCACTCGTTATATAGTTGAGTATAAAAAAGAAAGCAAAACAAAACAAAACAGATACAACCAAACATGCAAAAAATAACCCCAAAGCCGGGGAGAAAGAAGAAAAAAGAAGAAAAAAAGACGAACCAGCACAAACACACACACACACACAAACAGAGTCTACTAGCCATCTACGTAATCTACATTATGGCACAACTCTTGTACCCGCCCCTCACCATGCCCAAGTACCCCTCATCCTCATACTCAAGCCCCATCTTCCCCACGCCCACAATCTTGATAGTCTGCTCGCCCTCTGCATGCCACCACCTCAGCACGCTGCGATCCTCCTCATACTCCCACTTGCCCCCCGTAACCTCAACCCTCACGTCCTGCTTCGGAAAGTGAAACGGCGGCACAAAGATCTCTGTCGGCGCCTCCTCCTCCGTCGCCCTGCCCGCCGAGATCTTCATCTCGAACGTCGCCTTCGCCAGGTTGAACCCGGCCTCAATCACCGTCCCACACGTATACACCGGTGACGGCCTCACGAACGCCTCTGCCGCTCTAGAACCAGCTACAATAGCATCAGGCGCAACTTTCTGCATGTCCTCTGGGTTTGTGCTCATCGTGCTTGTCGACATGACCTTCTTGATGTTATCGCCATCGATGGTCGTAGCGCCGCCGACAGCGGTGCCCGCAGACGACGTCGGCGGCCGGTCGTCGAGACTGAAGATGCTAAGGTCCTCGCCGTTCCAGTTGTCGCCCCATTCGTGGTTGTTGCCGGCGCAGTAGGTCCACAGCGTGAAGCCCACCTGCGCGCCCTCGAGTGCAAAGTGGTTGGCGTCCATGGCGCGGATCTGGGAGATGTAGTCGCCAGTGTTGTAGGCGGCTTTGTCGTCCATGTCGTAGGGGATGCCAATCTCGGTGAAGACGCAGGGCGTCAGACCGATGTTGTCGAGCCCTTCTTGCTTCATGGCTTTGAGCTGGTCGCGGAGACAGTTTCTGTAAGAGTTAGTTGAGGTGCTTGGCGATATTTTGGTGATAGGGTAGATATATACCTAATAGCACTCTCGCCGATTTTGACGGCAAAGGTTGGGGACCAGTAGCGGCCGCGGAGAACGCCTAGAACGTCAATATTCCAGAGGCGGTTCCACTTCTTGGTCATAAGTGTGATTCCGTCGTAGAAGTGTGGTGCATACACCATTCGTTCATGTGTGTCCTCAGTGCCCTTAATATGCGGTGGGATCTCAAATACTGGCGGCTGGCAGAACAGGATTGCCGTCTTATGTATGCTCCGAATAGCCTTCTGGTACTTTCTATAATGGTCTAAAAAGTACGTCTCTGTGAACTTCTCCGCATCGATCAGCTCGCCGCTCGGCATCTTGCTGAAGTAGTCGGTCTTAAGGATTGTATCCGTCGCCGGATCCCACACGCCATGCTGAGCCCATATACACTGGCCGAGCTTCCAGTCCGGGTCCCGCTTCCACCCATATCTCGAGTCGTCGTAGCCCGCTGGTAGCCACGCTTGCACTCCCTTGGGGTCAATAAGCGCTGACCCAGTCTTATACGGCCCTGTGCCACCAAAGTCCCACGTATCAATCTCACACGCCCTTCCCGACCCCGTAAGAATCGCCTGCCATGCTGTCGGCGACGTCCCCTTCTGCAACTTCTGCTGCGTCGGGATCGCATCCAGCTTCTGGTACCCTATCAACCCGCGGTTCGGCTCATTCAGCGACTCATACCCAATGACCGTACAGTCCTCCAGGTCACCTGCATCATGTATACGCTGCGCCAGGTGCTTCACCGCCGCAATAAAATGGTCCTGCAGAAAGTCCTGGATGTTGACGCCGTTAATCATACACTTCGGGGCAAAGTCCCGCCCTGCGAACCAAAGCGTAAACATCGTCAGACACGCCAGCCGCTGGTAGTTGGTCGACCAGATCATCTTGGGGAACATTGACGGGTCCGGGTATGTATTATGCACCAGGGCCGCCTCCGTGACCTCAAACGCACGCGGATCCAGCCCCATGGCGTAGATGGTCCACATTGGCGCACCTGACCCACCTGACCACCTCGACCACACGTCCTGATGCGGGTCCATGAAGACCATAAAATCATACTCTTTCGCCTTGCGCAGGACGGCTATAGTGTGCGTGATCCATTCCTCGTCGTAGATCCCAGGGCCGCGGGACTCGATGGCCTCCCAGGTGAAGATGTAGCGGATTGTGTTGTAGCCGCAGTTACGGAGGCGCTGGAAGTGCACATCGGCCTGTGAGATGGAGAATGGGCGGTCAATGAAGGAGACATGATCACCGTCAAAGAACTTGTCCGAGATGTGGGAGGGGAGGCTAGGGGTTGTGGGGTATTTGGCGTCTGAGGCGACGTTGATGCCGCGGAGTGTTACTTGGCGGTTGTTGGCGTCTTTGAAGTAGGGCCCGTCGATGGTTAGGAAGGTAGGCATTTTGGCGGGTGCGGCAGCGATATTTCTTCTTCTAGTTCTTGTAGGGGAGTTGTGGAGGAGGTGGTTCGTGGGCTAAAGTGGTGAATTGTGAGCTTTTGAGTGTGTGATCAGGAGCTCTGATATAGGTACTCACCTTGAGCTTCGCAGCAACCTCGCAGCGGAAGCAGCTAGACAAAAACAGAGGGCCAAGCGAGCGTGCACGCAAAGTCCTATAGTTTGACAGCAGTGCGATAAATCTATTCCGAGAATCTCAAATACCGTTGTGTCGTAGAGATTCGTTGGAGAGGAAACAAAAAAGCAGGAGGCTGCTTGTTGTTTTTGTATTGGTAGTTCGATCCTACTTGTTACCAAGCTATCGCATTCCAACCGGTTATTGCGGGCCTTGGCAGCATGCATGATCTGTAGCTGGGGTTATGACGAGTGTGGCTAAGGGGAAAATCCAGAAAATCGTTCTCTCGTCTTCGCTCTCGTTTTCGTTTCCGCTTTAGTGTTTGCGTGAAAATTCTTACGAGAGGCGAGCCAATGAATAGTTATTAATAATGGAAAGGTGGGATCACTGATTGGAGTGTTAGTTTTGTAACCGTAAGCAAATAACCCTAACCCTGTAGTGTTGCTGTGGCTTGTGCAATCATTGGACAGAAGCTCAAGAAGCTAAATACGGGGCGAACACGAGACTGGCTTTTGTCTGATGAAAGCCTTACTCTATGTGGTCTATCGATATTTGTACCCAGCCTACAGTATGTGGGAGGGTTAGTTAGGGTTTCGAGTGGCTTGTGCTTGATCTACTACTTATGTAGAGTATTTGAAGAATCGCCATCCAACGTTGAAAACATCCATGTGACCTATATATGGCTCTATAGCCACATAAAAAAACATATCGATTTATTCTCATCGTACGCGTCCTCATCTCCGAGGCCATAAGACTCTTAAACTCTTTCTCGCTTTGATGGACAGCCAGGGATTCGAGGACTGCAGAAAGTGATATATAACTCTTTAGATCTCCATGCAAATATCGGGACACTCATTTATTCTGTATGCAGCCATTCATCCCAATAAAGTCCTTATGACATGGTGAGAGTTAAGCAGAATCCACAAAGGGGATGTTGCATGATATTAGGATCAAAAGAGGGATATTGAGCAGCAAAAGACTTATATGATGAGTATCAATCTCCCCTCAAGAGTATCGCTATAATGGTGGGTATTCTTATCACTGTTTCCGCCCCCCGGTTGTGTCATATGGTGTAGCAGAGGGAATTGCCCACTCCATGATGTTGACCATAAAGTGTTGGGTATATATTGTAAGTAACCAACCAATTGTATGTTGTAGCTAACGAGGGCAGAATTGAACTCCGCCCCTCCATCGATGCAAATCGCTCCTGTAACGAGCGGCCGCGTCATGAGGGTCGCACGTTATCTATGTGCGCAGCTATAATCCCCTGTCAAATCCACAAATAATTTGAGAATTATGGTTGATACAGAGAAGAAATAACGTCTATTCATTGCCACTACAGTGCGTGTAGGAGGAACATGAGATAAAAAAAAATCTTCTGTGAGTGTCACGAGATATCACTCGGCTCAGAACCGCGGCAGCTATCGAGCGTGACGCCGGGGATCAGAGTAAAGACAAGTGCTTTGATTGACTATGATACCGTTCAACATTCTATATAGGCTTAGACACACTATATCGTTTGGAAACAGCTGGCCTGGATATCCTGGGATATGGTCCGTGAGTGTACGTAGCACAGGGGTGCGAGAAAGGAACTCCTACAACATATTCTTAGGGCACTGCGGTAGCGGGGCCGGGGTCGACTGGTTTAGACACATACATTGCCGGGCTTTCGTACACCCTCACAGTAAACACTCCTGGATCTTCACTCGAACATTCGAGCCTCTATCACCCCTCGATCCTAAACGGTTTTTATCGCGTCAATCAGCTAACATATTTTCTCGACATTTATACAAGGCAAGTCAGGATACCAGATAAACAAGAGAAACGATCAATAACTGATAAAAATAGTCCTGAGACCTCGAGTATGCCGAATGGAAATCGGAGACTTTCAGAATTGCTCCCTAATTGAGCATCCTCGGTATCTAATACCAGGTCTTTCCCACTTATGGCAAGGCCTCAGAGTTTTGATGGGACTGTTTTGAAGTGCCATGTTCCACAAATTCCTATCTGGGATATTTAGTTCGACACAAGACAGGTTTCGTCTCGCCCAAACCCCATTACCATCAATCGAGCGGTATTTCCACCCTGGACTTTCGCGGAATATATGCTAATAGAGACTCTACGGGTGTTATGATAGGCAGTCTTGGGACCTGCATCAATCTGAAAACCTCTCATCAGCAACACAGCTAGCCTTTTCAAAGCATCGTCACTCACAGTATTTGGAGATGCCATCCATCGACCTTCTCCTTTCATCACCAACAATCCATCCCCTGCGTCCGCTTTGCTTTTGTATCCCATACCTTATGCACTGACCCGTGCTTGCATGATCGCGTATGCGTATGGCACGTGCAGGTCCCAGTGGAGTAGCACATGCTATCCCGTACCTTGGTGTATGTTTTATGTTGTGCATCGCCCTAATTGAGCCCCCCCTCTTCGATCAGTTGGATATCTCAGGATATAAATATGTGTATGTATGTGGATCGTCCTGCTTATCGTTCGATTTTGTCAGGAATGGACAGAGGTAAATAGAAGATTAATTCCTTCTTAGCATCACGAACAAACCCAAAACTGACATGACGATCATCTGTGGATGAAAGTTTTATGGCAGTTAAGATGAGATGAGATGCCTGCCATCGATTCCCAGTCCGGAAAGGTCAAGGGACGGTAACGGACCAGCCTTAAACTCGGTCACAAGGGATTTTATCTACAGATAACTAGATCAGTAAACATGACTCGTCGGACGCAGCATGCAGTCCTACTCGACATGAGTGGTTGCCTCGTCGGGATAAGAACACCAATGCCGGTTGCGAGATGTGAGAAAAAAAAGCAAACTGGGAACATGTCAAAGTTTGAATGTGAGGAGGGAAGGGAAGAGAAGGAAGGGATGGATATATTTTACTCATCACTTAGGGGAAATTCAACCCATTGGTTAAGATACTTAGACCAGGAGTCACTCAGGTTGGAAATCCCCCTCATTGTTTCCTGTCAGAATCGATACTTGTAGTTGGCTAAGACGAGAAGTAGCACAATTCTGATACAAGCCCTGAGCTACCTAGCCTACATGAAAGCTGAACCTGAAACATAGATATCGCATGAGAGCTCTTCCCAGCTGCCGAATTGCGACTCCGTCTACTGAGCAGTCATTGATAACTCGTCACCAATACCAACATCAACCAATTCCTCACTGGGTCGCCACAAGTGAACCACAACTATGGATAAAATCATCAATGTGCGATCGAAAGTTATCAGAACAATCTTTGCCAACCAGTGCCGTACTAATTAAAGCATCTCACAATCAAAGGTATGTAGATGAATCATCTACAATCTGCAGCTGTAAGAGCCCCTCTCTTTTCCCCCCCTCCATAAACCCCTCACTTTCATCATCTCTGTTGTCTTTCAGTCATATCAGAAGAACCCATAAATAGCTCTCCTAGTCCTAGTAAAAGCCTTCCCCTCCCTTACAACAATGCTTGTCAAAACTCACATTTTCATAAGTACATGTAGGTACCCTATCCGATTTCTCCTACGCTTTTTAAGGTACAGGAAAAATTCGTGAAGATTATGTTAGAGCCCGTGTGCCCGCTGCATTATCCATAACAAAAGAAAATTCAACTGCACCAGAAGTACACGTGTTTTGACATCAAAAGGATCATGCTACTACTCGCCAAGGAATTACTAGGTATACCTATGTCTTACACATAACCACCAGCTTTAACTGAGACCTTCTTGATAACCTTATTGCCCCGGATTCTGGACGTGAGGGGTTCAAAAACACAGCACTTTACCAACCGCAGGGGTGTTGTGGGTATTTGAACAAATGGATTCGTGTACCAATCATACTTCTCATTGATTTTATTTTTAAAATCCTTGCCTTTATTACACAAAAATATATGGCATTGCCATCACATCCCATCACTCGGCTTCTGCAGCACTAGCACCTAGTGCGTGATAGTGACTTGAATAGATACTTGTGCGATCACGGTAGTCATTGGGTTGTTTCTTTTTTCATGCACCTTTTGTGTGCCTGACGCACGTTATGTGACTGCCTATCAGCACCGGGCACCTGCCTGTACTTAGGGTCTCCACATTCAGTCACGCGTTCACAACGTGTACCTACCTATGTATTCAATGGTTTTTTCTTCTAACCAAAAGTAAACCACCAAACGGGAACCCGGTATTGCAAATCCTTCCCACTTATGGAGTTCATACTTTCTATCCGCTTGCTGAATATTAGGTAGTTATGTAGTTGTCACGCTATCGTCAACATTCATACTGTTACTTACCATCTCAACTCCAAGCCAAAAGCGCCGGTTCAAATTTCTGTATTTTCTTTCCTTAACTACAACAAAAAACGTGTCCAAAGCCTCCAATGGTATAAGCAGCATCGGATAAGGGGAGGGGACACTGCTCTGGTAGGAAACCCATAATGATATAAGAGCAAAGCACCACCACCTTGACTCCTTCCAATGTGAAAGTATATTTCAAGAGTGTGCGAAAAAAAAAAGAAAGAAAAAATCACGCCGCCAACCGATCAGTACCATTCATTTCCAAAAGGGACTCCAAAAAAGGCTGGGGAAAACAAAACAAAAAAACAAGATACAAAACATGAGGGGGAAAAGAAAGAAATAGTTCATGGTGATGAACAAGCCGAATGGATTGAAGAACTAAGAAGAGCAAATCCCCAAACCAAACCAAACCAAGAAAGAAAAAGAGAAAAACCAGGCAATGATAGATAGGCTAGGAAATCGAAAAAGGACTTAACCCGCGCTTGCAATCAAACAGATAAAGAAATCGCTGAAAACAGAGAAACCCCCGGATCCAGAATCAGAAGAGCCAGATAGGAAATAAGAAAGAGGAGTAAAATAACCTTAGCTATTGGAAATTTAGCTAGGTTGTGTAGTAGTGGCATCATAAATAGTGTGGTAGATGCCTCAAACGCTTTGCAAGACTCCTGCATCGTTAATCATCTACTCATACCCCTCATAAAAAACACCCAACAGATCATTGCAGACCCAAAACCCCCCCTATAAAAAAAGACTAGCAGCACCTAACCAAGACAAGGAAAGTCATCAATCATCAAAATATAACCAGGGGAAAATAAGAGCACCATGCCAAAAAAATCACTCCCCATCTTCCCAGCAAAAAAAAAAAAAAAAAAAAAAAAAAACAAGTCCAAACCAAAACAAACCACCCAAAAAGATTGTACTCCCTGCCCAGATATAAAAAGTTAAGAAAAATATTAACAAACCCAAAAATCGACCCTCATCACGACTGAGATTCACAATTCAACGAAGAGGCTGATATCTCCCCCTTTCTTCATCCATTTTCCCGCTCTCAACATCAACAACGTATAACAGCGCGTCAAACGCTGGCCCTGCTGCCCTAGGCGAAGTCGTTGGGGTCTCCTGTGCATTTAGTAGCATGCCAAGTTCCATGCTGTGCCGACGGTTAGGCGGCTGGCTGGTCATTGGTACCGTGTTTCTGGATGCTATAATGGGCTTTGGAGTTCTCTGGTTGAGGTAATATGTAAGTATTACGATTTACATAGATAGGACAAGGAAAATATCTTACCGGGTTGTGTTCATCAATCTCCGTCGCGCTCCCTTCACCCACAATCCCCGGGTTCAGCTCCTCTGCAGGGTTGGTGCTGGGCGTGGTAACACCTTCGCTTCCAGATGAGTCCCCACTTCCAATAGAGTTTTGGCGTTTTCGCCCATTCCTGGGGTTGGATTCGTCGTAGTTATACACCGAGCTACGCCCAAAGCTACGTTTCCTCGACACACCCGCATCCCATCCTACACTAAGCGGCGATGCACCAGCGGCAGTATCTCTACTGTTATACATGCTAGTATCCCTCTGTGCCGGAAGCTCCCGGGGGCTGTTGATGCTCATGCTCGCCCACCTGTCGGTCATTGCTGTTGTGTCAGAGGAGGATCTGCTGTGTCCCCTTACAAAGTTTGGCTGGGGCCTTCCAGTGGATCCTTCGTAGAGGGTCATTGGGCGGGCTGCCGAGGAGCGTCGAACACCAACGCGGCGTGTACCCGCGAATAATGGATTGGGGGCAAGGGCTGAGGGGGGAGCTGGTGGGGGGTGGCCAAAGATCGATTCGATGGATGGCAAGGTTTGATTCCCTGGCTGGTTTGTGGGGGATGTGATATATTCTGACGGATTCCCAGATAGGGTGGTACTAGCGAAGGAAGCGGTTGTGGGGGAGATAAGGTCACGTTCGAGCGAGCTACGTTGTTCCCGGTTGATATCTGGATGCCAGGTACGGCGCCGTTTTTGGTATTCTTCTTCATCAATGGAAGAGTCAATTGATTCACGTCTGGATGAAGCATGGGAGCTTTGCATTGGCCACCCAGGTGAGGCGAGCGGTTGTTGGATGCTAGACATCGAAGAGATACGGTTGTGTGAATATGGAGACATCGGATTCCTTGGGTGCTGGGGACCAGGAACTGAGAGCCGACGCTGGCCGGCGTTCCGGGCCGGAAAGATACCAGATACGGATGACATGCCCTGTACAGGAGAACCCAAAGTTGAAGAATTATTAGTGTACTGCCCATATGGGCCTGCGAAATCCCTTCCCAAAGGGCTTCTATGTTCTGTAAAGGTCGCGGATGTGGGAGTGTTGATATTAGATGTAGTCAACATCGGACCAGGCCGTGGTTGGGGGAGCCGCCAAGGGTATTCTTCATTCCGTGAATAGCTAACAGCAGATGCGGGAGATTCTGGTGGTGTTGTATTACGATAACTCTCAAACGAAGAATTAGTAGTACTGTTAGTCTCCGGAGGGCTCTGGGGCAATATAATTGGATCTGGCCTGGTTATAGGCCGGGTTGCGTCACGGCGTGACAAGAGTCCGTTAGTATGGGGTAATGGTGGAGCGTGCGATTGGGCCTGGTCACTAGTGGTTGGGTTGGGGTTACTCTGGGCCCTAGCACGGCCGCCAGGGCCACTCTTCGGGTGGCGTGAGTAACGAGAATTCGAGGAAGCCGCAAGGGAATTTATTGGAATGGGCTCGTCTGCGTGCACGGTCGAGGAGTGCTGTCGGAGGTTATCCAACCGGGAGAATGCACGGCCACAGTGACAGTTGAAAGGACGTTCACCGGTGTGTTTTCTGTACACACAATCGTTATCAATAACAGTTCAAAAAATGACAATCCGATCCGCAAGAGAAACAAAAAATCTCTAGATAACAGAGAGATATCAGGCCATGAACAGCGAGACATAAGCAAGGGGACGTCATGTGTCAAACAGATCAGACAGTGGGTGCGATGTAAACGCTTGCTCCTAATTTAACAGATCATGGAAACCGCTCGTACCTGATATGTCTCGCCAAGTGCTCACTCCTCGTGAAAGACAAGTTGCACTCCCCATAGCCCTTACAAAAGAACTTCTGTCCCTTCTTCTTTTTCCTTTTTCCGGTTGAATCGTCTATAGTATCTTCGTCTTCGGGCGGTGACCCAGCCCTCTCTCTTGAAAGCCTCGTTTTTCGGGTTGTCGCACATTCTGTTCTCGGCTGACGACGAGATATATTAGTCGGCGAGTCGGGAGAAACAGCAGCGCCCGAGTTAGTTGCCGGTCGTTGTATGCCAGGAGACCCAGATATTGAAGGTCCAGCAAGACTGGATGTGTAAGCCGCCGAGCGACTCTGTGAAGCTTGTGCGGAGACCGCCGTATGCGATGGGCTAGGCTCGGTCGGCATTTTATTAACAGCTTGAAATGTGGGGAATATAGAAATGGCGATGTCGCTTCCAGTAGTCATCGTAAATACAACGATGGGGGTGAGAAGGGTGGGAAGGAATCGAAAGCAGTAGAGCTCAGGATCCGAGGGGTGGGGGGGAGAGATGCAAAGCGAGAAGGTTGTCTTGTCTTGTATTTTTGGTGCCAACTGTTAGTGAAGCGCCGATGCGGCTCGATCCAACAAACAGGGTTGAGAGCCGCCGATTTCCTATTAGAACCTGAACGACCAACGCTGCGCTCACGGGCGGTAGAGAGCCTCGCAGCAATATGCTTTGGTCTTATCTCGTGCCCGGTGGCGAAAGAGGGAGTGAGTTGCTATGTAAACTAGATGCAAGAGGCACCGGTGTTGTACGTAAAACAGGATGAACTTGATGGGCGACAGATCAAGTGATGCAGGGGGGTGCAGTCGCTGCAATCAGAGATTAAACTCGACAGTACGAGTGATCTGAAGGACAAATGTAAGCGGTAGGTAGGTTAGATATATATGTATGGGGGGGGGGGGGTAAGATATGGTGGGTTAAGTGTGTATGTATGTGGGTAAAGTACATGAATAGGTACTCTAGCTGAGATGTTGGCTTTATCAAGAAGACAACGAATAAACCCAGCCAGCGACAGGATAGATAAGTACGTAGACAACTGAAACCCTGGACTTACTACTACTGTGAACTAGAATTTTCCCCAAGGTCGACGAAGCACTTTAATCGACAACGGGCGACAGAAAACAGGACGAGTGAACACACACAAGAGAGTGCGAAGAGGATGTATGTCAAAGGGTGAGGGGAAGAGTAGAAAGAGACGAGACTAGACGGGTTCCTGATCGTCGGTGACTGCGTGGAGAGGGGTAGGGTAATAAGCGGTGGCCTGGCGAGACACGCCTGGTCTGTGCTGTTGGTGCTTGGAAAGAGAGGGGGGTGGAGTGGCTGGATGTGACTTTTGCTGCGGCAGTACAGGACTATCTATTATTATTATTGTTTTGGTGCTTGAGACTTGTGTGTGGGGGTCGACCTGGCCTACTTATAGACAGGATGTATGTAGAATAGTGGGAGCTCTGTCAGGTTTGGAGAGCACCAATTCGCACCTGGTACCCATGGGAATCTAATAAAGACAAACAATTAACAGCTACTTAGTTTGGGATATGTATCCAGTACTTTGGGGAAGAAAATGTATGTACGTTTTCTTGACGGTTTGAGACTGAGCAATGACGGTTTGACTCGGACTTTAGGACTCAGGAGGCAAACCTGGAGTTTTTAGACCCCCTCCAAGCTAAATGTGGTACTCTCGTACATGTAAGTAAGAGGTCTACATGTATGTAAGAAGAAAGCAAGGGAATACACTGCACTCTAAGAGGCATACGGGCATACAGGCATACGGGCATACAGGCATACAGGCATACAGGCATTTGAAGGTTCGAGCTGCGTAATAATTGCCAATGATCTTGTATCAAATAGAGAGCGAGGGCCGCAGGGGGATGGGAGGGGTGAAGAAACCATACAATTGACATAGCAGTGCAAAAGCAAAACGGACTTGCCTGCTGTATGTATGCATGTACGGAATGTCATCGAAGAACTCTAAACACCAGGAACAGGAACATATGACAGCAACTCTGTCTAGATCTCCTGTCTATTTTTCTGCCTTACACTTTATGAGCAAAACAGCGCAACAAACCCAACCATACCTACTTTACAGGTGGTTGGATGGTAGGGACATGGATGTTGTGCACACAACTTCAAAAGTGGGCGATATCAGCACAAGTAGCGGGGTGGAAGCTGATTACCGATAAAGAACCCGACGATCACAGGCACATAATTCTTAACAGCTCTTGCGAGGGAGGGAGGGGTGGGCGGGCGCTGGTTCTCAGGAAGCTGTGCTGTCTGACTTTGGTCAGGATCTGGAGACCAGTACAGGAACCAGGTACCAAAAACTCCCGTACGTGTAGCGTAGAGCAAGAAAATGAGGCGTTTGTTTAGTAAGCGCAGTCACTTCGCCTCTATGATGGGGTGACATTCAGCCACATATTTGAGAATATTTATTACGCGTATGAGCACGCAACCAAAGTTTTGGGCCCATGCATGGTAGATAGTGCCTGGCTAAATCTAGGTGGGAAAGAAGTAAATATTCAGCTAACCAATTAGGAATCTAGCCCTGCATGAAAACTCAGGAGTCTAGTTATTGTTCACGATCACGCACCATATAGACTAACCTCGTATACAAAGAGACTTCTCCGATCTATTAATTTTTAGTACCAATTAATTGCGACCAAATTAACATAACTACGATTCGAGCGATATCCTGACATAAGACCCAGACACCACCTCCTCTTGAATACCAGGTTAGTCTTGTCTGGTACCATGTGCGTACTACAATTTTTTCCCCAGTTTCTAGGTCTTCGGGGCTGTAGATGGATGTTAAATATATAGGTGCAATGTAGCTAGTACAATGCGCATTAAAGAAGGCACTTCGAATAGGTAGTGCTGGTGGTAGCTCACAGTACCTTTCACGTACAAATTGTGGAGAATGTAGACAAGCCCGGTTTTGCCCAATATACGTAACTATAGTATAGTCAACTTCTGTTCAGGACTTCAACTCCCAAGACTGATCCGGAATCTGCAAATGCCGGGTCATGTTATTTCGTCCTTCAAAACTTCTCAAAACCTTATATGTACCTAAGCACCTATACAATCTGTAGCTAACATGGGTGATTGGGGCGTTTCCCGGCCGCGGATGATGCCATAGCTATCATTAACCCTCCAAATAAAGTTTATTTTCCCAGATGAAAGCTTACCAAACTAGCGGGTACCAATAGCTGTACAGTTATCAGAATACAGCTCAGAAATAGTTTCACAAAATCCGATGACATGAACTACAGAGATATGTAGGTACGCGAGTTAAAGATTCCTTTCCTTATCCAATTGCAGTTAACATTGATCTCGGAACCACAGGAGGGCCAATGATACGTCCAACTAAAAAATAAATACCAGCCAAGAGAATTGTTACCCTACCCTCTTCGAACCTACTATTACATAATACCTGGTATGCAATAAAAGAAGTGAATATGCTTGAACCCCGCGAGTCAATAGATTTTACCCCACTACGGGTGAATGTCTCTCTGGCGTTAATTTGAGTGAGCACCTGATTCTCTAGGAATCAATCAAGAAATTGTCCGAGATTCCAGCTAGGTCTTTCCACAATGCATCATAATTACGCTTCAACAGCGTTGAAATCGGTCCAGCAACTAGCTGCTAGTCCGCCCGCTCTTAAACACCACCGACCCAGCAAAGGGCCAAAGATTAGTACAGCAAGTAAGCTAAAATCAAATGTTTACAAGTGCTAGTTTGTCGACGTCGACAACACCCATCCCATCGACCCATAAACCAGCTGCAGCTAGCTAGTTGCGTTTGAACCGTGGCGCTGAAAAAAAAAAAAGGCTACCTTGCCCTGCTGCAGGCAGGTAGGCAGCCTCGGTAAAGAAAAAGCACTCCGAAGATCAGAAAAGAAAAGGTATGTAGTCTGGGGAGAAAAACGAATGAAATTCAAACGTCGTGTGGGTGTGTGGATATGTGGGTGTCACGGGAAGCACCGTTTTTCGGCTGTTTGCGCTAGAAACGGAAGTGACTTGAGGAAAGGATTAAGAAACGGACCTCACTTGATTGTGTCAACTCGTTGCGTCAACCCACGGTAGTTGTTTCGAAAAGACCCTCAAGATACATGTACCCAAATAAATTTCAAAGCTAGATATCGTGTCATGGTTTGGTGTTCCACAATCTATGACATTTTTTCAGTTGCGAAACTTATGACCTGACTACAGTAGGTACTGTGGTAAGAATGGCATATGTACCTACATACTTACCGGAGAACAGTCATTTTCTAGCAGAACTGCGTGTAGGTACTCCTGCCTGCTACCATAACCGAACATCCCTGGCCCTCTGCATAGCATAGCATAGCATAGCATAGCATAGGTACCCCAGAGCCGTAGTCGCGCATAAAATGCTAGAGTATGTGCTTCTCCCTCCATGTGAACCATGGCCGCCTCACATTGAAACCCGAGCCTCTGGTACAAGATACAAGATACAAGATACGTTTCATACCACATCGTGCGCGGCGTTCGCTGCATGAATCATACCTACTCATGTAAAGTATTGGATGGACGTCTTTTGTTTTTCGTTTTTGATTCGGCCCTCAACCAAGGTTGCGCGAATTCTGCTTCTGCTCTCCAGGCTAGATTTGGTTGTGGTTGCTGTCCGTCTAAGAGAATAGTTTGAAACTTGGACTTTGTTTAATCATGATCAATACCCGGAAACTAGGTTCTTATTCGCGGATGTGAGAATGTTTCGTTTCTAGCTAAGAAAAGGATATTGTTACATATGGCGGGCTAACTCACTGAACTTCTATGCCTCGCAGCCAGGCCGAGGAGCCTTAGGTACATGTAAGTACATAATACCCACCTGATACACGTTAGATAGGCACAAATAGGCGCCTGTGCAGAGCAGATGATTGATACATAATCGGCATCTGCTGTGCTACAGATCCGGATGCAAAAACCCCCGAGCCTCAAAAATTTCAAAAAGAAATAGAAACCACCTCTCCTCTTGAATAAAGTAGAAAAGTGGAATTCCGCACTCTAGGAATGGGCATGTACAGTCGCAACTCGATATGCCGGATTGCCAAGATTCGAAGGATTTCATACGGGATAGCAAAAAATCCGGGATAGCAAATTGATTTTGCAGTAAAAAAAAACCAAAACCCCAGAGGATTTCGTACGGGATAGCAAGGGATCCGGCGTATTAAGATCCGGCATATCGAGTTGCGACTGTATGCCTATGTCGCAATTCATCTTACTTGCAGCATACGCTGTCTATCGTGCGCAGGGAAACAATTTCGGTATGAAGGCTGCATTTATGATTTGTAGAGAGGACCTATCTAGTTCGTTCGCCCACCGGCCCGACACAAACCCCTGTCCACACATAAAGTAGGCCGTACATGGCCAGCAGCAACCACAGCCAGCAGAGATGCATAGGCGGAGGTTCCTGCATTTAGCAAATCAACGATTTTCGGTATCGATTGTGTGTGGCTGGGTTTGGAATCCGCATGCGCGGAGCATGTACGAAGTTGCTGGCCAACTACCTAATCTGAGGAAAGTACATATGTACCGTACCATGTCCTACCTGAATTCATAATGTGATTTATGGAGGACACTACGACTCTGAGATTGACTGGATGGACCTGGCTGTAATTTTGAGCGGGGTCACACACCTATGCGGGTGTGGACGACTCTTTATGTGAGGATTTTAATGTTCGCAGGGAAAGCCGATTGAAGCGCGCCTTGCGAATCATCACAAAATCTGTATGGTCGCATGGAGTCCGCTTGGTTTTGAACACGAAGAAGAGGAGTTAGAAAGATGCGGCGGGTGTGCAGAGTACATAGGTGTGGGGGAATTATGAACAGGGGTTCATGTTGGTCTAGCACGCGAGTTTGTGTGTCAGGGCTAGGGTTTAATGATGGCTGTATTCCGAAAAAAGGAAGGTTTGAGGGGAGAAGGAAAAACAAATCCAAGGCCAGAACGGTCCAAATACATATTCCCCGGTGCCTCCACCGCTTGTGATTCATTTAGGAGCTCTAGTATTCCACAATACAGGACCTGTCACTTTATTTGTATTTCTCTGCGTACTGAAGCTCGTGAGCATTCACATCCCATCACTCGGAATAACCTTATCGATAGAGACCAGGTGCATGTTCTAGAAAGACTCGACTTCTGCGGTGAGAGATGCCATGATAGTCTAGATAACATCAGCGGATGTTGTTTCTGGGATTGACCTAAATTGTTAACTCCAAGGCTGACGAAGGCTCATCACCTGAATAATCTTCTCTGCATCAATGGCTATCAACGTACTAGCCATACTCATCGGGAATGGATCACTGGCCATCACTCGCTTGTAACTAAAGTGTAGCTAAGTATTATGTGATTGCACAAGATACGTTCCTAGCCGTGACGCAAGAGCTTCAGGGGCGAAGAGAATAGGTGTATGTTAAACGAGCTTTCCCCGAGGACTGAGGACTCGACTTCTCAGTTAGAAGTGGCTATTGTAATGGGGGGGGGGGGCTTTTGTCGATCACCGCGTCGATCACCCGTAATCAGGTTTTGGGGTTACCTCCTCCACTGTGTGAAGGCATTTTCGGACGTCGTGCAAAATGCTGAAATGGCTTCTGTCAGCTATTATAATGCCGGTTAAATATTGTAATACCATGGCTACATGTATGTATTGACGTCAACAGGGGGGAGGGGGAGTACATGCTCAAATGCGGTCGTTTAGCTGTGACGTCTCAGCCGTGTTCCTGGCATTGTAAGCCGAAGGATCGCCCCGCATAATTTATGATTTTCACACGGGCCGTGTTACTTATCATGGCGAGCTTCGGGTATTATGGGTCGAGAGTTTGTATGCCTAAACTTGATAACTACATGTACATGTATATGTCATCCGCACGAATTCCCTACTCCACGATCCCAACGTCAAACAGAACCGAACGTTTTGCAATAAGTACGTTTTCCAAACCCGGTCTAGAAATTGAAAATTGATTTTACCGAAGTACATAATAATCAAGAGTAAATAATACCTGTGATGCGGCATTTTGGGTCCAGTTAAAATCCCCCGGTGGGATACGGGCCCTCAATTTTTCAACATAATCTAGGTAAAGTCAAACGATTATTCAACTAGAAGGCTGCCTTAGTTTCAAGTCAATGCTTAATCAACATGGTTCAATCAAGTTGCACAAAGCGCTTGAATTGTTTGAAGCTTACCACAGTGGTAGAGGTCTGCATTTTTACGAGAAGCCTGATCAAGCCAGGTGTTATCAATAAAGCCTGGGGGACCGACACATGTACAGTTGACCCAACCGTATGGATGAATGAAAACTCTTTATGTTCGTGCTTCTCCGGCCAAACGCTGTGGCGCCAGATGCTCGATATAGATCGAAGGGGGCAAAATCCACATTTTATCTCATATCCAAACCTTAACTTCCATACTAGTATTTACCTGTGATGAGTAATTCCGCGGATCCAGCTGAGAGCACGGACATACTTAATGACGTGTCAAAAGAAGCTTAAGGGAATCGTGGAGTTTTGAGATAGTAGTTACCACATGTATATCGACAGAAATTACTTTAGTCTTTTCTGTTACGACCATCCTTCATTGGTCTGCCCCCGAGAACCGAGTCCCTCGGTAGTCGACACGCAGTCGAGTGATAGTACATGATGCAACGTGTTCATTCCACCGTGGGGGCGAGTTCAAATACAAAGGGGAAATTCGGGACGACAGTGAGAAAGAGAAGGAGTTTATTGTAAATATAAGTCGATCATTCATCTCGAATGGAGTCGCGGGGAACCAATCCTGGTGTCATGACTGTTAGGAGTTCTTTCGCAAGGTTATACCTTGTGTTATTGGTATCACGGCGAAAAGGAGGAAGTGGTTGTTGGTCAGATGAGAGGATGATGGATGCCCCAGAAAGAGCAATATTCGCCGCCGCGTTTGCATCCCTTCCTCTAGTGGTGTGGGGGATCCTCCTTGCTGGGCATCGGGGATGGACGCATTCGACGGCCCCATGCAAACGAACGACTCGTTCCTTTCCATCAACTGTCCTACGAGCAAGATGGACTTTGGAGGAACAAAGCGGGCATGTCTTCGAAGAATTGTACTCGTTTGTAATCGCTACGTTTCCGTAGACCCTGTGTTGTTCCCGGATTTGTTTCATTTCTCGTCGAGAATGTCCTTTGATACAACTGTTGATTCCTTGCCAATGTCCAACGCAGTGGATCAGCACAGGTTTTGGCGCGTCGGGAGGAAGCTGAGCATGGGCGCGAATATGTCTCCTTTCCTGAGCAGTGATTTTGCCATACACCCTCTTCATTCGAACCTCCCGCTCCCGTTTCTCCTTTGCTAGTTTTTTCGCTGTATTTCCTCGTCTACACCACGTTTTTATCTCTCCTGCTTCTTTCTTTGGTGCTTCTTCAAAAAGGTAGTATTGTTAACAAGACCCGCGGTAATCTCGTAGGGCTTAGGAAGGAGATCGACATCGAACGCATACGGTGCACCATCAGAGCTGTCCGTAAGGGCTTGGAAGTGGTTGATACTAGCAAAGATAGATTCGAGAGTCCTCGGCACTGTAACAGAGGTCACAACAATACCTGGGTCTGTTCCGGAAAAAAATGACCTTTTGGCATGAAGAGAGATGCTCCATGATCGCTGGAAGTAGATTCATCTATTTTAGATTTCAGCAAGGTGATTGAAGAGACAACAGAACCGTTCAAGTCTTACCCTTTCTATGTAATCCTCCTTTGCAGCTTTACCTGGTGGGCTTGTATTCAGAGAGGTTGTGGTAGTACTTGTAGCCCCTGTCGCTCGCGAGGTCTTATTCAGTGTATACAACGAGCTTTTGGCACTTGCGAGTGTCCTCTTCATCTTGAAATTTCTTGCCTCAAACTTTTCAGCTGTTAGTAAATTTCAGACCCTGGATCCCACGGCAAATTCCTGACGCGTCGACCGATTTCCCGAAAATCTAGGACTCCCCGTATCAGGACCGTCGGAGTTTGGTTGAGTGTTGGCAAATTTGATACATCTTCAAGATGAAGCGTTTTCAGACGTTTTGCATGCTATCAAAGGTGTTAACATGACGAAAAACGTACTCAGTCGTAAATTAAAAGGTCAGAAATTTTAGTAGGCATTAATTGGTTGCAACGATATCCAACCATTTAATTAACACACGAGTATACAGGCCAAATTGCATTGCAACGGTACTTATTTCACTGCCAGGTTTTATTTTTTGGCCTTTATTTAAGGTTATTAGCACATTGATATACCTGTATAGCCGTAGACAGAAGCCCTTCGCTGTTTGCTACTCTCTTTCGTTCTTCCTTGTTTAGCGTAGTAATAAGCTGAGCCGAGACTGAAGGAGCCCCCGATTATGGCGGCCGGGGTGGTTGACTGTTGCTGAGGTTCCATAGAAGACAGTCTATGATTTGAAAGGCCGATTTTAAAGTACCAATAGAACACACTTTTTGGAGCGACACTGGAGTTCAACTGATTTTGTTTGGCTCTGGCTCTGATAGCAGAAACGCAAGGAAGAAACAAAAGAGACGAGATACATATAGCTACATGTAGTTACGACACGGTTACCACTTGTGACTTGTCCTGAACCGAGGTCCCGCCTTAGTTCCGTAACCACCAGTACCGCCTTGGGCTGCGTATGCGTCCTGGGCCGGTACTCATTAATGTGGCGCCTTAAGGCCTTCCTAAGTTGGCATTAGTTTTCATCATGATATATCACTCGTTGTCACTCGTGGCCACTCATCAGCATCCTCTTATAGAATTCGTTACTTATGACACCATCCCTAGCAACGTCCATCCGCGTCTCCTCCTTAAAATATCCAGCTGCTCACCATTTTCTATTAGTCAAAGAGATGAACGGTTCGAGCTCCAAGGATCTAAGGCTCGATTCACCCCCGGCACAAAATCCCCATTGTTTTCCAGAGACCCATTCTCCCGATATTCATGATTTCGGCACGGGGGACTCATATCCCTCTGCTGGAAAGCTCCCTAATCTCGACTTCACCCCCACGAATGAGGGATCGCTCCTTGGGAGTATCCATACCCGTATTGCCGCCCTTCGCACCTCCTCCGCTGACACCCAGAACCGACATTCACAAGCCGCCAACACGCTGGTCCCGGCGGAACCCGACTGGGGCGGTATGAGAACGTCCACCAAAAACTCCTTGTGGAACTCGACAGGTTTTTTCGCGGAGGGGGAGACAGCATCCCAATTGCTACGGTATAGAGAGGTCTGTGTTCTTGTCCTTGATGTGATATGAATTTTGCTTACGTTTTGTGATTGCCGTGCAGATGTTTGCTTTTCTGTCGCAGCGTCATGCTGAAGCACTCGCTTCGAATTGCTTGGACATGGCTCAGGATCTTATTCGACGTGGGCAAATATCGATAGCTGCTGTTAGAATCATAGGTCATAGAACCCAGAATCTCTATAATAATAGTGTGGCACATGGGTGTCTTGCTCGTAGTTCGAGTGAGGTTAGTATCTGGGGTTGGAAGCCCTGGCGGGAGATGGCTATGGCTGAGAAGATCAGTGAACGGAGGAGGAAAAGAGCCGCTATGGAGCGAGAGAAAATTAGGGAAAAGTCCGTGAGGAGAACCCGGCTCTACACTAAAATTGATGGCGAGACTTTATCATTGAGACATCTAGACATCGATTCCCAGAATGAGCTAGATTGTGATGGGTCTTTGGGTGGTGCAGGGTTAAGCCTATGTTCCGAGAACGTGGATTACTTTGATGACAGAAATACGTATATCTCACGCAGTAGTATAGATCAGGGGAGTTCTAAAGGCACCTCATCCTCAAAATCTAGCAAATCTGACCTAGGAAATGAAGGATCTACGGGGATCTCATCTCCAGACTTGGGTAACTATCTTCCTGGAGGTGAAGGTCCTTCAACAGATGGGGCCAGAGAACAAGAAACTAGTCCGGACGTTTCAAAAGACCAAGATGTCCCAGTAGGTTGGAAATGGCTCCCACGAACTGAGCCTGAAATCCAGTGGCATCTGCCAGTATATAACGCAGATGGTTTTGCCCTCCCCCGGAACGACGGAGGCATTGGATCGATAGCACCAACCGTTCGGAGTCCTAGTGTTGCTTACGGAGTAATACCCACAACTTCCGCTGTTGCTTACGCAGGCGATTCGTTTCTTCAAGTACAAACCATCAACGAACCATCTATGATCGGATTAAAACTCACCCCACAGATATCACCAAAATCAGTCTCCCCATATGTTTCATCTGTATCAGGAAATGAAACATACGAGTCGAGCATACCGACTGCGTCTGATATCTCTACTTCTATGTCCCTCGACTCTCCAACTTCTTTTAATAGAATACTTTTTGAGCGCAGAAGGAAACCGCCAGGGACCGATTCTAATTCGGACAGTACGGTTGGCGCCTCCAGAGCGCGCAACCACCTCAGGAAAATGAAAACTGCATTCAAGTCTATCCCCCTCACAAAGATACATTTCCCCTGGTCTAGCTCGGATGAGGAAAGCGGGGCAGGAGCTGTAGGGTTGAGCGGGGTGCAGACAGACTCCACCGATTCTTCCTTCGCTACTGGCTCAGAACAATCTTGGCCACCGGCCAACAGCATTCCTCCCGGGTTTGGCCGGGTTCCACCTCCTCCCCCACTAAGAGAGTTTATGCCCTACGTTGAACCTAGTACCCCAGAAACTCGGATACACTCCCCGCACCCCAGACTGATTGACAAGTCGCCACCACACCCTGGCATGAGAATAGACTCGATTGATACTTCTGTTTCTGGCTTTAGCACTTGGAGAGGAATGTCGATAACTAGGCACAGAGAGAGTGATCCTTTGACCAGGACAGAGAAGGAATACCAGGAACTTTTAGCATTGCTCAATGAGTTAAAACGGGAGCTACGGATGAGGAGGAGAAGGAGAGGCAAGAAAAGTAACGAAGATAAATAAGCCATGGACCGGAGTCAAGATTATCCATGGAAATAAAATAAAAAAAGGAGAAAAAAACCAGGGTTTTGTGGGGTAATGATCAGATGGCGTTTCGTAGTGAGACTAGAATTTGCATAAGTACCCGGTACCCTAGTCTCCCGGTATTCAGGGCATGGATTTTGTATTTGTATCCGTATTACGGCTATGCACCTTCGGTGCCTTGTACTGAAGTCGCTTACTACTAAGTAGGAATGAAGTTACTACCGGGATGATCCGGGCTTGCAAAAAATGTTTACCAAATACATGTGCTCTGATCCCTTGTCACATCCGAGCCCGTGATGAATACTGGCATGCTACTATGTGTTTGTTAGACTGTTAAACCTGAATAGGGAATTGACTGGTACTAGCATGTCAATGTCCAGAGCAGAACCAGTAATCCCTGCATGGTGTTATTAATAAAATAGGGTTAGGGCGCATCTCTTGCTAGCGGCTCAACCAGGGCCCAGCTTGAAGCTTCGAGGTGGCCTCAAGGAGGGCTCGGCATTCTATATAAGCCCAAAATCTCGAAACCAATATAACATACCTAAAATCAACCACGACCACTACCATCACGATTCATTGAGCAGGTCTCCCGCAATCTGCAATTGAAACCAAAGCTCAAAATGCGTCAAAACAACCTCCTCCTGCTCCTAACCTCTAGCGCGTCCGTTGCTATTGCCACAGCGCCTCGTGGGGTTTCTCCTGAAGGTAGCTAACTATATACTCACAGTTAGTAATTCAATAACATGCTAAAAACTAATTCTATGGCACAGATGCGCGCCTCTACGCAGGTAGCGCCTTCACCTGCCTTACACACCCATCCATAACTATTCCCACCTCCCAAGTCAACGACGACTTCTGCGACTGCCCCGATGGCAGCGATGAGCCGGGCACCAGCGCCTGCGCACACCTTCCCCATAGCGCGCTCGCCATCCGAGGCTTCCACTGCCGTAACGAACAGCATACCCCGGCATTCCTCCCTCTGTCGCGCGTCAATGACGGTGTCTGCGATTATGAGATCTGCTGTGATGGCAGCGATGAATACGCGCACGTCGGCGGGGTTTCGTGTAAGAACCGGTGTGCGGAGATCGGGATCGCCGCAAGGAAGCTCCAGGCCGAGCGGGAGAGGCTGAGAGGTGATGGAGTTAAAGGGTGGGCAGAACTGGTGAAAAAGGCGCAGATCATGAGGAAAGAGGCCGAGGATGAGGTGAAGACAACAGAGGTGAAAATTGAGGGAATTGAGGGGAAGGTAAAGGGGCTTGAGAGGGAGCTGAGGGATGCTGAGGAGAAAGAGAGACGACGAGTGGTTAGGGCACCCAAAGAGGGGGAGGGTGGAAAGGTGGGTGTTCTAGTTGGGACGGCCAAAGAGAGGAGTGAGGAATTGAGAGCCGGGCTAGAGAAGGTGAGAGAAGAGAGGGATGCGGCATTAGAGAGGTTGAAGAAAGCCGAAGGAATTCTGGCCGCGCTGAAGGAGGGGTATAACCCCAACTTCAACGATGAGGGCGTCAAGACCGCCGTCAGGGCGTGGGAGGAGTACCTTGCACAGGAAGAGACTTCCACAAAGCTCAATGATGCCGAAGAGAGGGACCTAGACGACCTTCTGGGTGAAGATCCAGTCGACTGGGACGAGTTCCTCGAGGTCGACGAGCCGCAGAGTGATCGTAAGCATAACAATCTTCCGACTTGAGCATGTGAACAGTTACTGATTAGAGCTCCGGATAGTCTACAATATCGAAGCCTACCTCCCGGAGAGCATTAAAGTCTGGGTTCATGACAAGCTCCACGACTTCCGCCAAATTCTCGTCGAGAATGGCATCCTTGCCCCAGCCCCAGACACCCCCGGCATAGAGTCTAAAGCTGTCAATGCCGCCCGTGCCGCGCTCAAAACCGCCGAGTCCGAAGAACGCAATAACCGCGCGCGCCTCACCGCCTTGAACGACGATCTCAACACGGCCTATGGCCACAATGACGTCTTCCGCCCGCTTAAGGGAGAGTGTATTGACGCTGACGTGGGTGAATACAAGTATGAGTTCTGCTTCCATGGAAAGGCTCACCAGAAATCGCTTAAGGACTCGTCGAGCACGTCGCTGGGTAGCTTTGCGCGTATTGAGTATACAACGCCGGAGGATGTTGGTGGCCAGCATGGGTTATTTGATGCTGGGTGGGAGGAGGCTCATGAAGAGGGCCTCAGTGGTGTAGTATTGAAGTATGATAATGGGCAACAGTGCTGGAATGGGCCAAAGAGGAGTGTCAATGTCGAGCTCTATTGCAGCGCAGTGAATGAGCTCAGGAGTGTGCGGGAAGAGGAGAAGTGTGTATATAGGTTTGAGGTCGGAACGCCCGCTGTATGTGGTGATAGGGTGGAGGATGCTAAGGGGGAGTCTATGGAGGAGAGGGTGAGGGATGAGTTGTAGGTTATTTAGATACCTTCTCCGTGAAAGGTGGGGCTATTTACATGGTTTTGCTTTCTTGCACGTTTTTTTTTTTTTTTTAGCTTGTCTTGTTGCTGTATACCAGATCGGACATTCTATATTGTGCGATACAAGATGAAAAAAATAGATTCCGTTGCGGTTCCTTATCTTTATTCAGGTCATATGTACGTATTAGCGGGCCGAAAGTCGAACCTCTTCCCTATGGTTAACTGGCGATAGCTATCCATCTCCTATAGCTAGGGCCGACTTAGCTTTAATCACAGACTATCACCCGGCAAATACGAATGTCCGTTTTTGCTTTTTTTTGATTCATTAATTAATGTCCGTTTTTGCGGTCTTGAACCTCTAGTAGTAGATCCGTACGTAAGAAGATATTCTGAAAGCCGGCCCCGCGTGGACTTTGCAAAGTGGGTTGCGGATGTATACTAGGGCCGGTAACGACATATAGGAGTTCATCCGCTGACTGACTCTTTTCCCCCTCTGTTCGTCACAGCAATACAATACAGTGCTAGTGATTCGCCAAGAGCCTTGGGAAAACTGATTCGGCAACCTATTGAGAGCCCCCCAGCGGTATGCAGAGTCGACACCCAACAAGAAGTAAGTGGGCGTCCCCACCAACTGTACGTAGCTGACCGTTTCGAGCTCCCATAAAATATATGTGAGACGACAGATATGACAAGGTTATAATTTCGCTTCATTTTTAGGTGCAGGCCTCTACTCAAGGGGTTTATAGGCTTCAAGAGTAAGCGGAGTTTATTATAGCGGCTTGTAGTAAAAATTAGTTCTAGGTAACCGGCGGTTGTATTTAGTCCATGAATTATCACTCGATCGTGGAGGTACTAAGGAAGGTGCCAAAAATAGGGAGGAACCCGAAGGAACAGGGTGCATGGAAAAACAGAAAGCGGAAAAAGAAAGAAAAGACGGAGCTAGATAGATGGAAGACATAGATATAGAAGACTAAGACCCACAGGAACCGATTCAACTCAGGGTGGAAGCAGTAATAAAATGCCAACATGGTAGGGACCGGGAAACTCGGAAGAAAAAAATGGTTGTACAGCGACAGGTAATAAGTGATGGAACGCCCTGAGAGTACAAACACCAAATGTTGGTGGCGTTTTACCAAAACAGGTATTGCTCTGTTCCATCACTTATTACCCACCGCTGTACAGTGGATCTAAGCGGGATTCGAGCCCGGTACCTGCTGCCGCCATAAGTTTCCTAAACCAGGTGCATATACCACTATACAAACAGAACTCGAAGGACTGTGCGCTGAGGGAGATGGTAAGCGCACACATAGACGTAGCATCCACGGATGTGGAGGGGGTATAGCCATGTCTGTCGTGGGAGAAGAATACCCCAATCTTTGCAACTGGCGGCTTCGTTACAGCATACATAATATTCTGCACGGTCCAATAGTCGCAAGGAGAAAATGTGCTCCGAATTTTGAAGTTGCCATAGGCTGCTGGTAGGAGTATGACGCGAGAAGGCATAGGGGGTGGGTGTGTCAACTTCAGAGGAACTTTTTTTGTATGGGAATTAGAGAAAATTCCACCGTTGGGCTAGGCGCTAGTACCATTATTGGAGTAGATCTCCCAATTTCTATAGATTGATTGGCTGCAAACGCTGAAGTTTACACACCTACCCTCTATAGCTTCTCGAGCCATAGATTGTCTGGGAATCCAAAAAGATGGCATTCATCACGTAAGCTTTTTGCTGTTTCCTTCCTTCTATTTTCTCTTTCATTTTACAAAATGGGCACAAAGTTCTATCTGTGGATTTAGTTCACTTCTTCTTGTCTCCGAGTGGCTTATAGCTACACTCTTGATCCCAACCACCGCCCAGCCCTGATAGTCAAGAGGGCTATCGATATACTGCGTCCAGGATCTTTGCACGCACTCAATAATATTGATTTTATCGTTTGCATCTCCTCTTCCCACTCAATATCACCCTTCTCCCGTCCACTATCAACCATAGCTTCCCCACAACCTCCTTTCCCTTGAAGTAATAGCCATCAACACTTCCCCTATATACGTACATAGTTGGCTCTTGAAATCGCTAATCTCTGTTCGGTCTGGGACTCTAGTACAGCGGTGGCTAATAAGTGATCAGACAGAACGCCACCAAAATACGCGTTTGCAGGCAAAATTGTGGCTAGGTCGTCCGATGACTTAATACCCACCGCTGTACAACCCGGTAGGATATTTTCTTCTGTTTACTTCTTGCATTTCTCTCTGGGTGACTGGACCGGACGGAATTTTTTTGATATAATAAAGCTTTAGCAAGTAGGTATTTATTCTGATTTTCCTTTTCTGGGATTTGGCACGATTCCCGCTAACTATGCGCACATATAGTGTCACCCATGATCCTGGAGGTAGCGAGGTAAGACATTAGGTTTTTAATACACATTTTCTTGACAATTCCCATCCATGGCCTATATAGGCGGGCACCACGCAAAAGTTGATGGCTAGATTGGAGAGCGAGTGAGATCATATGATTGGAGCAAGTGAAACCGTACAAATATTACTGGCCAGATTAAAGGAGGGCGAGTGAGACCATATTATTGGAGTGAGAGATGCTGGTTGGAACTCGAGAGCTTGGTGCACCAGAGAAAGGAAATGTCGGTGCAGATAGTTATCTAACCACTACTTACAGCACTTGTTCGTTGTGGCCTCGCGACGATCAACCCACCGGTGAGCGTATTTTCCACAATACCTAGGAACTTCACGTAAAAGGAACTTGATATGTAAGTTTGGGGCTGTAATTCACCGGACGACCCCCTGAGAAAAGATCTCCCTTTTACATAAAATATCACCCGTTAAGTTTCCATTTGTTCGCTGGCAAAACCATCTAACCCATTTTACCCCCGTGCCGCCTAGCATGCTGGTTGACCGGCCGAGGAGTATGATGTATGCTGCACACATTGATATATAAGAGCTTAAGGCCCGTTTAGATACCGAGGGGGAATTAGAACCCCGTCTAATAACGGCTGCGTCAGGCGAGTTTAAATGGAGAATTGTTTAAAATGGAGTTTGGATCATTTTGGGTCAGTTATGATATTGGTTGCTAAGTGGGTATTTTGGTGGGCTTTGACTTTAGAGCCCTAACAGAGCCGAAAAGAAAAAAAGAAAAGAAAAAAAAAAAAAAAAGACGGACGAACACAAACCTTTTTGGCAAAACGGAGTTACGGGAGAAAATCGGAACTGAGTTATGTCATTACCACATAAACTTGACCACGAAACTCCGTTTCAACGGGGTAGCTCCAAATGGGGTATTGAAGCTGGGATATTACTCTTATCAGTGATAATGCACGTTTCACAGTACTAGTGACTGGTTCAGGAACTTAAATGTAGTTCTCATGCATGGCAAGTAGGTATCTAATATCAACAAGTGAAAGTGGTAAAAAGTCTCAATTAACAGCACGCGATGAAGCAGCTTACACACTAACACTGGATATCATACTTTCTTCCAATCCTGATTACATCGATGCTCCGGGCGACTATTCATTAAAGTAAAGGTCCCCGGATACACTCTTTTGAGAGTCCAGCTACACGATACGAGTCGCATAGTCCTTTTACAAAGGTTGTCGTTTCAGTAAAGTGTGGCTTATCTGGAGCACCCGTACCTGCAGGAGATAAGGAGATAACCGCATGTGCATTTGCTACTGGATTTCAGTGCGTCATACAACGTACGACTTCAACATGTTCATCCCATCTTTGGTGTAGCCGATACACTTCCTTGGTAGTTGGGTTTTTATAGCGAATTCTAGTTGATATGATACTTTACAAGGGTTAGGTCCCATGCACAAAGGATTAATTGACTGGGGACGAAGTCTCAATTTACAGAAAAGAAGGCAAAACAGACCACAGTGATGTTGGATAATGATAACGCGCGAGGTTATTAGTCTGTATAATCGAAACTTGGGGCTCTAGAGGTTGTCGATGTATAGAGATTTCTCAAACGCGGGGTTTTGAATGAGAGAGAATCTGGATGGTTTAATCAGTTCGCTTTGGATGATTTCCCGCTCTCACTGCCTCTTCAATCTCTCGTTTGGATGAAGACTATGAGACGAGATATCTCCTGTATCCGATTTTTAAAACAGAGTTTTCTGAGTGGACTCTTGTAGATATAGAGGACGCATTCTACTTTGGATTTGGATGAATGACCCGTAATGAGAAAGTACTAGCCAGTTGACAAACTAGGTGGTCAGTATAATTAAAGAAGAGAGATGAGTGAAGATAGAAAATGGCCGTACATATTAGGTGGTAAAAAGTAAACACATGTAATCGTGAGCAGCATAGACGCCTTTAGGGCTAACCCAAGAAAGATGAGATCTTGAGAGGCAACAGTTGAATAGGATAGAAAACAAGGGTTATCTTGAGACGGCATTCACGAGGGCTTCTGATGTTGACGCACAGATAATACACCCAGTGAGAATTCGAGCAAAGTCAGTGGGTGTGCGTCTCTACAGCATGCCAGTACTAGTAAAGTACATAAACCATCCAAGTTTTATTTACTCTAAATGAGCCGTATGATCCTACCGGCGTGCCCAAGGCGGGTCTTAAGATTTTCATATGATCGCCCTTCAATGTTAAGGCATCCAATGAGACCTAACAAAAGTTCTAGACTTCCACTAGAGAGCAAAGCATTAGCTGCACTGTACTCGCGTTCGATCATGGAGTCGTCGGATGTCGTTGCAAATAAATCACTACTAAAAAAAAAAACCGGGGACTTAATGAATGCATGTGTAGATGATCAACAAAAGTGTTCGTTCTTTGGGACGCCACGTCAGTGAGTTGGTTTCGTGCTAGAATCTGTAAACAGAGCATGAAAGATATAATACCTCGTGATTTTCTGCTGGAAACTGCGGGTCCATTTCATGCTTACAGGGATCTATTGTCCCCTATCACTCAAATGCTGGACTTTATAGTGGCTGAAACTCATTTTGTTAACACAACTGGTCTGTGGGAGCTGTGTCTCTGCACATTCATGCCCTCTCACTCGTTGTATCCCAATGACTTTGGGGGGGGATCCCTAGACAAAGAAGTGAGAGAATGAGAATTGTTAGACTTGTTTTAGTGCACGACAAATTAGTCTTTTAAGAATGATTCGTCCATGGTCAACCTTATATTCTCAGCGCAAAATATGTGTGGATATTAAAGGAATTCGAAAAGGCCTTATCAGCACTATAATACCGAGTATGTATGTATTCAGCCTTCTAATCTCATTGATTTGAGAGATCAAGCTACACCACGGGCTGGAAGTGAAAGACCCGGTAAGGGTTGCAGTCTTATTCCTCGTTTTCACGACACCTAACAGGACAGGTAGTAACAACTAATCCATCCTCTTAGATGATCGGTAAACCAAGCCCTCAACTTCACGCCATCTTCTCGCGGCAAGGTTTCGTATCTAAAATATGGCAGGCCGATTCAAAAACAGTTGGCATGACAAAAGATTGAACGCGATTAAAGATAGGTGAATCCATCTCTCTCTCTCTTTTTTTTTTCTTTCCAGAGACCTTTACTTCTCGCGTCTTGGAAACAACAAGTATTTCTGTTTTTTGTGCCACGGGGCGCTGCTAAATCGGGAGATTGTGTGATGATCGCTTGTATGTTTTGTAAGTTGCGTACGCACACACATGTGCGTACATTATGTATGTAGTATACACTCTACACAAACTTCCACCCGGATAACAGCCCCGCTATCAGACACTTAAACTTCGTGGAAGTTGAATTCAAGTAGATTTTTTTTTTTTTGGGGGGGGGGTAGGGGAGTAAAAAGTTTGAGCGATAGCGCTGAAGTTAAGCTCTTCCTGGCTATAATCAAGCACTGTCCCCTATAAGTCTTCATGTTGATTTAGATTTTGACAATAACCTATTATATGTAGGTTATGGACGCTGCCCATCACGTACTTGTTGACAATACTTTAGGGCGTACGTGATCGATCGATCCTAATAGTGCAAGGTCGCGCAAGTGAACCAAGGTGACTGCTCACACGGTCACGGCCCAACCGGCCGTTTCCGCGTTCGGCTCGCTGAATCTCTAGTAGATATGATACGATGTACCGAAGGCATCCATAGAGAGCCCTCCCCCTCGGAGATGCATGCACGGCGCGAAAATTTGGGAGGGAATTTCTTTTTTGAAAGGAGTATCCAAATGATGCCAGAAGTAAACAATCCCGGATGCCAGCTATTCGCCCCTGTACGCTTGAAACAGACAGATATAAAACGTCATGTATGTATGTCAAGCCTGGATTTTTCCATCAATAGGATTTTCAGCGATCCACCAGGTTTTGAACCTCAGCTCCGAATTGTTCGCCAACTGAGAAAGCGGTACGAAAACACTTGAGGATTCCCGTAAGAAGACCCAATTTATTGCAACTCCATTTTATCTCGGTGATAGCTTCTAGCGGCTATGAGAAACTTCCCTTGGGTCACAGAGGTTTGACTGTGTGTGGAATGTATAAAAAACGAGTGATATCGTGTGGCATGACCTGTCATACTGTTGTCAAAGTAGGGCAATATGTCGTTTGAGATTCAAAACCAGGTTTTAGGGCCTTGATTATTGGCATAGTACGCAGAAAAACTAATGTGCAGAACTACAAGCCTAGCATAATAGACACATCAGCTCAAGCCATAAGAGAAGTAGCCAACGAAACAGATGCTTTTCAACCTCAAACCATGCTATCTGCAACATTCCGTCTCCCACTCTCGAAAGATGGTGTGCAGTAAAATCAGAAGCCAAGGTAAACGCAAGAAAAATTTGTTAAATTCCACCTATCTGGAGCGCGAGATAATGTCGAGTAAAGCCGTGGAATTCGCCTATTTGCGATATGAAATATGTGAAGTAAGTGCAATCGCAAAATGGGAGCTACGAGTGAAATATTGCTCTTCGTGCCATCGATTGTTATCTCGAAATTTGGTTCGAATTTATTATTATGGTCGAAGTCCGTCTTCTCAAAGAAACTTATTACCAAGCTTAGCGAGTAGAAAGCCCTCAAGGATCTGGCATCAAGGTTTGCTAATGATAATCGGCACTCATTAGTTAGCACCCCAGGATTTATCTTGTTTCTAGCTCGTATCTCTAGGATCGTCAAAGCGCAGAATATCCTCGCACCACAAACTTGAGTGGAAAGATTATGCTGATCGTTTGGAGGTTACTTACATAATTTTAGAATTAATGAACCTCGCCATTTGTGTGCCTCTGATAACCTCACTTACGGTTGGGGAGCTTTAGGAATATCAGCCACCTATCATGTAAAGGATTTTCACGCCAATCGAGAAAGTCGCCCTCAAGAGGGCTATGCAGAAACAAATCTCCAATATGAGACGGTTCAAATCAGCAAAGTGGGTCAAACCCTTCCCCAGAATTTTCTTGGGATATTTCTTCAGATTGCGGTACTATCCATTCTCCGGGAGCGTACTTGAGAATAGTGGGCTATCCAGGAGAGCTTGGAGAGTCTGTGGATTTAGGCAAATTCTTTTTGCACATCCCTAGTAACCTTTAAGGTTCCGCAGATAACAGGCGAAAAGATAGTATTGCACTTTGCTTTTCTCGAGATGTTTCGCTTGTGGGTCCCATTTGTTCCTGGGATAGGAGTTCCAGATTCTCAAATGAAGCAGTAATGCAAAAAAGATAAAGTATCTCGATCTAAACTTGGAAAGATATTAGTATTAGTTCAAGCTGCAAGATGACACTGTGTGCGAAGATGGCTTTCCAAATTTTTGAATAATTTTAGATTAGGGCGGTTGAGATATTCACAAGACTCTCACCCAAATAGTACCGGAATTCTAATCAGAGAATGAATAGATTCGGCTCACAGAGTACTTGCCAGAGTTGCCATCTACTTCATAGCCCCGAGTTGAGCTCTCAATTATTTGTCCGAGGCCAGATAGGCAAAGTTGAGCCTGATAATATCATCTCCGCTTGCAGCAAACATAATTCCGAGAAAGTGTCATATAGATAGTTCCATGTATCAAACACTGAAGTTAAAGGTTCTACTGTACCAGAAAGCGTAGTTGTGAGACTATCTAGGAGGAAAAACTCAATCCGGAATGTGAGCTGGGGGGTGAGTGATTCTTGTCCAATCGGATGCATCGATGCCTGTTATGACGAGTGAAAAAATCGCTATGCGGGCCGGGTAACTGAGCGTGGCACACGCGCCAAGAAGTATCGTATTCTCAAATCAAAGAAGTTCGCCCTTGAGCTTAAGCTTGTCTGTTTAATAACATCTACATTCAGGGGCCTGTACTAGTATTATATACTCAGGTATCTGCTGTTCCTTTATATAATTATCCATATATTTCAGTGAAATAGGTAATGTCTAGACGCCGATCTAGTACAGCCTGTCGGATCTTCCGCGGATGAAAGCACTCCTCGCGCGCGCGGTCCATGGCGCGGCGTCTTCGAAGCTTCTCTAGCTTCTAGCCTTCTGCTGGAAAAAGAAAGAAAAATATTAACCTACCCGGCACTAGCAATCAAAGTTTAACCCTCCAAAACAAGGGTCCATTGGAAATTTTCGGCAGGCTTCGCGTTCATCGATATCTGGTTGCTATTTACCATGTTCAATCCCGCCATTTGATGCGGGTCACTCGCAGCCGGAAAACCCACACAGGAGACTACATATCCCAACAAAGTATTTAGGCCGTTTACTTCTGATATAATGCGTTCAGTCTTATTATTTTATAATTACTTATCTACCATGCTTTCTGGCAGACAGTATCTGCACTCTACTGTCCTAAAGCTTTGTACTTGAAGCAATGTCACGTGGGTACCTCAAATCACGTTAAGCCCCATTAATACGATTGACAAATCTTAGACCCTAAGGTCTCATTTTTATATCAATTAGGTCACCCCCTGATTACACAGAGTCATCCTATTCGATAACGTGATTGACTTTGGCAGCTCAGGCACAGCACTGATGCTTCTAGAGTCCAGCCAGGGTTTACTTGGTTGCAATGTGAGTACTGGACGCATCAACAGAGTATCTACGCCTAGTTACTCTACATCCTCTATCCGGGTTCAACTTAGCTAACAGGCAAAACCTGTCAAGGTTGGTAATCGATACTTGGTGACTGCGGATCGGGGAGGATAAAATTTATGTATCGATAGATCAGTAATGATCGGATGAAGAATGCCGCGACCGAGCGAGGGTTTTTTCCTCAAATCTGATTGACGGAGATGACGGGTTTTCCCTCATCCGTCCGCCTAGACATTCCACCTTGGCAATTATTTCTGACTCCGGGCTCCACAACAGGCACCTATCAAGATAGGTGCAGCGATACTTCAAGCTCTGCTGTGTCGTTATCCGGGGCTCCGAAAAAACGCCTTTATTCGCTTTATCTCATTGTTCTTCCCCTCCCCCACCCTTTCCAGCGTTTTGTTTCCTCTGGTCTCATCTAGCTGCGTACGAACGAGTAGGTGGAACTGAAGGTCTTTTACACAAGCTTTGATTCAAGATGGCGGTCTCTCTAACCCCTTATAATGCATCGCATATCGAGTATAATGGCAACTACTTCAACTCCTCACTTATGAAGGAGTTTAACTACAGTGGGTTATATCATCCTTAGCTGTTTGTCCGTTCTTTGGTTCTTCCCTGTTCACGAGTAAAGTAAAGTGCCAAGATAACAGCCACTGACGCGAGAACAGCCATTTACACAAACGGTACACTTTCAAATATCTCTCGCTGCTATCTTGTTTTCGATAACTACCATCCATATTTTGCCCTGAATGGCTCAGTGTTCAACGGCACGAACTGTGATGCCCCTATCAACCCCATTGCAACGCGTGCAATCCTCGGCATAGTGTCAAGCGTGCTTTTCGCGATCGGAATTATGCTTGGGCTCACCCTTTTGAGGAAACACGGAGCCACACACCTACCGGTAGAAAAACGGTTCAGATTGGTTTCAAGAAGGTGGCAATGGTATTGGTTGATTTGCACTGCTGTGTGTGGGATGATATCAGGCTTTATGGCAATAGACGTAGATAGGAATTATCTTCAAAGCACTGCGTTGATCATGCAGAGCATCTTCTTCTATGTCATGTTACCAGCAATGTTGGCAAGTGTTTGGGAAATGACTCGACATTGGTATGTTGTACTCAACCGCAGAACTATCACTCATAGTCAATACTAACGATTGATGTAGGGGATCATTTCTGGAGCGCCAACAGGTCGACGCTGATGCTTTCTGTTTCCCGCAGGACGACAAAAGGTCTAAAATCGAATTCTATATCCCGTTGGTCTTTTATCTGTTCGGGTTCTTGGTTAGTTATTGCCTCCTATCTACAGTGTATCCTTACAATTCAAATAGAAACACTGACCTTCTCACCGTTAGACCTTCTTCATGTCGCTCCTCCGCAACTGGAATCCCATCACTAAAGCATGGGGCACCGGCGGCGCCCAAACAGCCACCGATCCACGTTTCCGCGCCGCCTGTTTCTTCGCATTCTTCGCCCTTGTGATCATCATCATTTCGGTATTTGTTTCTCTGCACTACTACACACCGCGCCGGGTCCCGATGAAAATCCCGTTGTGTATTCTTCTCCTAACGATTCGGATCTGTTATAACGCTGCCTGTGCTTGGGAATATGATATCTCACCTCTATCGCATCTTACTAACCCAGGCTGGATATATGGGTTGGGTTATTTGCCAATATTTTTGATTATGGCCGTCATGATTTTTTATGGATGGAGGGAACCGAACGAGGACCAAGAAATCCTCAAACAGAGAAGAGAGAGGGAATTTCAGCTCAATGTCGAAATGAATGCGTCCAAAGGGGAGAAGAAGGAGATACACGAGGGGTTGATGAAACTGGGGCGAATGAGCGACAACGACAGGAAGATGGTGTGAAGGGCTTGGAACAATGGGATTTGAGCGTTTGGGGGTTGCGGACAAGCCATGGATGATTTAACTAACACTATTCCGGCTTACTCTTTTTTTTTATAGAAGCCCTCTAACCTTTCTTTAATTACTGGCGGGGTTTTTGGTATTCATTGGGCGTGTACTGTATTATACAAGTTGTTTATCAATCCTTTTCTGTATTCAGGATCTGACACTTGGTAGAGGGGTTTTTTCGGGGCTTTCGATTTTTTTGCATTTGGGAAGGATTGGTTGTAAATTGATACATGGAAAATTTACTGACCTTATTTTAGACACTACATGTATCTAAGTTGTCGGGGTTACGTATTCACTCAATCTTTGAAGGTTGTCAAATGGCTGGAAATAAAAGAAATTCAAGAGCCCCTTCGAAACTCGATCCTTTTGACGAAAATAATCATGACTCTGTGTCAATTCTCCTTGCCATTACATACCTCTGTATACATAAAGTAGTTAACAATCGGTCCATGATACTACATAATGCATTGTAAGCGCGCAATCATCAAAAGAGAATGGGCCCTACCTGATTACATATATGTACCTAGCGTACAATACCATAGCAAAAATTACGAGATGCTGCAGTAGCTAGCGAAGATCATGATCAGAGAGGCTCAATTATTGAAAAGGAATATGCAGACCCAATTTTTACTAAAGAATGGAGAGTGTGTGTTGACGATTCCGAGGCCAATAGTTATCGGAATGGCCTATTCCAAGAACTACATCATCGAGAATCGGAGAACATGAAACAACATATCCTTTGGATATCCCCCCAACCGATAGATATCAACGAGAATAACGGTAGTATATCCTAAACAAAAGGTCTTGCACGGCCGACGTGCATCGCATAGTGCTATTCTCAGCTCTGTCACGATCGCAATGATCGACTCAATTACAAGCCACGATGATCGCTGTTTGGCCTGTTGGTATGCAATTGTTTCTCGCTCACCCGTGGTACATACAACAACCCTGCACGTGGATAAGGCAGAGCTTATTGGTTGATCGTGAGACATTTCATCTTATGTATTCTGCCACGATTACTCTGGGTAATCGAATCCATGAGTGGGTGACTTGAGCCTCCAAATACCCCAGAGTTGGGTACAGTCGCTTACCTACTGATGGTGGATCCTGTCTGATGGTTCTGTTTGCAGTAATTTGCCCTTGGCGTCCATAACCTAACTCTTTTATTGGCCTCAAATTCCTGACCGCCATCAGACAGGATCCGCCTTCACCCTGTGAGTGAGTGTACTGGTCACCTGAATACGGCATCGTTGTCCATTGCCCAGAGATGATTCCCACGAAGCTGGTGCTCTTATCAGAGCCATAGTTATCGCGGGATTAATACTGTACAAATAAACATCATCGTGGCAGCTTTAGAATCTATCACTTGGACTTTTCCGAGAAATCTTATACCAAGCACAAAAGCGGGCCATAGTTGTTTATTCGGGCCGTCTGATGTCAACGCTGGCAACTTTTTCACGTTTATAAAAGCGGGCAGTCATGTCGTTGGCCGCAAAACCCCGGAGGGCCGGTGAATGCAGTGAAGACTGAAATTCCATGACAGTGTACTGTCGTCCACGGGGGTATTGGCGGATACTGGGTGATGGCGGACAGGGCAAAAAAGAGACAGCCAAGCCAACTTTTACCTGCAATCCGCCAATACCCAGTATCCACCAATACCCCGTGAACGACGTACTGAACATACATACTCCAAAAAGCATAGAAGATCAGGAGGCATCTTCATGCGCAAAAAGGAAAGTTTCTCGGATATATATTACCGCAGATCATAGGACATAAAGCTTAATAGTTCGTAAATAAGCACCAAATGGGTTCCTGTTCGTTACCGAGATTTTCTTTGCAGGAACCAATGCGAATATTTTATATCCATGAGCGATGCGCTTCATCTACATCTAGTAAGGCTCCAGAGCTCCCAGACAACCCATTGTAACTTGTCACTTTTTGCTGCCTTCAAAAGAAAAGAAAAAAACCCGAATACTGATATAACATATCAGCATATATATTATATAACATGTTCAGATTTTGACGGCCAAAAAGGTGGTGCCCTCGGCGGCCCGTCCCGTCTCCAGCTGTAAATGCACGAAATTCCTATTTCGTGTTGATTCAGCATGACTGTTGAAGACGTTGAAGTGAAACCTTCCCCATGGAGCAGTTGATAAGTCATATCGACAAGGACCTGGAAAGGTGAACTCAGCTAAGCAACATCTTCCTTACGTCATCTAATACTCAAGTCAATGATTATGATTCGTTTTTTCTTTCCAGTTAGGCTAATGCCCAGTCAGGATAGGTCACACGTTTTCCCCGCAAAGCGAGAGCACCCTGTGGGGAATTAGCCCGCTGATATTTTGGGTGTTGCTGCAGTTATCGCCCTAGAGGCACAATTTGCCATAAAGTTTCAGTACTAGAGGCCAAAAGGCCATCGAGAGCTTCAGGAGGTTGTTAGCAACACTATTATTGAAGTCCACTAAATCATTGAGGAGTATGTCGTTTCCAATATAACTCTTAGCGTGGAAATCATCACACATCTATGCAAGCTATCGCGCAATCAGCCACAACATATGAAGTGCTAGACCCGGAGGATTGGACAGTTAATTCCGCCGCGTTGGGGAGCTCCGCATGTAGCTATTGGTCCACACCCGAGACTGTAGTCCGTGGGTTTAGCCCCTGGTAGAGATCAGAGTCAGGGATAAGGAGAGAAATGTCGGGGTTGGCGATATGGGGTTTCTCCGATTAGACGATGAGCTGGCATAAACTAGTGCATCTTGTCCTTTCGCTGAACCAGGCCTTTGTTTCGACAGGTACATAACACGGACAAATTGGGAAGTTCCAGCGCATAACCTCCTCCGATCTTTTCAAAAGGCGGGATGGACCCTCTTGATATATGAATGAGAATTGGCTCGAGGGGCTGAATATGACTAAGAGGATAGGCCAACGTGCATTGTAGGGGCAGTATTCTTCAATTGATATGACGTAAAATATTATTTGTCTGCCTGTAGATAAATCAGAAATCAAACGGCGATCTCTTGGTTGCTGGAGCTATGATCCGCCCGGTAAACTCTAAAGTGTGAGAGTCGACCTGATCTCCTAGCGTTATACATGTTTGTACTTAAGTGGAATAACTTATCGACTGGCTAACTGGACCATTGGGACTCCCAGATCCACTCTCCAAATCTTCCCAAGGGGCGGCAGGAGTCCAATTAAATTAATAAACAATAGATATATATATACAGACACAGCGAGTATCGAGGGGATAAATTTTTAAAAATGGAAACTTTGGATTAAAAGCGATAGATGTTATTATCCGTAGTAGACTTTAAGGTAATCGTCAACCGAATAATTTACACCAAACACAGAAATCGAAGTTTCTGAGTGCATTAAGAATACGTGGGGTTTTGGAGATCGAAGGAGCCGACCCACAAATGCAACTAATGAATTAAACAGAAAAAAAAAAAAAAAAAAAAAAGAGCCGACCCACAAATCCAAGCGAAAGCTTTATCGACGTCCAAGGGCTGTTTAGTCGACATTGGCGATACAAAGGAGTGCTTGAAAGAGACTAAGAATTTATCTGTTTAGTGATCGACGCGGACAGCAACTTTCCTTCGCAATATTTGCATAATTGTACCATCCCAGATCTAAAGGAGCTCGTTGCACAGTGTCATGGACAGCGGGGGTCGATAAGGCTGCTTCGCAGTGCGCATGGGGGGCATAGAGTACTGCAGAACCAATACGCCAACAGTGGGGAGCTACAACTACATGTAGGGATCGAGTTGTACATGCACAACGTAGCACTCGAGATAAAGGGTGGGAGGTGAGTGAAAGTACGTGGGGAAGAACTCTAGGGATCCCTCGTTCGTCTCACGCGGTTCGGGCGAGGGATAACTTATATACATGTACTTACAGCTGCAGCGGCGTAACTTCTACAGTAAGGTACATGTATGCAGCATGCACACAGAATGTACTCCAGAGGGCGCGCTTTGGGTGTACATGTAAGTAAGCATGTACGCATGTACATGCATAACAAGTTGGTTCGCCAGCTGTATCAGGTGGCTGAAGGGGCATCAGCAATTGGCCTGCTGTCTCGCGCGAGTGAGAGATCATGCTTCACTGCTATCGTTTTGCGGTAATTATGACTTGTTACATGGTTCGCCTGGAAAAATTTCAAGTCATACGGGTTTTTATTGGGTACCGAGATATTGGACATGTGGTTCACTTTCACTGTGAGAGTGAGAGTCTTGCATACATAAATTTTCATCTCCTGGGCTGAGTAGCTGGCGGACCACGCACTCAAGTCGGAAAAAAGCAGCAGTGAGAGTAGAAATAATTCAAATCGTATTTGGAAGGGGAACCCGGTTCCTGAAAGTAGGCATACAAACACACTCAATCCGAACTCCATAGTAGCGGGGGAAAACCACAAAACAAGCAAGAACGAACTGAACGAATACAAATGTGATGTTGCAGGAACACATACTTCCGAAAAAATATTGTGCGGGGAAAAGAGAAAAAAAATAACACCACCATCCCTAGCTCCCCCACCCGCCCGGAACCCCCCTCCCCCAAACGCAACTGCAGGAAACAGGTAAAGCAAAAGCAAAAATAACAACACAAACAAGCAAGCAACAAAGAACCAAAGCTTCTGAACACGAAAAAAAAGAACAAGCCAGCCAGCCAGTAAACTCCGATCATAAGCTACACTGTACTTAGAAGCAGACGTTGTCCGCAATCACACCTGCAACTTCCTCAGCACTGCAGATGACAGTGTTAAATTCGCCCTCGCGGACGAAAGCAAACGCAGGCACATTGCAGATCCTCATGTTTGCCTGAATTTGGTCCAACTCAGGGTCCTGACCTCCAACTCTGAAGGAATAAAAGCCAACCCTTCCTGCGTAGCTGGGGTTCGCAGCAGCATCATTATATGCCCTATATTAACCCGAGGTTAGTATTTGATGAAGAAAGACCGATGTTTCTAGATGCTAACTCACTGTTGGATGGTCCAGCAGGGAGGCGCCATAACATCATAGAAGTAAATTGCAATAACACGACCCTCTCCGATCGTTCCAGTAATTTCCTGGTAATGGTGGTAAGACTGAATTTCCTGGGGCTGCATCTTTGGAGTTATGGGGGGTTTAGGTTCGAGTTTCGAGTTCTTGAGATTTGGATATAAAAAGAGGTCGTACGAGGATTTGCGAAGTCCGATTTTATAACTGAGAATTGAGGAAGTGGTACTCTGAGGACTAGTCTGGAAGAACTAATATATCTGAATTGAAATGTACTTGAGACTGGTCGTTGGGAACTTTGGTTGTTGGGTAGCTTGGTGCTTTTTAAAAAAGAGAAATATCGTGGGAATGGGGAGCTCGTATATAAAGATTTTCGAGTATCAGCATTCATACCTAAAGCTCAGATCACTCCTAGGACCCTATGAATTGATCCAATGCTGGAGCTACGGTGTTCCGCAAAATCAAAAGGCTGTTGCTGCATGTTGGCGTGGTATCGCTCCTAAGATTGGTCAGAGTGTTCAGCGTCCCTCATAAAGGCGAGTAAGCTAATTGCATCTAGTAGGTCGGACCATAACCACCTTCGAAAGGCGGAAGAGTGAGGTCTGGCTGAAACGATACCACTTGTCGACGGCGCCCCGGGCTCTCAAGCTGAAGACACTGGCCCGAGTCCGATGTACATGTGGGGGTAAGTGTAATACTGTGATGAACTGCCGAAAGTGTACACTGTTTGTCCTATAAACATCACACCACCTATCCTACAGCGAGATCTTCGTCTTGCAGTACTACGCATGTAGGTATGATGATGTCGTTCATGAATTGGGATTACAGATCCTTCTCGAGTTTTTAATGCAATCGCTATTGATGGAATCTGCCTCCTAGTTCAATTCTATCACACCCGCTCATAAGCTCTATTTCTCAACATTTCATTACTCCGTACTCGTACGAGATTTCTGTAGAGCATATATTCAGATATTTTATCTTAAGCTTGAGCTATATCTTCAAAATGCACATATACGTAACGTGTATAAACATGCCTTTTAAAACGCTATAATATTTTGCGAGATGCGGCTCTCAATCGTGAGGACTTGGTTCTCTAAGCATAAAATAACTCTTCACTCTCGCACTTATAGATATGCAGGGAAGAAGTGCATACTATTATTCAACAAGTCCTGTCTTGGAGGAGAAATTGTATGGTGGGTTTATATATCCCTAGAATAGTATACCTGCAGATAATGCAAAGTTCCTACTATTCGAAAGTTAACAACGTTCCATGGCCCGGAACCACGAATAAAGTGGATTCCAGCCATCAGTAGATACCACACTACATGAAACAGTACCATAAGATCTCCTCCCTATCAGATAATTCTATAATAACCTCCTTCTTTCGGATGCAGTACCATAACCAAAGGTCTTTGCAGTTTTTTGTCGTTGTCTGCGCGCGCGTCCCACGTGAATATGTCTTGGCAAACTTTACGTCATCTGTACATTACATTGTCTCAGTCTTCTTTGGTATTTGGTATTGATGATCGCGATTCAAGCAGGTAGACAAGGCGCCAACTCTACGTCAGCCCGTCAGTCCGTCCGTGTTGTTACAAAGAAAAAAACCCGACACCATGATTCTCATTTCCTGCCCTTACAGACACGACACCTTGGACTCTTTCTTCGCGGCCAGAACCAGATCTCATCGTAAAACTGCACTTTCGAGAGACCAACAGCTAGTAGTACAGTTACCTAGCTACAGCATTGCAGCACCAAGAAAGAAAGAAAGAAAAAATCCAACAGCATAAGGCACAAGGGGAAAAAAAAATATTTTCAAGACGTTACAACCATGACGGCCACATCATTCTCGGACATTTTCTCAGCGATAACGGTTTTCGTCTTCATCGGCCTAATCGGCGCCGCGGGCTTCGTTGTCTCTCAGAAGATACCGCAGTGGTCCGAGGATGCAAAGGAGCAGCTCAAGGGGAAGAATATTGACATCTCTAACAGTGGCGTTCGTGTTGGGATTAAGGGCGTATCGAACGAAGAGGAGCAGGACAAGTTGCAACGGTAGTTTATTTTCAACCCCTTCCTTTGCAAATTTGTTTGCCACAGCCGACAGATGACAGCCAGACTAATTGTATTTTTCTCTCAGGGCAATCGTGAGGACGATGAGCAACTCGCATGCGAATCCAGTGGTAGCTGCTCCTGGTGCTCCACACGATAAACACCGACACCACGTGAAGAGGTCTGTGCGATGACTACCCCTAAGTGTTTCAGGAGAACATCACTGATCAGCGCATGGAAAACAGGTGGAAGAATCATGAAGGAAAGATGGTTGAGGAGAGGGTACCTGTAGATCCCCGGGAACCATGAATTCCTCGGCGTCCTCCTACCTTCATCAATGCGCATCAGGGGAAATTCTGCGTTGGTACAAAAAGTGTCGGTTTCCAGGGGGTGGCGTTGACGTTTCTCTATCCCCTTACTAGTTTATTGTCATACACGTATATCTATCTCGATTTCTGTTCTATGTTCAGCACTCTAAAAAATTGATTGTACACACGTTGTACTTACCTGCGCTGCGCACATATCTATCTGCTATCTCTCAACCCCGTGATGATCATGAATGCCGAGCAACATAAATTGCGCTGATCCAGAACATCAAAAGACCATCCATGACGTAGATCACCTCGAGCTGACATGCAGAGGGAAAAGTACGCATTTTCGTCATGAATTTCAGGATGTGAAAGCGTATCAAAAATTACAATCCAAACCCATGAAGTATAAACTCCACCCAAGGGACCAACGAAGATCCATCATCAACTACCCTAGAACACCTGAGGTGTCGCTGATCCTATCGGAATCTCCACGAGGTGAAGACTTCTCCATGTTCCCAGACACGCAGTCAACATGACTGCCTCTCCACTCATAATACAGAATTGGATCATTTGTGACAACAGCGCAGCAGCTGCAGCACTTCCTACCACCGTGAAAAGGAAAGTGAGGCTCTGGTTAACCTCCACCCTCTTTTCCTCCCCTCCTCGGCCAGCTGCCCCTGGATTCATACCCCCTCCCCCACAAATTTGAAATCGCTAATTCAGTTTCTCCCAGGAAACCGTTTATTTTATTTTATTTTTCCTATTATTATTATTTTTTATTTCCCCCCCCTCTTGGCCTCATGACGGGACGCACAGGTGCGAATTGGCGATTTTTACAAACTTCATTCGTCGTACACGTGGCAACAATCGAAAAGAAAAAAATACCTTGTGAGGGCCGCGGGACGACGACGTACGGTAGGTACATGTAGTTGTCCGGATAAACATTGCCTGTTGCTGGAACAAAGGGCGAATCACGACGCTGCCTAGTGGGTTACTGGATGTATCGATCACATGAGAACTTTTTTTTTTCTTTCTCTTTCCAGGTCTGCTAAAGTAGGCCAAGACTAGCTTATGCAGTTGTGTAGATCCCGCGCATATAACGTTTTTAATATGGAAAGAGAAAACTTGGATGGGTGACAAGTTTTTCATGGGGTATCACTCGCTGGAATCGATCCCTGTGTGGGGTCCAAAAGAGGGGCTAGCACACACAGCTAACTACAAGAGTGGATTTTGAACAAGTCCAATCGTTAATTGAGGCCAACGGGGGAATCAGCTAGTACAATCTTGTCGACAAGATTTAAATATCAAGGCCCGAATCAGATCATGAAGCCGGTCGGGGGCCGCGCATTGCGGTGAATAAATAGTATTCGCTGTTGGCGCTGCAGATCAAGTGTCGTCGTTCCAAGTTGCGTGCGGCTCAAGTTCCCTCCATGCATGCAACAAACCCCTCCGCGCCCCCTCACCCCCCCTCTTCTCTCCCTGTGTGCACTAGTGCCTGTCAATGAGAGGGTGAAATTTGTCTTTAACGGAGTTCTCGGCAACGACCGATCTCCCGGTAGGGTTGGTCTCGGAGAGAGTGCCGTGGTTTTGGGATTTGCTCGTCATCAGGGGCGCTAGCTAGAGTAGCTTTGCTCTACATGTAAGTACATGTACTAGTGAACCGTACTACCCTACGTTCTCTAGGGCAACCCTGATCTATGCAGGTATGACGGCGCTAGTAGATGTCACGAGTGATATTTTATGATTGCGATTGGACCGTGTACATACCCCTCTTGCATAAGGTACATGAACTAAAAGCTACACGCAGATATCATGTATAATATTTAACCTGCAAATAGGGCAGTAAAAAAGGCCTCATGTGAATACTTTGCTCAACACTAGTTAATCATCTAGCATTTAATTAATTTATTTTTTCTTATTTTATTTTTATTTTTCCCCTTCGTTTTCTTCGTTGGTACAACCGTACACATATGTACTCTACAGCACAGTACATACAGGAGTCTAAATTAGTCTACACGTACGTATGCTAAAGTGTGTGACAAACGTTGCAAGAGCGCTATTGCGCTCTACGTCGTTACTTCCCTTCGCTTTATCGTACCTTAGAGCAAACAGATTCGAATACATGTATGCACCCCATATATACTAGACTCGCAATTAAAGTGCTCTACGCTCTCGAACCTGCATACCAGAACCTCAACACCCCCACACTCATCATCCCAAATCCAGGAGATATCTACTACGCCGCAAAGGAGAAAAATGATCGACTTTGCATGATGCCACACAGCTCATTTATGGGGGCGAATACCGACCCTGTCTCCACAGCAGTCTCGGAAATATTGATATATGAAGGGAAAGTGATATCATCTAAGAGGGCTACAGAGGAATCCATGTACTACGGGGTTAGTTAGTCAATGTCGACGCACATATATTCGAATGCGGGGTATGCAAACTACAACATCACAACTGAACGAGGTTGGCTATCATTGGCGAGCAGGCCGAACCAGCAACGGCATGATTATACGGGGATACTGGAACGACGACTCCGGTAGTCATAGCATCATACGTACTTTATGTACATATCGTCCTGCAACGGGTGAGAGGATAGATCCACCCATTAACTGTCGAACTCGGAAAAAAGAAAGTGGAATTCTGAACTCTTGTGTCCACAGAATTGAAACTGTGTTAATATGAAGTTTTAATCATAAAGCTGACCATGAAGCTGACCATGAAGATGATCAGTTATATTATACACCATGTACCGCGTTTACCGGTTTTCGGAAGCACTTGTGGAGGAGAGAAAACGTAGTGACCATTTCAAATGAACTACGTAGGCGGCGACTGAAATCCCCCGATATACGATTAGAACACGATAGGATCGTTAGTCAAGAAACGGGGCGAATGAGGATCGTTATATCGATGAGGATGAGGAGACAAATTTGCAATTGATCCCGCCTGATAGCGGGTCTCGGCAATCAATTAGATCCTCTGAATCTTATGAAGAGTGGGTAGCTGTACCGGCCTTTGGATTTTTAGGATTGGCCCCGCTTCTTGTTCCCCGGGTACGCACAAGAATGCATAGGGTAAGATGTCATGTGGGGGGCTCTTGCAAACGTCGTAAGGTGTTCTTTGGTCCGTTTCAGAATTACCCCGAAGTTTATCACTCACCCGGTAACCTCTTCACAGATCCCAATCAGTACATCTCCACAGGTGAGATCTGAAGGTGACGTTGTGATTCATTGATGGATACATCGAACCATTAAGGACGAATATAGATCCTAGGATGAAACGTCAATTTAAACATATGATGATTAAATGGTATTGAAACAATGTGGAAAAACCAGACACACAGAAGTGCACGTGCGGTCACTATGCACAACGTTTAAAGAATAATCAGTGCATGATGACGATGTCTTGTGTTTTCCTCTTTTTTTCAAAAGTTTGGCACGCGGAGAGCTAAATGTATATGTAAGTAACCATTTTTTGGCCCAATTCAGAGCTGTCGGCTTGCATGTCTATAACTGAACTTCCGTTATTAACCCTTTGAGAGAGTTTTAATTAGCTGCAGTAATACTAAGACCCCGAACGGAGAATATCACGCATAAGAAGCTGCAGTCGCCCACAACGGTCGAGTTTCAAAAAACATTTCATGTTGTCCTCTGCACCAGTCACGTCTTCTGACATCCCTGCTGGCAATCTTCCCGAGCTCGGGATTGAGCCGCTATGCGAGAAGTTATTTTGTGGAGTCGGGAGAAGTTTGAATCCGGCTAGTGCACTATGACGGTCATGAGGGCGTTAAAGGCAATAACGCCATCTCTTGGCCATGATGCCAGCCTGGACAGTGATTTGCACAGGGGTTGACACGAATGCTACACTGGGTGAGCGCCAGTGATGATACTCTACCACCTAACTACATAGACGAGGAGATTTCCGAGCAAAATATTGATGAGATATTGACAGTGTCAACGCATATATATGGCTTACATAGATAATATACTATGTGACATGGTCTACAAGAAGTACCGAGGATCGCCATGCTTTTCGACGACTCTGATGTCCACCGCGGAATAAAATGAGTACATACAGCGACAACTAAGCATTGAAAACCAAGTCAACACTGCGCGTGCATAGTGTATATTGGACATGCGATAGATACCACATGTGTATACCTACATCACATATGTGATCTGTGAAAAAAGTAAAGTTCATTGTAGAAACCCACATTTCTTCCCGGATAACCATGATGAAGCCTCGCAGACGCCAATGGGGACCTGCATGACATAGATAAGCTTTGCATCTTGTGCTACCTCAACAGCAACTTTGATTGCTACAGTGTCGGTCAACCCGGGGTTTAAAAATATGATCGCCAGGCGTCGATGTGATTGCCAGGAGATAAAATGGCCAGTCAGAGTCCCCTATTAAACTGATCCAAGATCGAATGGAAAGGGTTCGGGTGCTGGATAGGGTTTATTTGAGAAGTGCCATGCGGAAAGCCGCGGCATAGCGAAATTTTGAAGTACACATCCTAATAGTTGACGTTGGGTAGAGCTTCTTTGTGGTCAACAGACTCGGATGTAAGAGCGCACAAGAATGAGGGGACTGATTTGACTAACCTGTTCATCTGAATTGTAAAATATGTATTTCTTCAGCTCCGAGCTGGCCAATGACGAGGATACATGTCAGCCTATTCTCTCGGCTAATGCATGTTATATTGGAGCTGATCATGAGCGCACCTGAGAATGTTCTAAAACTATGGAGACCAGAGTTAAAGTGTTATTTACAGTGGATATACATGACATACTAGATTCACAGTAGCTAGAAAGTGTTTGGTACCCGAAAATGCAACCCCCTCATCTGCAATTTCTATTGGCTTATTAGTGGAAAACATACCTATGCATTGCAGCTGCATTTTCGGGTACTTGTTGCCTGTCACGAGTAATTAATACTTGTAGGTTGGGACCAGATGAGACTTCATTGCTATGGGTCTATAGCTAGCTTTGGCGTTCGAGTAACTGAAGTGCCAGCCGCTATGAGCAGAGTTTTATAAACATCATAATACGAAGTTTTACGCTTGGCGTTTATAATTTAGACTTGATAGGTTAATTGTGGGGCCCGAATCTCAGTGTTCTTGCCACAAACCCTTACGAGTTTGAGTATATTATCTAGAAACAAAAACAAACCCTTGAAACATTTAAATTTCTTTTGGGTACTGCCCCTCGACAGATAAACCCCCACACCCTACGATCATTTGGACAATTAGCTGATAAAGGTAAACAAACAAAAACAAAAACAAAAGAAAGGTTATGACCACCCTCTCCCACCTTGGGCCGGGATAATTCACTTGTCTGAGCATGGGGGAAGGATATCTGGCCATGGGTTGATATCTACGTACTCGCGATAGTCAATATGTGCTCGGAAACGCTGACTTCCTAGCTACTCGAACATCCCCCCCCCCTGGAGCGTTTAACGCGTTATATATATATAACCGGCTTCTATACCAATTATCATCCACTGTTCGAGTGAGGGGATGATTGAGTAGCTAGGGAAGTCGTCTAATCAATAAGGAAAGCAGTAGAAAAATTAGCAGTGAGTAGGTCGGGTTCCTGGGTACTTGGCACCTACTTAGAATACTTTTATTGTCGTAGTTAGCACTGCAGTCTGTTACCTTTTTTTTATTTTTTTATTTTTTTTAGAATGGTCTATAATCTCTGAGTACGTACTAATCTTAAGGCAAATGGCAAGGTCTACCCACGGGCCCGGTTCAAGCCATCTAAGCGTTCTCGAGTCAGCACCCAGTGCAATAACGCAGACCTTATGCACGCCTCTACCCTTCTCGCAAATACCCTTTTCATCCGGATTCCTTGAACCAACTTCAAGTCCCTACATGTCGCGAAGTATTGCAGCTTAGCCATAGGTCGCAAAAACAGATTATAAAAATAGATTGAACATCCAGTAATAATAGCACCCAGACCATCCACTGATCCGTGCACGCTAAAGACTTAGCAAACCATATCACAACACCATACACCTGAATTATTCTGGAAAATAATTATTCCGTCCTAATAATTACAGCCACAAAAGCCACTAGTTGACAGGGTATAGAACTACACAACACCACAGAACGAGAAGATTCTATCAAAGGAAAGAAAAAGTGAAAAAAACAATTGCCAAGAAGGGAGCACATCACCCACACGTCACAAACTCGATCGCAGAAGTTTAAGCACCCAATGAAGAATTCGAAATTCATAACCCCGTAAAAACCGTTCGTACATACAAGAGGAAACCACAAAGAAAAACCGTAAAAAAGAATAGAAAAGAAAAAAAAACACAGAAGAAAAATCACGCTTATTTTTCCGCCCATTATCGGAAAGCAACTGTATAACTTCCCTTACAGAACTTTCTATTTCCTTTCCATATTTTATTTATGAGAACCCAGCGTTTAGTCGACCTCCTCAACCTGGGGGCCGTCATCGCCACCAGCTGGGGGAGCACCACCGGCACCAGGGAAGCCACCGCCTGGCATACCGGCGCCGGGAGCACCACCCTGGCTCTGGTAGAACTTCATCATAATGGGGCTGGCAACTCCCTCCAACTCCTTCTGCTGTGACTCGAACTCGTCCTGTAATTATGTTAGTAATTTATTCTTAGAATCAAAATCATTCAAGGAATTCTTACCTTAGTGGCAGTGTTGTTGTTATCCAACCATTCAACGGTCTCGTCAATGGCCTTCTTCAACTTCTCCTTGTCACCGGCATCGAGCTTCTCGCCGACCTTCTCGTCGCTCAAGGTGTTGCGAAGAGAGTAGGCGTAGGATTCGAGAGAGTTCTTGGCAGAGATACGGGCAGCCTCCGCCTCATCTTCCTCCTTGTACTTCTCGGCCTCAGCCAACATGCGCTCGATTTCCTCCTTAGAGAGACGGCCCTTGTCGTTGGTGATGGTGATGCGGTTGGTCTTACCGGTACCCTTCTCAACGGCAGAGACGTTGAGGATACCATTGGCATCGATGTCGAAGGTGACCTCGATCTGAGGGACACCACGAGGAGCAGGAGGGATACCAGTAAGCTCGAACTTTCCGAGAAGGTTGTTGTCCTTGGTGCGAGCACGCTCACCCTCGAATACCTGGATCAACACACCAGGCTGGTTGTCTGAGAAAGTGGAGAAAACCTCGGACTTCTTGGTCGGCACAGTAGTGTTCCTCTTGATGAGAGGAGTCATGACACCACCAGCGGTCTCAATACCGAGGGAAAGAGGTGCAACATCGAGAAGCAGAATTTCCTGAGTCTTGGATGAAGTGTCTCCAGAAAGAATGGCGGCCTGGACGGCGGCACCGTAGGCAACAGCCTCGTCAGGGTTGATGGACTTGTTGGGCTCCTTTCCGTTGAAGAAGTCGGACACCAACTTCTGGACCTTAGGGATACGGGTAGAACCACCGACCAAAACGATCTCGTGGACGGAAGACTTGTCGATCTTGGCATCACGGAGGACACGCTCGACAGGCTCCATGGTAGAGCGGAAGAGGTCCTGGCAAAGCTCCTCGAAACGGGCACGAGTGATTGAGGTGTAGAAGTCGATACCCTCGTACAAAGAGTCAATCTCAATGGAGGTCTGAGCGGATGAGGAAAGGGTGCGCTTAGCACGCTCGCAAGCGGTGCGGAGACGACGAAGGGCACGAGCGTTGGAGGTCAGGTCCTTCTTGTGCTTTCTCTTGAACTCCTGAACGAAGTGGTTGACGAGACGGTTGTCAAAGTCCTCACCACCCAAGTGAGTGTCACCAGCAGTGGCCTTAACTTCAAAGATACCCTCCTCAATGGTCAAAAGAGAGACATCGAAAGTTCCACCACCCAAATCGAAGATAAGGACGTTGCGCTCCCCGACAGCCTTCTTGTCAAGACCGTAGGCAATGGCAGCAGCGGTGGGCTCGTTGATGATACGGAGAACGTTCAAACCAGCAATCAAACCGGAGTCTTTGGTAGCCTGACGCTGAGAGTCGTTGAAGTAGGCTGGGACAGTGATGACAGCGTTGTTGACGGTACCACCAAGGTATGACTCGGCAGTTTCCCTCATCTTGGTAAGAACCATAGATGAGATCTCCTCGGGCGAGAAAACCTTAGTCTCACCCTTGAACTCGACCTGAACGTAAGGCTTTCCACCCTTGTCGATAATCTTGAAGGGAAAGTGCTTCATGTCAGCCTGAACCTCAGCATCGGCGAATTTACGACCGATGAGACGCTTGGCATCGAAGACAGTGTTGTGACTAAATTATAGTTAGCAGGTAGTTCATTCATTAAAATTGTAGATCGGTGGGGTAACTTACGGGTTCATGGCGACCTGGTTCTTAGCAGAATCACCAATCAGACGCTCGGTATCTGTGAAAGCAACCTAAAAAAAAATTAAAGATGCATTGTCAGCCAAGGTCGCTGAAAAAGCTCCAAGGAAAAGAAGGGGAAAAAAGATCGAAATTTTTTTTCCCCCCGAAATTTCATCAAGGAGAGCAGCGGGAAACTTACGAATGAAGGAGTTGTTCGGTTTCCCTGGTCATTAGCAATGATTTCGATACGGTCATCTCTGAACACACCGACACAAGAGTAGGTGGTTCCCAAATCGATACCGACAGCAGGGATCGTCATTGTAATTGATTTTTCTGTGTTTGTGATGGAAAATTCGATGAAGGTATTCCGTTGGGAATAAAGGAATTCGTGGGTATAGCGTTAAAAGAACAAAGGATGCGAGTTTTTCGACAGCGCAGACAGTGTTTGATGGAGGGATGGAGAAGAGAGGAGGAAACGGTGGGGGAGAGAAGGAAGAATGATTTATAGAGATACGGCGGGGCAGTTGAGGCCACGGCCAGAGTGCAGCTAAAGAACTGTGTAGAGTGCGCTAGAAGCTCCTACCACATCCATAGACATCTACGACATTCTACCAGCCTCTAGCAACCCCTCCCCCGCCACAACGCCTATTTTCAAAAAATGCACAGCTCTGGCCACTTCTCCTGCAGGCGGCCTTTTCTTCATTTCTATTGATCCCTTGATTACTTCTGGTAGTGCCTTTTACGCTCTTCAATCAGTTTTAACACCACTCTAGGCGACCACTTCTTCTGTTTTCCTACTGACTTCTATACGATTCTAAAGTGACGTAGAACTGCACTAGCCTTTGTCACCCGTTGGCGGGGCAACCCATCCAAGCGGCAACTCAAAACGATCTGTTTACCCCCGCTTGCGGCTCTCAGCCCCACCAGCGCACAGCTCCGAGCCCTACGAATCTCCGATCGAACACGATTAATGGAGCACACAATCTCTAATCTTTGCTATCATTGAGATTCGAGTCATTTTGGGTATGCGCTCAACTTAAAAACGAGAATTCGCTGGTAAATTACGATTCTCAACTCATCCTGTTCAACACTAGGAGTCAAACGGAGAAATTTGAGTTACTGTCAGCTGGAGTGTAACCCTGTGGGTTTTGTTACCGGACAAGAGAGCATCTTTGACTGCGTTAATCTTGCAGCCTGAGAATATTTCCGGCATCCTGTGCCGATCCTAACTACTCCCAGTTTTCCCTAGTTATCCCAAAGTAAGCACCCCTACACTACTCTTTAATTCTCAAGATATGTTGTAGATTAGGCATGATGCAGCCTGGGTTTCCTTCAAATGGTCTGCAACTACAGTTCTTGCGGCCCTCACCAAGATCCTTGATTACCTACTCCTACAAAAGTAATTAAGCACCGTCGGTCTTTAGATTTAAAAGCACGCGATATCAACTCTAATGTTTACTTATAGATACTAAGGGCGTCAAAATAAAACGCGGTTATCTCACAGCAGAGTTGTTTTAGATTCTCAGATCGGAAAAGAAAGAAAGAACGTATTTCCTTTTCTTTTCAAGTTAAACAAAAGCTTTCGTTGCTGCCTTCCGACCCTTAGCGCTAGTTCTAATCCAAGACATGCTTATGCTTTGGTGCCGGCAAGCTTCACAGCCGATCATTCCCAACTTATGTAGGGCCTTTAAGGGCCATCTGAATTTGAGGCTTGAGGATGCATGGCAGCTCGTGGCCTGAATATATACCCGCAGAGCCGCAATTTTTAGACTATTGGAAATAGTGACCGACTTGCAAATAATCCTCGCTAAGTACATGTATTGCTTCAAATCGTGAATAAAGAGATAAAAAAAATGCATCCCAAACGCCTCTCACTCAGCCCCTTCAACTCCAGTGTAAAAAAAAGAAAAGAAAAGGAAGAAGTGAAGACCAGGTCCCCGTAATGCAGCGCTATCAGTAGCAATCATAAAGCTTGTCCAATCCCCTAATAAACTGATTGGTTCACTCTTTACATATAGATCTGAACCACGTAACTAGATGCGTTCTACCTATTAGTATCCGAGAAACATAAAAAGTGCCAAAGCGGTTTGGGGTCAAAACTTACGCGCAACATAAAGAGTGAATGAATCAACATTAACCTGTTCCAGGTCTGCATTGACCTCACCGGTTTTCTGAAGGATACCTTGTGCGTTCCCTGTCTGAACCGCTGCAATCCCTTCAATTGTCATTTCCTCTCGAGGCATTAGGCCTTCACCAACATGGGATGTTTGGGCCAGCTCTCGGAGCAAAATTGTACCTTTATACTATATCAGTAAAGGTCCTTGACCTTTCGGATAAGAGTAAAACTCTTACTTTTCAATCCCAAAATATCCTTGTTGCTCATTTCACAGAACTTTGATGGCTCTGTATCCTTGATTGAAGAAGTAGCCGGCTTCCCGAAATATGAGGAGCATACAGCGATTGTATTCGATCCTCCTCTTCGACCATTTCTTTTATTTTTATTCCCGTGCCAAACAGCCAGATGATTGTTCCCCCTGTAACGCAACCCTCTTAGTAAACAACCCCCTCGGAAATATATTTAAACCCTTCACTCACCCTGCGCAAGCGTTCTCCCAGAGTTCACTCAGGTCTTCACCACCGTCTCCACCGATAAAAGTGAGGTCATGCTGAAGAAGAATTGACGAAAGGTGCACCAAGGCCATCTGAACAATGCTCCAGCCTTCATCGCCGATACCAGGCAATATTTTTCTATAGGCCAGATTAGCATGTATTGCCAAGGGATCTTCAACAAGGCCTATTACAGAGGATCGTTTTTCTTGACCGCTGCCTTCAAGGCTGCTGGTACAAAATCGGATAGCAACGAGCGCACTTCTTCCTCTAGAATTGTAGCCTCGCCATCTCTGAAATTTTCAAAGATTATCTCCACTAGATTTTCCTGCTCATGTTTGGTGGCCTCATGTCTGGGTGAAGCCCCATAATAAGGCCTGCTTCGGGGTGCTTCAAGCGCCAAAGCGACGCTCAAATGTAAAAGGAAAAGACACAGTCCCGAGATGCACTTCATTGTCGATGTCGTGTAAGTGCAAAAAACTGGATCGAAGGTGAACTGCGAGCGATACCGGTCGAAATATATCCATTTCTCAATGCGCCACGGGGTAAATCTCATATGCCGTCCTTATCCAATCAAGAGGCCATGCTCATTGAATTACATGGTAAGAAAGCTTGTGCCAATGCGCTAAACCGCTTTGTGATTGGCGCATTTACAAAAAAGCTGTGTCGGAACGGCTCAAAATGGGCAACAAGGGATGATACATGGGGGAATTTGGCGTTCTCTAGTCTATTTTCGCATAAACATCAAGCACGTTTACACCCTAATAAAGCTTCGCTCTGGTTGACAGGGCTGATGATACCTTACATTGGTGTTGTTACTCCCACCGAAGGAGTCGCGGAGGACTCTCCGTCGGCCATAAACTGAGACCCCTTGCGCCGCTCACCCAGGAACAGTCGGCTATTCTTAGGAAGAACGGCGCCGTACTGGAGTAGAGAGTAGAGACCATTTATAAAAACAATCAATAGGCTGCATTCCTACATCATGTCAGGTTCAGGTCTTTCCAAAACTAGGTACGCCGCAGTTCAATTCCTGGAACATGTTGCCCTAGTGTATTGGATATGTATTCAGCTGAAGCAAATACCTCAACCATGGGCCTCCCCAATAACTACATGTAGCTACAACCTACACTTACACCTGCGAACGGAAGTATCCAACCGAATGATGATCCACCCATAGAGAAAGTCCCTTCCCACAGAATATCGAATTCGAATTCTCTATCTACATACCTACATACTCTACAACCTCCTCTTCTTTGCCAACTGCAATTTTGTGAGCAGACAAAGTGAAACCCCACAGGAACATTGTGCAACACAACGTGGTATTACAATCGTCCTGCAAGAGCGGGTTCATCAGATTAGCCTGAGTAAGGCTAGAGTTCTGAACCCATGACCTTTGTGGGGGAAATATCTTCTCATCGCAGGTCTGTTTAAAATGCCCTTACTTTGAGATTTTCGCACAGAAGATGATTCGATGAGCAAAGACGAATTTGTCAATTCTCATGCAGATGCACTGTAAGCCGCTTCCAGGAAGAAAGAAAAGAAAGGGGTACTGGAAGTATCGGAAAACCATTCACGCGGCGAGGCCGAGTTCCCGCGTTAATATCCGATAGGAGGTTCTCATATTCTATAGAAGTATAATCACGTGATAATTGTCTTACTACGCAAGTCGAGCATTGATCGTGATTCCATTTATTAACCAACCGCAAGACGCGGAAGAGAATAAAATAGGTCATATACAGATTCATTCCAAATACCCACTTGTCGACTCTAAAAGGAGTGTGAAATACATACCAGCCCATTTAGCACGGAAAATGTTATTTAAAACGAAGAGAAGAGAAAACGGAAAGCCCAAAGGAAGGTACATGTATTCTTTCCCGCATCGTACCAGTAGTCCAGCGCATACATTTAATCGCCCCGTTCGTTTCATTTGTATCGCCTGTTACCCTTCTGTCTACCTACAGCCCTTGTCCATTTAATTCCACCTATTTCTTCGGGGGGTATTTCTTGAACAAATAACTGCATGGAATCAGCTCCTCGGCTCTCAAACCCGGGTGCTGGGACACAAACCTTGAAACGAAGTAATCTGCCGTGCCGAAAGCCGCCGCAAACGCTGCGCCTAGCCCTACGACCTTCATGCTAAGTTGGCCGGCCTGGTGCTTCCTGAACCCAAAGATTCCTAAAGCCGCAGAGACAGCAGCTACGGTAATAGCATTTGCGAGAACAATTGGGTTCTGGAACTGGCTGGTGATGGATGATGAGGATGATGATGACGAGGTGGTCTTCTTTGAAGACTTCTTCTGCGCCGCCTTCTTTTCCTCTTCCGCTGCCGCTTTGGTGGCCTCTTCGTGGGCAATACGGCGAGCTTGAGTCTCTGTCTGTATCTGCCGGGGGTGTTAAAATCACCTGGAACATAGGGAATGAAAGAAAGACAAACTTCTTTCTCGAGGAAATTGGACTCAACAACGGAAACGCCGGAATCAACGTCCACAAGAGAGCTGACGGATGAATCTACGGGGATAACCTCATCGACAGGGTTCGCACGACTGGTCAAAGCCATTAGTATCAATCATTACTATTATCTTCTATTTCTTTTGTTTCTTCCTCTGAAAGGGAAAACTAACGCCTACGGACGAATGGATGTTAGCATGTGATTATCATGGCGCCACACATTGGACTCCCTTACTTCTTCAGCAGATTGCGGGGGACCACTAGCAGCAACATCGGCCCAGGTAGACATGATTAAGATTGAAGATTGAAGATTGAACGTTGGTTGAGGGTTTGTAGGTTGGACGGAGGCAAATGGACTTCTGTTGCTGATCTCTGTGTAGGAAATGGAAGGGAAACGGGAAACGGAAAGAAAGAATAAATAATGAGATGGAAGTTCCTGTTGTTTGGGTGGGGTGGTGGCTTGGCCGAGGTTGACGTCACACTTTTCCCTCCCTTGGGTAGAGAGGTCACATACAAGGTTGCGATCCCATTTTAATGGGTCGTTGTGCGCATGTGCACCGGTACATGAAGTGCCTACATGATACAGTATTCATGGAAGTCAATAAGTTGGCGGCAGCAGGGGGTAAGAGATTACGCATATTTACTCCCATCGCCATGTGTAATATTGGTTCAGTCGCGATACCTGTTTATACATCTCCTTCTGTCATCGGCGGGGGCATGTGTTTCGTGTACAAGAAGCTGTTTGTTTCCTAGCGGTTTAGCCTTTATGAAAAGGTCTACGTACCGCAGGAAACAACAGACGATTTTAAATGCCTTATGTCTATCACGAGAAACCCGGGACATTTGCTATTTCTCCTAATTCGCCAAATTGGGCCTTTTTTTACCGGTTGTTAAAGTAAGGCCTACGATAGAAAAACAACCCATAAATGCGAAAAACCGTTATTTACGACACTCGGTTTCGGAGATTTTCCAATCCTCTGTTTCCCCCGATCGAAATTGGTACATATTGGCGATAAGATGAGATCGATAAGATACAAATGTCTGAGATCCGAGACAACCTCCCGAGTCTCAGCCCCGGTATCGAGGAGAGGGCTGAGTGACTGCTCCACATACTACCCCAGCTATCAGTAAAGTGCATAGCTTATCACATTTCTAAAAATGTGTGCTATATTAAGCTTGTTTCTAATCCGAGCCATTGGATTGCATAGGCTCGTAGAGTGCCTCCCCCTGATGGTCATGGTCATGGTAGGATATCGGCTTGGCTCTAAAGCAGGCATGCGATAACTGTTCTTGTGCCGGTCTGAGAAACTCAGTACATAGGAGGTCTTTAGTAGACCGAAATCTGTCAAGGGCGTTTGTTGATTTGCCAACAAGCGCGCGCGGCAGCAGCACCAAACTCTGAATTCCAGTACGACACACGATCGAGACCCCGGTTCCTCGGTTCGGCTATTGAGCTTCTTCTTTAGAAGTCTGCAGGTAAGACATGTGCGCGTTAAGCTTGATTGGTCTCTTTTGTGGCTCCAGTAATCAAGATAGATTATTTCTAAAGCACCCGTTGTCCCAATTCGTTGGTTCAGTTGTACGATCGACTACTTTCGTCTTGGTCAATTGGCCTGCTGCAGGCAGGCAAAGACGGCGGAGCAGTTACTCTGAGTAGGGCAGTTGTGTACGAATCATTCCCTACAAACAACCGCTCAGCCTCATTCTCAAACACCACCAACGGGAAAAAATAAAATAAAAGATGCTGTGGGAGAAAATTGGGGGGGGGGGGGGGGTGGGGCTGAATTCACAACAACCAGTAATATTGTGGGTCAGCAGCGGGGAAAAGTGAGAGTTAAAAGGGACATGTACCCCCCCGATTAACCTTTGCGGAGGCCTAGGCGCTACAAAACTCTTAATCAACCGCCCACCGATCGTTTATAGCTAGCTAGTCAACGTCGAGGAAGGATATATTTTTTTTCAAACCGTCTTTTATCAACCCAGCGATTCGATCGGGTAACCTAGAGAGATGGATAGCTTTTTGAAGCCCTTGAAGGCCAGTGCAGGGAAGAAGGGGAAGAGCAAGGTGTCAGACAGTACGATGTATGAGAGGGTTGTAGATGATGAGAAGCCGTATCTCGTGGACGGGCCGGATCACAATCCGAGATTGCAGCAGGAGGATATGGTGGGTGGACCTTTCGTCTCAAACAAGCAATCATCGTGATGAAGGAGCTGATAATGTTCGACACGACAGGCGTTGAAACGAAGGATTCGATTCCTGAAGCTTATCTCCAGATTCCTTGCGTTTTTGATAAGCGTAGCAGTGTTTGGGATGATGGGAAACACCGCCTTCAGCTACTACGGTACCTCCGAGCAAAAGAAAGGGACCGATAACCTCAGCGCTTGGCCCGATAATACTAAAACATGGCCCACTCTGATGATGCTTGGTGTCTCTCTCATGTCACTTGTCTCCAACGCTGTCGTCATGCTTTCTTACTGCTGTGGACACAGTTCTGCCAACAAAACCGACAGTGTCTCTTCCTTCTTCTCGGCAGCTGATATGGTTGTGCACGCAATTTGCTGGGGTATTTCTGCTGGCTTGTTCAAGCAACAGAGCGCACTAAATGGTGTTAAGAACGATATATGGAGTTGGACCTGCTCCACTGCAGCGGATGAGAGGCAAGCACTGTATGCTGATGTCGTCAACTTTGAATTTTTGTGTAAGACTAATGTAAGCCCTCCTGCCCCTCCAACATTTGCAATTTGAGATACTGACTGGGAGGCGGCTTTAGGGATTGTCGTGGTACATCGCAGTTGCAAATACCGTTTCGCACATTCTTAGTTTTGTTATTTTCGTTCTTGCAATTAAAAGGCTAAAGAGCAAGCAAAAGGCGAACGCAACGAGGGCCGCAGCAGCAGGTGGAGTCCATATTCCGTTTGGATCTTATAATCATTAAAATCTCAGTTAATATGCGCATGATCAGGACCGGGTGTTCTTTTTCTTTTCTCTTCGTTCTTTAAAAAATCCATTAGAGAATATTCTTTCCTTTATATTTGGCGTGGGTCCAGTCATTTCGGCTTTTATGTTCTTTTTCCTAATTTGTCTACCAGGGTCACGTGGGTTACGAGGTTGGAGGGCTTTTTTTTTTATCATACATGAGGGATGTGGATCCGGTGTACCTTGAACCGGGATATCGTTGGGATATCCCACAGAGAAATAAAAATTTCTTATATTGTCGAAATAACTGCAGCTAATTGTGTTCGTGACTTTCCATGGACACGTCTAGCTACACTACATGTATCTAGGCCGGTCAGGCTGCATGTATACCTACCCTAATGGAGGTCTAAATGGTTACTTTGCTCCTCGAAACAGACATGGATAAAATCTGGGGTGGACCCACTCCCACTTACCAGCTCAGGCTTCCCCATATAGCATCCACGACCTATAACACAACACACCGTACATGCTATATACACTGCATATACCCAGCCATCTCGATCTAGAGTTGAAAACTTGGAGCTAATCCAAAACCTAAAAGAAAGAACGGCGCTTCGACAGTATAGATTATAACGTCTGACAGGTTCAGGACGCCTATTACACCTAGAACGGCCATACTTGTCAACTCGGGGCAGTATTTTGGTGCACAGGATGGATTTGAGGCAGGGTTATCAACACCTAATAAATGTATTCGATTGCGAGTACCAAGACAGCCGACTTTCCTAGCCACTCGAACACCCCCCTCACTCGATCGAACAGTAGATAATAGTCGGTGAAATAACGGTATAGAAGCCGGTTATAACGAAGATCCTTGCTTTTTTTGCGTTAAATGTTCGAGTTTTGGGGGGGGGGGGGGTTCGAGTGGCCGCTAGGGATCGAAGTCATCTACAGCACCAGTAGCTCCTTCAGTGCCTACTAGAAAAAATTAATTTTTATCTTTCCATTTAAGCTTAGATCTCACTTGCGTATTAATTGACTAAAACTTTAGAGTTTTTTGAGGTCGTTACTATCACGAATTCCCAGGGCTTAACTAATGTTTGGAAAACACAATTAATAAACCCACCATACTGTGGTAGGGCTTAGGGCGCGCGCTGGAACTAAGGTCATACTAAGGGTTCCTACTAGCGGTCACAAACCGTCACCCGCACGCACCCACAAAGTCCTACCTTTGACCGCCCTTGGCCGCCTGCCTATTCTAAACTATATAGTCTTCCTCATCGTCACCAGGAACGTCTCCTATTGGTTGCAACGCACTACATGTATTTCTAATATTGATTGCATATCATTCGACAAAGAACTACTCCCGAGATGGAAGGGAACTAGCATTAAAAGGCGTGTAGCTATTGCAATTGATGAATATAAAAGAACAAACACTAGTGACAGAACCACAGCTATATTTTTATATATGAAGGTCGAATTTCCCTGATACCATTTTAATTTTATCATGAACTACATGTACACACTAACGCTACTCATTGAATGACTTAGAGTGCATACTAGAGCTAATATATCACAGATTACATAAAGGAGAGGTGGAGATGAGGTTTAGTGCGTGCCTGTACCTTTGAATGACCCAATAATCCAGAATGACAGCAATACTCTAAGAAATTACTATCGCAGTACCGCCCGCACCTCCATTTCCTCACTGCATTTGGGCGGCCGAAGGCCGCACTCCGCTTGTAGTATAAAAGGATCTATTTTTGTATGTAGTAATAAATCAGGCAAGTTGTACGCGGGGTTTACAATACCATCCGAGTGATATCACGTGATCCGAAAAGTACAAGGTCCTTAAATCCATCTTCCAATCTTATTATAGGGAATAATTATGTCAACATTCGTCTTGTGCCAATTCTTCACTTTGCTGTGGTTTAGAAAGTAGAGTATTTCTCTGTTTCCAACCGACTACATCCTGTATATTGAATCCAGTAACCAAGGGACCTTTTGTAATTGTCATGAACAAGCATAAATCAATGCACTCATAAACACATAACACGTAACACGTAACACGTAACACGTAACACATATAATCATACCTACGGGCCCCACCTCCCCTTCACCACCTCTTCCTCTCCACCTCCAGCCTTCTCACCTCCAGCCTTCCCACCCCCACCCACCAACCCCCCTAACCCCACCAGCCCCGCCCACCTCTCCACCCTCCTCCCCTGCGCCCTCACCATCTTCACAAACACCTCCATATCCCTCTCCGTCTCCAGCATCACCCTCTCCACGTCCGAATCCTTCAACAGCGTCTTCCTCCCCCCGATCTCCTCCTCCAGCGAAACCACACCGAACTCCTCCTTGACTTCCTCTGCCTCCGCAGTCAGATCGACTTCAACCCAACCGTCTGCCGCTTTGTGTTCTGCTTCTGCTTCTTTTTCTTTTTTACCCTGTTGATCTGGCAGACAGTCGAATTGCTCGACGCCGACTACCCTCTCGTCGGCGGTCACGGCGATCCGCATCGTGGCGCCGCGATAGCTGGCCGCTGGGCTGGGCGGCGGGGGCGGGTCGGGTGGTAGTGGAGCTTGGGCTTGGGGTTTGGCTGGGACTTTGGGCTTGCGGCGGTGCGGGCCGTAGCGGGTGAGGGGGCAGAGGAGCTGGGGTAGTGGGGGGCGGGCGGGGCGGGCGCCGGTTGGGGTGCGGGTCGGGGTCGGGGTGGTGTTGGACATTACATATGGCTCTGTACTGACGGGGATGGTGGTAGGACGGATTGTTAATCCCTTAAATCTTATGGCGGAGCTGGTAGTGGTAAGTTGTTAATATTTTTTTTCTGTGGAGTTACTATTTTGTTTTGCTTCCTGTGGGGTTACTTTTTTCTTTCGGCTGTGTGAGAGCTCGGGCTAGAGCTCGGGGGGGAGGATAAGCTACGCATCATCGCTAGCCTCCTTGAAAAGCTTTGTGAGGGTGAGTGGTGGCTTTGTATTTTAGGTCGTGGAAGTATGGTGACTATATCTGGGGGATAGAATTAATAGTTGTTAATTGATTTGTTTATTGTATGGTAGGAATAAATGCTATATGGAAAGGAAGTAGTTACGAGATGTTTTGTGGAGATGGTACTTTGAATTTGTGCTTTAATTTGTGTGGGAATGTTTCAAATGTTTGACAGCTGCACGTCAGGGAGCTGCATGTGGTGGTAGTGACTGGCTAGGTTGTTTTGTGGGGAGGGGGTTTTTTTTTTGTCGCAGAGAGGGTTCAGGCTCTTGAGCTAGCTAGAGGGAGGTACGTTGTAGCACGCCTATTCAAGATGCTCTAACCATACCAGAACATGTAGAAATTCTACGTTAATTACTACATGTATTCCCCGCATAACCTATTCAGGCTCGCGTTAACGTGGTAACCATATGACATTCACTGCGTTATGTCATTTCGTTTCGTTTCGTTTCGCCTATGTCACTAGCTAGACAGCTGGTGTATGTAATATAAGTGATTATTCATACCACGAATGACATGCTATGATGCAGCAACGCTGTGGTGGTGGTGGTGGTAATGATTTTTCGGTAGGATTATTTGTAGCGCCCAGGCTAACCCGAGTTGGCACTAGCTACTCTAGGTTGTGACCGGGGGAGGGTACACTACTTTACCTAACTGCATTGCATGTTCTTACTATTTCTGCACGTTGCTACTACTGCCGATATCTGCATAAGGCTCCGAACTTTGGCATATAAATACTTGTGTATATATATATTGGAGGGACGCTGGAGGCGCCCATGGGCCCGTGGTATCATGACTCTTGCACTGCGCAAGTCGGCATACGTAACGTTAACACGGGCTATGCAGTAGTACATGTAGTACTATACTGTGACGGGACCGCGTGGCTTCATGCTGATTCTTCCCGTCGATCGCTGCTCTAGATCTTAATTGTCTCTTTTGTCGAATTAATCGGCTGGCTATCGGGACAGCTAGCAGCCAGCTACAGACTTGCCGACGTGCGCACCGAGTCGGTGGCTGTAGACTCTACAGTGTCCGATCCCCGTGGCTACTCGTACAAGGGACAACTCGGGACTGGTGACTGTACCTACATATATATAGCCGTATGGTTAGGATAGGTGGCCACACGTTGTCGTCAACTATGTAGCTAGTATAAATTACAAGTCAAACTTCTCTCATCTTCTACAATTCATCGATCCCGAACCTCAAAGCCGCAATGCATCTCGAGATCCCCAGCCCTGCCCGTAGCCTTGCAGTCAGACAGGCGGTACATGTCCACCACCACCAACAAACGGACCCTAAAGTGCAAAACCAAAGTGTTAGATAAGCATCCCGCCCCTGACGCTCCCATTCGCCCTTTTCTCTCTCTCCTCCTTCTCGCTCGCTCCAGGCACGCCCCACCACGTCACGTCGATCGCCGAGTGAGAATCAGTGACCCCAGAAAGCACCCCTTCGCGTTTGTTTGTTCAGGCTGCCGTTCCGGCTTGGCGGATGGCATGACGTATCCCCGGCGCTCCACAGCAGCAGCGGTGGCAGCAGCAACAGCAACACCAACACCACCACCACCACCACCACCACCAGCAACAGCTGAGAAGAAACATAAAGCCTCCCTGCCCCGGCCCAGCCATACCCGGCCCCTCCTCTTCCTCTCAAACAGACAGAGAAACAGACAGAACAAGAAGACAAAACAACACCCACCCCCCACCCCCATCCTCCCCACAAGAAATGTCGAAGACGACGCCTTCGCCAAACTTTGATCTCAATGCCATTATACGGGGAGCCCAGCTCACCATTGTGGGCGGTAAGTACAGTTTCTACAATATCCCCAGTCTAGCTATACATATAGAGAGATTATTAGCTGGCACATGCAAAACAGAAAACTAACATAATCACCCAGCCCTGCGTGCGCTCCAAAACCCCGACCTCTTCAAGCAAGAGCACTACCGGCAGGCCGTGATCGCCGTCGGCATCGGCATCGCAATCCGCCTAGTGGTGCTCGCACCCATCTTGATCTTCAAGCTTATTTTCGGCTTCTTCGGCCTCTTTGTGGACATGAGTGCGGGCTACAGCCTCATCTCGTACATGGAGTTTGCCGAGGAGAGCGTTCTCCAGATCCCGTTCTTCCTGATGCAGCTGATGCGCTACATTGCGCCCACCTTGGACGACATGTGAGTACATACTTCCAAGCAGTCATGATCTACTACGGGGTTCAGGTGCTGACAGCGCCGATATTCACAGGTTCATGCAATCCCTCAAGTGGGTTGACGACACCTACATGACCAAGCACTCCACCGAAGACCGCAGTACCCTCCGCGAACTCTACCACCCCCGCCTCGCCAGCTACCGCCCCATCCCCCCCGCCGACGGCAAAAGACCCATTCTCGTCTTCCTTCAGCGCTGGGGCCGTCGCGCCGGCATCTCCCTCGCCGTTTACCTCCTCTCTTTCACCCCCGGCATCGGCCGCTTCGTCCTCCCCTCCGCCTCCTTCTACACTCTCTCCAGCGCGCTGGGCCCAGCCCCTGCAATCGGCATATTCACCGTCGGCCTCTTCCTCCCGCGCCGCTGGATGGTCATGTTCCTGCAGAGCTACTTCGCCTCCCGCGGGCTCATGCGCGAGCTGCTCGAGCCCTACTTCTCCCGCATCCCCTTCAGCAGCGACCAGAAGCGGCGGTGGTTCCGCGAGCGTGAGGGTATCCTGTTTGGCTTTGGCGTTGGTTTCTACTTCCTCACGCGCATCCCGTGGCTGGGTGTGTTGATCTACGGCATTGCGGAGGCGAGCACGGCATATCTGATCACGAAGGTGGCGGCGCCGCTGCCAGAGCCAAAGGACCTGACGAAGGAGGAGCTAGAGAGGCTGGTGGTGTGGGAGAATAAACATGAGTTTTTGAATCTTGAGTTTGGGAAGTTGGATAAGCTCAACATCAGGGACTTGAATAAGAATAGGAAGTCGCAGACGGCAGCTGCAGCTGGGGTGCAAGGGCCGCCGCCGATGTATACGCCTGCTGAGGTTAGAAAGGAGCTCTGAGTGGAGGTGGAGGTGCTGGAGGAGGGGGGAGGGGAGGCGGTGAGGCGAGATTGGGGAGAGTGGATAAAAATTGAAGATGTATGTGTGTGTGTGTGTGTGTGTGTGTGTGGTGATGTTGAAAAGGCAGCTTGTATTATTTCTTTCTTTTGGAAAACATTTTTGTTTTTGTATGTATTTTTGTTTTTTCCTCCTCTATACCACGACGTATTCTAGCTAGAACCCAGGAAGGAATGGAGTCCATCAGTCAGTCGGTCGGTCGGTCGGTCGGTCAGTACCCTACCACTGCTTGCCCTACATGTATCTACCCTGTGATATGTCGTGTGAGTGAGTGAGTGTCCGCCCGGTTCCCAAGACTCCCATCGTGAAGTCGACTGTTATGTAAACCACCACCATAAACCTAACCCAGGCCAATCACCAATCCACCCACAAATTTTTCCCTTCCCTTTTCCTTTTTCACAGAAGCAAAAACAAAAACGTCATTTTCCCCCAGTTCAACAGCATGCAGCCAGCTAGTGCACATGTCAACCGCACCCACTGCACTCACTGGCAGCTAGAGTAGCCATCCGCGCCGGCTGATCATCAGCACGCATCCACGCACGCACGCACGCACGCCATCCGGATCCATGGAACCGGTCGTGCCTGATTGGACATTTCCGAGTTACAGTACTTCTACATATAACATGCAAACACCCCCCCCCCCCCAGCTACATCAACAGGAAAACCGGCATGCATTCTAGAAGAATCCAGCCATGTATGTACTCTACTATCATATCACTATGTAGCTAGCTAAAGTACACAGTGCATGGCTAAATTACACCCCCTCCCCTTTTCCCATGTTCCCCCGTTCTCCCGGGTGAAATCTATACCCAAGACACATACATACATACATAGGGATAGGGGGAGTGACGTCCCGGATATGTAGATACTCTACATGCATAATGTAAGCGCGGGAGAGTGCTGTCTAGCTATGTAGCTACATGTAGCTAGCTAGCATACCCCTCCTCTCTCTCTCCCCTCAATGACCTGCCCCCCCCTCCTTTATTCTCAAGCTCATAGGTAGCGGTAGCTATAGCTGTTGTGGGACCAAGATATCGCCGCCGGTAGAGTAGAGTAGAGTAGAGTACACTCGGCCGGCCGGCCAGCCCCTCAGCGCAGTTCTATTGAGTTAATACGAAAAAAATCTCCAAAAGGCTCCAAGCTCCAAAAGTAACAGAAATAAGAAAATGGTATCAATTGTAAAAAAGAATCAAGAAAAACTCCACCAGAAACCCACAGACAAAAGAGATAACCAAAGAAAAAAAGAGAAAGAAAGAAAAAGAAGTAGCCATAATTTACAAAAGACGTAATAAACAAGTGATCCCCGCCATCACCATCGCCGCCGCCGTCATCGCCGTCACCGCTCCTTCCAATAACCAACCTGATTAAACTCCCACCCCCGAAGAACCCAAAATCCAAATCAAAACAGAAGCAGAAGAACCCCCCCTCCCCTTCCCAACTCCAACTGCAAACCGCACCTACTCCTCATCCCCCAGCCCCAAACTCGCCATCAACACCTTCACCTCCTCATCCTTCGCCACCCCAATCGGCTTCACCCCACACCCATCCACCACACTCCCATCAGCACCTTTCTCCACCAGCAGCTTCAGCACCGTCGCATTCCCGCCGCACGCCGCGCGATGCAGCACCCGCTGCCCCGCATTATCCTCCGTATTGATATCCGCGCCCTTCTCCAGCAGCATCTTGACCAACCCCTCATTCGCGCCCTCCGACGCACACGCCAGCGGCGTGCGGCCGCGCTCATCCTTCGCCTCTATGTCCGCGCCCCACTCCAGCAGGACGCCGACGGCCTCGCCGGGTCCCGCCAGGCGCGACCCAGCACACACTGCGCGGTGCAGCGGGGTGTTGCCGTCTTCGTCCATGGCGGTGATGTCTGCGCCGGCGTCGACCAGCATCTTCAGGACGGCGACCTGGCGGCTGCGTGCGGCCAGTGGAGGGCTGTCTCCTGCCCTGCGTCCTGCAGCGTGACGTCGGCGCCGGACTCGATGAGCACGCGGACGGTCTCCTCGTGGCCCTTGAGGGCGGCCCAGTGGAGGGCTGTGGTGGAGCCGACGGACTCGACGATGTTGACGTCGATGCCCTTCTCGATGAGGGTGCGGACAACGCGCTCGTGGCCGCTGCCGGCGGCGCGGTGGAGTGCGGTCCCGCGGGAGCCGGATTCAATGTCGATTGAGGTGGAGCCTTTGTCGAGGACGAGGCGGACGAGGGGTTCGTGGCCGTTGAGGGCGGCCCAGAGGAGAGCGCACACGCCGTTCTTGTCCTCGAGGGCGATGTCTTGGATTGTGGGGGCGAGGAGCTTGTGGATGTGACGGGAAGTGCGATATAGTGAGAGGAGGCACTTCAGGGAGAGGTTATGGGCGATCATGAGAATCAGATCGACGGGGAGACTGTGGATTGTAGCCATCGTGATGTATCGATACTGTACGGTGGTTAGTGATTGGTTCGTAGGTAGGTAGGTAAGTAGGAAAGCTAGAGGTTGGAAATGATCGTATGTACTTTGGAGCTTGACTGGTGGTGGGGTATGATAGCTGTAGTTGATATAGGTGTTTTTCAGATGACCATGTGGAAACAGCAGCAGCAAATAAACAAAGCTTCTAGAGGAGCTGTATATAGATGGAAGGGAGCGGGAACGGGGGGGGGCATTTAGTACATGAGGCTCTCTCTCTCTCTCTCTCTAGGGTAGAGCTCTAGAACCTCTGCCTCCCCTGTCAATTCACCTCTCACCATCCGTTGTCATTCTGAGAAGGAGATCCGACGAATGAAGTCCGTCCACGGATTTTTCTCGTCCATTAGGGTAACACCCTGCAGATCGAGATTGCAATTTCCCATTTTTATTTTTCTGCTGGGGGGTGGGAGGAGGAGGAGGGGAGCTTTCTTTTTGACAGCTCATGATCATCGATTCTCACTCCGTATGGGAACCCCACTACACCCACCATGTAAAAACCCTCGATCGCGATTTACCGAGGGTGGGTGCGTCGCCAAGACCCGTGTAGTAACGATTCGATTCGAAATTGTTTGAATTCGCAGGCAGTGATTGGAATCTTTTTTATTTTTTGTTTCTGCTTACTAGAAAGCCGTGAATCGGCATGAGGTTTTTTTTTTATATATATTTTTTTTCTTTCCTTCCTTTTCTTTCCATGTAGGTACCTGGTTTTCTTTTTCACTGAGGGCATTGTTTCCTGAGTTTTTGTCCGCATTTGTTTCTTTTGGGGCCCGTGGAAAGGGTGCGGTGTGTGTGCGTGCGTGCTGGGTTAGCCTTGCCTCGTCTCGTCCATTCCCACCCCCCATGCAGGTTAGGATAGGGTGGTGGTTAGTAAGGGAGCTTTTCTGAACTGAACTGAACTTGGCACACCCCGGAGCAGAGCTCGAACTTTGTCAAGAAGTTTCTCCGGGGTAAACTTCGGCAAGACCCACGGTTTTGCGGAGGAGATGCGAGAAAGGAAAGGGGGAAGGTGAGCTGTAGTGACCTTTACCGCACTAGGCACTGCAGCAGGGTTCGTTCCCACATGGCGATAAATCTCCGGATCCCCCCCCCACTCGCTCCGCTCCGTAATCACTGGGGAATGTTTGTACGAAAGTACCCTTAGACTCGACTCTGTCATGGAAGCAAGGGGATGGATGAGAGGAAGCACAAAAGAAGGGAAGGGCCGTTCTATCAGATGACCGACCTGACCGACGTCAGAGGCAATTTGGGCAAAAGGGTGTTGCGATGGACATGGCCGTATGGAGTGATTGCACCTCAGCTCCTGTGTTCGAGTGAGTGGGTACGTACAGGTACTGTATGTAGGAGAGTTGTGCTCATGAGAGCATCAATGTCCGTTGGTCCTCCTTGGTTATGTAGGCATTGGGTCGATAGCTAGATTTACTCTGGTTTCCAGCGAATTCGAAGAACAGTGATGAGCCAAGGCATGTATGTAGGCACATACAATCAACGTCCATATAAAGATAGAGTACAGATTACCGACCGGCCGTCCCCCATCGTCTCAGATCTGGCATATCCTCTCGCCTAAGTACATACAGGAACCATCGACAGTACTGCCTGTCATGTGATTATTCCCAGCGCAACAGACAGACCGACAGACCGGGGCCATCCATCGTACGTAGAGCGACAAGCTAGGTCTAGGTAGAAGAAGGAGAGCAGAGCAGTATGGAGAGTGAGTAGGGTGATCAGAGCGAGCGCACTTACCCTACCACCTATCCTGTCATGATGTCTCACTTAGAGCAGAACCTCGTCCAATTGGGGTTGCCAGGCCCTCTTTATATACCCTAGAGCTGCCCTCACCTAGCCTAGACGCCGTGCCCTTCCTTGTCGGAATCCAACATAGCTCAAGGAACATGCTCATCCGGTCTCTCCCCTGGTGCACTATCGATTCCCCGAGAGCTCATATCGGGACCCGGGTTCCGGGGGGAGTGATGCGATAGCTCAATTGCAATTTGGCATTTGCAACTAGAGCAATTAGAGCAGATACGAGAGCTCCCCACACTCACAATCCCGTTCTCTCCCCTAGAGCTTCCAAGAGGTTGAGATGGGCGTTGATCAGCTGCCCAGCACGTGCTCCGGAGATCAAGGTGTTGTCACGTCACGCGTTTTCGGGGTGTTGGCGGATGAAGTAAGATGAGAGTGATATGTAATGATTGGATCATGTCGCTGCCTCAGCTTAACTTTATAGCATCTCCAAACTAATTTACACATATGCTCAGCCAGCCACAACCACGTACTTTATGTACCTGTTGTAAGTTGTAACGTGTCTTAGCTAAGCTGCCCCACAGCGTTCGGTGGAAGCAGAATTAAGTCTCGTGAGGGGGGAAAGAGATGACCAAACTTCCATTCCCCCGTTGTGCTACCTTCTGTGTCTACTTTGCATTACCCTATGGATTGACGGGCTGTGTGACATATAAAACGGGGTTGATAAGACAGACAGCCAGCAATTAGTAGCGCACATGCGGAACTGATCTGTGGAGTGCATGCATGCATGCATATCACGATAACAGCCGGTACTATAGAGCAGAGGAACCAATATTTTCTCAATTGCACTCAATTAAGCCCGTAGAAACCCAAGATCAGTAAACCCTTTTTCATGTTGCTCCCTCCATTTCAGTTACTACATGTAATATTAGCCCCAATCATTGACATCTGCTGGCGATAAGACGGCCTGTGCACGATAAGCGATAATCCGATAACACAAACCCACAACCAAACAGCCCGCCTCTTCCTCCCCGACGTCCCCGTTGACGCTGGCTGGCTGTGACATCTCTCGTCTCTGTCTCTCCCGCAGAGTAGAGATTCCCGAATCCACGATATGCATACATGTATATACATACATAACTATATGTATGTCTCTCTCCTGTACCACATTCTACATAGACACATCCGCAGGAGCAATGCGATGCGATGCAATGTCCCCCCAAGATGCCACCTCCGGCGAGGATTCCCACCCCCCATTCTTGCTATCAGAACGAAGAAAAAGAGTCTACTTTACATGCACATACAGCAGAGACAAACAGATGAATCGCATACATACTACATACAATTCGTTTACTAAGATACCCCGCAACCAATTGATCATCACGGTCGATAGCTAGTCGCCCATCCGGTGCCGTTCCTTGCCTTGGCTCCCGGGTCCTTCCCCCCCCCCCCCCCGTGCTTAACTGCGAACAACCTAACGGCGCTCCCAGACGATGGCAAACCTCTCGATAGCTTCACTGCAGCCCGGCATCCTTCGGATGTGACGAACATAACACGGGGCGGGCCCAGTTGAAGCTCTAGGCATGACGGCGGCTCCCCCGCAGGCACCCGGGCTGGCGGAGACGTCTATAAATGTCCCCCAACACCCTCCCGGAATCTCAATTGCATCTCCAACAGACAATATCGACACTCCAGAACCTACCTATACACCACACACACTCACACCCTCCACAATGCCCAAAGAAGCCATCAGAACCGCCCTCAAGGTCGACCTCAAGGCACCTGCCCCCTCCCAGCCCGGCCTTCACAACAGATGGCACCCCGACAGTACCTCCCCCTCCCTCCTCCATCTCCAATCCACCTACTAACACCCCACTAGTCCCCACCGTCGGCAAGATCGTCCCCGGCGAAGCCGTCAAGATCGAGTGCATCGACTGGACAGGCGGTCAGATCAAGAACGACGACAGCGCCGACGACGTCAAGAACGTCGATCTCTCGTGCGTGCACTTCCTCAGCGGGCCCTTCGAGATTGAGGGCGCCGAGCCCGGCGACGTGCTCGTTGTCGAGATCCAGGACGTGCAGCCGTTCCAGGAGCAGCCGTGGGGCTTCACGGCCGTCTTTGACAAGAAGAATGGTGGTGGCTTCTTGGACGAGCACTACCCGCAGGCCGCGAAGGGTACACCCCCCCTCCTCCTCCCTCCCTTTCCCCCCATCTCTACCATAACCAGAAGTGTCTGCTAACAGCGCCTAGCCATCTGGGACTTCGAGGGCATCTACTGCTCCTCCCGCCACATCCCCCACGTGCGCTTCCCCGGCCTGATCCACCCCGGCATCATGGGCTGCGCGCCCTCCCCCGAGATCCTCGCCGAATGGAACCGCCGCGAGGGCGAACTCGTCGCGGCCTCCGGCCACCTCGACCGCGTCGTCGCCAACCTCCCCGAACCGCACGGCGTGCACGCCGGCTCCGCGTCCGGCGACCTCGCAGCCAAGATCGGGCGCGAAGGCGCACGCACCATCCCCGGGCGCCCCGAGCACGGCGGCAACTGCGACATCAAGAACCTGTCCCGCGGCAGCAAGACATACCTTCCGGTGCACGTTCCGGGCGCCAAGTTCTCCGTCGGCGATCTGCACTTCAGCCAGGGCGACGGGGAGATCAGCTTCTGCGGGGCGATTGAGATGGCGGGTGTGATTACGTTCAAGTTTGGGCTAATGAAGGGCGGGATTGCGGAGCTGGACATGAAGAGCCCCATCTTCCTGCCGGGGCCCGTGCAGCCGCAGTTTGGGCCGGGCCGGATGTTGACGTTTGAGGGTTCAGTGTGGATGAGCAGGGGAAGCAGCATTATATGGATGCGACGGTGGCGTATAGACAGACGTGCTTGAGGGTGTTTGAGTATTTGAAGAGGTATGGGTACTCGGGTGAGCAGATCTATCTGCTGCTGTCGTGTGCGCCGGTCGAGGGGCATGTGGCGGGGATTGTCGATGTGAGAGACTGCCTTTTCCTTTTTTTTCCTTCTCTTTCCCCCGGGGGCGTGGGCTAATGGTGATGGTGAAATGCAGATTCCGAACGCGTGCACGACGATGGGCATACCGATGGATATCTTTGACTTTGACATCTCGCCTGGCGCGCCGGCGACGAAGCTGGACATGGGCAGCTGCGCGCTTACGAGTGATCGCAAGTGATTCGGCTCTGACTGATTTGCTCTTTTTCTCGTTCTCCTGCTGTTCTCCTTTTCTTGCTGCGTGCTTTCTTGGTTTGTTGTACATATATTGGGAGGCCCGCTGTGATGTATGTATGTACAGTACTTTCTTCTCTGCACTTTGATCATTGCCAGTCACAGATCTGTGTTCCACCGCCGTAGAGCTGAGTACATGTAATCCCACCCACAACCCTCAACCCACAACCCCGTCCAAGCACCCCACACAGACACAGACACCCCTCCACACACACTTTCTCTCCACACTCCACCGCACCTGAGACGTTCCTTCCAGAACACCCCCCCCCCCCCTTCTCTCTTCTAGCGCTCACGTTCCACCGCCGATCTCCCCCCCCCCCACCCCAAATGCAGCCCTACCCCCGAGACCAGGCTTTTCCCCAGCAAACATCAAATTTCGGCCCAGCGAGTAGAGGTAGGAATAAGCATCCCGCCTGAGCTCCTCCATACAAACCCGAGCACTGTTAATCCAATGCGTTCCTCCACGACAGTGTTGTAGTTAGTGCGCGCAAAATATGTAAGCATCGCCGGAATAAGCCGTCAGTACTACATACACCCCTGAATATCACACAAGACGTCTCTCTTCTAAGCTCAGCACTTGAGCTAAGAGCATGCAGGAAGTGCTTAAACATTTATAGCTTGTTTTGTTTACGCTTCTTTGCGCAATTAACAAAGCTTAAGAACTGGACGGTGAGCTTAAGGGCACTTCTAAACCTAGAGGCTGGTCAGATGTCTACATGTACCCAGATTGACCCTCGAGCTCAATGTGGTCGTAATCGTGATCAGGATGTAAATAGACGTAGAGCTCCAGATCTAGATCTCGGGCTAGAATTCGAGCTCGAGCTACTCCAGAGGGAATTATCCAATTGGGTGCGCAACCTAACAGCCAGACCAGACCTACTACCGGACCAAAAAATAAAAAATAAAAACCATGGACCCAAATATTCTCCACTCCCCCAGTATGTAAAACATCCGTGAAATATAGCAGGCACATATCACAAAAAAAAACTCACCCCAATAATAGCCCATAGAACATCACCACCTCCGTTTTGACCCCATTCACCTGTCACCTGGGGAGCCTGGGGGGGAACTGAGAACTCTAGCTATAGAGTACATGTACTCTAGCATATAAAACGCCATGCACGCCCATCCTCCCAAACCGCTCAACGGGCACCAAATCTCGCAAACCGCTCACCCCCCAGCTGATCTGCCTACCTACCAGCTGCCGCTCCTTAAAACCTCACCAGTCGATATCTTAACGGTTCACTCCAGTTAGGTACATAAGTCAACGAAATCTCCAATATGCAGATCAGCAGCATTATCCTCTCCTTGGTGGCGTGCAGTATTGTGCAAGCCGCTGCGGTCCCGCGGTGTGATGAGGATCTTCAATTTGTATGTCCCTCCCTCCCTTCCCTACTTACTTGCCTATGTAGGCGCCTACTCATGCTCAGCACACCCCACTAACGCCCTTCTTCCAGTACAACCACTGCATCTCTGACACCAGCCAATACCTCAAGTCTCTCAACGTGCGCGTAACACCCTCTCACACCTCCCGCATCACAAAGTGCTACCAGTGCTTGTACTACCCCCCCCCCCCTCTCCCTCTCTCCCCACCCACACAGCTAACAATGCCACAGTCAAGAAGCAGCCGACAACGGGTGCGGCGCACTATTTGGGTCCGATCCCGACAACCTGTCGGACGAGGGGCGGCGGTGCTACGATGTGGGGATGGAGAAGTGCAGGATGCGGCGTGGCCGCGGGGAGAGGTGTAGGTTCTTTGTGAACTGGAGGAGTGCGGGGCGTGTGGGGGAGGCGTAATAGGGGGGTGGGTGTGTGTGTATATATATGCAATATATTCCGAGTTTTGGGAGCTTGGTGGTTGGTGCAGATGTTCGCAGAGTTGGTCTGGATTTGGTGTGATGTGATAGGGAGGGGTTCTAGGGCAGTTTCACATATGTGCTCTGTAAGCTCCTATACCTACGGAACCGTACGTAGTTGATCAACCCATGGTAAGTCTCCAGAGGTAGTTTCGTTGGCTTTTGGTATCTCGTAGTGGGTAGTTGAAGGTCCAGCTGGTTGTCTTGTCGCCTTGATGTTGGAAGAGATATTCGCCAGATAGATATCCAGTACGTACCCTTGAAGAAGATTTGTTTTAATAAGGCCCAATGTCTTCGATCCGAACTCGCTGTCAGTGAACTGGTTAGCTTAGTTGCCCACTCGAATCCTTTCAGACGGTAACTAAAGGCCCTATATATTCATTAAGGTGAAATAGAGCCATAAAAGGCCACCGGCCGAATCATGGCCAATCACTCTCAGCCTTGGTCTTCCTAACGACAGAGAGAGCCGTTCCTGCTGGTATACCTGTGTCCTACTCACATGAGAGATTGTAGTATCCCAAAGATGTCTAAGTATATATGTCTCCTGGTGATACTCCTAGTATATGAAATAACCCGGTATCGTTAGTTATTAAATTGGTTCATGGATTCTGATTCGGAGTTGATCCCCTCGTTTGTTTTCCTTGTTCAGGCAATTCCCGTTGTAATTCACCTAACCCACACTCCGCGAATCTCTCTAGGCTCGAAGTCACAGTTTGTGACCTCTTTTTCAACAAATCTTTCCACCTCTCGAGATATCCATTCGCTATAACAGTTAGTATTTTGATTTGAATCAACTCGGTTAACTAATGTGAAAACCGGGCGCGAACGAAGGGATACTGAGCACGAGCCAAAGCTCTGGTAGATCTTCCCCCTCATAATTGGTAGTTAAAGATTTTCAACAGTATTCTGAATACCCCTCCTAGCCTGATCAAATGCACTAGATCTATCCCCTCTTGCAATTGTTCAAGAAACATTATCGTTATGCTACCAAAGCGCGGCTGTTACTAAAGCTAATGGTAAGGCTCAAAACTCAAAGTACCCGCCTAACGTTAACCAGACCTTAAGGCCACTATGAGTGCCAAGACTATGAATCTATATACCTATTTACTGAGAGAGTAAGTTTCCGCGATTCTCGCCGCAAGCACATGTATAGTACTGCAAGCCTCGCCTTTCCCCATGAATCTCCAATAAGGCCTCCAGCATGATCGTATGAGGCCGTAACAACTAAACGTGCTTTCATCCGATAGGTCCCAAGCTACACAGCGGAGATGTATGTATGGTTACTCGATTCAGCCCCGCGTCTACGAAGACTTAAGTAGATACAACATCGATAATAGGCGGATTTTACCCGCTCAAAACTCCAGCGGAATCGCTAGTGTGTTCCTCAACACTACATTCATCAAGGTACCAGCCATGGCCGACGGTTTAAGCACTGCAGCGAGTGTCATTGCAGTCATTCAGATGGCAACATCATTAGCTGGCGTGGGATATAAATACCTCAGCGGCGCAAAGCGAGCACCAGAGTGTTTGAGAAGGCTCACAGCCGAGCTCAAAACGTTGATCGAAATACTTACCGAGATACACATCCGCGCACAAGACCCTGAATCAAAACTACAGGGGCTCGATAGCTCACTTCAACAATGTTTCGCAGACATGATAAAGCTTCAAGACAAACTGAGACCCAGAAACAATTCGGGCCTTTGGGGAAGTATAAGAACCAGGCTTCAGTGGCCTTTTGAGGAAAGCGATATAATGGATCACCTCGTACGGATGGAAAGATTCAAAAGCACTTTTACACTTGCCATGGGTCTTAATCAACAGTAAGTATCTCATGGTATTGATGCACTATTGGTTGTAGGCCTTGTGCCAGTAGCCAGAATTTAATCTGATTAAACTAGATCTCTTGTAAAGACTACGGCTTCCCATGTCGGTGCAATCAATACACACGTCCAGGGAATTGACGGACGCATGCAGACAGTTGACTTGAATGTTCAAGGGGTTGGAATGAGCGTTACGAAAATCAGAGAAGATATTATGGACTTGAGGACAGTCCAGAATTCGAATTTAAGAGAGGCAGATATTATTCAGAATAGTGAGCTATTCCTGCTGTACTTTATATATCGGTAGTAGTTCATTGTTTATTAACACTTCAATTAGAAAAACAACGCACTGAAATCCTTGATTGGCTTTATTCAGAGGATTTCCGCACGGTGCATGAAAACATAAGTAGTAGGAGGAAAGCACAGACAGGAGACTGGATTTTGAAGGAAAAAAAATTTCGCAACTGGATTGAAATGATTGATCCACACAGAATTCTTTGGGGTTATGGGATTCGTACGTACTCGTGGGTGAAAAACCTTCCAATGGTGTTTACTGACTGTTGTAAATCCTTCAGCCGGCGCAGGAAAAACCTTTCTATCGTAAACACCCCGAATTTCATCTTTATAGGCTAATCTCGCCCTATCAATCTTATTCATATATATATACTGATTCTTGGGCCGGGTTAATTACAGTTCTCGAGTTATCGACTACCTTGAATGTGAGGCACCAGCCGCAGGCTATGGAGTAGCACATATATATTTCAACTTCAAAGACCAGAGCCGGCAGACGCCTATAAAGGTCCTTGCCAGCTTAGTGAAACAACTCGCCTGTAAAATACCACATCTTCCTCGACCAATCGTAGAGGTGTATAATAAATTACACCATGAAAAACGACAACCGGGCTTTGAAGATTTATATGACTATTTTCTTGCAATCGTGGGCTCGGGTTCATTCAACCGAATTATTATAGTCTGCGACGCGCTGGACGAATGCGACCCCAGTTCCCAGCGTTTACAGTTGTTACCATTATTTCATAGGATGGGAAACGACGGAGCTAGCTTATTCTTGACTAGTCGTGAATATCCTGAGGATATTCAGAGCTCCCTTAACGACAAATCAACGAAACTCAAGCTTTTTGCAAACGATGAAGATATCCGCAATTATATTGAACAAAAGATAAATGACAACCCTCGAGCTAAGCGCCTTGTAAGGGAGGGAGGAATCAAGGACATGATTATTTCCGAGTTGACAAAATGTGCCGATGGAATGTGAGCATTTGCAGTTCTATACTCCCTCCTTCCTCCCGGGACTAATACTAAAGAAATCCAGGTTAATTTCTACTTGTTCATTTCCATATCGAGTACTTATGTCAACAGCCTACAACCGCCAAGATCCTTCAGGAGCTCAAGAAATTTAACCTTTCCTCTTATTCTACCGAAGGAAAGCCACTCGATCAAACTTATGACAGAGCCATGGAACGCCTCCGATCTCAACCCAAAAATTGCGTAGACTTAGCCATAAGAGCCCTTTTTTGGGTTGTCGGAGCTTATCGAGCACTTAAGATCCAAGAATTTCAAATAGCAGTATCTTTAGAAGCGCATTCAAAACAAACAACGATAGATGAGCAGGACCTACCCGACGTCAAAACCTTACTAGATGTTTGCACCAACTTTCTAATCATTAACGATAACGATGAGGTCAGGCTTGTTCATTATACAGTTCAGGAATACCTTCTGGAAAATTCTATAGTTCCTGCACGCCAGGATTTGGCTTTAGAACTCACCATACTGTGCACAGTGTATCTTTCTTTGGATGTGTTCAGAAATGAACCTGACTCTTTGACCATCTACGGGTCCCCAGAAGAACAACTCATGCATTATATGAGAAAGTATTTTTATCGTCATCTCACAGCCTGTAAAGACGACAAGAGATTATTAATGGAGCCGCTGCTCAGACTCTTAGGCTCAGGCTGTGAAGGGGCCGCTAATCTTATTTCTTATCGAACCCCCTCACTATTTATCGCAGTCAAGTTAGGGAAAGCAGAAGTAGTTCGAGGTTTACTAAAAACGCCCAAATACGCGTCCCTAATAAATGGAAGACATAAGGGAACCCCTCTTCTCACATATGCAATTGACTACAATGATATGTCAATTATCCAGCTTCTACTCGAAAATGGGGCCGATACCTCAGCTAGGAGTCAATTGGAAGGTACCGCACTACATAGTGCTGTCTCTAGAGGATCCGTGGAAATTGTCCAGCTTCTACTCGATAACGGGGCCGATATCTCAGCTAGTGATGAAGAAGGAAATACCACACTACATCTTGCTGTCCTTAACGAATCCGTGGAAGTTTCCCAGCTTCTACTCGATAACGGGGCCGATATCTCAGCTATTAATGGATGGGGAAGTACCGCACTACATCTTGCTGTCCTTAATCAATCCATGGAAGTTTCCCTACTTCTACTCAATAACGGGGCCAATATCTCAGCTGGCAACGAAGAAGGAGATACCGCACTACATCTTGCTGTCCTTAACGGATCCGCGGAAATTACCCAGCTCCTACTCGATAACGGGGCCGATATCTCAGTTGTTAATAAACGGGGAGATACCGTACTACACCTCGCAGTCGATATGGAAGACGTAGAGAAGATTCGACTTTTGCTCGAGAACGGGGCGGATGTCTCAACCCGGAATAAAGCAGGAAGTAGTTCCCTGGATTTAGCCACGCTTCCCATACAAAAAGATTCATAGGCGGGTTCACCTGCCATGATATATTACGCTATGGATTTAAAGCGTTAGAAATCATCCAGCTTCTGCTCGAAAAAGTTACTGGTATCACAGCTCAGAACGATGAAAAGACCACAATACACCTCGCAATCCTTGAAAAGATTGGGGAAATCGCTCAAACCCCCTGTAGTCATGAGGGTGTGCCTGGGATTTCTCGGGAAACCCGTGAGCCCTTTGGTTTCAATACTTATGGTCTCGAGGATGTCTTGGTATCGAGAAAAAAGTCTCGAGACGGTGTGAACTAGCATAAACGAGGCTTTGCTGGTACAATTAAGGGAATAAGTGGATCATTTTAGTAAGAACATTCCAACTTCCAACCCTTTTTCTGTTGATATTTAGAGTTTTTATAACTGACTTTCCTGTCGTGCTTGCCATTCAAGTCTCTATGGCGGCGTATATTCGATATTAGACTAGATTAATATGGTTGCAACTTTCTCGAGCAGTCTCTTACCCCCATCACTAATTTTTATAAGCACGAGAGTGGATCACCCGGCTCTAGACACGGCACTTGGCATGGTACTACTACATGATCCAAAGGAAATCTATATTTCTTAATTTCTTTAATTTCATTTTCTAAATCTCTTATACTTCGTCAATTTCTTAATTCACTACATAAGTATATACTACAGCATTTCCTTCTCTGTTCCCAATTGCAATCATATTTCTCATGGCCACAATATATATTTCTAGGCTCATTAAATGTATGACCTAGCTACTGACGACCTATGAACAGAGTAGTAAAGTTGCCTTGAATAGCGAGACGTGTCCCTGATCTCTTAGTGAATGGGACATTACCCTCATAAAACTATCTCTTCAGCCCAGGAGGCATATTAAGACCCATTAATTCAGCAACAGGCGCCTAGGCCTAGCCAGAATTTACAGGACTTGGTTGTGCTTTTTTTTTTTTTTTTTTTTTTTTACCATTCGAGGCTTCTCTTTATCTTTTTTCCCCACCCCTATGGCTTCAATCTCCAGTCATGGGAGTACTTGTATAGAGCTTTTATAACCTCTTTCTTTAGCGGGGTACTTCTTGCGAGGTCAATGATAGAAATGTCGAGTTTCAAAATAGGCCCTAGCAGGATACACGTTACCGGTGCCCCACGAACACTAAACCAACAAAACGGGCCATGTTGGCCTGCCTTTATGTTTACATTATTGTTCACTGCCGGCTACGAATATCGGCCATTCGCAAACAATACAATGTAGTTGCAATTAATTACATACTGCCATAACTCGAAAAATTGGCTAGATCAAAATTTCTTGTATGGGAAATTTCTAAAGCAGATCGATGCCATTCAACCAATCACTCAAGTGGTAATCCCTGGACGGAGATGGCCAATTTTTCGAGTTTTGGCGGTACTCACCATAAGTGGTCAATCATTTCTCAAGCCCGTGCGCGTGCGTGGTTGTTACGCGCTAACTCCCCCCTCCACGCACACCGCCAACCAACGCGTCTCCCAACGTCGCGTCTGCAAAAACCACTCTACACGCTCCCGCGACCTAACAAACCACCAATGTCCGATCCGACCACAAAACGGTATTCCCCCCCCCCCCCCCCAGTCCCTTCGATCTTCCTCCCCAGACAAGACCTGCAACAGTGCTAACCCTCCCCTCCCCCTCCACAGCCGTCTCCCCAAAGCAACCTACTCCCGCAAGGCGCCCACCTCCTACCCCACCAAGCGCCGCCGCCTCACCTCCACCAGCCCACCACCATCCTCCTCCCTCCCACCAACCTCAGATGCAGAAGAAGATGCCCCCATACAACCCTCACTGCCATCGTCCCCCTCGCCGCTGCCCTCATCTCCTCCACCCAGGAGGTCGGCATTCACCTTCCTAACCCGCACCACCCAGACCCCACGGGCCCCCGCAAAACACAAGAAGCGCCCGCAAGCCCCACCGCAGCCAAAGCTCACTCAGTCCATCATCGACCTCGGGCAGGCGCTGCGCATCACCTGCCGCACATGCAGGATGTCCTACCACCCCAGCACGCCCGACGACGAAGCATTGCACAAGCGCTTCCACGCCAAGTCTGTCGGCGGCGTCGACTTCCCTTATACTAACAAGAGCGGGAAGACCGTCTGGCGCGGTGACGGCGAGGAGGACGTAAAGGTTCTGCTTGTGGACCGAAAGAGCGCGCCGGCTGAGAAGAGGAAGGTCAGGGAGGTGGTGGAGGTGGTGGACGCCGAGCTGGGGGCCGCTGAGATTGCGGACACGGTGCTGTGGCAGGAGGATGGTGATGGCGGGGATAGGTTTCGGGTGTATGTCTATGTGCATGGGAAGAAGTGCGTGGGTTTGCTTTTGGTCGAGAGGATCAAGAGGGCTTATTATGTCCTTGATGAGCCTACCGCCGTCGCCGCCACTGCTACGAAGCAATTAGAGCAGAAGGAGCTGGAGGGGAAAGAAGGCGAGGGCAAGGCTAAGGGCAACGATAGTAAGCCCCCCTCGGCGATTTCTACTTCTGCCTCTTCGTCGGTCTCGATCTCGTCCACGCCGCAGAAGGCACTCATGGGCGTGGCCCGCATCTGGACGTGCTCCTCTAGCAGGCGCAAGGGCATTGCGCGAAGGCTGCTTGAGTGTGCTCGGAGCACATTTATATACGGCATGAGTGTCGAGAAGGGCCTGGTAGCCTTCAGCCAGCCGACTGAGAGTGGTGGTGCCTTGGCCAGAGGGTGGTTTGAGGGCGAGGAGGGATGGAAGGTTTATGTTGAGGAACCGTGATTCCTTTTTGGAGAAAACCTTTTTTTTGGCCCGTTCCTTTTGGAAAGTATTGGCATTCTTTATTCTCTTGAAAGGTTTTTTTTGGGGCACTCCCTTTTTCTTTTTCTTTTTCTTTGCATATATTTTATACAGCCTCTCTAAATTATATATACAAGGGCTGTTTCGGTATTTTTTCTTTATTTTAAATGGAGTGTCTTTCACGGGTTGATATGGGTTTGGGGAGGGACCCTATTTTGTGATTGTACTTATATAGAGTCACATTAGAAAGCATTGTCTGTTGGTGTTTAGGCAGCGTTTTTTTAATTTTTTTTAATGACACATATTCATACAGCAGAGTTTGTCGTTCTCTTATTTTCATATGGGGGAACAACGTATCTGTAAATATCAGCTCCATATATCTCTATAGATACCATAGACGAACGACATCTATCCCCTCCGTCGTGTCGTGTCGTGGCATTACCTGCACGACCCATCACTCGCCTCCCGCACCGCACACCCAAAACAACAAAAACACCATTAACCCACCACGGCATTCTCTCCGCCCCCGCAAACCGTCCTAGAAGTACACACCAACACGAATAGAGTACCAGGTAGAACTCGAGGCATGACCCCGCGATATGTATGTGCGGCAACATACCCCCCCTTGGGAGGATCATAGATAAGGACAGGACTTCCGAGATTGCGCGTGCGCGTGCGCGTGCGTTTGGCCTTCCCTCCTTGTGCTCGTGCTCCGCATACATAACTGGGAGGGATGAACCATCACCGAGCCAGAGTCACATACGCAGAGTAGATGCTCTTTGTCTCTTTGGCCTATACGATACTACAGCATTCCTGGTTGTGGCAAGGGGAGGAGGCCGGGGCTCTACGCTGTCTGTCAAACAAACCACGACGGGTGATCGGTTGACATTGACAGTTACGTTCCACGGGGGGTCCCTCCCTTTAAGAAGGGGAAGAAACAAGGGCGGTCTTTTCAAAGGGAATCACGTTTCCCATTGAGCAGCCAGGAAATGAGAGCCGAAGAAGCACATCACAATCCAACGAACGCGTCAAACCAAACATCACGCCCAAGCCCCAAGCAAGGAAGAGAGATAGAGAGAAGAGAAGGGAAGGGAGAGAAAGAGAAAGAGAAGGGAAGAGAAGGGAAGGGAGCCAACGTCAATCAATCAATCAAGCTGCTATACAAAGCCTTACCCTACTACCACTCCACACTCGAGCACTCAATGCCGCGGCGAGGAGAAGGCTCTTTTTTTTTTGTGCAAGCTGCACTGGATCAATTAAACCTGCACACGCACAACGTAAGGCCAGAAGAAAAAAACCAGAAACCAGAAATCAGAGCCCATGCAGTCTAGAAGCAAGAAAAAACGCAAGGGGGGGTGGTTGTGTGTGGGCACTGGGCACTGTGGCAGGCGTGATGTCGATGTCGATATCGATATGTGTCCCTCCGCTGCACCCCGGGTAGGAAGGAAAAAAAAGTTAACGGAGGAAGAGAAAGAAAGAAAAAAGTAGGAGGCTGGAAGAGAAGCATAGGCATCGACCGGAAAGCACAAGAAAGGGGCGTTGGTTGTGGTCGCTGACCCACCAGCACAGCAGGGTCAGTCAGTCACTCAATCACTCAATCACTCACTCACACTCACTCACTACTAGCAGCAGTAGCAGACACGCGAGACGACGCGTCTCGTTCTCGTGGGGAAGGGAAGAGAAGTGAAGGGATTTTTTTTTTCCCTGTGTTGTCTTGTCGTGTCGTGTCTCCTGCATTTTGCAGCAGCAGCAAGCAAGCAAGCAAGCAGCAAGCAACAAAGAAAAGAAAGAAAAAGGGAAAGGCAACACCTAAGCGGTGAGCCTCCGAGTCGGTACATGCGCAGACCAGGAAATCATTTCCTGCCAGCTACCAGGAAGAGAAGGTAAAGCGAGGTGAGTGATTGAGTGAGTGAGAGGTGCGAGGGGGCAGAGGCAGAGGGAGAGAGCGAGGGGGGGAGGGTTATCGCGGAAGGCAAAGAATTTCTGTGAGACTCTGAGACAAGTTACAACTTGATTTCAAACCCAGCCCAAACTCCAAATTAGGGTTAGGGGTGTGGTGGGTGGAATGTGGAGCGTGGAGCGTGGAGCGTGGAGCGTGGAGCGTGGAGCGTGGAATAAGGTGAGTGTGAGCGAAAGCTCGGCTCACCTTCTCGTTCGCTCGCTTCACAAGTCACGGATGTCTTGATGCGAGCGATAGAGCAAGCGTAATCTGTCATCTTCCGGAAGATTTGCGGTAGCGTCGGAAAATCACCAACCGACCCCAAGTGGGTCCGTGGTGTTCTGCATAGAATATCACTCGATTTGGAGTTTTCGGGAGGTCTGGCTTGGCTTTAGGGGGCCGCATTCGCAAAAACTACCGGAAGAATAGTATAGTGGAATTGGACTATTCTCTATTGAATTGTCGGATTCTATAGTACTACATGTAGTTCTCACTCTTGGAGGCAGAACCTAGCGTCGAAAACGCTCAAGGTTTATAGAATGAAAGCTCCACAAGAACCCAGCACAGCCGGACGCAATACTATGATCAATGCACAAGTAACAGCGATTCTACATCAGCGCACGCATTTACCCACTACTATTATTCTCTTAGAGATACCGAATACAATACTCAGATCCCAATGCTAGATGGATGAGCTGTCCATATCTATACCATGGCCCAAAACATATCGCACATCACATCCATCCGTCATAGCGTATACAAAACCTCTTCCCCGCAGCCTCCCTTGATCATGTACCTGCATAGGATCTCTCTGACCTAGCCGGGGGGGGGGGGGGGGAGGGGGGTGGACGCGCGATGGAACGAAAGGAAGGGTTATGTGATCACATGTTCCGGGTCAGAGACAGCTTACTCAGGGTCGCCAGTCTCAGTCAAGAAAGTCAAGTCAGCGCGCAGCGTGTGTGACGTGAAGCGTCCAATATCAAGAGTAATCAATTATCAGGATTGGGATTAGGGTGATCTACTCAATATAAATTTTTTTACAACTGCATGGATAAGGTCTCTAAATCTTAAGTATTTTCGCCAAATTAAAGATTCATTTCAAGATTCAATAATCCAACTCAGATATCATTTCCACCTATCTATCCCGTTGCGTCCAACAATGCCTTATGTCCGAATCGACGGTTCAACTCTTGATGCGTCCTACGATGATTGAGTTTGTGTTAAGATTAGGAATCTTCTGGAAGTCTCGGTTATCGATCGTAAACCAAACCAAACGGCCGGGAGATATTCCAGGTACCAGAGCCACGTATCAAAATTGTACTCGACAAATAAAACAAAGCACAAAACCAAACACTGGAGCGAAGCACTGAATTTTTTATGTTGGAAAAGCCATTGCGAGTGTTGTAAAAAAAAACCCAGTAATTTCAACCGCCCGGCATTTCCTAATATACAAGTTCGCGTGACCCCGTTGACAGAAAAAAAAGGAAAAAAAAACTGAAGAGAAAAAAACCAATGAACACACCGAAGTGCCCCGAAAACGACCATAAGCCAAGGACCCCACGAAAAAAGAAAAAGGCTTAATATAATTAGACACAGAACAAACTCAAAAAGACTCCTAAAAAAGATCTATCATTCATCAAACATCCCGATGCGAAAACAACAGAATATTTGCTTAAAGAACGACCCTATCTAGAATTCTTAAAACAAAACCGTTGTTTCCCCCTCGTTTTTTGCTCGTTGATTCAATGACTCGTTTATTTGGTGGAAGAAGAGTACTTGGTGACAGCCTTGGTACCCTCAGAGACGGCGTGCTTGGCAAGCTCACCGGGGAGGATAAGGCGGACAGAGGTCTGGATCTCGCGGGAAGAGATGGTGGACTTCTTGTTGTAGGCGGCAAGCTTGGAGGCCTCAGTTGCGACGCGCTCGAAGATGTCTGAAAGAAAAAAAAGGGGAAATTAGAATCCTGCAACTATTTTGAAAGGAAAAAAAAAAATACGGAGTATATTTTGAATGACATACCGTTGACGAAGGAGTTCAAGATTGACATAGCACGGTTGGAGATACCGGTGTCAGGGTGAACCTGCTTCAAAACTATTTAAAAAAAAAAAAAGTTAGAACTGTATGACTCAATCGAAAAAATTAGAATTTGATTCCACAAACCCTTGTAGATGTAAGAAGAGTAGGTCTCCTTTCTGGTCTTGGAGCGCTTCTTCTTCTCACCACCAGCGGCGGCAGTCTTCTTTCCGGCTTCCTAAAGAGGGGTAAAAAAATCGCATTAGTAAATGATTTTAAAATTCCATCTCGGTGTTGGATTCAAATTGAATCCAAATGAAGGTTCAAAGCGGAAAAAAAAAAGTTGGAATCCAAAGGTTGGAATCCGAAAAATAGGTCGGAATCCAAAAGTGAGGCGGGAAAAGGACAACAAACCTTCTTCTCAGGGGCCTTTCCAGCGGGGGCCTTTCCGGCGGTGGTGGGCTTCTTCTCAGCAGCTTTTGGAGGCATTTTAACGGATTTAGGTTTTTGGTGTTAGGTTTTTGAAAAAGGTCGACGTGAGTCTGGGTTTTGGATTATCGACGAAGGGTAGCGATTTGACGTGAGTTGTGGGTGTGGTGGAGGATGGGAAAGAACAGAGCAAGAAGAAAGACGCGTGGGGAGTGATGGGGTTTATATAGCGACACCAGCTCGAACCACATCAACAGACAGGGGGACCATAGAAACGCGCGTGGCTGGGATTTTTAGGAACGTTGTACAGTGTCTTGTTGAGTCGCTGCAAGTCCCGGGCTGCGACGATTTGTTGCATTAGGTTCGTCACTTTTCCCCCTTCATTCCGTGCAAAGCGTCGAGCTAGCAAGGGTTTGGCACTACCATTTAAGCCAATGAAAGCCCTCAGCCTCGCATCTGTGACTTTACCGAATGATTTTCTAGGCTTTCTATTGCCCGTGACTGAATGCGTACTAGGCTACCGTCACGAATCACGAATAGCAGCAGGAAATGGCTGGCTCCATGTCCCCCGTGTTACACACATTTCTCACCTAACCCTCTGTCCTCTGACACGCTAGTCTCTGTTTTGGCCTTCCTCCACCCTTTCCACCCATAGAAATTATTTGTGTGTTCGTAGCGCTGCTTGCCTTCCTGCTTTCGTGTGATGCAACCCAACCCCGATCACACCGTATAAAGACCAGCCCATCTCCCATCGCCTCTGAGCTTTCTCTTCTTCTCTTGTTCATCCATCGCTCTCCTCAACACCACAAACCGCTCCTCACGCCCACCTAACGCGTCCTTTCGCCCTCACGAAGTATACTTCGCTAACGTCAACTTTTTTCAAAAACCCAACCCAAATCTAAATTTACAATGTCTTCCGGAGGAAAAGGAGGAAAGTCCGCCAGCGGAAAGCCCAGTCAGAGGTAAGCGTTTTCCGACCCAAATCCGTTGACATCTCATCACAACAAAATCTCGCGTCTTTTTTGGTCACGATTTTGAAATGGGGTTTCATCTTTTTTGTACTTTTTTTTTTTTGATTTGGATTTTTTGATTTAAATTTTTTTGATTTGGTTTCTGACTTTGGTTTTCTTTAGCCGTTCTTCCAAGGCCGGTCTCGCTTTCCCCGTCGGTCGTGTTCACCGTCTTTTGAGGAAGGGAAACTACGCTCAGCGGTTTGTATTCCCACCCCTTTTTTGAAATCAAATTTTGGATTCTGATTATTTTTTATTTAGTGTTGGTGCCGGTGCTCCCGTCTACCTCGCTGCCGTCCTCGAGTACCTCGCTGCTGAAATCCTCGAGTTGGCCGGAAACGCCGCCCGTGACAACAAGAAGACCCGTATCATCCCCCGTCATCTCCAGCTCGCTATCCGTAAGTCAAACCCAACCCGCGATTCAAAATGGATTCAAATTTCAGATCCATTCGAATCAAATCAAATTGAAACAATTCTAACATTCCTAATAGGTAACGATGAGGAATTGAACAAGCTTCTCGGACACGTCACCATTGCCCAGGGTGGTGTCTTGCCCAACATCCACCAGAACCTTCTCCCCAAGAAGTCTGGCAAGTCCGGAAAGGGTGCTTCCCAGGAGTTGTAATTTCACTTTTCTTTCTCAATACAAAACGGGGGGCTTGATTTTCGACCTCATCCATTAAATGTACGCTTATGTTCTGGCGAGCGTTTTTATGGATATGTCCAAGCTCAAGTGGTAGTTGTGGGCAACAAATAAAGTTCGGGGTGTCGGTGTCTTCTAACTGTTTTTTTTACTTGTTTTTTTTCCTTTCGGGTGTTGAAATTAATTCAGACCTGAAAGATCATTCTTGGGTATTCGGGATTTATTTTTCTCTCGGCCGGGGTTACCTTTTTTTTCCTTTATCATCCTGTATTGTACTATAGCGCTATGAAATGCCGGGGATTCAATGAACGTGTTTGTTTTAGGGATTCTATGACTTTGTATTTCCTGTAATTGTTTCACGTAAATGAATCTCTGTTCCTTTTCTCACCCGCATCATCATCCATCATTCGCTCATAGGTTTTTATATCATTATTGATTGCAGGTTTTTTTTTGGTATTGGGGATTAGAGAGACTTTTTTAGTTAAGAACAATCTTTCACCTCTAATTTCAACATCGTTAACATTTTAAAAAGTACAAAATAAACATTGTACTCAACTTGAACCATAGTAATAGTAGTAGTAATAGTAAGTAAACACTTGTGAAACGCCAGATGCAGCAGTAGTAAATAATTGGAGTGAGATCCCTTGGCGAATCACAACGCGATCACTCGGCTCTAATCGAAATCCGCCAACCGAGTGATAATCGCAGGAACGTCGCCGCTGTCGTCGTTGTCGTCGTAGTCGTCGTCCAACACAAATAATCCCCAGGCACCGTGACAAGCAGCGGCACGGCACGTGTGTAAATAAGGTTTATCCCATGCGTGGAGCTGGGTAGCGATGAGTGAGTGAGCGAGTGGTTAATGATAAATACGGTAGTTTTTTTATGAGGGTGGTAATGATAGGTTGGTAAATTGGTTGGTTGGGACGGTGGGTGGGACGGGTGGATGGATATCTGGGTAGATGTAGCACTAGCCGTACTTTTCTCTCGAGCTCTTGCATATTTATAATGAGAATGTGTCGCCTACAAATCGAGTGTTTGCATCGGGTCTCTACTCTTACATGCAGTTAATGAAGGAGGTAGGCGAGTGTTTTGCCTTGTAGAAATAAGATGTTAATGTTTGTCTTTTATCTCATTAACGTCTGGAGTCAAGCTCTGGCTTCTCGCTGTAGCTCTTACCTCTTGATACGAGACTGTATCGCCTACAAATAAGGTGCCCACATCAGACCTTTCCACTCACAGTTAACGAGAAAGTAGTTCGCTGTCAAGTAGGGGAGCATTTTTATCTTGTCTTCTAGAAACGAGGTATTCATGCTCGTAAATATACATTAGCTCATCAACGTCTGCGCTTTTCTTCAAGCTTCGCTCTAGCTCTCCAATAACCTTCCCTAGCCAGTGCGCTTGACGAGTATAGCGCGGCGCAGTACCATTCTGTAGACTTTGCCTACTCTGTAGGTGTCGGTGTATTTGAACAGCTAATCACCAGGATCCAAGGAGGCACATGTAGATACAGATAAGTAGACCTATGGCCTGCGCCCGGATTTTATTAAGCTAATAATACCTAAGATAAGGTCTGAGGTTGGTATAAGGTTCATCTAGCTACAGGTTTAAGGTTTAGCCAACCCCCACTAGCAGGTGTTATAATAGCTTAGCGTGTGGTAAATATAAAGGTTCCAAACCCTAATTACTCAGGACCGCGGACGGCTATATTAGTAGCTAGCTGCTAACACAGCCCGGGTGCCTGGTATAAAGCTACATGTAATCTCTCTACAAGAGTTGGTCTTCAGCACCGGCACCCCAGATCCCCCCCTCTCCCCCAAGCCCCACACACCCACCAAGATCCGGCCCCAATTCAAGCGTACAATTACCTATTTAGAGAAAGTTTCGCTGTAATCTAAGTACTTCTTAGAATACAAGTCACCTATATATATAACTACTACATATCGACCTAACTACATGCGATACCCAGTACCCAGTACTGCACAAGAAATCAAAAAGAAGAGTAAAAGGAGGTTCGGGGATAAGGCCATAGAGAACTAGAAAGAGGTATAAAGACATAAGACATAAAGATATGAGAGAAAAACACCACTTAACACCGCAAAACAAAAACGGGGGTAAAAGAGCAATAAATACTTAGACGCTGTCAATGTTCACCCAACATCAACGTAACGCACACAGAAAGGAGGAAAAAAAAGTTCGCAAAAAGAGAGGCAGAAGAAGAAAAAAAAGATATATGAAGCCACGAGAATTAGCATTCAAACACAAGAAGAAGAAAAAAGACTAAAACTAAAAACTAACTAGTCCTCATCCGAAAACTCAAACTCCGGATTCACCGGTCTCTTCACTGCCGACCCCCTCGTCAAGCGCCTCCCCACCGGCGTCTTCTTCCCTGTCGACTTCGGCGCCGGTGTCTCCTCAACCCCCTTAGCTTTTGCCTTCTTCCCGGGCGTCTTTCCAGGCGTCTTTCCAGGTGCCTTTCCAGGTGTCTTCCCAGGTACCTTCCCGGGTATCTTATTGACACCTTTACCCTTCACCGCCTTCCCCAAGACCTCCGGTATCTCCCCCATCAACGGCTTCTCGCCCGGCGTCTCCTCCACAGCCCGGTCCTCAATCCCCGCACTCAGCAACCTATCCATCTTTCCTTCCTCCATCTCTGCCTCACTACTTCCTTTGCTTGCCGTGCGGAGCTCCCGAGCCTTCCTCATCTGCTCCAACTTCCATGTGGACGTCGCCCTCTTCGGCTTCACCACATCCTCCACTTTTTCAAGCTCCTCCCCACCATCCGTCGAAGCACCCAACACATCCACCCTCCTCTTCCTGCCATTCCCACTGCCGCCGATGCTGCCAGGTGGTACCGGTGCGTCCGAGTCACTCGCCGCCGTACTACGTCTACTAGGTACTTTTCCGGCTCTGTATGGGCGGGCCGTGTTGTATTTCGGCGCATGGCTGGGAAGTGATTTGCGGGTTGTCTTCTTTGTCTTCTTGGTGGTAGTGACGGGTGCGGCTGATTGTAGGCTGAAGCCGGGGGCAGCGGAAGCGATGGTGTTTCGGCGTGAAATGCGACGGCCGTGGTCCCAGAGAGAGCCGGTCTGATCGAGCATGCCTGGGGGGATGGCGAATCCTGGGAGGATAGCCTTTGAGATCTTGTTCTTTGCAGATTTAGGTGCTGGTGTTGCTGCGGTGTTGGTTTTCATAGGTAGTACTGGGACTGGGACTGGTTCCGGTTCCGGTTCCGATTCTTCCAATTGAGGTTCTGGCTCTTCCAATTGAGGTTCTGGCTCTTCCAGCTGCGGTTCTGGCTCCGAAACGTTCGGGGTAGCCGGTGCGACACGTGCAGGACTTGCCGGCGCAACCACCAACTCCGTCGTCCTCCTCGCGCCCCCACCCCTCCTCTGCACCGGCGTCTTCTCCTCCACAGTCTTCACTCCACTCTGCACATCCTTCCTCCCCGAGGAGCGCATGGTCCTCCCCGCACTCGCGTCCCCTAGGGGCGTCGCCGTAGTTGTCTTCCGCACCTTCGATGGCCCCATCGGCGTGCGGCTATCTGACCTTGCGCGTTTCTTCGGCGGCTGCTCCTGTCCCTGTCCCTCCTCCGTAGACCCTCCCCGACTCCCCACGTCTATGTTAACGTCTGTATACACAAGCTGACGCTTCGGCGGCGCAGGCGACACAATCGTTGAAGCGCCTGGCGCCGACAACGGGTCTTCTGAGTCTGTTGTTACAGGCGTGGCTGTCACGGGCGTGCGCGAGCCTCTTGCAGGGCGGGAGCGCGGGGTGATACCTCTTGCGGTCTGTTGCTGCGGTGGTGGTGGTGGAGGAGGCTTCGGCGTGGTCTTCTTAGGCGTGAGGGAGGATGTCGTCTCATTGCGCAGCGAGGAGGGTATACTTGCTGTTGCTGTTATAGTTGTAGCTGTGGCTGTGATTGTAGTTGAAGCTGCCGCAGTGGATGCACGGAGGTTGTTGTATTCGCGGCTTATACTCTATTTCCCGTCAGTGTACTCTCCTTCCTTTCTTTCCCGGGGATAAGAGGGAATACTCTTGGTAAAGGACTCGTATAGACCATCCTGTCAAACCTCTCGTTGATATTCCGTCCCTGCGGCGGCGGCGGGCCCATGCTCCGCGCTGTAGTTGTGGTGCGGCGGTTGGCATTTGTTGTTGTGAGTGTGCGGGGGAAGGGGGCGTTAATTGTGTTTGGGTTATGGTTTACCATTGCTGCCTCTGCTCGTAGCGTGTGGTGGTGGTGAGAGTCGAGGTTTGGTGTTGAGGTTGATGTTTGGTGAACAATGAATGGATGGATGGCTTGGTGGGTTGGTGGGTTGGTGGAAACGCGTTGTGGTCAGGGTTGTGGTTGTGGTGGTTATGTTACACACACTGGGGGGCTCGAAAGGATGTTTGGGTAGAGTATGGGATACAGGATAGGATACGGGGTGTGGGTTTTATGGGATTTATACCCTCTATTGCATGCAGTGTATCGATATTTCCCCGAGCACATACTTGTAGCTTGCCATAGAGGAGGGTTTGCTGTCGCTGATCGAGGACTCTACAACAAGCCAGGTATGATCACAAGTTCTCACTCGGTCACAACCTATAACGGATTCTTTTTATTTATTTTTTTAATTCACCCATAACAGATTATTGAAAAGTATACGATTGATTAATCGGTAATTAATCCGTAAATGGGGCGAGATAGTAAAGTGACTAGGCTCTAATCTCGAGAAAGAGTCATGTAGTTACATGTATGTAGCCACGGTTAGGACAAGTGCCGGTGGCAGGTTCGAACAGCTCGCCTGCACGAGCCCGACACCACCTAAAAAGCCAAATATTACATACGAATATACCATATACCTCCAAAACCTAAGAACGAACACGAAGCAAAATACAGATACTGCCACCAAAGAAAAACATGATCCGTTCAACAATTCTGGAAAAGATACCCATCTTAAAATCACAAAGCCTCTCTCCAGTTGCTGGAGCCTATAGCAGAAGAGGGCATCCCATACAAACACTCACGAAACCATATTGGGAGTCTCAAGCTGCCTGTAATTTCCATAACGATGATTTTGATCTATTCAGTCATGAGATATCACTCGTTGGGAGAAGCATATTAATGCTATGAACCACAATTGCGGGTGGGAACGTACAGAGCACACCGAGATTTCTTCAGTTTTTGCTAGCTAGGATATTATTCGAAGGGGTAATCAATGACTTAACGGTAGGATAAATACGTGCTTTATGACTCTGCATAGGAATAAGATGAATAGACATCTCCCGATGCTATGTAAGAAGGGTCAAATGCGACGAGCCAATTCAGCTTGTTTTCTGTAGATTATGTGATACCACCTGCCATCAAAACTATTCGATCAAGCTCAAACACCCACCTAGGAACCAAACCTTCATCCACTAAAGTACTATCCAGCGAAGGGAGGGTGGATCGCAACATCACTCACTATAAACACTTTTGTTCTCACTTTTCCCGAAATAAATGGCGAGAGGGGAGCAAGAAAGGGAAAAAAGGAGAAGATCAAAAGAAAAACAAGTAAAAAGAGGAAAGAGAGGAGAAACAACCAAAAGAGCTAGATAGATGTAAGGGATAATTAACAAAGCACACAACAAGATATCTAAGCCAACAGCATGCGTCTAGGGTCCTCAATGTACTCCTTCACCTTGACCAAGAATGTCACGGCTTCACGTCCATCAAGGAGACGATGGTCGTATGTGAGGGCAAGGTACATCATCTATCAACCACAATTAGCACTCGTCTTCAACATAACAATATCCGGGAGGATGGGCTTACAGGTCTAATCTCAACCTTGCCGTTAACGGCAACCGGCCTGTCCTTGATGGCATGCAGACCAAGCACAGCAGTCTGGGGCAAGTTGATGATAGGTGTGCCCATCAACGAACCAAAGACACCACCGTTGCTGATGGTGAAAGTTCCACCAGCCATGTCCTCAATGGTCAACTTATTGTCCCTCGCCTTCTGTCCAAGCTCAGCGATCGCCTTCTCGATACCAATGAAGTCAAGTCCCTCAGCGTTCCTAACAACGGGGGTAACGAGACCCTTCTCAGTTGCAACAGCGACAGAAACGTCGACGTAGTCCCTGTAGACGATGGTGTCTCCTCCGTTAGGTCCCTCAATGGATGCGTTAACGGCCGGGACATCCTTCATGGCAAGGATACAAGCGTGGGTGAATGCGGACATGAATCCGAGCTTGACACCAGTCTTCTTAAGGACGGTATCCTTGTAGCTCTTGCGCATGTCCATGAGGGCGGACATATCAACCTCGTTGAAGGTGGTCAACGAGGCGGCGGTGTTCTGAGACTGCTTTAGGCGCTCAGCGATCCTGAGACGCATGCGGTTCATTTTTACCTATTACATCATTAGCGCATATCCACCGTAATAGCAGCTCTTCCACTTACACGGCGCTCTTCACGCTGACCAAATGGCTCGTTTGAGCTCTGTTGCTTTGGTGATGCTGGCTTTGGCTCCTCCTTCTTAGGCGCCGGGGGTGGTGGCGCAGGTGCCTTCTTCTCCTCCTTAGGGGCCTCACGCTCCTCCTTGGGGGGGCAGCCTTTGATCCAGGCTCCTGCTTTGAATCGGCAGGGGCTTTAGGCTCTTCCTTTGCGGGGGCCTCCTTCTCAGCATTTTCTGGGGGTGCGCCACCCAACTCCAACTTCAACAAGTCCTGTCCAACAATGACGGTATCCTCCTCCTGGGCAAACAACTCGAGAATGGTACCGGCTTCGGGAGCGTTGACTGCTACGTCAATCTGATGGGTATGTTAGCTTGAAAACCCCCGGTTCACTATATACTCAACTGCTTACCTTGTCGGTCTCGATGGTCGCGATTTCCTCGTCCTGTTCAACGAAGTCGCCAACCTCTGGATGTAATCTTAGTATTAACCCCAAAAACTCTTCATCAAAGAAGAAACAAACTCTTTGTCCACTGTTTCAGAGTTCCTTCTGATATCGACTCGGCCATCTGAGGGACCTTTACGACCTTGTCGGCTATATCGATTTTGACTCATTAGCATCTATACAACACACATTCCCGTGTATGAGGGGGAACTAATAAAAAGGCGTGTATGATTTAAGTACCGTAGGAACGAGTCTGGACATTGTAGAACGACGCAATTTCAACGAACTGCTGGGGTTTCCTGGAGCCGTCTTTCAGTGAGCTTTCCTCGTCCGCTAGTACCCGGAGACACCCTCAAAAAAACTATTCTTCGAACCTGCTGGTGGCGCTCAAAAGACCGCTGTTTGATGCCTGCGAAAGGCGAGAGTATGAGCGTACAGAAGCCTGGGAGATGCTCTTCAGAGGAGCAGTCCTGAGAACCGCAGGGCTAGAGATGCGGGCGGAAAGAGGTAAGCGACGAAGCGCCATTCTGCTACTTGAGGCCATGATGTATATTATGATGGGTAGTGTTTGATAGGGGATGAGTTAGAGGGTCAGAGAAGGAGGGGTGGTTATGGTAGGGTGTTTGGTCAGGAACCGTTTCAAGTGACAGGATTTCAATGTCGACCGGGAAAGCGGAGGGAAGTTGGCTCGCAACAAGCCGAGCATGTCCGATGACAGACCCGCAATCCAGGCATGAACAGCAACGTCCAAGGGGAGGGACTGTTTACAAAGCCGAGGATTTGGCTAGATTAGAGCATCTAATCTACTCTCCAGTAGGGTAAAAACCGGAGATTACTAACTCCCTTGCAGACTTGAAGCTTTACTTCATGAAAAAAAAGGGACTTACGGGTTCAGCATGGGCGGATAAACACTTTTCCCTCCAGCTACCCTCTCCCCTCAGCTCCGAACACAGATTAATACCTCAAGAAAAAAATCTTTCATTCTCAGGCATCAAGTGAACATATCACAAGATAGAAAACAAGTAACAAACGATGTAGAGACCCTTTGTAAACAGCCCCAGAAGAACTCGGGCAGGTGAGATCCAATATGCTTACGTAATAATCGCCAAGATATCTGGTGGGGGTAATCACCGTTCCTCACGTCAATCCACCTATCTGTCGAATCAAATAGCCCACAACATAACTCTCCTCTCAGAAACAATGGCCTCGAAGTCTCTAGTCTGGTACGCTCCGCGCAGCCCAATTGCATATACAACCCATACTAACCTTCAGAAGCTCTCTTTACCGCAAAAGCCTTAAAACCGCCCTAAGCTGGGCTGATGGAAGAGCCATGTGGAGGATCACGGCGCTGAATCTCCGCGATGCGTTCGAGGCGAACAGACATGTTACGGACCCAAGGCAGCTGCGGGTATGTGGGAATGCGCGCTGTGCACCTAGTTTCGGCCAGAAGAACTGACGATACTGGGCAGGTACTCCTTCAACGCACTGAGGAAGAGCTGGAGAAGTGGAAGCACCCCGACCCATACATTCCACCGACTGCCCCCGGAGGTTCAAAATACGAGAGGAACATTCCGGCACCTATCCTCGAACGTATGCTCCCTGGCTCCGTATTATCCTGAATGATGCTAATGGCAGGGTTGTTCAGCTCCTTCGCGTGCTGAGACTTACTAGCCGCATAGATATGGAAATTGGGATTAAACGCGCATGGAAGTGTATATATCACTTATCAATATAGTACAGGGACGACATCGATCTAGTAGAGTATTCGCATAGACTTTGGACTCTAATCTCCGCAAGGCCCTGGGTTTTGGAGTGGGATATCATGGCCTTTCTTCATCTTATGTGGCTTCTATCTTATATCTACAAGGTAAGGCCATGTGCGCATGAATACAACAAATATCAAGTATTTAAAACAGTGCTTCAACTATCAACGTGTTAGGCTTATATCCACGTAAGAAGGGAAAGAATTCGTTCAAAAACGCCACGAACAATAAGGACTGAGTACATGTATTTATATTGAAATATCTAGTAATATTGCAAACCTTATATTTATCTTAAATCTCTAGAGGAGCTAGGCTATCTTCTACTCCATATCAATACCAAGAATCCCTCATTCCTTCTACCTGGGTGCTTTCATAGCCCTACCCCAAACAGGTATGGATCACCACGTGATCGGTCACTAAATATCACTCGAGGAACGATAACCCACCAAAACCATCAACTGTGTAAATGGGAGAACTCCCTCATGGGCTCTTAATTTTTGTACTAATTTCAAAATTATTTACTTCATTCCCCGGATAAGTCCAAACTTGATAAATAATGGGTCTTTTATTCTTACACATTATCCCATCTAGTCGTTGTTTTTATAAATTGGTCTCCATAGAACATGTATATCATAACTACTGTATTAAGATACTTCCTTATCTCTTAGTTTTAGCTTAATAACAATTTATGGCCGACTGGAGGCTATATTACTGAATAAATACGCGTAGCCACACTTCGTGCCTGATCACGAGTGCTTCTATCTGCTCTGAAATCTATATGTTAGTGCATTAAGTATTATAAATGTGACTGAAGATACGCATCAACACCTGGTTACAAAAACACGATGCTTATAAAATAATATATGGACTTAAATACTCCAACTCACTTTAAGCCTAGGAAAAAGCTTTTTAGCGAGGTCCGAGTGAGATTCTGTGAAGGTTGCTAGTTCTCCAATGCCCAAAGTCAGCTATGATCCTAATTGAGCAAAGTAGTATGTTCGAAGCTCTGTTGGTCAGCTCCTAAATATTTTGCCATTGTTAATAATGGATTGGCCAATACAGCGGGTAGTATTAGAAATACGGGAGGAGTCCTATTGGCCCAGCCATACGTATAAACCTTGTTTCTACCTGTAGGTACAATGTACTCCATGCATAGAGGTACATACATGTATGTAGGTAAGGCAAGGTAGGGTAACCACATCAGATGGGTTGCCTAGGGTTTAACCCTATCTAACGGGACTGCTCTGGAGACACACCAAGAGCATATGCATATGATCAAAATCCCGAAATTTTTCTCTCCAACCGACACCGACAATACCGACAACCCACCAATTTCACTAACCAACCACTAAAAAATCAGTCGTCATGCGTATGTTCAATTCCAAATTCTTTGTAGCCGCCATTCGTAAAAAATGCTGACGATTTTACCTTTTAGCTCCAAAGTTCGATCCCTCAGAAGTTAAGGTCATGTATGTAAATTTCAACGCCAGATCCGGTTGAACATTATAACCAATATTCCTCATATTGTACCTCCCGTTGTAATGGGTTGGCTAACGATTGGGGATGGTTATCAGTCAGCTGAGAGCTACTGGTGGTGAAGTCGGTGCTTCGTCCGCCCTTGCTCCTAAGATCGGTCCTCTCGGTTTGTCGCCCAAGAAGGTCGGTGAAGATATCGCCAAGGCCACTGGTGACTGGGTATGTGCTCTCCCGCTTTCTAGAAAAATAGAAATACATTTTCGAATCAATTGCTAATAAACCGGCAGAAAGGTCTTCGTGTCACTGTCAAGTTGACCATCCAGAACCGTCAAGCCGCCGTCTCCGTTGTTCCCTCTGCTTCTTCCCTTGTCATCCGTGCCCTTAAGGAGCCCCCAAGGGACCGCAAGAAGGAGAAGAACATCAAGCACACCAAGAGCATCCCTCTCGATGAGATCATCAACATTGCCCGCATCATGAGGGGCGAGAACAAGTCTCTCGCCAGGGAGCTCACCGGTACCGTCAAGGAGATTCTCGGAACCGCCTTCTCCGTTGGATGCCAGGTTGATGGAAGGTCCCCCAAGGATATCTCTGACGACATTGCGTCTGGCGAGATTGAGAGTGAGTTCCCCATTATATGGCTCTGGTAGAGTAGCAATACTGACAACCGATAGTCCCTTCGGAATAAACTCCCTATGGACAATCTCTTTCTTTCCTTGGCTGGTCTGGGTATCAAAAAAATTATTTGTAGCTACTTAACATAAAAGGTATCTTCAGTAGGCTAGGCGTTAATAGGCGTTGAAAGAATTCGGAATTTCACGGTGATAACAATGGTTCTCTTCTCCGCTTTCACTCGATTTATGAAAACACCTTACCAACACTCTGGTGCAAACCTACACAACCGTGGTCTGTTCCTATTTTGGTGTAAGGAAGATGATATCCTTGTGAGGGCTGTCTACTCACCGTTATGTCCTGGTTTCTTTGATTCCACAGGTGGGCATAATGGTCCTATATTTTAGTCCATATCCTTTCTAGGAAACGAAATTTTGTTATAAATCAATAAATATATTATAATAAATACTTATTCCATAAAACCCGTCTATTTCTTCAGGTGGTGCGATACAAAAATACTGATCGAACTTGGGCATTTCCCCTCATTCTATCTCAAGACGGACTTGTGAACTCGTACCGTTTCCTACCAACTGACTCTACAAGAGTTGCCGGTCGCGTTCGAAATCAATGTCATGAATTTACCAAATTATGAGATACAGGAGAGATACCCCAACAGATTTACTTTAGTGCTCCTAGTGATTGTTTATACATGAAATCACAGCGAAGGCCGAGTTTTTGACTTAACACTGGTATAATTCGACTCGGAGTAAAACCGCTCATTTCTATCACAACAAATCACTCGAAAATTGTATAAAATCACATTACTTTCATAGAACAAAAACGATGCATCCCGTCAGCTCTGCTATCTCTAAGCGTTATATCGTCTAGTTAGTACTACAGTGAGAGACCATGCGGGAATCCCAGATACCGAACTCATTACTAGTTTATTCTACCCCTTAGCTGTTGTGTCTGGGGTGGCTGATTGGAAAGAGAATTCTACACCTTAAACTTGAGCAATCATATTAGTGCAACTTTAGTCACCAAATAAGACGATGATAGGATATGTTTTATTGCTCCCAGTATGCACAATGAGGGTAAGGCTGTAATTACATCTCCCAAAGTATTAAGTTTTTTTTCCGTTTTAATTTTGATATTCCACGCGTGCGCCAATGTCTATCATGCAAGAGCATCATTCATGCCAATAACAATATTGGTAAAATTACAAGGAACTAGATATCGTCTTCCACTCATTTCATCCTCTCTCTCTTTGCGAGCTTATGACCCCAGTTTGGGCTTCTTCGCACCCTTCTTTGCCGCCTGTTCTTGTCTCTGTTTTCTCTTTTTTTCGGCCGCTTTCTCTTCGTTTTTCTTTTTGATCAGTGCAAGCTCCTCCGCCGTTTTAGGGACTGGTTTAAAGAAGTCATTCATGCGCGCTATATCTCGTGTTAGTATAACGAACTTGCCATGCATGTGTAAAGAAGGATAGGCATACACTGTGTGGTGCTCTTGAGGTTCTTGTTTAGCTTTGCGACTCCGCTCCTGACTCTTTCCTCGGCGAACCCTTTCTCTTGTACCAAAAACTTGATCAGTCCATCAACATCTGGTGGCTCCCACTTGAAGTCACATTCTTCAGCGTCAATAACCTCGGGCTTGAAGAACAATTCACGGGCGTCCTGGTACGGCCAGTCTTCTGGGACCGCGTATTTAGGTCCCAAGTGCTCAAGGACTTTCTCAATACTCTTGTGTTCCTTGATTAGCTTCAGCGCCGTCGTCGGCCCAACCTTTGGGATGGTTTCGCAGTAATCGCATCCGAGGAGAATACATAGATCGATAAACTGAGCACGATCGAACCCTAGCCCATCCATCGCCTTTTGCAGATCAATTTCCTGCACGGGCTCCTTCTTCTGCTCACTCAACATGAGCTTCTTTAGCAGAATCGGCGTCTCAAAGCACAATGTATCCATATCATCTGACGCGGCCGCATACACCTTCCCAGCCTTCGCAAGCACAGCACACTGCGCCTCAGCCTCGCAAGGCGCATCGATATATGGCACACCCATAAGCTTGAGCAGGCGCTTACACTCTTCATTGTGCTCGCGAGTGACTCTTACAGTTCTGCGCGAGAACTTCTCAATGTCCTCTGCTGTACCTGACTCTTTTGCGTCTGCGAGGGCCTCGGTAGCCTCGGCTTTGCGCGCGGTACGTTTGGCGAGTTCGCCGGACTTGAGGGTTGGAGGCTTGCCGTCGAAGACGTAGAGGGGCTTGATTCCGTTGTCAATGATTCGCAGTGTGCGGTAGAAGATCCCCATCAAATGGGAAGTCGTCTCGCCGGATTCGGAGGTCAGCATTTGGCCGTCGGAGCGCACGGCGATGAGAAAACTGTAAATGCTCATAGAACTGTATTTGGAGTTAGGTATTGCGCTCTTTCTCTACTTCTTCTTCTTTAGGAGGGGGCTTAGGTAGGACGTACGCATCGATGGCGACCTTGCGGCCGAACTGCTGCTTGATATCACCATGCTTGATGGCGTCGGGGGCATTGTCTGAAATGACCTGGAAAAGCCCTGAGGAGAATCAGAACCTGAGCGTTGGAGATACTTGGCATTGTTACTTACCTTTAATACCCATATTTGCGTTATTCTCTCGTGTAGGGGCGGAATGGAGGTGAAGTTGTTACTGAGCTGGAAGGGTGACGCGCTGATCGCGACGCGTTAAATGGATTTCGTAGTGTGGGTGGCCAATTATGCACAGGATAAATGACACTAGGTTCCAGTCTTCATTATGAGTCAATCCATGTATACTGGTAGCAATAGGGTATTTTTTATGTATTATTGACGGCCTTCCTGTCTCGCCTCTTGCGAAATCATTGATCGCTGAACCTGAGGCTCAAAACACAAATTCTGACTAGGCCGAGACGTAAATCATAGAAGGTTTTTAATGGTTAATTTCCTCTCTACCATTGGTACTCTATGATCCAATAGCATGGTATAAGATCGAGCGACGTTTCAAGATGCAGCGCGCGTTAAAACATTACCAAACCACCACGGAATTCGGTGGAGAATAAGAATAACAGACCAAACCAACATCAGATCAAAGAAACCAATATCCGGTCTGAATTTCTACCGTATCTAAGATACCCAGGGCGACTTCGTAGCGATACGATCCCATCTCTGTACTACTGTATATTGTGGGCCTGGTACGATGGTGGTGCTTTGGTCAATACCAGATCAAGTACCAGAACTAAAATGCTAATTAACGGCAATTTCAGTATCATCCATAAGAATCCGAGTATTCCACAAATCCCGGATCCCCTCTCCAGCCCAGGACCAATCAAAACAACAGGAGTTCAAAGCAACAACTTCAGTAGCCGATCCCCAATCCCGAAATGAGTGATATCCCATGACCCCACCTAAGCCTTCTTACCTTCACCAACCCAAACCCTCCACACCCCTACCCCCATCCTCAGACCTCACCCGTGCCCACCTACTCTAATTACGACAACCTCGTAGACCCTGCATGGCACTTACTCGGGCACTAAATTCTAATCAATCCCAAACCCTCGCATCAAATCCCCACGCCGCGGACTGGGTCGGGGGTTCACTCGTTGCAGATTACGATCGTGAAAAAACCTTCTGGAATTACCCATAAATAAACAAATAAAAAATAGCAATTATTCTACGCCTCACCTTAAACCCACCGGAGATACATGTACATATCTAGCTGGAGCAGGGTGGTGGTGGTGGAATGCATGATAAGCGAGCGAATATCACGAAACGAAACCGCCAGCTCTGCCACACCGCACCTCACGTGCCTACGTACAACGGCCACCACAAGCTTAGGTAAAAAATGCGTAGAAACTCAGGAGATTGGTTTTTTAATGACTTCAAAGCATTTATCTACGTGATTAAGGGTCAAAAAACCGATATCAAATATAAATGTAGTATTGCCAGCTTAGTAGCTCTCCAAATAATTGTTAGAGACCACTAGCGTCTATTTCTTGGCGCACGCGACATCACTCGTCCGGTCACGGCCAGTCACGGCTCCGTGGGCAAGCTGTCAAAGAGGGGAAAGGAAGGTGGCGAGTTCGTACTCTGACGCGATGGGAGTGGTAATATTTTGTCGGCAAGGAGGCGGGCAGCAAACCCTCATGCTCAAAGCCTGGATTTAATGGGATTTGGAGGAGCTATGGAGGGGGTGAATGGGGGTGAGGTTGCGAAATGGCGCGATGATGGGGGAGATGACTTGGTGTGTGGTGAGTTGATAGTGCAAAGTTTGTTGGGAGCCAACGCCCTGGGCAAGTAGGGACTTTGTCGAGTTGTTGAGAGAAGAGAGGAGATGGCTTTGATCTTGGTTATAGGGGAGGGAGAAGCGTTTGATAGTGGATTGCTGCGGTGGAAGCTTCGAGTAGGGTCGTGGGGAGAAGCTCACGATCGCGATATTCACATTTTCGTGAAGCCGCCCAACCACGCCGTGTCCAAAATTCCAAAACCACAACAATAATTAACTACAATTAATTCTATCCCCATCGCGAGTACTGCCAAACCATAGTCCTCCACCACATCTCTATTATATTTTTGTTTGCTAATTTGGCGTTATTGTGGAGAAGGAATGGAGAAGGAAGTGTGGGAAAACTCAGACGCGGAGCCGGGTGGGATTGGGTTTGTAGCAACGGCCAGGAAAAACGACCCACGCCCGATTGCTACCGCCAGATCCAAAACGATGCGTGTGGATGTGGAAGCTCCTGAGAGGCTGGCTGTGCTTGCCACTATTGAGAATCCCGTTCCTTACATTGTGCTCTGCTGTGCCATCTATCCACTGAGTGCATGTATCTTGGGTGAGGTAGCAGAGGCAGGTTTGGATGGGGATTTCGGGCGGGAGGGAAGATTCCACAACAACCAAATAAGCGAATTACGGGTTTTTCCCCAAACTTTTTTTGAGCAGTAGGAGTGGTGAACCTGGGCTACTCTATCTGATAATACTCATGTATTCACATTATATTCTACTTTGTGATGTTTCGTCTTGAAGTTGATCCGACGCGACGCGCGAAGGGCAGAATTTTTTTGGTTTCCACCACATAGGTAGAGGCACACGATACAGTACGATACGTGTGATACAATGCCATATAGAGTGAAGGATAGGAACAGTGCCTCATCCCAGATCATACACTGCAGTCTACAGGAGGGTGTCAAGTGACAACAAAGAGTAAGAGGGTAGAAAAAGAGGTTCTTATCAAACGTGTCCAATCGGCGGGAAGGGGAGGATGGCGTAAAAAAGAAAAGCTGGGGAGGGGGAAGAGGCAATAGGACGGACGTAGTGATTCAACGAGGAACAGAGATAGAACGGTAGATAAAAGAAGAACCATCTCTCTACCTGGGTAGGTACATAACCCACATACTCTGATAGAAGATAGAGAGGGGGGGTGGGGGGAGGGAATACTTGGAGGTGGGGAGGGGAGGTACGGGGAGCTGCGGTGACGTGTTGATTACAAGAAATTGGGTATTGGGGTGTGGACAGGAGGGAAAATAGAATGGTAAAATGGCACACGGGCGGGCACAACTCCCAGAGAAAAGAGTAGGAATTAGAGAGTGTAATAGGCCGTTTGGCCCCATTCAATTTCTCTAGCAGAATGATGGTACAGGGAAGGGAGGGGAAGGGGCAGATGCGAAGAGACCCCGAAAAAAAGATGCCATCAGGATATCAGGATTGAGGAGGGGGGGGGGGGGGTGAAAGGTTGTCGGAAAGTGAGTAAGGATGTGTGTTAGAATCGAAAGAAGGCAAGCAACCAGCGCGGGAAAGAAAGAAAGCAAAAAAAAAAAGTCGGAGGGGGCAAAAGCAGAACAGGTAGGCAGGAGGGACCACACGCACGTTCCCCGTAGTATTTGCCCAACGCACCGGTCAGGGCGGATGCTAGAGGGAGAATTGTCCCATTGAATCGGAGGGCGCGATACCACACCGTAGGGTGGTGTGTGTCTCGTTTTAACCCTAACCCAGGGGTGTGAGTGACGGGTGTTGTTGATCTGGGCCGGCTGCAGCGTGGGACATATAGAGCAGCCCCGCCGGTCCTCCCGCTCGTCGTCTCTTCTCCCTAGCCCAACTCGCATCTGAATCTCTTGCTCAACGTCCTCGCGCCCTCCCCCCCAAAGACTTCTTATCTCCAACACTCTTGCCAACACTTTTCAGAACCTCTCCATCTAAACTACCCTAAAAAATCAAATTAAATGGCTCCCAAAGCTACCACTGCTAAGGCCACTGGCACCGTTAAGAAGGCCTCTGCTCCTGAGCACCCTCCTTACAAGGAAATGATCAAGGAGTCTATCCGCGCTGTAAGTCCATCTAATTTATCACCTCTTTGTTAGTCGCTCTACCAAACGGTGGTAATTGTGACGAGTTTTTGCTGTTTGGATACGATCACTAACGTTATTTTGTCGAGTTCAGCTCAAAGAACGCAATGGTTCCAGGTTGGTTCACCCAATTCTCCACGAACATATGTTGCCATACGGGCGCGCATATTTTTCGCACTACCTTGTGTTGCTTCTACGCGTTGTTATGATGAATTTTCTTCTAACTCGCGTTTTTCTCTAGCCGTCCGGCGCTCAAGAAATACATCCAAGCGAACTACAAGGGTGTAGGGACCGACAGGTTCGATCAGCTCTTCAACCAGGCCCTTAAGAAGGGTGCCGCCGACGGCGAATTCACCTTCCCTAAAGGTATGTTTTTTTCTCTATGTATCGCTTGCAGTGCATCAAAGCTAATTTCTGTGCTAGGTCCTTCTGGAACCGTCAAGCTTCAGAAGAAGGAGCCCGCTACCAAGACCAAGGTTGCTACCGGCGAGAAGGCCACTGCTAAGAAGGCCACCACTGAGAAGGCCACCAAGAAGACCCCCACCACCAAGAAGGCTACTACCACCAAGAAGACTACCACCACTAAGCCCAAGGCCGAGAAAGTCGAGAAGACTGCTCCTACCCCCAAGGAGAAGAAGACCACTGCCACCGCGGCTAAGCCTAAGTCTAACGCCAAGAAGCCTCGCAAGACCGCTGAGAAGACTGAGAAAGTTGTAAGTTGAATCACGAAATCTTATATTCCATGTAGAATGTGTGCTTACACGTGTTAAAGGCCCCCGCTGTCGTCGAGAAGGCAACTGTCTTGACCAAGACCAAGTCTGGACGTGTGTCTAAGGGATCTACTGCTCCCCCCAAGACTGCCCCCAAGAAGAAGGCCGCCGCTCCCAAGAAGAAGGCTACCCCCAAGAAGAAGGAGACCGCTGCCGCCCCCGCTGCCGAGGCTTAAGCTGGTTCACCTCTCTCTTCTCACTTCTTGTAATATGTACTTCTCCAACCGGCTTTTTTGGGACAGGAAAGGGCTTGGCCACCCTCTTTTAGCAAGTTTCTTATATCCAACGATGCTCCATGATTCTTCCTGACTCAATCTCTTCTTTGTTTCCTTGGGTATAATGCTGGGTCTGCGTTTCCTTCTGATTTCCTTTTTTGGGTATTTTTTGTTTTTGTCTTTTGGTTCAAGAAGGATAGGGTCTGTTTGCGAAAAACGGGTTTGATTTGTTCGGTTTTCTTTTCTGGTGATTTTTCATTGACACTTTTCGTTCTCGTGATTATATCGCGCCCTGAGTTATACGGGGTAGTAGTTGATATGGAAATGAAACTGAACTGGGTTCTTTGTGGGGTTTCTGGGAAAGGCGGGGGCGGCTTTGTTCTTTTTCTCTCCAATGTTCTGGTTTTTTTTTGCCTGTGTACTTTATTCTTTATCGTGCAAAAAAAAAAAAGAAATCAATTTTACACAAAAATATATGTGCTTGCGTTGTGAATATCGTTTTTTGGTTTCCACACCGTTGGCGAGTTGACGTTGGGTTGTTTGCGCATTGCCTTAGATTGGTCACGAGGCGCAGATAACGTTTAGTGAGATGGAGCTAAGACTCGCTCGGTGGGGATGCCCTAGGGGCTAGGGTTTCAGATTGTTGTCACGCCGTGAGCCAGGCAATCGTTTCTTTTCCAGCCAGCGCTTAAACGTCACTCGGTCTTGGCAACGAGTGATGGGATTAACACCAACATCAACAGCCGAGCGGTTTTTTTTTTGTAGAGTAAAACCACAACAACTCTCCACGCGCAAGATTTCTCGAGTGAGAGCGAGGCAAAAGAACGCCGGGAGCCGTGAATTTAGAGCCGTGCAGTATGACGAGGTGATCACCATCGTGGTAAAACCGGCAATTTTCCCTCGCCAATTCCGTCATCGCCGAGGGTCCTTTGCCCGTGGGGAAGGCCACAAAAACAGGGTTAGAGTGACGTGGTAGGTTGTGGTGGTTATAAAAATAGTGGTTATTCTAATTATGGGGCTTTGAGGGTTTAGCCTTGGGTTGGGGTTATCAGTAGTGGATGGTGGCTGCTTTGCTCACCTATGGACAGCATCCTTTTAGTCGTAAGAATAGGGCCTCAGGGTTTCTTTGTAGGGTGGACTAGATGGTGGAGCCCCACGAAGGTTTCTAGAGCTTCCTGGGTAATTGGTTGATAGATTTGTAGGTTAGATTTTTGGTTTCATAGATAGATGTGTTGGTGTAGTTTTGTGCCCGGGCCTAGGATTATAACTTGAATGGAGGACAGCAGCGAGAGGAGCACTAGGGGCAGGAGCACTAGGAGCAGGACATATTTAAGCTGCATGTAGGTTTCTGTCTTTGAGCCCTCTTCTAGCTCCATAAAGTTAACCCTGAGCCCTCGTTCCCTTTATTTTTCCCGAGGCCGACCTTGGGAACCCTTACTGTATATCCTATGATACGCGTACACTCTTACCAGGCCTCATTTTCTGGTCTCAAGGAATCCGGGACGTGAATGTTCCAACCCAAAAACCGCTGCTGGTAATAAATCAGGTTGAGGGTAAATAATTCTGGTGCCGCGAGCTGAGCCATAATATTCTTGCTTAAGGGGTCACTGAGTTCCTCATCACATCGCAGCAACAAGCTAGTTTTTATTAATGGGCCTATCAAATGCCATGCAAAATTATTTGCCGAGAAAAAAGCAACATCTTCATATAATTTGATTGGTTCCATATACTCTATTATGTTCAACCACTGACTCAGAATAGGCCTGGAATATATCCTGTACCAACAGAGAAAAGGATTTCCCAGCTATTCCTATGAATACTTTTACCTTTCCCCGCAGTTCTTGGGGCTCAGAGAGTTTTGGTCAGGTTTCATCGTTTTTATCATTCACTCATATACACTCACTCGGGTATGTCGTGATCTATGTGGGATGTCGATTCAAAAATTAAAGTCCTGAGAGTATTCATAACGTAGATGTTATATTTCCTACTTTAGTTATCTGGATCAGGGGGTGTTCGGTTGAGCACTGTTGAAGATATCGCCTATAAGCAGAAAACCTAGTTATTTAGGCAGGACCGATAAGAGACAAAATAGATCTTCTATGATTGATACACGTTTCTTCATTGGGCGGATTTAGTTATAACCTGGAAGGGCGGTTTGAATACGATAATAGACGAAGCAAGCATAGGTGGACCCTGTCATTGAAAACTATCATATTATTCTCCACAATACTTTGAGTCCTTAGTCGATTAATGAGTCCTGATAGTTCTCAGTTATATGACGAAGAACCATCGGGGGTTTGTCAGTACAGTCGACTCTCCCTATAAGGGTACGCTCGGGACCGGAAATCGGTACCCTTATGGAAAGGGTCAATTTGTGCTCAAAAAGCCCAACAAGGACCAAGAGGTCGTACCCTTAACTATAGGGTGAGTATTCCTATAGAAGGTACCCTTATAGGGAGACTCGATTGTAGTGGCACTCGAAGCCTGTGGTCGGTGAGGTTCGTAGATTTTGTGAAGTGGACAGGACAGCTTGTCAAGACCAACCAGCTGCACTGCGATTTCGAGGAACCTCAGACCCGTTGCCATTTGAGGATCTTAAGCCTGAAAAATTCACAGAAACTAAGCAGCTATAGGTCAAGCTTTGAGACCTGTGAAGTCTACGGGACCTGGGAAAAATCCTCCAGGGTTTGTTTTGACAGGGTCCGCCCACTTGACAAAACCTCCATCCATTAGATAACTACGGTCTTTGAGTATCATTAGTTCATCTCGCGGTGCTCTAGGGACAACAGGCCACAGAGGAGAGTATATGGAAGGAGGATGCATGTAGGTGGGAGATAAATGGTTTGTGTCAATTCGCCGTTGCAAGGCCGGTACTTATGATTCCCGATCAAATGATTTCGATTCCTACTATGTACGCTTGTCTGTGGTACGTGCGCACCTGCAGCTGTCATGGGGTGCATGGGGTGATAATCGTTTTTGACTGACAAGCCACATGCCATATAAGGCCTGGATCGACTAAGCTTTTCTAGATAGAGTAGGTCTTTATAGTTTGCTCGAGGTTTCACTTATTCAGCCAACTAAAACCTCCCATGAGTTAGTAGTGTAGTAGTGGAATCGTATCACATATTGATTCTAATCTTTAGATGTCCATACACGTACAAATATCCTGGACGAGGGGGTTGCTAGTGTTTGCACATGTGGCTGTGCCCATCCCCTACGAGTAGCTTGATAATAGCTAAGAAATATATAGGATTAAGCTAATGGGCTAAAAAGGCTTATTCCTAGCACGGGAACTTCTTCTCCTGGGATAAACGGTGATGTGCCCACCAATATCAAGTTTCTATTTACGCCTAGGCTTAATTGAACAAACTCGTACACCTCTCCGAGGAGGGATGGTGAGAAGGATGTAACTACGGCGAAGCTTGGCTCTTAAAACTAAGAAAAACCGCCAAGCCTCGCCATCCGCTGACCTCAATATCTGAAAACCTAACCCTGGTTGCAAATGCCTCTATCATTGACCATGATCATATCACCTCGGAAGTTGAACTTTGGTATAAAGATTTGAGGAGATAGGTGTTATTTGAAGGGACTTCTATTTCTAATATATTAATAACCAGAGAAGTGGAATTCCCTTTTATAGCCTCAACGTGCAGAAGCGGCTGAAGACTTAGACGTGCTTGGGGCCTATTTCTTTGAGTGGTCACAAGTGCATGAGGTGATGAGGGGGATCGCTTCACAATAAGTAAATTACCTTTACGACCTGCTTCGTATGTTATTAGTCCGGAAAAAACGCACTTGTATTATGGAGGTGTGAGAATTAACGAGAAGGAGGTGGAACAAAGAGTTTTGAGCATGTAACAGGTGAGGAATCTACAACAGAGGGCGGGAGATTTGATCCTAGCCTTGTGGCGATAGAGATAGAGGCACATACATCTTCTAACCGCACACGCGGCTTCAAACTTTCTATTACCTTAAGAAGAAAAAAACCAAAAAAAACCAAAGGAGAGGGGAGAAACACTATTTCGATCAAATCATCACACTTTCACAGTTGATTCTTAAGAGTAACTTCGAAAGTTGTAACGATATGAATGCTGTCCCTATCCCTGGTAAAAATAAATCCATGTTTTATCGGCGTGCCGATTGATCCGTAAAGCTCAGAACAACGAACGGTGGGTGTCCCCGCACCGAATTAGTTTTGGACACACCGGTTGAGCAAGCTCGGGCACCTGAGGCGCATTCTCGGCGAGAAGAGGATATTCATTAGATATTTTCCGTAGGGAATTGAGACCTTCTTGAAGCTAAGTAAATAAAAGCGCCCATTATCATTTGCGTCCCGGTGTTGCGTCATCAACCCCAAATCCAGCAGTAAGAACGTCGCGGGGTGCATTCATTGTGTGCCAGCAAAGCAGTCAGACGGTATCAAGCCTCATGGTGGCCTAGGACACGAAAATAAGAGTGGTGGTTAGGTTCTGATATACCTCCGCCATGGTAGGCTTCAGTGCAGTTACCGAATGGAAGAGTTGGTGAACCCGAAAGCTTGGGTAACCCCAGTATTAGCGTGATCATCGATTATGAGATAAAGGTAGTGCCGATAGTAGTTGTATGTAACTACATGTACCCAGGGGTACCCAAAAGTGATGCAACGGCTTGGAAATATAGGGTGAGGTCTTAGTGAATTCGCAACCACTTTACATGTAATTTCTTTCATTTTGATGTGATTGATGAATTCTTCATACTCTCTTTACTTTATATACTACATGTATATATCGCTACTTCGTTAAAGTCAAAGTTGGGTTGCATGTGGTTGAAATCGTGAGTAGTAAATTGAGTCGTTGCATCACTTTCCGGCACCCCTGGGTACATGTATTAGATTAAAACTAGAGTAGATTGTATGTAGAGAATCGATCGATGACCAGAGCCAAACATGTCAGCTTATGTACACAGCCCTATAGATTGGAAGGATTTCTGACTTTAAATCTTCATATAATTATGATTGGAACTATGAGGGTAATTGATCGATTTCATTGGTTTATATATCTGGTTGTTGGGGGGTTCTTCTTCCACCTGTCAGAGCTAGAGGAGGAAGACGGGGCCTTGGTACAATAAGATGGTCCCGAGTGAACCTAGATTTGACGACATCAATGACGGTGTACAGGTATGACCGCTGTAGTGAAGGACGCGTACTCCTCTTGATTAATAAGAGACATATCATAACAATCTGTTACTACACTAGGCTTGTAGTATAACTCGTGCGACTTCTGATCGAATGAAAGAACCCCGTAGTTACCGCCAGTTGGGATCAACCAATAATCTTATGACCCACAGGCTTTAGCTTCTACTGCAGTTGATTAACCTTCATCGGTTGCGCGCCACAAATTTTTTTGGGGGCGTGTTCTGTGAACAGATTCCTTTGATTCGACATGTCTATATAAGGCCTGTCTCGGTGCATTGATGACTCTAACCATCAGCCATCTCTCGCTTTTTACCCCCTGGTACGTGTCATCCACTCTATGTACATATCATTTTTTTTTTAGTCTGCTGCATCCTCCAATGGTTGGTTCTTATGGGGTCTTGCTTTATTGGTGGTTTTCTGGTCTAGGGTAAAGTTCGTAAGGCTGAATTACATATTTCGAGGCCTAGTGCCAAATTGCAGCTAAGCATACCGGTATTCTCCTTCGTTGCGATCCTGGGGCGGGCCTTTTCTTCTTTTCTTCCTTTCTTCCCATCGATAACGTCCAGAAGATAAACTTGGAAGACCGTAGATCACCTCCTTATCGCCCTCATGCAAAGTATGGGGTACTTAGCTATCGATTGAAGTGGAGATGTTAGAACGGCTCCGGCGCAGGCACAGGACGGGATGTCTTGAGGGATGACGTGCGAGTCCGGCGGCAGCGTCTGCAAATGGTTAGGGAGGAAGGGAAATCAACGTGCTTGCTGCAAACCTGCATTGGTTTCTTGCCAAGACATGCATACAGGGACATGGTTAGTTGCTTTTGGTAAATAGCTTCCAAATGCCCTCTAGCTCTTCCCCTCGAACCTTTCGATTACTTACCAGATGCTTTGGATAGATGGATACCTCGAGTACAGCTTGCAGTAAGATTATTGTAGAAATATGGGAGGAGTCCTATTAGCTTGCCCAGCCAGAGAAACCCTGTTTTTAGACCCTGTTTCTACAATAATTCTACCTCTCGCTGTAGTAGATATGGATTCGAGTGATACTAGTAAGGGAATCCGAGAGTTCCGAGATTTTGCAAGCTTCATGCTCGGTTGCTGGATCTTCTTATTTGAAGCTCCACTGATCACTGCCAACACTTCTGTAACTGGGGTAGAGGGTTGAGAAAACATTGTTTTCAAGTTCCAGGGTCCAATGTTAAGAATAATTGTTGCACTTATAGTTAAACTTAAAGAAGCCACCCGTACTATACGCGCAGGTTGTCTACTTGTTTACTTGACTGGGCTGTATCCGGTACGGTACTCTAAGTCTAGGGCAACATTCTAAATTTATAGGAAGGTGAGGTCCATCTAGGAACCGGCACATCCGTTGCCGAAATAACAATGCATGTAAGGTAAGCATTGTAAGAGATGCTTACCATAGAAGACAACACCAAGGCAATATAGAAGAACCAAGACGTCAAGTAAGGAGTGGTTTGTGGTAGGCAGGGAAGTAGAGAACCCGAGAGGGAGAGAGAGAGGGAGAGAGAGAGGGAGAGAGAGAGGGAGAGAGGAGCTGAATCCAAACGACAAATATTGAGAGAAAGAGTTATTTCCCCTCCCCCACTCCCTGTATATTTGGAGTAGACACACACACACATGAAGTTGTTGCTGCGCCTCCCTAAGCAAACACCTTCTGTTGTCGCGCTGTCTCTCGTTCACTGTAGCCCACTCTCCTTTCCTCCAAATCTCCAACAGAAATATCAATAGCGACTTACGTTCTTCTCGCGATACACACGACCTGTCGCTCGTTCCCTATTCCCGGTCTCTCTTTCAACATCCCCTCACATACCCGTATCCATATCCACATCCCTCGCAAAACTTCCCCACACCTCAGCAACTTTATCCACTGCAGTGTTGTAGCCATCTTGCTTTCTCTCCTACGTCCCATTACATACATAGTACACACTCGCAGGTCGATCACAAGCGCATACGCACGCTCATACAGCCCCTCCCTCTTTGTAATTGTTTTTTATCCGATCATTTCCCTCCTCCAAGCCGTCGTTGCAATTCCGGTTGATCATAGCGTCCCATACCGAGAGAAACACCCCTCGGAACCAGGAACCCCCAAAGCAAAGCGCCCGAAAGAAAGAAGGCGCTGAACTCTAGAGTTTAGAGCATTGGCTGGGCAAACGAGAGAGAGAAACCTCCTCCCCCCACCCCAGGAAAATTTAAAATTAGGGAGGCTGGGCCAGGCGGAGTATACGCACCCTCTGCTGCCGCGCTCAGACAAATCTACCCTGCGCCTGTCCGCGTGAGGGAAAGGGGTTCCGCGTTTTTCGTGTTTTTCCTTTTTCACCTTTTTAATTCCTTCGAGAACGAGCATCAAATCTGTTGGACCGGCAACAACGCATGCTTCTGTCTGGAGATACCGTTGTGATGACACTTCCCCACAACGAGTCCTACACATCAACACATCGCATACAGCATCATCAACCTCCACCACAAAACTTCTCCCGACCTCATCAACAACCCTCTCAGGACTCGACTCATTCAGCTAACAACCTTTCTCTTTCTAACAGAGACCTAATAGGTGGAAGTGGAGGGACTAGTGGTTTTGGTGAAGGACACAAAGACTCTAGCAACATTCCGAACGGGGCGTTTTCAGCTCTCTCTACTTCCACTACAGTAACTACATCGGCTTCTAAAATGAATTCAAACGGAATCAACAACGCCACGGTAGAGCGTGACAATCAACCGGCCTCGGCTCCGGGATTGGGGGCGGGATCGGGAACGGCTGTAAGGGTAGTGCCGACCGTAGATAGTTCGTATTTCCCTAATGGATCCTTATTTGATCCCCTATCTACCTCAGCGCCAAATGGTACATCACACCCACCTGTACTTCGTGGATCCCCTACCTTGCCTTTGAACAACAGCGCCCAACCCCCCCAGAGCTCCATGACCGCGAAATCATCAGCCTTGCTTACCACTACAAACACTACAGTTAATCCTTCAAGATTTTCAAATAACTTCTCACCTACATCTGTGACATCTGGACAACAGTTATCACAACAGCTACCAGCATCAACAACTATTCGACATAGACATACTCTACAGGTTCCTAAACCTAGTAGTTCGAACCGGCAGACCACTCCTAGTGGGAGTGCAGCGGATGCGGTGACAAGTGGTCGGTTCTCTCCCACCTCAGCTACTCCTAGGCGAGCATCTATATCATTAGGGCGCAGAGGAACAAGGTCGTTACATTCCGACATGCATATTGACGAGATACCCCAAGATGAGGACGCAGTACGGATTGCCGAGGCGATCAAAGCTAAACGGGCCAGCAAAAGACGAAAGGCAGAGGAGGAGCTGGATGATGAAAAGGTTATGGTTGGGACGAAGGTCGATCAGAACCATGTCAATTGGATCACGGCCTACAACATGCTTACGGGTATTCGATTCACTGTATCGAGGATCAACGCCAAAATGGATCGGCCCCTAACAGATGCCGATTTCGACGCTAAGAATAAGTTCTCTTTTGATATGTTAGTAGGCCCCTGAATTTGCAAACATTATTTTTCTTTTCTTTTCTTTTCTTTTTTGGATGTGACTGATTATAAATATAGTACCGGGAACGAACTTACCCCATCTGCCAAGTACGACTTTAAATTCAAGGACTACTCACCATGGGTATTTCGACATCTTCGAGCAAAGTTTCGATTGGATCCCGCGGACTACCTTATGTCTTTGACTAGCAAATACATATTATCCGAATTAGGCTCACCTGGAAAAAGTGGAAGTTTCTTTTACTTCTCACGGGATTACAAATACATAATTAAGACCATTCATCACGGAGAGCACAGGTTCCTTCGACATATATTGAGGGATTATTACAAACACGTGGAAGATAACCCAGATACCCTTATATCACAGTTTTATGGGCTGCACCGGGTCAAGACTCCATTTGGACGGAAGATCCACTTTGTTGTCATGAATAATTTGTTCCCACCACACCGCGACATCCACCAGACTTTCGACCTGAAAGGTTCGACAATCGGACGTGATTTCAAGGAGGAAAGCCTTGCGCAAAACCCTCGTGCTACTCTGAAAGATTTGAACTGGCTTCGACGGGATATGAATTTGAACTTCGGCCCTACCAAAAAGGAGCTCTTTCTTCAGCAGGTGCACCGAGATGTTGAGTTATTGAAACGCCTTCATATCATGGATTATTCGTTATTATTGGGAATCCATGATCTCACCAAAGGGAACAGTGAAGACATTCGGAATAATACGTTAAAGGTGTTTCAACCTGGTGCTAGCACCGCAGAGGCTGGCCAGGACGACCCGGCTAGCCATATGCTACAAAGAACACCAAGCAAGATGGAGAAGGCAAGGCAGGCCAGAGAGTTAAGGAAGACAATAAACAAGGAGGTGCCGATTACCTTAGATAGGGGCGCAAATAGACTACCAGAGGAGTTCTTGGAGTGTGTATAATCCTTTTTTTTTTTACGTCTTTGGCAAAAAAAAAGGAAAAGAAAGAAATATGGAAATGCTTACGATGAGATAGGCAAAGGAACACCATCTTCTATGGCGATGACGGCGGTTTTAGGGCGACCCATGAAAATGACGAGAACGGAGACGTCATCTACTACCTTGGAATCATTGATTGTCTCACTCACGTAAGTATTCTGTAACCATTTTTTCTCATTGCGCCTGGGTTTGCTAATCATTTAATAGTATGGATTTGTCAAAAGATTAGAGCACTTCTGGAGAGGCCTATCTAACCCCAAAGACCAGGTTTCTGCTATTCCACCAGACGGATACGGGGACCGATTCTTCAAGTTCATCTCAGGACATGTGAAATCACAAGAGGAGGCTGCCAGAGATAAAGCAGCTAGGGAGAATGCTGCCACTACAGAAGGGGTTGTATCTGAGCCCTCTCAAAATGATCTGGAAAGAGCCCGGGAACGAGGTACAAATGAGGGTGATAGGCCAAACAGAACTCTGGGCGCTGTTCGTTCACCTTCCGCGGAACGAACAGCAGGAACGTCTGGCACGGTCTTACCGGTCGTCGAGGAAGCTGGTGAAGGTGGTAGTTCTCGGAGTCGGAGTCATAGGGATAGCTCAAGCGATAACGGGCGGTCAGGATATGTGGATAGTGTGACGGATAGGCGGGCATCAAGGGAGACTGGAGAGGAGGTTTTCTCTCATGGCAAAGCGCGTGCGATGCCTGAAGATATGGCAATTCGGGTTGAAAGGGTTTCTTCCTAGGGTTGCTAGGTAGGTGGTTGGTTTTTTTAAAAGAAGGTTGAAGAGTATATCGGACGATCTTTCTTGCGAAACATTTTTTTAAATACGCATCGAGGGACGTTAAGCGCGACATGGTGTTTTGGCTTGTTTTATCTTAAGGGCATGCGAGTAGGCGGAACAGAACAACTGTAGATCACAGCGTGGGTTTAAGGTTAGAGTTCTCTTTTTCTTTTCTGAAGGTGGTCCCATCTGTGAGGGAGCCTATAACATTATTATTGAGCATGACTTTTCCAGCATCATCTGGTGTCTTCTTTTCTTTTGTGATATCTCTTTGGTTTGTCTTTTCCTTGTACGTTAGTCAGAGTCACCGTCATCGAACGACAATCTCGTCTTTTCTTTCCTTTTCAGCACCGTCACATTCCCTCGATTTGTATCTTTTCTTTTCTACTTTTTTTGCGTCTCTCTTCGTTCTATGTTGAATTTTTCGCATCTCCCCCGTTACCATTTTCTGCCTATGGGGCAATAAAAATGGGGAGATTATTATAGCGGCTTGGGATTGGAAAGGATGGATTTGGGCTTAAGGGAAATTCGTTATGGCTGTTTTTCTTCTTTCTTTCTATTTTTCTTACCGTCTGTGTCGAGTTTTTTGCGGTTTCTATCCTTATTTTCTGATATAGTAATTCGGTTCGTATGTGTAATATATTTGGCAGGCGGGGGAGGAGGCTTCAAGTGAGGAAGGTTTATTTTTCAAAGGAAAACGTCTGGCCAGTGAGTTCTTCTTTCTTTACTTTTGGTTCGGAGGTTGGTGTTTATGCCTGTCTCTTCAACTCATTTTGTCCTACTCTACTCTACTACCCACTTCCATTCGTTAACCTTAAGACTTCGATGCTCGAGTTGGCCATTTCTTCTGTGTTTGTCATTTGATTTATTATATTCTTTCCCAGACGGGCCTTTTTTGAGTGAATTTCTTTTGTTGTCTTTTAGCGGTTATTTCCTTTCATTCGTTGTCTGCTTTCTCGTATGTTGCGCAAGGCTAGTGAGGTTCACAGAGGCGAAAAAATTCATTGTATGGCTTTCTTTAGTGTAGTTAGATAATCTATTGAAACGGCAAAAAAAAAAAAAAAAATGAAAAGAAGGCCCGAATAGTTTGTTTATTACAAGTGATATCGATTACAAAGGCATCGGGGTTTTATTTGGACAAGATGAATCATATGCTATCACTCATCCGTTGTCACCCTTTTGCAGGAAGCTAAGAGTGAAAAGTAACTCTCCATAAGAGATGTTGATTGAAGACAAAATCGTACAAACCATTCAAATGAGCTATGAAACCGAAATAAAACTAGTGATTACTGCCAAATATACGCCGTCGTTTCCTTTCCCTCAACCCTCTCTAAGCATTACGCAAGAAAAAGAAAAGAAAAAATAGACGCAAAGGAAGCTAAACCATGAACGTCACCTTTAATGGCACCAATGAAGCCTTACTCAACATCCCTCATCTACTTCTAGCGGGCTGTTAGATTTTTAGCAAAATTAAAGGCTTGAGAGTCTTTATGCAAACATATCTGCAACCCCACCGAGGTCCGGGCTTTCTTGTCGTTTTTCTGCGTATTGCATTTGTTGCTTCCTCTCCGTCTGAGTTCTCTGTTTGACGGCTGGTGCGGATTTTAGAAGTTTGCCCTTTTCACTAACTGCGACCCCACGTAGACCGTCAAGCAGCTCTAGTATCAATGCACGTTGCTGACGTGTACTAGTAGCTACAGTTAACTTCTTGTAGCAGCTGTCGACTTTGTATTCCGTAATACCAGGAAGTGACAAGAGTAGGTCTCGGGGTGTTAATGATGTGGGCGAGTATAGCAAGAATATAGTAGCAATAAGCTGCGCAAGATCTTTCTGGACATCGACGAAATAATCCTCGTGAAGAGACTGGGGCGGTGTATCATTAGTACAAGTTTGGTGGGGCAGTGAAGAAGTGGAAGACATACGTGGATAGCGGCCATAAGCACCTCCCGGCAGATGAATTCTCTTATGTCAGGACGATCCGCCTGAAACTCTGGCACGATCGATCTAAAAACCCTGATGATAATTCCACAGCATCTTGAATCTCTCATCCTCAATGCATGGGTGCAAAATAAAATCAATGGTTCTAAGACAGAATCCATTGATAGTATAAATTCTCTCATTATTTGTTCCCCAGGCCCAACACTTTGTGATTCTGGCGCTGCAACCTGGCTTAGAAAACCCGGATTTGCGTTGACTGCTTCGCCGGGTCTCTGGGGATCCAGGAGCCCTGCAACAATCAAAACCGCTGTATACGTAAGTTGCCTGAGAATGCTTTCCTCCTTCATTTCCTCGGCTAGCTTATCATCATCTTGAGTAATCTGTCCCTTCTTCATAAGCTCGTCCCATTCTCCACGAATCTTACGGTCTACTTGGGCGAATAGGCTTGCTAGCAATGGCGTTAAAAAGTGTGCTCTAAGTGTCGTCGGGCAGTCATCAATGATGTATCTCGTCATATTTAATAGAATCGACATCTGATGGGAGCTTAAGGCGTGTGCATCCGCGAAAAGCGCTAATGCAAGCGGCCCTGGAAGTTCATTTAGTCCATAGAAATGGACATCCACCCTTGACATGCACCACAAGATTGAGTAGCAAGCCTCCCTAACCATTCGTATGGCACCCCTGATAGAGGAAGCGAGGCCCTCCATCGTCGTCTTTGTTTTTGTTACGTTCTCGTAAAACTCATCTCGGCTACCAGTAGATATTCCAGCTTGCCAGAAACGATCTGTTAAAATTTTCCGGATAACACTCTGTAATTCAGGTTGAAGCCCTTGCCAGGTCGCTGGATTGTGGAAAGCATGTGCGTGGCTACCAATTTTATTAATTTCCTGAGAACCGAAGCTGCGTGGGGGAAAAATTTACCTGAGAAATTTAAGCAAATTAGGAAGAATCATAGGTATAGAATCATGCCAGAGCGCACATGAAATGTTATATGCATTTGATGGCTTTCTCAACTGCTCAGTGGAAACGGCCAAGAAAGCTTTTGTAGTTCGTATTGGTAGGTTTTTGAACTTCTCCGTAAGCTCGAGTTGTAAGACTTGGCCCTCTTCGTCCAAAGGTTGTTTCGTAAAGTCCGAAATTTCGTTTACACGCCTTGAAATTAAGTAATCTTGAACCTTGTCCAGTCCCAAAACTTGACAGAAGCCTTGAAAAGTCTGCAGAGACTCGGTAAGTACCGGATCCCTCCAGGCCTCACGAACTGGGAAGATATATCCTTCCAACCGTGATTGACGCAATTGTGGGTCAATATTTTTTGTTCGGTGGCTGCCATTTCGTCAGTTTGGGGCAGCAAAAGAGGGAGGAGGAGGGGGATGATAGGTTTATACTTTATCGTGAAGAGGAACGTGTGAAAAGCTATTCTGGTACGGTCATCAACGTTCTCTGTGGCTACAATCTCGTTGATTTTAGTTTGAAGTTGATCGTAGACCAGCATTAAATGATCTGGCATTTTCATCGCCAACCGCTGAATTTCGGTAGTGCAAACACTCATGAGCTCTTTGACAGCATCCGTATAGGCATGGTTTGGATGTTCGACTGGCCTGGTAAGCAGAACCTATGGGAGTGATTCTAGTTAGCGTGCGTTTTGATCATGCGAGACTAAAAAGAAGAAAGAATGGACAAACATGTTCAAGAATCTTCAGCATCAAATCTGCCTTTTTGTGCAAGGCCGAGGTAGAAACCGTAACCATTAGTTGAATTACTCTCCTTCGTATCATGGGATCTTCAAAGTTCATATTAAGAACTCGTTCACACCATGCCTCAAGCCGTTGCTCCAGCTCGTCTCGATTGCTGTTATACTAATCCGGAGAGAGATTGTGGTCAGTTTGAAGTAAGTGATACTGGGCAATGTAAAATCTAAATAGGGGAGCCATACGTTTGTTTGCGAAGCGGAAGGGTTATTAGTAATACTATCCGCCCACCTGATGTACCCTTTCAGAGCCGCCTCCATGACAGTGAACTGGGCATCTAGCTCTAGGAAAGCGTTTGAATTTTTACAATATTCTTCCACTGCATTATACATTAGTAAAAGATGTACCCATTTGAAGAAAGTGAAAAAGGCAAAGGACTCCTGGATGGGGACTTACGATTAACCGAAGGGCTTCTATTATATATACCAGTTAAGGAGTTCTCTGCTTGAGACATGATATATGGAAACGCCTCGAATGGTCGTTTTCTTACCATGCTCTCGACAATACTCTGACAGAACCTTCGATAGTTTCCAAGGAACGCGTGTCTTTCTGGGATAGTATCAAGATCTTCATTTAGGAAGAGTAGTATTGGATTCGAGTCATCCTCCATGACCTCATACTAGATAAAGTTTAGTTCAGTCTTGACATTGGCCAGATACATATAATTTTAAAGGGGCTACTTACCCTCATCAACCGGGAGGTGACCAACTCCAACAACCCGGGTATCAGTGGTAAAACAGCTTCATGCTCACTAAGGATATCCTTCTTCACAATTCGGGTCCAGACGTTTAATACTGGTATAGAAACCGCCAGACTATTATGACTAGTGATCTCAAACAGCAATTTCATAAACTCCGATAAGTCGGTTTCCGGCAGCATCAAGTTCGCCTTTTCTTCTACAAAACTGGCGAGGTTGGCAACCATCTAGTATAGAATTATACAGAGTTAGTGATTGTTCAATGATTCTTTCATCAATCGAGAATTTCACATCTCACCTCCGAGAACCTCTTCAAGAAGAGATAAGGTTCTTCATCAGTATTACTCGGATCAACTTGTACCCAATTGAAGATCTTTCTCAGCAAATCCACTGTCTGGGCATGGTACATTGGACAAACAATCTTCTGAAAGTCATCGTCCTCAATGAGGATCCTTGTAAACAGAGTGTGAAGGCACTCTGTTGCAACCTAAATTATCCGTCTTAGCGTGTTTTTTGTAGACGCACAAATGTGCTTGCATGAGTCTGGATAGCTACCATTTGTACTGCTATTGTTTCTACCATTAGGGATCGCCCAACGGTCTCCACTACTTTTGCTGCAGCTATGGCTCTAAATTGTTAAAGTCAATTTTTAGTGTTGGAAAAAAAGAAGAAAAAACTACGAATTGAAAGATATAGAGACGTACTTTGGGATAGCCCAAGCCATACAAGCCTTCAAAGTTCCCAAAACCTTTATCGCGCACGCCTCAACTTCGGAATTGCCTTGCACGCCCGCCTCCAGGCATTGTTCCAGCATACACACAAGTCTTGCGAGCCAGCCTTCCTCCCCGGATACAAGAACGATACTTGGATCTCGCAGAGGAAAGTGCTCTCTTAGCACTGCCATAGGCGTAAATATGTCTATACACGCCTTGCTCAATGGTGTATTCCTAATACCGGCCACCGAATCCTCTCTATTGAAAACGTCCTCAACCAAACTTTCCAAAATTGATAAGACCAAGTCTCGTTGTGCAGGATTTCCTTCCCTCGAAGAATTTTCCCAAAGTTTGGCAAGAAGCTCATCCATGTCTAGCCACTCGTTGGCCCATGAGCGCTTTGCAACCTCTACCCACAGCTGTGCAATCTTATTCCGTAAATACACAGGATCTCCCCCGTCCATCTTGACATTCTCAGCTAAGGACAAAATCCAGTTCCGAACCGTGGTACTTTCTTCGACCGAATATTCATCCCAGTGGTATTTTAGAGCATGTTCCAGCAGAAGCAGTCCAAAATGCCTTACTACGGCGTTCTGACCCCTATCGTAGGCTAAAGTAAAGCCATGATAGGGGGCCTCCTTCTCACTTTTTGCAGACTCCAAGAAAAGCCCCGCCTGTTTCCGGGAGTCGTTGGTAGAATGCGGGTCGTAGACGATTTCAAGGGCTTGTTTGATCTGGTTGAGGGGTTGTTGATGGCCGCCGCTGTTATCTATACCGTTGGAGGCCAGCGCGCCGGTAGTGACAACATTTCCTCCGCCTCCGTCCATACTGGAATTTGAAAGGGGATGTTGTAGACGGACTTTCGTTTCGTGGGCGGATTGGGATATGTGCTGAGTTTATTTGGGGGTTGTCTAGAAATAGGGAATGCAAGCAAAGAAAACAGTGCTAGCCAAAGTCAGCAAGAAAAGTGCAGCTCTCGTCAATTGTAGTGCAGTTTTCTTTTCTCTTTTTATTCTCGTTTTCCTTTTTCCAACTCGTTTCGGGCAATTTTTCTTCTTTTTGAGTTGGCGTCGAGGGAGAAGTGAGTCGGAGATTTTAGAACAGACGGTTTATGGGTGACGCCGCGCTGGAAGGGGAGGGGAAGGAGGAATAAAGGGAAAAAAGCAAGAGGAGCTTGAGTCTCTCAATAGAACAGGTGACAACGCGCAGCCTAACAACGGAGTGACTAGGGCGTAGACTCGTAGGTTGACTGTTAGTGAGTGAGCGGATGAGTAACAACAGTTTGTAGACTAGCTGGTGAGTCAAAGTTGAGAGTACATGTGGTACTGTAGGTACAGTAGGTACATGAATGATTGAGTGGGGAACCGCTAAAGAGGATGTAACTTTATGAGGTGAGATTCCCGCTAGGAAGGATCGTGCTCGGCGGCCGGCCACCAGCAACAATTCAGGAACAGAAATTCCTTAGCACTAGTGGGAATGCACGGCGCACAGATAAAGCTGTGCTACACGCATTAAATTCCAGATTGCGAGTATCTGCGAATTCAGATGAGTTCTACGTAATTCTGCTTCTCCTTTTTTCGTGTTGGTCTGCTTGCTGCACTTGATCTCGAGCTCTAGCTCTCCCCTTCCGATAATTTGTGCGGGGAGTGGCTCCACCTCTTTGGCTCGTGTGTGCAGGGGTCTCACCGTAGGCTGTGCATTCAATCTGTGCAGCCACAACATTCAAGTAGATTCTGCGGCCGTTGCCGCCCCATTCGCCACAAACACAGATTGTTATCACCCCGCAGTTTCGTGTGTGTGAGATTTCCCCTCCTCCGTCATTGTGCTCGCGTTTCCCTGCAGCATTCCTTGCACATGATTGCCCTAAAAACACCACAGCTACAAATCTGCATATCCCACCAGCAATCATCTTTCTCCCCCATACATAGCTTCTTCGTGTTTGTATCGACAGCTAGATAGAGAGCAAGTGACAGAACGGAGGAGCAAATCAAGATGTTTATGCTGAGGAATGTGGGCAAGCTAATATTTGGCGATTCAACTAAACAAGACATCATCCAGCTCGATCAAGGTCAGCTCTATATTGTCCGACCAAACTCCGTTAAAGGCCATAGTGAATGCATGTGAGTTTTTCTATGGGGAAACAAGTTTGGCCACGCCCTTTGTTGCAGTTCAAAATTACTGATTTTGCTATCTAAAATATAGATTTAAGGATGCTGCTGCTACAATCCGTAGAACGTCAACTAACTTTCACTATCAGCTGGTAATCCAGCGTGCTTACGAAGAAGGAGAAGAGCAGCTTGTCGATGACGCTGAGGATTTCGATGACACAAAGGACGAAAAGACGTTTTTGCTTGATGAGAGCCTGCACCTACGGTACACCATTCGTGACGGGCAAGCGGTTTTTGCGTGGAGGGATTTGAGTGGGGTTAGTAGGGATCCTCATATTTCCCACATGTTTTCTGACTTTGCCATAGGATCCTGGTGATTTATACGAGTTTATTTGCGACCCCAGTGTACAGCCTAGTTCAGCTCCCACCTTCGAACTTGTAGCTATACAATGTCAGTTTGAAAGAAAATTTAGGAGAAGTCACGAAACAGCAACAGAACAGGAGTTGCACCACTTCTCTTTTTCGTAATTACACTTCCTCTATGCGTCGTATATTACAGAAACTAAGATCCTAACAATGAAGTTGAAGTGATCCAATCCCATCTGCTTCTATGGCGCCCAATTCGCCTACAACTACAACATCCAGTTCTATATTCTCCGCGACAAAACCAACTGCCGTATCTCCTGCAAGCAAGGCTATGCCTCCTTCGGCAAAAAAAGTTGAGACTCCTGTTCGAAAAACGAGAAGCCACAAAAAGGAGCCGTCTCCTATTGCACCTACTGTTGTACCTACTGTTGTACCTACTGTTGCACCAGAAGCTGCAGTTGCCCCGGAAGTGGGAGAAATTCTATCGTCAGAAAGTGCAGAACTGCATTTGTTCGATTTGTCAAGCGCCACATTCGTCTTACAGGACTCCGAGGTTATGGCAACTGTTACTGAAGTCGGACCGTGGCAATGTATGTCTTATCCTTATGTTTTCTTATAAGGGCGTTTGAAATTAATGGTATGTTTGTATAGATTGGCTTCAAATCGAGGGCCAGAGTAGGTCTTGGTTGGGCCAACCAGTAATTGCCGATATCAACCCCGTTTTCAATTTTGAATACCTCTCTTTCATCTTTAATCACTACGGCGCAGACGGTTCGGCATACTCATGGCTTCTGCGCTTCAAAGACATGGAAACTGAGGAACGTTTTCAAGAAGGCCTCATGCGTGCCCTCTGGGAGCAATTGAACGAGCAAAAATGGATCAAGGCCAAAGACCAAGACCGGGAATATGTCCTTGAAGCCTTCCAAGATATAACTATGGAGGATGCACCAGATATCGAAGAGGATGAGGAAGAGGAGCCTTTTGAGGAAGCAGAAGAAGACGCAGGTAACCGCAGCGAAGAATACGATAGTGATGAAGAGGAGGACGATACACATGTTAAAGGGGACTCAACTGGAGAACAGAACAGCCAGTTAGCTGTTGGATATAAGCACGATAGAAGTTTCGTTGTGAGAGGGAGTAAGATTGGTGTATTCAAGCACACCGACAATAACGAACTGGAGTTTGCTACAAATATTACAAAAGTCCAGACGCCGAAAGGGCGGTTGTTCGAACCCAAAAAGGTTTATAACTTTCTAACCTTTGATAAACTAACTTTGCTAACCTACGTGGTAGGTGATGCTACATGGAGAAGACACCAGTATGATCATGCAAGATGCGAATAACCCACATAGCGTTTATAGAATGGATCTAGAGTATGGGAAGGTTGTTGATGAGTGGAAAGTGCATGATGATATTCCTATCAACATTTTTGCCCCAGAAAGTGTACGGCCACTAGAAACTTGACTTGGAGCCGACTTTAACTGACGGATCTTAGAAATTTGCACAAATGTCTAGCGAGCCGACTTTTCTTGGTCTTTCTCACAATGCACTCTATCGTGTTGACCCTCGTTTATCTGGCAACAAACTTGTCGACTCGGAGCTTAAGCAGTATGCCACCAAAAACGGGTTCTCCGCTGCAGCGACTACAGAAAAGGGATATATCGCTGTCGCCTCAACTAAAGGGGATATCCGTATGTTTGACCGCCTAGGTATTAACGCTAAAACACATATTCCGGCTCTTGGGGAAGCAATCATCGGCCTCGATGTCTCGGCGGATGGTCGATGGATTCTGGCGACGTGCAGAACGTATATTCTTCTTATTGATGCGCTCCAGCAAGAAGGGAAAAACGAGGGAAAACTTGGGTTCGAAAAGGCTTTCCCGAAGGATTCAAAGCCACGCCCACGCAGATTAGGACTCAACCCAGAGCACGTGGCGCAAATGCAAGCGGAGACAAAAAAACCTCTGTCTTTTACGGCAGCGAAATTCAATACTGGTTTGGATGCAACCGAAACATCGATTATTACTTCAACCGGGCAATTTATGATTACATGGAGTCTTAAGAGGGTCGTTTCAGGGAAAAAAGCCCCATACACCATTAAACGGTATGCTGAGGAGGTCAAAGCGGATAATTTTAGGTTTGGAAGCGATAAGAATGTCATTGTGGCCTTGCCGAACGCGGTAGATATGGTTAAGAAGACAGCCTTCAAAAAACCGTCAAGGGATAGTATTGCGATGCCTACCAGACAAACCAGGTCTCGACAGAATATTGTTGCTAGTCCCTATTGAGTAGCTTCAAGTTATCACGGGCGAAGAAAACTTTGTAGTTGTAGGCAACAGATTAAGAGTGGTTTGATTAGGAGTATTTTTGTGGGATTATAGGGTGGAGGCAGTTGTCAACTTTTCTTCATTTTTCTTCACTAAGTTGTTTTCTCAAATTCTCTTAGTCGCATGAATTTTTGGTCAGCGATTACATATATATGCTAGGGTTCTGAAATGGATTGGAATCGGGCCAAAAAAGAGTTATGGTGCGCCCACTCCTAAAGGTGACAAAAATCGGGCGAAAAGTCAAAGGCTTATAACTTTGCCAAAAAAGAGATTTAAAAAAATCGGTAAATAAAAAGTATAGTACTAGTGATGAACTTTAGCTTTTATTTCCAGATTTTTGATATCTACTTTAGTTAAAAAGTTATAAGAGTTTGAAGTTGCGGATTTTTGTATGTAAAAGGCGCCAAGACTGAGCAAAGTGGAACAGTATTATACCCATTTATACCCCCTCAAAAGTGAATTGCGGCAGGAATGCAGCAAAGTGGCCCTCTCATTGGCCTTGGAGTTCATCTTGCAGCCACGATTGTTCCACTTCCAGATACCGCCGTGTCACCTTTAAGAGTGTGCGCACCATACGTCGTAAGATTTCCATCCCTACATGATCAAATCGCCTGTAATGATATCCCACCCTAAAACGATAATATGGTTTTTTTCTGGAGGGTGTTTAAACCGCCAAACATTTGAAGTTCATTGCTTCGATTTGTTCAGTGAGGGGTACATACATATAGAAAAAAATAAAAACACTCCATCGAGTCATAGTGAAACAAAAACTATTTGCATGAGCTCAAAACAAAGCCACAAAGTTGACTAGCCGTACTTCAGCAGTGGCCGTGGGGAAGTTAAAGTCGAGTGATAAATCATGAGTACATCATGTAGTGAGGCCAACAGGTACTAAACATCTATCAGTAACTTATCAAGGTTGGTCACGCGGCTAAATACATGAGACGTTAACCCTAAGTGGTACCGGAGATTTAAGTTTTGACTATGTAGTTAGGCGTTCGGGTCCCAGCAGCTATAAATTAAAGCCAAAAACGGCGGAGCGACTATGATCATGTAAAGCCCTACATGTAATTTGTAGCTGCTCCGTTTTTCTTGCCAGCAGGCTGGCTAGGCCTGGAACGTTTCTGCTCTTCTTTGAAGTCTACCTTGCGACTACTTGAATTATAATTATGGATTATAGATGGATATTAACTTTTTTCCTCAAGATTTATCATGATATTAGGGCACCGAAGGCACTCCGCCCTCAGGGATCCCCTTCGCTCTTCTAAGTTAGCCTTGTAAAAGGCACTGACTTCAAGATTTATATGCGCCAAGGAATGACCGCCAGAGACTACGCCGGAAAATACTCCCAGGCTGTGGTGAACTTGGCTGAATAATCATTGATTTCATAGTGAACTAAAACTTAGATAGGGCGCAACTTTGTACCATTCCCCCCGCGGCCCGACATTCGGGGCAATAAAGCTTTTAAACAATTTAGTAAGCACGAGACCATATAAGGTTGGCTCCATGTAGGTACCGTTGTGTGCTGTATTCGAGTGATAGTTTATGATTTATCGTGTCTTCCCCCGTAGTACATACAGTAGTCACCCACCCCTTCCTTTAGGCCAGGTTGTCTTACCAAAAACCATGTCATATAAGAGTCTCCAGTTTCTGCTGTTCTGATTGCTATCTAGTTCTGCTTGGGCGGATTTATGTAAGGGTACTTATAGGTGTTAATTCCGGACCACCATATTCCACTCCCACCCCTAGAACAAACAAACCCCGGACCTCCCAGGTTCCGGAGGACCGAACGCTCGGTGCCCCGTCTAGCCTGATGGGCCGATCAACTCACTTTATAATTTACCCCTATTCGGAAGTAACATACATGTAGTGACCAAATAGCGCCAAGACATCCCGGGAAACACCTAGCTGTACCCGTTGTCGGTCTATCAAACCTCCGGTTCCGGCCAGTCGGATTTTCTTAACCTATGGCGCGAGAAGGCATAGGGGGTGGGTGTGTCAACTTCAGAGGAACTTTTTTGTATGGAATTAGAGAAAATTCCACCATTAGTCTAGGCGCTAGTACCATTAGGGGAGTAGATCTCCCAACTTTTAGCTGCAAACGCCGAAGTTTACACACCTGCCCACCATAGCTTCTCGAGCCATACGTGTATCCGCAAACTAATGACCAGGGGGTGGTGGGGTTCGGGGTTTCAGTGGTTTGGCGTTGTGTACGAAATGAATCCGTGTCTGCCTTTTTCTGTAGACTAAATGCATAAAAAAATCTAATCATGATATATATAAGACAGCAAGCACGCGCACCTCAAAATAAGATCCATCCCAAGAAAAGAGAAGCCAAACTCCAAGCCACCACATTAATCCCTTCACAGTTTTTGTTTAAAAAAGGAGAAGAAAAAATAATATAAACTAAAACAAAGCACCTCTCCAAAAAATAATGATACTTATGTAGCGTCTAACACTTATCCCGAGAAACCGGGGACACCCCAACTAGCAAAGAAGTCGTCTCCATCACCATCGTGAATTTTAACCTTTTCGGAAATCTCCCGAATATTTGATTCAATGTTTTCGGGAATCGCGTCACCGTGACCCGCGGCAACGCGGAGAATCAACTCGTTGAGCTTTTGACGGCCAAGGATATCTGATAGGTAGATTGTGTTAGAGTGATTATAAATAAACGAGAGGTAAACAATGATGTACTTACCAACATGATCACCTGTGTTTGGCCCTCCTCTGGAAACACCCTCCTGTTAGTGGTGCCAAGATGAATACAAAACCCTCGGAGTGAATAACTTACCGGATATCAAACATATCAGGCTGGTGCGGCATCTCATAGGTCTTGATTGAGATTCCTGCTGGGTTATATCTTTTCATCTTCCAGCCCTTTGTACACATGTATCCCGCACTAAGCAAAGACACTGTTCCGTCACCTTCTCCAACCACGACACCGCGATCCTGTAAAGATGTTCAATATAACGTCTTCGATGACAGGGAAACTCAAACGGAGGAGTACTCACGCTACCATCTCCATTAACACTTGTGTCAATGCTGATATTTAGTGACGACATTGGGCTTGTTATATCTTGGTAATAGTAGCTATTGATTATGTGAGTAAAAAGACTCGATATGAGTTTGACGGGAAGAGAATGAAGAGCACCTTCTTTCGGTTTCTTTTCCGATACCATAAAAGCAATAGATCTTCATGCTCGGTGCATATGGCAGCCTTGATTCCAACGGATTTACCCATTTTGACTGGATCTTCTCGTTCGCCTCAACCTCCTTCTTGGTATGCGCAACTCCGTGGGAATAGCTCCTCAGGACTTGCTTCCGGAACCAAGGGTCGGAGTTCTTCAATAGATACTCCAAACCTCCGGCTACAGTTAGATTCTGGCGCGGATGCCCACGGGTGGAATTGCCCTCTGTAAACTTGATGAACGAGCCATAGCTAACGTTCTGGCCCGGCTTATCATCAGGAGCCCATGTTAGATTTCCCCAGACTGCATCACCACCCTTTGGAAGCATACTTGAAATTCCCGGCATAGCCCGGAGAATCTCTGCACGGTCTTCACGGCTAAAAAACTTCTCGAGTCCAAAGACAGCAAGACGATTTAGCTGAGCTGTGTCCTTCATTTCGCCAGAGAGGACAGCGGGAACGCCCTTGACAGCCCCTAACATGCAACCGCTTATCTGTCATGAACGGTTAGCTTTAAGGCTAGGGATTCGAAGGTGCGAAAAGGTACATTTATAAACGAATCGATGTTATCTTCCACCCATCGATTACCGCCATTACCGTGCCCCTCGGCCTCAACCCACTTGAAGAAGTAGTGGACCACCTGCGAGCCCATACTGTGCGCGACTAGTACGGCCTTTTTACCGGAAAGCTTGTTTGATGTCTCGATGTAAGTCTTTAGCCGTGAGAAGTACTTATCTCTTTTCTCAAGATCCGGGTATGCCAGTCGCCAATCGTAGGACGCAGTGTAAGCGGTTGTTGGATCGTAACCTATGCTCGCCAAGTTCTCTACAATCTTGTTCCAGATCCAATATCTATCCTCATTGTCAGAACACTCTATCCACCTCAATTCCCCGTAGAGTCTGCATACCCGGTAACAAAAAAGTCAGTAGCATCAAACCCCTGCGCGGCGCGAAGCTTGATGCCAGGCGGGTCGAGACCAGTGTCCTTATCTAGCATTACATGTTGCTAAAAAACCGATGAGCAACAGCGCAGCAGTCCCTTGTGATATAAACCTACCTTCCAGGTAGCTCTGTCCGTAACCATAGCTCTCAACATGCTCCAAGAACCCCATAGCCGCTTCCGGAAGTATGGCCGGCTCTTTTCACCCGTCCCCCAACTCTCCAGTCTAAATGTGCGTGAACCGTAGTGTCAGTCGGGACGATAAGCATTTGAGATAGATCGACAGCAGATTATTCCGTATTATACCCTGTTGAGATGACTCCCGGCACCTATTCCATTAACACACAAAGCTTAACACCGGGAGAAACGGATTGATCTACCATAATAACCGGATGATTTGCCTCCAACCCCTCCGACTTCAACGCCAACCCCACGCGGAACGCATCCGCACTCACCACATCTTTCTCCCGTTGCTGCCGTCCATGGGTCAGTACGATAGGCATAGCAGAAGCGTTGTCGTTACCGGTCCCGCCGTGCAGGCGACAGCGAGAGCGAGGGCGACATACCGAGATATCTGTAGCTTCCTTCAGTATGCCCGCGGGAATCACATCAACCAACGACCCTAGCTGGAAGTCCCCAATCACAATGTCCTGGCTCTTTGCAAAGAAGACGGCGAGAAACAGGCCCACGAGCCCGCCAATGATGAACACGAGGGTGTAGGAGCGCTTCTTGGCCCGTTTGGCGGTGTGTTCGACTTTCTCGACGATCACGGGTAATGTCTTTTGCAGCTTCTTCGACGACGACGAGTCTTCAGGAGGCGGCGGAGGAGGTGTTGCTGCTGCTGTGGTGGGCTCGGATGAGGGGTTCTTATTGCCCCTCCGTTTCTTGGGCGACATGTCTTGGTGGTGGATTGGGGTTAAGGTAAGAAGGCAGCAGAAGAAAAAAAAGATGAGATGATTGGCAAGAATTTCAGTCAGTGGTTGTGTTGTGTTAGTAGCAGTGGGTATGGAATGTGAGGAAAGATCAAGCTCCCTCTCTCTGGTTTGTTGTCACAAAGGACCCGTCACCCAGCCATTCAGAAATGCCGCCGACGGACAGGGGGGGTCCGGGGGGGCGGGTGTGGATGTGTGGATGTGTGTCTTGCCTTGTCTCGCTCCCAGAGCCGCAGCTTGGCATGAAACGTCATATGTACTTTTTCGTTTACGGAAACTTTGTGTCCCGCGATCCCGCCAGCCCTGTGGAAAGTAAATCGTGTGTTACAAGTGGTGTGGAGGAGGGTGGGAGAGACCCTGGTCGGATCAGCTGGGCGTTTAGTGGGATCATAAATGATCACTCGCGGGTTTGTCAGACTCTCGAATATGTGTAGTCCCGTGTTCGGTGCTTACAGTCACTCTTTATACCCGTAAGACCAGAGGAATAAGCAAAAAACAAATCTTGGAAACCCTGTGGTATCGTGGAAACAACTGAACGTGATACCTACCAACCCTGGTGATCAAGAGCGTTGCTACCGTTTTCGTTTCTCCCGCCACTAACCGTATCAGAACGAAATATATACATCTACCTAATTGATTCCCAGGGTCTAGTAGAGGAGGAAGTTTAGCCCAGGGTGTTTCAGGGACGATTTGGTTGCGCTGGTGAACTCGGTCTCGCCAGGGCCCATGCTAATAATCAGGGTCGAAAGAAGGCTAGCCCGCATTATGTAAATCATAATAAATCACTCGTCGATTATGTGTCGCCATAACCCGAAAAATTGGCTAGATCAAACTTATTTATATGGGAAACTCCTGATGCAGATCGATTGCTATTCAACCAATCACTCAAGTGGTAATCCCTGGACGGAGATGGCTAATTTTCCGAGTTTTGGCAGTATCGTACACCTTAATAAGGTCTTTATACTCAGAATCTTGCAGTCAACAGCTATCCTTTACGGCGGAGAGGGAGGGCTAGTTGATGTCATGGACTATTCTAGTATATTCATGTAGTTTCTTTTCGGGATTCCGGGAAAGCGGGTGGATTTGCTTGACTTGCAATTGCAGAGACCTGGATGGATAATAGTGTTGTAAAAATAATTTCTCGTTCCTGAACCAATTATTAAACACCCTAATATCTGGTACAACACCGGGAGTCCCCAATATTCCGATACTCCTGAGCGCGGATACGATTAGTGCCTACCTAAGCTATCGGATGGCCATCCCAAGTCAATACAGGCATATATCACAAAGAAAGAAAAAACAGCTCTACCTAGCTATCCATCTATCTAGAGAGAAAAAAGAAAACTCCCAAGCCAAGACGCTACAACTGAGTACTCCTACCTACCGTCTATCTGCATTCTTAATCCTCGCCTCCAATTCTGCCTTCTTCCTCTCCAACTCCTCAATCTCCTCCTCCTCCCTGCGAATCATCTCCTCCGTCACCATCTCCTCCCCCGGCCTCAGATACGCTGTCTCATCTTCATACACCACCCCATCCATCGCATCATCCTCATACTCCACCTCACCACCACCGCTCCGTCCATGCAGCAGATCCAGCTCGGCTTTCTGCGCCTCTACCAGCGCCTCATAGTTCTCCAGCGACTCCGACAGCTGCTCGAACCTCTCCCGTGCCCTCTCGATCCTTTCCGCCGCGCCTGGTATATGGCTACACAACACTAATCAGCACCCACCAACTCTCTCTCTACAAAAAAATGAGGGGACCCGTACTAAACAGCCCCCAACCTCTCCGCCCCCATCAGCAGCACCTCCACATCCACATCCCCCGTCGGCATGGGCACACCTCCCACCCCGCGCCCAACCCCGCCCGCGCCGCCGCGCCGCAGCTTCTCAACCATGTCGCCGCCGAGGACGGAGTAGACGGCCGTGTTTCTGCGCGGGGCGATGGAGACGCGGCCCTTCTTGTCGGCGTCGGGGACGGTGGCGGTGGACGTGGAGGTGGTGGTGGAGGGGACGGTGAAGAGGGCGCGTTCGTGGGCGTCGGTGTCGCGGATGAGGGAGACGATGTCGGTGGAGTGGAGGATTGCTAGGGGGCGTTAGTGGGGTTGATAGGAGGGGGGGAGGGAGGGAGGTACCGTTTGTGAAGATTTTAGGGGGAGCAAAGGGGAGGGTGGAGAGGGCCTGGGATGAGAGGGTGATTTGCTCGAGGTGGGGGTCGAGGAAGGAGGTCATTGAGGTCATTTTGAAGGTGGTGGGTGGGTTTGCTTGTCGCCCAGTCGTAGTAGATATCATAATTGTGGAGAGGTGAGTGTAGAGGTGAAATTAGTTGTTGGGTGTGAAGCTATAGTGATATTGGTCTGGTGGGAATATCTCCAGTGTTTACGAGTGATGTTTTGGGGTGCATATGGCTTATCGATAAGCGATCTTCCAGAAGCTTGTCTTAGCTCTTGATATTTGCACGAGGGCCGGGTGGTGCACATCTACGGGCAACTCAAATTAAGTTAAACTCTCTCTGAATAAATGTTGTAGATACCATCAGTCTCTCCTCTCAATTCGAACCTCCAAGCAGTCCTAGTCTTGCTGTGTCCAAGTGCTGCAGCTGGTCACAACCCTGCACTCGTCCCGCACTTCAAACCCCACCAGCCAGCCAAGCAGGGTAACGCATCACCAGCCAGCACCCGCTCCACCCACACTACTGGCAGCAAGCACACGCACGCAGCACACAACGCCCGCGGTCCCCAGAACCTTAATTACATCACCCTGTACCCACTACCCACTACCCACTAGCACAGCGCGCGGCACCGCACCCACGCACTCACAATGGCAACCCCCCAGCCCACCGTCCAGCAGATCACCGACCTCCTCTCCTACATCCGAGCCATGAGCGCCCACGCCGCAACCCCGCTCCCCAGCGAGGTACCATTAAAGATCAGTTATGCGCGCTACGACGCCGCCCAGGAGCCGAAGCAGCTTGAGGCCATCCGGCAGCTTATTTCTAGCGACCTGTCGGAGCCGTACAGCATCTATGTGTACCGCTACTTCCTGTACCAATGGGGGAATTTGTGCTATATGGTGTGTCTACTTCCTTATCCTAGATGGTGTCAATGTTGGTCCTTAGGTTATTGACGAAGTGGGATGAGTGGTTATAGGCGATGGACGGCGAGCAGATAATCGGTGTTGTAGTGTCGAAGCTCGAGGAGCACCGTAACGGTGTGATGCGTGGATACATTGCTATGTTAGCTGTCAAAGAACAATACCGGGGCAAAGGAATCGGTACCCTTCTCCCCCTCCCTCTCCCCCCTTCCCACCTCACCACTAACACTCCCTCGCAGCCACCAAACTCGTCCAAATGGCCATCGACGCCATGATCTTTGGCGACGCCGACGAAGTATGTCCACCCCCACCCCTACCTCCCTGAGCCCCCCCACCCCCATCGATTTCCCCAAAACAAACAAGAAGCAACCCCACAGGTGGCGCTAGAGACCGAGATCACAAACACGGCCGCAATCAAGCTATACGAGCGCCTGGGCTTCCTGCGCAGCAAGCGCCTGCACAGATACTACCTCAACGGCAACTCGGCCTTCCGCCTGCTGCTGCCGCTGAAGAGCCAGGGCCTGCTGCATGAGCATGAGGAGCATGAGTGCGGCGAGGACGATGGGCATGATCATGGGCATGATCATGGGCATGGGCATGGACATGACCATGGCGGGGAGGAGTGTGGCGGGCATGGCGGGCATGGGCACGGGCATGAACATTAGGAGGGTGTGTGTGGGGTTTGGTTGCATGTCGTGAGAGTTCATTGTACGTATCAATTCCGGTGATTGGGTTCCTTTTCTTTTTTCTTTAATGTCTTTTGAATCTCGGGAGTTGGGGAATTCATGCTGGTGGTGGTGTAGAGAAAAAAATCTGGCCAGGAAGGAAGGCCGGATGAGAACTACATTTAGAAATGTCAGAAGTCAAAGCCCATAGCCCCACCCGTCCGGCACCCAAAAGAGGAAAAAAATAGAGAGAATAGAACCAGTAACTAGAAAACAGACATACAAAGGGCCATACAATCACCCACGTCGATGATTTACTTCATGATATATCACTCGTCCCGCCACCTACAGCAGAACGTATCTATACGTAACCTAGAGCAAAACCTAATGCCTTACCTTTCAACGACAATGGGATAAGAATAATATCTACATCCATCATACACCCACCTCATCGCCAGTTCTCACTGCTACCAACCGCAACATCCACGCAGAACAGCTATATAATTCTAGTTATCCACACACACAACTAATCTCATCCGCTTCTATGCGTAGCATAATGTGAGAACCATAAGAAAACCACTAATAGTTACACACAAAAAGACGTCACCCCCAGTAGATAACAATGCGAGTGATACTCCATGACACTCTTATATAGAATCTCTATATAGAACATCGCAATTCCTCAAAATATAGGTATCCTTGTGCGGTGTGATGGGGATGGCTGGCTCGCTGGATGTTCGCATATTTCCTAGTCCCGAGCATAATTCTAACTTCCTCACCGCGCACCGTCACCAGGAACATTTCTACTGCGTATTATCAGACAAAGAACCACACCCGAGATGCATATGGAAGGGAACTGGCATACTTAAATAGCATGTAGTCATTACAATTGATTGACACAAGCTAGATCTAGTCTCTAGGGAACAAACACTAGGGGTATTCACTTCTTCAAATACGTGCTCTTATAGGCATGTGCTTATATGGACCGCTTAAAATAATCGGCAGTCGCGTATTCTGAAATATGTACTATGAGGAGAAAATACGCATCACCAACCTACCCTATTGTCCAAAATATAGACCATATATGCGTATGATTTATTAGTACACTAAAAACAAATCTTAAATTAATATGGTAACAGATTTTCTCCTACAACATGGCATGTGCACTCCAGAGGTATTCAAATTTTTGAGAAATGCAATGCTATATAATTATAAGCCACATTGTAATGCAGCTTTATTAAGGCACATATTTATAGAAGTGAATACCCCAACTGATTGAAGTACTGAAGCTATTTCCTCGCTAGTCCTTTGTTATAAACTATATGTATGTATTGGGGCGCTGTGCGTGGTCTATCTATATGCATCAATCAAAAAGATCTGACATCTGGACTTAGAGTGCATTTCTTTACTATCTTCATGATCACCTATGGTCAAATCCCCTAACGCTCACTTTTGTTTTTATTACCGCTATGGATAACAAGTAAACGTGTACGTCTTTAAAACTATCAATTATTGATGCGTTAAATGATGCAGTAAAATATTCATTCTTTGATCCATTATTGATGCGTTAAATGATGCAGTAAAAGATTCATTCTTTGATCTATTATTGATGTACTATTTACACGCATATTTTTTTGAAAAGAAGAAGAAGAAGGCGAAAACTTAAGCATGACTTTAGGACAAGTTTTCTATACCCAAAAAAAAATATGTTACCTCTATACATTTACACGGCCCGCGGCTAGTAGAGTACGGTACTCGCGCCGGTGGGGTTCGGAAATTAGTATGGAATCACGGGTTCACATTCATTTTTGAGATGAAAGAAGGGATTTTAATTCCAAACAAACGAGCAAACGGTGCTTTCATCGTTGCTAGAACGGCGAGTTAATAACGTTTACGTCATAAAAAAAGTATTTCTGGGAATATCGAGTGATGATCTGTGACCAACCAGGTAGCACAGTTACATTTTGATAAACTTTATAATTTACTTTTAACTGAAATAATACTTGACATTATGGTTGAACTGGGAAATATGAAGACAACAACTGTAGACACAAAAAATAACAACAGAAAAAGCACCTGTGTAGTGATCGTGAAGAGAATCATGAAGCTCAATAATAAATAAACCAACGCCATCCCAACACTAACCGCCCCCCCCCCCCAAAAAAAAAAAAAAAAAAAGAAAAAGAAAAAAGAAAAGAAAAGAAAAACGACCTCAAACATTATCTTAACCCCGGGTCCCAACTCAAACAATAATTCCATAGCACAACCAAACTATATACTCAGTAGATATCTTTACTCTAGCCTCTTATACCCTTGACACCAACTTCAGATAGCGTCAGTACAGAATCATGAATTCTAGCCAAGGATTGTAGAAAACTTACAGGTCTGGCTGACCCCAGAAATACTATCTTTGGAACTCTCACCGCCATCAGCAGGCCCACCGGCAACACTATTCCAATTCCATAGACTCTCTCCTCGCTTCACCTTCACCTCGTACTCCACTGGTCCGGCGAATTTGAGGTGGTACCTCTGATCATTCTCATTTTTCATGACCTTAGGGGCAGCGAAAAGAGGAATTGGAGGAGTCAATCGAGGGGATGGAGAGTTCGTTATCGTGTCGGAACTCGCTGGACTCGCTATATGTTTTGGATCCTTAGGGTTCTTTGGATTGAGAATGTACGGCATGTGTGTCTTTCTGCCTTCCCAGTCGTCTCGATCACCGCATACTTCCTCGTCTAGAAGTCTGTACATCTGTGTAGCCTGAAGTCCAACCGCCCGCAAGGTGTATCGGGAGGCTTTCCCGCTGTTTCTGGACGTACATCTATTGCATCTGAAGATCGTGATGATAAACCAAACCAATAGCCACGCGACTGGAATGACAACAAGAACCGTGAGTGACATTGTTGTTACTTTGGAGGTAGACACAACTATATCACCGAGGCCCCGTTTTGGAACCCCATCTTGCCTGGCGGCATTTAAGTCGGGATAGTCTGCTACTAAGCTCTCTAACGAGGCCGAATCTCGGAAGGCGTTTCGGGACGACACGTAGTTTATGAGGATTAAACGCTCTATGTCTTTGTACCAACTTGCTGAAGACGCGTCTATTAATCCACTAGAACTGCTCATAGATGTAAAAAGAACCGCCCCTCCAAGAGACCTCATTAAACGGGGGATCCTCGATTGTGCAAAATGAAAGGGTATAAGCTCGTCCTTCAAAGCTCCTGGGACCACGTGGTCGGGAAATTCACTGATAGTGTTTGGATCATAAATCTTAATATCTTTATAACCCCAATATGTTTGCTCCCAGCAACTAAGTGAAGGTCTGCCTCGCTTGATTGCATATTTCGGAAAGCCCTCTGATAAGACTAGGAGTTCTTCTGTCTCATATACTGGATCGGTTGACTCTGTGAAACTTTGTAGAGAATTTGTTTCGAACACCATCATGAAAGTGGTGTTCCCAATCCTTAGACCATCCGTAGTCTCGTTAATGAATTTCGAATACGCAGCCTTTGCTGTGGGCGCTGAGGTGGATCTTTGTACCTTTACTGTCATATTAGTATTGAGATAAGGGTTGTAGTAGATGTCATAGTCAAGACTGCTGGTTGTGTCTATATAATCATCTCGAAGTTCGCATTTCCCAAGGACAGGATAGACAAGATCGCTGGCATGTTGCAAACCAAACTCTACACCCGTTATTGTGTAGCTGTAAGAAATACTCCGGTCATCTCCCTCAATTGAAATTTTTTGCATTGTCGTGTTGGAAATTGAGTCTACAGTTCCAGCAGCTCTCTGGGCCGAGGATACTCCGAAATTATACGTTCGCATACCCAATGATACGTCCTTTCCTGTGTTCCAGTAGAACATACTCTCAGGATTTACCGGAGCAACATTGCCCATTGGAGATTCGTTGCCTATAAAAACGGTTGATGCGATGAGCACACGGGCGGCCCCAGCGGAGATCATAAATCCTGCGGCCAGGAGTAAAACCATAACATCTAGCATGCATGTTGCCTGGTCTCCTACTGTTTTGCACATTATCCAAGCATGTTCCATCAACAATAACATGGCTGAGGCTGGGTCTGTTGTATTCCAAACGCTGACGAGAGCGATATATCTGTTGGCCTTATTTCGGCGAACTTCCAACAGTTCATCGGGTAACAACGGTTTGCTACCAGTGCCATCCTTTATAAAATCCTTGCGGTCTTTTCGAGACCATACCCTGCTATCATTTTCTGTTGGGTACCATGTAATGATCAGGTAAGTGATGAATTGCCATAAAAAGCCGAACATCGAGCCAAGGATTATTGTGTATAGAGCAAGAAAGTTTGCGCCTATATCGGCGTCTACTGATATGGCAAATTTGCCGCCTCCGTCTGTGGGCATTGTAAAAGGTTTCCATAGGAGATAGACATCCCTGGGTAGATCGGTATTGAGTGTTGAACTGGTGACCATTATGGATATGATCTGGTGGGTATCTAAAACTGAATTCAACCTTGTAGCTCTAGGAGGGTATGTCGGTACTCCGTGCTATGGCGCTACAAATGAGTTAGAATATCTAAATCTCTGAAATACCTAACTATGTAGGTTGCTTGATTAACTCCATATAAACTGCCTACCCTCACATACCTTGGTATAATGTATATTATCTAGCTGGTAGACGCACAAAGCTCGAAAGGTTGTCAGGTGTAGCGAGTTGGAGTCTTAAGGGATTAGGCCCTTGGTGACTTTTGTACGGTTTGTAGAGGAGAAGCAATCTTGAAGTAAGACGACACAACAGCTGGATTAAAACTGCATAGCAAGCTTAAGGCGGAGCATCCACAAAGAATCTGGGCCTTTAGTTCTATATAGGCTTATGCAGCCCCGAGGTTGTCATAGTAGCTTTATATTCCGAAAATAGTGGATGAGAGCTGTTAGTGCATATGTGTGTAATTATCAGCGTAACTGACTCGCACATGCCTGTATGTGCGCGGCCAAAACCTAGAGTAGGTGTGGATGGCCGGTGATATGAGCCTATCCGCTTGCTTATCGAGGAAGCCTGGGCGATGGGTTTGCGGATTTGAATTTGCTAAACGGCAGATTCTTGCTTATATGCATGCTGATGCATGTTATTTCTATCCAGCCAGCCACGAATTCCAACATACAGGTCTGGAACAAACCCTTAAACTTGTTAACCATATAATATTTTATTTTATCAGGGGTTTTGGATTCAAAGACAAGTTGACCTGGACCCACACACACTACATGTATCACAGGTCACATATGTTGAAGAAATAGGTTTTTAAGACTGAAGTTGTGCAACTGCATGTAGCTTTCGTAGCTGTCATTTTGTTTGTTTCCCCAATTCTGTATGAATTAAGGATAAATTTTCAACAGTAAAAGGTATATGAAGCTAGCCATACCACATGAGGTAATTTACCGGATTGCTCATCATTGTTTCCCAAGCGACTTCAAACGTACTAGTGTACATATTCTAAATGTAGTTTCTAATTTGGTTCCTACATTTACTATAATCAAGGAGAGTACTACAGGAGTATGTAGAGTCTACTCTATTTTGGGATAATTTTATAAATGTGTGGGCATAAATATTTTCACAGCATGTGCACCGCCACGTCCGGTATACAGCCGGTAGCGATAGAGTGCTTACTGTTGTCCTGTACTTTAGTCGACTGTGTGTGAATACCAACCAAGTGTTGTGTGGCTTGTTCCATGGCCAGGGCACCATACTACGTTAACCTGATTTTTGAACCAATTGCAATGCCAACATTCCTTAGTACCTAGTACCTCATTCTCTAGATGAAGCCCTTCTCCTTCTTCACAAAGTACTTATTATTTTAAACGATGATTAAGAACTAGCCATAGTCGTACGTGTTTCATAGGTCATAAACGAAATATGTATGTGCTATGTACTCTAGTACTAATAGGACTAGGCGTGGTTCTGCACCACATGTCGGCTAGTTCCAGGTCCCTGCATCCGATTTGGTGGGAACGCTTCTAGATCGGGAGACTTCCGAATAAACGCTGCAGGTCATCGCCTGGTAGAGTAGAAACAATAAATTATGCTGTGTTCTGAGAACTAAGGTAAAGATATTTTTGGAAATATCTAGTTGTGTTAGAGTGAGCATGAGCCTCAACCGTAGGCAGGTGCTCCATTGGAGAACACGTGATTCTGCGAATGTGGTAAATAAACGGTACGAGGTCGCTGCACTTGTAAATAAGTTATGGGAATACTTGTAAAACTTTACCTACTCTACAGCAAATTCACTCTTGTGATACTACTCTACTAGGACTACATGTAGGTAATCTACACATGGCAAGCGGTAATTTATCGTGACATGTACCGCGTACTAGGCTACCTACTCTGTGTAGATATGTACTCGCGACCAGCAACAAGAACCCGAATATGCAGCTGCAAGTATTTTTGACTTCTACCCCAATGGAAATTGCAGATTAGGACGTGCATTTTCGGGTTCTTGTTGCTGGTCGCGAGTACCTACTTACATGTAGGTACTATAGGTACTATTCTAGGCACACGTACCCTTCCGTTTACTGGATAATAACAGTGTTGGTTAGACTGGTACGGGTCCATACTAGTACATGTACGTGTATGGTGTCTGGTAAGGCTGATTGTTTCTCGTGCAGAACGCGGCGGCGGCGCAGTGCAACATCAATCGAGAAATATATCTTAATCGGGAGTATGTCAATGAAGCCAATCGCTGGCAGTTCATGTCATTGTTAAATAGCTGGTTCCCTCCCCCTCCAGTCCAAGAGAAGAACTCAAGCCTAGCTAGATCTACAGAGCCTTCCCTAGCCAAGTTCACATTTATACCTGCCCGCCAAGATGACGAACTCTTTAATACTCCCAGTATTCCTACTTTTCTCTTCTATTGCTAGCCCTGTATTTGCCCAATATTCTGGAGGCTATGATATCATTGAGATATGCAAACAAACACCCGAAACTACCGCCTGGGGTGAATACCTAGAAAACAATCCAGATATATACAATCAATACTACGCCGATTTACGAGATAAGAGCATCTTCATACCGTCAAACCAAGCTCTAAAAAAGTTCGCCAGCCAGAAAAACTACACCATTCAAGAGCGCTCAAATGCCTTTGTGGATCAGAGTCTCTTTGTTGGAGATATGGTGGACCCATCAAAATACATAAACACATTAGGGGATAGAAAGACATCAACAGCACGTCAGAACAGGAGAGCTGACACAGCGAGCAATGGAGAAGGCGAGGCGATAACACTTCGAACGGCAGCGAAGGGCATCAACCTAAGGAATATCTTCATCGGCATGATCTTTGGCGACTCTTCGGAAGACTCGAAGCGGTTGAAAGAGCGTTCGTTTGAGCATGCCCCGGATCCAGCACCGCCTGGAATTACGATTTCTACTGGACTCGGGAAGAAATCGCATGTTTTGTTTGGAAGTCTGAAGGCTCTGCAGGGCATACTCTGGGTCATTGATAGGTGAGTTTACCTTCTCATAAGGCGGGATCGAGTTAGTCAGGTTTTGTTTACTAACTAGTGACATTTTTCATAGTGTTTTTGAGTTTCCCGAATTAGTTTCAGATTCACTTAAACACATGGATGAAGTCGCCGACTTTGGCTCTGCGGTGGAATCAAATGGTCTGACGGAAAAGTATGATACCGCAGACCAAATCACCATGTTCGTACCGATCGACGGGTCATATAACAGCTCCTGCTCCTGCTCCATAACCGCAGCAGCTGTTGAGGCCCATGTCGTGTATGGCGCTGCTCTATACAACTCTATACTCCTAGATGGAACAGAATTCCAGACATGCCAGGGCAAAAAGTTGAAGATCACTGTCCAGGATGGGGAGAAGTATGTCAATGGCGTGAGGATTGTTCTGAGTGATGCGATTACTCTGAATGGTGTTATCCATACGATTGAGAGGGTACGTTATTTCGATAATCTCTAATAATTAGTTGTGATGGGCTTTTTCTGACAGTGGACTTAATTTAGCCCTTGGTTGATTCAGACTATGATGAATATGAGGGTACGACAACGACTGAAGCAACGCCTATAGCCACCGAGTACCAGACCTACTATGAGCCATCAACGACTGTAGTCGAAGTCCAAGTCACTAGTACACCACAGGTCACTAGTACACCAGTTACCACCGGCGTCCCTGCTGCCAGTACCACTACACCATTGGCAGGCACAAATGCCACCGCTACCCCCGTGCAATTCCTGGGATCAGCTTCAATGCTGGGGATGGACATGAGGGTCACTTTGGGTACAGTTGTGTTTGCATTGGCGGTGTTTATGTTTTAATGATATGATGTAATGTGATATGATGATTGGGGGTTTTGGGGCTTTGGGGCTTGGGTGTATGTAGGGTACCTTTTTTTTCTTTGCTTTTTTGGGAGCGAGCCGGGACTGGGGGGATATTTTTGGGACGCGGGAGATGCCAAGTGGGGTAATATTTAAGAGGCAACTTCGCCTTCTTTTTCTTTGGGTTTTTTTTATATAATGAATAGAGTACCTCTACCTAGGTACATGGTAATACCAAAAAGATTTAAACAAAACGTAGCTCGGGCTCATGCATGCTTCTTTATTAGCCTGTACTCTACTTACACACATGTCATAGTAGCACTTGTCCATACCTACGTGCGCACCGGAGGTTACGTAGTGACAAACCCGAAAAGTCTTCGGATCTCTTGACTGTAGTTCTATCTCGAGGGACCAGATCTTCCGCAATGGGCAGATCTAGATTAATTATCCTTCGTATAGTAAACACAGTACATGTAGCCAGATGTATCCACACGCAAGGCGGTAAGTGCCTTTTGGACAGCTTGACACGTGCTGCGGCTCATGCAGTCCAGTCCATAATAGCAAACGTACCCGTCCAGAGAACCTCCCAGACCTCAATCAGGACGACGACGATGACAACACAGGGTCACATACATGTAACCAACCGACCCTCCAGATCAGAGCATCGTAGGTTATACAGGCTCGCAGGTTGGCGAGAGTCTCTCGGCTATCACTACATACAATCACGTCGCAGCTTTCCCAATTAACTCTCGCTCTCTCCGTGTCCTAGATCCACGTCGAATATTAGATGTGCAGGAGTGGTTACAACAGCTACATGGACATAGACTAACCTCAAATCGCAACGTAGTTCGCGGGGTCAATAGCTCCCGTAAAAGCACAAGAGATAAGTTTTTTTTTCGGTTCGGGCAATGTTTAACGAGACAGACGATTAATTGCTTATGTTTGTCTGACTGGGTCAACCGACCAGTGAAGAGTGGAGTAAATAAATGAATCGCTGGGCGCAGCAGCAGCAGTGCATGCCGTTGGAATAGAGTTATGACAAGCACGTTCCGTCCCGACTGGTGCTAGTTCGATTACTTGCCCTACTATTTAATACAGTTTACACCGGGCTAGTGACCCCACCACTCACTCATACAAAATACGCCTATATATAGTGCCACAAAAGCATCATAGCCTCCATTCATATCATATGGGTTACTAATAAGGAATACAAGAATGATGATAGCCTAAAGTCATAAAAGACGACAAAAGGAAAAAAAGAGGAAGAGCAAAAAAAGCAACTGCAGTTTAAATTTAGGATATGGAAAAGAAGTCAGAAGTCAGAGGCAGATCAAGAATTGAAGCACGCTAGCCAACGTCAAAGGTCAAAGCCCCCCCCCCCCCCCCCGCAAAAGCATAATTGTTTAGAGTAATCCGGGGGGTCTCGAACAGTGCACCGACACTAGAGTATTGTACCTACCCATTTTAGGCAGCAGCCTGCACAACTCTAAATCCAGCAGCAACCGTCTTCTGAATCTCTTCGTTCTTGTGCTGCAGCAGACTCAACGCGTACGCCACATCGTTCCATTGCCGTTCCGTCTCGCATCTGCCCAGCCGGGCCGCAAGCTTCTCAGCAAGCTGCTTGGCATGCTTATCCTTCTCCACAAAGCTAGCCAAAAACTTTACGATCCTCCTTAACGCGTCCTCCTCGAGGTCCCTCTCGGCACTCAGCAGGGAGAACATGTCTACAAAGTGGTTGTAGACGGCATTATCCTTTGTTGCCAGCTCTGTAAAGAACATTCGCGAGAGATCAGCGATGCGCTTGTCAGAGTCCTCGAGACATTTGGCCATCTCTCCGAGCTGGCCCTTGACTTTGACCTGTCCAGCAAGGATGAGGAAGGTTAACGTCATAAGGCAAGTCCGCTTCACTGAGGCATCTGGGTCATTAAGACGTCGATATAAGAAATCGGTGTTTTCATCAATGAGGTGATTGAAACACACGGCCATATCACCGAGTGCAATCACGGCATTGCTACGTGTGATGGGGTCGGCAGAGCGCTCCATTATCGTGATGAGGAGCGGAAGATTAGTCTCGCAATATTCAGCAGATACACACATCAACTTTGCCATACATAGTGTGCTCTGTGCTTGTAAGTTTCGGTCCTGGTTGCCGTTGGCTGCATATTAGCGAAGTGTAACAATGAAGTGAAAAAAAGGAAAATGCACTTTAATGTCATTGGGCTCCTACATACCTTGTAGATAAGATTATTTGCGCAAATCTCAGCAACCAATGGGCCAAAGTTTGACAGTAACGAGTTTTGCCCATACAGTAACTCTCTCTCCCGGATAATAGCCATAGCCTCTGTGAAATCGTCCTCTGAAGTACCGCCGATCAAATCGAGCTCGTCCTTCTCGTCGCCGTCCTTCTTTTTCGGCGTAGGATTTGCGTCTTTGTCTGGTGGTTGTACAAATAGCTGTTAGCAAACTTTTCTTTTTGCACCTTGTCCCCAACACCCAATTGCCTATTCCAGTTCCAAAAGTGCAAACGTCCGGTGAAGGCGACTCACTCTTTTCGCTATCACTTTTCCGTTTCTTGAAATCCAGCTCCATGATCTCCAAGTGCACGATTTGTTTTACCGCGACATGCCCCACAATGAACAACAATTGGCTCAGCGCAAACGCCTTGCCCTTCTTCTTCTCATCCTCGTCGCCCGCAGCAGCAGCAGCAGCCGGCAACGGCGGAGGCGCCACCGCCGCTGCATCCTCCATATCCACATCCATCATATCCTCATCCCCATCAGCATCCACCGCACTCCTCGGCGTCTCTGGCGGAGCCGCACTCCCCTCTCTGCTCCCGCCGCCGGGGATTTCTAGACCCTGAGCAAACACGCTCTTTGTCTTTCGGCGGATGATGTCAGTACACAGCTGGTCCGGGAACTTTGCCAGGGCGTATACGGCCGAGATAGCCTGTTCCGCGACGCCGAACCACTCCTTATCGCCCGATTCGAGCTCGACTAGTGCGCCTAGCCGGACCAGGATCGCGTGGTCGTTCGGAAGCTTGGTCATGGTTGTGGTGGTGGTGGCATCTACTCAAAGAAGGAAATAAAAAAGAAAAAAAAGGGAATGCGCGTTAATTAATTTCTAGACTAGAGTATGATTCGCTATGCAGATCATCACCACTACTCACCCACTACCTACCACCACATTCACACTCACACTCGCTCTCTCCCCGCTGTTGCTCACTTGGGGTTGGCTGTGGGGGTGGGTTACCTGTCTGGGACCCGGTAGGGAGCGGATAGGCAACCCCATGGTTTCAGGCTGGCACTGCATTGTCTGTCTCCCGGAATCCGAGACCGGGGTTTGCACTGGGCCCACCCCTCCCCCGTCTGCAGGAAGTGACTCTCACTTCCCGAGTAGGGAATGACTACTTAGGATTCCAATGCAGGCCAGCCCCCCCCCCAAAAAAAAGCACAAAGCCACCAATCACCCACCGCAAGAGAGAGGGCCAGTCACGTGACAGAGACACTTTTCATGCACCTCTCACCGGAGAACAGCCACCATCCCAGAAAGTGAGGGGAAAGAGTGCTTGTATGATGTGCTCGTTGAACCACGAAAAGAACCAGCTTGCTCAGGGCAAGGATTATTTGTATCGATCTCTCTCTCACAAATTATCCCTGTCTCTGTCACTTGCATTTTCTGGTTCTTTTCGTGGTAAAAAAAACGAGTATGTGCTTGTGTGTGTGTGTGTGTGTGTGTGTGGTGGAATGGAATGGATATGGATAGTTCTCTTTTTTTTTCTAGGCAGGGGTATAGCAGAGGGAAGAGAAAAATAAGAGGGGGGGGAGAAAAATATGAAATCAAATCGTTCACACACCTTTCGCCGCCCTCCCAACAGGGCTAATCTGCCTCAACGCCGAACACGTATACCTCGCCAACCCCAAATCAGCCCTACCATACCTCCCCAGCCCAATCCTCATCACCGTTTCCAGCTCCCTCACCACAATCTCCGGCTCGGCGTGCGCCAGCATGCCCAGCACGATAATGGCGCCCCTGCGCTGGCTCCTGCTTATCTCCCTCTTCTGGACGCCATAGATCTGCCACAGCTTGTGCACCACCAGATCCGCGACATGGCCCTCGCGCATCATCTTCGCCAGCAGCTGCTCGAGGCACGTGAGCTCCGCGGGCGTGGTGTCGAACGTGAGCGAGATCATGTTGCGCGCAATGAAGTTTGCCGCCTCGTTGGGCGTGAAGGTGTCGGGTGCGTCGAAGAAGAGGTCTTTGTAGACTTCGATGAGGTGCGATTGGATGCCCTTGCCTTCGTCGCTGTTGCCTTTGGTCCAGATGAGGCGGAGCATGCGACGGATTCCGTCCTGGAGGGGTTGAGTCAGGGATTATCACTCGGTTGGGTTTTGGGGGAGTTGTCACTCGGTTTTGGGGGCATGGTAAAGGGAGTAGGAATTGAGCATAGGGAATGGTGGAGAATGATTGGGAGAGGTAGTAGATGGTGTGGGAATGTGGGAAATGTGGAAAATGTCCGGAAAAGACGGCAATTGTCCGTATACAGCTGTATACGATCGTGAATAGGAAACGACAGTGAATGTGATATCAAGCAATAGGAAGTAACGGGAAGTGATGAGGAATAGGTAGTGTCCGTGAATGACTGTAAATAGCCATATTCGATAGATGACGGGTGACAATTGGAAAAAGAAGAAGAAAACAATTGTAAATGACGATAAACGCCAATAACAATTGAAACCCCAAACTCCCCAAACCACAAACCCCCCCCCCCTAAAAAAAAAAGAAAAGATCCAAAACATACCTTCGCAGTCTCCACCTTATGCACATCAAGCACCCTAAAGAAATCCATCGCCTCCACCACCTCACTCTTATTCCTGGACCCGAGCAGCTGGCACACCAGCCGCGACGCATCATGCACCGTCGTGATGAACCGCACCGCCTCCGCATAATACCGCCTCGTTAGCTGTAGCCGCGAGATCTCCTCCGAGTGGGCCATCATCTGCTGCACCTGCGGCGTTGTCGGGCCCGCTGCGGCGGCCGCCGCCGCCTCCTTTGCCGCCGCCGCCTTCTTGCGGCGTGGGGTCCTCGGTTCGCCGTCTTCACCTTCCTCCTCTGCTTCATCGTCGTCTTCATCGTCGTCTTCATCGTCGTCATCACCCTCCACCATAGTCGCATCATCCAACAACGCCGGATCCACCGTCTCCTCCCCCACCGCCCCCACCGCCGCCGCCACCCCCTCCCCCACACCCGCCACCCCCGGCGGCGGCACCAACGCCCCCAACTCCGCCTCCACGCCCCTCAACCTCCCCACCCACTCCCCCATCTTCAATGTCCCCCCATGCAGTGCGCCATACGGATGCGTCGCCACCAGCCGCGCCAGCAACCTCACCGCATTCCTCCTCACATTGCTGCTCTTATCCTGCAAGCTCCTCAACGCCAGATCCGCCGCTTTCTGCCGACGCTTCGGGAACTTGTTGTCGAGGTCGAGGAGCTTGGTGATGTATACCTGGATGGTCTTGGAGCGGCAGTAGGGGTTGACGTCGAGGAAGCGCTCTTCGAGGACGTCGAAGAAGGACTTCATCTGGGCCTTGGTGTGGGGGTGGGAGGGTGCTGTGCGTGTGAGGTCGAGGATGAGGTTGCCGAGGACTTCGAGGACGGCGCAGCGGAGGTTGTAGGACTGTTTTTTTTTTGTGGGTTAGTTGGTGGAGTCATGACATATCACTCGGAGTGGGAGAGGGGGAGAAGGGGTACCTCGCTGTCGAGCAGCTTGATGAGCAGTGTCATCTGCTTTATTACGAGGCGCGGGGCGAGCTCAGAGAGCTTGATGATGAAGCCGGAGACAGACTTTGGCCCGCGCGTGTCGTTGCTGTTGAATTCCTTGTTTGAGAGCTCGCGCAGGATCTCGTCGACGAGCTGGGGGTAGTCGTATTGCTCTGAGAGGATCTGCAGGAACTCGGCCATGGGCTCGGAGAGGTGCTCGAAGTAGGTTAGGTTCTGGACGATGGATGTTTGTGCGCCTGTAGACAACCATTGGCAGTGTTAGCAGGCTGTATCTGTATATATCTGTAATTGTAGATATGTATGTATGGAGCGGGGGCGGGGGGGCTTACCAAACGCATGCCCATGATGCTTCACCGCAATACACAGCACCTTAAACAAATACATCCTAACCGCCGTATTCTTGACCCTCGCCTCGCTCTCCAGCACCACATACGCGGGCCTTGTAAACAGGCTCACAAACGTGTCGCGCTCACTCGTCGTCACAAACACGCGCAGCAGCTTCAGCCTCAGCACCTTACACATAGTCTCGAGCGCCGCCAGCAGGTGTGTCGCCGAGTCCCAGCTCTGCGCCCCTCCCCCCGCCGCCGCCCCGCTTTTGCCCTTTCCCTTTCCCTTTGCGCGCGCGGCTGTTGTTGTGGTGGTGGTAGATGATGAGGATGCGGATGCGACTGCGGCGGCGCGAGACTCGACGGCGGTGACGGCCCATTGTGTGAGGAAGCCGTAGATCTCGAGGAGGAGGCGGTGCTCAGAGAGGGAGTCCGGGTCGGCGTGGTCGATCTCGGAGGCGAGGATGTCGGATTGCGCCGAGAGGCCGGAGGTGATGAGGTCGACGATCTTGCCGATCGCGGGGGTGGGGAGGGTGGGGAAGAGTCTGCAATTGGGGAGTTTGTTAGCTTTTGTGGTGGGGGGAGAGGGGGAATGGGGAGGGGTTACTTGAGGAGGCATTGCAGCGAGTCGAGTGTTGAGGATCTAGCGATTGCGTCGGGTGAGGCGGCGACAGAGTCTATGATTGCCTCGAGGATGGGGGTGAGCTGGGCGTTGGAGAGGGAGTCGGGGTCAGACTCGGCGTCGAGGAGGTCTGGGTGGGCGTCGGGGGTGGGGACGGTGGCGGGGGAGTCGAGATAGTACTTGAGCGAGAGTTTGAGGTCGAAGTCGGCGCGGTCGGCGTCGTCCATGGGTGGAGGTTGTGGTTGTGGTTGTGGTTGTGGTTGCGGTGAAGTGTGAAGTGTGAAGTGGTGAAGTGCGAAGTGCAAGTGAAGAAGTGCAGGTAAAGGAAGTTTCTGAGTGGTGCGGGGAGATGAGGTGAGGTGCAGTTGTGGTGAGGGAAGTGCTGTTGTCGTGCGTGTGTGTGGAGGAGAGGATGGGATGTGCGCGTGTGTGTGGAGAGTTGAGTGAGTCTCTGGTTGGCTGTGTTTGTTGACGTTCTCTCAGTCAGTCACGGGTGCGGCGTTGCGTGTGCTCGGTCGGTGGCGGGAAGGGGAAGACGCGACTTGAGAGATGCGGGTGTTCTAGCCTCAGCCCGAGAAATACATCAATGCTCTTCTTCTTCTCTTCTTTTCTTCCACTGCTCACTCCCGGCCCCAGGCACTGATATCATTTCTTTACCAGTCGCGACACCCACCACAGGCAATTCCGAGTACCTTCCCCACCACAGACAATTCCGAGTACCTTCCCCGCCACAGACAATTCCGAGTACACCACAGACAATTCCACCCCATCATGTCCCTCAACGCCTCCGCCCCCTACACCACCACCTCCACCTCCAAGCAGCACCTCTCAACCACCACCGCCGCCACAAACACCCCCACCTCAACAACCCCCAGCGACTCCGGCCCCGAGACCGTCGAGCTACAACCCACCTCCGACGACCAGCCCTTCGCCTCCGACGAGGAAGAAGAGGACGACAACGGCGCCTCCTCCCCCGCCGCCACCGACGACCACTACACCAGCGCCGAGCACCGCGCGCGCGCCCTCGCCTCCGGCTCCGAAGCCGACGACTACGACGAAGACGCCGACGACGACGACGACGACGACCACACCGTGACCGGCGAAGAAGAAGAAGAGGACGAAGAAGAAGAAGGCGCCTCCTCTCCGGGAGCCTACTCTGCCAGCGAAGACGAGGACGACGACCCCTCGCAGCTGGACCCGGCCGTGGCCGAGGAGATGGACAAGTTCGAAGCCACCTTCAAGGGCTTCTCGCGGCGCTTCCGCCTCGTCAACAAGATTGGCGAGGGCACCTTCTCGAGCGTGTACAAGGCCGAGGACCTCGAGTACGATCTGTACGACAACTCGTGGGATCACTCGCACACGGGCTCCTCTGGGGGGCGGCGTGCGGTCGGGAAGCCAAAGTACGTGGCGGTGAAGAGGATCTATGTCACGAGCTCGCCGGCACGGATCCAGAACGAGCTCGAGCTGCTGCACGACCTGAGTGGGTGCGAGAGCGTGGTGCCGCTGATCACGGCGTTCCGCTGCCTGGACCAGGTGGTGGCCGTGCTGCCGTACTTTAAGCATGTGGACTTTCGAGAGTACTTTCGCGAGCTGAGCATGGTGGATATCAAGTGCTACTTTAGGAACCTGTTTCAGGCGCTGAGGCATGTGCATAACCATGGGATCATCCATCGGGATATCAAGCCTACGTGAGTGTGTTTTTTTTCTCCCCCCTCCTTCCTGTGGGGTAATTGCATCATGAGATATCACTCACACCCAATCACACCCCATCACTCACCTCCCCACCTCTATACTGCCACCACACACTAACACCCCCCCAGCAACTTCCTCTACGACTTCCGCCGCGGCCGCGGCGTCCTCGTCGACTTCGGCCTCGCCGAACGCGAAGGCACCGACTCTCAATTCTGCCTCTGCCAGCACACCACCCCCCCCACCACGCGCCCGCCCACTCTCGCCCCCTCCCTCGGCTACCCCAAACACGACTCGCGGCCCTCGCGGCGCGCCAACCGCGCCGGCACCCGCGGCTTCCGCGCCCCCGAGGTCCTCTTCAAATGCACCTCCCAAACCACCAAACTCGACATCTGGTCCGCCGGCGTAATCCTGCTCACCATCCTGTCTCGTCGCTTCCCGTTCTTCAACAGCAGCGACGACGTGGACGCCATGATTGAGATCGCCACCATCTTCGGCAAGGCCAAGATGAAGGCGTGTGCGGCGCTGCATGGGTGTGTGTTTGAGACGAGTATTGCCACGATTGGGGAAAGGGGTTTTACGCTGGAGAAGATTGTGCTTTGGGCGACGAATCGGACGGCGAATGGGAGTAGTAGGGATGGGACGGGGGATCAGCGGCTGGGGAGGGAGGAAGCCGAGGCGGTGGAGTTGCTGAGGGGGTGCTTTGAGTTGGATCCGGCGAGGAGGTGGGGCGCGCAGGAGGCGTTGGAGTGTGTGTTTTTGAGGGAGTAGTGTGTTGGGTTGCGGGGAGGGGGGGGGGGTATCTTTTTAAAAAGCCTTTTTTTTTTTTAACCTTAAGAGCTTTTTATCTTTTACTTGTTTTACTTTTTCACTTTTTAGCTAGCTAATAGACTGTTATGTGGGTTGGTTGGTTGGGTGGGAGGGTGTATATAGGGTCGGAGTTGGTCTTTGTAGCATTAGTATCATTACCATCATCATAGAATTAAATTACAATATCTAGTATTTTTATCATTGACTCTACAAATATTTCTCCACCTCGACTCTCTATGTACCTCGCTCGTAAACAGACTCGTGATACAAGTACCTACTACTGTGAGTTGTCAAAAAGAAAAAAAAACCGGAAATATGCGCTGCAGCCAAAATCTCCTAACATATCTCCTAACATATAAAGGGCCAGCACGGAGAGAAATTTCGTAAATAGCGGGTGACGATTGTCCCCCTAAGATATCTGAGAGCCTGATGCTGCACCCCAGCCAGGCTCCCTACATAGAACATTAAAGCAAGCTGTACCTACTGGGATCTGCCAGAACAGCCCTTCGATGAAATGAAATGAAATGATTGTTTTTGTTTACTTACTCCGCCCGGCCGGGAAGGTGCTTTCCAAAGTGCAAAAGGGCTCCAGCAGGGAAAGGAGGAACGTAAGGCATTTATTTCATTTTTTGAATTGATTGTGTAAATTACAGATAAGGTAAGGGCATCATGGAGTGATTGATTCCGGTTGGTAACAAATTAAACGGGAAAACCTCGAGTTTGTAATATAGGAATACAACCTTCAACGTCGCCGGCCTAGCTGACACCACAACCACAACCACAACCACAACCACAACCACAACCATAACCAGGAATAAGATAACAGATTTTTCATCTCTGTGGTCGGCTTTCTATAATTGTAGTTGTGTTGTCCAGGATTTTGACCATACGGTCTCGTTAAGTAAGGGTGGTATGGACTTTTCAAAATTTGGCAGTTGTATGTAGTAGGCCCGGCCCTTTGGTTATTTTTTTGACAACCCGCAATAGTATCATTACCACGATCATAGAATTACAACATCTAGTATTTTTATCATTGGCTCTACAAGTATTCCTCCAACTCGACTCTCTCTGTACCTCGCTCGCAAACAGACATCGTTACCATCGTGGGATACAATATCTAGTGTTTTTCATCACTAGCTCTCTCTTTCTCTCTCTCTCTCTCTTCAATCCTCCAACTCGACTCTCTTAGAAACCCCGCTCGGAAACAGGCTCGTGATACAAATTCTAGTATCATTACCATGGTAGAACACAATATCTAGTGTTTTCATCACAAAGAGAGTTGTGATACAAATACTAGTATCATTACCATGATCGTAGAATTACAATATCTAGTGTTTTTTTTATTTTTATCATTGACACCCTCACTTCAATTCTCTAACTAACCCGCAAACAGACGCGTAATACAAATACAGCAAACAAAAACATCCCCCACTCAACTACACGTACAGAAGACCTTAGAACCGCTCTATCAAATTCCCAACAAATACACCCTCCACTCCAAGCTGCTACATGGAACACACCACACCCAAACTAACCCACCCAAACTAACTCACTTAAACTAACCCACCCAAACTAACCCACCCAATCTAACACGCCTACAGAGTCACCTACCAACATGTGGGTATATGTGGGTGGTCATGACAGGCATATCTGGGTCTGTGGTTCTGAAACTGGTCGCCGGAGTACGATGGCTGGCGCGCTACCTGCGGCCAAGCGCCCAATGATGGAGCTATATGGCAGCTGATGATAGAGATCTGATATTAAAGCCCCGGCTCTGGATCCCCCCCCCCAAAAAAAAAAAACCACTCTAAATCTTTAGAGGTGGGGGTGGGGGAGTGGTCGACTTCAAAACCACGGCCCCTTCAGTGACTGAAGAGTATGTAGCTATGCATACAGACGTGAGTGTATGTACATTGGTTGGATTTTGATAAGGCTATAATTAGAAAGAAAAGGAAGAAACCCCCTATCTAGATCCCCGCAAGGAGGGGGAGGGGTGGGGAGGGGTTGGGGGGATAAAATGAAAAGAAAGGAAAAAAAAGGATATTAACGGCATGCCACTGATTTGGGCTATACACTACGATATATGATCATGATATTAGTTGTGATATGAAGGAATAATAAACGCGTGATACCTTTCATCGTACACGTGCCCGCCGCACTCATGGGCCCCCCCCCCCCCCCTATCTGTACCAGTAATCATCGATTTCTGACAAGTAGGTCCACTTTGCGGGGGCAACCTTCTCCTTCTTGATGAAGGCCTCGACCCGGCTGATTGATATAATGATCTGGCTATCTGCGGGCCTCTTCACCACGGCCTCCATTTGGCCAAGGATCTCGAGAATGTCCTCGGGGGTGATCATGGTTATTTTCGAGATGTCTGCGATGGAAATCTCTTTTTGAGTGGTTGCAGCTCGCTTTGGGTCAGGATTGAGAAGTACCCCAGAGATCACCCGGCGCCAGTATCTGTGGTATGTCAACTTCCCAAGATCTGACATTGCTATTGAAAAAAAAGTGTTATTAGTATGTGGAAGAGAACAAGTACCAGAGGTGCATAGCAGCTCAGAGATTTTCGAAGAGAAAAACTATGGGAGTATTACTATTCTCAAAATAGTGTAAGATAAATGGGGAGAGAGAGATGGGTGCTACTACTCACGTTTCTCGGGCGACCCCGGCTTTCCCTCCCGCTTCGAAAGGCGGTAAGAATACTCAATCATTTTTGTCCCAAGACCACACCTCAGAAAGGGCTCGAAAACGAGGATACAAGCAAGGTTGAAGTCGTCCCATGACATCTTCTCTTTCGAGAAGAACCCCACCACACGCCGAAGAGGTTCCCTCACGGGCATTCCAGGCACGGCCGATATCCCCTCATCTATACTTTTGACAACCGTGTAGAAGATGAATCCCTTGAGGTCGAAATATATGGATTTATCGTGCATGAAGAGCTTGGCGAACAGACACATATTTGAGCAAAAGAGCTACCCACGCGTGCTGGTCAGCGGGGGGAGTGTACTCCATTACTCTAGGGCTCACAGGGCTCCTTACACCGTCCGTCTCGGCATCGACTCTGTAGATCGAATGCTCTCTATCTATTTGCTCTTCAAAGGTGCCCGGAAGCTCAGTCATCCCGCGCCCAATCTCACAGAATTTCTGCAAAACACCACAAACTTATCAGCTACTCTTTCCAGAAACTTGGGCTCGAAAAAATATATAATGAAAGAAAAAAAATGTATAAGAAAGGCTACAAGAGATTGGGGAAGCAAGAAATAACCAACCCTGTGTCCCAGATACTTTGATATATCCGTTGTGTACTTGAAGCAAAACTCGCACACATACAACATCTCCGGCTTCTCGCCCACCAGATCTACCGGGTACGGCGATTTATACAGAGGAACCATCACCTGCTCACCGAGTACCACCTTCGCAATATTCGGCCTGTCATCGTCCTTTGCTTTCTGCTTCTTGCTCGTGTTCTTTGCTGGCTTCGCCGATGTCGGACCAGACGCTTGCTGCTTACGCGACGGGGGCATTTTTCGGTGTTCAAACGAGCGTGTGAGGAGTGCGAAGCATGGGAAGGGGTACTACCCAATCTTCCCTTCTGGATATATGTATCACGACAAAGTAGGAGATCAACTGTGGGTGGTGCGTCGCGTCATACTTAGTGTTTTCGGGGGTGACGTTGAGGTGGACCAGCGGAAAATAGTTGATCCGTAAGGCTTAATACTCCCGAAAAGCTTGGATATGTCAACTTCAGGTAAGGCGCGATATACTCTAGACATGTAAATACATGTACTAAAGACCTAGAACATGACTGGTCTCTCGAGGATGCTGGGACTATCATACACATAACTTACTGTCATATAAGGAAGGATCTAGGCCCCAAACAACTGTAATTTGAACCGCCCATGAAGCAGACTTTTAAATCTTCTATCTAGCATAAAAACTACAACTAGGAATGCAACACAAGTCCTATATAGACAATGCTCCCAAGGTCATCTAATCCCGTAATCTACTATACACTTTCCTTTACCAAACCTCCTCGTTGCCCAGGTTCCAGCTGGCCGCCGCCAGAACACCTGTAGTCACCCATGCCGGCCACCAAACACACCATACGACAACCTGCGTCCACATACCCCACACCTGCCATCCAAACGCGGCCTCCTTCAATATACCACCCAATGGTTCGCCCCAATAATACGCCACGCCCACCAACGCCGATGTCGGCGTCAGCCCTTGTAGCAAGAACATACTCAACACTCCAGCCGTCCACTTCTTTTCGGGAAATGGGCGGATGAACGTAAATGGTACTGCAAACAGGCCAATGAGGAAGGATAATGAGAAGTTCAGCGTAGCGAGGGCAGAGAGGAACATTCCCAGGGTGAGGAGGGAGAAACATTTGATGAGTTTGAAGTGCACGGTAGTTACAGTGAAGGTTAAAGCAAGGAGGGTAGAGATTACGGGGGGGAGAAGGACGTTGAGGGCGCCAAAGGCATAGAAGACGGGAGTCAGATACTGTGTTTTATTAGCTCGACGATCGTGAATTCTGGGCATGTAGGGGCCAACCTTTTCGTCTAGTTGATTGAAGATATATAAGGGAATGAATCCCAATGAGTGAACAATTATCACGAAGGCCAATGGCAGGAGCATCGGTCTCTCCTCGCTGGTCTGGGTGGGCAAAGGTACAGCTTCAGATAGTCTCTGGGAAATTTCCTTTTCGTCATCTTTCTCTGCTTTGGCTACTAGCGGCGCCGTTTTTGTCTTTTTCTTTCCACTCTCAACCCAGAGCCCGATCGCCGCAAATGTAAAGTTGACAGCAACTAACATAGCACTAGGTAGATATGTTCCAATACTTACAAACACACGATTGGCCATTAACAAGTAGAAGAAGAAGCTCTGGTGAAAGTGTTCAAGAAGATTATTTAAACTTCTGAAAAGACTCTCTACAGTTCTCCCAAGTGTAACTTCGTCATGGCGGCCTTCACCGTATGCTTGAAGTGTTATAGCATCGATATGGTACGGAATAAAGGAACTATGAGGACCGGATGCGTGCCCGAGCCCTTGATTTACCATTCCGCGTAGCATGGTGCGCAGGCGGTCTTGGTACTTATCATTATGGTGCCACATCTCTTGAAGGGTAGTGCGAACACCCATCTGGCCTGATGCTATTCTAACCGCTGTATTGATGAGGTCCAGATTTGGAAGCTGGCCATTGATTCCATCGTATACTATATGGAGTGATTCGAAAGAGCGCACTGACGGGTAGTCGACCACGACGACTCCCTGGATTGCGCCCGACTTGAGCGGCAATGATGCGACAGATGGGGGATCATGGAGATCATGGTAGGCGTCAACCCAGGCTTGAGGGCCCGCTCGGGAGTCCGAGGTAATCAAGAATATAATATCCTTCGACCAAAGGGACCATCCTATGCACATATCAGCACAATTCGCCAAGTGATGCCACTGGAACTTATACTCTTAAGATAACGGGCTAAGGTAAGAACCAAAGCAACACCGCTTTCGTTCAATTGCCCGTCCATGTTCAACCACCCGGCACACAGCACCAGCGCCTCAGTAGCATCACCCCTAGGTGCCTGGAGGACAGCATACACGTTCTCTCCGTGAATCTCTTCTCCAGCAGCAGTGTAACTGTACTTTTGCCTCCCAACTTTCAATCCCGACGCCTCAAAAATCTTCCCGATCACCCGCGCCATCTCCCCGCCTGACGAGGAGTTCGCCCCCAACGCCCCGACCTCATTTCGGTATGCTCTAAACACGTTCTGTTCGCTCCCACCAAAATATGTGTGCACCTGTCCAGGTAATAACGCATTCTCGGATATGTACGTTTTGCGCGAGTAGTCCTCGAGCGGGAGTAAGAGGAGCCAAACAACGCCGACGAGAATACAGAACGATGAGAGGACGGGAAGTAGCTTTAGGATCCGAGTGCTCCGGAGAGAACCTGCGCTTGAGTTTGTGTTACCCCGCCGGTGCTCTAGGTGAATTTCTGGAGGGGAAGTGAGGTTGGTAGTCTTACTGCTGAGTGAGGCGGCCATTGCTGGCAGAGATAGCTCTCTTATTATTGTGGATTCGCGAATTCGGTTTTATAGGATTCCGGCTGTGAGGTTTCTATGCTCGAGTTAAAAATTCATTAACAGGGCCATGAGGTAAATAGGCATGTCCTTCAAATATAGAAATTCCACGTAGATTTGTGGGCTGAAACTTGAAGTTGTACGCGGGATTGAGGTCACCAAGCACTAGGTCATGTGTTTCAGGGGTTTTCGATTCAACGTGGTCCTTCAGCGATGATCCCTGAAACATCACCAGAAATCACTCGTCGACAACTAATGCGAAATGATTGCGCACCGATTAATCGACTAGGCGCAGAGCGCAATTAAGTATTTCTGTCTCTCAATACTTATAAAAGAATGCTATGGTCAAAAAATCGTAAACTCTTAGCTCTCTAGCTCCGGTTAGTATGTATGTACCTATGTAGGCCGGCCGGGCCCTGTTTTTTTGTGGGGATGCAGGACCCTTAGCAACTGTAGTAGAAGTAGGGTCCTTTAAATACAGCCTAAGATAAGTTGATGGTTTCATTCGAGGTAAATCCGGGGATACTCTATGCTCGAGTGGTAACGCACAATGAGTCCATATAGCTACTACATGTATGTATTTGGCTATAAAAGATAGTATAACATTATACCTTATAGACAATGTATACTTTATATATTTATTGAACTTATGGGTTCGTGAGTCACGAAGTGTTCGTCTACGAAGGTACTGAATATTAACAGCTCCCGCTTCAGTAGCCTTGTGATTTATCACTGGTGGGGTTATGTAGTTATTCCAGATAATTTGTAAGACGTAAATTAATGAGATAGTATATTTGTTTAGAACGGAAACAAAATTGACAGCGCCAGAAAACTCCCAATAGAAACCCCTAAACCCCAGAAGAAACTGACAGTTCCAAATAAGCAACAGTAACAGAATGAATTGTAGAAAGGAAGGAAGATTGTTTGAGGGTACATGTAATTTTCTGAAAGAATAGGGATAATGATTTTAATGTGTAAACCTCTTTAGTTTTTACTCCTAGGTCGACCGCGCGCGGACCTATTCGCAACACCCCTCTTCTTCCTCTTCGTGGCCCTTTCTGCCCAGTCCGGCTCGAGAATATCCCTTGCTTGCTTATTCCTTGCCAAAATCCTTGACATTTCACGTATGAAAGGCTCGTAGTCGTGTCTGGTTCTCTCAGTTGTGACAGAATTCTCATACGCTTCTTTTTCGGCTTCGGAGATCTTGTGCTTAATGTCCCTCTGTTCAATACAAAATCTACTGTAGTACTCAACGAGAGTCTCACTACTGGTGAGAGACTTGATCTTGAGGACCTCGGCAGATTCTTCCACGGATTCGGTCAGAGCTTCGGTGTAGATGCCCTCGTGTGAATCTTTGGTAACGAAACTGTGCCATTCAGGGTTAACCTCTTGGAGTCGTGCTTCGATAGCACCCAGAATCTTCGCATTGAAAACAAGTTCTTTGCGGTAAATAGGGAGGCGCTCAGGAACGAGTGCCAGGCAGGTGAAACGCTCAAGAGTCTTGGGATATAATGCGATACGCTCATGAAGTCTGGGACCTATAGCCTTGAGCCAATCTTTGTGTTCGCAAGTTTCTAAATAATGATATTGTTACTCGGGGCATATAGGAAATGGTCACCGGGAGAAGTGACTTACCGAATTTTACAGGCTGCCTCTTCAAGCCATCGAGCTCCCAAATCGCACCGTCGACGTGGACATAAGCGATGTAATGATACGCCATATTATCCTCGTCGATCTCCCCATCTTCGTCGTCGTCTTCATCGGCGTTCTTTTTGCCTTTCTTCCTCTTTTCAGACTTAGACCTACCCCGCCTCGAGGCTTTATAGGCGTCGGCCTGGTTCAAATCCAGGTCATCCATCTCGGTTCTACGCCCGAACGAATTGTGCGCACTCTTTAAGAATTCGAAGCTGGCTACGGCAAGGCCTTTGTGTGGCGGAGTAAGAGCCTTACTGTATTCTTTAAAATTGGTGAGTTCCGTAGACAGCTCAACGTCGGGAGAGTTCATGATTATATTCATGATCGCATAGGTCCCACAAGCATTGTCTTCAACTTGATTTGCGAACCAAAGCCCCTCAGGACAGACAACTTCTTGCTCTGATGGGTCGTACTTTGTGTTGAACACCATGCAGAATATGATACCATGAGCAGGCCTTATCATGAAGTCAGCTTAACGTTTATTTGATAGAATAGCCAAGCTTACGTAACAACTGCGAAGCCCTCTTCATCAATAGTATAAACTTCTACAACTTCAGTATTCCGCGCACCGACATCTCGCAGCAGCTGGGTCCAAATAACCGGTTCAGACTCCACGGTGCACCAGTTGGGCCATGTGCGCTTGAAGTTGTGCAATTCGTTGACTGCTGGGGCAAAGGGTGATTGCGTGCGCTGTTTTTTTGTAGAAGACTCGGACATGTTGAAGTTTAAATGCCAAGAAGTAGAGGAGTTGGAGTTGTCGCGCCTCAAGAAGCTGGGAGACGCGTTAGTTATGGTCGCTTCCAAGGTTCCATCAGATTAACCCAGATCCCGTGCCAAGTGCTCAACCCAAGCTTTCCTTTATCTGTGGCGGGATGCGTCAAGATGCATATTACTTTTAGGGCCCGTTCGGACAACCCAATAATCTAGATTATTGGCGATAATCTGACGGATTATCGACTTTTGGATTATCACAATAATCTATGCTGTTCGTGCAATTGAATAATCCAACATTCGGAACTCCTGATTATCCCAATAATCCGCCAAGAAAACAATCACCTTCGGAGGTAATTATTCCCACACAACACAGATATCCTGAGAGCTAACGTTATCCGGACATGTAGATTATCCACTTATTATGAGTATTATGATTATCACTTCCGCTACCTGATAATCCAGTCTGTCCAATAACCCGAAGAAATAATCTAAGGTTGTCCGAACGGGCCCTTAGTATTTTGACTCTTTCAGGCTTAAATGCACAGCTTGTGAATTTTTTATGTGGCTTGACACATGGAGTACTAGCATAGGCCGTAGATCTTGATATCCTAGTAAATAGTACAACGCGCTAGTACTTTATCAGATCCGCATAATGTGGCCACCGTGTATTTAACTTTCAGTCACCAGATGTAAAAAGAAAACTCCCAGTTTACACGAGAGCTCTAACAGATAAGAACTTCTATTAAATATATGGTATCGAGTTAAGGAAAGAAACTCTGCGCGACAAGGATTTTTAGTTAGTGATCGTTTCCGGCGATACATGACTGTTCAACAAAGAATCTGCGATAAAGTGCATTTGGTTACCCTGACTTGTTTCTTTGACAAACACGCTCGTTACCCGGCTAGTCCCACGCGTGTGTTTTTTCAAGGAAAATAAAACCCCTAAGTGCGCTTGTGAAGACAACAACAACAACTGTTGCTTCAGATATTTTTTACAGGCTTCAGTGGTTCATTCAACCACGCCCTAAATATCTGTCCCGGTATCTAGCCCTCAGATGGTTTGGTTGCTCACCATGAGTACCGGAACCCCCAGACTCAACTCTGCATTTCCAGAGACCCCAGTGGCAGCGCCTCCATTGCGCCAGAGGCGTGGTAACTCTCCCGTGAGGGTAGGATCCGTTAAACAGCCTTCATTCACACCAAAAGCTCCTACAACGAATCCTAAACCAACCGATCCTTCTCCTTCAATTGTTCAAACCCCAACTACGCCCCCACCACTTATCCCAGAAGATGTTATTGATGCACCCACCCAACGACTTTATGCAGTGGCCGTATTTGTTCTTCTACAAGCATGGAAATTTTATGACATAGCCAGATTGTACGCTGCAGATGGCGACTCGATATCAGAATTATGGTTTTGTGTAAAATGGCTGGTTCTAGATGGCTGTTTTTTTGGGTTCTTACCAATCCTCCGGATCCCATGGCTTCACTTCGCACCGATGTTTACACTTTGTGCGATTGCTACATTTTCAGTTATGGATATTTTTGTCAGTTTAAAGTACCAGCTACCTATTACGGCGTTTTTTGGAGCTTTCTGGAAGCGTATGTATGATCCAGTCTGTGGGTGAAATATACTAATTTGTTCTACTTTAGTTATTTACGACCGAGAACTATCGATTACCGAACGAAGTGTCAAGTGGTATGATATTGTGAACAACAATTCGCATATTCAAGGCAAATACACTGTGTACCTTTTACCGGAAGGGTATGTCACTATGAAAATCGTTTTTGAAGTCTGTGCTTATAATATTTTAGGGCTGCACAAATCAACCCAGAGTCTACTTGCTTTTGTATCGGTGACACATCGCCATTCGTCACCCTGCCGATTAGAATTAATGGGACCCAGCCTATCAATATTGAACTCCAGAGAATCGATTTGGAATCCGGCAGTGCTGAGATGATTAGTATCAACCATAAAGAGCTTAAAAAGCTTTTGAAAAAGGCTCCTAGGGAAGACGAACCGCAACTTCGCAACCTACCTTACACCGTCAAGCAACCCGGTCTTTACCGTCTCACTAGAGTTACTGATGTATCTCAACTTGAAGTGCGCATTTACCGATCTGAAGCGCTCGTCGTGTCATGTCCAAAAGCGAATCTTAAAATATCTGGTTCACAGAAGAGAGATAAGTGTAAAGGGGACATGTCAGATATTGCTATGGAGGTCCAAGGCCTTGCCCCGCTCCAAATTACCTACAGCCGTGAGATCAAGGGTAAGCCGACGGTGTTTTCGGTCCAGAGCATTCACCCTGAAGGATTTGAATCACCCCTGCTTGCTGGGTTTAATAGCGACGGCACACTTACTCAACAAGGCGATGGAACTTTGACATGGGCACAACGTCGGGAAATCATTGTGCCCCTCAATGAATCTCTAGCTTCCGCGGGCGATTGGGGCTATTCAATTGACAAGGTTGTGGATGGATGTGGAAATACAGTCGACTACAATGCTCTCTTCGAGGACGGGGACTATGTTGTCCCGAAGAAAAGCAGTCTTTCCCATAGACTTATGGTCCATGATAGACCACGTATTCGTTTCCTCGGGTGTGATCCCCAGACACCCATCGACCTACCCAAGGGCGTTTCTAGCGAACTTCCCCTACAGCTTGTATCTGTCCGCGACGACGCTCCTTACTCAGTCCGATTTGCGTTTACGCCTCACAACAAGCTTCAATCAGCATCGGAACACTCACCAGATGCTGTATTCAAGGATTATAGCATGAAGGGCCTAGCTCAAGCTATATCTATCAAGGAGCCTGGGTTGTACTCATTGAAATCCTTTTCCAGCAAGTTTTGCCCCGGTGAGGTTATGGAGCCTTCTTCATGTCTCGTGATTACGCCACCTGAACCAAGCATGACTATGGAGTCCGATGAGATTTTGGACAAATGTACAGGCTCGTCGATTGGTCTTACGATCGATCTTACTCTTGTTGGGTCACCAACATTTGAGCTTTCCTACAGACTCATCAAAGACGGCGGCGCCCCAGTTGTTAAAACTCTTACAATCGATCGCACAAGACACCAAGTTCGCTTCACTCCGGAGGACGCTGGTCACTATGCGTATGAGTTTTTCAGTCTTCGCGATAAGAATTATGCCAATGTCAAACTTGATTCTAAAGTCAACCGTGTCGAACAAACTGTCAAGCCGCTTGCCGGTGCCAGCTTCATCGATGCAGCACCTCGCAAGAACGTCTGCATTGAAGAGCCTGTAGAGTTCCAGGTTAAGATGCAAGGAACGCCCCCGTTGAATTTACACTACGACCTTATCCACAATGGAAAACGTCATAGGATGTCCGATAAAAACATTACCACAAGTATACATACTATCAAAACCCCACCTTTAACTCAGGGTGGAGAATACGCGCTCGCCTTAACAACCGTCGAAGATAATAGCGGGTGTAAAATCTACTTGGAATCAGAGGCCAAGGTAAATGTTAGGTGGCAGAGGCCAAAGGCTCAGTTTGCCCCAGTTGAAGGGAAAATGCATGTCAGGGCGCTAGAAGGCAAACCTGTGGATATCCCAATTAGGTTGACTGGTGAAAGCGTATGCCACCCTTTTAAACACCCCAATGCTTCTTGTTTTGCGAATCATACTGATCTTACTGTGATACATAGCCATGGACTGTTAGAATTCGTAACGCTGATAGAGACGAACCAGCCAAGACATTCAAGTTCACAGGAACAAATTCCTACTTGACTGTGAACGACGCAGGCACCTATTACCTAGAAGATGTTCGTGATAATGGATGTCCTGGATCTGTTGCTGGGGCAGATAGCACATTTAAGATTTCTTGGATCGACAGACCTAAACTCCGCCTGGCAGAATCTGTATCAACCACCAGAAAGGGCGATGGCTTCGTTAGGCAAGACGTTTGTGAAGGGGACGAGGATTCTGTTGAACTTGCGTTTACAGGAAGTCCACCATTCATGGTTGACTATGACATTACGCTTAAACCTGATGGCTCTTCTGACTCCAAGCGCTCCTTGGAGCATAGCTCACACCAACTTCGTGCTGGTCTTGGTGTGGCGACTGTGCGACTGGAAACGAGCCGTGCTGGTCTTTACCAATATAAGTTCAAGAGTCTCGCGGATGGGCTTTACGATAATCCAAGGGAGAGTTTGCTCAAGAATCCGTTTACGCTTGAACAAACCGTACACTCGAGGCCGACTACAAGTTTTGCTAATCCAAGCAAAGTCTACAAGTACTGCTTGGATGCTGGTGCTGGTGACGACATTATTCCAATCCAGCTTCACGGCGTTGCACCGTTTTCCTTGACCATCAATGTCAAGCATTTCAGCACTGGTAAAAGCGACATAATCAACGTCCCGCATGTCGAAACCAATGTCTTCAATTTCCGTATCCCCAACCACGCCCTGACTCTTGGTAGCCACGCCGTTAGTGTCCTCAAAGTCAAGGATTCCCGTGGCTGTGTCCGTAAGACGCCGACCGATGCCCCTCATGTCATGGTCGCAGTTGCCGACATGCCAACAATTACTCCCCATGACACACAACGCAAAGACTACTGCGTTGGTGATCGTATTGCATTCACTCTGGCCGGTGTTCCTCCGTTTGCTGTTGAATACGAGTGGAATGGTGTCCCGATGAGTGCTCATAACCAACCATCGCAGTTCATCCGTGTTGCAGAGAAGCCGGGTAACTTCACAGTCACAGGGTTGCAAGATTCAGCCAGTGACTGTAAGGTCAGTGTTGGGCTAACGAGCGTGGTCCACGAGGTTCCGAGTGTTAGGATCAGTGGAGGAAATATCGTTGTCAAGGGTATTGCGGAGGGTGACCAGACGGAGATTAGCTTCAACTTTTTTGGCACACCACCATTTACTTTCACGTAAGTTTTTGACCCTTGCCACAAATATTTTTTTGGTGCATATTATTAACAATGCTCTTGACAGTTATACACGAAGTGAAATCGCTAAAAAGGGATCGAAACCTAAAATTTTGGAGAGCCATTCACAAACCACAAACAGCTTTAGTTACAGCATGTTTGCCTCCCAAGAGGGTGTTTATGAAGTAATCTCCATCGCCGACAAATTTTGCCAGTACTCCGCAGGAAAGTCGGGTCGGAAGGATTAAACTTAATGGATGACGAAGGAAATAATGAGTACGATTTTTTTTGAATAAAAACAGGGTTTTGTTTAGGGGATTGTGGTGGGTTGGGCGGGGTTGTAACGGTATTATTACTGCAAGTGCTTATATTCCGACTAGAAAAATTGTAATATTATAGAGCACATTTGAGTGAGGGACGGCGTCAATGGTTTAGCGTTTTCATTACTTGGCTTTCATGTTTTATCTTTTCCTCATTGCTCTTTGTCGTTGCTTATTCGTACACTCCTGTGTCGTTTTGGTTATGCCTACGATACGATTTGTATATGAAACTTTCCGTGCATATCTTTGATACCATACATGTAGTTATCGTAAAGTCTAAGTACTTGTATGGACATGAATTAGTAAATGGTGTGCACTTTGGCTCGATTGAGAGAAAAATCTGAAAAAATCGTGCCCACCCAAGATATGGACAACCGCTCTACCACAAAATTATTACTTGACGTATCGGTGCTATATTAACTAAGAAGGATGTAATCCTTGGGTAAGCAGAGTTGACGTAAAGGGCTTAATTTAACCCCACGGCTCTGAGGTAAAGTCCGATATAATGTATGATGTAGTTTCTCGAAAGCATACTCTATACTACTCCAAATGCAGTTACACACTGGGACCCCGAGTTTATTTACCTCTTTGGCTAGCCATTCCCCCCATCATTGATTTCCCCATGTTCTCAGTGCGTCTTAGTAGGATACGGTTACTAAATATGGAGGCTCGCCTGTCCCGAAAATACCGAGTGCTGCCCGGTGACGCAGAAAACACGCGACAGAGAGAGAAAAAAAGAAAAGGCGCAGTGACATGTGTACTCTGCCTACAACACCACTTTGAAATGGTTATGTATGCGTTGGGTTTATTAGACCAGGAACTTGCATCTCCTGAGTCGTCGCACTCTATGCTGGCATCATGTCATGCATCTTGTGGCGCTGATCTTCGCCCCACAGGTGAAGACCCCACTGGTGCAACTAGCCAATATTGTCCACTTTCCCACTATCGGCTGTAGTTTCTACAGCGAGTAATAGACATACAGGCACCCTTTTTGGAACGTTCGATGTAATGGAAAGAATTCAAATTAACTCGAATAAATCACGGTATCAAGTTAAGATAGCTAAAAAGAGAGACAGCCAAAGAGGACTTGATAGTTAAAAGAAAAAAATTGCCTACACGCCAGTTACCCAATTCGAAAACTGTTTGTCACCTTAAACCTCCCCAGCCCCAAACCACGACACCGAACCTGGCATTGAATTTCGTTATCGTGTTTCGTTACAAAGACAATGCCCCTCCCAAGCCGCCCAATTTCTCCATCCTATTCCTAAGAAGAAGAAAAAAAGTTGATTTATCTTAACAAACCGCCATGAGATCACCAATCCGCCTAGATAGCATATTTCCTGGTCCATTCTTTTGCTGTGGCCTCGTACCTGTCTCGGTCGGTCTTGTAGACATGGGCGATTTCTGGAACGAGCGGGTCATCGGGGTTGGGGTCCGTGAGCATGGAGCAAATGGAAAGCAAGACTAAGTAAACATATGTCAGCCTCCTGTAGATAGCGCAGATCAAGAGAGAGAGAGAGAAAAGGAACTAGGCTGACTGAAGCTAAGTGAACAAACCTTTCGATATGGTGAGAGCTGGCGACCACTGGTCCCTCAAGATGTCCAAGCAAATACTGCCGTTCGCGTTGATATTAGGGTGGTAGATGCGTGTGGTGAAGTTCACCTTGGGAGGTTTGAAAGGATAATCGGTAGGGAAAGCGATGCTCAAGAAGAACACGCCTCCTGTGTAGGGACTTTCCGACTAGTTTATCAATAGCAGTCAGTAAATGGCCGTCATAACATGAATGATACCCGACAAGCACTCCTAGGAAGAGCCCATAGATTCGGATATCCGGAGTAATAACAAACTTACAGGACCCATGATGGTTGCTTGCCAGTGGAACTGTTTTCATTATGGTCAGCAAAAGTTCCAAATAACAAGGTATCTTCCGCCGAGTATTGCGGCTGAGCTGGAGAAAGCCCCCTAATAAAGGCTGGGAAAAACGTACCAAATCCTCCCCGATGGGACCAGCACTACAGGATGAGGGTGGATCTCTATAGAGCAGATAGTTAGCTATGCTCACCAGCTGGTAGGTCCAGCTAACCGCCTGCCCAACCCTTGCTCACACGACAGCATATCGGCTGCCGAGGATCAAGGCGGAGAGATAGCAGGTCACTAAAAGGGGAAAAGAGTTCATACCTTCCGAGATCAGTCAACTCCTTGTTAATTCTCTTAAGAGCCATTTCTGTATCTGTAGGTAGTGGGTGAAAAGGTTTAAAACACTGTTATTGGGCCAACAGGGCGGGGTCAGCACAGTAATGTAGATGGTGGTAAAAGTAACTAGCGGAGAGACAGTAGAAGCGATAGCAAGATATAGGAGTCGGGGACGGGAAAGAAAAATAGACACATACCTTGTGTTGATGCTGTGATGGATGAAAAAAGGGAGAAGAGCGAAGTGGTGGTTTGAGTCAGTGGTGGGTGGAGGGATGGGAAGGGCTGGGCTAAGAGGTGAGTTTTGTAGCGGGGCGGTACCGCTGGGGGGCGAAGAAAGAAGAGGGGGGACGGCCACAGAAATTGACAGGGATCTGATAGGTTAGCTGTGACTAAGCTCGGATTAGAAGGAGGGGAGCGCCACACCGCGAGAGGATTATCGAGTCTCCGAGATGGCACAGTATTGGACAAGGCCACCCACATCGTGTATCGGTGCACTCAGATATTGGTTAAGAATAATCAGGGGGTACGGTTACCGTTTTTCATGAGCATAGGGTACAGTATCCTTTATGTCCGCTTTGGAATAAATGCCCCTTGTCACTGCAGCAGCTTGCAACACCCTGCAATTACCCCACCGCCGTTGCCCATCATCTGTTTTGTTAAATATGGGTATTTTGAATACATGTATGTGCTTCCAAAAATCATATTGCAGTAGTAGTCCCGATCCCAACGATTCTAATATGCATTCATTCTGCCAATACTAAGTAGAGCGTGCCAGCCACGGTAGGTAAACCCCAACCGAAACATTCTCAGTCCTCAATCGACAGCTGTTATATACTATATATAGACCTACAGATTTCCTATAATCACCGATCTTGGTGTTGTACTTGAAGATCAACACGCTGGAAGTTGAAGGATACCCACTAAAAGCTAGATAGCTCTAGATCTATCTAGCTACATGTATCGATAGGTATCAACTCTGAAACTCTAGTAGTTTATTAGTAGTATATCATGTATTATATATAAAGCACTTCGAAGGTCAGATTTACAAGGGGATTCAAGCTCAAGTATATATTCATTAAAATAGATCATCCAAGATCAACTTCCCTCAGGTGGTCACTGGTATTACCATATAATTATATCTATCATAAAGACACTTTTATCCAAAGGGCCTACCATGCCCGATAAGGTAATAAATAGTAGGAATGGCCTCATTGGGCATATGTACAACCCTGACCCCTGGTAGGCCCTTGATCTAAAAAGTGAGAGTAATGGCCAAAGGGGTTTCGATATATATCACACCAAATACAATTCTACGGTTCTGGTCTAAGAATACATAAAGATTCCATTACCTTTTCAGAATTACATACCTTTGTCTCACCAAATAAGTACATGTATTGGTCTGCAGATGTTTACCCTTCTGTGCATGCATCTACCCTTACGCAGCCTTCCATCCACTAGTGAACTGCTCTGAAGTATACTTCGCGGTCGGGAACTAACAGAATGCTTGAACTCCAGTAATTGCTCTACCGAGAATCAAACCTTGTTTCTTCCATTAGCTCCTTATTTCTTTGTTTTGATAGCTGTTCCGTATAACTTACTATGGATATCACTCTGACCCTCATAGGTTTGCGTGACAAACAGGTTAGCGACATGCCTGCCGATTCCATATTCGTCAGACACAGCATTTCCGCCAAATATTTCTTGTAAACTAAAGATGCTGTTAGCCTCACCAAAAAACTGGCCTTAGATCTGATAGATACTAACTCTCTAGCATTGACTAAAGCTCTGTCACAGTTTTGCCTTTTTATCATCGAAATCATTTCAGGTGCAACTAGACCTCTATCCTTCAATCTTCCGACCTGTAAAGCAGCTGCCAATCCAAATGCAGCATCGGTTGATGCATTTGCCAACTTCTTTTGAACAAGCTGATACTTTGCTAGAGGGTTGCCCTTAAACTGCTTTCTTTCAAGTGCATAGGTTCTTGCTCTCCTAAGACAGTCTTCCAGTGCACCTATTGTTCCCCATGCAATTCCATACCTAGCATTGTTCAAACAGCTGAATGGTCCTCTAAGACCTTCAATGTCAGGGAACATGTTTTCCTCAGGAACTTCTACACCATCGAGCATGATCATGCCAGTGATAGAAGCACGGAGACCATTCTTGTTTTTGATGGCAGGAGTAGAAATCGTGCCAGGGGCGGCAGTCGCTCTTTCGACAAGAAAACCTCGAATCTTACCATCTAGTTTAGCCCAAACCATGAGAACATCAGAGATCGGGGAGTTAGTGATCCAGGTCTTTGAACCCGACAGGAGGTAAACTCCGTTCTTCGTGGGGTGACGGCGTGCAACGGTTTCCATCCTAAAAAAATTATCTTAACATACCGTCCTTCTTAAGTATACTCGTACTCGAATGAAAGTGGGAAATAAATCTTACGATCCAGGGTCAGATCCGTGATTTGCTATTAAAATATAAGTAAACCACATGTCCACTGAACATCTTGCAAGTGACTAGGGATGAAGGCATACGTTCTGTGAGGCCGAAACAACCAATAACCCTTCCTTTTGCCATCCCCGGAAGAAAACGCTGTTTCTGTTCCTCGGTGCCAAATTCTTCAATACCACCCATGACGAGGGAACTCTGGACACTCATTCCACTACGGTATCCGCTATCGACTCTTATATCGATTAGTGTAGTTAGCATGGACTTCTACAACTTTCGCAAACATGTCAAGGGATGACTATTCACCTCTCCACTTCGCGGGTGATTAACTATTTTATGCAGTGGTATTAGCCATATGATGGTTATTAGTGTCAAGGCTTCTCCACATACCCCAGAAGCAACATTGCTTACGCCGGCACACCCATAGCCCTGAATTGTAGCACCTAGCAACCCTAGCTCCCCCATTTCCTTCAGGATCTCCCTATCATAATGCTCATCTCTGTATGCCTCTAATATATACCCCAGATCAGCTTCCCGGACTAATATTTTTCCATGTACTACAATGTCGTCTCGTTCCAAACACCGGTACACAAATAAAGTAACCAGGCACGCAGAAATTCCACTCACTAGGCGGGTGGTAATAGCTTACGGAGTACTCTGGGTAATAACTGTTCTTGGCAGTAGGAGTGCGCGCTCTCAGCAATAGCAATTTCGTCTTCACTTAATTGCTCTCTGAGTAGTAGGGGGTCCTCCCAGTCGAATGCTGTGGAGTGGGTACGACGACGAGCAACCGGCGTGATTGTAGATTTCGCCAGCGAGGCAACAGGACGTAAAAACTGGCGCATTTTCAATAAGATATATGGGTAAATCTGGCAAATTTTGGTTTAGATAATAATACCAAAGCTCCAAGATGGGTCTACTGCAGCTTATATAAGTCTCAAGTCATGATTCATGAAAGATCGAGTGTTGACCTCGGGCGTCGGATGGCACTTGCCGATAATGGGTTACTCAGCCTCGGCATTCGGATCGTGCCGAAGTGGAATAGGTATTAAGCGGGTGATTATCTATGATGCGACCCACTCTGTGGCCCACGATTTTTCAAGGTGCATACATATTTATTTTACGTTACCAGTCAACCAATTCCTAACCGGAAAAGATCATGATCAAGTCAATAGGACCCGAACTTCATCTACCGTTCTTGGCCACACATTTCTAGCCCCATCCATACCTTCTTCCATCTCGTTCGCTAAAGCGTTAACTACAGCTTCTTCTACCCTACGGAAATCTTCTACGAATCTTTCAGCTGCTTCATGCGCGATTTCTCCAATAACCTTTGGAGAGTTTAATCTCCTGAGCTCTGTCTGTACATCCATCAATGCTGACTGGAGGAACTTGTCAAGAGTCTGTGAGACTTGTGTTAAGGACAACAGGGAGAATGGTGGAAGTTGAGTTAAGGGTGTTTTCTGCAGTGAAGGATTAGATATAAGCATCACTCTGAGAGAAGGGATTCTATTGTTAGGTACCGTCGGATTCCAATCGTCTAACGCAACAAGCAAAGGATTCAACCCGGAAGTATGAACAAAGAAATTGTGCTCATACTCCACAAGTGCCTTGATATATGTCTTAATCTCGTCGTCTAGCATACTGACTCTTTTAGCTGTGAATAAAAATTGATCTAAAGTCGACTTGGCCGCCAACATGCAGTTTAAGCCGAAGATATTGCTCTGTAACTCATCTAGATCCTTTCGAAGAGAACGACAGCCTTCTATGTACGGATCAAACGCCTCCTCCAATATCTTTGAAAACTCCTCTTCGCGCTCTTGAGTTGGCGCTAAGGAAGCTTCATATGAAACCATCAGATCTTTGAGTTCTTTGAGACCTTCTAGAAGAAAATCAGGAGGTGAGAGGTCTGGCGGCGCTTGTGGAAGGTCCGACTGCACAGCCCGGACATGGGCCTGTAAGGTGCTATGAAATTGACGGAGAGCGGACTGCTCGACGCTGTAATGTGTTAATTTAAGATTATGTTTACCGCATGTGCTAGGGTTTACCTTTTAATTGTTTCTAGGAGGGATGAGTCTTCACCAAGTAGCTTTTCAAATGTGAGACGGTAGTAATTTATGAGGTTTGATATACGATATGCTAGGGTACTGTCTTCATGACTGGCGACGACCTGCTCAATTCTAGACTGTTCAAAGTTAAGAGAATTCTCGTTAGTACAGTCATATAAGGATGAAGATAAAATATTTGACATTGCTAGTTCTTACCTTCAATGGTTTGCACACTGTTTCTAAGCCTTTGTCTACTAACATCATCAAACCCTTCCTAGCATCCCAGCTCCCGAGAGCTTCCAAAGCATCATCTCTATAGTCACCAACCCAAGGTTCGCTTTTTAACCCTTCCTCAATCCCCCCTAAAATGCTGTTTTGGCCTTCACCTTCCTGAGAAATGAATAAAACTTCTAGGGCCTCCTGTTCACCAACAGCAGAAGAGTGCAGCCAAGCTAGCATATCACCAATGTATCTTAAAGGATCATGGGCGTAGAGCTCTATTGGTTTCGTGGAAGAGTCGATACCTGGTGTGCCTTGGGGGGCACCAGTTAATGCCGTGTAAAATGAATCAAGAAGGATCTTTTGTCGAGCTTCTGCGAAAAAATCTAAACAATCTCTACGATGATCACCAACATGTCAGAACAATGCTCTGCTACAGTGATGCAAAAAATGCGGAGCAGTACTGAAAAAGGGAGGGTCTTTCAGCTAGAACTCGCAAAGCTCTCCTGATGCCCGAATTTATCTGAGGACTCTCAAGTGACAGATGCTTTAACTCCCTTTGGATCCACCTATATAATTTCTGGAAAGCATCGTGTAGGTGTTTGGTCATCAAATCCATGATTTCCATACTGTCTTGATGGTTAGCACATATACCCCTAACCCTGAGGTAAATGTCTTAATTAACACACCCAGCCCTTTGATTTTCGCTTGCTAGTAAAACTTCACAGTCGCTATGTATTCTTTTTACCCTATTCAAGATTCGGAAGAATCGGTCGTCTAGAGTCTCAGCTGAACTAGTTAATACCAGCACATCTTCCTCAGAGACTACGAAGTGTGCCGTGAATGCAGACAGTAGTGCCTCTTTAGTTTCCACATCTTTTTTCTGCGACAATAGTTCAGAGGCTTCATCAAGTATTGGTGCCGTTTCCGAAGAAGCTGCCGCAACATTGGTTCGCAGTGAGGATACTACGGCGTTCATTGTGCTCAATGTAGTCCCTATATGTTTTAATTGCTACGCACAACATATTGTTCAGTGACTATTCTGTATTAGGGAAGATAAAATACAAAATAAAATAAAAAGTGTGTGTGCTACCTCAGCTATCTTAGCGAATTCCTCAACAATATGAGCATTGCCTCGGATGACCTCCGCCTGAATATCCACCCGGAGCTGCCGTCGTGAATCGGGGGAATTGTCGGTGAAGCGTGCGTCCAATACCTGGAGTGCATTTCTGATTTCAGAGTCGGAGTAAGACGCAGAGAGGACTGATGATAGCCTTTGCTGCGAAAGCGAGTCCATAATTAGGGGTTTGTTGCTTGGTGGACAATTAAGTAACTCCATGTTCGAAGTGAATGGAGCTTTGGATTGAATGAATGTATGTTACCCGGCCGATCGCTATCAATGTCGTTATCAATTACTGTATGGAATGATTGCTACCCTGTAAATTAAAGTAGACTCGACAGGGGGTAACTCGACAGGGGGTATTGTGACGCGTGACCTTAAGCCCTTTCAGAGGCTGAGAGCAGCCACAGGATTTACAGATTGTGCATGAGACCTCATTTATTTGCAGGGTATAAGGGTGTATAGAATCATCACAGCAGGAAGCTCCATGTCTTGTCGGAACGTGGATTGACAGGAAAATAGAGCTCTCAAACCCAGTGACCTTCATCACACTGGCCAAAGAACATCAACGGTCACTCCTCCCCCGCCATCAACCCACCCATCACCAATAACATTCTTCTTCTCCACCACTTCATCCTCCACCACCGGACTTTCGTAGCTCTATATTTTAAGACGAGCATAGTTTTCCCCGCTTTTTGTTTCTCCCAATAGCTTCCTTAGCTTTATCCAATATCGAACGCCAGAGCTCCATTCACCTACAAAGTCTTACGATAGACGCGATGACGAGTAAACTTCTCTCACAAATCTTCAATAAGAACTCACAATCTATATATGAAACCCTGCGAGAAAACGGTGCCAATAATTCGGATTCAGATCTAGACGACATGGAGGCCCGGGCTGGAACGCTACATAGTCAAGGTGGACCCGAAGAATATGAGGAGGGTATGGATGATAATGAGAGTACTTTTGAATTAAGACATCAACCACCGGCACCAGCCTCGTCGTCATTTCTAGCGCACTCAGCTCAACGTCCTTTCTTCGCCTCTATGTCCCGACCACGAGGGAACCGCTATGCCTCACAAAGATTTAGGGAAGAAGATCCAGATGATGATGACGATGTCCCTGCTTCTTTACTTTTTGAGGCTGGAGGCTTAGGAGGCGGAGGCAGCAGACCAAGCGGAACTGCTGGGTTGAACCAAGGCGATCTCGGTGGAGGTGGGCCAGGACCAGCTACAGAGGCCACTAGAAAACGGGATAAACAGGAGCAGCAGTGGGCTGCTGCAACAGCGCAAATGCACGTCCAAGGTGACGAGCAGGAAGCTGAGGCTAAAGAGGTCAGAAGGCAGGCTAGGCTAGGTCTAATAGATCCCAAAGAAAGGGCCTTATGGAAGTGGGCCAATGTTGAGAACTTGGACAACTTTCTTAACGATGTGAGTTGTGTATCTATTAACTATATGTAGATGATGGCTATTGCTAAATGATACTATAGGTTTATGATTACTTCTTAGGGAAGGGGATTTATAGTATTGCCCTCAACCGATTCCTAAATTTGCTGTAAGTACTGCCTTTGCTAACCGATGGGACACCAGCTTATGATAGGATACAGAATGCTGGCTTTTGTTGTCGCGTTTTCGACGTTTCTTAGTTTGTGTATCGACTATCAGTTGATACGTAAAAAAGACAAATTTGGGGATGTAATTGTACAACACTGTATGAGCCGGTAAGAATTACAGCTTTTATGCTAGTGTCTTCCCATAGAGGTATTTGGCTCACATATAAAAGAATGTCGGGCACAGCAACCTTTTTTTTGTGGATAATATCCTTTTACTGGGCAATCAAAGCGGTCCATTTTTTCTTGGATATGCGACGCCTCTGGGATATTCATAACTTCTACACCTACTTGCTCGAAATACCTGATCAGGACATGCAGACAGTTTCTTGGCAGGAAGTGGTTGCTCGTTTGATGATACTGCGGGATGATAACCCTACAACATCTGAAACAGTCCGCCGCCGTCATTACACCAACCAGTCTAAACAAAGAATGGACGCCCATGATATTGCCAATAGATTGATGAGAAAAGAAAACTATCTGATAGCACTCTTCAACAAGGAAATTTTGGACCTCACTATTCCGATTCCTTTTCTGAGAAGCAGGGGCTCTATGTTGACGAAGACTTTGGAATGGAACCTGAGTCTAACTATTCTTGACTATGTGTTTAACGAACAGGGTCAGCTGAACAGTATGTTCTTGAAAGAGGGTCATAGGAGGATATTGAGTGATGCGTAAGTGAATATGTGGGCAATTAATATATTTGAACTAACGTCATCTAGCCTAAAGAGACGGTTTATGTTTGCAGGCTGGATGAACATTATTACGGCTCCATTCATTGCGACCTATTTTCTCTTGGTTTTCCTACTCCGGAACGTTCATGTGAGTGTTGAATTCTCATATTCTCCAAAGATCAACGAATTTACTTTGAAACATAGGATTTTATTAAAACGCCAGCAAGAATTGGTCACAGGCAGTACACACCTTTGGCAGAATGGAAGTTTCGAGAATTTAACGAGTTGCACCATCTTTTCCACATGAGACTGGATATGAGCTATCCAGCGGCGGAGGCCTATGTCGATCAGTTCCCGAAGGAAAAGACCGCCCAAGTTGCACGGTAATTGCCTAGAATACTACCAGTAATTTCTTTCTGTTTAATGCTAAAGTAAATCTAGATTTGTTTCCTTTATAGCTGGGTCCTTGCTAGGAGTTCTAGCTATTGCTTCGTTGCTAGATAGCGATCTAATACAAGGGTTTGAGATAACATCGGGCATGACTGCTCTCACTTATATGGCCATTCTTACAACAATCGTAGCTGTCACTAGAGGTATGCTTCCAGAAGAGAATACTATATATGATCCGGAATGGTCCCTCCGCAACGTTATCCAGCACACACATTACATGCCTGACCATTGGAAAGAAAAATTGCGATCTGATGAAGTAAATATTTCAAGGAATCGACCCTAACTAAATAACCTGGCTAAATGAAAATTAGGTTAAACGGGACTTTATGACACTATATGACATGAAAGTTTCAATATTTATCAATGAAATCCTGAGTGTCTTCTTCACACCATTCATTCTTTGGTGGTCTTTGCCAAAGTGCAGCGACCGGATCATCGATTTTTTCCGAGAGTTCACTGTCCACGTTGATGGTATTGGTTATGTGTGCAGTTTTGCAGTTTTCAACTTCCAAAAGCCTGGGGTAAGTAATTTCTTTCAAATAATAAGAATTGGTAGGATATGCTGACCAGAAGAATCAATAGCATAACGTGGAGGATCTTCGAGAGGAATACTTTTCTTCGAAAGACAATAAGATGCTTTCTTCGTACTTAGGATTCATGGACCAGTACCACGGGACCCAAATAAAAACAGGCCACGGAAAACGGCAGCATCAGGGATCTTTACGACCTTATATGACATCGCCGATTATGGCCGCTGATATGAGTAAATCAATCTATAACCAACATCCCCAAAATCGACGCCAGGATACCTCTGGTCCAGGAATGGGAAAATCTATGCATCGAGACAGCCCAGGGAGAATGGGTGCATCAATGATGCAATCATCACTCTTAGATCCGCAACACCAGCCAGCTTATGGGGGTTTCTCAAGGAATATGAGACAACCAATGTTCCATCCCCGATCGGCGGAATCTTTGAGGGAAGAGGATGAAGAAGAAGAATCTGCGATCAACCCAGGGCATAATAGAAAACAAAGGTATAGAAGTAATTTAGGAGAGAGTTTTATGTCGACAAATGTCACCACAGCTATGATGGAGGCTGCGGAGGAGGGACAGGCTGGTCCTAGGACGAATGTACTGGACTTGTTAAACCAATTCGTAGGTGGTGGGACTGAAACTGCTGGAAGACCGGGCGTTATATAAGCCTATATGATTCTATCGTAGCCCCCCCACTAGTTTATTAGTGCTTCTAGGATTAGTTATTAGACGCTTTTCTTGCGTGGTCAGTGACAGACACAGTTATACGTACTTATGGGTGGTGTTTCTCCTTTTACTTTTGCTTTTAGGTAGCATCTATGCCATCCATTTCTTTCTTTTGATGGTCTCGGACACCTTCTAAATGTCTTATAATGAGTTGTTCTCGTGTTCAAGATCTAGTGGCGTAAATCCCATGTTGCTCGTGCACCTGGTCTGGACGTGGCATTGTAACTGTTGTGTGTAATACATTTATGTATGGGCATATATAAATACATGTATACATGTAGTATACCTAGGTACATGTATATACATGTATACATGTAGTATACCTAGGTACATGTATATACATGTAGTTTATGGGGCCCAGCGGTCTACACATAAGATAAATAATACCGCAAAAATTGAAATGGCAGCTTATACAGCTTGACTGGGGATACTAAAAGTTAAACTTTGGGGCGAATATCGTTTAGCCAGTCATTACATAATATAGTAACAATGTTTAAGTTGGAACTAACATTTTTGGGATGACTACATTATTCATAGGTATATGTACATGTAATGACTGGACGGCATATACCGGTGATCAGGGTATACATGTAACTTCGGTTCATTGTGGATTTGGAGCCCTGAAATGTCAATGTATTCTACCTTTCGAGACTTGAGAACACTCTGCACATGTAGCGCGCCACCAATTATATTCAGGGGCATACATGTACATGTACACGAAGCACATGTATGTACCTGTACGTGTACTCGTATCTTCCTGACGTTTGTAAAAAGGAACCACTATTGCATACCATACAAATACGCGCCAATTCCACAATTTAGTATGGTATGCAATAGCGGTTCCTTTTACAGACGTCAGGAAGATACGAGTATACACAACTACATGTACTTAGCTCTATTGCATATTCCCGTTCTGGACGCCAGGACCGGCAATAGGAAGCTGGGGACTAGTATTAATTAATAGCGTCAAATTCAAATGTCTATATGTTTGAGGCATGATCATGGCTGGCCAACTAATTAATAGCATGACATATATACATACATGTATATACATGACACTTTACAAGTCCTTTTTGCCTGTATTGTGTTCACAGGATGTAGTTGCGTTGTCTCTTTCTGAAGACTGGCCATTTATGGCTATTAGAAGCGATATCTAGTTTGTCAGACGTTTTGGCAGTCCTTAATGTTTGTTGCCTTGATTACATCAGATATGACAACCTTTAATGAACCTCAGAGCACATGTACTCTACCTACATTGGTACTATTTAATACTAAGACGAGTGTGGCCAACGCCGCGAATTCTAGAAAAGATGCATTGCGTTGCAGAAAGGGCGCTAATTAATACCACGTGTGGATTCTGAGGAATCAAGGTGCAGAGCCGCATATCAAACCAGTTTAGCATTTCATAACGCAGCTATGTCAGTGCCTTCAACTTGTTTCTTATGTATCGTGGAGAAAGATTCTTGGTGTATCAGATGTATCCCTTGTGCGGCAGTACGAGCACTAAGGGCTAGGGGTTGGATGGAAGCTGGGGCGCCCCCAGCCTCCAACGTCGAGTGCTTGCCTGTCCCTCGCTTTTCTACCTTACCTATTACACCACTCAAAAAAAAAGAAACACTACTCCTCTCTCAACCTCCACTTCTCCACCTCAGACCAGTCCACTCAATCCCGGCTCTGTGCTGCTCAAACTGCATCTCGTCGTCCTATCACACTCTCCATATACTTCACTTCGTGACATTCCGATCAACTCTCCTGTCCTCTTCTCACGCTTTCCCACGATCAGTCAATCACATCCCTGCCATCCAAGCGTCAGCAGCACCACTTCATCCCGCTCGAATTTCCCACTCTTCTCTTATCCTCCTCCACCCCTTTTCCTCTAACTTGACATTTCTCATCTACATTCCGTCGAACTGCATCAAATACCCCTGGTATACCTCTAGATCATCATATTCTCACCTCTTGCGTGAATCTATAACCATCTACTTCACTCTTGATAATTCCCCCTCCCACGCTATCTAGTTGGTGTCAACTACAATTGTCACCGAATCATCTTTTGACTTGACATTGAATCCTTCCACTTCTTACCACTACACACCCTCCACACTCAAATGGCGACCGCACTCGCCGAGCAACTTGAGTCTACTTCGTTAGAGTGAGTCGTTTATCCTTTGTGCCCCCTCTTGGTTGGTGTAGCAACAATCGTTCGTTACCCTACCAGTATTACTAGCCTACTCACTGGCGTTATTTATTTAGGGGACAAGACCCTGACTGGAAATCAAAACTGAAGGCCCCCAAAAAAGATCTGAGACCACAGACAGAGGTGGGTTTCTCTTTCTGGCCTTATAAATTTACAAATTGCCTTTTTATTCAATTCGATAAAGATATTAACGAACAAATCAGGATGTCACCGCCACTAAAGGTCTTGATTTTGAAGATCTCTATATCAAACGAGAGCTATTGATGGGTATTTTTGAGGCTGGTTTCGAAAAGCCGTCACCGATTCAAGAAGAGACCATTCCAGTAGCATTAACCGGTCGTGATATCCTTGCCCGTGCCAAAAACGGCACAGGGAAGACCGCCGCCTTCGTCATCCCTGCTCTTGAGAGGGTAAATCCCAAGAGTACGAAAACACAGGCACTTATTCTCGTACCAACGAGAGAACTCGCCCTACAGACATCACAAGTTTGTAAGACATTGGGGAAGCATCTGGGCATCAATGTCATGGTTACCACCGGAGGGACTGGATTGAAAGATGACATCATTCGCTTGAATGAGGCTGTGCATATTCTCGTCGGAACACCAGGCAGGATCCTTGATCTTGCTGGCAAGGGAGTGGCCGATTTTAGCGAATGCCCGACGTTTATCATGGACGAGGCAGACAAGCTTCTCAGTCCTGAGTTCACGCCTATCATCGAACAACTTCTTGCTTACTTCCCCAATGATCGGCAGATAATGTTATTTAGTGCAACCTTCCCTCTTGTTGTGAAGAGCTTTATGGTACGATGCGATAATCCCAGATAAAAATAATCTCGTTAACGGCTTTCAGGACAAACACTTGAACAAACCATATGAGATCAATTTGATGGATGAGCTCACTCTTCGCGGTGTAACGCAATACTATGCGTTTGTAGAAGAAAAGCAGAAAGTTCACTGCCTTAATACCCTCTTTTCGAAGGTACAATACACCATAATCAAGTTGAACTTCATCCGCCAAATACTGACCTTTAAAATAGCTACAAATTAATCAATCTATAATTTTTTGCAACTCAACAAACCGTGTTGAGCTACTGGCCAAGAAAATTACAGAACTTGGCTACTCATGTTTTTACTCTCACGCCAAAATGCTCCAGAACCACCGTAACCGGGTCTTCCATGATTTCAGGAACGGTGTTTGCCGTAACCTTGTATGCTCAGATCTTCTCACTCGCGGTATTGACATTCAGGCTGTAAATGTTGTCATCAATTTTGATTTCCCCAAAAATGCGGAGACATATCTTCATCGTATCGGGCGTTCTGGTAGATTTGGTCATCTTGGTCTGGCTATTAATCTTATCAACTGGGAAGACAGGTAAATAATATCAGCAGTCTCTTCCAAGGAATCTTCTAACAAGATTCAGGTTCAACCTTTACAAAATCGAGCAAGAGCTTGGAACCGAAATTCAGCCAATACCTCCAACAATCGACAAGAAACTTTATGTTTACGACTCTCCTGAGTCTATTCCTAGACCTCCATCAACCCCACAACCCACACGTCAAAACCAAGGAGATAACCAGAACCCCCAGCAGTTGCAACAGCGAAACGCCAACCATGCTGCCCACAATCGTGCCCCCAATCACGGACAAGGAAGGGGCCGAGGATTTCAGCACCAGCAAGGTCCCAACCAAGGCCAATACAATAATAATAATCAAGGGTTTAACCAACAACAGAACCGCCGCCCTGGGCCTCGATACAACCAGAACCAAGGCCAACCGGGAGGGCGCCCAAATGGGTTCGGGCCTCCGGATGCTGGGCCGCAAGTAAGAGCTCAGTAGCTCTCGTACACCCTTGATCAAAAACAGAAGGCGGAGAGGGGGTAGTGCGTGGAGGGGGGTATTAGTGTACTTTTTTTAAAACTAAGAGGGTATGAGGGTACTAAAACGATCGGGTAATAGCGTGTGCGGTTCGGATACCTACGAGTCAGCAGTATGCGGGGGATGTATATTACGACAAAGGGGATCGGCAGAAGAAGCACTGTTTGAGTTGATAAACCGAGATTTATCAGGGTATCAGCAATAAAACCGGCCCTTTTCTTTCTTCATTCTCGATTGGGCTTTTGTAAAGTTCTTTTTAGTCTTCTGCATTCATTTTATCTTTCTTGTTCTTTTTTTTGTTTTTTTTTCTTTCTGGAGATGGTTGGCGGGAACGAATGATGATAGGGCTGTTGGGTTTTGAAGGCGCATGGTTTTCTACTTTTTCTTAAATATCTCTCTTTTGCATGGTTTTTCGGTGTGGCTTTTGTTTCTTGATCCTTCCTGTTGTCCTGGCACCTGGATATGCCTTTGTGCTGCTGTTTTTTCGCTTCTCTTGTGGGTCGGATTTAGCAGAGCTGGGGTCAGGATTGGAAGCTAGGGTTGGTGTTGGGTGTGCATACGGCGGAAGATTTGGGCATTTGTCTTATTTGCCTATGGTCTATGTTGTTGGTGAGCGGGTGGTTTTCACATTGGTCTACTCATCAAGGTGAAGGGGATGTTTGGGGAAGGTGGCAGGTGTGATTTGGGACAACTCGACAAGCCGCTTGTGCGTTTTTATTGACAAACACGAAAACGAACAAAAAACGGTCAACAAATATCTACAGTTCAATCTCTGCAACGACAACTCGAATACTGGCAGAGGGGCGAATCATTTCGATGCTATTTTGCTACAGGGCGGGAAGCTTAGTGAGATGAGGGATTGGATATCTACCAGTCTTTTATGAGCTATCTACTCGAGCTCGTATATTACCGTCTTTCGGTGACTGGTATCGGAGAGAATTCTAGACAATCGAGAAAGGAAAAAGAGATACTCGATCGAAGGATTCCAAAAAGAAAAGAAAAAAATGGGACGGACGGAGACGAGGCGTTCTGGATACTATTTATTATCCAAAGTCTAAGCAAATTGATGGGTGTGGGGATTGGAGAAAAATGTGGTTTGTGTCATATTTTTTTCTATTTATTCTCCTGTTCTATGTATTTGTTTGATCTTTGTATCAATGATGGAAATACCCGGTTAGTAAGGTGCATGTTATGGGTTTTCATAACACTCTGTTGTAGTATCTAGTATATTGAGCGCATCAATTGAAATAACCGTCTCTATTCGCAATCTTTTTCGTCTATAATACCGGAAATCTTTGTTTTCGAAGTAGCTGAGGCACGCTCCAATACACCTGTGATATGCTAAAGTTAAAGATGCAAACCCTTCGTGGTAAGGTAGTAGAATAAATAATCTACTATAGTATCGCTCTGGATCCAATACCGTGAGTATTGTGAAGGCCTCATTCTTGCTTAACGGCCTTTACCGCTTCATCATACCGGTTCGCGGGTGGTGACCCCAAGGACCTGGGTACATGTAACCACAGTACCGTACTCACCGAACCGAGTGATAATTCATGAATGTACCTGCTTGTCACTCGATTTATATTCTAGTTCTGTAGCATAAACTGCATGTACATGTATATTGTTAATATTCTATGCCCTCTTTTATCCGACGTCAAATGTTCCTCTATATGTCCCACCCGGGGAAGAGATGATTCAGATCTAAAAACATGGACCTAAAATACCTCGAGATAAACACTAGATCCTATCGAGCACTATAGCCATTAGTATAAATAGTATAATCATTTTGTGAGAGCCTATACCACTAATTCATTCCCTCCAGGATGACTGTAATGTTTTGGTGGCCTTAGCTACGCTTCAGTTTCTCTTGGTAAATTTCAACGCGAGGCCAGATTTGCACGCGCATACAGCTACAACATATTACACTAGCCTATAACCCCACTGAAACACCTCATATTCATATGAAATCTATTAACGTTATGAGGGTTAGACTTGGGGGCTGTACTTCGGCCTTCTGCACCAATTGCCGAGTGATGGTCTATGATTACACTCGCCCAGCCCGCATGAAAATGACATATTTATTACTGCCCATCATGACAGGTCAACACCCTGTGAAAGTGTTAGTAATCGGTGGCCGGGAGTTTGTACTTCAAGATCGCGGACCACGTCTACTTTTCTCTCGAGAATGGTCGACACTGTATATAGTTACCCTAGAGCTAGATGACTGGTCTAAAACGTCGGAGGTATTTTTCGGGTACAGGAGCAGTACATGTAGTTGTTCCTGAAATACGTCAAGGCTCTGTAATCAAGCTCAACTGTAGCTTTGTCGGGTGAAGAGGATTTGCAAGTATTATATCTGTACCCAGTGGCATGCGGCCTACCACAACATTTGATGCTGCTTTCTATAAAGCATCGTAACTTCAGCGAAGCTATTGGAATGGCTCTACCGGCAAAGTAGACAAGCCAGGAGCTCCTGCCTAAATATCGAGCCTGTCTGCGTAATACACACCCCATATCTGATCTTCAGCCGCGCCGGGGAAGGGGATTGAGTACGGAAACACCCCATGGCGGTAAGAACGCAGGACTCCCGAGCCGCCAGGAATTCAAACTCCCCCATCTCTACCTATGCACTAGGTAGCCCAGGTTATTGGGAATTCACGTTGCACCAACAGCCCATTGCTTGTCGTACTAGACCTCGAAATCACCCGCTCCTACCAGCAAGATGGTGGGGACCTAATTTAGCACCCTATGTGCGTTGCTCCAATTCCTACTAGATCCATCATAATGTTGGTCTGGGAGCTTGTATAGCCTTTCCGAAGGAGTTGCCCAGGTTTCTCCCACTTACATGTTTGTCTGATCACATGTGATCACTCGTTTATGAACGTTAATCACTGACGAACTTAAAGCTGCAGGCATATGATTCGTGGCAAATATTACTTGAAAATACTCTTTATATGTTTTGTTTTTCTAAAAAGTTCCCTCTGACTCAATAAAGGGCTTCTGGAAGTATTTTATTGGCGGGATCCTCAATATGCGAGTGATCGCCCATGATTAAAGTGCTTTTTTTTTATGTGGGAAGACTAGTATCTAGAGCCAAGTTCCAAGTTTCACATTCCTACCCCAATAATATAACAGACTCAGATACGAGTATGCCGGAGTACAGGAGGGGAAAACAGCCAAACATAATGGCCCACCCCCAAGAACACCTCGTCAGCCAGATCTCACCTCCCTGGAGCTCGTAGCACGGGGATGGTCAGTCAATTTCACGAGAATCTCTGCCACAAGGTCACGTTTTTGAATAACTACAAAAAGGATATGCAAACAGGACTCCATGTTCAAATTAACGCTAAGCCTGCATCTCTAGAGTGGAGCGCATAACCATCTAAAAGTCTGTCGCCACGTTTGAGAATTCGCCCTTCTCCAACTTTGTCTTCCAGAATACGGGGTTGGTGTCGGTGAAACCGTGCTTGGTCCATCCCTCCTCCTTGACATGGTACAGATTTATCGAACCACCAGAGTACGCATCCTAGAGAAAGCTATTGTCAGAATCTGCCTATGTGCAAGTCGCAGTATATGGAATAGTTACTCTGTGGGTAGCGGCCAAAATGGATCTAGAACCCAGCGCCAATGCATCCTCAACACTAAGGTTGTAGTCATACTCCCGATCCAGCACACCATAGGCAAAGGTCTGACCGGATCCCACACAGAACAAGTTCCCAGAAAGACGAGTGCCGTCCGAATCGATATAGTACAGAGCTGGGCCCTCAAGAGCCGTCACACCGGCCATCATGGTTCCCATAGACAATCCCATTCCCTTGTAAGAGTATACAAGGTTAGAGAGGATCTTTGAGGCGGCTGCGACCGAGATTCTGCGCTTATGGCGGAGCTCGTGGAGACGGCATTCAATACCGAGGTAGTTGAGCCAGTACTGACAATCGGCGGCACCTCCGGCCATCGTTCCGAGCATCTTGTCGCTATGTTGGGTTTGTAGTGTTAGTACCTTGGAGGTAGTAGTACCTGGGGGGAGGAGGTAGTTACTTGATCTCGATGACCTTCTTGACAGTCTGCGATGCGATCCAGCTTCCAGCTGTAGCACGGGAGTCGGTGGCGACAATGATACCACCCTGGAACCTGAATGCGAGTGTTGTGGTTCCGTGGGCAATCTTTATAGGGCATTCTGGGTTTGCATGGTCGTCTGTTGCAGCACGGAGGAAAGCAGTTGGCTATATATCCATCCCAATTATCAGCGCCGGCCTTCCTCTCCATCACCAATAATCTGCTGTATTACTATATGCATACCTGTGAGATGGGCGGCAGCGAGAACTTGAGATCCAGCGATGGCTTCGTCGACTGGAAGTGCACCGAGTTCTCGTCTTCGTCAAAGAAGTCGTCCTGAGGAGTTGAGTATTTGGCGATGAGGTCATCCATGATGTATCTATTTCGATGGGGAGCAAGACTGTGATGGCGGACGATAAACTATGGGATGGGAATGTCGTCGAAGGTAGCTGCTGTGGGGGTAAGTTAGTGGTGGAGATAGCTATTATGGAGGTTGAGTCCCACCACAACCCACGCAGCGCCAAGAGCACAAGCCACAGAGGATGGTTGATCCCTTCGCGGATTGTGCGACCTATCACTGGCCCTGGGCCCCGGTTCCTCCCCCACTACATCCCACCAAACAACTTTTTTTTGTGAGGATTTTGCAAAATGTCGGTTAACAGGAAGAAGGATAAGGCATGTATTTCTTAAGGCCTAATAACTCCTCCCGGTTTCAATTTTTAGGACCTAATATCTAACAGAACTCTGCGATCTAGCCCAGCGTCGCTCGTTCCCTGATCGCAGGAGGTAATTCGACAATTCTACTCAGCTCTACACATTTTCGGTCTCAAAATTATTTCTTAAGCTAATATATTCTCCCAAAACTACAGGCTTCGCCGGCGCGACAGAAATCGGTATGTTGCTCTTCTGTTTTAACTATCCTTCGCCGAACTAACATCTCACGTGCGCCCTCTAGCGATCACCTATCCTGCCGAATTCGCAAAGACCCGCTCGCAGCTCAACCGCCGTCTTGCGGATGGCAAGAAACTACCATGGTGAGAATTACAGACTACTAAGCTATCTGTCAAGCTACAATGGATCACAAGAGCTCATACCCATTAGGCCGAAATTCGGGCCCGAATGGTATGCAGGCTGCACAACAGCAATCATAGGAAACTCAGTCAAGGCAGGAGTCCGTAAGTTTGATATACACATGTATTTCTAAGGTAGGAGTGGACTTGAAGGCCAATTATGTGGATGTTAGGATTCTGGTCATTCGATGCATTCAAGCACGCACTTCAGGATGAGGACGGGAAGATAAGTGGGCCCAAAACCGTCCTCGCCGGTCTAGGAGCTGGTGCTACGGAGTCTCTTATCGCGGTGACGCCCTTCGAGAGCATCAAGACGCAATTGTATGCCCTCCTTCTTTACCAAAAAGGGCCCTGCTAACTGTGCGCCAACAGAATCGATGACCGTAAATCTGGTAAACCAAGGTTCGTAGAGCAATTCCCAATCCTAAACTTGCGCCCATGATATTAAAAACCTAAACCCCATAGAATGCGCGGATTCCTTCATGGATCAGCAATGATTTTCCGCGAGAAGGGTTACCGCGGCTTCTTCCAGGGTCTTGTTCCAACGACTGCACGCCAGGCCGCGAACTCAGCGACGAGATTCGGATCCTATACGACATTGAAGCAGATCGCGCAGGGTTATGTTGCGCCGGGAGAGAAGCTGGGCCCATTGTCAACTTTCGGGATTGGGGCTACGGCTGGGTTGATTACTGTGTAGGTTTTTACTCGAGAGTTGGATATGAAGTAGCGGGATTGCTAATGATTGACGGTCGGCGACAGTTACTGCACGCAACCTCTGGATGTGGTCAAGACTAGGTACTTTCCCATCTTCCTACCCTAGCCCACTAGCATTGCTAGCCTGCTAACTAACCCTGGGTAGAATGCAATCCATAGAGGCACGTGCAGAGTACAGGAACAGTTTCCACTGTGCGTACCGGATATTTACTGAAGAAGGAATCCGCGCCTTCTGGGCTGGGGCCTTACCCCGATTATCTAGACTTATGGTGAGTTAACATTAACTTACACTTTTAATAGCCATGAACATGAGTGTGGATGATGCGCTAATGCATTTTACAGATAAGTGGTGGGTTGGTATTTACGATGTACGAGAAGACCATGGAGTTATTTGATGTGGTAGACCCAAAGAGGATCTATATTTAGTTATTAGAATTAGACGGGTGGGAATTGAGACGCTGATCGTAGAGTTCTTTCTTGACTTCTTCAGGACTCTGGTCACTGGTCTGCATATCCGAGAGTTGTGAGCGGTGTAACGCAGCCTTCCTTGGCGAGTGCGTGTCCATGAGCGGACACCCAATATTGTGGTTGATACCCCGCACCAGACGGGTGTAGGCATGTGAAGTAGAAATAAGCAAACATGTTGCTCTCCCGCAGCCGAGATGAATAAGGCGTGATCCTCACTCAGCGTGTAGGTCTGTGTTCGAGTGTGTGTGAATAGTGATCTTCGAGCTTTGGTTACAAACTTTGCTTCTAGAGAACGTTATGTTGGGATGTGTTGTGCAGGCGCTAGGTCTGGAACGGGGCGCTATATTATTACCCCACAAAATTTAATGATGGGTGGAGGCAATAATTGCCTTGCAAGCAAGTTCGAGACAGGCTTTATGGAGAAGGAGGGCGGGCGAACCAGTACCGGGTGCGTAGTGTAGATGGGAGATTGATGATAAGACACGGCACTGGTGATAGGATGGATATTGTGCAAGGAGATTTCAGACCCCAAGTGCAAGACCTGAAGCAACATGTCCTCGAGTGCGGTGACTCGGACAATGGTTGTATTTACGTTTAGAAAAACACTGAGCAGCCAGACCCGCGCGTTATTAACATCATATTACTATTTTTTAGGAAATAGTTGAGTTGCCAAATCATTTGGCACGGCGTTGACTTATAGCACTAATACTAATATTTATCACGAATCACAGGTTATCACTCGTCAAAGAAGAAATTTGATTGGTTGATTAAAAACGATTGCATTAATTAATCATTGGTATCCATAACATTCGTAAAGACTGTGAAGTAATAATGAAATGAAGTCCTCCTCTACTCCTTGTTCATTCCGAGAGTGTTCTTGACCTATTCTAATTGTCAATATTCGTTTATAGATTAACTAGGACAACTGTCCTTAAGTACTAACCTTGTCAATTGGACCCTCGGTGTGAGCATCCTTCTCGCGGCGGCCACTGTCGAAGACACTCTGAGTGGTAGACTTGTTCTCGTCGGGGTTGACAGCTCCGGCAGCGCGGTCAGCGGTGTCAGTAACTCCCTCCTTGAGCTTCTGAGCGGTAGACTTGGAGTTGTCGGGGGTCTAGGGTGGTGGTGTTAGCAAATCTAACTTTGAAGAGGCGGTGAAGATAGAGGGGTGGGCTTACAATCTCCTCCTTAGCCTTGGTGGTGAAGTCCTTGCGGCCGAGATCAGACATGTTGAAGTATTTGGTTTTGGGGGTGGTTTGGTTTAAAAAAAAGTAGTTGTTTGTTTTGTAGTTGGAGTGTAAAGATGCTTGAGTGTGATGATACTGAAAAAGAATTACGTTCCAGCGGGGAATTGGGCAGCTTATATAGAAATTTTTCTCTCCATCCTCATGGTCTACTCTGTTCTGATCTTCAGGGACACGCCCTAGCCAAAGGGCTCAAATATGCTATGACGTTATTGTTTTGTCCAGCGCGAGTGACGAGATGTGACATCACCTCCTTGGTAGTAACCATTTTGCAGGGGAAGGGATGAATGTAGCCGCTTCCGGTTAGCTCATGCTAATAACCCTGGATATTCTCTGCCTTGGCGCGCCTAATTAAGTTATGTCATTACTGCTTGTTTGAACAACTACCATGCACAACTACAGGGAAAGGTTCAAATGCCATAGGAAATCTTGTTTTCGACCTCGATATGATGGATATCGACATACCGGTAGGTACGCATATGTGCGTATGCCGATGAATACCAGCCTCCTCTACAGGAAGGATTTACGCATATCCCATGCGGCGGTGCTCCAGATCTCCCAGCCCTGCTCGATAGACAGGAAATCATCGAGACCGCAGATAGCCGTTTCGTCCCTCGGCCTCCAGTTCATTTGAACGTGCTCGTCTGAGGGGATTTGCTTGTGATGGATGATTCACTGCTCTATACATAGAAGTGGGGACATATAGGCCTACCTACTCTACTCATGTTAGAGGCCGAGTGAGTTCTTTTACTTGAACAATTCACTCTATTCTACTATCCGGCGCTGTACCTCTACCGGACGTGGTAGTTTGACTGTCGTGTGACACCATCTGAGACGTACCTTAGAGTCCGCAAACGTGAAGAGGCAGGTGACGGAACTACTGTCCGGACGACTTAGAAAGAGCGTTTCGAATCTGCTCTACCAAAGATCGATTGGTCTTTCTCCAGAGTCGGGGCCTCTGTGATTGGAATTGTGGTTTGGCTTTTCAGTCACTATCGATCATTACCCTGTCACCTCCGCCAATTGCAACACCGCAGAATTCTTGACTTCGAGGAGGGTAATTATGTTTAGAATATATTCGTCTAGAATATATTTCGTAAGCTTCAGAATTAGTTATCTACTGCATCATCAGCGGGGATCCCATCAGCGGGATCTCTTCTCGGACGATTTCATCTTCGGCGTTGATGCGCTCCTGACGGATGCGCAGCTCGACCCCAGTTATCTCTCCTCCCATCCTTCCGGGCTATACATCCGAGCCTTCACTCTTTACTAATAACATTGCCACAAACTAGTTTTCGAGCTTTTATTACATTATTTGCGCTCTGTGTAGCGTCGAGATAGAGAGGCAATCTTTGATCTATATCTATCTCCTGGTCAAAAGCTGCATCTATTTATGGTATCCTTTGATGTATCATATTCCAGAATCATCATGATGCTATCTATGTATTAGATCCTGATAAGTGCGGGAAGTGCGTCTTTGTGCATAAAGTATAAAAATCATAGGAGTGAGATTTGCAAGATAAGAGCTTGATAGGTACATGTATTAAGCAGGAAATTACCGCTATCATGGATAACGAAGTTACTTCACCCCCTAGGGGCTAGAGTCGATGAGATTTCAGTATTCAGGAAGGATATTGAATCAAGTGTCAGCTCTCAAGCTGCTATAACTTATAGCAATCATTAAGCAATATAATATACGTGCTTCAATGGATCTAAAAGGGCATTTTCATAAATACAAGGGAGCACCTATATATGGGAAGAGAAATACTCTTGGTATTTCGAAGGGGTACCAACTTGTGGATAGCTATATTATTTACGCATACATATACCGAAGGACGGCCAAGCTTCTGTTAGGATTTGGGACAAATATACACGTACACTAGTAAGATAGCCCAGAGGATCAAGCGTCATCCTAGGACCCGCACGTGGGAACACTTGAGTCTATAGTTTAGGTATTAATACGCTAACAGTAATAACTCGCCGGTTTAATTCCGTATTCTTCATTAAATTCCGCACTCATAGTAGTGATTTCACCCTGTTTTTCATGCTATATATTTTGACACCCCATTTCATCCGACTTTAATTTGACGAACGATGGAATAACCGCGCCGAGCTGCAAATTCCTAGTTGCCGATCACCTTCCCCTACTACACCTCTCGCCATTTCCCACATCACAGATTGGCTTTATGAGACTCAACGCTCTTGGGATTACTCTTCATCGCTCAAGTCCTTTACCTTTTTTAACTTCTCCATTCTTTTTATCCCCTTAATATTAATCTATGTAACATCATGATATCCATATAATTATAATATGGTTAGGAATATTATAATTATCACCCTGTCAACAAACTCCTTTCCTCTAAGAAACCAGATCCTGACCTATCGATATATCATATTCATATATTTAGCTATAGTAGTTATAATCCCACACGAGATGAATCCATGAGACCTTGAGCGTCAATTGTGATGAGTTTTATCGATTAGGCCGTATATATATTATGCCCCCCCAAGCGCCCGAGTGATATATATACACATATAATTGGAATCCGGAAGGCTACATCATAAACTTAAAAAATCAATTAATTAATACTCTCCAGCTGATAGTGGATTTTAGACGATACTAACCGGGGGATGGGGTATAAATAGTCTGATTACAATATGAGAACCTAACGACGTAGTCGTAGTTTTTTCATAGCCATTATACTCCCCTTAAGTTCCAGGACGGTGATTTATATAGTCCATATATATGGCTATTGTTATTTCCCTCGCTCATGCCAGATGCAGGTTTATTTAACTATCTCCGGCACGGGCCCCGCAACTAATACCAAAGCCGAATCCGATGCAGGGTAAAATTTACCGCCAGTTGGCGGAACGAGGTGTATCCTATTGATCTCTATTGCTTCATGATTTTTATTACACGATCAGAAATATGCCTGTAGCTGTACTACTAGATATATTTGAGTTTGCTAAATTTTATACAGATGGTACGTCTCGCAAGAGACTTACCACAGAGTGAATATATCGGAACCAATGACAACCGTATTGTGTAAGATTTTGGAAAGGCTATCTTATGGTTTCTCTAACACTTTCTCCTCGTGCGCGTATGAACGTGCACAAAGGGGCCGGGCGTGCCGGGGTATATATAGTTAAGTGCTAGCTGTACAATAAAATTTACCGCTTTCGTATGAGAAATTGTGACTAGGATACACCAAGATCATGTATAATCTGCTGGCATTCCAATCTGTTATAAAATCATTTATATCTAGAAAGCGCTATCATATATAGCTTTATTATATATATGGGGTATATAGAACAGTCTCTAGGGTTTCGACTCAGTGAAGGGCGGGTAAAGCAATTTTTCTTTCCCGTCAGCGTCTACGTTTACTTTATGATTATTCCGGTCAGTGTTGGTAATGACCCACGACCCGTAACGACCGGTCAGTATTAAGACTGGGTCGAGGACCCATCAGTCGTAAAAGGTAATGACCTAGGTCGTATTCTCCCCCGGGGTCGTATCATCAAGTTATGGGAAACTTGAGAAAGGTCTGTATTTTTTCTAGTAGAACCGCCTTTCTTGGCATTGATACGACCTACATTCTGACCGGTCGAAGACCCTGTCCCATCAAAATCGTAATGACCCTACCCAAGATAAATCGTTAGGACCCCCGGTCGTTACCAACGCTGATTCCGGTACTTTCATTACTATCGTTTACTGTAAAGAGTCTCAACGTTTGGTTGACACTTCATCAATGACAAGCTTAGTTAATTAATGAGAAACAAAAACAAAACAAAAAAACAAGCTTAGTTCATAGGATATCACTCGGCGGTAGGTTAGTTTGACGTCGACGGTAGGGTAACTTCTAGCAGCTAGCATGAAGCATAATTAAACATACATGTATACAACACTTGCGCAATCAATATGTGGTATTGTGAGACACTGTATTCATCATTGTAGCACATTTAAGATGTGGGGTATCTGCTAGACATGCCGTGTACAAGACTTTTTGAAAATCTAAAGTTGCATATTTGGGCGGTATCATGTACCGTTTGACAGGTACAAATTAAAGCTTCAGGTTCGAATTCAGGTGCTAGCTAGCTGCGGGTAGCCGTTCTAAGCACTACAGGCCAGCAACCGCGAGTGAATAATAGCAAGTATGGTATATATTCCAAGCAGATTTATTTTAGCCCTTTAGTGGATGGGCCGATAAAATAATTTCTTTTTAAAAGAAAGGGACGCTTTTCGAGCGGAGAACATTCGAGAAAGCGTGGGCGGTAAAATCAAGATACGAGCTGATGTTAGAAACAGAGCTCCCGAGCGACTTTACGTCGTCTAACCTCCGGTCGAGAAACTTCCAGGTCTCCTCGAAATCTGGCGACGTATCCTGCGTCATAAAGAGCTCTGCGCATTAAGGAATATTGTTAGAATTAAAATACTGGGAAAACATTCAGTAATCCTAGTCTTCATTCTCACCAGTACTGGCATAGACTCCGGAGAGTGTTGCTCTCTTAGTATACCAATTCATGTCGTGACTATCATCTCCGGCAAGAAACCACATCTCGTCGGACAGCTTCGCTAATTCAGAGACGGAAGCGGGTATGTTTCCTGCTAGCGACATAAGTCCCAACGCCTTTCTCAATAACAAGCCATGTTGTTAGCTTAATTAGATATTAATGTCGGTCGTATAATATGGATATGGTAAATTGCCGTAGAAACGGGGAAATGCACCTCTTGCCATCGGTTTATTAACGGGGAGTTTGCTCTCAGCCGTTCCGCACAGAGAACCCGAATCTTTGCTGGAGTACTGAGACGCTTTGTGCCATCTTCAAATTTACTAAAGTCGACTTTCTGACTTAATCGTAGCCGTTCGGTAACGAGGTGGTAGTTTACAAGGTCGAATACGCCCCGGGGGAATAAGTTAGTTGAAATGTCGAGATATCCGACATCACGAGCACCAAGAGACAGTGTCGTGGTCGAAAACCCATGTGAAGGGACATGGCGGAGAGCAGCAGAGAGTATTGATGATTCTGTTGGCGTGAATGGGGGGGCAGGTGACGGGTGTTGGTATGAGTGGTACTGGCGATGTGGTGGAAAGCAAAATATGGATATGGAGATGGCCTTGGAGGCTGTAGCAAGGCCAAGGGGGGATACTCTCAATGTGCTGATCATCGTGAATTATTTCTTATGCTTGTGGTGGGGGCAGAGGTAGGTTGTCAACTGTGTATGTACCACGGTGTGTAGCGTTATCGTTATCTTTTGGTAGTTGAGGTCGGTCATCGCACCGAGCACTCTTTTCCCCACCAGCTTTGTGTTGAGCCGCACACATGTATACCTATCAACCATCAAGGTGATTCAAAGAGTTGACACTCCAAGCCGAATTACATAACAAATAGCCAATTGCTTACGATCAGTAAGCCGGCTCTACAATTGACTTTCTAGTGAACCCTAAAAACGAATAGTGATCAATTGCTCCGGCAGTTGAAGTTAACCAATAGGAACGTGTAAGCTACTTAGTAGAGCATGCACGAAATACAATCCGCTCACTCGTCTAATCCGGTCAGTGTTGCACAAACGATAGGATTGTGAAGACACCAGTATCAATCACAGGGACGAACAAAAGCATAACTGCAGAGGTTGAGAGGGTCCGAAGACGGTGTCCTTTGAGAGGCCGCCATTGATAATGTCTTTGGCACGGAGGGCTGATGCTTCACTTATAAATCATACAAATGGGGATAAGTAAGAGTAGTTAAGCTTAGAGCTGCGCATTATGCGCCATTTCAACTTGTTTCGTCTTCGGAACCTCATAATCCAGGTTGATCGTCGACGAAGCAGCATTTTCTGTGCGTAACAGTGCATGTCATGCAGCAGGCAGCCCCTCGTTCTCCACTGATGTCGTACGATAGCCGTTGCGGATATCAGCTCTTCATATCCACTGTCAGAGTATGTAAGTGCTCGCTTCGATTTGCCCACACTGCAAATTGCGCATATCATTCAAAAAAACCCCACCTCTTCCCCATACCTATAAAATACCATACACTTCTTCCTTTTGAAGCCCGACAATTGAAGGGAGTAGTATGCTGTTTCAATGATCAAAACTGCCTCCGGTAGATATATATGTGACTTCGCCGGTCCTAATATATTGCACAATACTTCTGCCCTCGGCCCTGTTTCCGAGGCCAGAATGGTTAGATTTCCATATCAAGTGATATCGGTCACTCTTCTCGTCTCGCCGGGGACGATTGGTCCGTATAGAATGTGACAGTGTGGCCTGGTCTATCTTCGTCCGTTGCCGCCGGAGCCTAGTAATAAGTTACGAGGAGAGTGCCGCTCACCCCTCTTGCACACTGCATTTCGAAATCTGAAAGGTTCAATCTACCTAAACCGTTAGCAAAACAGGCCCCAGTTGTGAAAATTGGCAAATTCCAATACCAGCCATTCATGTAAAGTAGAGTAATTTTTCCCGGCTGTAACCTTGTAATTTCCTCGGTTGGCTTTTTTTCGTTTGGCCGCAGCTGGCCAGTAAATCCGTAATACAGAAAGCTGGGGTGGAGGAAAAAGAAATGAGAAAGTGTAGGTACTCAAAAGACAGCTGAAAGCGATTTTTAGAGGAATATATGTAGAACCCCCACGCCTCAAGTACTCATAAACATTGTTTCATGGTTCTCTACAAGCTGGAACGTCATCAATTACCACCAGAGGTTCATGACAACCAACAACCAATGTCGCGTCGTCCATTTTAGTGTTGTTGACACCTGTTGTTGGTTGCTTCCAATTGATATTTGTCCCGTTGCCTCCGCCCGCCCGCGCGATAACACAAGACAAGGCTCCCATCTTTTTTTTACCCTCCATCTTTTTTTTCCCTCTATCCGCTGCAACTGCCAAACGACCCGGAGGAGAGGTTCACGCAACCAACAACCTAGCAACCTTTCCAAAGTGACCAAAATCATCCAGCCCCCTGGTTTGTTTCTATCACACCTTTCCTACCCCAATCGCTCCAAACTTTTTTCTCATCGACAGCCAGAAAACACACTCTGCACACCGATCACACACCCCTCCCTATAAGGACTGACTTGCGAGAAACGTTACTTCTATCCCCACCTAACCTTTATATATAAAAAGGAGAGCACCTATGGGTCTGCTCCCCCTTCTTCGATTGAACCCCCCCCCCCTCGCCCAATCAAGGCCTTTGCACTCTCTAAAGTTTCCTCAGGCTAACCATACATATACTTACTCGCAGAGAGTGATTCCTACCGCCCCGGACCACTAGAAGGTGGACGAACAAGTGAATATAGACATGTACGTTACATACCGGTTTTTCTATATGCTCATCGTTTTTTATCACACACCCCCTCGCCTCTTGTGCCCCTTGCTTTAACACTGCTGCGTGTTGGTTGTATGTCTGTACATTTCCCGGTCGTTAGTTGCTGCCCCCCACTGCTGCTGTTGCTGTTGTTACCACTGCTTGAGATTGCTTGCTTGCTGCACCCCCCGTGTTTGCTCTCAAGTCGGCTGTTGCTATCTTTGCGGGCTGCTGCTGTTGAGCAAAGTGACGGTATACAATTGTTTTGTTTTGTTTGTTATTGTTTCCCTCTTGTTTACTCTCCGTGGGATGAGTGGCATTGAGTCTGGGAAAAGAAAAGAGCACAAGAGCAAAAAGAAACAAAATAATTCTGCCATTGCCGGCCGTTCTGCCCCTCGTCATTATCCCTGTGATTTTGCTGTCTCCCCCACCCGAATTACGTCCGCTGTGGGAAGGTCGCATCTTCCTGACTGGCGCGCCCTCCGTCTGTCTTCCCGCACCACACGCCATTCCCTTCCCCACCCCCCTAACATCTCTCTGTCCTTTTCCTGTCTGGACGTTTCTACCATTTAGGTACATCATGCTGATGGACCACCCCTCATCTGCACAAATACAGCAGCGCGATAGATCTCGTTCTCCGCGTCGTCGTTCGCCAGACCATCGTGATCGTGCAAGGTCACCTCGCAGTCCTCGCCAACGTCGTAGATCGTACTCACCTCGAAGCAGATCTCGAAGCCGGGACGATTATAGAAGGCGGCCTTCTCGTTCGCCTATGAGTGGCAGTGGACATCCAGGCGGATACACTGGTTCAGGATACGCAGGTAGTGGAGGAGTCGGTGGGCCTCGCCGAAGCTACGAAGAACGCGCCGCTGCCAAAGACGCCATGATGCAGAGTCTCCGTGACAGCTCCCAACAAGACCGCCGCGTCTACGTCGGCAATCTTTCATACGATGTCAAATGGCATCATCTCAAAGACTTCATGCGACAAGGTGAGTCCAGTATTTTAATATCCCATCAACTTAAGCCCTCCTTTAGTCACCATTTTGAGCAATATTGTCACCTTTATCAACAAGCATGGGTCTATTACTGGCGGTTTAGTGATTTTACTATTAATCATCCGTCACTGTCATTGAGCCTTGTGCCGGGTTTTAGGTGGTTGTCATAATGCTGACTCGTGTTTTCAATACCCATAGCTGGAGAAGTACTCTTCGCAGATGTCTTGTTACTCCCGAATGGAATGTCAAAGGTGGGAACTACTGTGAACGATAGTGGATGATTTGGTTTATTTCCTTTTGTGGGCTTCTTGACGGATGTGGATTGACGGGGAAGGACACGGTCGTCCGCGGGTTATTGTAGGGATGCGGGTATGTTTTCCTCCAATATTTTTTCTCTCGTTTAAAGGACCCTCACTGATGATATTTATCAGGATTGTGGAATATGCCACAAGGGATCAAGCGCAAACTGCTGTTAACACCCTCAGCAACCAAAATTTAATGGGTAGATTAGTCTACGTTCGCGAGGTAAATTCAGACCGGTTTCCCTTGATAATAAAAACTACTCACAGTGGAACTCTGGGGACAGGATCGTGAAGCCGAGCCTCGTTTTACCGGGCAGCAGAGTGTCCGCCCACCTTATGGCGGTGGGCCCGGAGGACCCGGAGGACCCGGCGGACCCGGTGGTTACCCCGGCGGCGGCGGATACAATGGTCCTCCCGGAGGCGGCCCCCCTCCTGGTGGTATTCCTGGGGCTGGCGGTCGCCAGATCTACGTATCTAATGTGAGTAATGAGAGATGAATATAGCTACTGGCCCCCAAGTTTGAAACTAATAAAATAATAAGCTCCCGTATACAGTTGGCTGGCAGGACTTGAAAGACTTGTTCCGTCAATCTGGTCAGTATTCCCCTGTAAAACACTAATTTTACATTGAATTCCAGTTGCAACAATTGGGCCCTCTTGGTCATACGCTGATCCAGATTTCACAGGGTCTGTTGTTCGTGCTGATGTTCACATTGGCCCCGATGGGCGCCCCAAGGGCAGTGGAGTCGTAGCTTTTGAGACACCAGAAGATGCACGCCAAGCTATTCAACAGTTCAACACCTATGAATGGCAAGGGCGTCAATTGGAGGTCAGAGAGGACCGCTTTGCTGGCTCGTCTGGTGGGTTCGTTGGAGGCCGTGGCGGATTCCCTGGTGCTCGTGGTGGCTTTGGCGGCGGCTTTGGCCGCGGTGGCTTCGGAGGCCGTGGAGGGTTCGCAGGTGGCTACGGCGGAGGTCGTGGAGGCTTTGGAGGTGGTGCTGGGGGCGGTTATAGTGGAGCGCCTTCCGCAGGAGTGGGCGATAGTAGCTATGCTTCAGTACCTCCCAACGACTTCACGGACCATGCCACCAGTGGAGGGGAGCGCAGCCCTACTATCTACGTCCGCAATGTGAGATTCCTTCCTCTATCCTCTCGTTGTTTACATGCACTCACTATACATAGCTTCCTTGGTCAACTAGCAACGACGATCTGGTCGAGTTGTTCAATACCATTGGCAAGGTTGAACGCGCCGAGATCCAATACGAGCCGAATGGCCGTTCAAGAGGAACTGGTGTCGTTCAATTCGATAGTGCAGAGAATGCCGAGACAGCAATCAGTATGATCCTCCTGTCTAGCATACTCATCCTACTTGAAGACAATCTTGCTAATAAAATCTACAGCCAAGTTCTCAGGCTACCTGTATGGTGGTCGCCCCCTAGGTCTGACCTTTGTTAAGTACACCACCAACACTTACAATAACGGCGGCGGGGATGCCATGGAGGTAACTGAGCCAGCTTTGACTCAAGATCAGATCATGTAAGCGGGCACTTGGTGAACCTTGATTTGACTTTCAAGTCAAGGCTTGCATCAATATTGTTTGTTCATTGGTTCTGTATCTTCGCTTGTTCTAGTTTGCCAAATGGGAAAATCATGTGTCAGGGTTTCCAGGCCGGCGCTGCCTTGTCTTTTTTTTGTATTCCAATTCATAGTCTTGTGTTTCTAGCTTTTTTTACCTTGCGTCAGAAAAAATTGGGGAAGGAGAAAACGGGGGGTAAGGACGGAAGTATCCGGATATTACGGAGGCGGTCGTTTGTTCTTTGAAGCAGCGTATCTTTAATCGCGACATTCGCGGAAATACTGGGCAAGGAACCCCGATTGCTATTCATTTGTAACCTATTTTTACCATAGGACAAAGAATTGACCATAAATGTCTCTCTGTTTAAACCGTATACATAGTAATGGTGTTTCTTGTATAATCGTCTGACCAGCAACCCGAATGGGTGTAAAGTGTAGTTTCGGTGTGGGCGAAAAGTACGGGGGGCCGCACCCCTCCCCTGAGGCTCTCACGTCGCGCCTTGTTTTTTCCGGCGCGTTTCCTCGACCTCGACGCGTTATACTTAAATCTGAGTGTTTGCGCATCAATCGATGCGACCCCAGATTTTAATTCGGGAACATCACAATGTCTCTACAGCAAATACAGGACACAACTCCGAGTTCCTTCGGTTTCGAACCTCCCGTAACGAACGATAGTGGTGTAGGGTCAAGCCTACCATCGAAGCGGAGCTCCAAGGCGCTCGACTCCAGCGATACGGACGCAGTTCAAAAGACCGCCGCTGCTGCCAAAAGAAGCAGGAAGCGGAACTTTGAAATAAACGATACATACACCGAGGATGAAATCGAACCGAATCTCAACCTTGAAGCAGTTGCGGAGGTTGGCGATGGTTTGGGAGCTGCAGCGGACATTTCCGTTCGTGAGATCGAGAGTAAACGGGTTTTTAGCGGAATTCGACCGCCTCATTTGGTGTACCCAAGATCTCAATACGAAGGATATCATCACGAACTTCCTAAAGAGAAGGAGAGGATTGTTGTCCAGTTTTTCCAGGTAAATTAGATGTAATCATAAAGGAACTTCATGTCTATCTGCTAACATTAGATGCAGAGTAACGAGCAAAAGAGTGATGGGGATCTCTCTGACGATCCAGACTTCTTTCATCAATACCGCCTAGATGATTTTTCAGTATATCATCCGCTCAATGACAAACGACTCAGCGGCGAACTCACTTGCGTGTCAAATATATGTACCCGGGGAGGGTTTGATCTTCTCTTTGATGGGGTCCTGTCCGACGGGCAGCAGCGGCGATACGTAGAAAAGGTCCCGTTCAAGGCGTTATCCGTGGGAAATTATACGGACTTGACAAAGCACGATGTATCTCAGAGCCTATGGATACAGTCCGCGCTGAACTCCCATAGTAACATCTGGTATGCACTGGGCACTCCGTCGGGTGCATACGCACACTATTGGACTCCCTTTGTGTGGCTAGCCAATTTCGCTAAACATTTTGTGTACGTCATCTATCCCCCTGCTTTCGTCCGAAGTCTACATGTACATATTTTTCTGACATGGATCCGTGCGTATCAGAGACTACCTTAACGAGCATGAATTTGTGGTGCTGCTGGACTTTAAATACAAGTTCTCTAAATGGATAAAGACACACCATGCAGGCCACGAAAGCTTCGACAGATGGTTTGATGAATATGGCAAAGATGATTTTCGACAACCTGTAGCTGTCCACAGGAACTGGCTTTGGAATCAAACATGCTGCTATTCACAAGGCCTTTCTACTAGACACGTCTGGAATGAAGTACTTCACCTCAAGTCCATCAAACAGGCACCAGGGGCCTGGATAGAAAAAACCGTGGTCACACCTTATGTACACGAATGTTTTGAGCACATGTTTGGCGATAAGATGATGGTTGTCAAACCCCCACAGAACTTTGAATCTTTAAAGTTTTCAGGCGTCCATATTCCAAGCCCAATCAGAGCAAAACGTGATCAAAATGGTAATCTTGTCAAGGTGGCTGTACAAGTCAAGGTTGGAGATGTCATCGCTATCCAGAAAGACGAAGGCACGGAGTGGCAGAGCACAAGTAATACCTGGTATGCCTACGTCCAGTCAGTTCAATACAGCAAAAATGACGATACAAAGCCATATGCGTTGGATGTTATTTGGCTTTATGCTCCTTCAGACACAACTCTTGCAAAGGAAAGATATCCGTTCAAAAACGAAGTGAGAAAATTCCCCTCGAAGACTGTTCATAGGTGGCGTTTAGTTTGACTAATTGATACAGCTCTTCTTCTCGGACCACTGCAATTGTAGCGAAGACAGGTTGTACGCTAGCGATGTCATTACTACGCTTACTGTAAGGTTCTTCGAAGGACCCAATGACGGGAAGGAGTTTTTCATTCGACAGAAATATCGTACTGGTGATCCAGCATTCTTGACATTGTCCAAGGAGGACCTTGCAGGATGCAGGCACAAGAAGATACTGAAATCTCCATACCAGACTGTAGTATCGCAGTACCAAGTGGGGGACACAGTTCTCGTCGGGGCTGTTCATGGAAAGAAGGATATCCTAGAGCCAGCCGAAATCTTTCATTTTGACGATTTTACAAGTGAAATCCACGTCAGGGTTTTGGGGCGTCGTATTGCGCTTGAAGACTCAAGTAAAGCTCGGCCAAACGAGCTCTTGTACACTGATAAAACAGTGCCTATCAATCCTCAGTTCATACACAGGCGCTGCCATGTACGCTTTGTCTACGCAGAGGATGTAAACGCAGGGAATATTCCAGTTCCGTACGACCGTAATGGCACCGGCGACTGTTTTTTTATCTCGTCGTATTTGTACGGCCCGGACGGCGAGCAGGGTATCCAACCTTTCGAGTCAGATGAGTTTCCCCAAACTTTACGTCAAGGGTTTGACCCGGACGTTCCACCCAATGCCCCAATTCTCAATGGGCTGGACTTGTTCTGCGGAGGAGGAAACTTCGGAAGAGGTATTGAGGAAGGCGGTGTGATTAATATGAAATGGGGAGTGGACATTGACGTACCTGCGATGCACACGTATGGAGCGAATCTGCGAACACCAGATGAAACTGCGCTTTACTTGGGAAGTATTAACAATTATCTACGCGATGCAATCCTGGGGAAGACCAGTTACATTATTGCTGGAGCTGTAAGAACCCCGTTTTCCTTTCTTTCCTCTCTCTTTCTTTCTATTTTCCGCAATCTCTAACACAACGTAGGGGGAGGTTGGTTTTATCAGTGCCGGATCACCTTGTCAAGGTTTCTCCAATGCAAACCGCAACAAGTTCAGTGAGAAATCGCTGCGCAACTGTTCACTTATTGCCTCTGTAGCCACTGCTGTGGATTTCTACCGCCCAAAGTATGCACTCTTGGAAAATGTCCACGGCATGGCAGCTACCCGCATCATGCCAGACAAGCGTGAAATCAACGTGTTCTCGCAGCTCCTGTGCTGTCTCGTGGGCATGGGATACCAGTGCCAGCAATTCACACTCGACGCCTGGTCCTTCGGTAGCCCGCAATCACGCACACGTCTATTCCTCAGTATCGCCGCACCTGGTCAGAGGCTCCCACCGCGCCCTCCCCGTAGTCACGAGCACCCCTCGACAATTCGAGATCTTTCCCTCTTCAGGGTTCCCAACGGACTGAAGTTTGGCGGCAGAGAGCTTGTCGGCCCATGCACATACCCAGCTCCCACCTCTAGGGAGGGCTTTGGCGACCTCCCCTTCCTGGGTAACAACCACGTCGGCATCTGTATTCCCTGTCCCGACCACCGTATCTCCCGTATCGAGTCATGGAGAACACGCACAATCATGGCCCACGTCCCCAAGCACGGCATCAGCGTCCATCAGAATTCCTGGCGCGCCGCCATGAAGGCAGGACGCATGCCGAAGGGCTGCGGCTACGAAATGTCAATCTCGCAATACAAGGTTCGCGATGGGTGCAAGACCTGGTCCCGCATTCTGGGCGACAGCCTCTGCAGGACCATCACTACTACATTGACACCGCAGTGCTCGTATACTGGTCAGTGGGTGCACTACGACCAGGACCGCCTCATCACCATCTTGGAGGCCAGGCGCGCGCAGAGCTTCCCCGACGATGAGGTCCTGCTGGGAAATGCGTCGCAGGCGTTCAAGATTGTGGGGAACAGTGTGGCGAGGAGTGTGGCGTTGGCGTGGGGCCTGGCCATCAGGTATGCGTACCTGGACGAGGTCATTGAGGAGGAGTTGGCCGCTGATGCCTAGGGGCGCGGTGTGTGGGGTGTGGGGCGTGAACTCTAAGGGTTTCTTCTTCTTTTACCTTCTTTTATTCTTGTCTTCTATTACCTCTTTTCATTTTACATTTAATGGTTTACTATTGTTTCCTACCTCACGTTTTTCATTGTTTTTTTTACGGCCAATTACCTGTCAATACCGTATAGGATAGAAAGAAGGAGAGAGGGAGCGCAAAGTTATTGTTAGGTGGTTGTCGTTGGGAGGGTTGGTGTGTGTGATGAGATCAAGAGTGTTCTAGGAGTTATACGCCCTTTTTTCACTCCCTTTTCCTATTTTTCCCTAAATCATGTTCTATACCTTCACGTGTTTCCTTTCTCCCTCTTTTTTTAGGATTCGGTTCACTCACTACTGATTAATCCGGGGCGAATGGGAAAGAATACATATTCGGTTTTCTGTAATGTACATTACTCCAAAAAAACGATCGGTCTGGCTTTTTCTGTTTGTTGTCTAGAGCGGCGTGGAGTGGAGTATTTACTACTAGTTACAATAGAATTTTTTTTTACGGTGTTGGGTGATACTGGAAATTTTGATCATTGACCCTTGTTCTTTTTTGCTGGTGTGCTTTTACTACTGCGTACCCGCTAGTCTCGTGCCCAGACTTTTGTCAACTTATTCGTAGGCTGGGCACAAGACTAGGTTACCTCTCTGACCTTGCTCTCTCTGTGTCCATGTGTCCATGTGCCTGGCGTGTTGCAACGTCACAATGGAGCTGTCTGTGGAGCTTGCTTGCTTGCTTGCTTGCTTGCTTGCTGAATGAACATCTTCTTCCTCTTCTTCCCAGGTACATACCCGGACGGAGATTGCTTTATTCGTTTCAGCGCGAGGCACGGTATTGTTTGGTACACAAAGAAAGGATGGGGAGCAGACAAAGGCTAGGTCATGTAGGTAGGTACATGTAGGTTGCCAGTGACCAGTGAGTGGGGGGATGCAGACACCCTCGCAACCTTCCCGTGTGTTCCGGGTCTGGGGAAGGGAAGGGAAGGGGACAAGCGGGGTGAACAAAAGACTATTCCTGTCAAGAGACCTCACTTAATCTGCAGTGGCTGGCTGGCCGTAGGCCTTCATCTCCGCTCGGGGGGCCCAAAAACAGCGACATTAGCAGTTCCATGTGAGTAGAGCACTTGCAAATTGGGGTTTTTTGTTTTGTATGTATGTAGGTACACGACATGTACGTATTATATTTTGTCCTTTTTTTTTTTTAATATTACAATATACGCTATTTTTATTTCCTCCCCTTCTTACTACTACTACTACTACCGCCCTTGCCGGCCTTTATGCTCCCCTCGAACCCGGGCCGGCTCTTCTTTGCTCCGGCCTTCTTCTTCTTCTGTTTTTCCGCCGCTTTACCGGCACTGCTACTCCCCGGCACCGCAACAGACGCAGACGCAGGTGTAGGCGCAGGTTTAGGCGCCGGTGTCCCCCTCGGCGTCCCCACAACTACACCTCCACCTCCACCTCCACCACTACTACCCCCAGCCCGCGCAGCACTCTTGGCCACCCGCTGCTTCAGCCGCTGCTCCTTCTTGCGCTCCTTCCTCGTCTGCGCCTCCTCCTTCCGCCGCGCGGCCATGAGCTCGTTGCGGTTGCGCGCGGGCGTGCCGTCGGGGCTGTCGGCGTTGCGTTTTGCGCGCAGCTGCTGGATGCGCGCCTCGAGGCGGGCCTTCTGCTCCAGCCGCATTTCGGGCGAGATGTCGCCGGGCTTTTTGGACGCTGGTGTGGAAGGGGCGGGGGTTGCGGGCGGCGGCGGGGAGATGGCAGTAAGGTCTGTGCTGAAGGTGAAGCCTGAGAGCTGGATTTCTTCGGCTTCGCCGCCAGAGTCGGAGCCGTCGTCGGAGTGGGGGGCAGTGTTGGTTTCCTTTTCCTTTTTGGTGGCAGCGGGTGTAGCGGGCTTGGATTTGTTGCCCTTGGAGGGTTTGGGGGTGCTAATTGCTTCGGCGGCCTTTGCGTCTTTCTTTTGCTGTTTCTTTTGCTTCTTTGTCAGTGGCTCGTCGGCGGCCGCCGGCGCTGCTGCTGCTGCGGCGGCGTCTTCGCCGCCGTTGCGGACTTCGAGAACTGTGGTGTCATCGGCCCCGAGCTGCTGCTGCTGCTGCTGGCGCCCAAAGTCTGAGGTTGTGATGAAGGCGTCAGGGTCGAGTTTGGCCTTCTTTGCGCGCTGCGATTCCTCTTTCGTTTGTTTGCGCTTGTTCCATTGCGTCTGTAGGATCTCGCGGGGCGTAGGAGGTTAGCTAGCGTAGCGCGGAGCAGGAAAAGACGGGCGAGCGAGAGCAGAGAAGAACATACGCTACCGTCGCCGACGCTGAAGTAGTTCTTTGCGGGGATGAGGTTGAGCAGCTGCGTGAATGCCGCCGAGTGTCTGCGGAGTCGCTCCTGTTCTGTTATATAAGCTACTTTAATTTTTCCCAATTTTTTTTTTTTTTTGATTTCTACTTGTGTCACGGTACCTCTAGTTCTACGGCGGTCGCGGTGATGGATGCCATTGTCTAATGCGGGCCAGGGCGGTGCGAGTGAGAGGGAACGTATTTTTCTATGGCGGAAGTCTCGATGTTGGTGAGGATTTGAAGATTGAAGATTGAGACATTGCGTGTGGTATGCCAAGGCGCTAGCGGGCGGATGGGCGCTACAGACGACCTAACCCTGTTGGGATTGGACTGGGGTAATGATTGGGCTGCAGTCGGTCGTTCGTCGAGATGTAGGATGGGATGGTGAGAAGAGAGCTGAGTGAGGCAGACGTGGGCTTTAACGCCTGGGATTTAAGGTGTGGCCACAAGTGCTACATACATGTAGAAGTACATGTGCTTACATGTAGCTAGCAGACATAACCTTCTTACGTCCCTAGCATGTAGATCTGGAGGCTACCTGTCCCCAGTATCAAACCCCGGTAAAATAAGCTCTCAACTGAAATTGCAGAAAGCTACCTATTACGAGTACCTACATTACCCAGATAAAAAATAAATAAAACACCGAAAACACCATAAAATAAAGAAACCCTCCCCCCAAAGCTACAACTCATCCTTATACACCTTTGCGTCTGTCAGCGGGACATACATCACGCCAAACTGCTTCTCCTTCGTCACCTTCCCGTCCTTGTCCTTATCAACCACCCAGATATACTGTCCCACGAAGCCATTATCGACCGGTATAAACATCCTACCGCACCCCCGCCATTAGCTACAACCACAACCACATGTAGCTCTAAACAACCCACCTTCCAGGCGAATTCAGCTGGTCAACCAAGCTCTGGTGGATCTCTGACGCCGCGGCGCCAACATGGATTGCATCATATGGGCCTATCCTCCTCATCCTCCACCTCATCCTTTAGCACACACACCATCACACCTACAGCTCCCATAAGAAAGAGGGAAAGTCGCACCACCCTCGGCCCACCCGAGCCGTCCGTCTCCCTTGATGATCTTGATGTTTCCGGCGTCGATCATCTGCGCGTGCACGGGGTCCTTACGGAGGTTGTTGATGCTCATGTCGCAGAGCTGCTGGATGTGGTCGATGCCGACTACTTGCCCACCGGGGGACACCTGGGTTGGCTCTGTTTAGCTTGCGGAGCTCCTGGTATAGCTTACTAGTAGCTCTTTCGGTTTGGGGTAATAGAATTGGCTGGTAGGTGGAAGCAGAGAGGACTACTACTAACTAGGTGCGCAAGCACGGCTGTGAGGTATCCGCTGCCGCTGCCAATGTCAAGAACTTTCTTTCCGGGCCCCAAGAGCGGGAGGAGAGCTTCTGCGGCCTATGCACATAGAGAGCTCCAATGTTAGAACAGTACCCCGTAGAACTGTAGTTACCACTTCTTTAGAAAAAAAGAAACTACCAATCCCCCCCCCAATTCCCCGCAAGGCACACCAGGAGCAGCTACTAGTAATAAGCAGAGAAAGGAAGCACGGGCAAACATACATTCGCATGTATATGCGGAGCTACATCCCAACCCCATCCGCACCCGCTGTTAGCCACAATTCCCACCTGCACCCCCCAGCACTGGAAAGATAAGTAGAAAAACAGTTACCAGATATAGTAGCATCATACCCAATCCTCTGTGGCGAGTCCTCGTACGGCATGATGGGGCTGAAGTGCGCCCTATCGACCTACTCTCTTCTTATTCAGCCATCAACTACCCAACTAATACTGGCGGGGAGGCTGGAGTGGAGTGGGTGAGGTGGATATACGTTCTGTAGAGTCGCCTTCACGATAGGGCTCTTGACGAGGCCGTGGCGCCAAAGGTTGGCGACGAGGCCTTCGTTTGTGGTCGAGGAGCAGCGCCAGCTCATTTTTGTTTTGGGTGAGGTTTTCTGGTGTGGTGGGGAGGTTGCTTGCGGGGTGTCTGGTTTGTGAAGATTGAAGGAGAGCAGAGCAAAAGCTGTGGTGGTGTGGTGGTGGGCAATGACGATGATGGATGGCAGATATGAGCAGGTACGGTAGAGTAGATACATAGGTGGAAGCTTCTGATTTATTCAGTAGGTAGGAGATGTAGATGTCATGTAGCTAGCTAGCTATAGAGACATGTATAGCGCAATAGATAACCACCCCACACCCCACACCACGATAACCACCACCACCACCACCACCACCACAAGCCCCGCGGGACAAGCTTTGTGCGGCGGGGTACCCTCTCAGACCGTCCTCCTCCCCCTCTGGCACTGGTGGGTGGTATGTAAGCCTCGATTTGGAAATAAGGTGTGACGGGCTCACGGCGTCATTTTTGCACTGCACCACCACCTGCCTTGGTGGTGGTGGTGATGCGCTCCGGGATTAGGTGCATACATAGAGTAAAGGTACAGCGCCGGACAGTCAAAATCAACCCTCATGTTCTTTTCAAGCCAGAAACTAGTCCTAATCGGGTAATAATGATCATCTAATTATCCTAATATGGTAAGAATTATCCCAAATTAATGTGGACGCCTTGGCATAAAACTATTAAAGTTATTTCACACCTATGTTTTTTTCGGGCAGATTGCACCAAATGTTTGAGAGGTCATAGTGCAGCCAGTTCTTAATTATTTTAAATCCCTTTTTATGGGGATGTTTACAACCATGATTAGACCCATTTTACAAAAGAATATTATTTCTGGACAAGTGTTGCGTTGTTGAAAGTCGATGGGTGAAGGGGAGTCGGTGGTTGCTCTGGCCGGCTGGTTTTGGCTGTCCGACACCGTACTTGCTTACCAGCAAGTGACGGGAACAGGGATTATTTGTATGAGAGAACGGCGCCACTCCATACAAACTATCCTTGCCCTGAGCAACTGGTTCTTTTGCTGGTAAGCAAGTACATACCTCAAAAAATCTGAGGCCAACCAGAGGTAGTCGATATGTATGCAAGTCTTTGGTGTATAGGATAACCCTTGCTGCATATATACATATCGCAGAGTAACAGATAGTGCGGTACCTACATGTGGAGTGGGTACATGTAGGTCTCTACTCTGGTCTAGCATGGGGGTTTTTTTTTGGCCTTACATGATGTATATACTCTATGCGAGGTGCGATGTGGTAAGATACACACGCACATATGTATGTAGAGTAACCTAGATGTTTCTGCTAACTACATGTTACATCCTATGTGTTAAATTCTTTTTTTTATATATATAATCGCTGATAAGACAATCGTTATTTCTCCAATTACATGTCTTTTTGCCCGAGAAAGCAAGGAAAAGAAAACGAAAGAGAGAAAGAAAAAGAGAGAAAAAGGCCTTTTATAATACAGATATATATTCCGTCACAGCTCAAATGTCTACGAAGAACACAACACAGAACAGAGGAAGAGCTCGAAATACCTAGTTAGGGGGAGGGGACAAAAAGAGGAAGAGGGGGAGGGGGAGAATGCTTATGTAGCGACAAAGAGAGGCACTGACTAGTCCAAGGAACAAAGGGAAGGAAGAGAGGAAGAAAAGGCAGTTACGAAACTGGAGAAAAAAACTATACCAACCCAGACCCAACCTAAACCCATACTGCACCAAAAAAAAATTGGGGGGAAAAAAAGGATAAAAGCAATAAAAAGGAAAGAACCCTGTACCCAAGAACAGCCTGGATGCATGGAGTGAGAAAGCCCGGTGGTTCGTATCTTTGGTTATCCCCTCTATGATCATTTACAAAATAAGAGCAGAAGAAATCAAGAGAGCGTATCGTTTCTATACTGCTCTTGCAGAATCCTCGTTCTCGGCAATGATAGCCGTACCAAGCCCACGGTCTGGGCTTGACAATACCACTTGCTCCATTTGCCGGGCCTGTAGAAAGTTTCGTACCGATCTAATGAGGATAAACCATCCTACTATCATCAAGATATAGCTTAAATACTCGTTCTTGCCAATGCTGTCGCTAGAACCGGTGTCGACCATGTCTTGCGCGCTTAGATCGTATGAGTTTGGTGATTGGGGTTCGCTCTCAGCTGGTGGGGAGGTTCCTCCAAAATCGTCACTCCGGGAGCGCATATAGAATCCATATTGGATCAGCGTAATACCCAAACCTGCGCGTGAACCGTTCTTGGCCGCGTGAGTCGTGTGAAGCAGGTATGTGAGTAAGAACCCGACGAATTGGAACGACATGGAAACTTGGACGACGTTAGTGGGTCTGTGTTAAGTGGTATTGGGGAACTTGGGGGAATAGCATACTCATAGCGTTCCAAATAAAGGCAAACACAGAGCCTACGGGCAATCCGTCGATAAAGACCTCATCACTAGCCATCCCAGGAGCAAGGATAGTAGTTTCCCAATATGGGGGAGTGGCATCGGCGGCAGCTTGTTCATATGACTGGCCAAAAAACATAAAACCGTCAGCCGACACTAAACCTCTTTATCTGCATAATCCTTGCCCAGTAGGAACTTACTGGTGGATGCTCCTCAACTTTCTCTCCGACTGTAGGTTTCGCGCTGATATTAGCGAACACTCCATCTGTTTGTCCACCGCCAAAAATCCTTCCTCCTGGCATCCCCCCGGCTGCCGAGCTAGCATGTGTGGTACTCGAGTTTGTTGAAACCAAAGGTATCGATTCTCGGAAATTCGCATTCTGCGACCCGCGCACATTTCTCATATCGTCTTCGTCATCGCTCGGGCTATCGAACGAATCAGAGAGCTCCGTATTTGGTTCCGATATTTCCGGAAGCGACCGGAATGAGGGGGGCGCAGAGTTCGGAGTCGAAGTTACGGTGCGAGTTGATGAGGCGTTTGTCCGAGAGCTTGTTATATTGCCGTGGACATCGAGATCCTCATCTTGGTGAGCAAGCTAGTGGGGTTGAAGTGCGTTGTTAGCAACAGTAGGACGCGCATGCTTGCAACACACGAACATGTGATCTCAGGGGGGCGCTTACTCTCTCATATCTGGGACCCATGGGAAATAGTGAAGATGGGTTTATATGCTAGAAAGGGGACGAGGAACGAGATAAACAATGACTGGTGAGAAGCTTATGGAAGGCGAAGGGATAGAATGTACGTCGGGCGGCAGCTATAGCAGGAGGAATAGTAGTAGTAGCGGTGGTAGTAAAGTAGAGTTTAAGAAGAAGCCTCACACTGACCGGGGAGCAAGATGAGGGAGGGTATAGAAAGGGTTGAAGTCCAGTGGAAGGCGATGGTGAAACGTCTAAGGGTTGAGGGGTGGAGCTTCATGCCATGATTATATAACCAAAATCACCCGAGCGTTTCCTGAAACAGACCAAGTGCCCTCGGCCAAGCAATTTTTCAAAATGCTCCGCCACACCTGGAAGATTCTCCACCAAACTGAATTCCTCCGCCCCGACTGTGTTTAGTGCAAGTTAAATCCTTTGTACCCCTGCTATGACTGGGACTCTGTTTCGCACAGGCTATGATTCAAGGCGTGCGATCTATGATATATTTGCCAGTTTCTCGCTTGCATGATGGAACTCGATCTCCGAGTGATAATTGGTGTCGCCAATGAGATATGCAGACTGCTTCTCTCTAATCCCACATATTCACCGGTCTGGCTCGAGTTCTTTTCACCACTCAATAGATACCCGACATTTTAAGTAGTTAACACTCTATAACCACGATCTCACACGCATTTCTGCAAAGCGATAATATTCCCAGTTATAAGAGACACCGAAGTAGCACACGATCAACCCGGTGTTAGCTTAGCACCTATTTACATCCAAACCTTCTTCCAATTTACTATGTTCATCACATTGGAAACCTCTCTACACTCAAAATCAATATCTAATTACTACCACTACGGAATAATGGCATATTATCTGAACACGTGAGTTGCCGGAGTATGTTACTCAGATTAAGGTCTCGTTACACGCTATTGATACCATCATTAATATTGTCCGCTGGTATTTAAACCCGAAGTCGGGGTTAAATTTCTCAAAACCCTTTGCTTGATTTGCCAAGGTGGGAGAAACCCCACTGGTTAGTAAAAGTTTTCCCGAATCAATCGTGGTGTCTATCAAGCTAAATACTCTCATCTGTTTTGAGGGGCGTTCTACTAGATTTCTAGAAGATGGGGAGGGTTTGCAGGAACGGATGCGGCTGCTTGGGAGATCAGATTGCGACGTTGTAGCGTGGTGACGTGGGGTTGGAGCGCATCCCGCACTTACACTAATGCAGCTGGAGACTTGGCAGGTGCACGGACCACCTAGAATCACGAAACCTCGTTTGTCTCGAACAACGGAGTCAAATCAACTTGCACCTAGGTCGTCTAAAGTACATCAAGAAAATCCCTTCGACAATCTCAAAGCTTAACTGGTGTTCAGTTCGATATCGAAATCACGCAAATTGGGCACTGTGGAAGCTTGACTTTCATAACATAGTCATCGGATCATCGATACAGGCCTTGAGGAGGTCTCAACTGAGCTACAGATCACTCCAGGGAGCATTGCTTCATCGCCACAGCGGCCACACTCACGCAGAATAAGCATGAGCTTGAGCCACTGGTTTCTTTGGCATGGGGACAGGGATTTATACACGGCCTGAGTAGGTGCAGTCCCGGTTAAACAACTCCGTTTAAGATTTCTGGGACAACACTTTAGGGTTCTGCAGGCTCTAGAGGGGGGTGTTTTAAAGGACGTGTACACACCTCGCCGGTGCAGACAGACACAGCAAGGGAACACATATTGGCGTTTTCCAGTCTGCCGTGTTTACCAAAGGACCTTGTATTTATTTATTTATTTCCAGATAGAGAGGCAGTAGGTGAATGAGTGAGGGCAGATCAGAAGGCCATGCCATGCAATGCCATCACCTTGAACTAGACCTCCCATCGATGACTGGAGATGAGGATGGGGATGGGAGTTGCAGAGAATGAGGAGGAGGAGGAGGAGGAGGAGGAGGAGGAGGGGCGAAGGAGCATCTTACCCCAAGGCTGTGGGTTATTATTGCTACAAAGGTTTTGTAGTATGGCCTATACTCGTGGGAAGTCGTCCCACGGCCACTTATCATCCCAAGTACCCACATCTGGTGTTGCTTTCTGTTGCCATCCATGAACACAAATTTATTTACCTTTTGTCAGTGCAAAGCAAATGAGCGTTGGTTAGGAATAGGGCGTTGTCATTCCCTAATTTTTTTCCCTTTCTCTTTTCCACTCTCCCTCTCTGCCTCTGATGTTCTGAAGGTCCTACTGCTTCTGCTCTACTGCTCCTGAATTTCCCCGGCCACCCAACCCAAACCCTTTCTTTTCCTTCTTGTACGAGCTCCATCTCCTTTCTCTTGCCTGTCTTTGTCTTTTATTCTTTCGCTTCCTCTTCTTCGTCCGTTTCCCCTCGCCTCATTCTTCATCTCTCTCTCCTCCCATCACAACACAACCCTTTTTCTCAATCGCCATCGTATCTCTGTTGCAGTCAAATCCCAGATACCCTTTTATCTCCCACGGATTGTCCTCAAAATAACTCTAGAAGCAAGATCAAGAAAAATAAGTAAAAAAAAAAAAAAAAAAAAAGGCGTCAACCAAAAATAAAGAAGTCTAAGAGAGAAAAAGAGAGAGAGACACGCACAGAGATAGAAAATATCCCGGACTCCCGGACTCCCGAAAATCCCCTCCCCACCCACCCCCCCAAACAACTCTTCTGGATCCGTTGGACGAAGGAATAGCCCTTCATGTCAGCGTCGTTTGGGAGTCCCTCTTCCGTGCACCCTCGTGTTCACCCGTCGTCGTCGTCGTCAAAGTCCAATTCATCAACCCATGGTGTTGTCACGACCGCGGATCCTAAGTCAACGTCAACAACTCTTTCTTCTGCTGCCTCTGCTTCGCGAAGTACTAATAACAACTCGCTGTTGTCGTCCTCTTCCACAACTATACCCCCGTCGTCATCTCACCCACATCGTCAACCTAAATATCCTCAAGATGTTGCAACTACAAATCCAACATCGACAACTGCTCCCCGTAACAAAAAAACTATAACATATCGTCACTCAACTGGCCAATCAGAACAATCACGCCACGAAGTCATCAATCTGGACTCCGACACGGAAACAAGCAGCTCTTCTAAAAAAAATAGCAACCCATCTCTTTCGTCTGCAAGAAATCGACAGAGTCTTCAGCCCCCTTACGACCCGATCCCACGTAGTTCTACTGGCGCCTCTACAAAATCTGCTCACCGTGCTTCCGCATCTCCTTCTATAGCATCTTTAATCGACCCCCAACCACCCCCTCCCCAATTGAGCACAGCGCCTCCCGAAAACCCAATTACCAATTCACCGACATTGGCATATGTTACTGGTGTTCCCGAAAAGAATGTAATGAAAGTTGAAAATATTTCCAGATCAGCCGATGCCGGCGAACCTTTGAACCGCTCGCCAAAGTCCAAGCCCGGGACTGCTCCTCCTTCAGCTGCACCGTCTCCGAAGCCTCATCGTGCAGTGCCTGCTTCAACATCTGGAAACGGATTGCTTGGAGGTGTTCTACCTGGTGCTTCGGGAAGCAAGGAAATAGAGCCACAACTTCCAAACATTCATATCCATGTCCCGCTCAATGGTGAGAACAACAAGTATATCAACTTTACCAAGTTGGCAGAAGAGCGTTATGGATGGGCTGCTTTAAATCCAAGGCTTGCAAAGGCTAGGGAGAGAATGATGAGAGGGGATAATAGTGGGGACGAAATGATGATGGATGGGTCAGAATCAGAATCGAATATGGAGGTTGACAAACCTATGGGAGGTGTTGATTCTGCGGCAGAGGGAAAGAAGATGCGAAAGAAGAGGAAGAACCAGGATATTTACGATAAGAATGACCCGTTCATCGACGACACGGAAATGCTGTGGGAAGAACAGGCTGCTGCATCCAAAGACGGGTTTTTCGTCTATAGCGGACCGCTGGTTCCAGAAGGGGAGAAGCCTCAAATTGAAAGGTAACATCTTACAGCACGCAATATCAATATCACAGAGAACCGCACTGACATTTATTATAGGGCTGATGGAACTGTAAAGAGGGGTAGGGGCCGCGCTCGTGGTACTACCGCCCGTGGAACTACCTCTACGCGCGGCGCAACTATTCGGAAGCCTCGCATGTCCAAGAAGGATAAAGAGAAAATGGAGAAGGAGAAGGAAGAGAGGGAGAGATTTTCACAAATTGCTGTGAAAGCTACTGCTGGGCAATAAGCTGAAGCTCCTACAATTGTGGCCTTAATATTTTCCAACTCTTCGAATGTCATTTACTCATCATTCGCTATTTGTTTCTTCACTTCGAGTGAATACTTGGCCAAGCCCTTCTTTTCTTTTATTTTTAATTCTGTATTCCTAGTTCTTTGGGAGGGAAGGTGGGAGGTGGGCGGAACGGAGGAATGGGATGATATTTGTATAACTAGATACGAGACGATACTACCGATAGGCGTTTAAGATTATTCATATCTTTTAAAGAGAAGGGTCGAATGTGTGGATACCTAGATACCTATAATAGCAACTGAAGGGATTTGATGTGGGATTGAAGAGGTCATAATTCGATAAAAGAAAAAAGGAATAACCTTGATGCACAAGCAGGCACAACTAGGGTAGATAGAGTGGCGTATTGTAAATTCGGAAGCCGTGCGGTCCACATGTGTGGTACCTACATCATTAGAAGTTGGGTTCCTGGGAATATCCTTTAGCGACCAACACCTGGTGTCGCGGATAGACGCAGCAGCCGCCCCTGCCACTGTACTACAACCGCCCACCGCACATCAGAGCAGAGCCCCCACATCCACTGCAAGCCAGCCTAATCAAACAGCTATCGGTTCAACTCGAATCCCGATAGAACAGCAGCAGCGGGGAGTTACCTACACATCTATGTAAGTGATGCTTACCTGAGAGAAGGATACATACCATGCCATGTACATAGAAACGTTCCAACATTGGATCCACTCAATCTCATCTGCTTTCATCATCGTTTTCGCCTTCACTCTCCTATAAACCCCTCATTGATTTGACCTGTAAAGTTTCTGACACTTGAGGACAGCCTCCTCCTATTAAACAAGCTATAGACGAGATGCTAGAAGATCTACCAAACCCATCTTTCGCTCCGGGTTTGTCTACACCTCTGTTTGATGTCTCCCGTACTTATAGTTTGAGCTCCAGGTAAAACCGGGCCCCGACTATGGGAGGATCTACTGCAATACTCGCCGCAAATCAAGGGCGCAAATATCCTCGCGAGACAGCCTCCAAAATTCGAAGGCAAAGCCTTAAGCACCCCCGGGCATAAGCACATGCTCTCGCAGCTCACAGATGACTGTGTCCTCCCGCTCTCGGACGTACTAGATATTTCTAAGTCATATAACGTCGCTGCCATCTGTGACGAGTGCCGGCTGCATTTCAATATCGAAGTGAAATTCACGAAAAACAAGAAGTACGACGATTGTAGCATCTGCCCAGTGGGGGATCCACTTCACCACTTTCGATATGAGGTAGAACTTTCGGAACCGGTAGATTCCACTAAGCAATACCCACAAGGGAGATGGGTGGATAAGTTAGTCTTCAGTTGCTCGGGACCAGCATGCCCGACTATTGTGACAATCACGACGAAAGCTCCAATCTTGAGTCCAGAGTTGACGTCTTTACTTGTCGATCCAGAGGTTTTGAGGGCACGAATGAAGGATGCTCAAGAAAGCTTTCCATATTTGTTCGCCGAAGAAAGTGAGATCGTGCCGGCCCAGCCATATGGTGCACTTGCGACGCTGCTCACGTATATCAAAAATGCGAAGCAGAGAGATCAAAGGCCTATACCCTCACAGAACCTGAGGTTTGTGACGAACATTGGGAGGGACGCGGCAGTGCTGCTGAAGCTGGCTGGGTTTACGAACAGCGAGGAGGTATGTGTGAAGTGTGGAAAGTGGTGGGGTTGGGCTGACGGGCAACAGGGTGAAACCTGGAAACCGCCAAGTTTGGAGATGTTGGATAATCCAGAGTCAGGTGTTTTTAAAAACATGCAGGATATGTTAGAAGAGATCATGATTCTTATGGATAGGCGCAAGCCTGATTGGGGCAAATGTAACAGGCCTCATCTCAGAATTTTTAGGATCAAAGAGCTAATAACAAAATTTGAAGCGGATGTACGACAGAAAATTGTACGAGCAAATAAAGAAATAAAAAGGCTCTTGGGAAACGAAAAATGTAAGAGCCCTTTGAGGTCTATATTGACATATGCCACAGCTGATTCTTGCGATTTAGACCCTTGCGCTACTAGTAATTGGACCATAGACCTTACCATCCCCGAACACCCGTAAGTGCTTTCTAAAATTATCCAAGTATAAAAATGCTTACAACTAGCCCATCTAACCGAAATGTTCGTTTCCGCATCTGCAGATATTATGCAGGCATTGGAGCAGTAGGGGATTTCGCGGATCCTCTAGTTTTCTGGGCGTTCGAACGACAGAGCGCATGCGATCCTGATAATAAACCTTACTATTTCCAATGTCTTGAGGACGTCGCTAGAGGGCGTCACAGCGAAATGCTAAATATCGAAGTTGCCAAGGCACGCTCCGAAGGAGCATATACTCTCGCCGAGTTATCAGCAAGTTACGAATATTTTGGTATTAACCCAGATAAATATAATAGCGATGAGACATTTATTATCGGGTCGTTTGAAAGTCGTGTGAGAGATGCTCCAGTGCATGAGCATCAAGCAAGAGCCAACTTAAGAATCATTGGACATGCGTTAAAGAGTCAGAGGATATTGAATGCGTCAGATAAAGGTGATATCTTCTAGAAAAGTGATGGTGATCTGTTCTGACGTGGAAAAAGTGTCAATTCGAGATATCAATACTGCCTATGACTGGCTTGACGTCACGTCAGCAACGCCAGACGACTTCATTTTGTCGGCGTATAAAGTTAGAGTAAGCATTCTACCTCGTTATAGCTCAGGTTTCTGTATGAATGTTTCTAATTGGCCACAAAGGTCGGTGATAATGCAATGGATGAGAGTACGGGGAAGGAGGCACTGAAGATCATCGCGGAAGCTCGGCAGAGCCATGTCCTGCTCACGTTTCTCGAGACAGGCGCGATTGAAACTCCTATGGAAACTGGCGCCGCGTACGCTCGGTTGGGAATCGATGATAGATCAATCTCAGATGATCTGGTCATATCTGTCTTCAATTTCAGGGTAAGCTTAAACCAACCGATTTTTTCTAAAAGACATCTGCTTAGGTTTCACAGCTGCAAGATGATCCAAAGCGTATGCAAGAGTTAAGAGCAGCTCTCAGAGCTATTGCGAGTAGTCGTGATAGTGCCAAAATCAAGAACTTCTTGGAAACAGGGCAGTCTGATCAACCTATTATGGGTTCCGCTGACTCACCGGTTGGTATCGAAAATATCGGAAATACATGCTACCTGAATAGCCTGTTACAATTCTATTTTACCGTCAGGCCTCTACGAGACATGATTCTAGATATCGATAATTTCCAAGAGATGGAAATCACCGATGAAGTGATTCAACGGAAGAGAGTTGGTGGAAGGAAAGTCACTGCGCAGGAGGTTGAGAGAGCGAAGAGATGTGAGTGATTCTTCATGATTAAAAGTCTCAATTCCTGACTTTTAATAGTTGTTCGCTGCCTTCGTACCCTCTATCAGAATTTAATCGTATCTGCACAATCATCTGTCACCCCTGAACGTGAGTTGGCTTATCTAGCGCTTGTGAGCTCTAAAGATGAGGCGGAGGACGAGGTGAGACGTGGGTCAATGACCGCCATGGGTCCGGCGCCACCTCTCATCAACGTTACTGATGAAAATGATAAAATGGAAATTGATCAAAAACCAATGTCTACTCCTGAAGCCACTGGTGATGATGACGCCAGTGAAGCCACTTTGGTTAACGATGACCCCCCACCTCCATATTCTGGCCCCAATGAAGAAGATTATGTTATGGTCAATATGGACACCAAACCAACCCATATGGATAATAAAGAGAACTACTCGCCAAAAACAGAAGGCCTCTTTGGATTTATCGGCCCTCTAAGGCCTCCTCTCCAGGGGGTAGATCTCAATGAAGGATCTGGTGGGTTTCAAAAGGGGAAAGAAGTTGAGGCACCGTTAACCCCACCACCGGAGGTACCAAATAGGCCGCCACCGCCGATTCCACCGCGCCCAAAACGGGAGGACTCTTCCAAAGTGGATATGATGATGTTCGGGAAACAACAGGATGTTACAGAATGCATTGGGAATGTACTTTTCCAACTTGAGGCGGCAATCAAGCCCGAGGAGATTGATGAGAATGGGGAACAAATTGACATCGTTAAGCGTCTCTTTTATGGAAAAACAAAACAAACGTTGACCTTTCCAAACTCTGCCGACACACGTATTAAAGAGGTTAGTATATGGAGGGGGGTTGTGTCTTGTTTAACTGTGAGATGGACTAATTATGAGTAGGAGCTATTCTCGCATTTGCTAGTTAATGTTGCTGAGGGTGATAGAGATATTTACTCGGCTCTCGACAGTAGTTTTGATATCGAACAAGTTGATCTTGAGGGTCGTGAGGCTAGGCGCTACCTTTCAATTAGTCACCTCCCACCCATTCTTCAGATTCAAGTTCAGAGAGTTCAGTTTGACCGAGCGAGATCTGCGGCATATAAGTCGAATTCGCATCTGAAGTTTGACGAGACAATCTACCTAGACAGATATATTGATACAGATAACCAGGACCTCAAAGAGAGGCGCGAGAAGTCCTGGCAATGGAAGGAGGAATTGAAAATTCTAGAGAGACGGAAAGTTTCGATGACGAAAACACAGGTAAATATTCCCCCCCCCCCCCCAAACAAAAAAAAAAAAAAAGAGAAAATTATGCCATTGTGTTTACTAAAGGCATTGCTAATTATGGTATATGAAGGCTGGTGTTAAGCTATCGGAAGCTTTAGACCTTACGAGGGAATGGCTGTCTGGGATTGATAGTACAGAGGATGATATGGAGATAAATCCTACTGTTTTGGCTGAGCTTGAGGAAAGATCAAAAGCAATGAGAAGAGAACTTGAGGGTAAAGTCACATTTTTCTTTTACTTGCCTATCCCGCTCTCCTTTGGGTGGAATGGGGTATTGCTATTACAATTACTAACCATCATTTTTGTAGTCTTGGAACAAGATATCAAAGACCGCGAATCTCGTATCAATTCGCAGTTCACGGACATGCGTAAACATGGTTACCGTATCCACTCCGTATTCATCCATCGCGGTAAGTCTACAAATTTCTGCGTCAAGAAAAAGATAGAAGGGACCGTGAAAGCTAATGAGCGCCAAACAGGTTCGGCCACTTTCGGCCACTACTGGATTTATATTTACGACTATCAAAAAAAGGTTTTCCGCAAGTATAACGATGGATATGTTACAGAAGTTAGTAATGTATCAGAGGTATTTACGCACGACAGCAATAATAATCCACCGACTCCATATTTTCTCGGTATGTTCTTCCAGGGTGGAATGTCATTTAGATGAATGCTGACAGCTTTGTACAGTCTTTGTGAAAGAAGAGGAGTGTACAACCCTTATGGAGGCAGTCAGACGGGAAATTATTATGGGATGATCTCGAACTTTTTGGGCTTGGAGAAGTCGGGTTTCTTTTATCAATATCTTTTTAACTTTTGTCCCGTCGAATTGTAAATACTACATTTCTTTAATGCCTGTCCGCGAAAGGCACTTACTTCCGTACCACTGTAGTGAGTGCGTGAGCCTGTGATTCGAGAGTCAAGTACAACAATGACCATTCTTGCTTGGCTACGCTTGGCCAGGCCAATAGTAATGGGGCCGTGCGCAGACAAATGTTCAAAACCATCTCAACTCTCACTGCATGCATACCTAGTCACCTTGAGGTCACAACACCTACACCTGACTGCACAGGTCTGGGCGACGGGTTTGAAGGTCACAAGCCGTGGAAGTGGTTCCCAGGCTATTGTTTCCTCGTTATTTTTTCTCAAAAGATCGTCCACGGCAGCCGCGGAGGAATATTTCAAGACAACACACCGGAGTTTTTTTTCGTTCGTTCGTGAAGCATGTGGGGGCCGAGAATCAGAATCCGGGGTTTTCCCACATGGGGAAATCCCTCCCAACCGCTGCTGCCATCAAAGCCTGCCTTTGTGATGAATAAAGTGGGTATCGTAACAACCGCAAAGCGAGCCCGAGAGGAACGGGAAACTGGCAAGTAGAAAAAAGAAAAGAAAAGAGCACGACTGCACGTTGCATCCTACTTGGCGTTGTTCTGCACTCGTCGTCGCTGCCTTCTTTTTACTTTATTTTTTTGTGAGCAGCGAGGTCATTGTCCACGTGCAACGTGTAGCTGGGTAGAATAGAAACAGAAAGAGTATTTTTTTCTCTTCTTTTCTTTTTTGCTGTTGCTACTCAAAAACGAATACCAGTTTAGGTAGGGGTATATGAGCTGGTCGGAACGCAAATAACCCTCTCTCCCTCTCTCCTCCACTTCTGTCCTCTTTCAAAGGGGGGTTGGGTGTTTGAGGAGGGGTTCTTTCTTTTCTTTCTTGCTTTTTATTTTATTTTTTTAGAGGCATTTTGCAAATTTTGCAAAAAATAAAAACCCCCAAGCAGGATTTTATGCTGTCGAGAAATGATAGGAGCAGGCATTGGGAGCGGGCCTGTGACATTTCTGCTGATGATTTTGTGATACGGCCCTCCAAGTACACATATAAATTATTAAGGGTTGCGGGCTCAGGCATGGAGCTGCTGTTGGCGGATAACCACTAGATGATGCCAGCTATGAGCCCAGATACTTTAGTAATTATGTAGGTACGTATACACCTTACCCTACACTGGCATCAGGTACCTCACGATACTGAAAGTCGTCTGAAGCACCAATTGCCGGTACCAGGTTCGAGATCGATCCGAATCTAATACTTCCTTGGCAACTAAGGTAGAAAGTTTGATAATGTAATTAGCTGTGAACCACACCGCGATTCCTGGTAGGGCTTATTTTTCTTTCTTCGTCCATCTCATTTTTACCAAAAAATCTCTGCGTGTGAGATGCTAAGGCTTGATCAAAATTTGTATTTTTGTTTGTTTATTGATGCCCATCACTCGGGTAATATGTAATACGTAGGTACACTTGAGTTTGCAATGGAGAACTCAACAAGGCATAATAACCGCAGCAATAATAGAAATTAAGGAAGTCTCCCCAACATCCTCTAGAAATAGTAGATGTAATGCGGAGCTATCGAGGTACTACGCACTCAGATAAGCGACAGGACGGTTTTTTTTTTCTTTCTCCCGTTTAGTAAACGCCCTTGGGCAATTGCCACAAACTTGAAATAGAGTAAGGCAACCAACGAAACTGACATTAGAAAATAAACTCCTAGGTAAAAATTTAACAAGAACATGGCAATGGAACAGCTAGAACCTAACTGGTGAGATTCCGGGTAAAAATAAGAAAAAAATAACATAAAAACCGAACGCCATCTTCCAATACTGGCCAAAAATGAAAATAAAGATAAATTATCAAGAAATAAACGAAAACACCTGACCAACGCCCGCCCTGCCTGTACAATTTACGTTTCCCTGTCATTCCATGTATTCGTTTCCCAATGTTTCAGGATTATTTGGCAACATCCTCTGTGTTGATGTATTGATACCACGGCCCATCTGCCAACCCTAGACCATCATCAGTGCCGAGAGGAGATACTGGCGATGATTTCAGAGGTGAAGGCATCATCTGTGGTGCGCTGGGGTCTGGTGAACAATACGGTACATCCACCTCAGAGCTTCCGCAAAGGGAATATTGGTTGATCCCACACAAATCATTAAAATCATAAGTACTATAGTTAGAGGATGCATCTGGAGCGAGTGTCTTCAATCCTGTTGCGCTGGGATTAAACATAAAGGTCGGGTTTGTATAGCCGTTCATCAATGATGGGTATAAACTATCACTGGGATCAAGCGCGCTGTGCAGGAATTGCTGTGTCTCGGGTGGCAATTCAGTGGTTAATGGGAATCCGAAGAAGTCGTTGTGAGGCATATATGGCGTATGCACACTCTCAGGGGAGGCTGTCTGCTCGAATGTAGGCTGCAACACACGGCTCTGAGGTGGCTGAGGTGTTGCTTGTGGCGATACTAATTGAGCTGAGTTCATTTGACTTGTAGAGTTCGTCGGGGGGGAGCTCATTCTCCTGGTGGTTGACGATGTAGAAACCGGCGACGCAGCGGGTGGGACCGCAATAGACGAGCGTCGGATACCTGCTCCTTCCTGTTGATACTGTGGCATTTGTATTCCCTGGGGAACATGCATCTGCATTTGTCTTGCATAGAGCCTTTGACCACCGTTAGGAGAAGGGTACGGTTGCTGGCGGAGGGAAGCGTGTGTAGTCTGAATCTGCGGCGAGGGAACACCTTGAGAATGCATCATTTGAGGAGTATGCATCAATGGTGTTGGCTGCATCAGCTGCTGATGAGACATCATCTGGGGATGCTGCATCATCTGGGGATTTTGAGTCATGAACCCAGGTGGATACATGGTGTTTGGAGGATAAGCACCGCCACCACGGTTATATTGCATGAATGCTGGATCGAAGTGAAGAGCGCTCCGCACGGCGACTTGGTTCACAAGATAAGCATTGAGGCGACGGTTCCACTCGTTGTTACCTGCAGCCAGGCCCCGAGTGAGTCCTCTGTAAACGTTTGGATAGTCGTCATCCTCCTCCGAGTACATTTCCTCGTTGACAACATCTTGTTCTGTCACTCGCAGCGCGCGGCCAGTCCTCTTCTTGTGTATCTCTGAGGCTCGACGGGCCGACTCAATGCGAGCCTCTAAGCTGCGATCACTTCGCCGGGAAGCCGCAATGTACGCCCTGCGCGCGCAACTAGTCAGACAATGGGAACCTTGAGATGGGTATTTATTGAATCTAAACGACTTACCTCTCTTGGTTTTCTTCATGTGTGCGCTCGGTTTTGACGGCCTTGGTTGGGGGGTTTGTCCGTTGAGGAGGCATAATTACTGATCACCGCACAGGATTCCAGTAGATCAAATGAATCAATGGCTGGTGTTCCAGTTGTAAATCTGGGGAAGCTAGGTAGCGATGGGGGGAAGAGGATCGAAAAAGTGGTGAGGATCGTGGATCGATCGATAAGGAGGATTTGCAGGCGAAGGGAGAGAAGGATGCAAAGAAGCAAGATAAGGTTTTCTCAGAATAGACAAGCGAGAATAGCTATTTGAGGACTGAGTGTCCAAGAAAAGACCAGCAATGACAGTAAACGTGTTACAAAATGTGATGATGGGCTGTTCCAACTGCTTCTGCTGGTAATGTGTATAATATGTAGGAGATTGATTGGTATTATGATTGATGCAGAGTTAAAATGTAGGGTGAGTAGGTAAAAGTGTTGGATGAAGATGATGATCGAGATTGAGGGAACGATCGTGGGGTGAGAGAAACTTTGAGAGCGGAGAAGGAGGAGGATGATGAAAAGGAGGAGTGGGTTGAACAGGTAGGGGGACCTGGAGGAGGAGGTAGTGGAGGAGGAGTTAGAAAGTGAGGAGAGGAGGTGGTGTGTGTGTGTGGGGGGTGGAGGGCACAGACAATCCCAAGAATCCCAAGAGAGGAGGGGTGGGGAGAGAGCCGTGGGATTCTGTTCAGCAGTTCTAACTAGTACAACACGCACTGTGATCCTAGAAGACGCTAGTACAGCTGTCTCTTCGGAAACCTGTTCGGGGAAGGGAAATTGCCGGCTTGGTGGTCCTTGGAGAGACCTTTCTTTATTTTTTCTTGAGACCCTTAGCCTTGAGACCACCCACTAATGTTCGGGAAAAAAGGACGGACTGGGGAGAATTCGGCCAGGTGTGCTGTGTTTGAATTGTTGCTGCTGGTTCTTACTGCTTCCTGCTGCCTGCTGTCACGAATCAGTCCCCTAGCTCACACACCCACTCACACTTCTCTCACTCACAAGTTTCGGCTTTCGTCGAACGCCAGGCTCGCTTGCTTGGTCGATGCCGAGTGCCTGGGCTGGATAACGCGGATCACAAAGCTGTTAATCCTTGGCAGCGTCTTATTCTCGCTTGTCTGCTTCGTGTATCTATCCGGTCCGGGCGGGTGTAGACCAGTAGTAACAGAGCTTGAGGTTGCCTCTAGGATAAAGCAATAGCCAATATCCACCCTCAATCAATAGAGAAAGAGAAAAGGATATCGTTACTGAGGGTTAAGTAAAAGTTTGAGGAGGACACTACAACAGTAGATACGATAATCAATATATTGCTGTTTGAAGTGGTTTTTTTTTTTTTTTTTTTTTCTTTTCGGGAAAAAATTCTTTACTTTGTTGTACCCTGGGGCGAGCACACCTTTATACACTCGTCACATTTATCCCGGCTTTATCCGAAGGAAACCTACAAGCTTGGTCCTGCGTAGTTTTTTGTGGGAGTTGAGGAACCCGCTAACGATACTCACATCTCGGCTACATAAACATTGAATTTATAAGATTTTGGCACTGAGAAAGTGGATACACAAAATATTCCCCGTGGGCCCGATGATAACATAGAGTGTCCCAGATCGGTCAAGCTGGATCTCACCTCCGGAGTCCAAACCCTGCTCGTGCCGATACGCGAGATCTAGGAGGCAACCGATACGCGTGCCACGCTAGGGCCCTAGATCGATCTCAATGAACTGAGATCCACATGTTTAAAAACATCTAGTGTCTTGGCTGTACGCCGACGTAAGGCCCCCATTAGAAATTAGAGCACTATGAATTTGAGGCCAAAGACCATGAGTCTGACGTCTTTTCTGCTTTCTATCAACTAAGTTTTTTCTTTCTTTCTTTTTTTTTTTTGCCTGAGAAGCCTAGAAACATCAACAAGGCAGGGCTCACATCTCCAAAACTACAGCAGACCCTTTACATACTTCTAGCCGACGGACGGGTGTTGTGCAGTGCATACCCGTATTTTGTTTCTGGCGTCGAGAATGCTAATCCCAAAGATTTGGACGTGACACCTGGACATGGGAAAATTTGTCCCAGTCAGGGTATTATAACTACATGTACTTATATGTTGGTATACAATGGATCTTTGCTCGGCCTCGGGAGTCCTGCTCCTCCTCGCGTATCTTGTTGAGAGATCCTTGTCTTTGTTGGTTGCCTTCGATCTGGAGAGCTTTTGATTCTCAAGGCCAGCGGGAGCCACAACCAAGGGACCTGTTTCCAGAATTTAGAAGTACAAAATGTTCGTCACGCGTATTCTTTCAATTCTAGGGTTTTATTTCAGGCCGGTCACAATTGAGCAGGTTCCCGAAATCTTATCTTCAGGGGATTCCATGTTAAGATCTCCTACCTGGAGACATAAACTACATGTATGCATATCTTAGTTCAATACATGTACATGTAGTTATAGCTGGGTGACAAAAGTAACCGTGATTTTACATTGCAACCAGATTTTGTATGGGAATGCGTCTTGAAACAAGTATAACTCCACAACCATAATAGATATGAAATAAAGGATTGTTTAATTAGAAATCCTTAGATTGATAGAACCTATCCATTGGGTATAAATCTCGAGAACCGATTTTGGGAGTTGGTCGATTTGGGCAATTTTTGCTGGTTGCTACGCAAAATCACGGTTACTTTTGTCACCCGGCAATACCTATATTAAATTGTATCCAAATGAACGAGGTTGTTGCAACTGAGTTTTTACAAGTTTCTAGACAGGGCTTCATACAAGCCTCTGTTTTACCAGCTATGATTCCCCGGGTAGCTTTAATGGTAACCCAATAATTCCGGTTATCTAGGCCACTCTTTGATCTGGATGTCGCATAGATGGGCGTATTGAGTTTTTTTGAATCTTATCGATATACGTGCACAACCACTACTAAGAAAGGATCATGGACCAGTATATCAACTAACTGGATTATACTTTCTCAGCAACAGCCTTGATGGTCTTGATCCAGGACTTTTGTGACTTTGTTAGTTTTGTCGCCATATCCTCAAAACACAAACTGCTGACTTTCTTGCCTGCATACACTGGACCAGCCAAAAAGGTGTTGTTCTCGATCCTTTTACGACATGAAACTACAGTTTACAGACATATGTACGTAGTTACACTTCTCTGGTTACATCCCCCATTATACAAAGGGGAAGGACATAATGATCGGTGGCTGGCTTATCATTATTTTGGTTGTTGCTTTGACACTCCTTCATCAGTCCTTAAGCGCCAAGGGTCTAGGATCTGGGATTGAGACAAGCTATGGTGCGCCATACCTATCCCCAGGGTATGAGTGGAACGGCGGGAGCATCCGCCCTCTCCGAGAAATCGCTAGTTAGAGTGCACTCCCATAGTTAACTTTCCCAAGTGAGACATATATCATACTCGGACCCCCTGATCTGGTAAGATCGGGATTGACAAATACTCTAACTCCCCGGAACTTGGATCTCATGAAATGTGCACGGATGATCTACGTCGGGTGGTATCTCAAACAGTAGAGTACCCTGATCCCAGATTCCCGCGAGAAGAACGCTCAGATTTTGTTTACTGCAAAGACTTGGGCAGCTGTTGGACTGGACCAATGTAATAAGGTGTGCAGCTCGGCAGGAACTCCACCAGGTAAGTCTTGGAGATTGGCGCACCGAACAGATGGGTGGATGTGACGTCACATATAAACTAGCAGCTAGCTGTTGTTTGATTAGTGCACAACCAATGCTGTTCCTCCTTCTGCACAGGGCGGGAAAGAAGTAATTTTAGGGCGGGATAGGAGGCTAGGCGTGGGAATAATGCGGTGATGTATTCAGACTACATGTATGTACTCTAGAGTACCTAGAGTAAGTAAATGTACAGTCGCCCGCCGTTGTAGCGAACGCTTGTATACCGAATATTTGCTGTACCGAACCACTTGGGCTGGCTTTCTTTTCTCCCTGGCAAAGAGTTTGGTCTGCTGTACCGAATAATCTGCTATACTGAGCGGAAAGCGGAAAGTTGCTCAATATGCACGTTCTTTATAGCGGCGGGCGACTGTACCTACTCGGGGCAGGTAAAAGTACCGGACAATGCAGGTTTTTGGTTCACCAATGGGCGCGCGTGCTAGGCGTGAACTACTGCAAAAAAAGCCCAGAGACAAAACTTGCATTGTCCGGTACTTTTTACCTGCCCCGAGTATGTACATGTACTTAACGTACAGAGGCTCACGAGTGCCGTCTGTTGATGAACAGGCCCTAGTGTTAGGGTTAATGGAAACGAAAATAACATACACAGCTCGACTGTTTCTTGTTTTAGTTACATACATGTACATGTAGCAACTCCTATTCATCTACAGACGATATTTTGGCAACTACATGTATGTGTAATATGTACATGTAATTACAATCTATCGCAAAATATTTAGCCTAAAGATTTTGAGGAAAGTTTACGATGGATAGCCCAGCTCAAGTACTGTAAAATCCGTTAATTCTATTACATTCAACAGTGATATATCAGCGATCCCTCCTTCCTTCCTTAACTGCTCATTGCGTATCATAGTTCGATAGGCTTGTTTGCAAATCCTTAAAATAATCTAGCACAATCCAATTCATTTAAATCAAACGAGTCATACCTTATCACTCACATCTCATCTAGAGTCATCGGGTCTATTGGGGTGTACCTATTCTGGAGGTAAGGGCAGAGGTGTACATAAACGAGGGATGTTCTGAGCAGTGTCTTCTCTTCCCTCGAGATCCACTTTAATCACCAGTTGCTTTAAAGCTAAAAAAATATGGACTTTCAAAATCGCGTCGAATTGAGCGGGAATAAGTGCTCTATGAAAACTAACCGCTATACTGGTCGGTAATTCTTAACGAGAGATAAGGACTGCCTCGAGGTTTATTGTGCTCTGCCCAATGATTTCCTCGGGTGCCAAATGATTTTCAAGATCGCACCCACCCATTAATGGTCGAAGGAAAGTACTCTAGTCTGGGGTGATCTCCCCAAGGACCTTCACTACGTGACCATAAATAATATTAATAATACCAAGGTTAATCTAATTAATAACTTAAACCCTTCACAATACTTCGGGTTTCTTTTTGGCTACGCACCGGAAATGACTGCTTTCTCCTTTTCCCGGGGAATTTCGCGCACAAACACGTGAGCTTTGAGCAGAAACTGAGATAGAATAGGTACCATTCATGTCGGTTTTTCTATCTGGTGACCCAATTGAAGGAAGCTGAAAACTATTTCTAGGCAGGTCAATTGGGGGGGGGGGGGGTCACTTCCAGTATATCGAGAGATTTCTCCCCTTTGGTATCGGTGCAAGGTCCTCTCTATTTTGAATACATGCACTGAATCACAACACAATCCAAGACATGAGTGACATGGTTGGAAACGTGGCGTTTACAGTGGGTCCGCAGGCACATGAGTTTGTTTCTGGAAGTCTACTGTCGGAGAGTTTTTTACCCATTTTCTTGGGCTCAGTTGGCCGAGACAATTGAAAGCCCAAGTGGCTGAGTTTGTAGCTCGATGGATATGTGACCCACCTCAAACTTCTCGGGCGTGGCTCTCGAGGTCTGGTTCGGGTTGTTATTTGGAACGGAGCAGAGGTGTTAGCCATGGTCCTCAGCCCTGTCCTAGCTCAAGTACCAGACATCAACAAGGATGTTAACGTTATCTATTTTCTGTGGCGTCGTATCCTACAAGAATGGCCGAGGGAGCTACCCAATCAGACACTCCAAAGGGTATTCAATATGTGTGTATATGATTGGGTTTATTTCAACAGAGAATTTTCTACAAAGTACTTACATTTAGGTAGCTATCCTGACAGCAGGTACATGTAGCACCAATCCATTCTCGCTAAGCTTCCCATATCTCTAGCCCTTTTTGTTCGTCTTGTTTGATTTAACCGTAACAACTGGCTCGGGGATTGCGTGGCCGGGGGGCAATGCCAATATAAATTGAATTTAAGATATATCAGCTCAATGTCAATGATATTTTGAATAATAAATGCACACGCACACATTCGGTAACGCTATAATATTGAACCCACCTTGTGACCAGTTCAAGTCAGGAAAATAAATCAATGTTGGTTTGTTAGGCTCGGACGAAGAGCCCTTTGGTTCTATAGAAGTACATACATAACCCTCAGGTAGTTCAAGATACGGGTTCTAGTGAGTATTCTCGTGGGTCTATCTAACTGGCTAAATTTGTTGGAACATGATAAAGAAAGTCCCGCATAGCTCTCCGCTAAAACATGTGTTCTCCCCCCCCCCCCCCCCCCCCAATAACCTAACCGCCCGGAAGGAGCAAAGGGTAGGTAAATAAAGAATTGTACGTAAGGCCGAATTTGTCTGGCCTCCTTACATAGTTATACTTTTTTCGTCCCACCTACCTTTTTTTTTATTTTTTTTTATTTATTTATTTTGGCCTACCTTTCTTTCCAGCTGTACCTGTACTTGTACTGAAGATTGTAGTACGCCGCCATAGACTACGGTCTGCATGCGAGTATGAATTAAACAAAAAAAAAATTTCCAGCTGTAAACATTGGGATTCGACCATGTTGCGAAACTGGCATGGTGCATAGCGTAGTCGAGTGATAAGATATGATTGGCTGAACAGCCGCGACATCCCGTTCCACCGCTCTGATGCACGCCTAGAAAAGAAGAAAAGGAAAACGATAGGTCCATGTGCCGCATTGACGTTTATTGTTTTAGTAAGTAAATGGAATAGCATATTAGGCTGACTGGAGACCCATATCTACCTCCTTTTACAACGTAGGTACAGGTACGATATTGACGTGGGGGGATGGACACCCGGTATACATGATTTTTTTATTTTATTTCACCCGGGATAATGTGTTGTTACTGCTGGCGTTACTATTGAGGGAAGTGCCATCTAAACTTTAATAAACTTGAGTTGGTTGGAGGAAAGAATTCTTTGGTGTGCTTGTTTCATGAAACACCCGAGCAAATAATTATTACGTGCCTTGGCCAATCTGGTAGTATCCTGAATCAGAAACATTTCTTTGCGCAAGAAGTGGCCATCTATTTGCGCCTGAGTAGACGTGCTTCCAATAGGAAGTTAGTGTGATGAGTTTGTGGGCCATCGCATCCTGCATGACGGGTGAAGTCTGAAGAAAACTGCCGGATAAATTCGTGTACGTCTGTCCACTTCACCTACCTCACTTCCGGCCCTTCTCTAATTGGCTAAATATAATCCACCAACAAATCTTGTGATAAGGGGTGTGTAGGTGGGGTATATTCTGACTTATAAACTAGATAGGGCACGGAGTCTTTGCTCCTCTTTACCCTAAACGAGGCCGGCTGATTGCCCGTGCAGACGAAGATGTACGATACACACGTGATTTAACAACAAAACAAAGCAAAATTAACTCCCAAAATATAGTACGCCCGTGGATAACAGCAGATATACGCGGAAAATATGAAACGGGTCCTTAAAACCCCCATGTCCCTCCCGCTACTTACGCCCAACACATATCCCTACTTGGCGCCACAGTGGGCACACTTCCGAGGGTGAAGGTCGGGGCTGCGAAGGCTTCAATCTCTACTCGCAGATAGTCGATGATGGGATCATCCCATTTTTTTGTTTTCTGCGCTTCACGTAGTTGGGGGTTAACCTGGTGACTTATTGGTTGTACCTGCTGTTGCGCGGTTTGGAAATGGTTCAGATTATTAGATGACGATGGGTTTTGCTGCCCGGGAGTCCCAAAAGTAGAAACATGAGTGATAGGTTGCCCAAAAGCAGGTGCTTGGTGCTGTGGCTGACCAAATGCCGATGTTGATTGTGCCTTTTCAGTAGTAGTAGCTTGCTGACCTTGAAATGGATTGACAGTTGAGAAAGGAGAAGTAGAAGTCTGTTGGAAGGCACTTGCTGTCGGACCAATATTTGAGTTAGAGGCCTGTTGACTAAAGGGCGTATTCGCAGGGTTAGTCTGCAGAGGTTGCCCAAATGGCGGCGGGTTTTGGAGTTGCCCTTGCGGGGCAGCGTTAGAAGTCCCGAACGGCGAGCTTTGGGGAATAGCTGGTTGTCCAAAAGCAGGTTGGCCAAAGGCAGGCTTAGCTGCACTTCCTGTCCCAAAAGGGGAAGGCTGCCCGAAAGCAGATATCGGCTGCTGTGTGGTAGGTTGTCCAAACGCGGAAGGCTGTGCAGCAGAGGGTTGAGCCCCGAAGGAAGAGGATTGCCCTAGAGCTACGGGTTGGCCAAACGCCGGTTGACCGAATGCTGGCTGACCAAACGCCGGCTTAGGAAGAGCTGGCTGACCGAATGCCGGTTGACTGAACACATTTTGGGGCTGAGGGGCAGAGGGCACAACTGAACCAAAGGCTGGTTGACCAAAGGCAGGTGTAAGTGAAAGTGAGGGTTGGCCAAATGCACTTTGTCCAAATGCTGGAGTTGGACGAGCAGAGAAAGGTGAAGGGGAGCCAAACGCAGACGTTGATTGTGGCGCCTGACCAAAGGAAGAAGTAGGCTGTGACGGTTGAACGAAGGCAGAAATTGGCTGTGGCGGTTGACCAAAGGCAGAGACTGGCTGAGATGTTTGACCATATGTGGAAATTGATTGTGACGGTTGGCCGAAGGGGGATAATGGCTGTGACGGTTGGCCAAAAGCAGATGTTGGTTGTACTGGTTGACCGAAAGTAGAAGTAGTTTGACCCGAGTTCACAAAGGGCGATGTTTGGGAGGCCTGAGCTGGACATCAGCACATATGCAGTCAGGATAGGTGGAATGATCGACTAATAACATACCGTGGTGCCGAAGGTTGATGGGGGTGCATTATTCGAGTTGTAGCGTGAGCTGGCTCTGTTTTCATAAGCCTTCTTCATAAAATTCACAGCTCCTGGAAGATCGTTTAAGATATTTTTGATTTGGCCATCGGCTTCTGAAGTTAATCTTTGCCATTCTGCTTCCTATAGAAACGTCAGGATATCTAGGTGAGAATATAATTAGTCAGGGTAAGTGATATACATAAGCACCAGGGTTTCCATCTGCTCTACACTTGTACGCTAAAACTCGAGCTTCTTCGGGCGATATATCTTTTCCATCGATAAGTTGTGAAGGCGGGTCTTTTCCGGGGGCATAGCTAGAGAGTGGCCATGTTGGTCGCTCCGTCAAATCCGTCTTGATGGAGTCTTGGGTCGGAAGATTAAAGCTGAGTTGAACTCAATTAGGTCAAGCGCATATGATGGATAGTAAGTGGGCACTGAGAGAATGAGATTGAACCCTCCCCCCATTAAGGAGCGGTTAGGAACGACCAGAGCTAAGAGAATGATATTGTGCAGTTGGTTATTTTAAAGAAGAGAAGCTCACCCTTCACCTAACTTTGACTGGATTCCGCCGCCAGTATTATTGTTTCCATAGCCTATGAAGGCGACCAAATGTAAGTTATATTTGTTTCGGACACCGTGAGTTGGATCGGGGAAATAAGAAAAGGAGAAGTTTGGTTAGAATCGCACCTATTTGACGGGTAGCTCCAAATGTGTTACCAAAACCATTCGCGCCAGATGAGGCCGGAAGACGAGTTTCTCCAGGATGAACAAATTGGCAGTTTGAGCCAAAATGACAGGAGCCATTTTGATAGTATCTACAGAGTTGTTGCGACATATCGAAGGTGTAGTATTGGATCTGGTGTGAATTGATAATTTCGACAATTGGAATGGATGTAGTAAGTCGACCGGGGGTGGGTAGGGTAACGGCGGCCAGATGTAGACTGAGGAGAAAGAAGAGATGCGCGCATGCGCACCGTTATCGTTACGGCAGATAAATAATGGGGAGATATTAATAAGTACAAGTATCTACTCGTAGCTTTATAGCGTTTCCGAACACGACCAATATTGCATGACATACAAAAAGCCGCCAAATCCACCTTTTTGTATGTCATGCAATATTGGTCGTGTTCGGAAACGCTATAAAGCTACGAGTATATGTACCCAGGTACATAGTTACATGTACTTCAAGCGAGTACGATACAAGTAGTGCTGATATGTACTCGTAAATACATGACGTTTCCGGACACGACTGCTATTGCATACCATACAAAAAAAAGCGTCAAATCCACTGTCATGCAATATTGGTTGTGTTCGGAAACGCTATGAAGCTACGAGTACTTACCTTCGTGGGCCAGGACCTCAGTGTAGGGCAAAAGAAGCATCGCGATCGAACGTCCTGGGAGGAGGCGGTTCACACTAGGAGGATCTTTGGCTTGGCTAGTACTTTATTTGAACCTTGCCCTGAAGTTTACTTGCTAAGCATTTCCTTTGTCGTGGTCGTACTAGTGACCTCAAGTTTGCTTTGGCATAAACATTTATCCCCGCTTCGCTAAATCTTAATTATGGGTGAGAAAAAGTATGTACCTGCACGAGTCCGTGAAGTTTGATACGCCAATTCGCCTTGGTTCGGACTTGCCACATACAAATACGGGGATCGAATACATATTCTGACAATGTTCCAGCGGGCATACCAGATCAATCTAGTCAGATCTAGAAAGTTGGATTGTACTTCAGCACGAACAGCATAGGTTGTTACAGTAGGGGTATTCACTTCTAGAAATACGTTCCTTTATAACACTGTACTAAAATGCGGCTTATATTACATGGCACTAGTACATTTCTCTTAGGAATATGTGCCTTTATAACGCTGCATTACTCTACAACGCCGCTTATATGGCACTGAAATATAACTTTCAAAAATCTGAATACCTCTGGAATGCACATACCATATTGTGGGAGATAATCCGTTACCATATTAATTTGAGATTTGTGCTTAGTGTACTAGTTAATAACCTTTATATGGTACGCATATATGATATTTTGGACAATAAGGTAGGTTGGTGATGCTTATTTCTCCTCAGAATACGGACCGCCGATTATTTTAAGCGCTCCATAAGCGCATGCTTATAAGAGTATGTATGTGGAGAAGTGAATGCCCCTCATAACATATGTACTTGTAATTCCGGCCATTTTTCTAGATAAGAAAAAGATTTATTAGGTACATATAACCTACATGCATCTTGGGTACCTGCAATAAATCTCTTGTCCGGAGGTCCGTATTTTACGTGCTTGTAAACCTAACCACTCGTTAGAAATTAAGTAATTAGAATAGATAATGTAGTCCTTATGATTGCTTATTATATCCTGTCTGTCAGAGTTTCGATTTTCTTATTTTCGATGGGCTAGATAGATTTGGCACGGGAGTCGAGTTTGATAAGGGGGATAGGTTAGGTGTATGGTGACCAGCTCCATAAAAGGTTGCTACGAAGCTGCTTCAATTAACCTTGTGTGACTGGTACCGCCAAAACTCGAAAAATTGGCTATCTCCGACCAGGGATTATCGCTCGAGTGATTGGTTGAATGGCATCGATCTGCATCAGAAGTTTCCCACACAAGTAATTTTGATCTCTGGAAGCTAGCCAATTTTTCGAGTTATGGCGGTATTCTAAAAATGGCGAAGCCGTGAAGCTGCAAGCACATGCCAAAACTCAAGTTAGCCAAGCCAGGGATGACTAAGTGCAAGCACGTGTTTAAAGCCCGACTGGACCACATATCACAACAAAACTCACGTTCTGGAATAAGTACGATATTAATAAAGTCACTCTCGCGTGAATAATATTGGTTCGCACTTACAAGTCAATCAATCACTCCAGGCGGATCGGCCAGAAAACTAATCAATCCGAAAAATATTCATCATAACTGCTATGGACATCGATCATAATACTCCCAACCATTACCGCTCAATCTTCCCCGATGACAAGAAATTCCCCTTTTCGAAGGAGCGTATCTCCAGGATTTTACGAAATCGCTCTCTTCTTGATGGAAAATTGTTCTTTGACATCGTTCTCACTACCATAGCCCACGTTGACGATAGTAAGACCTTTCCCCTTCTTAGCTATTGTTACATGCGTCTTACACTTTGCTAGTCAACCAAATATACCCCCCGAAGAATGTCGCAGGTTTACGCCTGCTCGTTCACACTATTGAGGAAAAGGAGGAGCTCGACCGTCTTAAAAAGTCGTCCTTTGTGTATTACTTATTAAAAGATTTTGATCGTGCGCACCCCAGAAATGGGTTCGCGACTCAATACGCAAACAAGGTGTTGATCCCACCGAATTTCTGTAGCTTGATGGATGGCCTCTATGCAATGGACAACTTTGATTTCGAGGTTTGGTTTCTCCATTCTCTTCTTATTTGTACCCACCTGACAAGAAGATAAATCTAGGATGCTGTAGGTCATCTTACGGAACCTTCCGTCATCCCAGTCGAACCTCACAAAGTCCTATCTACTCTTGTGTCACATGCAGGTCCCAACGGCCCTAGACTAGCAACTACATTTGTACAAACTGTCCAGCCAGTCCTGGACACAGACGCTTCCATCAATGATTATTTTTGCGCGTTGAGGGCCATTTCAATCGAGTCAGCATTTCTTTATCAGCGGACTGTTCCCTCGCGAATTCAGCCGGACTTGTTCAAGAGTTTGATCGACTATTGTCTTACAATCAAAAAGGAATCAAACGCCCTCAAGCTCATAAACCTTCCTTTCACGCACGAGGAGCAAGAGATATTTGAAAGTTACATTCAGGATTCCAGCATTCCCGCTGCACATGATACCCTGATAACAAGGCAAATGCACCAAGGTCAACTCACCGAGGCCCTGCTTGCCGCGAGAAGTGCTCACTATCAAAACGAGCCGGAACTGGAGGGTGTTAATTGGGCAGGATTGGCTAGAGGATTGTCCTTGGGGATAGGTCCTAGGGAGGGGTAAACTCATCGACATACTTTACTAGCAGGATTTCTCATCTTGATATTTCACCTTTATATCACACCAAAGAGCTCTTGAAATGCCATAGAGTATTTTTGCCATGAGGATAAAACGTGCTATTGTTTTCTGCTACATATGGTGTAGACAGCGAGTGGAGTATGACCGTGTAAAGCCTATTGTACAACAAATGAAATTTAAGAAGAGGATTGCCGAGAAGGAAGAAAATAAGACCGCTTAGCTCTCAACAAAGTCCTTGACATCTGCAACCCGTTAGTCAGGACACTACTCTCGAGTGTTTGATTTAGGACTTACTGCTCAACCACGAGACATATTCCTTTTGTTCCTTGTAGTCAATGTAATCAGGGATGAAAAGAGCCAGAGCAGTGTTAATGCCTCTCTCGTCAAGGTATCTCTCCAAAAGGACTTGAAGATCCTCGTCTAGATTTCCAAATGGAGGCCCAGCATACAGTCCCCTCCGCTCCCAGTCGGCGTTAGCAGTCTTAGCCGTGGCTAGTTGCGCTGACTTGTGATAGAAGACGTTATCAATGACTATCATGCCATCCTGCGCAACGGCTTCGAACTGAAGTGCTCCACCATTGGCCTGTCCTTTTTATCAGTATACACAAGTTATTTGGAGCTTGCCAACCGAACCTTCTCAATGGTGACATTCACGCGTGATGGGAAGCTGACGGGTGTCTCATCATCAAACTCCTCGTCTTCCTCATCCATCTCGTCATTTGCAGTTTGAACACGTCCCTCGGCCTTTGCAGCTTTTGATTGAGCGCCACCAGATTGACCGGCGGCAATATCTTCTTCCGTGCCATCATTGAATAAGTTTGTTTCATCTAACTCGTCGGGAGATGTAGCGTTCAGATCTGCGATTGAGAATTCGATACGGATTCTGCAAGGTTAAAGATATGAATATACTTATCCAAAATTTATATTTTAGAAAACTCACGTCTCATCACCGAACTGACGAATCAATTCAACTTCTTCTTCGCCAGGTTTGTCTACGATCCTGAATGGACCGTTTTCTAGGAACTCTTTAACGCTGAGTGGCATGTCATCATCTACATCTCTCATTTTCTCCAATTCCAGCTCGGCCTGAATTTTTGCAGCCAATTCCTCGTCGACTGTAGTAGTAATTGGTAAGGTTAGGGCGGTTCAAGAGTTTGACATAGATAAGTAGCTTACCCGTTCCTTCTTTTTCAAAAGAACGAAACGAAGTTGAAAATTGAGCACTCAAGCGAGGATTCTTATGAATGGCTACTGGGACATAAACTCGAAAAGCTTGCGATTTGGTTGAGATGGATCGGGCAAAGGGCGAGGAAGCTGGAAAACGGGTAAAGGGAACCCGCCCAATACGGGAGATCGCTCTGGCAGCAAACATTGTAGAGCTATATACTAGAAGTAGGTTTTGAAGTAGATGTTGGAAGATGGTGAGATGAGAGTGTTAGTGGGGTGTGAAACTTTCTGAAAATGATGGTGGGGGAAAAAATTACGTGCATGAGATGTTGCTTATGTAAAAAAAAATCAAAATCGTGCAGGGATCATATTCACACGTGTGTTCTGGAAAATAGATACATGTATTTTTGCAGTCTGGACACCAACATATCGTACATGTAGTACATGTACTTAATTGTACAATTGTCCCGGCTACAAGAAGACACACATGTAGGCCTGGGTACCTACATTATATATGCAAGCTCATATCTAACAGCCGGTTTATGAGGATAACTCCTAATGTTTCCTTTTGAGACTTTTGGACGTTCCGCCTCTCACCCAGGCATTTGAAAGGTACCACTAAACAAAATATTTGTGACGATTACAGAATACTATAGATACTGCCTTGCTACCCCCACTATAATTGGAAAATGTAGACGTATATCAGGATCAAATTAGATTGCATTTCATATATACATGCAGCAACGAGAACATCAAGATTTTTGTATTGCATGTTTGCACACGTGCGCTGTATGTACTAGGGTATAGCGAAAAGTGATCCGAATCTGATAAGACAAAACACACATATTCACCAACATTCACTTATCAGATTCTGATCACTTACCCTCCACACCCGGTACATGTAGTCTCTACGCCCATTACTACATGTATTTGCTGAGGTAGATTACTGTTTGGCGCTGGTCGAAGGTCCACAAAAGAAAAATAGAAGAAAAAAAAAGCTAATTGTCACCAGGAAATGAAATACAATGTTGCGGTGTGTTCGACAGTTAAATAATACGTATGTCAGTTTTAAGATAATGTGGCCTCGCTTTCAATTGAATATTATGGTAAATTGCCAAACGTCGTGATGTTTACGTTGCAATAAAACGCCCCCAGTGAAGATATCCGTTGTATCAGAATGTCACCAAAGACCCGTATATAAAGTTAGGGAACGGTAAGCCGTTTAATTACCACTACATAAGAATCATAATGACGGGAATTGGTATAGCTATTGACTTTGGGTTAACTTCCTCAATTGATTTTCCTCGATGCATCTTCTTTGGGTATCCTTGTGAACTTGACCTGTGCCAGAGAGCCCACAGTTCCGTCCCACCGTCGTAGTCGCTCAATGTTTTCAGAATTTTGCAAGTCTGGAATGTAAAAGCCCGTCTTGAACTCTTCAATTTCGCGATCAATCCGTTGCTTCAAAAGATCTTCCTTCGTCGATGGGGGTCGTCCAGGGCGACGCTCACTCCGCATTTCGAATAACTCTTCATCATCGCGGTGCACCCACCTGGAGTTTATTAGCGTCAAAGTAGCACCATCCTTGCAACAATGAGCAGTATGTACTTCTCTATCAAGTCCCGGATTTCTTGTGTACTCAATGGTGCCTTCACATCTTTTGTCGCCACTTTAAAGTATCCCACACGGATAACTGTATGATTATCTGTTAACTGTATGTACTGAAAAAAAATGATGAAAAGCGACTAACGCTCAAGTTCCTTCAACTTGGATCTTGCTGATCCTAGCTTTTTTAACTTTTCGTCCCGGAGAGTTGCTCGGCTGAGCTTTTTCGAATCACGGCGACCGAGGGAATCTAGCTTCCCATCTTTCTTGGCCTTGATTTTCTTTTGTACTTTGTGGAGAGCGATTGGCATTGTTAAAAGTACATGTACAGTGCACTGGCGATTTGGACGAGTGGGGATGTATGTATGTTTCTGGGTGTCTTCTAGTTAGAAGGTTCTGACTATCCGGGTAACCATACGAGTACATAATATCGCCGACGCAGGTACACGCGCTACAGACATGTATGTGCCTATTGCGACCTGGTGCGTAGCAATACTGAGAAAATAGCATAATTGGTCTGGTCCTATTAATTACCAGATATACTATTTACAAAAGAATAGATTTTCACATCTGCTAGCTGCCCAGTATTTGTTACTTCTGCAACCATATGCAAATAAATTGAAACAGTTTGCACGGACTGTTAAATAACGAGTTTCTAAACTGCGTTTCCCTCAAACGGCCTTTACTAAATATGATCTATTACATCATTACAGTAAGTAAACTGTAAGGGCTAGTTTAGCTGTCAAGGGGATTAAAACCCCGTTAGCAAGGACTCTTAGATTGAGTTTGTTTTGGGTCTGTCGAATATATACTAGTTTGTTAAGTGAAACGGAGCTGAATACTACAATACCGGTAGGGCCTACTTTTCAAAAATTCCGTTTAAAGGCCCTAACGGAGCTGTGAAAAAAAAAAAAAAAAGTGTAGTTAAATAGGCTCTAAATTACATACGTATGTAGAGTATATGCCTACATGTAGGTAGGTAGGTACTGTATGTTTACATTGTACTCAGATCGTGGGGAATCAATCGTACCCCGCCATCGAACCCCACCGAGGACATTTTGGCCGTGCAATCTGCACGACTTACAGAAAGAGAAAGGCACACTTGACTCGTATGCGCAGGGACATGTGTCAAAAACGCAGGAACTCGAAGATGTTTGGGAGTGGCTGGGGTAAAAGCTTGGCCCACATAAGCGGGTGGCTGGGAGACATGGGTTGCTGCTTGAAAGTTGGTGTGATTCGTGTCCGTTGCCGTAGCAGCCGTATATTTACAACTTGTCGCAGTATCACCCTCGCAGAGAGATGTGAGGACAAGCTAAATATACATATACACACATACATTTTGGGCGATTAGGTATGTATGTTGTTTTGCAGCGTCACTCACTTGGTCCAGCCTCCCCTTTTCACTGGATCTAGTCACACTACGTTTGTCCCTTTCTCTCACACAATACTCATCCACTGACTTGCTCACCTACCTCGTTTTCACGTTCCCCCTCACCCCTCCCCATTACACAGCGACCATTAATCGATACCCCTCCACTTCATTCCTGGCAGGATTCCGAACCGTTTCTCGTGGGAAAGTGAGACCCATTATAATTCCTGCGACATTGCTTAGGCACGCCTGGATAGTTTACGTAGCCAATCCAACAACGCGCTTGTCTGCCTTCGAGAAGTTCACATCACGGCTGTTTGTCAAAGGGTACGATGGTTGAAAGAAGGATTCGATTCGTTTTCGGGTTTGAGAGTTCGTTATCACCATTTTTTTTTCGTCAAGAATCCTACTATAAGAATTTCTTGTAACTCAGTTATGTAGCTATGATTTTGTGTCCAATTCGCTAACTTAGAATCATGATCAGGGCTTGTGCCTTTCCTCGCTTACCATCATGTACTAATGGTATTAATCCTCGTCGCGATTATACTGCTCTGTAAGAATAGCCGCCGACAACTGTTGCGAATATATCAATCAATTTGCTGACCTTCAGTTGGTTTTTAGCTCTCTTATTAGCGGGATGCTCATCTTCAAGTCCACTCATACCTTCTATATTTTTAATAAATCTATGGTATGACCGGTCGTCGCCTCAGTACGACCCTGCGCAAGTCGACCCGGGCGCATCAAGAGCTATTGGAAACATTGTTGGAAATGCACAGCTAGAGGCAAGAGTTGGGTAATTGGAATTGTACCTCTCGAGATTACCTGAGCGAGGGGAGAACTAATATGGGATTATACTAGATACTTTGGAATTTGTATAAATCCTGACGGATCTTCCTGGTTATGTAGCGCCAACGCCTCTTCCCTTGCCGCACAAGTAAGCGTCGACCAGGACCCTCTGAACCTGATATGGGTCGCCCAGACATTCAAAGAGAGCATTGTTTTCCCGTACCTATTGATTATCGCTATTATTCTAGCCGCAGTTACGCTGCTTCTTCTTGCAACCTTCCCGGGATACGAAGAAGAGTATGACGGAGGTCCTGAGAGGAGACGACTCCCAAGTCGGGCAGTGTCCCAGATTGCACTAGCAGTAATATTTGTCGCAGCTATCTTTGTGCTGGTTTCGGTACTGTGGCAACACACTGCGAGTGTGGCCGCAGCGACTATTGCCGAAAACATGGGGAATGGATCTGTCGCAACAGGCGTTGGCGTAACGGCTATGGTTCTGGGCTGGTTCGGCTTTGCGCTACTGATTATTGTGACAATAGGATTATTAGTAATGTAAGTCTAATGATCACACTGGATTTCTTATAGATTCGGCTAACACTCTATAGGATATTATCAATGCATCTTGTCGAGAAACTCACAGATGAAGGGATCTAACTTTGATCTTTCTAGTGGAGGTTTTTAGAGTGGCTAAATGTGGGCGATCTCCCCGACGCAGACGGCGAGAGACCTCTCTATTAAGAGAAACGAAGGAACGAGTTTTACGATTTGATCTTAGAGCACGAACATGTCAACTTGATGATACCTTTTATTTGCTTCCTTTCCTTTTCCTCTAGTTTGGGGCAAACTATTTTTTCACTTATATGGTTTTCGGAGGACTACGGTTGCACTTACTTGTATTGGTCGATTTTTAGATAGTTCATTTAACGATATCGATTTTGGTTTTGGGGGATGGGGGAATTGGGAAAGGTTTACACATTGGCTGGAAAGCGAGAGGTGCAGTGTTACGGTGCGAATAGGTGTATTCCGGATAAGTGTCCGATTCACTATTCAAGATGGCTAGATGTAGGTATTTATGGTGAGAGATATCGCTGGCGTATGTATATAGTTGAATGCAGTAATGCAAATGTAGCCACTCGCCTTGGGTGATTTAAGTGGACTATCGGCCCCCTGGCTCTGATCATAATGTCTTCATGCTATATCACTCGTTCAGATCTCAGTTAATAAAGCGTAGTTGAAAACCGTAAATTAGAATTATGGCAATGGATATTTTGTCAATCTCAAAGATGAGATCGGAAATGTTGTATTTAAGTCCTCACGAAAATAAGAACAGTAACGGGAATATGGACAGGCATGGTGCTACGTGAATAGTACGTAGTAATTGATGTATGATTTGATTGAGTTCTATGTACAAAGTATTTAAGAAAGCTACGGCGGGGATAGGTGGCCTAACCGCGCCTACTAGCCACCTGGCAGTAAGCGCGCTTAGCTGAATACTCCCATCAAGTTATACATATGAAACTGCAGGACTTGGATTCTTGTCCGAGCAGCAATTGCACCTGTATATCCGTTCGTCTGGCAAAAAATGCTGACCACCGCCAAAAAAGCTAATGTTTGTGTGGCTTTACTAACAGATCTTGTTATCTCTATTATCAAATAATAGATCTCCCATACAAATTTATTTCCCCTATTATAGGAGAGTCAGCATTGCCAGAATAAGTGTTACGGGCATGCCGAGCATTCACGGGAGCAAGAGAAAGGCGAGTAGGCACTTCCAATACCCTCACACGCTAACTATCAACTCTGGTTCTCACCCACAAGATGCGGTGTGTAATGGGGACAGCCTAATCTATGTCTCGCTAGAATCCAATAAAATAGGTGTGGCCGTGCAATATAGAAATCAAGTGCAGATTATTCAAAGATACTATGATCGCTAGAACTCAATAATCTTTAAGGACCATGACTCTGCTACCGAATAGAATACTTGATAATTTTCTGAAGACTGCAGAATTTGGATATTAGGGAGGGAAGGATCCTGAGTACTTATACTCCAAAGAATTCCATTCCCTGCTTCTACTTTCTTACTAAGTTCCGGTGATGACTTCTGGCAGAAGGAAAGCAAAAACCACCACTCCCCCGCTTCTCTCTAAGCGTTAGCAGATGCTTCTGGTTCCGAAGGCAATCACCCTTAGTCAAAGCCTTTGTAACACCTGCAGTCTTGGTTGTCGCACAACTGGGACCTGCATGAATGAGCTACCGCTCAGGCATGGCTTAATCATTACTGTAGAGCTCTTCGCTTATTGTAGACTTTCCCAGACATAGTCCCTGTCACTACCGGCGGACTTATCGTGCTCAGAGGATATAGAGGATCACCGAGCAGTTAGAGCTTCACTTTGGATGGCCTTCTAGTCATTGGCGAGGCATAGACTCGTCAGTCATTGCTCCCATGAGTAGATCCTCTTTCTAGCGCTCAGAAGGTAGTTGCTCTGACAGCTGGTAGCTAACCACACTGCCGGTACTTGCATGTCACTGTGCAACTGGCTTCTAACAATAACTCTCAGAATTTAACCGGGCCCTGTGTGTACTCATACACCAGACAGTTGAAATGGCTCCGTTAGAGTTGCTATTGATGGTGCACGACCATGACTTCGATCAGGTAGAAATAGTAAAGGGGAACAACGAGTTATCATTGGGCTCGTTCGATGGAAGGATAGAGTTTATTTGTTTGATCGTTATTTTTTGTAGTCAAGAAACTTAATAACTTTAAGGGGTCTCCTCGCTAGTAAAGATTCCATGACCCCCCGAGTCCAACCTTGGGCAACCGAGTTCTTTTATTGAAGTTCCGCGCCCTTGTTCCTTTTTCCTCCCTAACCGTCCGTCTCTCCCTAGTCGGGGACACCGCGACTATTTTCCATGAGCAGGAGAGAAGAGTTGCTACCACACCGCGGACAAACTTTTCCTCCGAGTCAAATCATGCAATCTTTGCCAAGAATGGGTTGTGATTCTAGGAACTAGCGGAAACAGCTGACCAGAGAGCAATTGCTCATTCAGAGTATTTAGAATAGATTTGGGTGTGTAACGGGGGTGCTAGGATGATACACGACCGTGACTTCGATCTGACATAGAAAGGGTAAACGGGCAACGATGGATTCATTGGGCTCGTTCGATCGAAAGATGGAGTTTATTTGTTTGATCGTATTTGTAGTCTAAAAACTTAATAACTTTAAGGGGTCTCCTCGCTAGTAAAGATTCCATCCCTCCCCGAGTTCAAACTGGGGGGCAACCGAGTACTTTTATCGAAGTTCCGCTTTTTTTTTCCCTAGACCCTTTGTTTTTTCCCCCTAGTCCGGGGACACCGCGACTTTTTTCTATGAGGGGCGAGAGGAGTTGCTGCCACCCCTCGGACGAACTTCCGCCCGAGTCAAATCACGCAATCTCTGCCAAGAGCTGGTCGGGATCCTAAGAACTAGCGGAAACAACCGACCAGATAGCAATTGCTTATTCAATTTGTTTTAGAACAGATTTGGTGTTTTTGTAAAGCGAGGTTTGCTTTTAGTAGCTTGGGTCGTACTCCTACTCCCCATCAAAGGTGCTCCGGGCTGAAACAGGAGGGTTCCGGCGGTTCGACGCTCCGGGGGTTATTTTTGGGGTCTAAAACGTGTTTATTTTGCAGTGTTTCCTCAACTCCGCAATCCGTTCATTCAACCACCCCAAATGGACCGGAGCATCGTCAGGATCCTTCCTGACGTGGTAAAGCATATTTTCCGAGCATCGGTTGCTAAGTTATTGCACCTCAAAGGTTGACTTCCAAGGTAGGGTAACTTATGTTTGGGGTTACCCTTCCGTATTTGGCATGCTCGTCCTTCTGCTCTAGTTTTGGTCCAGTCGCCTAGCTTGACTTATAAGACTTCTTGCTCGCCAGGATCCCTACCCTTCATACCAATAGAGGTAGGGGTCATCTGCCCTTATCTTCACCCATCGATGAAGAACAAGTGGTGATTACCCTAGGGTCGTATGGCTTGACTGGTAGAACAGTTACTTTTGTAACAGCCCTACTGTGGCTCTGTTACAGGGTGTTTGTAAAGCGAATGTAACAGGGCCACAGTAGGGCTGTTACAAAAATACCTGTTCTACCAGTCAAGCCATACGGCCCTAGGTTAACTGCAGCTGGTTCTTCATCGATGGGTGAAGAGAAGGGCAGATGCGCCCCTACCTCTATTGGTATAGAGGGTAGAGATCCTGGCGAGCAAGAAGTCTTACAAGTCAAGCTAGACGACTGGACCAAAACTAGAGCAGCAGGACGAGCAGACCAAATAAGGAAGGGTAACCCCAAACATAAATTACCCTACCTTGGCATTCAACCTTTGAGGCGCAATAACTTTGCAGCCGATGCCCGGAAAATATGCTTTACCACGTCAGAAAGGATCCTGGCGATGCTCCGGTCCATTTGGGGTGGTTGAATGAACGCATTGCGGAGTTGAGGAAACACTGCAAAATAAACACGTTTTAGACCCCCAAAAATAACCCCCGGAGCGTCGAACCGCCGGAACCCTCCTGTTTCAGCCCGGTGCATCTTTGGGGGGAGTAAGAGTGCGACCCAAACTACCAAAGCAAACCTTTGCTTTAAAAACACCCAAATCTATTCTAAATACTCTGAATAAGCAATTGCTGTCTGGTCGGCTGTTTCCTCTAGTTCCTAGGATCCCGACCCTTTCTTGGCAAGGATTGCGAGATTTGACTCGGACGAAAATTCGTCCGCGGTGTGGTAGCAACTCTTCTCCTCCCCCCTGATAGAAAATAGGTGGTGCCCCCAGATTATTTGAAAGGCGGGACGGCCAGTGAAAAAAGGAAAGAGGTAATGAAGGAAGGGGCGCCGAACTTCCATAAAGGAACTCGGTTGCCCCAGCTTGGTTTCGGGGGGATCAGCGAGTCTTTACCAGCGAGGAGCCCCCTTAAAGTTATTAAGTTTCTAGACTACAAATAACGATCAAACAAATGAAACTCTATCTTTCCATCGAACGAGCCGAAAGGATAGCTTGTCGAATTCCTTTCTGCCTATCTACCTGATCGAAGTCACGGTCGCGCCCTCCAAGGCACCCCCGTTACAGTATAACTTTAAGCTCCTCGCTTAAAGAACCCCACGAGAAAGAAAAAAACCTACCTGAACACCTAGGACCACTTTCAAGGCTGAAATAACCGAGCAGTTAGTTTTTTTTTTTCAGCTCAGGCTGGCATGGGAGAGGCTAACACTTTACTATGGTCTCCACTGTATCCGTCAGAGGGTTATAGCGCCCACATTCGCTCAAAGGGTTATAGCGCCCACATTCGCTCAAAGGGTTATAGCGCCCAGCTTCGCTCGGAAAGGAGACCACATTCAGGATCGCTCCTAGAAAATCCTGATAGTCCCATTGACCAACGGCCCCATTCCCCATCTGGGCCCCAGTCCCAACCAAAGTCAACGTTACTTCGTCCACGATGACGGCAGGAAGAGTCCGGAAGAGGGGATAACTGGCTTTCTTCTGGCGCCACCATGCCTCGTAATATGCTTGGAGAGCCAGTCTTTGTCTCTCCCTTGCCTCTTCTTGGACCACTCGCTGCCGCATCCACTCAGCTCCCCTTCCATCTCGCGCAATCTCATCCCGCATCCACCGCACCTG